GGAAAAGAGCAATCGCACTCGAATATGAGGCTTTTGGTAAGGCCCACATATCCGAGCTTTGAGACCCGATTGCTCTTTTCCTCAGCTCAGGCGGAATACCTGAGATACTGGCTGCATGCTATGGGCCTTACCAAAGATGTGATTGCTCTTTTCCTCAGAGAGCGTGCCGGAGTGTAGAGGAAGGAAACGATTGCGATACGGTGGATGGAAAAGATGACGACGCGAAAATGACGACGACGGCGCGGTACGGACAATGAAAAAGCGGACGACGACGATGTGAACCAAAGCCGACAAAGAAAAATGAGCGAGCAAAAGATAAGCCATGCGATGCGTGAACTCTACATTTTGCAAATGGAGGGAGGAAAAAGACAAGGACAGATAGAGATAGAGAGAGATAGAGAGATGTCGTGAATTGGCGTAGGATCGTATCAGTGCGTGGAGGTTCGTGCGTCAGAAGATTCAAGTGAAATACCTTACCTGAGATACCGACTCATATAGACGTGGTTCTCTTTTCCTCAGCCCAGGCGGAATACCTGAGATACCGGCTGCATGCTACAGGCCTATGCTGAGGCAACGAGCAATTGTATCTCAAAGCTTGGATATGAGGATTTGCTTTTCCTCAGTTCAAGTGAAATACCTTACCTGAGATACCGACTCATATAGACGTGGTTCTCTTTTCCTCAGCCCAGGTGGAATACCTGAGATACCGGCTGCATGCTACAGACCTATGCTGAGGAAAAGAGCAATCACGTCTCAAAGCTTGGATACGAGGATTTGCTCTTTTCCTCAGTTCAGGTGGAATACCTGAGATACCGACTCATAGACGCGATGAGGAAAAGAGAAATCGGGTCTCAAAGCTTGGATGAGGATTTGCTTTTTTCCTCAGCTCAGGTGGAATACCTGAGATACCATCTATTCCGCCGCATTCAAGACCAAAGACGAGCGCACTGAGGGTACTCTCAAGCACCCCTTAGTTCAACAATACGCTGCTGTGAAAATTGGCAACATTCTAACTGCAGTATTTAAAAGTCACGTGACTTATTCGCACAGACGAGCAGGGTGGTGTTGCTATTTGGTGACAAATCAAAACTAAGTTACATTGGCGGCGCATCTTTCTGTCTAATTGAAGAAAAAAAACAAAGGTGTGACAAAGCCAATACAAGGCTACCGCAGAGGGGCCCTCTCTGCGGCAGTCTAGTACTGTGTAATACAGTAATAAAAAGTAGAGCGAGAAAAATATAGCTAACTAAATAACATAATCTGTGAACCTCGCTGGCAATCAGTATCTGCGAAGCGAATATCAAACAAGTTACCTTTGAATGTCTGAACAAGCCAAAAGAAACATATCTGTGAAGCGCTGGCAATCAGTATTTGCGTAGCGAATATCAAACAGGTTACCTTTGAATGTCTAAACAAGCCAAAAGAAACATATCTGTAAGCTGCGGTCAGCCTTTGGTCAGAGGCAGCGATACAAGTTACCTTATGGTGGAGCGGTTGTCATCCCTCCAGAGAAAATACAACACAAGGATTGTGGGAGGAGGCGCACCATTGTGGACACTTAAACCTCACAAGCACAACGGTGGTTGAAGGAGGGGCGCACCAATGTGGACACTGAATCCTCTCCAAGCCAAGCCCCCAGTACTCAATGATAAAAGAAGGGAGGAGAAGTGCGCCAATGCACACATACATCTCCTCCCCAAGCCAAGCCCTCAGTACTCAATGGTGAAGCAAGGGAGGAGAAGTGCGCCAATGCACACATACATCTCCTCCCTAAGCCAAGCCCCCAGTACTCAATGATAAAAGAAGGGAGGAGAAGTGCGCCAATGCACACATACATCTCCTCCCCAAGCCAAGCCCCCAGTACTCAATGGTGAAGCAAGGGAGGAGAAGTGCGCCAACGCACACATACATCTCCTCCCAAAGCCAAGCCCCCAGTCCTCAATGCTCAATGATGAAGAAGGCGTTCAGTAAAGAGATGGCTGAAAGAAAGACATACCTTAGATCTATAGGCGCCTCAATAGTATACCAAAATAACTAGAAAGGTGTTTAGTGGAGAGACGGTTCAAAAAAGACAGACCTTAGATCTGGAGGCACCCCAATAGTGTCCTAAATTGTCTAGAAAGAAGGCGTTCAGTGAAGAGACGGTTGAAAAGAGACGTACCTTAGGTATCCACAAATCAACCTATGCAACCAAATTAGAAATAGAATTAGATTTGAAAGACGCATACCATGCAGTAGGGAATGAGTGCTCAGTGGGTTGTTAGCCACTTACACAGCTGCAGTCTGTGTAAGTGGCTAACAGGGTGAGCGGACAGAAGAGATGTGGTTTGAAATTGAACCGTGTGAAAGTGTTGCGCTGGACTATATGTTCAACATATTTGATGTTATTTGTTGCGGCAAATGCCGGCGCAACCACAACACGATCACATGACTGGTTGGTTTGAAAATTCGTAAAGTCCTTTTTGCTCTACCATTTCTTTCCTTATCCAATGCCGCCTAAAAAGAGCAACATGGCCAAGAAGTCTTGCGGCGGTTCTGCCCGGAAACTTTTGGCACCTGCCGGCTCTCCTCCAACGCCCGCAGGATCAACATCGTCCGCGCCATCCTTAGAGCCAGAGGACGCTAGGATTCCGGAAGAACACAGTATAGTAAGTTGTTTTTGCTTCTTTCTAGTGTTCAGTTGACTGACTGGAGGTCAGTGGTGTTTGATCTGTCTCGATGGCGCGGAAGGTGATGTTGTACTCTTTGAATGCAACGCCTGCCCCCGCGTCATGTGCAGCAAATGCATTGAGGTGCCCGAGGCGCACGTCGATGCCGTCCGACATCCGGACGTTATATTTTTATGTCTTTCTTGTCACTCATTGCGGACGGTTAAGGAGCCCGCGCCATATTTTGTGAGTCTTCTTTGTCTTATTCAAATGTTCTATTGATTGACTACTTAACTTTGTTCAGGGCTTCTACCGTAACGTTTTGCCAGAGGAAGGAGGAACGCCTGTACTCCCAGGCTTCCTACAGTTCAACGGCAAGTATGAGCTGGCGTCCAACTCCATCTTGGCAGCCACACCCCTCGCCATCGTCCATTTTGCCCTTGGCGCCAAGTACACAATCTCCACACCCGTTCCACTCCTCTCGCATTACCTCGACAAGTACTACCCCAACGGTGGGTTTCTGTACGTTGAGATCTCGTTCGACGTCGCCACCTATACGAAGATCGACAAGTACACCCGCGACCAGGTCGAAACGGTTGCTAAGCTCGTCCGTCACCTTGGCTCAACTGGTCGGGTCTTTGCGTTTCTCTCCAACCATTCGGAAGAAGACAGCGGTTGGCTCTATGCAGGGAAGGAGGGTCGAGGTGAGGGAGAGTATGTTGCGATGGAAGTTCAGCATGTAAGTTTTAAAATTTTGACGCTTCAATATTATTAATTAATCTATTCTAGGTTCTCTCCACAGTGTTGAAGCCCTACGCCAGGATCCTCAAGTCCGCACACATCGTCTTCCTGGTCTGCGGTTCTGTGGTGGCATACAAGACGCCCTACACTCAGCTCAAGGAGTCTGTTCTTCAATTCAACTTCGCATCTGCAATTCTCTTTTCCGCAGCTCGCTTTCAACCCCTTGTCGCCACTAATTTCTTGGTCGCCATGGCGGAACTTGTTGCGATTGAGCAACTCAGCATCCGCACTGTATTTCCGACCCTCCTTAGTATGTCAGGCGGTCTTGGTCAACACACCAGCGTCATCCTGATGACTCCCGTCAACATTGATGGTTACTGCAAGCTGGAACTCACTACATTCGCGCGCGCTCACACTCAGACTTCGCCTTGGGGCGTTCCTATTCCTGCGCAATGCCCCCAATGTGGCTCTACCAAGAGCTGGGGTGAGAGGGTTGCTGTGACAGTTTCTGATGAGAATCGCGACGCGCACGCCTCAGCCCAAGGCTCTGTTTGCCAGTACATCTACACATGCAAGTACACCAACTGTGGTAGCACGCAAAAGTTGCCGTGCTACAAGTTTTCTGTCACCAAGCCTCCTGGGTCCATCATCAACAATGCCAGGACCAAGAACTGCGCTTGGTTCAAGTCGCCTTCTACTCATTTTGTATCTCAGTCTTTACCTGACTCTACCCAAGGCAAGCGCAAGAATGAGACAGCGTCTCCTGGGACTGCAAAGAAGGCGCGCAAGTAAATTATGTATTTACTTGACACTGTACATAATTTGAATTGATTGAGGTATCACTTTGTCACACGTGTGATTTCGTAATGACGCATCTTGGTTTGCATGCACGTGATCGCGTCTCCTTCAAAATTTCAACTCTTCAGCCTGGTCTAAGGTTACACGACGCATACTCACCCTTACCAAAAGCTCCTGACTTACGTTTTCTTGTCATCAATGGCTGAATGGTATGCTTCTTGGGAGGGAGTACTGACTCTCCACAAAGATCAGTTTGTAAATGGGAAGAATTCCCGTCAGAATCTCCTAAGACAGATCCGCAATGAAATTGTTGCAATTCATCGTACAAGACAGGATTCCGAGGATTTACCAAAGGGATTGAAAAAGGTACTGTTTTGTTGAGTATATAATGATACTGATATAATTGTTATATAGGCTATCAGGAGGTACTACCTCCAGTTCTTAACGGACACTGATGATCGACGTGCTGAGCAAGAGGTCTTGGGTGATGAGCCGGAGGAAGAACCATCTGGCGTGTCCCCTGAGGACAGAGAATTGGCGGCTCGTCCTAAGGACGCAGGGTTCTACAAGAAGGAGCTTAATGCTTGGGACGTCGCGCAGAAACTCTTCAAGCAGGAGATGGACGACTACGATAAGGAGCAGCAACAGAAGAAAGGCGTGCAACATTCTATTAAGTATAGGACTGGACATGCGAGGGAGTGGTTCAACAACATGACCTCTGCACATCAGAAGGAAGTTGAGGAGGCGAGGGACAAGTGGAATAGGGAAGGTGCCCCAGCAGAAGCACAGGCGATGTAAATTGCCTTTTTTTTTCAATTTCTACTATAACAACATTGATAGGTATCGAAAGAAAAGCCTCAAAAAAGTTCTCGACGATTTTACAGAACAGATAAGGCGTTCTATGGGTTGCCGAGTCGTGATGTTAGTCAGTCACAAGAAAAATGCCGATCAGACTTTAAGTGTCAAGATGTGAGTATTTATCCACTCTCCTCAGGGTAAAATAACAATTTTATTGTTATTCAGTCATGAGTCTCAGCCTGTCAATCACAAGAAACCGTTTAGCCTGAGTTCTCGAGGAAGCAAAGAGTGGACGTCCGAAGGTTTTGAAAAATTTGCCGAGTGGTTGAAGGAAGAATTCTGTAAGTTCTGTATTTTTGGGGATTGGTTCAGACTGCTCAATGACCGCGTATCAGACCCCACCAATGATGATGATGACTCGTCCGATGAAGACAGTAAAGATGGAAAAGATGCGATACCTGAAGTCATCTTGGACGAGCACGGGTTTGCAAAGCTCCCTTCCTGTAAAGGAGTGGGCCTCAAGGGGCAACAAGAATTGGTTCGGCAAATTTTTCATGCATCTTACAGTGAGTTGCTGATCACTTCATCTGTTGATTTTAACTTGACTCAATTTCCGTTTTTCAGAAGTCTTCACTGGTAGCAAAAAGCCAGTACCTTGGCTCTTGATTGCCGGCAACCTTTTGGTGTACCTGGATCCAGACTCCATCCCTGAGGGTTTCGTCGTGCAAGACCCGTCTCATTTGAAGGCGCAGGAAATAAACCATCTTTGGGGCCATTGGGAAGCCAGGAAGGCTTCGAAACAGAAACTGGTTATTTTTGTCGGGGCCGTGAGTTCCCACATGAACAAGTCCCTGCTCGTCAATGCTGTTTATGTAGGCGAGAAACAATCTAAAAAGAAGTATGTACCAGTCGACACTGATGATGAAGAGGAGGCTTCAGCTGCGCCTACATCCACGAAACGTACAAGACAGCTGGCCGAGGCTAAGGCGTCCTCCAAGCCCAAGGCCAGCACAAGGCCCACCAAGAATTCAAGACCGCAAACCCAGGACAGCTCTGAGGATAGCTCTGATGATAATCTCACTCCATCGAAAGGGCTGGTTAAGCGACCATCAGTTGGTCAAGAAGTCGTGCGCACACCAGCCACTGTGCCAAAGAAAGATCGGATGTCATTCTTACGGTCTCTCAGCAGCCAGGACGAATATCTGCTTTTGATTTCACGTCTTGGTGACTTGAAAAAGGTACGTTTTCGATTAATACCTGGATTGGTGAAACTTGATACTCACTTGACGCAGGAACAAAGCTCTGAGGCAATGGAATGGCCCGCTTGGGCGACATGGAGTTGGGACAGATCACACCTTCCGAATAGTGTGCACTCAGACGAGCGTGAGTTGAACAAGTTCTTGGAGATAGTCGTCTCTGCCAAGATCTCTGGCTTGGTATCAGCCATGGGGGTTAGCCTAGGTCTTGGGATGCTGCTAAGAGAATGCAAGCGAGTTATCGAATATGAGGAGGACGAAGCTACCCCGAACACCCCCTCTTACCTTGGCACCTCTATTTTGAGTATCAAGACCCACGACCTCGTCATAGAGGCAATCAATACAGCCAGAGGTGGGGTTACGCGGATGCTCAAGGCGAAGGAAGGACAACGTGCAGCCATTGCTGAGGCTGCTGCTGGTGAAGAACACGGAGCTGATACTGCCATTCAGACCATCTCAACCAGGGAAGAGAAAGAGGATGAGGGGACGGAAATGGAGGCAGATGAGTTGACAAGGAAGCTTGACAAGGAGTCGTGGGAGGTGGAGGAAGAGAAGAAGAAAATGGCGATGCTGCAGGAGGACATGAGAAAGCTGGAGGAGAGAAAGCGAGAGCTGGAGGAGTACAACCAGAAGCTGTTGAAACTGGTGGAGATCGAAAAGGACAGTGGTGGTAAGGATGATATGGAAGATAAGGAACAGCGTGGCGAGGAGGAGAAGGCTGAGGAGGAGGAGGAGGAGGAGGAGGAGGTCGTCGTGCAGAAAGGGAAGAAAAGGGGGAAATCTGGGGGATCTGGAAGACCATCCAAAAAGGCTACCACTGACAATATTCGTCGATCCAGCAGATCCAGGAAACCCTCCAAAAAGGCCATGCGAAAGTGACCTAGCATAGCACATTGAATTCTTGCTGTTTTAACTGATAGATCTACTTGATATTACTAGGCAAAGCAATATACATGATGGGGTGGCCGGTATATAGTTTACAAGGCCAGCCAAGACTTTATACCTGATTTTATAAGTGGGGCTGGCCAGTACTTACCCTACATGGCCGGCCAGTACCTTTGTACATGCTAGTACCTGCCCTATGGGCTCGGCCTGGCTGAGCTGGCCAGTACCTGCACTGTGCACTCGGCCGGCACTCTCATACACGATTGTATAAGAGTGCTGGCCGGAGGCTGGTTCTTGGTAGCATTCGGCCGGCACTCCCATACACGCTTGTATAAGAGTGCTGGCCGGAAGCTGTTTGTTGGCAGCTGGCCAGTACCTGCCCTGTGCACTCGGCCGGCACTCTCATACACGATTGTATAAGAGTGCTGGCCGGAGGCTGTTTCCTGGCAGCATTCGGCCGGCACTCCCATACACCATTGTATAAGAGTGCTGGCTGTGTTTCCTGGCAGCTGGCCAGTACCTGCCCTGTACACTCGGCCGGCACTTTTGTACACTATTGTATAGGAGTGCTGGCCGGAGGCTGTTTCCTGGCAGCAGTCGGCCGGCACTCCCATACACCATTGTATAAGAGTGCTGGCCGGAGGCTGTTTGTTGGCAGCTGGCCAGTACCTGCCCTGTGCACTTGGCCGGCACTCCTATACACGATTGTATAAGAGTGCTGGCCTGAGGCTTCTTCCTGGCTGAGCTGGGCAGTAAATGCCCTGTGCGCTCGGCCGGTACTCCTGTACAGTCACGTGTAGGAATGCTGGCCAGTACTTGTCCTACAAGGCCGGCCAGTTCTCGCTCTACACATTCCTTCGGTACCTAAGCAGAGTTCAAGGTACACTGGCCGTGCCCACTTCTACGAACCGGCCAGCCACATATCTACCTGGCCAGGCCGGTGCTGGCTGGGACATATTCTACGGCCTTTTGGCACATCCGGGGCACCACTTCTACATCCAATGTGACTGAAGGGTCTGACATCTGCGGACACTGGTATCTACGATCAGGACATTGATCATGCTATGGGCGCAGCTCACAATATGTACAACAAGTTGTCACTTGCAGGCATTAGTAGGAAGTAGGGTGTGATATTCTAGCTCTAAAGCTTCGCACATGTTATTGCTGGGCGCTGAAGTACCGCAGACTGGCCATCCCTCGGGACGGCGGGGCCAAATAACCACCCTTGCAACATACCGGAGCTCGTGCTAAATCGATACTGACTGTACCGCACACAACGAGAGGACTGCTTGCGCCAGGATCCAAGAAGTCCTGGAAAGATTTGAAACCCTTACATCTCCTGCCCTTCGTTATGCATTGTCGATCGAGGCAAGTGCTCCGGGTGTGGGATGGTTGCGTAGCACCCTCCATTTCAGCCTCGACTTCCATTGCGACTCTGCTTGCGATCAAGTACGATCCTCACTAATGATTTCTGCGATCGTGTTCGGCATGCTGTTTGCAGTGCTTTGCGACAAAGGGTGTCCAACGAAGAGATATGGTACGGCGAGAGGAGCAATGCGGAGGAGGGATGGATTCTAGCAGAGGTGAGTAGTACTTAATGCGTATTCGAAGGACTGGTTCCAATGAGTGTCTCTAGACGAAGTATAGTACTACTACTTACGACCACAGTCCGGGTTGAATCTTATGTAATGAAATACTTGACAGATCTTATCTTATCTCGCCTAAGAGGAAATTCTGCATTACTGGGCTGCGATTTCCACCATCCATCCTTTTAGTACATGGCTCAAGTTGAAGAAAAACCCGAACTCTTCCCTCTGATCGCAGACGTTGTCAATAAAGCCCATGCCGGAGATGAAGAAGATACTGACGCTAGACCACTCGAGGAGATCGAGTCTCTTTGCATGCAGTGTGGGGAGCAGGTATGTTCACTAACATTCCGATGGCTGGCATAATGCTCACGTCCGTCAGGGAGTAACACGAATGATGCTCACATCAATCCCGTTCTTCCGCGAAGTGATCGTGATGAGTTTCCGCTGCGAACATTGCGGCCACTCAAACAATGAGATTCAGTCGGCGGGGAAGATCAGACGTGCGCGCTTGTTTATCTCGTTACCCATCCCTCCTAATATTAATTATCTTTGAGACAGCCGAAGGCACTATGTACACAGTAAAAGTGCTCAATCGCGGTGACCTTGACCGTCAACTTATTCGCTCCGAAGCGTGTAGCATCAACATCCCCGAATTTCAGTTGGTTCTTCCGCCCTCCCGTGGGCAGCTTACAACTGTCGAGGGTCTTCTCCGAAATATCGTTGCGGATCTGGGCGTACAGCAACCGCTTAGACGCATTCAGGATGAGAAAGCCTACGCTAAGATCCAGGAAATCATTGATGGTCTCAAGGAGATCATTGCTGATGACGAAGATGAAGACGAAGGAAAGGACAAGCCCGAGAAGAGAGCACTTTCGAAAGAGGATCCAGTAATACGTGCGATCACCATTACCCTAGACGATCCATCTGGGAATTCGTTCCTCGAGTTCGTGGGCAGCATGTCCGATTTGAAGTGGAACATGCGTACATACGAAAGATCTCTTGAGCAGAGCCGGCAGCTTGGATTGGCACCTCCTGTGGAAGACGCGGAAGAAAATGCGGTAGACGAGACAGAACAATTAGGGGGTCCGAACGAGGAAGTGTTTGAGTTCCCCGGAATCTGCTCGCGTTGCGGACGACCTCTCATCACACGTATGAAGAAGGTTTCCATCCCTTACTTTAAGGTTCGTATCGAAGACACACTGAATCTGCATTGCTCACAACACCTCCAGGACACTCTCATAATGTCAACTAACTGCGAAGACTGCGGCTATCGAGATAACGAGATCAAGTCAGGGGCTGCAATTTCTGAGCATGGCAAGAGGATCACATTAAAGGTTGAAGATAGAGACGACCTGAGCCGCGACATACTTAAAGTAAGCACATCCTTTCCTCTCTCTGAGCTTTTTTTTTGACTCAAAGTGTCCTGTAGAGCGACACGAGCGGTCTCAGCATACCGGAGATAGACCTCGTTCTCCACCCCGGCACGCTAGGCGGACGTTTTACGACTTTAGAAGGCATTTTAGATCAGGTATACGAGGAACTCACCGAGAAAGTATTTAACACGGGAGATTCTGGGGTCGTCGACGTCGACGACAGAGCCGAGTTCCAGGAGTTCTTGAGAAAACTGAAGCAGGTGTGTTTTCTCATCCCGTCATACGACTCTCGTGTTAATCGATGAAATTAGGTCAAGAACGCTGAGATACCGTTCACCTTGATCCTTGATGACCCCCTGGCGAACTCACACGTGCAGAATCTATATGCACCTGATCCAGATCCGAACATGGAGATCGTCACATACGAGCGAACGTGGCAGCAGAATGAAGACCTTGGATTGAATGACATGAATGTGGAATCGTACAGCGCCGGGGATGACACGAAGGACGGTGCCACTGAAAGCCAGATGTCATAGCAGGCAAAATCTGCCAAGTGTGGTTTAATACATAGTAGTCATTTGAGACCGTCTACTCCACATACAGAGCTACACGAAAATTTTGCACCACAAAAAGAGCGGGAAATGATTCAATAGCTTACATAGCGTACAAAGCATAAGTGTGACGGCGCGCGTCAAGACAGACATCACGTGATTACTGATAATTTTCGACTCGTAAATGTCCTTCACATCTGACCGTGTTTCGGACACTGAACCTATCCAAAAATGCAGAGCGACGATGTGATATGGTCTGTAATCGGCCATGAATTCTGCTCGTACAAAGTCAAGTACGTTCGCCGCTATGATGAACTCCGTACAACCTTACCCATTCCACATACAGGACTGTTACTCAGAATTTCTGCCGGAATGAGTACAATGTTACGGGTCTGTGTACAAGGCAGTCATGTCCACTTGCGAACTCGCGGTATGCGACGGTAAGGGAGAAAGAGGGCAAGTCTACTTGATCTCATGTCATACGTCATGATTAATGTCCACCCAGGTGTGCTGTATCTGTATATGAAGACGATTGAGCGGGCACATACACCTGCAAAGATGTGGGAGAAGGTTGAATTATCAAAAGACTATTCCAAGGCACTGGAACAGGTGAGTTGACCCCTAGGCTCGAGTTCCTTTCGATCAACATGCAATGCGCCCGTCATCCAGATCGACAAAGAACTCATGTATTGGCCAAACTTCACCATTCACAAATGCAAACAACGTGTCACAAAGATCACGCAGTATCTCATCAAAATGCGTCGAATAAAACTACGGCAGGAGTGCGTTGCCATCCTTTAACCTTTTACTACTCATTTACATTCGTATTTATTTCAGGCCGAAGCTCGTGGGGGTGAAAAAGAAGTTAGATAGACGCGAAGCTACACGGGAACGCAAAGCTCTCTCTGCCGCACACCTTGAAAAATCTATCGAAAAGGAGCTGATCGAGCGGCTCAAATCAAAAGCATATGGCGATGCGCCACTCAATGTCAATGAAAGTGTCTGGCAGGCAATTCTCGACCGTGAAAAGAGTGAAAAGGAGAAGGTGCTGGAGACTGGTGCTGAGTTGGATATGGAAGATGACGAAACAGATGGAGAGGAAGAATTGGAGGGGGAGATGGAGGAGGAGTGGGACGCCGAAGGAGGCGAGTTTGTTAGCGATTTCAGTGGAGACGAAGATGGCGATCTAGACGATGATCTGAGCGATCTGGAGGACGTGGTAGACGAAGGACTGGGCACAGAGGAGAGTGGAGATGACCAATCAGACAACGACAGCTCACCAGAAGATCAACCACCGTCAAAAACGATACTCGGAAAGCGGAAAGCCAAGCCTACAGCGAAGACACCTCCACGAAAAAAATCGGACAAGTCAGGGAGAAGTGCGTTATTTTTGAACTCCACTTCCAGTAACTTATCATTTTTCTACACAGGAGGTCCGAGGGTGGAAGTGGAAATCGAGCGAGAAGTGGAGAGCATACCACTTACGAGGTCTGCATTGGCCAATTGGTAGCCTGTGGGAACCTGTTCAGCTACTCAGCCATTCATACTGCATATATATTCCACTGCATGGGTCTGAGAAGCCACATTCAGTGTTCGTGAGCGATATTGATTATCGACTCAAGACATATGAATCAGCTCTCCATAGGCTGATCACCATTGTCATCACCTTCTCTCGCCATTGCTGTTTTTCCCCATTGAATGAGCTCTGATAACCGTGGCTGAGATGCCAACGGCTTATTGCTCAATAGCACCCGAAAAACCTTTCGACAAAACTCGGCATATGCTGCTCGTTCTTCCCCAGATGATAGGCTCTGGTGTGTAAGTCGTGAGTTTTATCAGAAATCAGGGTAATTGCACGAACTTCATAGTTGTCTCTCATAGCTGAGAGCATGGAAACCAAGAAGCCAAGGTACTTGTGGTTGACAGGATCTATGTTATCTTGAAAACGCTCAGCGAGATTGGCAAAAACCGCTGCTGGACGATGAGGGGTGTTTCGCTCTGATGAAGGAATGCTCACATTCAATCAGGGTCTGCCGGACTGTCGCATATTCTTCTAGCGATATCTTGAACGTGGATGGTCCGGTAGTTGGCTTAGCCAATACACCGCGTAGAAGTGGATGTCGAAGACCGTCCAGAGTGAATACGATGGATGCGTATTCATGTTCGATCGTCGTCTTAGAGGAAACAGTACATGCAAGGAGGACTTCGATAAAGTAGTCCTCGTATGCCTTCATGTGATGAGTATTTTCTACGAGAGCGTAAAATGCGACTTACACTATAAGCCTTCGAGTCAAGTCTGAGGAGTGCGAAACAGAAGCGCAGACCAACCCGGCGACGCCATGAGGGATCAGGTATCCGCTCCCATGATTCAGGCCCAAGGTGCATGTGGTTTTTCCAACTCTAGAAAGGGAGAGCTGAATGGGGCAGCAGTCAAAGCAGACATCGAAAACGAACCGATCCATTCTGAACTAGCACATTCCCGACACCTACCCAACAATCAATCCATCTATCGGCGGTCTCACGGCGACTATCGACTGTGCTTGGCGCAGGCGAGTCGACTATATATCTACAAACAACCCGGAACAACGCTGAAGCCAGCGGTCCACAGACCTGGAACCAGTCTGTCAGGAAAATATAGGAGGAATAATGAGACCGACCTTGCACACTGCTTCTTCCTTCTGCTTCAACTCCATTCCAGAAGTCTGTGCAGGCTCGTCACCAAGAGCAGCTAGGATTTCAGGGTCGTTCAAGTCGAGGAAGAATTTGTCGTACTCGTCCTGGCTTTCCTGGGTATCGACGCTCGGTAATGCAGGTGGCGCGGAGGGTCGGGGCAAGGCCCTTATTCTAGCATCCAGAAAAGCTGACACCACTTCTTGGCATGCAGCACTCGAGTCATTCTCGATGGCGATAGGATTTTTGGGACTGAAAACGTCCTTCACCCATGCTAACGAGACAGAGAACGTCAACGAATATCTCGTCGGCATCAGCCAACCACTCACGTCCCTCCAAAAACGCAGGATCTGGATACTCGTGTCGCTCATCCTTCGTATCCAGCGAGGATGTCTCAATCATGCGAACAACAGACGTGAGGAGACTCTTAATCATCTCCACTGTCTTGTTCTTCACGATATTCTTGTTGTCTATACTCGTTAGCGTGCGTGCCTGCTGATATTCATCCAGCAGGATCCCAGTAACCTCGGCGAGCCAGCTGAGAATCTCTCCGAGCTGTACACGGTGATGACGCATAACAGCACAAATATGTTCAATGCCCCGAATGCATACAGCCCTGGTAAAATCATGCGCTTCTTTGAAATTGACGCATCGTCGAGCTTGCCCAACACGGTGACGAACGTTGGAGATGGATGGATCAAGATGAATAGCGACCGCCATAGCATTAAGTCGGTTGAAAAGCATAGAGCTTTCATGTCCAGTGGGCTGGGCGGCCCTTGTCGATGCCACCGAGCCAACCGGGACGACCATGTTCAACATCTTCTTCACCTGTATGTCCCGCTGCTTTTTCTCTGTGTCGCTTGTATCCTCCGCCTCTGCAACTTGGACGATCATCTTGAGGAGAACCTCGAACACGTTGTCGCCCCTGTCTTGTACCGAAAGCAAGGATATGTCCCTTTGCACCATGAACTGCATGAATTTGGGCTGCTCGTGCCGGAGGCTTGCAAACTTGCGGCTCCGGAAGATTTCCACGAGGTGGTTGAACATGGTCATCGCATCGTCCAGACTCCAATGCCAACGCTTCCATAGCAGGAAACATCGAGAAGCTATGACGGAGACGTATTCGTCTCGTTTGTTCAGGGACGCCGTTTGTGTGAGCGCATCCTTTTGTGGATCAGCAACGAGGGAGATGAGCTTCAGTGTAGCCAGGATCGTCTCCCATGAAGGTGCGATTCTACTGAGGGATGTCGACATCCCATGCACAGAGAACTGAGAGAGCGCACAGAAAGAGAACATATTCCGCCAAACGTACTCGCTCGCTTCAACTGCAGTGGTGAACGATGATGCTTCGTCTTGGATCAGCTGTTTGAACAAAAGCCAAAACGGCTCCGATGATAGGTTGCCGGGAGTCTCAGACGTGCAGTTAGTCAGGAGGTGAAAGAGGCATATCCAGGACTCTACGGCTTGAACGGGAGTTGAGGTGATCTCGAGAGGGCCCTCGAATTCCTTGAAGGATACTAGAGTCTCCCGGAAGTCTATATCTGCCAGAGGCCGCATGAGCAAGAGCGCGAATCTGAACAACTCTCGGGGTTCTGACGATCCGCGCCGAATCCTTGCGGCATGCATGATACGCGCAGCCAGCTCCACTGCGAACCAGCAAACAAGCAGTGAGAATTGATGAAGATCGGCCTCCAACACCCGCGCCACCAACGAACCCATACTCTCGTGTACGGTGAGCTCCAGGGAGCTGAATTCTTGGTCGTCGATGTTGAGACACTGCCACGACACCAAGTGACATACCGCTCGCATCGCAAGTTCCCAGTCCTTTGCAGACGCAGTAATCCACTCATGTCCTTTGAGCACATCATCCGCGAGCTGATCGCACAGGGGTGCGAATACAGTCGTAAGAATATGCACTGATGTATCAGGTCCAAGGTCGAACCCTCGAGCAGTGCATCGCGAGGGGGCGACAGGCTGAACGTGTCCCGTGACAAGGCATATCAGCTGGTGAAGAGACCCCCGCCCAATATATGTTCCAGCCGAGAATACGATCCCTGAGGGCAAAATGTCGATACCCAAGTCGACCGTAGTCAATAATGTTCGTTGATCTATAGCATGCATGAAATCGTGGACGTCGTTATAGCCCTTCCTCCGTACAGGTGGTGATCGATCGCGTAGCGGATCTGGCGGCATATCAAAGTCAACGTGACTGCGCCCTGAATCAACGCGGGAGGATGGGGGACGGGGTCGGACATGTGGTTGGATCTGACGTTCGTGCTGACTGGACTCGAGACCAGGATGAGGTTGAGAATCAACACGTGAAAATGGGACTCGCCGGCGCTTAGAATGGGCATCTTCTCGATGAACTCGAGATGAAACCCCATATGCAGGCTGCCGCGTTGATTCAGGCTTCTTTTGCCACCTATCCATCTCCTTCTTCCAACTCGGGTCCAGCGCCTGATGGAATCCTTCATCACCCAGATCGATTCTCAAACCCCTCCGCGCGATATGCGTGCCAGATTGGTGGAAGCTGTAGAGCTCTCCCTGGGCTTTCTTGCGTTTCTTCTTCCTCTTTTCCTTCCGTGGTACCTTGGCCTCGTGCTCCGTCGGTACTGTTGGTTCTGCCCTCTTGTGGACCTTGTTATGGTGCGAATGATGAGGACGGCGGTCATGGTCGGAGAAAGCAGTGGGAAACGAAAGAAGGGTCTGGTGATTACCCATCCGCGCACCACCTGTTACAATATTGAGCTTGGGCCTCGAGCGTCCACCCCTGCTTTCACCCGCATCTCGTGGTTTCACACCAGAACCTCGGGGCCTTCGACTTGACTTGGACTTCGTTCTCCCACCGCCCACAGTCCTGGTCCGCGTAAGCATCCAATCAATCAAGCTCTTCTCCCGCATAGGTCGGCGACTCCGGCTCCACGCATCGATCCGTACATCGTCGATCATACCATCGCTGTCCTCGTCATCACTGTCCGATCCACTCTCGGAACTGGAAGTGAGGCTGATGGCCGGCGATCTCGATCTGACTTGGGGAGACACCCGCCGACGAACGTGTGATACGATCTCTGGTACCTCAGCATCAACCTCCATACCCTCATCCCAAAGAATCTCAACATCCGAGCTCTCAGGATCTCCCTGAATAACAGCATCACGCCCACCAGCGCCCCTTCGGACGCGCGCATATCCAGGTCTCAAGGGCTCGTCGCCGCTATCAGATGGAGTTGGAGAACGCACTCGTTTCGTGCCGGTGGGGATTTTCACTTGAGAACCATGCTGCTGGAACTGCTTCTTGATCATGACGGCGGGCATCATACGCTGTAGGAGGCGGAAACGTTTGCGATCTTTGGAGGATAATTCGGGAGCAGGGGTTCCGGACGCTTCGTGGGGTTCACTGGCCGGATCATCGGACAAGTCCAGGTGATCGTCCACGTCTGGTAATGTGGATGAGGAGGGTGGTGGTGTCGATGATGCCGACGGTACTTCAATTGCATCGTTATCAGTACCAATGTTGCCATTATCCGTACCTATCAAGTTGTCGTCGTTGTGGTCGAAAAAGTTGTAGTAGTCGTAGTCATCATCCTGGTGATACTCGTATTCGTCGATCACAGGGGGAGTCCTTGCCGGCGAACGCAGCTGAGAGGGATCAGCCTCGCGGGAAGAAGACGGTACATCACGCTGCTTTCCCTTGACAAGTCTGGACAGGACTGGCGGAGACCACTAAAATGGGACATATCCAGCACATCAGCATACCACAGGTGTTTCCAGAAGATTCTCACCTCGTCTAAGTGAGATGGAGACCGTCTTGGGAATGCTGAAGATGGTCCAGCAGCAGGCTGCTTCGACGACGCTGCTGCCAAAGGGAAGTTCTTCAAACGTTTCTTTGTGGCAACCGCTTTCGCAGCTGCCTCCGCCTGTGCCTTCAAGCGAGCTTCTTCCTTCTCCCTCTTCTTTGCTTCAGCCTCAGTCTTCTTCCTAGCCCTCCTAGCCTCCCTCGCCAATTTGCGAACTTCGTCGGCTCCTTCAATCTCATCGCTTTCAGACAGATCTTTTAGCGCCTCAGGGAGCCACCCTTCCTCCTGTTCGCGGTTCCGATGATCTGCTTCGGCAATCGCGACCCGCCTTCTCCGCCTTCTGTCTTCCGCGTCCACATAATCTCCATCCTCCTCCGGATTGTCAACAGGAAAGATATACTCTGCTTGGGTTTCGCCTTGCGTTTGTCCATCCTCCCATTGTGACCCATCTTGCGCATGCATCTCGCGATGCTGGGGACTCACAAACTTCACGATCGCATCAGGGTTTGCCTTCATCTGTGCCTTGTACATCGCCTTGTCATACGCGTACGGCTGAAGCTGACGTGCCTCTCTGCGGCGAAGGGAGTAACGATTTATTGGTTCTGAGTCTTCAGGGATCACGAGAGGTGGCGATAGAGGGACAGGTGGCGGTAGAAGTGGGAGTGGTAATTGATGCTGCGACGGTCGAGCTGGTGATGGGGAGTGTTGAGATAATGGGGTTATTGGTGTCAGCAGGTGCTTTGAGCGGGGCACTGGAGAGATAAGAAGCAGCTCATCAGGGGATAGAGATCGACGACCGGAGGGATGTGGAGTGCGCGATAGCGTATCTCGTTGAGAAGGCTTTCGAGTACTTTGGGGAACAAGTCCCTGGGACGACTGTGTCGATGGCCCCGGGGGAGAAGAAAACAAGGACCACGAGTCTGCTGGTCGTGACCTGGAAGGGGATGGACTGGAGACTAGTCCTTCGACTTCAAGAGGTGCTGGCGTCTTAGAAAAGTCAAGAGCCTCAGGTACGACAAGATCCGACGTGGGATGGGGGGAAGTCGTGGAGGTGGGTGATGACGGAAAAAGGGCGTCATCTAGCTGAGGCTGGGAGGAATCGGGAAGTGGCGACTGGGGATCAGTCTGTGGCTGCAGATGGGGTGAATCTGTGGGATGACGGGGCTGATCTCCCAAATGCGTTGGGCTAAGCGATGTAGGTGTACCTAGGTCATTGAAACTCGGGTGAGTCTCGTTGTGAAATGACGGGTCGTGTGCATGGATAGCCTGAAGTGATAAGTTGGACATAGGGTTACGCATGACCCGCGTTGGCGAGTGTGGTATGTTCACATGCGGGACAAAAGACTTCACAGGCGATGTATGGGACGAAGAACTAATAAGGTCAACGATCAAGTGTGTCTCGGATTCGCTATGAGTAGTCTTGAGAAGCAATGAGCACCGCACAAATATTATCAATTAAGATCTACCTTGACACGCTTTCGTGGAGGGGGTTGACCCTCTTCTCTGTCATTAAACCTTCCATGCAAGTTGGTGGCAAGTCCTTGCGTCTTCTTTGGAGATAAACAAGCTGGGTCTGGTGCATCAAATTCGCGTTCTTCAACGTCTGATGTGTCTACGACTTCATCAAGGTCCATGCAGGTACTTGGATTCAAGGTCGAAGGTGAGTGTGACATGTACATGCTGCACGCGACCGTGATTAATCACGTGTTTGTGACAATTAGCTAACCCTCCGCTCACCCAGGATTCCGCATGATGGCGAAACCGCCGAAACATGTCTCGTACAAGCTCTTTGTAGCGCGATCGTACCACAGGAAAACCTTCGGAAGCTCAGTGAAGGTACATCATCGACTGCTGTACCTACGCTGACCATCCCCCAGAATTTTCCGTCCACCGCTCGCACAGACTAGACAGTTCTCCTCGACCGGCATTCACCCGAACACAAGGCTCTCGAACCTTTCTTCTCACTCCTTGTTGACTACCTTCCACTTCCCAAGACCCATATGTCAGCGGTTTGGAATATCACCGAACGCTTGTTTTCGCTGGCTCACCGGATGGCTCCTTGTACCAAGTCAATTTTTTCTGCCAGCAATCTGAAACGCACACTGGTCAAACAATTGAAGCTGTTGGAGGCGCAGGCGTCAACTTATCATCCGCATCACCAACGGGAGTGATTTTGCCGCTAGTTCACAATCTACTCTTGAATGTTCGAAAACGCTCATAATACTTTTTACCGACTTCTACCACTCCACCAATTGCTACGAGGCCCAAATCATTCTTCCCCCTACACCACGCATGCGTCAACTTATCATCCGGATTCCGCATTACTAACGGGAACCTGGGTGATTTTTCCCTTACTCAGGCGGGTCAAATTGGCCGAGAATGTCGACCCAGACCCCAGGTGGCATGCAGATATCATCCATTTGAAAGGGGAATTCGGGCCAATAGGTTCCTCCGACATCAATATAAAAGCAAGGCTTCTTCCTACTGTCCCCTTCAGATTTATTTCATCCCATATCACATCTTCACAAACAATGCGCTTCGCCTTTGTCCTCGCCGTCGTTGCTACTTTGACAGCATCAATATCTGCCCATCGCCACCACGCGTGTCCCGAATATTGCAAGGTGCCAGCAGACTGCGGTGGCTGTCCATAATATCTGTGTGAGTATGAGTAGTTTGCGTCCTGAATTTAACCACATGACTAACCGGCGTGTTAGGCCTCCAACACATGTCTTTGAGTGAGCGGCATTATGCATATCGCCGCTCGCAACAGAGAACTACAGTGAGTCACATTTCTGTTTTCGCATTGGTACAGTATGGTTGATGGCACAACGCGTGGGTTACTAGTAGTTTGTTGCTGAGTTCTGTGCTTCTGAACAAATTTTACTGCTGCTCAAGCAACGGAGATCTTGGGATAGAGGAATTCTGAACACATAGAATATGTCTGAAGTACTTACGACGCAGTTTTGTAGTCTCGTTGGAATAAGCTTGAACTGAGCGCACTTTTCGACACGTGACGGACACGGAGAACACACGACACATCCGTCCAAAACACCAACAGCCTCTCACCTGGAACATTGTCACAGCCATATGCGAGCGGAAGCCTCGCAAACGCAACGATGTGCTTATCAAACGCAGAACAAGACCTATCAGGGGTACGTCACTGTATATTTAGCCAAACGAATGAAACCCAAACTTGCAGTTATTAGGTTGCCGTCCTCCATGTACATGTCCCGAAACAAGCTAGCAAGGAAGCTACTCATTCATGACGAAGGGCATCCTCGACTTCGCATATGGGGTGCCTTATGATATACTTATTTGCGTAAGTCGTGTTACCAGCTCCGTGTCATATGGTGCATTTTACAACTGTTTACAAGTGCTTTCGAAACAAGGAGTTGTAGTGCGAGAGAAAGGACGGGATCTGATGAAGGGCGGTGGCATCTGAATTCAATAGTTCTGGACCAAAGCTATTTACTCCAGCGAGATCCACGAATCGGATGCACTAACACCATACATGAACGTCGGACGTGCCATAGATTGTACGTTGAGATCTCAACGTGCGATCGCCGATCATTGCAAGACGACGCTGGAGAACTGCTTCACGGTCACACATTGTAGCGCTGATTTGGGGGTAGAAAGAACAACTATCTGATTCATTCATCTGCTGGAGAGACTAGCTCTACGAATATAATTGTTCCTAGCCATGCCAACACGACGCTCCCAGTTGTCCCACAACTCCAATTCAAGCTTGCATCAGCACCAGCAGAATCTGTTGAAATCATCAGTTAACCCCTTTTTTTTAGATAGCAGGACTCGGAGGACCCACTTCTCATTATACGCCCACTCTACATTCCCCGTCACTCCAGGTCCATACCACACTATCTGTGGCAAATGTTCATTCCGCTCAAACGACCGCCCGCCCGTCTTCTCCGCAATCTCCTTCAAACCTACTCTCAAATTCCACACCTCCACTTTCCCAATTCTGCTTTGTCTAGCCGCCTGCTTGATCTTCGCGATCAGCCCGGGGAACGTCTCTTCGCTGGCACAGAGACGCGTGACGATCAGCGTTGGTGGAGGAGGTCTCAAGTCAACGCTCCAGCTTGCGTACGTGTCTGGGTCACTCGTAGACTGTACACCCCAGAATCGTCCTGCTATGGAAAAATCTGAGGCGTATGTCGACCGTGGGATGTGGAACCCGCAGACGCTGTTTGCTGGTAGGTACGTCACGAATGCCGCCGGGTGCTCTACCTTGTATGAGCTGTCGCTCATCGGTATATTCACTAGCTCCTTTCTGATGCGCGCAGCATCACTCTCTCAAAGCCCGTTCAGCTCCTCATGCGCCAACCACGTCCATCCCTCGTCATCGTCTTCCTCCGTGCCCACCTCCCACGTAGTCGAGATCGGCGCTCGCAACTCCCATCCACCCCCTTCATTGCCCCCAGGGCCAGCCGACCGGTAAAATTCTTCCCCAATGGCACTGTAAAGCACCGAGAATAGCCCATCACCAGAGTCCGCTACCTCTTCTGGCGGTACACCCCACGCCTCGGGGAATTTAGGGAGATGGTCACGCGAGGCATTGACCCAATGCAGGAGGCTCATCATACGCCTTGCGTAGCCGCGCCTACGGTTTGACGGTGGAGTGAAGACATTGGCGACCCCGTAGCAAGTTGCCTCTTGCACTTTGCCTGGCTCAGAGGGATAAACGACGAGACCTGTGCGCTTGTATCTGGCCCCATAGACGCGCGTCAGAACACTGCTCGTTCCTCGAGGGTCCTCGAATCGCTCACGTCTCACAAGCGCACATAAAATCAAGCGTCGTGGGGTCGTTCCGTGGCGCCAGTACCCTTTCTCTCTCATTAACTCCCTTCTACCAGCAAAACGAGGTGCTCACCAAGTGATGTGCTTCCCACCCTTTGAATGTTCCGCACATTCCATCATCGCATCTCGCGCAAGGTACTCTTCAAGATTCAAAGTACCACCCCCATGCGGAAACAACCGGTGCCGTGACTCTTCAACCTGCGCGCGCGTCGCGCGGAAGAGCGAGAGCGATGCAAGATCTACCTTTGATTCTGCCATCGGAAAATATACTTTGCAATGCAAGGGGTGTTGATTGGTGAGTGGCCAGATTGAAGATAGAAGGAGCTCTCACACCCCACGTCAAGTGCGCAAATAAATCACCCTTCGAGAACCGCAACCCGTGACCCCGCCCGCGCGCTGACCTCTCGTGCACCCAATTTAGTTCACGCTGCCACTATCAGGCTTCAGTCATTCGATATCAGATATGGTATTCCTATGCACTAAAAGGATCGCCGTGGTTCAATGATATCACTGCAGTTATCATTGCTTGACGGCTGGTACAAGGTCGTGGCAATGCAAAACGAACATAGCAGCAAGGCCTATGTTATACTTATTCTTCGATACTCGTGTACTGCGTTAATGTCTAGTCACTTCCCTATCCTTTCTTGCAATTCTTGGTCCTCTTCATCCTCTAGAATTCTTTGTGACACTTTGCTTCGAGAACGAATCCTGGATCCATAAAAGAAGAGTACCTGCGCAATTTAATAACAGCCTGACGGGTAGTTGCAAGCTTTGTCTTACCCATGGTATAGGCACTAGCGCTGCACCTATACATCCAAACAGCGTCAGGCCCCATTGATGCGTCAAGCGAGCAAACATTTGTGTCGTAAATAGAGGAAAGGCTGATGCGGAAAGATTGCCTGGAAATTCAGTGGGTTAAAAAACATCTGAGTGCCGCAAAAGATTGACTTACGACATAGGCTCTGACCTGCAATGGCTGACGATGCGTATGTCCCATAGCTATGAGAATAATGAATTTTACTCAATTGCACAGGTTAAATTATTTTCACCAGTCTGCGAGATACAAGAAGACCACCATGTAAATCACAAATGCGCCGGACATGAATACCTCGAGGAATGTCAGTCTTGCAACCGTAACAAAGATGAGGCGAGTAGGACAAACAGTGAGACCGATTGCTGGAGCTATCCAATGTACTTCCGGTCTTGCTGTCCAAGCGTAGATGAACATCCCAATTGGCAAGAGGATTGCTGCAACACAAGGGAGGTAAAGCCGCGCTTCCTGACGTTTCCGAGGATAATGTTTTCTAATTCGAACAGGTCGTATCATATTCCATAGACGTGGAATGTAGATAGCACATGCTTACTGATATAACTTCTCTTGATATACGTTGGCAAAGTATCCAACGAAGCTCCCAAGTCTAAATCGGACAAGAGTAAATATAATCATCGCAAGTTCTAATTTTTTTCAGCTCACATGAGGGTGCTGAACATAAACCCTGTGTTCTGGATGTCAAATCCATAGACCGCCTGGAACTCAGCGGAAATAGACCTACAACTAGCTTAGATGGTAACAACAGCAACAACATTGGAGCAACATACTCTATAAGGGCAAAGACAACGCCCCATGTGAAGCCAATCCACACCTGCATGCGAGGATACTTATGTTAACACTGTCTCTGAAAAGCAGTCACAGATCCCACACTGAAACTCTGTACGATAGGCTCCGTCAGCAAGAGGTCTGAAGAACGCAAATATCAGCTGGTGCGAGCATTTGAGATTATCAGGGAACTTCGCTGACATATTGGTCGTGTGCAGGAAATCTTGATTAATGTCACCAAGCTTTGCTTTTCCATTTCTGCTTTTGCTTTGTATCTATCATCACCTGTCTCTTTGCGCTTCTTTCTTGCCAGGCGAGTCAAAACTATGGTGGCCCGCGTTTCTTTCATGAGTAACACAGTAGAGATGAAATAAGCCCCTGTAAACCTTGAGGGAACTCCAGTCAGTGTATCATGTGTGATACGTTCCACGAAACTAACATTACATGAATCCACTGAATCCATCTCCATCCGAGTCGGGGGTCGACCTCTATTATACCCGCGATTACGGGTCCAAGCCCTGTTCCGGTCACAGCAACAAGAGTAAAGAACGCCATGGGTTGTCCGCGCCTGTGAAGATAGCTATAGCGATCAGTCCAGCAAAAATCTCGAATGCCCAACTCATGTTGCTTCCAGATGTCGGCGACCGAGCCGCCTACTAAGGTTGCACCTGTTGAGCCGAATGCGCCCCCGAGCAGACGTCCAAGCATGACGGTCTGTATGTTCGGTGACCTGGAACAATATGTGAATCTGCGTCACGTTCGTGAAAACCGAGCTTACAGGGCAATCATCATCTCCGTGAGCATAAATCCGAATGATGACACGATGTATATATTCAGGCGACCAAACTCTTCCGTGAAGGACGAAGTGATAAGAGGAACCGTGCCAAATCCGATTGACCACATGCTCAATCCGACAGTGGCCTGGAACTGTGTGCAGTTTAGTTCCCGCATCATTGACTGGTAGCCCATAGAAAAGGAGGCCGATGCTGCAGCTAGAGGCAAATAATTGTCTTGATCAATTCTCTGGTCGCTCAATGGCGTAGATTAAATTACCAACTATCCCAGTAAACGCACACGCCACCAATGTGATCGTCCACTTTGTTTTGTATGAGAAGTTCATGGGATCTCGTGTGTCATTTTCCTCGAAAGTCACCTGTTACACATTATTAAGGCTGAAGGCAAAGCGAAGGGACCACTTGCAAGAAATTTATCGTCGTCCTCGACCACGTGGGTCATTGAAGATGGAGAGCTAATGATGCCATGTTTCTCTGACTCTTGTATGGTCGCCATGAGACCGGTGGTAAACGTAGGGCCGTGGGGGTTTGAGTGGGTATCTGACTGTTTTGTCCAGCTATTTTAAAAGTCTAGGATGATAGTGGATGACTAGGCAAAGTCACGAGCCCACGCTAGCGCAGAGATAGGTCATTGGCCAAAGCCTTCTCTGAATGCATAGCTAGGTTAGGCTGATAATTCCAAGCTATCCTGACCCCGAGAAAGTACGACCCTGTTTGTGAACGTTAGTGTAAATGATCATATCAGACAGACACAAGTCTAAGTTTAATTTGGCACTCATTTGAGTTCGTTTGAGGCTTTTCTTTAAGTTTCCTGAGTACTGGGCAGTGAAGATGGGTGCTCGGATGGGACTATCGGGGACTCGGACACCGGCACGTTCCTCCGAGCTATCCTGAAAGAGCAGATTCTGACTTTTTGGAAAGTTCTCGATTCGGCAATGTGGCAAATGTATGTGCCCATGATGACGCGGGCTGGGCAATGCCTAGCTCCAAGTTGTACCGGCACGCTGCCGCGCGGGCCCGCGAAGAAAGGTGGCTCTGACAGGTGACCCGTGAATGTGAAAAGCCGCTCTAAGATAGACTCTTCGGGACGTATCTGAATCCTACGTACTTGAATTACCTGTATTTTCACTATCCAGGCAAGTCATGTATTGCAGCTTAGACACAGCTCGTGGCAGGAATGCAATAACTGTCTCAGACGGGAGCTCGGTGATAGCTTTTGACTCAGATTTTCGAAATTTAAGATTGACGGATGAGCGGATGCGGGAGACCGTGATATGATCCAATTGTTTGCTGACATGATACAAGGCCAAATAGAAGAACAAATACTAAGCGTTTCATACTTACTCTCGAGTCTATCATAATATGATACTCTTTGTATGTCATGCATGTACTGTTTTATCACCGCGCAACTTACTTACTGACAGGTTTTACATTACTCAAGTGCCCGTGGTTGCCACCGACAAGCATGAATTCACCGTATTGACCTGGATCTGGCCCACCGGACTCCATGGTGGTACTATTTTTTTTTCCGCTGATTTGGAATCTCCAACGCAGATATCTCGAGTCTTGGCGCGCGTACCAATAAAGCAGTACCTTTGCCTCATGTCTCAGAACGCGCACACGATAATGATTGCAGATTATAGTCACGGCCTGTTGAATACTTTACGGTCACCTCCCGGATACTCTGGATCACGGTAGATCTGCACCCAATCATCACACCACTTATTATGATTTCATTGTCGAAACCCAGTATCTCCACGTTTGTTCCTCTGGCACTCAGGAGTCTGCGCCCGGCGATGTTATGGAAAGTTATACCCTACTGACGGCCAGGGCACTTCTTATCGCGCCAAACTTGTGCTGAGCCACAGTTCAGTTCAGCCCATCATTTGGGTGGTTACCCCTTTCTTTCGTACTAGATTGGCACTATTTGAGGTTTGTGAATTGTTGAAACTCTGCGATTATCGATGTCCGTTCATCCAACATCAACAAATCGGTATGATTATCTCTAGAAGCTAGCTCCAGTTGAGTGCAATTCTGTAGTTTTCAATCGAACGACAATCGTCCATACCCAACTTGCAATTTGCACCTGGGTCGATGATTTGTTTTGTTGCCTGCTTCCTGTTGCTTGGATAGCGACCGCCCGCTATCTCACAACTTTTATGTCATCGTTTAATGTCGCGTGACAGCTTCCATTGATTGCGGTACGGAACACGCGCAACCTAACAGAACCCTGCAGGATCTAGCTTCGTTGGAGCGTGTTTGTTTTTAGGGGATGACTTGCGCCCATTCCGCAGGAAGTCTCCGTTAATGTTGTCATTCCTGCTGACATTTTTTTCCCTCTTTCTCCGCTGCCAATAGCATGGTACGCATTTTGCTTATCATGAATAGTCATCAATTCATTCTCAAATACGCAACCTCTGCGAAATCTCCGCGACATCCCGTAAGAACAATCAAAGCCCGACTTTAATGAGCCTTTCGACAACTCCCAGTCCAGCATAACCCCGGAGACTGCCTACGCACGTTCTTATGTGCCCGATGTGTATTTGTTTCTCTCTTTGACCATTTCTCACCGAACATTGCCAGACATAACAGCTGGGATTTTTTCCAGCCAAGGCGCCACAGACAGCAGCCGAAAAGGTATATGTAGTTCCCCAATTGTATACTCATATGCACTGCAGAGACGACGGTGATGACATGGCCTGTAGCCAGAGGATGCCGCCGCTTCGGCCAGAACACCCAAGTCACTACGAGTACGACACTCCACACCGTGTACCCATGAATGACACAGATGTAGATGTGGGCAATGAGTGGGCCCCCAACATTCTACTCATGGCCTGCTCGCGGTCATCTGCGTCTCTGACTACTTTAATCTGCAGCCCTTCTCCTGATTTCTTCCGCCTTCACACATCGTCAATGCACCCTACACCATTAAAACGCATCTCCCATCCTTTGTTTTAGAATATGACACCATCCTTACACGTTACATGCGCAAAGCGCAGATCTTCCCTTTTGTCAATGTCATTGTTCATGCCCGTCATCATCTTGGTCTTCCAAGAATCAACCTCGAGCCCGACGCATGTAGATTCGGATGCAAACTACATTTCAACAACCATTTCGACTGGCGTCAATATGGTACCGCCAGTGCTCAACTCTCTTCTTACATCAACGAGTGGCATTCTGAGTTGAGTGACGACGGAACCAAGGATGGGGCGAGGCTAGTTGCTCCCGTTGCGGTTCCCCTTCTAACTTTTTACTAATCAATTGCAATTTCGATGTATGGTATCTTACCCTTGCACTAATGAAATACTAATTAAATGTGTCGTCTACTCTGATATTCCATTGTGCCTCGTTATCAATATCAGCTGTAATCGGCAACACAACTTTATCATGATTCATGACGGATTTCAATTTGAATGATGGCCTTCAAATATGGCATGAGTACGAGTTATGATGACTATACGATAGCATATGCATACATTAGCCATACGTACTACGTGGGTGTCCAACATAAGATCCAAAGGACTGTTCTTCTTTTTCGAATTCTTTTCAAGTTGTCTTTTTCTTAGACAAAAAGGGATAGCCCATGACACTTACTTGCCTCTCAGTGGTCTAGGGATTGGGACTACTCGATCAATCCATGGTGGAAAGTGTTCCCGAACACCCGCAATGACAGTCGGTCAAAAAATGAACGTAGGGCTCGTACAACTTGGCTGCGGTCAAAGTTTAGTACAGTCCCACATCAGGGCATTCGCGGATTCAGAGATGCAACCAGGGCACTGGGGTCCCTTAGACTAGATAGTACTGTCCTCCATAGAGTAAACTCTCAATAGGACACTAATTGGAATCAAAAAAAAAAAGTTTAGTACTGACGGCCGGGCCGTATAGTGCCCTGGAAGGTGGAAAACCCTGTTGCAAAATTAGTGGCGGTTTGAAAAGCGAGAGGTTCAGTTGCTATGCACACGTAGACCTTGGCAGTCGCCGCCGCTGTTTAAGTTTGAGTCAATGTTGGACGGTGTAGATGACGGTTAGCGAGGCTCAGAGCTGAGTCTAAAAGTACACTGCTCGAGAAATATTAATCTTGAAGTGATCTGGTCAGTACGGCTGCAAGTCGGAGCGTCTCAGAACCAGAACATCATCTTCGATGTGGTGATGAACAGGTAATTCAAGAGGAGCATGAACAGGACCACATCATTCGTCAGCATACCCAGTCACTACGAGCCGACAGTCCCTCACTGGGCCCACAGACGTCATAGATGTGGATACGGGCGATGAGATGCTCTGGCGTGGGCCCCGTCGTTCTACATCCGCGTAGCAATTATTTCGTCCTCATCAGTAGGCATCAATTATTATTCAACATGGATATAGTACACGGTGTTCCCGAACAATCATGTATCATCGACCGCAAGTTACTTCGCGAGATCGATCACCCAGCACCTGGCGCATGGTAATGGGGATCAGAGTATTAGGTAAAATGTTGGGATACTTACTCGTGTTCCCCCGGCGGTCAGGATTGGGTCCATTTATTTCATCGTAGATAGTATTCTCGAACGTCCGCAACGACAATTGCTCGCATAGCTTCGGCTGCGGAGAGAGCTCGCCAAGGTGAGTAATTAGAATGTGATCTCCGAATTGCACCTCTACTTGTATGATCCAGGATGTCAATGATTGGGGAAAGGATAACAGGTGAAAGACTGAAACCCATTCCGGGAGTGGTGAAGCTGAGGAGTGAATTGACCGACGAGCAGAGTGCTGGAAGAAAGATAGTGATGCCGTCGAAAAAATTGCCACACAAAGTGTATGATAAAGTACGCCTTAGAAGGTGGAAAGGGCTCCGTGCAGAACTAGTAGTCATTTGGGACGCGAGAAGCGAGGCGTTTTGACTGCAAAGTGCATTCAATGTATTGAGAATCAAAGGGATGATCGAATTGGTCGTACCGTGAGCTACATGCATCCGAGAATGTTGACCATCCCGACAGGTTTCATGATGATGTGCTTCAGCTTGGCGTGTAGAAACACGACGCCATTCATGTAGCCCTGTAGGATAGATAGTGATCGTGACATTCGACCGACCCTACCAGAAAGCCTCGAGGGGTACCGTCTGGACTGTATCCCAATTCCGAGTGGAGGCGAGATGACGCATGTTGAGAGTTGTGGAGATACTAGTTGGAGCCATGTGCAGATGCGCAGAGAGGGTTGTACTGTGGAGAAAGGGGTAATAGAGCCCAATGGGGATGTGGATGCGGACAGCCTCATGTCCTGGGCGTCTATGGAGAGAGAGAGAGAGAATTTCTATATTTATATACCGCAACAAACAAGGTAAACTGTTAAGACGCGGTGCCCTGTTAGGGCTGTACTGGGGGATGTTGTAACAGGGTAAGGGGTGTAAGTATAGTACGAATAGCCAAGCGGTCCGCGTTTGAGAAGTTTCGGTGCGCGTATAAGTTCGTCCGGTGTCCAGGCTGAGTATAATATGGTACAGTTTCTCTCCTTCCTCCTCCTTCTGTGCTCTTCTCGTCTCCTCCCTCCTTCGTCACCTCCTTTCCCGCCCTCACTCAGGCTTCTATCCCTCTCCTTTCTTCCCAGTCCCCTTCTCGTTCCAGTGCGGCCTTCTTGAATGCGCTGGATTCTTCGATAAATTTCGCTAATGCCTTTATGCCCTTTTCCGTACCCAAGATTTCGTTGAGTATGATGTTGTAGGATACCTCTCTTAAATGGATGCGCTGTCACGTAAATTGCGGGCAGTCACGTAGGATGTGTTCTCGTGTTTGACGTGGTTCTCCACATGGGCAGAGGGTGGGTTCGGTGGGGACAAATGCGGCATAGTATTCTCCAATGAATCCGTGTCCTGTGCGACATTGTATAAGACGGCCGTATACTTCTCGAGGAGTATGAGTGAAGTGTTGGCGAGGTTTGAGCGTTGGTGGGAGTCGATTTGCGATAGCGAAGCGTCCAGTCTGTGCTGCCACGTCTCTATTCCAACTCTCTGTCCATTTCTGCCGGATCCCTTCCTTGTTTCTTCGGCGCGCATTTGCATAGGTCGAGTGGGACGTGTCATTACGTCCAGTGGCTTCTTTGGCGAGCTCGTCAGCACGTTCATTGCCGATGATATGGTGGTGTCCTGGGATCCATGTGATTTGGACATGGTGGAGGGGTGACGTGGTTAGGAAATCTTCGATTGAGCGTCTGATCTGTAACGCAATGTATTGTGAGGGTCCGGGTGCAGCTGCATATGCAGCCTGCACCACAGGATTGTTATCTACGAAGAAATGTAAATGGGTCACCTGGGAGTCTTGTGCGAAACGAGTAGCTCGTGATATTGCTGGGTGTCTATGGAAACATAAGGCAGCTTAATGAAGCAAATAACGTAAAACGCACAATTCACGCACCTCTGCAGCTTAGCCCACAATGCGTCCACCCAAAACCACCCCGACCGTGACCTCTAGTAAAATGGCGCAGCCCATTCCAAGCAACACACCTCTTCGAGAGTTTAAAGATCATGAGAGCACCGTACGGGCAGTCGCAGTTTTCCCCGATAGACGACGAATGGTTACCGGCTCGTTCGACAAGACGGTTCGTCTGTGGGACTTGGAGACAGGTGTTGTGTTGAAGAAGATGGAGGGACATTGCAATACGGTGACGGCATTGGCAGTATCACAAGATGAGCAACTGGTAGCAAGCGGTGATAACAACGGAGAGTTCATCGTCTGGCACGGAGAAACTGGGGAACCTCTAACCCAACCCATCAAAGCCCACTCTCAGATCGGGTCATTGGACTTTTCTCCCGAAGGAACAGTGCTTGCCACTGGTGGACTAGACACAACGGTGAAACTGTGGAGTACGAAAACATGGGAGATCCAAGGAAATCCAATCAATTGTAGTGATTATGTCGTCTGCTTCCGGTATTCGCTGTCTGGCGAACTTCTTGCCATTGCGACATCCAGCAACATTGAAATTTATGATCCAGGCACAAGGAAATGCATCGCAAATTTCAAACTCAAGGGTCCCATATATTATTGGAACAACTCACTCAAGTGGACGCCTGATGGCACACGCCTTCTATCAGGAGGAGGTGACGAGGATCCCACCATACGGGAGTGGGATACATCAACCTGGAAAGAGGTCGGTGATGGCTGGATGGGCCATACTGGTGGAATCAATGCCATTGCCATCAACCCTGCTGGTACACTGGTCGCTTCCGCATCTGATGACAACCATGTCCGTCTCTGGCGGCTCTCAGATCGACGAACAGTTACCATCTTCCAGCACTCATTCTGGCTGAACAGCGTCACTTTCTCAACGGACGGCAAGCACATCCTCAGCGGAAGTCGTGATAACATGATCTCAGAGTGGGAAATACCCAAGAACAGTCATTTTAAGGCATGTTTCCGTCTTCGACTCTGATGTTGCAATTCGAACATGCTTCATGCAGATCCTCCCTATCAATATGACATCGTCAATCCGCAATGCATGCATTGCCGGGGACTTGTCTACCGCTGAAATGCTACTCACGCAAGAGATTGACACCGATGCCGACGACTACCACGCCTACGCACATCACTCAATTGTTATGGCGCGACAACATCAATGCAACCACGCGCTTCAGGATGCAATCAAGGTGACAGACCACCCATTACGAGCTCCCTATGAAACATTAATTGTCATCGTGACATAGTCCATTAGCATTAAGCCTTCCTTGATGGGCTATATCTCTAAAGGTATTGCCCTCTGTGAAAAAGGGCAGTTCCGTGACTCGATGCAAGTGTTCGACATGGCGTTCATGTTTGCGAACGAAGATTCAAAGATCATTTATTTCATTCTCTTGATTAAGGCACGTGACATCCTTCTTGCATACCCACCACTTCATTTCAGCTTTTAGGCCATCGCTATTTTCAACGCAGGACATCATGAAGAGGCATTTCTTCGCGTCCGAGAGCTAGCTTCCGCTTGTCCGAATAATGACACCCTTGCATGTCGTGTCATAGAAGTGAGTTTCATGTACACCACAGGTTCGTGCATTAACACCGATCTTTCTGAACTTCGAAAATCAGGCATATCTATCTCTTCAACTCGGAATCAATGCTTCGGATGGCGCACGCCACGACGACGCTGCTGGCCACTTCACTGCCGCTGTCAACTCCAGCGGTTTCTTATCTATATCAACTGTTCAAATTATACATGATGACTTGGTAATGGTATGTAGATGTGATTCATCCAAATATGTGTCTCACGCCGAACTCCATGATTTGTGCAGCTCTTTGGATGGGACCTTGAGTCCTTGTGGCTGACTTCAAGCCAGAAACTGTGCCAGGCCTTACTTTCGGCAGGTAAAGTTGCGAAAGCCCTCAAAGCACACCAATCCATGATAGACACTATTGATGAAACTACGAAGGCCGACTGCCTTGACTGGTCCAACGGCAAGTCTCGAGGTTGCAATGTGATACTGTTATAAACTCGCCCGTATTTCACTCAGCGTTCAGCTCAGAATGCTGTGCGCTATATCTTGCCGACGGTGATGCAGCCCTCGCTGCAGGCGATTACGACACAGCTATTGACTTATACTCTGTGGCAATCGACCTGAATTCTGCAAATGACGCCATCTTTGCAAACCGCAGCAAAGCAAAGTTGGGGAAAATGCTATGGGAGGATGCACTTCTCGATGCGCAAAAGGTGCGATGACATCTAATACTATTTCGTGCCCAATGTTCATTTTGGCAATTCATAGGTCATTGAAGTCAATCCTTTGTCTCACGTTGGATATCAGCTGAAGCATGCAGCGCTTCGTAGCGCACGATGCTATGACGAAGCTATTGAGGCTTTCAACATCATGTTGTCCAAGTTGGATGATGCTCCCGACGTGCAGATACGAGGTAAGCCCCGGAACAGTCGTGTGCCAGCCCAAAGACGCTTATCTCATTCTACAGAGTTGCGTGCGCAGTATGTCTCTCCCTCTGAAGTAGACGACGCTATTCGAAATGTCATCTGGATCGAACTTGAAAATGCCCCGCTTCGTCTACTTAACACCTCCACGGGTCTCTTGTGCGATCGAGCGGCACAGATAAACGCCTTCAAAATGAGTGCAGAATACAAGGAGCTATTGTCGTTCACAACGAAGCATTCAGACCTCCGAATGAACCGCATCAACGAAGTGGTGGCAAGGTACTTCCGGTGTGTTCTGCTATCACACAGGTGGGAAGAGACGGAGTTGTTGCTGCACAACATCCAAGACAAAGTTGTGTACGAGTTGAATGCTGTTGGCGGCATCGTAAAACTGCAGTCATTCTGCAGAACCGCTCGTGATGCGGGATACTTCTGGGCATGGATGGATACATGCTGCATCGACAAGAACAACAATACAGAGGTCCAAGAATCGATCAACTCCATGTTTATCTGGTACCGCCACTCGGCGCTTACCATCGTCTACCTGAGCGATGTTCCTCCTTCATCCATGTCTGGCGCACTGGCAGGGAGCGCTTGGAACAAGCGAGGATGGACCTTTCAAGAATTTGTCGCTCCTCAAGTTGTCCTCTTTTACACCAAGGATTGGACATTGTATCTTGACGACCACTCTCCCAACCACAAAGAATCCACTGCAATCATGGAGGAATTGGAGGGTGCGACGGGTATGGATCGACAGGCCCTCGTTGCCTTCCGTCCAGGGATGAGCGGCGTCCGGGAGAGACTTCGACGGGCATCATCACGCTGCACCACATTGCAGGAAGACATCGCCTACTCATTGTTCGGCATCTTCGGTGTTCATCTACCTGTTATTTATGGCGAGAAGAAACAAAACGCACTCGGGCGGCTCTTGCAGGACATCGTGGCTCGGTCAGGCGACATTACGGCCCTCGATTGGGTCGGACTATCCTCCGAGTTCAATAGTTGTCTTCCAGCCGACATTACCTCATATGCGGCTCCGCCATGCGCTCTGCCATCTTTGTCCGAAGATGAGATTCAGACAACGGTCTCTTCGCTGCGAAATACCGTGGCTGCAGGGTTGGCTTCGAAGCTTTATACCAAGCTTCAGAACATGAGCGCTCCTCGCTTCGCGAACTGCAGACTACATCTGCCTTGCATTGCATTCCGTGTCACGGAGGTCAGACGGAGGTACGATTCAGCACAGGAGACTCATCCCACGTATGGTGTCAAGGCAGACGGGCTTCGTGACCTGCTGATCACCACCGACGACAAAATGATCCAGTTCTCGCGGGGAAAGCCCACTCAACAAACATTCTTCCTTGTCCGTCCATGGGATCGTCGTCTCCTCGAGCTGCCTGACTTCGAAGAGCAGCCTACCATTGCAGATGATGTGGAGAGCTTAGGAGAGTGGTCCGAGCCCGACTCTCCTAGCAGTTCTCCTGTAGAACAAGAGCTGGTTGATTCGGAATCGAGCGAGCGAGCATCACGATTGATAGTTCGCCTTGGCCAACCTTTCTGCGCATTTTTGCTAGCGCAGCTGCGCATCGGAGAATACAAAAGGATTGCGCCGGATCATAATATCATTGCTCAAGTAAAAGACGTAGCTTCTGTTCACAGCATGATGGACGTCAGAACCCTAGAAATATTGTAGATGTATTTTTTTTTCCAAGATTAGATATCTCTCAGCAGGCGCCATTGGTATCTTGCTGATGCATATGCACACACGGATACTGTATAGTTTACTTCAAACCAAACGTTGGAGAGCAACTACATATTCCTCACGCACTAGTACTCTTTCCTACACCTTCCACCTTCAAGTTTCCCCACAACACCGCAATTACTCGACACGATCCTCACTATCACTAATTCATGTCTCCTCTTCGTGATGGCATGCACACCGATAGCCATGTCCGTGACCTCCCAAATGACTTAAATGGCGATGCTTAAAAATCATATCTTCCTTGGTGTCACAGGCAAACGGACGTGCGCGGTTGAACATGACTATTTGCGCACGATTCTGAGACCTTGACCCGCGACACTAGCAAGATTTGTACCAGTTGATCAGTCTCTCCTAGCCAGACCAATCAATGGAAGACAATTGTTATTTCGTATTCCAGTTGATAACATTCCGAGCGTGGTCCCAGACACACATATCTTGTACCAGGAGAAGCAAGGAGGAAGTTGGTTGGTTTCCTGACCGACAGGAAGTCGTTGCTACATAGTCATCCGACTCTTCAACTGGCGGATAGACATAATAAATTCTACCGCTACGCCGACAATGTTTCTATTATTTCACCGGTGGGTTTGTGCGCAGGTAATTTCATGCTGTGACACTGTTCGAGAAACGTTGAAGTATTAAGCTCTACAAGCAAGGTATCTGTTGGCACCCTAATAGCACAATAGCAGGACGCTGTTTACAATCACAGAGGATTCAGCTAGATGCGGGAGCTATAAATGGCCCCACCTTGACAAAGGTAAGCAAGCAGGTTGCAATGAATGTAAGCTGAAAGTATACTTTTTAATATGGATGCTTTCGATTTGAATGAAACCTGTTGGCTCAAAACCGCCGAGCTGGTCCATGGAGGATTGGTGCTCGTCATCCAGACCCTGGAAAACGAATAGGGAACAAAGGAGGCAGTGGATCAAATTCATTATTCATCAGGGGACCGGCCGATAACAACAACATTACCCGTGCAGAGCTTCAAATGAACTATTCCATTGACAGTGCGCTGGCTCGCGGGAATGTCACTAGTGACGAACTCGCGCTCAGGGGTGAGAGGAGCTTGGTTAGCGATGACAATAATTACGGGGAGACCAACCTTGAACTCGATCGAGAGCTGCTCAGGCTCTGCTGGTGCATCATAGAGAGACGCGGTGAGCTTCTGCGTGTCATCGGGAGGTGTTGTGTTCGAGTCCTCGAAGATTCCTGCCTCGTAGGAGATATGGGAGATGTTCTCGTCGGTTGACCATGGTTATGTGACAGTTTGTTGCACCTTTGCTTCTCCGCTGCATGTGCAGGTAGTACTTGAAACTCTAGATGTTAGGGATTGACGAGAAAGTGTGTAAGTTCAGGAAACTGGATCACCAGGAAGCTTCCAAGGGGAAATGACTTTGATATCGAGCTTGGAACAAACTCGAAGTTTGTATTTGCCTCAGATGGTCAGATGATCACTTACGCTACACAGTAAAGTCCACATGAATGTGCCTCGCAAGCCAAGCACTGCAGACTGCAAACATGAAGGGAACCCATCAATGTTCAAGTTTGAGTCGCTGTTGGACGATGTAGATGACATTAGCGAGGCTCAGAGCTGAGTCTAAGAGTACTCCTCGAGAAATATCGATATTAAAGTGATCTGTTCAGTATGGGTCTTCCATCTTGAAGATCATTGAGCCCCTTACTAGACCTCACTACCCAAGTACTCGTATGCCCGGCCACTGGAATACTCGGAGCTGCAAGCCGGCGCGTCTCAGAATCCGAAGATCATCTTTGTTGTAGTGATGAACATGTGATTCGTGAGGAGCATGTACAGCACCAAGACATTTTCCACCTCGCCATAATGCCCAAGTGACCACGAGTATGACAGTCCGCTCACTTGGCCAAGACGTCATGGATGTGGATGTGAGGGATAAGATTCTTTGGCGTGGGCCCGTAGTTTTAAGGCTACATCCGCGATGTAGAAATTTCAACTTCGTCCTCATCCGCATGTATCAACTGTCGTTCATGACGGACATAGTATACAGGGTTCGAGAACAATCATGCATCATTACCTGCATGTTACTTCGCGAGATCGATCACGCAGCACCTGGTGCATGGTAATGGGGGCCAGAGCATTAAGTAAAATGTTGTGATACTCACTTGTGCTCCCGGCGTTCCAAGGATTGGGTCCATCTATTTCATTGTAGATAGCGTTCTTGAACACCCGCAGTGATAATTGGTTAGTGTTTGAACGCAGAGCTCACCAAGGTGAGTAATTAGAATGTTTCAACTGAATTGCACCTCTACTTGTATGATCCAAGATGTCAATGATTTGAGAAGGGATAGCAAGTGAAGACTTAAACCCATTCCAGGAGTGATGAAGATGAGGAGCGAAATGAACGACGAGCAGAGTGCTGGAAGGAAGGTAGTGATGCCATCGAAAGATAACGCCACAAAGTGTAGGAGTACGCCTTGGAAGATGGAAAGGGCTCCGCGCAGAACTAATAGTCATTTGGGACGCGAGAAGCGAGGCCTGTCGAATGCAAAGTGCATTCGATGTCACACTAGGAATCGAAGGGATGATCGAATTGTTCGTACTATCTCTGACCCAGTGTTGCAAAACTTTTCGACAACACAACAACTACACAACATTAAAATAAGGCAACAACATGAGCAGGTAGGATTCAGTACATACTGTAAGGCTATGCAAGAAATATGTCAATGCTACGTTGCCAGAGAGAAGCTGGTGCGAAACAGTGTTTGAGCACAGAGTTGCAGAAATTCTCACCCGCACAGCGTCACACTATTAGTTATTGTGACTATTACCTAACCCTAGCTTATTCCGAGTCCTGACTCATTTGTCCAAGTTACAACGATCGAACACCGAAATTCCAAGTACAGGCAGCGTCGTCTTGCCATCGAGTGTACGTCGAGATACAGACGTGCGACCATTGCAAGGCGACGCTGGATGACTGCTTCACGGCCGCACAAGCGCTGATTTGGTGGTTCTCTAGGTCCTGGGTCTAGGATAGAAGGAACGACTATCTGATTCATTCGTCTGTAGACTGTAGGGGAGTCCAGCTCTACGAATATAATTTTTCATCGTCCCGCAACTCCACCTCAATCTTGCATCAGCACCAGCAGAATCTGTTGAAAATCGTCAGTTAATCCCATTTTTTTGGATAGCAGGAGAACCCACTTCTCATTATACGCCCACTCTACATTCCCCGTCGCTCCAGGTCCATACCACACTATCTGTGGCAAATGTTCATTCCGCTCAAACGACCGCCCGCCCGTCTTCTCCGCAATCTCCTTTAATCCTACTCTCAAATTCCACACCTCCACTTTCCCAATTCCGCTTTGTCTAGCCGCCTGCTTGATCTTCGCGATCAGCCCGGGGAACGTCTCTTCGCTGGCACAGAGACGCGTGACGATCAGCGTTGGTGGAGGAGGTCTCAAGTCAACGCTCCAGCTTGCGTACGTGTCTGGGTCACTCGTAGACTGTACACCCCAGAATCGTCCTGCTATGGAAAAATCTGAGGCGTATGTCGACCGTGGGATGTGGAACCCGCAGACGCCGTTTGCTGGTAGGTACGTCACGAATGCCGCCGGGTGCTCCACCTTGTATGAGCTGTCACTCATCGGTATGTTCGCCAGCTCCTTGGTGATGCGCGCAGCATCACGCTCCCAAAGCCCGTTCAGCTCCTCATGCGCCAACCATGTCCATCCCTCGTCGTCATCTTCCTCCGTGCCCACCTCCCAAATAGTCGAGATCGGCGCTCTCAACTCCCATCCACCCCCTTCATTGCCCCCAGGGCCAGCCGACCGGTAAAATTCCTCCCCAACATCGCTGTACAGCACCGAGAATAGCCCATCACCAGAGTCCGCTACCTCTTCCGGTGGTGCACCCCAGGCCTCTGGAAATTTAGGAAGATGGTTACGCGAGGCATTGACCCAATGCAGGAGGCTCATCATACGCCTTGCGTAGCCGCGCCTACGGTTTGACGGTGGAGTGAAGACATTGGCGACCCCGTAGCAAGTTGCCTCTTGCACTTTGCCTGGCTCAGAGGGGTAAACTACAAGACCTGTGCGCTTGTATCTATCCCATAGACGCGCGTCAGAAAACGGCTCGTTCCTCGAGGGTACTTATAGCTTACGTCTCACAAGCGCACATAAAATCAAGCGTCGTTGGGTCGCTCCGTGGCGCCAGTACCCTTTTTCTCTCATTAACTCCCTTCTACCAGAAAAAACGAGGTGCTCACCAAGTAATGTGCTTGCCATCCTTTGCGTGCTCCCCACATTCCATCATCGCATCTCGCGCAAGGTACTCTTCAAGACTCAAAGTACCACCCCAATACGGGAACGATCGGTGCCGTGACTCTTCAACCTGTGCGCGCGTCGCGCGGAAGAGCGAGAGCGATGCAAGGTCTATCTTTGATTCTGACATCGGAAATACTTTGCAATGTAAGGGGTGTCGATTGGTGAGTGACGAGATTGAAGATGATGGGTCGAAGGAACTCCTTATATCTCTATTATAACCTCACGTCCCACCCCACGTCAAATGCGCAAATAAATAAGACTTATCACTGTTCGAGAGTCATCACGCGTGGTCGCAGCAACCCGTGACCCCGCCCGCGCGCCGACCTCCCACCCAATTTAGTTCACGCTGTCACTTTCAGGCTTCAGTCATTTGATAATAGGATGTATTCCTATGCACTAAAAGGGTTACGAGGGGTGTCAACACAGTTGTTTGGGGGGAACCTTAAAGGATAATTAGCTTCATCCATCCGAGTCTATGGTATAGTCATGGTATTAATAAGAGCACGAAAGCCTTCCAGTGTATTTACTCTGTGAGGGATCCTCGGGCGTGTCGAGGAGCAGACAAGACTGAAGATATTAATAAGTGAGGGAGGAACGAGGAGTCGGACCGCGCGAGCCGCGTTTAGTTATCGAAGTTCGTTAGGTTCTATCGAGTCCTATTAGTGGTCCTGATCCATCGATCCTGACCGATTAACTGTAGCACAAGCCAAAGGTGATATGTATCTGGTCCATGCTACGGTTGATCCAAGAAACACGTTAGAAAGTTGTTCTTAAGTTCATCTTCCCGAAGATGGACAACAAAGGCGTAGTGTGGCATCAGCTAAAGCAGTGAAAGCTGGCCTGCGCATCCATTCAAAGACCCCTATGGTGTCAGGCAACTCTCGTCGCTATATGACTAGTCGTCCAAGTGACTTATGCCGACATGCTTTGATCGTCAGGCACTGCAAAAAGCACCAGAAAGAGACTTTATCGTGACTTCAGTGTTCTGAAGAGCGGGAACCTGCATTCAGGATATGATCGCATCGACCGAACATTAAAGCCCTCTTCGTTCTAAGTTAGTCATTCCACATGGTGCGAGGTAACAAGACGCCGACGCCCATCACCATGCACACCATACCTCCCATCACACAATACACCAGATTCCCTCCAAGATACTGTTTCTCGATGCTTATCGAGAACGCAGTGTTGGCTGTAGCTGGTCCAACAGCACGCATCACAGAAACGACCACCTGCGCAAACCCGTTTGTCGCGCCAACGGACGCTCGATTAGGTGAAGCCGCGTTGATATACATGAACGAGATGCCTGCCAAAACGCATCAGAAAAAAACCTCAATGAGAGAATGACGACAACGAACAATATGCGAAATTCGTGCAGCACAGAAAAGCTAGTTGTAGTCCCATCAAATACCATACACTCTGACTAGATCTCGCCAGTGTATTCAAGGCCGGGAAGAGAGCGACCATAGGCACGGAACTAGCCACAGATAATAGCCAAAGGTTTCTTGGACCCATGATGTCATGAAGCTTGGGAAAGGCCAATGGCTGGATTAGGCCACTTATTATCCCCTGGATTGCCAGGATGGTTCCAATGGTTGGGGGATCGAGTCCCAGACCGCCCAGGGATATGGGAGTAGCATAGAAGACGGGTTGTACGGTGCGAAATGAGATATCAACGAGGGCAATACCGGCGTAGCTCCCAGTTGCGATGAAGACACGGCGAATGAAAAGGTCTCGAATGGGGACGGGCTTATTGATCGAAGATGATGCTGGCGGGGATTCTAGAGCAGGTGAAGGAACGGCCTTGCGCTTTTTCCAAGGCAGAAGTTGATTTATGGTTGCTTGCGGAGTTGTGGTCTATAACTGATATTAAATCCAACCCGTCACACGACGAGACAACTTACCTCCTTCAAGTAAAGAAAAATGACAATCCACGACAACGCTGACACAGTGGCAGGGACTGCACACGGCAAGAAATAAGGATATGTCTTGAGAAATTCAGAACGCCCGAAGACACCAGGAAACCTATCCACAGGTCGCGCAAGTTCTCCGCCTATGAATGGTCTATGGTTGTTTCAGTACACATAGGGAATGAGATATTCACGAAACATACCCAAGTGTGGTACCGCTAGACCAGGCAAGAGGAAGGAATCCCCATGCGCGGGCGACATTAGTGGAATCCGTCATTTCAACTGTCATGCTTTTCATGACGCCAATGTTACCATTGAGTGCGCCATTGAGACAACGACTATCACAATAAGATGTAAACTCCGTCTTAGAGGGAAAAGTGCAGCAACGGGACAGACCTTAACACCAAGCCCCAGAATGTCTTGGACAATCCGAAGCAGATCATAGAGAGGGAAAGTCCGAACAGTCCGATTAGCACGACAGGTTTGCGACCAACATAATCAGAAAGACGACTCCAGTGGAAAATGGTGAGTGCTTCTGTTGCAAAGAACAGCGAGTGCTAGATCACGATACTGAGATTACTACTATGACATGTTCTCTACTTCTCCACTTACTAACAGCCCAACGTAGAACGGAACTAGGGCTTCATCTCCATGGGTGATCCCAATGTCACGAATGAGCTATGGCAGGATAAAGTCTTTGTCTATTTGAATCTTCAATGCTGAACACTGACCTGAGGCGCAAAAGGGGAGATGACATACGCGGTCATTGGCTCTGCGATCTGCAATACTAGGAGCATCGAGAACTGACGCCATGGTAAAGGTGTCTGCAGTTTTTTCGCCGGCGCATTTCCCTCCGTATGAAGCAAAGGCGTTTCTTCATCCAACTGCTGAGACCTAGGATCAGGAGACATGGTTGCAGAAATGCGGGCCACGGTGCAATGATCGATTATCTGGGAGTCACGTCTGGGAGGCAGGATTTTTATTGTGGGGATTGGTGAGCGATGTAATTGAGGCCGTTGGGTGGCCTAATAGTAATTAGTCATGATGATCTGAGGCTTCTGAGCGCTAATCGATCATCGCCGGGCTGCATCCGATTCAGCAGATCCTTGATAACTCATACTACAAGAGAACTTGCGGAGTGATGATAGCGATTCGAAGAAGGTCATGGCTTGCGACATTTGACAGAATTTTGCTTATCTCGGACGTAGAATGGATTCTACTCACGCACAGACCACCACGTCGCGTAAGTGCAGGTTCACGAAGAAGTTACAGTCGTTTCATATATACTACAGATATTATACATTATCGAGGTTGTGTCTGTCTACACGAAGAGCTTGCGTAATTCTAAACTGGCTGCATGAAGCCTGTCCAGTTTCTTCTGCAGTTCTGTACGCTTCGAGGCCACTGTGCTATGCTCCTGCACCATCAACCGACACCGCGCTTCCGCGTGCGGCCCCGTCAAGTTCAGACCATCACGCAGCGCCTGCTCCATGCCCTTCTCCAGACCAAGAATCACCTCATGGTCGATGGCCAATGGAACCATGTCAGAAAACCGCTTGTGCGCAACTACAAAGGGGCGGCGACCTGTTTCAGTTTTAGAATCTACGTCTTGGTGCAAAACATACCCTGGAAGTATGCCATAACTCCTGACATGATCACAAGGGCAGGCTCCATGGGATCCACAGGCAGAAGTTTTGGAAGATCGCCGGCCTGCGCGGAAATACCAGCCTCGTTCAATCCAGCCAAAGCCTTGTAGATGGCTTGCTGGAATGCCTCCCTACCATTCGGGGACGTAGTGACAGGTGCCTTATAGTGCTGCAGTTTTTTTGTCAGCTCTCCTGGATCTCGACAACCCTTGTAGTACGCAAGGAATTTGCCCTTGTAGTCAGAATAGTAGTGCACGTTGAGTGTCGTCGGCGCCTTTTCGAGCTCCAAGAGCCAATCGACCTTTTCCCTTGCCTTCTCCGTGGCTTTATCAAGGTGCTCATGCACTATCATTCTGCAGGAACGAGTGTGTCAGTGTACATGTGTCGAATAGTGCAGGTTGCACTTACAGCACGCTGTGGAGCGCGCCGCCCTTTCCCATCTTCCCAAAATGCTCGTGGACCAGGCCGCTCAGGTTATTCTTCAGAATATCATACACTTGGTCGAAAAGGATCTTCGACGGCGACGCCCACTTCTCAGTAAAGTCGTCGATATATGACTTTTGCACGACGAACGGGTAGTTGTCGGGTAGTTCGCGGGTACGAGATCTAAGGATCCGGTCAGCTTTGTCGCACAGGAATGAATTTCAAGTACCTCTGGGCGTGACTGAGAACATCGGTAAGGTAAATCTCCGACGACTGTGGATTCCCAGAGTTGGGCGACGTAGACGACTTGCGTGTTCCAAAAGCGCTCCCTGTCTTGGGTTCCTGTGGTTCGTCCTCCTCATTGGCCAGGAAATCAATTGGGGGCAGTTCTCCACGATCGTGACCCCTTTCGAATGGAACAAATGGTGGGGCTGTCGCTCTTATAGCACGTTTAAATTCTTGTTGATACGGTCGAATGCTCTGCAATATGCCGCCTTCATCGGGCGTCCCTTCAAGTCTTCGAGACAACTGGCGCATAAATTCGCTAACCACGTGCCAAACCTCACCAACGGCATCGCTCGATGGCGCCTTAGGAAGCTTTCTCATTTCTTCCTGGGTCTTATGCAGAATGTTGTATAATTCCTTGTGGATCTCCGGAAGCCTATTACGTGAATATCAGCATGGCAAAAAGTGGCCGCCATCGATAAGAAGTCCGACCTCTTCGCGATAAGCTCGGACAGAATTGTGCTCAGCCGCTCCGTCAGGTTGCTCGTTCGCAGGAACTTCTGGTACTGCGGCTCTACCGTCGACCAGGGCTGTGTCAAAGCAAAGAAGTCGTTTTCTTGCTTCCTTGCTTCGGCCCAGGATATCCCGGTTTTAAGCATCTGAGACCCAGGCTGCTTGACGCAGTACCAGTGGTTCACGAGCGGCTCCTGCTCGTTTCGGATGAACCTCAGCCAGTGGTTCTCCTCACCTGCAGGAATGCGGTCCGGTTTTGTGAGCACGCCTACGCCACAGTAGTTCATTAGTGCTTCGCAAGGCTTCATGAACGCACGGCGGACGCACCAACAGTCCGCTTGCCCTCGGGGTCATATTGTTTCGCCAAGTGGTGTGCGCCTTGATTCTCGAAGTCGGCTAGGAAGATACGAGATATGAAGAATAGTGACTCAAATGCGGAACTCACTTACTTTCACAGGTCACTGTCAGAAGAATGACACAACTGTCCCTCTTGATGTAAGAAGCCACCAAACCCTTGACAAGGTCAATATCTCCGTCCCTTCCGGTGCTCCCCACACTAGCTATCAATCCAGGAAGGTCCACGAATGAAAGATCAGCCACATCCTTCCCGCTTATCTCCAGAGAGACAGAGTTCTTTGAGAAGGACAACTCAGCTTCTTCGGCTGTACGGTCGTCCAGGTCGGAATCGTACAGGAACTTCTGGGCATCGATACTGGGGCTGAGAATGGCCCTCTGCGCGCGTCTGATACGATCCTCCACATCCGCTTTATCGGTGATGGGGGATCCAAAAGACACGTTGGTCACATCACAGGGCTGTCCCGATGGGCCGGTGGTGATATGGAGTTTTACGATGCACTTCCAGGGGCCTTCTGAGCGTGAAAGTTTACATTCAGTCGGACATCTTCGATAAGGTCAGAAACAGCATTTCCAAAAATAAAACGAGAACCCGTTACCTCGTGCATGTCCCAGCTGAGCGAGGGAGCGTAATCCCTGAAATAGATTCAATAAGTGACGACTTGCCCGCACTCTGCGAGCCTATGACAGCGATCATTGGCAGGTCCATGTCTGTCTGGACGCTACAATTTACAAGATATTGTCCCAATGAAACCAAAATGATTTCAAGTAGGAAAAGACTGACCCTGTCATGTGTAGACGGTTGATAAGGTCAAGCATTCGTCTCCGATGTGATGACAGGGTTGGGTCGGAGAGCCCAACACCATCTTGGTCATGATTGTCTTCGGATTCAGACGGGAAGTCAACATCGGAAGGTGGTGTCGAGGACGGCATTGCACAAAGCGACGATACGATCACGGTGAGAAAATGAATACCAGACCTCAAGAGGGTGTGTATGCACACACTGATCGATTGATGGGCTCTTTATACCGTTTTTTTTGGCACGAGCCAAAACTGCATGCTGATATCAGCATCGAAACAAAATAAGGTAAATTCTGGGGACTATCAGCAGGAACCACTCCTGTGGCACAGCTGCGGCCACTTGCGATACAGATTGAATCAGAACTTTCTATAATACGAAGAGTGGCACAGGCCTGAATTGGAAGACTGGCATATAGGTACGTCACGGGGGTGGGAACGAGGACACCCATTGCAACGAGGACAACGGATATCGACTGAACAAGGAATTGCAAATTTAGGATGGCGACTTGCATTCGAAAGAGGATATCCGGAACGAGCTCGAGGACGTGGACCTATTGATCCAACGGTTTCCGCTCAGAACGCCGCTCACCCGTCTGAGATAAGTGGCTGCTTAGAATCATGATAAGTACATCAGAGCGCAGCCTAGCACAGCCCTACACAAATCAATTATGAAAGCCAATGAAAATGACGAGACAAAGGATACTGATTCCGACCAACTTGCATTCTCGCACTCCCACGCACTTCTTGCTATGTTTTTCGAATTCCAGTAGTGGAGGCCAGACTGATCGCATTCATTTACAAGTACCGCCTTTTTACAGGAAAATAAATGCACTGACTGGTCCAGCATCTGCTTAATATCTGGCACAAACCTCTGGCACAATTCCACGGCAGTGAAGAGGGCTTTGTTTTCTGCGTAAAACGTCGTCCCTGCAAACCCATGTTATAAAAGAAACCGTCAGGATTCCAATTGTAAAGCATCAACTAATATCCACTTGTGCTGAGTCAATCGCTTCTGACTCCTCTCCTTCAATATCGGCAATGTCAATGAAACTCTGCTCAATCGCACGTGCATATGCGCCCATCTTCCACATGTCGCCTATCTTGATGTTAGCATGGTCGAATGCGAATGCGACAACAGGGTCGCCAGCTTGACGCTCAGATACAGAAGGTGGCATTTTGGGGTAGCGGGCTGAGAAATGTGTAAGGAGGATGATTTCTGCGTTCATGCTGTACATCCGCAAGGTGAGAAAAGGTTTGTGAACGTATTGCGGGGAAACGCACCGCTTGCCTATGTCGATTGCCTGCCCAAAGGTGCTGTGCATCTTGGCACGGGCCATTTCAACTTGATCGTTGGCCATGGTCGCTTCATGAATGAGTAGAGTGGCTCCAGTCCCTGCTTGCACGAGCTTCTGAGTTGGGACTGTATCACCTGAGAACCTGAGAAATGCGCTGTCAATAACGCAATACGTGAGGAACAAACGACGCCTTACACGACAGACCACCCATCCACATGCTTGACAATCAGCCCGTGACACCTCGCCCGATGCTCTACATCAACGGTATGAATTTTCTGCAATCCCAGCGCCTTGCACAACTCTCCTGCTGCAAGCCTCGATCTTCGGAGAAAGACAAAAAGAACACGTCAATGGACGAGAAGTCAGGAGCCCAAGCAGACACTCACCCCTTTTGATCTTCGTCACCGTGATTCCACCCACCCCGTCCCTTGTTTCGCCAATGAATCTCATCACTCAGGATAGGTATCACACAGGCCCGTGCATCCTTCGAGAACCCGAGCTCCTCGAGCGCGTTGTAATCTCGAAGATAGAGGAATACCATGCGATTGCTAATGAGGTAAAGTGGTTCTTCTGGGGGCGGGTCAAGCTTTTCCATATCTTAGCATCCGGAGACCATCAGGGTATCAGTAGGGACACGCACCTTCTGTCTCATAGCCAAGATCTTTGCAAGACCAATGTGGTGGTCCCCGTGGATGTGGCTTATGAAGATACACTTCAGGCCCCTCAAAACATCCCACACACCAGCACCATAGTTCCTTGCGAGTTGCCCCCACGTGCCCTCTCCTGCATCCAGGAGAATATACCCTGCTCCCGGGATATGTAGGAGCGTACCAGAAACTATACAAACAATTCAGTGGGGTTTCTGAGGTGGAAACGGGAGTGTACGAACCATTTCGGTACTTGCTAGGTACGGCACTGCCTGTTCCAAGGGTAACCACCGTGACGTCCTTACCAATGACGTCAGGCACTGTAGCCTCGTTGACACGCGCTTGTGCTTCGGAAAATTGCGTTCGCGCAGCATCAGAGAGAGTTGGGGGCTCGCCGGACAATACAGCCGGGTGAAAGAGGTCATTCGCCTCAGCTTCAGCGTCTCGCAGTGGTGGCCGTGGTGGACGAATGTCGATGATGGTATGCGCACGCATGCAGTCGGTGTTGGATGGGTGATCCGTGGCTACCACAATTGTAACGTTACGTGACATGATTAGAGGGGGTTGGACTGAACGTACTATCAAGAGCTTTCCGAGCCTCTAGAGAATACTTGGGCACGGGGAAAATGTCGCTATCCAAGTGGTTGAGCCTCAGCTGGTTGAACGCTGCGCTGGTAAATGTGATCGGATCTGGCACATGGTCTCTAGATGCAACGATATGCTGCTCTCTATCGCATCAGAATTTCCAGTTTGTTTGAACAAAAAGCACTCACATGTACATCGTCCTTGAAACCTTTCATAAACGCCTTATACTGCTCATGCTCAACTACATCATCGCCACAGAGATGAAAAACAACCCTCAGTGCATGGTCTTTCTTCTCCTGACCCTTGCCCCAATATTTCGAGAATGAACCACTCTCAAAGCCCCTGACTAGAGAAGGTATATGTGCAGTGCTGGGCGTGTCCAGGATTAATACGACCTATCATTTGTTCAGCTCACTATCTCCTAAATCGAGAGCCGAATATTAGAGCATAGTACGAAAAGGGAACTCACCCCAGGATCCTCACTGGCACCTACAACATCACCAGGTCCAACACTTCTCTCCACCCCATCACTGCCCATAACAGTTACCGTCTCTCCCCTTGCAACCCGTGCACGCAATGGTCCAGCTTTCAGACCGAGCGCATCCGCGCGCTTGACATCAAACTTTCCCCGAACTCGCGGACCAACCACCGCATATGCGAGCGCTGCACGTGGATTGCACGCGGAAAGCGAAGGTAAGGGACGGTTGAATCCTTGTGGTTGGGTGACACGCCCGTCCGTCGTGGGCAAAACAGCGGGTTTGACGGCAGACCCGGGGAACATTGTGCGTACGATGTGTCGAAGCCATTCCTGTGCCGTGTCACCGACGAGCATGGTAGGGTCGAAGTCAGAGTGAGATATAACTTCCTGTAGCGACGGTCCAGTAGGGGAAGGCGAACGCTTCCTCTTTCCCGATTTCTTATTGACGACATTGGTGTCACGATGCGACGATGTGACCGATCCCGAGGCCACTTCCGGTGACTGGGCATCAGCATAAACTGGTAATGCGAACACAGAAATATAATCGTCCTTGTAGATGGGTATATCGTCAGGCGATTCATCCAGGAGATGGGCAGTAGGTATTTCGATCGGGTTCACAGAGAGATTTTCCCTATACTGATAATGTTACGATGAACACATTGAAGATTAGAGCGTGTGTACCTAAATGTGTATTTGCGCATAGCTGCCATGAAGTGCAACAGTCCAGCCGGCCCGGCGACATTGAGACTGGTAAGCCCCGAGTCCGCAAAAGTCATCAATAAACCTGTCGAAGAGACGATCAACTGTTAATACGCTTGCTTTGATCAGAATCACGCTCACCAGGAAGGCCACTTGCTCGCTGGGTGCCTACAGAAGTCAAGAACACGCCTCTGGTCTTCTTCCAGTTCCTCCTGCTCTGGAGAAACGCGCGGGTAGAGTTCTCACCGACATTAAAGATGTACTTGGCAGAGTCAAAGGTGATGACAACAGTAGGCTCTGTATCAGAGGATACGGTGCTGAGGACTGACGCGTTCCAAGACATGGGCACTGATGATGATCGTACAAGGAATGGTGCTGAAGAAGAATAGTGAAGAGAACGAGTGATGCGGGATAGTAATATGTACAAGTTACGGCGACATGTCCAGATCGCCAGCCTGAGTAAGACCTCTAGAAGACGTTGGACTAGTTTTTATATAACAGCACGGCTTTCGTGACTCGTTAGTCTCCCCTATAGCTAGGTTTGAGCCAGTAAGTGAAAATAAAGTTTCGCTGCTTACACAATATGCGTCCACAACAATTGCCAAACACTTGCACAACGCTAAGCCAGGTCCACCACCCACGTTGGCTGAGCTAAATCTTGTTTTGGGACATTGGGTCCAATCTTGACGGGATTGGACCCTGATAAGCAGGCTGGAGCAGACTCTGCGACACCCATACTTCCCTCAAGTTGCTTGTCTAGTGACTATCATCTATGTTCTATTATGTCCTCCAGTGTCCACGTGCGCTCGGCGTAACACATCAACTATGTGATAACTGAAGAGCCTTCCAATGACCTGGAAGCTGCCGGTGCTTGCCTCGTGCTAGCCTGGCCTCTGTCTGGATGAGTATAAGACATATACACCCTGCTTGTCGCCTTGTGTCTGAACCGCCATCTCTTGTCTTCCCTGCGGAATCCTCATCACTTGGACGCTGCATTCAGGTTACTGCGATCGATACAGAGGTGAGCGAAGCTGGAAGCTCCGGAGTCCACAATCGGTTAACGTTAATCCAGGCCGTACCAGACACACAAAGAAGAGGTCGCGACACAGCCTTTCTCACCGTCAATTTTTCCCTTGTTTGTTTGCGCTTCAAGGACCTAGCCGCTTTAGCAATGCTCCCGGTTGCTCCAGAAACGCCCCCAGGTACTCCAGCAGTGCTGGCAGCTGCTGCAGGAATGTTTCCAGCTGCTGCAGCGGTGCTGGCAGCTGCTTCAGAAATGCTCCCAGCTGCTCCAGCAGTGCTCGTAGCTGCTTCAGAAATGCTCGCAGTGCTCGCAGCTGTTCCAGCGGTGCTCGCATCTTCTCCAGGAATGTTCGCAGGTGCTGCGGTACTCGCAGTCGCTTCAGCGATAATCCCAGGCGCTTCAGTAATCATTCTCCCATCGCTAGCGGTAGCCTGGTTGGTAGAAAGATCCGTGCGTCAGAACGCACAAAAGAAGGCGGCCAAGGCTGTAGGAGCTCTTCGCAGAGCAGAGCAAGCGAGGTTCACGACTGAGCATAAATGGTTAGAAGGAGTTCGCCCCGAGTGCCGCCCTTCGGAGGAGGATATTGTTCGGATGAAGGCCAAGTATCTTTATAGCCCAAACTTCCTCCACCTCGCAGTTGTCGGCTCTTCTGGAAGTGGGAAGTCATCCTTCATCAATGCCGTCCGTGGCCTGTCCAACCATGACTCCACCGCAGCTCGTACGGGCATTGTCGAAGCTACCAATGCTGTCATGAGATACCCTGATCCACGCCCAAACTCCCAAATCATTTGGTATGACGTTCCCGGAGCAGGCAGTCCAAACGTGCCTGATTGCCAGTACTTCAATGACCTGGGCCTCTACATCTTCGACTGCATTATTGTGCTCATCGATAATCGTTTCTTGGACTCCGACCTCGCCATCCTTCGCGCCTGCGAGCAGTTCAGCAACGTTGAGGCGTTCATTGTCCGCTCCAAGTCGGACCAGCACATCAACAACATGGCGTACGACAGGATGCCAAGAGATTTCGACCTTGGTGATCCCGACATGGACGACGAGACTCGTTCTCGATTTCAGCAAATGAAATCTGAAGGACGGAGGAGGTTCATTGAGGAAACGCGCCAGAATGTGCAAATGAACCTCGAGAGCAAGAACCACTCTCCTAAGAAGGTCTACATCGTTTGCAAAGACGCTCTACTTGCGGCATTGGATAACTCGCGTCCTTCAAAGGCAATTGACGAGGCAGAGCTTCTGAGTGATGTTGGAGAATGTGTGCGGAAGCGTCTGCAGTCGGGATGCTAAAAGTAGGTCATATCGTCTCGCTCAATTGTCGATCGGATCGTTTAATGCAGTTTACACCCTATAGCTAGGCCTGTACTGACAGCCCCATTGCTCGCACAAAGCTTGGATTATGCGACACGGAATCCCGATTCTTTTTTTAGTCTTTGTTGGCTAGTTTATTTTATTTTATTTTCTGGTCGAATGTAACATCCCTTCGAGACTGCACCGGCACCCCTTCACAAAGCCTGTAGTTGCGCATGGTTATAGCATTCTCGGAAAATGTTGATTCGATTTGTTACTTTACACAAACATACAACTGACTCCTCCTGGATCCTATTTACCGTCATTTTGACAATGAAGACTGGTAACGTTCATGAGGCTGATTGGGAAATTTAAGTCGAAATCCTTGATGTTCATATAGCTTTCGACCTTCAAACCTATGCGCTCCAAGCTCCCCTTCGGTAGAGTTGCGCGATGTCAAGACAAATAATCAAAAAGTGGCCCCCCAAAACCCACTACCTACAGGTAGCGGGAATAACCAATGACAATCCATCATTTGCAAGTGCGCGTTGAGACGTTAGTTATATGTACTGTCTTATGTACATACTACTAGTAATTGTTTTACTAGATTATCAGCCGTGCGCGTTTGGTGTGAGTGATGATCGATTGCATCACTCGCAGCAAACCAATGCTTCCAGCGAAGTCACACGATGACACCTACAAGTGCCTTACAGTAACTTTGTTGGCATTCATCCAAGAGGAGCATGCTCGAAGTAGGCGGTGCGAAACACCACATGTTCGACTATATTCGCCCTAGCTTCGATGCCCCTCTGGTTGTGAAAACAAAGCACGAGGTTCTGGCGTGGTTTCCAAAGACGGTTGACAACTTGAAACGAAGTTTAACGAAGTGTGCACGACGTTAGGGACTCTCAGGCATGCTCTGCGGTAGGCCCTACTAGGGTGCGGCAGTAATTCGGACTCTTGGCCCTTTCATACACACACAACGGGGGTTTCGAGTGGCCAATCGGAGGGATCGTGGGCGTAGCTCGTTTATTACACAATGTCAAGTTATGTAAGGTTGTGTTGTTCTTTTGGCAAGCGCTACTGGCTCTAGCTAACTCTTGCATAACTCCAGTGGAATAATATGCTACCATCAGCTTCTCTCAAACCCGAGGCTTGTGTTCGTGCCTGCCCTATCTACGTGCGCGGTGCACAGCTAGTGAAGTACTATGAGGCTTGCTACTTCAAAACATCGAACACAGAAAGCCGATGTAATATTCTCTCATTCAATGCTCATGAGTTCCGAGTTCCCAGCTAAGGAGGCTGGAGCAAACTTGACGATATTTGCACTTGCCTCAAGTTGCTTGTCTGGCGAGGATCGTAGATCTCTGATATATGGCTTCCTGTGCATGTTTCATTCTACCCCCACGTGCACTCGGCGTAACACATCAGAAGCTACGTGATCACTGAATAGCTTCCCAATAATCTGGAAGTTGCTGGTGTAAGGTTGGATTCGTACTGGCCTCGTGTTCGCCTGGCCTCTGTTTGGACGGGTATAAGACTCATAGTGCATCCCGCTCACCACCTTGTGTCTGAATCGTTGTCTGTTGTCTTCCCTGTGGAGTATATATCACCTGGACGTTGCATTCACATTACTGCAATCCATACCGAGGTGAGCGAAGCTGGAAGCTCCGCAGTCCACAATTAGTTGATCTTAGTCTAGGTCGTATCGGACGCGACGGAGAAGACGTTGCTACACAGCCCTTCTCATCGTCAGGTTTCCCCCCATTTTTTTGCGCTTCAAAGACCTAGTTGCTCCAGCGATGCTCCAAGCTGCTCCAGTGGTGCTTGCAGCTGCTTCAGAAATGCTCGCAGCTGCTCCAGCGATGCTTGCAGCTGCTCCAGAAATGCTTGCAACTGCAGAAATGCTCGCGGCTGCTCCGGCGGCGGCGGCAGCTGCTCAAGCGATACTCGTAGCTGTTCCAGTAATCCTTATCCCAGCAATAACGGCCGCCTGGTGGAAGGAAAGATGCGATCGTGAGAAGGCAGAAAAGGAGGCAGCCAAGGCTGCAGAAGCTTTTCGCAGAGCAAACGAAGAGAAGCTTGTGACTGAGCGTAAATGGTTAGAAGGAGTTCGCCCAGAGTGCCGCCCTTCGGAGAAGGATATGGTTCGGATGAAGGCCAAGTATCTTTATAGCCCAAACTTCCTCCACCTTGCAGTTGTCGGCTCTTCTGGAAGTGGGAAGTCATCCTTCATCAATGCCGTCCGCGGCCTATCCAACGATGACCCTACCGCCGCTCGTACGGGCATTGTCGAAACTACTAATGCCGTCACGAGATACCCTGATCCACGCCCAAACTCCCGAATCATTTGGTATGACGTTCCCGGAGCAGGCACTCCAAACGTGCCTGACTGGCAGTACTTCAATGACCTGGGCCTCTACATCTTCGACTGCATTATTGTGCTCATTGACAATCGTTTCTTGGACTCCGACCTCGCCATCCTTCGCGCCTGCAGGCAGTTCACCAACGTTGAGGCGTTCATTGTCCGCTCCAAGTCGGACCAGCACATCAACAACATGGCGTACGACAGGATGCCAAGAGGTTTCGACCTTGGTGATCCTGATCTGGACAACGAGACCCGTTCTCGATTTCAGCAAATGAAATCTGAAGGACGGAGGAGGTTCATCGAGGAAACGCGTCAGAGTGTACAACTGAACCTCGAGAGCAACAACCTCTCTCCTAAGACAGTCCACATCGTTTGCAAGGATGCCTTGCTTGCGGCATTTGGCAATACGCCCTCCCCAAAGGCAATTGACGAGGCAGAACTTCTGAATTATGTTGGAGAATGTGTGGTTAGGCGTCTGCAGCTGGGGCATGAAAAGTAGGTCATATTGTCTTGCTCAATTGTCGATTGGATCGTTAATGCAGCTTCCACCCTATAGCTAGGCCTGCACTGACAGCCCCATTGCTCGCACGAAGCTCAGATTATGCAACATAAACCCCGATGTTTTCTTTTGTTGGCTGGTTTATTATTTATTTTCTCGTCAGATGTGACATCCCTTCGAGACCGCCCCCTTCCCCTGTAGTTGCACGTGGTATTGCATTCTCGGAAAATGTCGATTCGTTTTGTTACTTAAAACTCCTAGTTGCATCATTTTGACAATGAAGTCTGGAACAATCATCAGGAAGTATGGGGTCGCAGGGTGTCAATCAAAGGGCCAGCCATAATCGTGGGCTCTGACACGAGCGGACGTTGATGACGGACGGTCAGATCCTGTCAGTGCTGAGTGAGATTGCATAGCAAGACGACGAAAAATGGTTGACTTACGCCAGAAGCCCTACTAGGCTGCCCATACGAACGGGATGAATTTGATCAGTATGGGCATGCTGCGGGCCCCGAGACGCACGTGGACATGTAATGAACTTTGCGATTTTGTTTGAACTAGCCCACACCCGTTGTGCCTTCGGCACATGTCTACATATTACATTTACAAAATACTATATACTTTTATTTTAGTTCTGAGGACAGAGGACACGGGAGAATTTTTTGGGAAGGGCAAGACTGAAGTTTACCTGGGACACTGGCTTGCAATCCCGTGGCCTCGTACCTCGGCCAGCGGGATGCAAGCCAGTGTCCCAGGTAAACTTCAGTCTTGCCCTTCCCAAAAAATTCTCCCGTGTCTCTGTCCTATTTTCTGCTTTCCTATCTCCCGTTCTCCTGTTCTCCTGTTCTCCTGTTCTCCTGTTCTCCCATCCTCCCGTCCTCCTCCTCCCATCTCCCCATTCACCCCATTTCTCCATTCTCCACCTTCCCATTCCCATGTTTACCCATTGCCCATTTTTCCTATCTTTATATTTTCACATTTTTATGTATACAGAATTACAGTACATATATACATCATTGTTGTTTTCACATTTTTCTATTTGCTTAGTGTTCCTCCCCTTGTTGTGGCTTAACCAATTTTGGACAGTGAGGTCGTATAGTAAGGGAGAACGGTTTTTTGAAATTGAAACTCCGATTGACAGAACCACGCGAAATTTCTAAATCGAGGTTTTAGCGAGGTAAGCGCAAACCATGTGGCCTTTGGCGAAATAAGCGGCGTTGGCGAGATACGCGTCTCCCACACACAGCCACAAAACCAGTCTCCCTTTCTTCTTAGACTAGCCCACACCCGTTGTGCCTTCGGCACATGTCTACATATTACATTTACAAAATACTATATACTTTTATTTTAATTCTGAGGACAGAGACACGGGAGAATTTTTTGGGAAGGGCAAGAGTCAACAGCAAGACACAAACAGTGAGACTGAAGTTTACCTGGGACACTGGCTTGCAATCCCGTGGCCTCGTACCTCGGCCAGCGGGATGCAAGCCAGTGTCCCAGGTAAACTTCAGTCTCACTGTTTGTGTCTTGCTGTTGACTCTTGCCCTTCCCAAAAAATTCTCCCGTGTCTCTGTCCTATTTTCTGCTTTCCTATCTCCCGTTCTCCCGTTCTCCTGTTCTCCCATTCTCCCATCCTCCCGTCCTCCTCCCATTTCTCCATTCTCCACCTTCCCATTCCCATGTTTACCCATTGCCCATTTTTCCTATCTTTATATTTTCGCATTTTTATGTATACAGAATTACAGTACATATATACATCATTGTTGTTTTCACATTTTTCTATTTGCTTGGTGTTCCTCCCCTTGTTGTGGCTTAACCAATTTTGGACAGTAAGGGAGAACGGTTTTTTTGAAATTGAAACTCCGATTGACAGAACCACGCGAAATTTCTAAATCGAGGTTTTAGCGAGGTAAGCGCAAACCATGTGGCCTTTGGCGAAATAAGTGGCGTTGGCGAGATACGCGTCTCCCACACACAGCCACAAAACCAGTCTCCCTTTCTTCTTAGACGAGTCCAAGCCCGTTGTGCCTTCGGCACAGGAAGCAAGCAGAGCATTTCATGCTCTGCTGGAGGCACCAAAGGTGCCTTGCCTCACTGTGTCTACATATTATTTAATTTTGTGAAATAAATAAATTCTTACATCTTACATTTAAAAAATATTATATAGTTTTGTTTTAGCTATGGGATGTTGCACAAAGAGTTTGACTGAAGGTTACCTGGGACACAGGCTTGCAATCCCGTGGCCTCGTGCCTCGGCCAGCGGGATGCAAGCCAGTGTCCCAGGTAACCTTCAGTCAAACTCTTTGTGTCATGCTATTGACTCATACACTTCCTCCCAATTATCTGATTTCCTATCTCCCATGTCCTGTGTCCCATGTCCCATGGTTCTGTGTCCCACTGTCCCACTGTCCTGTTGTCCTGTTGTCCTGTTGTTTGTCCTGTTGTCCCGTGTCCCGTTGTCCTGTTGTCCTGTTGTCCCATGTCCTGTTGTCCCGTGTCCCACTGTCCCATTGTCCCATGTCCCATGTCCCATGTCCCATGTCCCATTGTCCCGTGTCCTGTGTCCCGTGTCCCGTGTCCCGTGTCCCATGTCCCGTGTCCCGTGTCCCATGTCCCGTGTCCCGTGTCCCATGTCCCATGTCCCATTGTCTGTCCTCCTGTCTTCCATCCTCCCATTGTCCTCCCATTGTCCTCCCATCCTCTTGTCCTCTCATCCTCCTATTGTGTCCTCTTGTCCTCCTCTTGTCCTCCCATCCTCCCATTGTTCTCCCATCCTTCTGTTGTCCTCCTATTTTCCTCCCATCCTCCCATCCTCCCTATTCACCCTATTTTTCCATTCTCCATCTTCCCATTCCCCTGTTTACCCATTGCCAATTTTTCCCATCTTTATATTTTCGCAATTTTGCATTTTCACATTTTTGCATTTTGCATTTTGCATTTTTCACATTTTTCTACTTGCTTGGTGTTCTCTTTTCTCTTTTCCCCACAAAAATCCCAAAATCCCTTGTTGTCCTTCAATTTTTACTATTTATTATGTATTCAGTTACAGTACATATAAAATTCATTGTTGTTGTGCAAAATGGAGGCCCAGTGAGCACTTGCCAATCCCATTGTGGCTCAATTTTTACAAATTCCCACGTTTGGACAGTGAGCTCGTATAGTAAGGGACAACGGTTTTTGCAAATTCAAACTCCGCTTGACAGAACCACATGGGATCCTCTTTTCAGCGACCTTACCGACGCAACCGACGCAGCCGACACCATGTGCGCTACGCGGAAATGCCCAAATCCTCCCACATTCCCCCCATACCCTTCTCCCTTACTTTATAGACGAGTCCAAGCCCGTTGTGCCTTCGGCACAGGAAGCAAGCAGAGTGCTTTGCACTCTGCTGGAGGCACCAAAGGTGCCTTGCCTCAATGTATCTACATATTATTTAATTATAACAAATCAAGAATTTCTTCCATCTTACATTATATAGTTTTGTTTTAGTTATTATGAGATGTTGCACAAAGAGTTTGACTGAAGGTTACCTGGGACACAGGCTTGCGATCCCATGGCCTCGTGCCTCGGCCAGCGGGATGCAAGCCAGTGTCCCAGGTAACCTTCAGTCAAACTCTTTGTGTCATGCTATTGACTCATACACTTCCTCCCAATTATCTTGTCCCGTGTCCCGTGTCCCGTGTCCCGTGTCCCGTGTCCCATGTCCCATGTCCCATCTCCCGTCTCCCGTGTCCCATCTCCCGTCTCCCGTCTCCTGTCTCCTGTCTCCTGTCTCCCGTGTCCCATCTCCCGTCTCCCGTGTCCCGTCTCCCGTCTCCCGTCTCCCATCTCCCATCTCTCATTTCCCATCCTCCCATCCTCCCACCACTCCAATAATGTCACATCACCCATTTCATACATCACTCCCATCCAATCAGAAATCAAATCATATTATAGGAACAACTCTAACACAAAAAACTATTCAGAAGGCTCCCAGCCAGGTGGAGGGCCCTCCCTGCGTAGCTCATCCAAATGCCGACGCTCCTCCTGACTTTTTCCCTTCTTTTGCTCAAAGAGGTGCTTTCGCCAAGCATCCACCACCCTGCGATGCTTTCGATGCTTACGTGCCTCCTCCAACTGAGAGCAGAAGGTATCCACATCCCTATCATCATTCTTGAGGTCTTGCTCATGTTGCTCTTCCCACCACATGATGTCCTTTGCCAACTTCACGTTATATCGTCGGAGGTCATGGATTGTCTGATCCATAGCATTGTGATTCTCTTGCCAAGTGGTGACCTTAGCATACGGGTTGTTGAGTCGTCTCCGTTCAAGACGCGTGATGTGACTCTTGGACCAGCGGTGACAGAGTTCAGCAGACCAGTCAGTCACAGCAGGTGCCGACAACTCAGAAGGAGGGGGTACTGAAGGAGTTGTGGAGGTGGGAGGTGGGGCCAGCATGTTGACAGGCTGGCGATGACGTTGCTGCAGGCGGGCAGCAAAACTTGCATCAAAGCCCTGCAGAAGCCTGGCATTCCAGTCGACAGTAGGTCTGGGCTCCTGCCTTGTAGCTACCATAAATACACAATCAGACAAAGAGAGAGAGAGAAAAACTCACCTCGTGACATGACCCAGCATGACCGGAGTGTCACGTGATAATGCGCCCGAGCCAGCATCAGGTGCTGAGGAAGCACTGGGAATAGCTGCTGTAAATTGTGTGATCAGACAAAAACAGACACCGAAAAACTCACATGGTGATGTGACCTGGTGTGACAGGGAGCTCCGCGTCACGTGACACGGCCAAAAACGCGTCCGAGCCAGTATCAGGTGCTGGGGAAGTGCAGGAAATGGCCATGGTGAAGTGTTGAGGGCACTGAGAGGCAGCAGGATTTGATAGCTGATGGTGAGAGGTGATGGCAGGTGATCAGAAGCGACGGCAGGTGATTGGGAGCTGCTGGAATGGTAGAGCAGTGTTGTGTTGTGTCGCGTCGCGTCTGGTGCAGTCGGTGCTGAAAAAAAAAACCACGTGAGGTTGCCAAATCAAGCGAAATGTACATATGACCCAATTCGGACGGTATAGTAACGGACGACGGTTTTCGGAAATTGAAACTCCGCTTGACAGAACCACATGGCATCGCTCTTTTCAGCGACCTTAGCGAAAAAACATGGCGTCCATGCGACGAAACGTGGCATCCATGTGTGGGTGGCTGCGTTCCCACACCCTTCTCCCTTGCTTTTTAGAGACGTTCCCACACCCTTCTCCCTTACTTTATAGATTTATAGATCTTGCACCATTACATATCATCTCGATTTACATAATTTGTTAGCTATAGATTTCTATCTACCTCTTTTTCTACTTCGACCTATTTCGCTACATATCTACCTGTTGTTCACTGGGACTAAGTGTTCACAGGTTGGTGCATTGGGAATTCCTACTTGCCTGCAGCTGGCGACCATCGTAGATCTCTGATGTATGGCTTCCTGTCGGCTGGTTCTATTCCCCCTTCACGTGCGCTAGTAGCTTTCCAATAACCTGGAAGCTGCCGGTGTCAGGTTGGATCATACTGGCCTCGTGTTTGCCTGACCTCTGTCTGGACGAGTATAGTACATCCTACTTACCTTGTGTCTGAATCGTTGTTTCTTTTCTTCACTGCGGAGTTTCCATCACCTGGACGCTGCATTCGCATTACTGCAATACATACAGAGGTGAGCGAAGCTAGAAGTTCCGCAGTCCACAATCTCTTATAGTCTATGTCACGTTGCGAAACAGCCCTTCTCACCATCAAGTTCTCCTCCGTTCGTTTGCACTTCATAGATCTAGCTGGTTCAGCAATGCTCCCGGCTTCAGAAATCATCCTAGCTACATTCGCTCTCACACTCCTAGGAGTCTTGTGGAGGACACAAGAAGACGATGTAAATGGAACAACAGAAAGAATGGGAAGGGAGGAAGTCGATGCGGCGAGGCGCGGGGCGAACGAGGCGGAGGACATAGCTAGAAAGACCCAGAATCGGGTCGATCTATCATGGGCACAGGTCAAAGAAGCGGAAAGAGTCGGGCGTGCTGCGGAGGGAGCGGCAGAAAATGCGCAGAGGTGTCAGGAAGAACACGAACGGGGAACAGGCACGGCTGCAGCAGCTCTTCGCAGAGCAGAGGAAGAGAAGCTCGCGATCGAGTGTGACTGGTTTGAAGGAGTTCGCCCCGAGTGCCGCCCTTCGGAGGAGGACATCGTTCGGATGAAGGCCAAGTATGGTTATAACCCAAACTTCCTCCACCTCGCAGTTGTCGGCTCTTCTGGAGGTGGGAAGTCATCCTTCATCAATGCCGTCCGCGGCCTATCCAACGATGACCCCACTGCCGCTCGTACGGGCATTGTCGAAACTACTAATGCCGTCACGAGATACCCTGATCCACGCCCAAACTCCCGAATCATTTGGTATGACGTTCCCGGAGCAGGCACTCTAAACGTTCCTGAATGGCAATACTTCAATGACCTGGGCCTCTACATTTTTGACTGCATCATCGTGCTCATGGACAATCGTTTCCTGGACTCTGACCTCGCCATCCTTCGCGCCTGCGAGCAGTTCAGCGACGTTGAGGGGTTCATTGTTCGCTCCAAGTCGGATCAACACATCAACAACATGGCGTACAACAGGATGCCAAGAGGTTTCGACCTTAGTGATCCTGACATGAACAACGAGACTCGTTCCCAATTTCAGCAAATGAAATCCGAAGGACGGAGGAGGTTCATCGAGGAAACGCGCCAGAATGTGCAAATAAACATCAAGAGCAACAACCTCTCTCCTAAGAAAGTCCACATCGTTTGCAAGGACGCCCTACTTGCGGTAGGGAGTAACTTGCGCTCCTCGAAGGCAATTGACGAGGCAGAGCTTCTGAATGATATTAGAGAATGTGTGCATAGGCGTCTGCAGTCGAAATATTAAAAGTAGGTCAGAATCGTCAGATCGCCCGGCTCAATTCTCGATCGGGTCGCTTATTGCAGTTCCTACCCTATAGCTAGGCCTTTACTGGCAGCCCCCTTGCTTGCACAAAGCTTGGATTGTGCCACATGTAATCCCGATTTTTCGGCTTTTATTGGCTGGTTTATTTTATCGTCCGATGTAACATCCCTCCCCTCCCCAAAGTCTGTAGCCTCACATGATATTGCATTCTCGGAACCTGTCGATTCGTTTTGTTGCTTTAAACACAGTCAACTCCTACTTACAACATTTTGACAATGAAAGCTGGGAACGATCATGAGGCTGATTGGCAAATCGAAGTCAAAATCCTTGATGTTCATGTCAACCGTCAAGCTCACGATGCTCCAAACCCCCCTTCAATAAAGTTGCGCGATATGACTGTCAAGGTGCACGACACAACGTACTGAATATAACCACCAATTACAACTGCAGTTTAATACGATACTGCTTGTGACGACCTCCCCATGGCCACTGCCCAGTGACTCATTATAATTCACGTTCTAGCTCGATGTACTTGCCAGTACCTTCTTTTCAACGGTGCCCGTGAACCAGCGCTGCTGTAGATTCAAGTCCTGTGAGGATCGCCGATGGACTCTGTGTTTTCCTACATAGCAGCGTTTGGCAATAAATGGTCGACCGACAAATATTGGACAAAGCAGAGTTTCAGCACAGACCATCCATTCCAACACATCCACGTTGCAGCGAACCCATCCTTCTTCGTCCAGCACACTCACCTTCACTGCTTTTCTTACTTCAATCATTGTCTATCTTGAACATATCTACGAAAAGGTTGATGTCAGCGTGTGGTAGTTTGCACCTCAAAAGAGAGGACTCTGCTGCTAGAGGATTTATGGATGTCTGCCTGGTTCGGGCACATTGAGCAGCGTGAGGGTGTGTTCGTCAGTGTGTCTCAGCGTTTTATGACGGCCTTCGCAGAGTTCAGATCTAGATTCTACTGTATTTCCTCAAACGCTCTCTTCCTGGACCGTGAAACCTGTTATTGCCTGTTGGAAGTGCCACAGAAGGTCTTGTACCCACACTTGGCGGGTAGCTGGGTGAGGCCGGTGGGCACTGTCAGGCCAGTGCATTGACATTGGTGAATTTGGTGATTTAACACCTTCTCAAAGGAGAGCTCCACTCCACCGGAGCACGTGGAGAAGTACTTCATCGACTGATATTGAGGATTCCCCGGGCGGAAGGCGAGTGCTCTATAAGGAGAAGCGCGTGGACAAAACTAAATTTGTGTGCTTCACCACTGGCAGTGGATCAAATACTTTCTGCTTCAAGCATCCCAGATGTGATGATGGTGTGATGTCTTCCACCGTGCGCAATCCATCTGTTATCTGGCCATACGGCGACCGATACTTGGCACCCCAAACTGGTGTCCCTCAAATAGCCCTCTTACCTTGATGCTCCTTTTAGGCTGCACGTCCAAAATTCACAAGGTGTCTTCCAATTACACATGAACCAGCGTCTACCCGTTGACAGTCTGTAAAAAACGTGGATGCCCACGCTGACTCCGTGTGCCCTTGTGTCATTGACACTAACGCTGGTTACCCTCGCGTTGTCTGCGCAGGTGTCGCACGCGCGCTCTCTCTCTCTGTACGATACCCTTTTTGCTACATCAAGCACCCTGACATATCGCATTGTCCTAGATAGAGACAGTGATAAAATGCCAGTGGCATTTCGAGTTGAAGAGGAGTGTACATTTTGAATACCGTTGCATCCAATGCATGTAGGCACTTATTCAGGCTTCTTGTTGGCTCTGTACCACTGCTACAACGTGTGTCATTTCGCCTCTTCCATAATCACTGCATTTCTTCATAAACGCCCATCACATACCAGTGACCCGTTCATTCTGTACACAGTGAACCCGCGGCAATGAACATGCGTCTGGTACTTTTATGCGCAATCTACCACAGTTAATTGCACAATCAGATCAGGATCCTACGCTGCTCAACAAATCTTCCACCATCCTTTGTAACGCACCTTGTCTCGCCACAAGATCTAGAAGGCCTAGAACAATCGCTGGGCGCTATCGTCTTCACAGTAAGAAGCAGAAGCCTCACAGCAGTGAGTCCAGCATGTCTGCATTATTACCCGTGCGACTGCCTTCTGGCTTAACTGACGTGGGCTTGATATCCTAGAATATAACCAAGTTGATCGCCATGTTTCACAGTAGGCCGCCTTTTAATTTCGAGTCAGACCGCATTGTACGAAATCGCTCTTCTGACATGCTTCTGCCATGCCCCGAAAGAACTCTAGTCAATGCCGTGGTAAGGTATGTTGGCTTCATGGGTGGTTACGTGTCCAGGCCGGCGCTAGTGAGTGGGTATATGACATGCGCCAACAGGTAGAGACCCACACTATTTTTCCCCAAGCATGTCATCCAGCGACGCATCAAGCCAGGTGGTAGAGACACTTTCACTGCCAGCACCAATGTAAAAGTTTTTCTCATTTTTCCCATCTTCCGAGTATTCAAAATGTGTTCTGCTAATAGATATCGCCATGCAGCACCCTCCGGGCCATGGCCTTGGGTAGATTTTGATATCGACTTCTCATCCCATGAGTCAAATGCCTTGTTATCCCATAACGGCGCAAGTCGCGATAGTGACTGGAGCGGTTATCCACAAACACTTTTCGGCAACTGGACTCCAACTCCAGTGGAACGAAGCAAGATGTTGACAAAGTGTGCGCGTAAGGGACCTTGTCTCGTATATGGCATTGACGTAATGGACGACGTGAAATTCAACATACTGCCCAAGCAACAGCTGGATTGTGTTAGTCCAACACCGCAAGAGGAGGAAAGGAGATTCTGGTCGACATTAGATGAAAATGAAAGTATTGTTTCTATGTTGGTTTGTCAATGTGTCATCATGGCAAGATCAGGTGGCTAGTAACGTCCGTGTTCGAGCATTGTTCGTGGATAACTTGACTGTACCCGTTTTGAAGATGCTGGGGACGAAGTTCGTGCTCTAACTTGATTGTTTTCCAAGTATGAATGGCAATTCCCTTTAGGTATAACATCGAGCCATTCTTCTTCTCATCCTCCGCAAACTGGATTCCTTCGCGATACTAGGAAGGGGTTCAACATGGACGGGGAGATCGTATGTCTGATTACTGCATTTCGTTCTGGATGTTGCTAATCCCTTGTTCTGAGTAGATATTACAGTCACTCTTCCTTTCGTTTGGACCACGAAGAAGACAGGTCAGATGAATTTGCTATCTTCCAGCTCATTAGGTACAATTTCGTCTTTTTTCGATGATAGATCGCTTCTCATCACAGCGCATACAGAAAGAAAGAGCACTATAGATGTTCTGGCACCACTTCATTTACATGGTAATTCGTAATTGCTTTTGCGGCAATCTGTGTCTGAACCCTTTTATAGATAAAAATGTTCTTCTCATTGACCTCCTGGCCGTTCATATGATCCGCGAGACGGATTCATCCACGATCATCACTTATCATCCCTTACTACCTGGTCGCACTACCGCCAAGCATTTACATCGTGTTATGCACCGCACGGGCGACAGTGTGTACTGGAAAAAAATATTCGACACATCGAGAGATCCGACTTTTTTCTTTCTGGCAATCTTGTGGTACACGCTGTACGCGTGGGATGAAGCATTCGAAGTGCTGCATGGAGACATCGGGGATTTGGTATGTATGCAATCTACTTATATGATTCGTGGCAAAGGCTCACTATGCTCAGGAGGCAACCTTGAACGGCATGGACTTTACATATACGGACGACTTCAACCATAAGCTACACAGCCTTCAGGTGCACCTGCTCCACTATGAAAGCCTCCTCTATGATTTCGAGAAATCGGTCGCATTTGTCAATGACACTCCTAACCCTGCAATGAAATACAGGTATGAGGAAGATAGAAAGACTACAGAGGCGTTAATGGATCGAGAATGCAAGAACCTTCTTTCCGAGATTGGGAAGCTGCAAAAGAAATGTCCAATATTTCTCAGTTGATTGAAGAATGCCACAGACCTGTTATTCGCGACTGTCAATATCCATGACAGTCGTCAAACACAGAAGGTGTGCTGGCAGTCACATATGAGCGACAGTGCTCATACCTTCCGCAGATATCATACCTTACCATGGTCTTCTTGCCTGCCAGTTTTACCGCTGTACGTGTTTGGATATACGACATGAATAGAAGCGCTCACTGATGAAACAGTCGGTCTTTGGAATGAACATGGCCGAAATCAACCCTGGCTCCCTAGAAACGATCGCGGCCTATGTCAAGACTACTTTGTTGCTGACTTTTGCCACGATGTGGGTCATTATTGCTTTGCAACCATACAGTTCGATCCACAAGTCTGGAGGCGGTGCCTGGCAGAGGGCTGCTTGGCCCGCATTTTTTCTCTACCGTAAACTTCTGGAGATGGAGTACTTTAGACAGAACTCGACCTTGGGTTGGAGAGGAGGCAAGACACAGCATGAGGAAGATAAGATAAGTTGATGGTTCAGCCTTCAGTGTAGCGAGTGTCTGCGGATGATTACGCGAGGAGCACCAGTTGCCCATCACGATCCGATTGTCATAGTAAGGATAATATATTGTATGACCTATGTACGCCAGGATCACTCATATGCACCTACATACCCCTTTGTTTTACAGGCCATCAGTACTTAGTAATTCCGCTTGTAGCAACAAGTACGTAGATCCCTCCTTTTGATTCAACTTTTGTTGAGACATTGAAAGTAGGAGGGGAAAGGGAGAGATTAAAAGATGTAAGAAAGCAATTATGGCAGCGGCGAGAAGAACGACCATGAACGAGCGGTAGAGGAGAGATGGTGTATGTACATGAGAACGAGAGAAGGCGGAAGATGATTGCTCTAGATACCAATTGCAAAGATTATGAAATCGACAACGAATTAAATAACGAAGGACAGCACCGACTACGTATACATCTTTCAGCTATTGTCGGCAGCGTTTTGCGAGGATTCACCGCCACTGCTGCACAGCTGCAGTTCATGTAATATCATGTTAGTCACCGAATCTCTGCCTAGCTCTCATACGTGGATCTCCAGCTTCTGAATCTGCCTGCATATAGTGGCAAGTGATAACTTAGATATTCTCCAAACAACTTTACCTTTTGGTGCACATTCGCAGCTGGCCAGCTTGAGTAAGTAACTCAACACCAGCAAAACCTGCTTCGGATCAGTCTCAGCGCAGAGAAACGATAGAACACATAAGTACTTCTCATTGAAAGCCCACTCCACATCTTTTGTCTCACCTCACCAATACCATTTAATCAATGGCCATCCACGCGTCCAGACGTACTTCTTGCCGTCACTGTTTCCCTCCCCCTCCGCAAGCCCATCCAAGTTCCTTGGTAAGTTCCACACCTCCACCTTTGCCAGTCCTGCGCTCCGAGCTACTTCTTTCATCTTTTCCAACAGCTCTGGGAACGTCTCTCTTGTCGCAGCTACCCGTGTCACGATCAGCGTCAGAGCAAACTGCATGTCTGCAGCCCATGTCGCATACGTTTCCGGCTTCTCATTACCCTTAATAATCTTTCTTATTCCCCACACCTTTAACGGGACTGCATGCTCAGATATGAGCAGCGAGCGCACCACATGGAATGAACCAATGCCTTCATTCGGAAGCGCCGATACAACTGCTGTCAGACTCAAAGTCTTGTACGAGGGATCAGACCCCGGTGCGCCCTCCAAGCTGACCTTCATGAGAATCCCATCTTCCCTCCACATCTCATCTAAATCTCCCTCTTCTACCCACTTCCATCTGGGCGCCTCCTCAACTCTCCCCGCAATTTCTTTCCCTGTCTCTATCCGACCTGGCACTCCCCACGCCCAAGACCACGGTGCTCGTACCTCCCACCCACCGCCCTTACCCTGTGCCTGTGGTCCTGCATCTCTGTAGAAATCCTCTCCCACCGCACTGTACAATACTGAAAATGCAGCTTTACCCGCACCATTCATCTTGGGTGGCGGGGCACCCCATTCCGTTGGAAACTCGAGAAACTCGTCACATGATGAGAGAACCCAGTGCAACAGGCGCATCATGTGCTGCCCGTATCCTTTCCTCCACTTCGATGCGGGTGTGTAAACGCAGGCAATCCCATAGCACGGTGCTTCATGAGCCCCTTCAGTGAATTCACCTGTCTCAGACGGGCAGCCGGGCGTGACAATGTACCAATAGAGACGGGCCACCTGGTGCCGGCCCATGGCAATAATTGTACTGTGTTAGACGAGTGGGCCAAGGGGGTGGAGTGTCCAAGGCAAACGGATGGGCCGGGTGTATATAGTATAGATGGTAGTATAGCAATGTACTATATAGGAAATTATGAATAGTAGTAGTGAATCCAGTGTGTGATAGATGAGTGGGCCGGAGGAATGGAGTGCAATATAGATGAGTGGGCCGGGGAACTGGGGTGTGATGGAGACGAGTGGGCCGGTAAATGAGGTGCAATGGAGACGAGTGGGCCGGTACATAAGGTGCAATGAAGACGAGGGGGCCGGAGAATAGGGTGCAATTGAGACGAGTGGGCCGGTATAGCAGGTGCAATGGAGACGGGTGGGCCGGTATAGCAGGTGCAATGGAGATGGGTGGGCCGGTAAATATGGTGCAATTAAGACGAGTGGGCCGGTATAGCAGGTGCAATGGAGACGGGTGGGCCGGTATAGCAGGTGCAATGGAGACGGGTGGGCCAGTAAAGGAGGTGCAATGAGGACGAGTCAGCCGGTGTTATTGGGTGCAATGAAGACAAGTCGGCCGGTGATATGGGGTGCAATGAAGACGAGCTGGCCGGTGATATGGGGTGCAATGAAGACGAGTGGGCTGGTGATATGGGGTGCAATGAAGACGGGTGGGCCGGCATTATAGGGCGCAATGGAGATGGGTGGGCCGGTGATATAGGGTGCAATGAAGACGAGTGGGCCGGTGATATGGGGTGCAATGAAGACAGGTGGGCCGGCATGATAGGGTGCAATGGAGACGGGTGGGCCGGTATTATGGGGTGCAACAACGACCGGTATTTATGTAACCGGTTGCTTGTGGTAACATAGCACTCAATCCGGCGATTCCACCGGTGGTCTGATCATGTAAAATGGTTAAGATTTGACAAAGTTATGAGCCCTACAAGGGAAAGCCATAAATTTAGAGGATATTATGATATATTGTATCTAGACCATTGCAACTGGTATTTTTTGACCGGTATTTACATGACCGGTTGCTTGTGGTAACATAGCACTCAATCCGGTGATTCCACCGGTGGTCTGACCATGTAACATAGTTAAGATTTGACAAAGTTAGGAGCCTTACAAGAGAAAGTCACAAAGTCAGAGGATATATCATATCTAGACCATTGTGACCGGGATTTTTCAACCGGTAGTTATGTGACCAGTTGCTTGTGGTGACATAGCACTCAGTCCGGTGATTCCACCGGTGGCCTGACCATGTAAAATGGTTAAGATTTGACAAAGTTATGAGTCTTACAACAAGAGAAAGTGACAATTTCAGAGGATATATCATGTCTAGACCATTGTGTCCGGTATTTATGTGACCGGTTGTTTATAGTAAAACATAGCACTCAATCTGGTGATTCCACTGGTGGTCTGACCATGTAAAATGGTTAAGATTTGACAAAGTTATGAGCCCTACAAGAGAAAGCCATAAATTTAGAGGATATTATGATGTATTGTATCTAGACCATTGCAACCGGTATTTTTGACCGGTATTTACGTGACCGGTTGCTTGTGGTAATGTAGCACTCAATCCGGTGATTCCACCGGTGGTCTGACCATGTAAAATGGTTAAGATTTGACAAAGTTATGAGCCTTACAACAAGAGAAAGTGACAATTTCAGAGGATATATCATGTCTAGACCATTGTGACCGGTATTTATGTGACCGGTTGTTTCTAGTAACAGTACTCAATCCGGTGATTTCACCGGTGGTCTGATCATGTAAAATGGTCAAGATTTGACAAAGTTATGAGTGCTACAAGAAAAAGTCACAAATTCACTGGCAGAGGATATATGATATCTAGACCATTGTGACCAGGATTTTTCAACCGGAAGTTATGTGACCAGTTGCTTGTGGTAGCATAGCACTCAATCTGGTGATTCCACCGGTGGTCTGATCATGTAAAATGGTCAAGATTTGACAAAGTCATGAGCCCTACAAGAGAAAGTCATGAATTTAGAGGATATATGATATCTACAGTATTGTGACCGGGATTTTTCAACCGGTAGTTATGTGACCAGTTGCTTGTGGTAGCATAGCACTCAATCCGGTGATTCCACCGGTGGTCTGATCATGTAAAATGGTCAAGATTTGACAAAGTCATGAGCCCTACAAGAGAAAGTCATGAATTTAGAGGATATATGATATCTAGACAGTATTGTGACCGGTATTTTTTGACCGGTAGTTATGTGACCGGTTGCTTGTGGTAACATAGCACTCAATCCGGTGATTTTACCGGTGGTCTGATCATGTAAAATGGTCAAGATTTGACAAAGTTATGAGCCTTACAAGAGAAAGCCACACATTCAGAGGATATGTTATATCTAGACCAGTGTGTCTCCAGCTCTACCTTAGGGTAGTTTACCTCTGTTCCATTTCTACTCCAGACTTGTCCACAGCAGTCTTACTCTGGGTTTCCTTGAACCTCTGGAGTTCCGCCGAACTCCCCTAGTGTCTGACCTCCGGAAACCTCTGGACTTTGTTGGACTTCCCTCCTGCCTCTCATAAATTAAGGGCACATACTTGGGTAAGGGGTGCAGCACACAAGCTGAAGTCAAGCCCTTTGAGTTCTCCTTCCTTTGAGCATGACCTTAACATCCACAGACAAAACCTTGTGATGCTGTGTACTCACCCTCTCCTGGTGGTCCATCCTCTGGGAAAGGTTTTCCTACAGGAACACAGCTGCAGAATGATATGGGGACCATTCCTAGACAGATTTAGAGTATGTACACCAGGTTGGTACATCAGGATACCTACAGAATCCTTCTATACAGGCTAAAACTTCTAAGATTGCAGTTGTCACATTTTTGGTGTTTTCCCCTACTTTACCATTGCATAAATGATCCAGACTACTCATATATTATCCTTACTACATATATACCTACTTCTCATCCCAAGGATCAGTTAGAAATATGGTATAATATTGTTATCTAAGGGAAAGGGGGTATGTGTACTGATAAGGGGCCTACATTCTCCAATGGACACAATCTAGTAATCAGATGCTTGCAATATATTCTAAGCATGGTCAATATCATGGTCTCAGATTTATAAAAGGATCCACTAACAGTTGAGAGCTAGGGCAGTGAAATATCTCTGAAATAGAGTGTGGGAAAGTCCAAAAGCCCAAAACATCGAAACTCACCAGTTTGGTGTATATGTAGTGGTTGGACTTTTACTTATCAATCCTAATATTTCCTCACCACACTCTTCTACAAAGACTTTACCTTCAGGGCAATGTGTATTTTAGGTTCATTATGTAGTCTACTATACATACTACTGCATTTTTAATAAAATCTTTGGTGTGTGTGATATGTGTCAGTGACTTTCAGTGACAGGGGTAAATTGTCATATGTCAAGCCTATGTTGTTTTACTTATCTTACCGTCAATACTTGAGGGATCTTTCCAGAATTTTAGGACCATGACTAGGGATATACATGGGACATATCCCAAGTGTCTGATTACCAATAACATCCTTGATAGTGTTGGAGGGTTCTTATCAGTTATGTTTTCATGTATATATGCTATATTGTTTGATGTAGCCCTTCAGGGGGTCAACTAAGTGGTGGAATATGTTAATATATACTCCTAAATATGTTTTGACAGTGCTAGAACACTCTCCTATCAAAGGGGCAAAATGGAATCCCCTGATTGAGTGCTACATTACCACAAGCAACCGGTTGCAAAAATACTGATTACAATGGTCCAGATATAAGCTGATACAACACTGTATCCTTTGAATTTATGACTTGGTCTTATAAGGCTCAGAACTTTATCAAATCTTAACCATTTTACATGATCAGACTACCGGTGGAATCACCAGATTGAGTACTATATTACTGCAAGCAACTGTTCACAAAAATACCGGTCACAATGGTCTAGATATAACATCCTCTAAATCTGTGGCTTTATCTTGTAAGGCTCATAAGTTTGTCAGATCTTAATGATTTTGCATGATCAGACCACCGGTGGAATCCCCGGATTGAGTGCTATGTTACCACAAGCAACCGGTCACATAAATACCGGTCAAAAAATACCAGTTACAATGGTCTAGATACAATATATCATAATATCCTCTGAATGTGTGGCTTTCTCTTGTAAGGCTCATAACTTTGTCAAATCTTGACCATTTTACATGATCAGACCACCGGTAAAATCACCGGATTGAGTGCTATGTTACCACAAGCAACCGGTCACATAACTACCGGTCAAAAAATACCGGTCACAATACTGTAGATATCATATATCCTCTAAATTCATGACTTTCTCTTGTAGGGCTCATGACTTTGTCAAATCTTGACCATTTTACATGATCAGACCACCGGTGGAATCACCGGATTGAGTGCTATGCTACCACAAGCAACTGGTCACATAACTACCGGTTGAAAAATCCCGGTCACAATACTGTAGATATCATATATCCTCTAAATTCATGACTTTCTCTTGTAGGGCTCATGACTTTGTCAAATCTTGACCATTTTACATGATCAGACCACCGGTAAAATCGCTGGATTGAGTGCTATGTTACCACAAGCAACCGGTCACATAACTTCCGGTTGAAAAATCCCGGTCACAATGGTCTAGATATCATATATCCTCTACCAGTGAATTTGTGACTTTTTCTTGTAGCACTCATAACTTTGTCAAATCTTGACCATTTTACATGATCAGACCACCGGTGGAATCACCAGATTGAGTGCTATGCTACCACAAGCAACTGGTCACATAACTTCCGGTTGAAAAATCCTGGTCACAATGGTCTAGATATCATATATCCTCTGCCAGTGAATTTGTGACTTTTTCTTGTAGCACTCATAACTTTGTCAAATCTTGACCATTTTACATGATCAGACCACCGGTGAAATCACCGGATTGAGTACTGTTACTAGAAACAACCGGTCACATAAATACCGGTCACAATGGTCTAGACATGATATATCCTCTGAAATTGTCACTTTCTCTTGTTGTAAGGCTCATAACTTTGTCAAATCTTAACCATTTTACATGGTCAGACCACCGGTGGAATCACCGGATTGAGTGCTACATTACCACAAGCAACCGGTCACGTAAATACCGGTCAAAAATACCGGTTGCAATGGTCTAGATACAATACATCATAATATCCTCTAAATTTATGGCTTTCTCTTGTAGGGCTCATAACTTTGTCAAATCTTAACCATTTTACATGGTCAGACCACCAGTGGAATCACCAGATTGAGTGCTATGTTTTACTATAAACAACCGGTCACATAAATACCGGACACAATGGTCTAGACATGATATATCCTCTGAAATTGTCACTTTCTCTTGTTGTAAGACTCATAACTTTGTCAAATCTTAACCATTTTACATGGTCAGGCCACCGGTGGAATCACCGGACTGAGTGCTATGTCACCACAAGCAACTGGTCACATAACTACCGGTTGAAAAATCCCGGTCACAATGGTCTAGATATGATATATCCTCTGACTTTGTGACTTTCTCTTGTAAGGCTCCTAACTTTGTCAAATCTTAACTATGTTACATGGTCAGACCACCGGTGGAATCACCGGATTGAGTGCTATGTTACCACAAGCAACCGGTCATGTAAATACCGGTCAAAAAATACCAGTTGCAATGGTCTAGATACAATATATCATAATATCCTCTAAATTTATGGCTTTCCCTTGTAGGGCTCATAACTTTGTCAAATCTTAACCATTTTACATGATCAGACCACCGGTGGAATCGCCGGATTGAGTGCTATGTTACCACAAGCAACCGGTTACATAAATACCGGTCGTTGTTGCACCCCATAATACCGGCCCACCCGTCTCCATTGCACCCTATCATGCCGGCCCACCTGTCTTCATTGCACCCCATATCACCGGCCCACTCGTCTTCATTGCACCCTATATCACCGGCCCACCCATCTCCATTGCGCCCTATAATGCCGGCCCACCCGTCTTCATTGCACCCCATATCACCAGCCCACTCGTCTTCATTGCACCCCATATCACCGGCCAGCTCGTCTTCATTGCACCCCATATCACCGGCCGACTTGTCTTCATTGCACCCAATAACACCGGCTGACTCGTCCTCATTGCACCTCCTTTACTGGCCCACCCGTCTCCATTGCACCTGCTATACCGGCCCACCCGTCTCCATTGCACCTGCTATACCGGCCCACTCGTCTTAATTGCACCATATTTACCGGCCCACCCATCTCCATTGCACCTGCTATACCGGCCCACCCGTCTCCATTGCACCTGCTATACCGGCCCACTCGTCTCAATTGCACCCTATTCTCCGGCCCCCTCGTCTTCATTGCACCTTATGTACCGGCCCACTCGTCTCCATTGCACCTCATTTACCGGCCCACTCGTCTCCATCACACCCCAGTTCCCCGGCCCACTCATCTATATTGCACTCCATTCCTCCGGCCCACTCATCTATCACACACTGGATTCACTACTACTATTCATAATTTCCTATATAGTACATTGCTATACTACCATCTATACTATATACACCCGGCCCATCCGTTTGCCTTGGACACTCCACCCCCTCGGCCCACTCGTCTAACACGGTACAATTATTGCCATGGGCCGGCACCGGGTGGCCCGTCTCTATTGGTACATTGTCACGCCCGGCTGCCCGTCTGAGACGGGTATATGTTACTGCATTATGTGATGAGTGGACTGCATGATTAGATGCACTTAATCTATCAGTGTCTGGCGCTTATCAGCTCGATCCGGTTTATCGCCTCTGTTGTTCTTCCAAGCCGGACTTCGGGTAAGCCCTGGTTATGCAGCACTTCCACCATCGTGGTCGTATCCTCGGCCAACGTAGCATCCAAATTCTCTCCGTCTTGGAAAACATTGGGCGATGAACATTGTCAGGTTGTCTCTTCACGATAACACCCTTGCTCGCAGACGTTTATGTGCTCGTCTTTTGCTATGCACAAATTCATACCAGGTGATGAACCTCTGGACATGTTTGGGCTATTGCATCATCATGTGCCTGTAGCGGTGTCGTGTTGATGTGGTCATGATCATTTGTACATATGGGATTTCCACCGGAAAATATACCACAAGGTCTTTGCAGACCATGTTTGCTGATCATAACCTCACTAACCTCAATAACTCAAACAAAATCTGGCAAAGAGAGGTCAATTCGGTATTACAATCGCTTGCGATGGAGGCGCGTGAACTCACTTCCCAATGAATTTCCACTCAATATATGCAGTACCCACCCCCGTACCACTTGATGCACGGCAATACAGGCCCTTGTTTTCCTTCAAAGTGCCGTCCACTCGTCCGCACAGCCACCCGTTCCAGCCCCCTGTGCAAACCCCAGATCTCAATGTCGCATATTTTGCTTTTCCGAGCGATCTCTTGTAGTTTAGCTAGGAGAGCCGGGAACGCTTCCTCCATCGCGGAGATCTGCGTAATAACCAAGCTCGTAATAGCGGGCCTCCCAGGCTTCGTTTTCGTCGGGATACTTGACTAGACCCCTGCGACGATAACCATTCTCGATCATCAGCTTCATACGAAGGTGACCACTAATCATCTACTGATGTCTCCGAAGTCTAACGTGGTTTGATCACGCCTTGGAGCAAGCACCATTTCAGGAATTGTCATTCGGCATATATGGGCTAATTAGATGTTAGGGAGTGCGATACTCAACGAAGGCTGGAGTTTGAGCGATAGGAAATAGTCACGAACGGAGTCATAGATGTTGACTTGGAGACTGTTGTCGGTAGGAATATCCATGACAGACCGTCGCTGTACCAGCACTGTCTCGACTCCCCTGCTCTGACCATGACCAAGAAGTTCCGGGATTTGGGAGATTGACATAGTATAACTTGTACGCCTCTGTTCCTGGTAGCAGTCCCCTCGTTAGCTCCATGAGCAGAAGCCAGCGCTGATTTCGGGATGGCGACTTTCCGAGTCTCTGAAGGAATGCTGCAAATTTTTTTGAATCCCTGTTTATTGTCCGTTGGGGCAGCACCCTATGTTAAACAAGACCTACAAAGCTATACATGTCTTGTCAGCGTCTGCGCCGTCTAGCGAGATGGTGGCAGCACCGCTCTCTCCACAAGTCCCCACTAGGATCTCGGTGGGCTACTAGCTTTACGGATGTGCTCTTCTGAGCGACTTGTGAGGCAGATCAGAATCGCATGAGAATCGTAACACAAATCGTGAGATGGAATAACTCCGAGTAGTACTAGTCGGGTATGACAGTTAGAAATCATAGGAGTGACAGTTAGCTCGCAACGTACGAAGACACTGATCCAAGGACAAAAAGCTACTCCTCCTCTGAGGGGGGGTACTGAAGTTGCCAGACGGTAGTTTGGTGTAGTGAGTCTGTCAAACGGTGTTGAGCTGGGCAATTAAACGAAGGGATCAAACTCTAGTGCCACTTACTGTGGAGTAATATAAGTCGCAGGGTTTGATAGCTACTCGAGATCGAATGTCGGATGGATGTTGGTTCAAGTAAGTTGCTGTGCAAAGCTCGTTGGATGGCGATGGTACCGAGTATGCCGCTGCCCTCGCGATCCAGCGAGCTTTTCACATGTAGCGAAAGGACGACTGGGCGCTGCGCCCATCAATCGTCATGCAGTACAGTTGACTACAGTCTGAGACTTCAGAGTCGCGTTTAACTTTTGATATTACATTCACAATTGACGAGTCATGTGACACCCAATATTAGGATAAGGGAGACTAGCTCGCTAACGTAGATGGCTATCATCTTCGCGTTTTAGACTTTCGTGTAGCATTCCAGTGTCCACACACTTACATTTCCTTGAATGGCGCCGACCAACAAAGGCAGAACAGCAGGCATCAGTGCGAGTTCCTGCTTCGACCTCAAAGTAGAACTCGCAAAGAAAGAAGACGAATTCACTCGGTCCAAAGCTGCAGGAGGCAGTAGATACACGGTGGGTGGGATCAACAGACCCGATAAGATGAGCGAGATCCGACATCGACGTCAGGATAGCGAATACAAACAGCATGCAGAAACCGACTGTATGGACTCGCTCCAATAAAGGCGTCCACAACCGCGCTGCACGCGACATAGAACTGGAAGAAGTCGGTGAAGTGACTATTGAGTCTGTGCGAGCCATCTTGGAGAGGAAGGCGAAAGTGTATCAGAAACTGCGGAAGGGGAAATCTGGTGGTCTTACTGAGAAGCAGTATGATGGTTTACTCGTCGATGTATGCATGCTGCCTACATTCAGACTGAAGCTTACTGATGTCGAGACCGTAGTTCGACTTAAGGGCCCACTGATCATTTTTAGTCGGAAAGTGATGATGTAGATGAATCATTGACGGTTCCTCAACGGCTTCAAGACGATGTAGGTACTCCTGACGGGTCTTCAGGGATGCTGCTAATAGGGCATGTAGGATGACCCAATGATAGAATACGAAGATGAATTCGGACGACAACGTACAGCACTCAGGTCCGAAGTACCCCGGCACCTGCTTCCGCGCTTAGAAGATGCCGAACCAATACCAGACGAAGACGAGTAAACTGAACAGCGAGGCTTAATCGCACCCATGACCTAATTTTTCTTCTTTGGGGACGTCATTCACAACCCCGTCGGCTTCTTCCCAGTATACGAACCTTCAGCAGAGCGCATCCAAGTGCTTGAAGAAGCTTTCCTACAAGCTGATAACCCGTTGGCCTCTCACTACGATTCTTCAAAGGAGGTTCGTGCTAAAGATGCCGGGTACTATCAATTCTCTGCAGACGATGAGACAAGGAAGCAACAAATAGAAGAACTACGATCAGCGAGGGTGGAGACTGAGAAGACAAGACAAGAGCTGGAGCGGTGGATCTCAAGCCTGAAGAAGTGGAAGGTATGCGTAACGACAGCACTACTGCAGGCTCGTCGAGGAGCAGGGAGATGGAGAAACGGAAGAGGGACCTTGAAGAAAGGCGAAAAGTATTGGATGCAAATCGGAGGAAGGTCAAGGATGAAGACACACCCGCAGGTCGAACACTTGATCCCGTTGCTCAGCAAACCCCAGAGGCTGTGACATTGGAGGCGCAGGACACTTCTGGTCCATCTGCGGCACTGGAGAGACAGGTAACCGATGCCTCAGACCGACCCAAGAAAAAAGACAAGCAGAAAGGGACTAAAGACTCGGGACTCAAGACAGAGGTGGACGACTTCTTGGCCCAGCTGGAGCGCGAAACATTAGGCCGTTGACCACCATCGAGGGCGTTTAATACCCGTCATCTGTGAGTTATTTTTTAGTGATGTCGTGCTCATCGAGTATCCAGCCTTAGGCTTCTCGCGACAGCATGAGTGATGCGGAACATAGACTTCCAGATTGCGCCAGGACAGGGCCAGGATTAATGTCCCAGAGACTTATATCACTCTATTATGGAGGGAGGTACTACTCTGAAGTGGAGTTTGCAACGTCAGACGTGCTCACCCTCATCACCCCTCCAGTTGATGCACTTCTGTGACATTGCGATCTTCTCAATTAAATAGGATCACTGCACGCTGCCGCTGATACCTTACAACCACGCCCCCGGCTGTGTAACTAATAGTCCTCGAGCCATAGTTTCCTATGAATTGTTACCCCCGTGGTTCAACCGCTACTGATAACTATCTCAATCCCCATATTTTTGAACCCATCACGCCACTACTTCACCCCTTGCTTCGAGAACTAGCCTCTCGGGACAAATCAGAGAGAACCGACCTTTGTCCTCCCGAAACTCCACACTTCATGTCCCCCGACGCAAATAACGTCGCTTCGGCGGCTCTTTACCAGAGATAATATTCTCCATGAACGTCTTGCACGCCCCGAGCACCTCAAGCGCGGGACGGAGAAAAGTAGCGTGCCTGCAGTTGATCGACACATTTTCAGAGTCGGGTGCATTTCCACTAGCTCGATGAGTTGATCGACGGTGGAGAACCACACGGGTAAAAATCCTCCGCTTGGAAAGATGATGGGATCGTCTTCGTATAAGGTGTCCCCAACGTATAGCATCTTCTTGTCTGAATCCCACAAGGCAAGCTCATCGGGAGTGTGCCTTGGAGTATGGAAGACTTCGAGAATACAAAGAGAACACCAGCTAAAAAGACCAGTACTGATCCCAGGCTCGAGCTCATCCTGTGGTGAAACGCCGAAGGCGAGATGATAAGATTGCAGTTCTTAATACTTAACTTTGGAGCGTACTCACCTGCCGCGCAATGCAACACGAGACTTCTGGCGACTTTTCATCCACCTGATACAGGGCATATGACAGCGACTTCTTCTCCTCCTTTCAGTGTCACTTCTTTGACGCTGTCCACCATCTCAGCGTTCACGCTCCATTGACTGGACTGAAGGATCTTGTCTAGGCCGACATCTGGGTGCAATGATACCAGGAGACCGCTCAATGAGGACAGCGGGTATTGTGGGGCAGGGAGAGTGATGGATTGTTCGGCCAATCCAGTTGCTGTTGATGCAGCAGCGAAGTAGAGGACAGTGATTTCCAGTTTGCTCATGATGTGGTTGGTTGAAGTTCTGACCTCCTACATAAAAGGACATCACCATGATATTTCTAAACGAGGAGCAAGGCCGATTTACAGCTACTCTATAGACCATAATCATAATATTATGTAGTGAATGTCGCCTATGCATCTAGTGGTTCCTTAACTCTGCGCACCACCAAATTGGTTTCGAGGTCTTGATCGTGACGTCTTGCCCTGGTACGAGATGATTTGACGTGGACACAAGTCCGTCAAAAGATGACTCTGTGTTGTCCAGGTTCCATCGCAATCCAGTTGTTGTCAAGATGGTTGAGTTGATACCAACAGGGAGGAGCCCGCATGTTTGTCCCAATATGTCATAGTTAATGTGGATGAGATGTTCGCCCTGAAAGAGTGTGAGACACAGGGCTGAAGAAGCGGCTCGACTCACCTCATCCAGGACCCATCCCACATTATCGTCGGTCACTGTGTAGACGCGTTTGCGGGTCTTGCGAAGTTTGTGAAGGTATGATAGCATATGCACAGTGTGATCCAATCTTCCGGAGAGACCTCCCAGGATCACAATCTCGAACTGTCCGAGAGATGAATTATTCTGATATATGAGTGAATATGAAAATTGTCATTTACCTCTTTCCCAGTTAAACGTTCTTTCTCTTCCAGCGCTTGCACGCATTTCATCAAATCCGTAGAATCTTGGTCGGAATCGTAGATTACTGGTACATTCTGGGGAAAAGCTGAGAGAAAGCATTGATTTAAATGACAAAGGCATACCTGAGACATGTAGTACAATTTCACATCCTCCCGCAAGGAGTCGAGATCTCCCTTCACCATATCAGGGAGGAAACTAGACTGACGTCACTCGCTCTACACTGCAGCGAAAGGAAGAGGGTTAGACTTACGAACTTCGAAGATCGGGACCACCAGCTGTGCTCGAGGCATCATGCAAACGATTAGCGCCTCCGTCAGCGCAAGAACGCCACTCGCAAGCGGCCCAGAGGGTCTTCAACAATCTGGTATTAAACGGTTGGTTAACAATGATAAGTGCGCGGGAGGCATTAAGGTCTTTGGAAGCTCGTGGATCCAGGAACAGGGTGGACCATTCCATGGCCATGGTAAACAAGGTCGGTGGTCACAACAGAAGGGCTGTTCAAGCCTAGGGTGACGATCCATGGCAGTGACTACATAGTACCCGTACGTACGTACGTACTTTGGGAATTTCTTGTACATACAGATCTGAACCGTGAGAACACCGAGCTATTAGCCATTGCCACTCACCTCGAACACAAGGTCATCGAGCACAATGGCGATGGCAGACACAAGTTTCCCCGAGCAAAGGAATGAGCACATGCTCCAGGTATTTCGTTAATGTCTGGTAATTTAGCTTGTAGTTAATAAGTTTTTTTGACTTCTAGTCAGCGCTGGAGACTGCTTTCGAGTCCACAGACATTGCGCCTAAATCTACTGCTGCTGCTCCGGCCGCTCCTGTATCACTCTCTGACACACCTGCAGTAACTTCGGAGGTCGCTGAAGCATCTGAAGTTGTTGAAGAAGACGCATGGAAAGGGGAATATGAGGCTCAGGTCGAGGAATGGCGTGCTCAGTCAGCTGAAGCTCGTGCCAAAGCAGAGCGGGAGCGCGCACGGTGGGAGCAGATTAGGAAACGTGAGGCAGAAGAAAGACAAGCCCTCGGTCAGGAGCCAGAAAACCCGGATGCGTTGGGCTCACATATCACGTCCTCCTTCGCTGCTGCAAGTGAGGTGCTAGCCTCCTCGTCTGCCTCTCTGGTCTCGTCGTCCTTTGCGGATTCCGGGCATCTTGTTACTGCAGAAAAGAAGGCCTCGTCGAGTCATTTGGATGCCTCTCATTTCAAGACGGATAGTGGGTCTCCGTCACAGAAATGGGAACATATAGATTCATCTCCCACTTCTTCCTATCCATCCATGTCGTTTCCTGAGACTTCTTTTCCATCTTCGCCGTCTCCACCGCACATTGTATTTCAAAAAACGCCAGGGCGTGATCAACCTCAGCAGCAACATCCTGCAGAACAAAAGCCCTCCACCGTGCCACCCTCCACCATCCCATCCTTGCTTGACAGCACACTTGCGCCACGGACACGAATGTCTTTGCTCCTTTCCTCTCTTGCGATCAATCTATTACTTCCTTTCGTGAACGGAGTGATGCTAGGCTTTGGGGAAATATTTGCCAAGAACGTCCTAGTGGGGTGGATTGGGTGGAAGACGCAGAGCGGCCGCACCACCGCGAATGTTGGTATTCGGAGATGATTCCCATCTTGGTAGTGTGCATACCCACTATGTACTGACCATTGGAAGCGTCACAATGTTCTTGAATATATTCGCTTATAGGACTTCGAGCAACACCCGTCATCATGGGGAGCAAAGTCACTCCGTGAACGCCTTGTATTGATGTAATGCATGTTATTTAAACTTTACAGGTTATGATTCCTTTCATTGTCGTCAGTATCAATCATGAAAGTTCTACAAAGAGGACTCGCCGGGAAAGGCTCGGCTCTGTGGATGCAGTGGATAAGCTCTGTCTGCGTGCGTAATTCCTGCTCCTATTGTTCGCGGTACACCTTCGCGAGCGCACTCCTCATCGTAGGAAGGGTACGAGGTTGTCGATTCTGGGTTCGAGCTGGTTGGTCACGGGTTCGCATGCAGTCCCTTGGATTTTGTCCCTCCATGCACGACGGGGGAACCATCAAATCACTGCGCGGCTTTTGATCCCTGCCCGTGATATTGCTGAGCGTCTGGAAAAACATCGGGCGATGAACATTATCAGGCTGTCTCTTCACCCTTGGTCGCAGTCGTTTGTCCGTTTGCCTTTCACTACACACAGATACATACCAGACGATCATCCTCTGGGCATGCATAATGTTCAATTGTGCCATTGCATCATCATGTACCTGCAGCATCGCGTTAATGTTGCCATGATCACTTGTACATATGGGACTCAGTCGCATTCCACCAGAAAATATATCACAAGGACTTTGTAGACCATGTTTGCTGATCATAACCTCAACAACTCAAACAAAATCTGGCAAAGAGAGGTCAATTCAATATTGTAATTGCTTGCAATGGAGACGCGTGAACTCACTTCTCGATGAATCTCCACTCAATATCTGCAGTACCCCCATCCCCGTACCACTTGATGCACGGTAATAAAAGCCCTTGTTTTCCTTCAAAGTGCCGTCCACCCGTCGATACAGCCACCCGCTCCAGCCCCCTGGGCAAACCCCAGATCTCGATGTCAAATATTTTGCTTTTCCGAGCGACCTCTTGTAGTTTGGCAAGGAGAGCCGGGAACGTTTCCTCCATCGCGCAGATCCTCGTAATAACCAGACTCGGAGACCCGGGACGCTGAACATCGACCGACCAGGTCGCATACGTCGGACAGTCGGAACGCTCGTCATCTAGTAGCTTCACCCCCCACTGGTGCATGTTTATCGCCTTCTCTGCTCCCCACAATTTTCTTGTGATGTGAAATGAGCCGACACCACCATCTGGTAAGGGCGCAACGATTGCCACAGGGTTCTTTGTATGCGGCATGAAGCCCACTTCTGTGGCAGTAGCCAATGAATTCTTGATGAACTGGACGTCCTTCGACCAGAATTCATTCATATCCTCATGATGCAACCAAACCCAACGCGCAGGGTCCTCAGCCTTTTCGATGGGTATTTCTGGAACTTCCCAAGTCACTGAGATTACACTTCTGGCCTCCCAACCTCCGTCCTTCTTCCCTCCCGGTCCCGATGCTCTATAAAATCCTTCCCCGATTGACGTAAAGAGGATGGAGAATAACGCCCCGCTTGATTGTTGTGCCTCGGGAGGAGCACCCCATTCTTTGGGAAACTGGGGCAGATTTGCGTGGGGGGCAAGCACCCAGTGCAGCAGGCGCATCATATGCAAGCCATACTTCTTGCCTCTATTTGAGGGCGGAACGTAGACAGCTGCAATGCCATAATAGAGAGCCTCCCGGGCTTCGTTCTCGCCGGGATACTTGACCAGACCTTTGCGACGATAGCTGTTTATCGATCATCGATCATCAGCCTCATATGAAGGTGACCATCAATCATCCACTGACGTCTCGCATGAGCACTTGAAGTCTATCGTAGTTGGATCATGCCTTGGTGCAAGCACCCTTTCAGGAAGCTGTCATTAGGCATGTCTGGGCCAATGATATGTTCCTCACCATGTAATCATCTTCGACTCATCTGCGTGCTCCATCTGATCCAGTCGTGCATAACGCTCATAGTACTGATTTTCATTGAGAATACCTCCCCATGCTGGCCAGGTTCGTCTCCGCGATTCAACCACTTGCTCCGGCGTAGCGCAGAAAAGAGACAGAGAGGCTAAATCTGACATGGCAGGCGTTGGCAGCGATCTCCTCGAAGAATGCGCGCTTTGATACGCAGCATTGATGAATCTATAACTCACGTGGTCAGGCTTCTGCCGAGTAAGGCCTGCAAAGCGGGGAGCCGTTCAGAGTATCTGGTCACACAGAATGATGGAATGGATGCATGGCGTACGATTAAATTGTATACAAATATATGCGATGGCAAGGGCTCAGTCCGTGTTATCTACTTCCCAATGAGTCTCCTTCCTCTTCCAACTGTATGGTCAGCTCTTCAAGCCCTGAGATTCTGCTCCGCAGAAGGGCATGTACGCGTTCGCGCACGCCATCAGTGTCAGGACGTGCGTGTGGTGAAAGTGCGAGCTGGATGTGAATCGAGCCAATGACGCTTTCCGAGTCTTTGGGCCAGAATTGTGGAGATGAGTAAGACGCGACACCGTCCACGAAGGCAAGCTATAATAGAAAGCGCGTGGTCAGTGTAATTAGATTAGAAGAAAGATGTAAGGTACTACCTCAGAGAGTGCTTGTTGGACCTCTTTCTCGCGAGACCCCATGTCAAGGCTCAGGACCTTACCTGTGTCAATTACCAGCGGAATGACACTTGCAGCGATCATGACTGCAATGAATAGCGACGCTATGGGATCGAATATCGTCCATCCATAAAACTGGATGAGAAGGGTCGAGATAATGACTCCAACAGAACCGAGCGTGTCCTAAAAATACCAATCAATCTCGACGCAAAAATGCCTGACAAATGCTCACCGCCATAACGTGCAAGAAAACGCCACGCATATTGTGACTGTGTCCTTCGTGGTGGTGCCCATGTTTGTGTTCGTCACAGTGATCATGATCATGATCGCCTGTGCTGTGTCCCGAAGACTCCATCCCATGGTGGAAGTGATGGTGATGGTCATGCTTCAGAGTGCTAGGATAGCTGGGTGAAATTGGCGAGTCCACGCCAGTGGGGGAAAATAAGGGAAATGGAACGGCAGATGCGACTTGAGCGCCATCAGTGGGTATATGAAGGGAAGGACCCCGAGAATGTGGTTTGCGGCCACGGATTGAAGAGCCCTCCTCAGAATGCTTATGATCCGTAGGCAAGGGGGAAGGATGGGTATGTGCGTGGTCAGAGTGAGAATGCGAGTTGGAATGGGAATGGGAGTCATGATCCGAGCAAGAGGATGAGTGATTTGAAGAGTGCAAATGGGAATTTGAATGCGAAGAGTGGTTGTGTGCATGCGAGTCTTCATGGGGTAGCGAAGACAGCTGATGTTCGCTGGACTTAGATGGCTCGTGTTCATGCAAATGGGCGCTGACTGAGTGGCTGACATGTTTGTGGGCATGGTCGCCATGAGCATGTGAGTGATCGTGGTGATCGTGGTGATCGTGGTGAGCATGCCCGTTGTGTGAATTATGCTGGTGTGCATGTCCGTGATCATGAGAGTGACCCTGTGGTCTTGAAGTTAGAATGAGACAACCCAGTGGGAGTATATTGACGAACATGATGGTGATGGTGATGGCCGCCCATAGCGTACATGCCAAACAGGTTAATACCTAATCCGAGCGAACTGATCAGCAGCAGCTGGTTCGTCGTCATTTCCGGAGGATCCAATCTACAGACAGTTAACGTCAATTACATCTGCGAGCAACCGGAAACGTACATCCGCTGTACAGCTTCAAAAACAATAAAAACAGATATCAGGATAAGAAATATTCCATTGGCAAATCCTGACAAAGTTTCAATTCGGCCGTATCTGAAGGAGGATTCGATAACTGCGTGCGTTAGCTTGATACAAGGTATGTACTTACCCGTATGTGAATCTTTCATTTGGAGGCCATTTGGCCATGATCGAAGCAACTAAGCCGACACCAATGGCCAAGCAATCAAATGCCATGTGAATAGCTTGTAACGGAGTCGTCAGTACGCAAATATCCTCTCGCCATTCAACTCACCATCAGAAATAAGACCCAAACTGTTTGTCCAGACACCGTATAACATCTGGACTAGCATGAAGCACATATTCAACATGAGGAAATAGAATATCTTCCTCGACTCAGGGTCTGAAAGTATCGAGTTCAGATAGAACCGTATAACTTTCGATGCTGGTGTACGCGACGGCCCAGATAGTGTAGGAACATTGTCAGGATATATCGCTAAAGAATAGCGGGTAAGAATTGAGTGCCACCAGCATGCGGAATTAAAACTGACAATAATAAAGCATCACTCCGACAAGTAAATCGATCCAATGAGGGTGCTGAGAAAACCCAAGAAAACCCATGGCAGTCGCAACGAGGAAAGCGATCGGGTAGGAGACTAAGAACAATTGAGATGTCTGGATGACATTGAATTGCATGCCAATTGTGTCCGGCGTCAGAAAGATCATAGCGTATGCCAGAATCGGAAGGACTGCCAAGGAGGTTAGAGGAAGCACGGGTGATGGCGGAAGGTCAAGCTGCAAGAGAGGGTAGAGTGAGGTCATAGCAGAACACCCAAATGTGTGAAGTACACACGAGGGCTTTTCTGAAAGCGTAGAGCGGTAGTCCAATAAGCGTTGCGCCCAGTGCACTTGCGGCCGTTGTCAAGGTGGGGCTCACAGTGGGAGCCAAGACACCACGAAGATGTTCAAGAGCATACGTGGACAACCCATGCATAACTAAGGCTCCGTAACCAGGAGCGATGATGGAGACGCTGCGTTTAGACAAAAGTGCATCTGAAGCAAATGAGAGCAGAAACGACACGACAGTTAGGATAGGCTTCCACATCTGAGATGCCTCATGAACAGGTTGTTTTAACTGTGTAGAGCGGACTGACCGAAGCGGGGGCTATGAAGGAGTCCACCCACATTGCGGAGAAATGGCTGAACAACATTACCCTGCATACAGGTGAGTCCCTATAATCCAGGATTCATTGTCAAGAAACAGCATACCTTGGAGAGGGAAGACGATACAATGCTGTAAATAACGCTGCTTGTTGCACAAAGAGCAGCATTGACGATACGCCAAATGCTGTCCACTGAACATGACCAAGGGTCAATAACAGAAAGCGCTAGAGTCTTGAACACATACCTCTATATTGCCATTTCTCATGAGCTTCCCCGTTAAACCTTCCCATGTCAGCATACCCAAACCGCCACAAGCCAACACCCTCATAAGCACCCAAAATACCCCCACGTCATAAGAAAGAAGTAGCTCTTTTGCCGCATAGAGCGCCAGTACGAAGATGACGTTCGAGGGTAGTATGTTTGATATCAGTTTGTTGCTGATTCTGAAATAGGTTTCAGGAGTTAGATATTAAGTCTTGACATGCATACTATCCAACGTACGATCCAGTCAGTACTTTGGCTGGTTTCAAGCTGATTTTCCGACGCGTTCTGGCATCTGGGGGAGACATCCCACGACGAGGGTAAAAGAGCGTGAATATTCTAACACAACCTCAGAAAGATAGCGCGTTCGAATACGTTTAGCCAGCTGTTCTTGCAATAGAAGCAACTCACCAGTTCCGTAAATGAAGAAAGCCTTTCCCACGACTTTGAAGGTTATTTACTCATGTTTGGTCTTCCATACCATTATCTTTCAAGATTTTTGTCTACCTTCCACCAGCTTCAACGTCGATCACGGTGAGTGCAAGTTCAAAAGCTATTTTTTCTTTTGGATGAACTCTTTAGATGACGAGTCTGAATCTGTTGTCGTGCGGTTTCCTCATGACAGCACCTGTGACGAGTCTTTCAAATTTTACCATTCATGCATATCTGAAATTTTTCGCTTTTCTCGTCTAGTTCGTGAAAATAGATTTACTGACAAAAATCTATATCACAGATTATGCCCTCTGCTGTTGAGGATGATTGGTCTGATTCTGATGACGAGATCAGTTCGGAAGTAGAGACGGCGGTTTTGCTAGGCATCCCTGATGGCACGGTAGAGAAGGAAACTGATATCCAAGATGCTGCAGTTTCTCGCATTGGCGGGCATCCTGTACGAGCACGTCTCTTCGATCATGTACGATCACCTTGTCAATGCAGTTCATTTGCTTTTTTTTCAAGGCCATGCTGCCTTCGAGAGAACCATCGTTCTCTTGCTCTCAATGCAAGAACTGTTCGTACCCCATGGAATTACTTGTACAGGTCTGGTGCCCATTCGAGGACAGCCCTATGGATAGAGCGTTGTATATCTGGGGATGCTCCCGGAGTGCGTGCCAACGGAAGGACGGGAGGTAGGTCTGTGCTGTTCCGTGAAAGGATCGGTTATCATTCTCAGTGGATTCTGAAACAGCCTTCGTGCTTGGCGTGCTCTGAGGTACAATGTAGAGTACGCTGCAAAGCTTGCGAAAAAGTTGGCGAAGAAGCAAGTACAACAGAAGACCCTTCAACCAGTGAAGGCTGCACCTACAACTAATCCGTTTTCAGTTGAGTCCAACTTGTGCCATATGTGTATGGTCACTCATTCAATCGCCAGATGCAGGCGGCATTTACTCCTAGTCTTTTTGGATTGGGTGATCAGGTATTCGGACAGCCAGCTTCCGCGATTGAAGACGAGCCAGAGGACACAAGTGACACGGAAAGCGTCACGTCCGAATCTTCTGAACATTCATCAATTATTGCGGTAGTATCAGCAACGATTGATGATTCGCCGTGGCGAGCTGCTCCGTCTTTTCCTCCTATATACCTCTCGACGATCTCGGAATATTTGCCTCCCCAGCCCAAGACCAAAATCCCTCAGAGTGCCCACATAGATGATCTTGCTGATGATGATTCTAAAGGCGGAAAGGACGTGAGCTGGGCATTCGAACCATACGAGAACTCCTTGGAGGTGGACAGTGTATTTGATCGGTTCACGAAGCGGGTGAGCAACACAGGAGAACAATGTCTCAGGTCAGCTCAAATTGAGTCTTTTTATCCGATTAACCAATGTTTTGAGTGCAGATATGAGCTGAAAGGGATCCCCCTACCTTTTTCTTCAGACAAAGTGTTCGACAGATTATTCCCTGTCCCTGCTCAGGACCCTCTCCCGGTGACGAAGGCTGCTTTCAAGGTTGTCCCTGCCGTTAGACGTTCGTACAGCACCGCTTCAATACCTTCGTGCCCGGTGTGCAAGACGGCGCGCGTCTTCGAATGTCAACTTATGCCCAACCTGATCAATGTCCTGAGGATCTCGATCAAGGATGATGACGCGCAGGAGTTGACAGACGCACAAAGGATGAATGCGGTTCGGGACGTCCTGCAGAAAAAAACTGCGTCTGACAAGCGAGGTATGGAGTGGGGCACTTGCATGATTTTTTCGTGTGAAAAGGACTGTTGCCTTGATGACCACGATAGCGACAGGGAAGCTAAGGAGTGTTGGAGAGAAGAATTTGTTCTCGTTCAGTGGGACGATTAAAGAAGATGATTCAGAAGTGTTGTATATCACTGGTATTTTCCTTTCCAACGTTCGACCCAAGCCTCCTCTTCGGGTCTTTGAGAACAATAATTGAATCAATGATCAAGCGTGATGGGAATAACGTTATTTGTTTCTTGAGGCTGTTTCATATGCTCTTATATGGACCCTATCGTTGTTGTTTTGTAGCGGCACGTCCTTGGACGTAGAGATCAACTCTACATCCCACTCTTCGCTTTCATATTTTTCTAGTGTCCTGCTTTTTCACTTTGACGCCCTCTAGCGATGCCGCAGACGCTGATTCTTCCTCCCGCCGTTATCTTTGAGTCTGATGATTTATCTGAATCTGGCTCAGCCTTAACCAACCATGTACAACGATTTCCCCACACCCGTGCTCAACTATTAGCTATAACTCGTCAGCAGAAGGGCGGTTCAGACGGCTTCGATGGAGATGGAGACGTAGATGAATCAAGCCGCATCAGCACTTCGCTTGTGACGAAAGCAGCAGGATTTCTTGCTAATGAGCAAGAGGATGAACTTAAAGAATTGTTGAAGTCTACTTGTGGGGTAGGAGACGACATGGTTCGCTCGCGGCATGTCTACTCTAGCCCCTTTTGCTGATCTTCTGTCTTGTAGCTTGAACAGCATGTTTTAGATTTGATGCATAGACACCACGACGACGTAGCAGGCGTTCCTTTCCTCTTCTTGACCCCAACGCGACGCCCATCTCGACCTTCTTCTCGCGCGTCCACCCACTCGGCTCGGTTAATTCCCAACAGGCCAGATACCCCCAGTTCAGTTCCTAGTTCTCCTCTTGCTATCGGTTTTCGTAGGCCACATACACCTGCTGGTTCCCCTCTTGTAGCTGGAAACGCAAGCTCATACATGACTGCACGGAGCGTGTCACCCATGAACTCTCCAACACTTGCGCATGCTCAAGCGCAAGCACATCCTCAGTTCACTTCGAGCCTTCCATCATCACCAATATCCTCCCCTCGACTTTTGAGTGCGAAAGCAACCGAATTCAAGCCTATTCCCCGGCCCCTATCCGCTGCAGCAGCTCCATCCAATTCCGGAACCCTTTCTGGATACAGAACCGAGACACCATCTCCTGACTTGTGGTCCCATAGCCAGCTCAGAGCAACTTCTAATCTCGCCATCGCCGCGCCGTTGGTGCCGGACAATTCTTTGCAACCTCGAGCTGTAACTCCAAGCTCCCTCCGCTCCTCCCTTAGACCAGGAGACGAAGACGAAGAAGAGGACCCATTCGATCCTTTCGCGCCCAAGACAGCACCCAATTCCTTCCATCCAATTACGATCACTGACTTTGACCAATGGTTAGATACTGCCTCACTCTCACCCGATGACCCACTTGCACAAAGTTACTACCAGCATGGCTATGACTACGACATGCAATACGATGGGTCAGTCGACGATGCGGAGGGGACAGGCTACTTGACAGATGGAATGACACCTCTTGATGTGCTTAGCTCGGTGTTCGGATCCACCCTTGCGCCATCTGAGCTTGAAGATGCACTTTCTCAGAACGGCTATGATTTCGACCGTGCTATGGCATGGCTTGTTGATCGCGCTTTACCTTCTCCACCTCAGCACAGCCAACCTCGTATGCAGTCCATGGGAGGACGAGTGACATTAGTGGCTAGGGACAACAGCGCCGGGATGGTGCATGGGGGACGCGGAGGCTTCCAGCCCGCCGGACGAGGTTCTACCAGGGGCAATGCACGGCCTATTCCGGGCGGAAATAGGGTTTGCCGCTATTACCTTGCGGGTGAATGTTTGCGAGCCGATTGCCGCTTCAGGTTTGTTGGTTTCTGCCCTTTTGGGATATGTCCACCTCATCTTCATCTTCAGCCACGACCTGGAGAGAGCACTCTGCCGGTTCTGGTTGCGTGGGACTTGTGCCAAACAGGATCAGTGTGAATTCTTGCACCACCTTCCTAAAGACGTCGATGTGTCTAGTGTGACTGGTGCACTGTCACGGACTAGTCTCAGCAACTCTAGTGTCCGCACTACCAGCCCTCCACCTGACGAGTTCCCAGCACTCGGATTTGATGCGTCACGCAATCGCAGAGGTTATGGCGCTCGTGATGGCCATTGGCAACACGATCCTGGCCGCACAAGATTTGCAGCAGCCGTAAAGAGACCAGCTCCTGCTCAAGTGCCAGCGGACCGCACAACAGCCACTCGCCAGCCGGTCTCATCGAATGCGTCTGTGGATAACTTACACATCCGTACCTCGATCGTGGCACCTAAGCCATCGCCTCGCATCAAGTTACGTTCCCCAGCGCTATTGCCCACTCTACCCACTGGGGAGTCGATCAATGCTTTATATATGTCTTATCGATCTCGAGCACTGCAACTGGGTGCTGCTCGGAATGCGTGCTTATCTAGGGCCGCCGATGCATGGAGGCGCGGCGATGGTGCTGCAGCCAAACGATTTAGCAGGGAGGGTCACGATCTCAATGCTAAAATGGGCAATGAGATGACAACAGCCGCTGGTAAACTCGTCAGAGAACGCGCGAAAGTTTCCGAACAAGCTGTCAAGAGCCGAGATCTTGGATGGTCTGATGATGCCGGAGACCGGACTGCCCGTGGCCGAACCTGCGGAGGAGGGTTGGGAGTATGTTTAGGCATAGCCGGCACCACCGTAGGCGGCGATTCGAAATTAACATCTGAAGAGAGGACTGAAGCTATGCTGGACCTTCACGGTTTACATTCGAATGAGGCAACGGAAGTTCTCGAAGAATTTTTGCTTGCTGTGAGTACTCTATGCAACAGCCAGATAACCGTATGCTTATCTCGATTTCAGCTCGAGCGTGAACATTTCCTTGGGCTCGGTATGCGTTTTCGTAATGAGCTTGCACCTATATTCATTACCATGTTTCAGCTTTCCTTGTTGTCGGAGAAGAAAAGCACACTGGAACACAGGACGCTGCACGTGGCGCGTCGCGGGCTCGCCTCGCTGCGGGCGTCCGAGAATGGCTCCATCGGTGGGGTTATCCCTGGAGCGAGCGCGATGGCATCATCTGTGTGGATTCTCTTACTCACGGATGACGAAGTGCAATCTCCGCACCACCGGAGCCTGGAGAATGATCTACCCCTTTGCTAAGACTAGTATTTGCTTTGAAATGGAATGCTATGATGGATAATGTTTTATTGCGCAGATCTGTGGAACGTTGTATGATTGTATAAACTAGGGCAAAAAAAATTGCGATTTGCTGTTTTCTCCATGTCATATCGTGTCATACCGTTCCGTCGGACACGAACGAATATTCGAATTTGGCTGAACCTAGTGGATGAGCAGTTGCGGTGCCTGTGCGGAACAGTTGGTATTTCCCTCATCGCGTTTTACTTGTTCGGATCCAGAGCCAAGAAGTGCGCCAAAATTGAGAGCCATGCTACATTAATGGTACGTTCTCCATCATTACCAAACGATAAGCAGCGCTAAGCTCGAAGACAAATATCAAGATGCTGGCTATCGCTCAGGTGCCCAGGTCTTCGCCGACTTGCTCACTGCCTTGCTAGCAAGTGGACTAGGGCGTGTCGCGTTTGTGCGTGACACCCTATCATGGACCCTCGTCGTCACTCAGACCTGATATGAGTGGAGGGATCGTCGAACGAAGACCATATTTGCAAAAGTATGGAAGCGGTGCGACGCGGCAATAGTGTCTCCTTTAGGGCAGGTCGAATGTGGTCGAATCCCCTGCACATTCAAGTTTTGTAGCGCCTGTGGCACGTCTGCTTGAGCCCCCTTTACGGTGGAAGCGTTTCATATGGCAATCGACACCGGTGAATAGTACCCGCTGCAGGCAACAGTCAGTGGGTTGAACAACCGCGTGTTAATGTTTGCGACACTCGGGGGAGTTCAGCCTTTGTGCGCACCATGCGCACTGGGTGATCTTCCATGTACGAATCACTTTGCCTGCCAGGAGATACCCCTTCACATGGAAATTCAGCATCCTCTCACCCCGCCAGGCTGGCGCAAAAGGCGGTGTCTCGCTGATCGGGATGCTTGCCAGCTTGTTCGCCGCCGCATAAATGAAGCCATACATCAGAAACAATCATCATCTGTGATGTAGACCCCCAATATTGTCGGGACCCGTAGGCAAGTCCTCCTGATGGTCAAACGGCAGGAGTGATCGAATTCTTCTAGTAGAGTTTCGCATGTTATCCTCATATCACCGCATACATCTTCAACCAATTACACTCACTCTTGTTAAGCAATTAGGAGCACTGCGGACATCAACTCCGCGTTAAGTCTGATTAACATTGTCGCATGATACTTATCCGTGACACTTTTGGCGCAGCACCAGGTGAGCGATTTGAAACATTCTTCTCTTGTTCGTTTTCATTGATCATACGCCCAGGAAATCTCCGCACTGTCACCTTGCGCTAAATGGGCCGAACTACTCGTGTTCAACAGAATATTCGATTCGGTTCGGCCGAGATACATTACCAAGTACTTCGCCAGAGACTGGCTAAAGCGAGGCCATGTACGATCGAAGGGAATCTGCAGCATTCGTGCACCCACTTACTATGCTTCTTTTCTAATTTTCGAGCAGACATCCGCACGAAATAAAAGTAATGGGTACCCTGTTCACATGTACTTGTCTTTGCGACACACGAGTGCCAATCACTGGAGTGAAAAATTGTACTCACGCTCAAGATCGAAGGGGGCTGGTTCAGGTTCACAGTCTTTGCCGTTGAACGTGATTCACTATTTGGATAGGCTTGATCATGAGAGTGATGTACTGCGATCACAACCGCTTGGAACTTTAATATTGAGCCCCAGTCCTTCGCGATTCGGTCTCTTTAGCAAGATGCTAGAAAACTCCCGAGGGGGTTATAAACCTTGTAAATATCACCATAACTATTCTATGGCGCAACAATTTCATTTTGCCTGGCTTGTTGTTCGGCATGCAACTCTCATGTTTGTCACCTGAGACGACCGTGATCGGCGGATATTTATACGTCAGGAGTCGAAGCAGTGCGGTGATACCAAGGTGATACGCCGGGGGGGAAGGCTATGGTCTACAAAGTGACTTGAATAGCTGTGCGCTCAAGACTACGCAGCGGCGCCCCTAGCAGACCCCGTACTGCACAGTCTGCATGGCTGTGTTCGACCGACAGGGTCATTTTCACAGCCACTCGCCAAAAAAGGCAGGTGTAGTGGAAAAGTTATCCCTGCGGTACGCGACGTGGCTGCCACCCTGGCACCCTGCGACTAGTCACGACAAGTTACTACTGGTCCACATGCCAACGCAAGCCCTAGCCAATCCCTAGCTCACACTTTTTACAATTGACCACATCCCGCTAGCTATGGCCACTCACGAACAAGAACAACACGACCCATCTCGCCCTTATTCCATTGACCTTAGCTTAGAGCTCGAACGCCAGCTCAACAATGAATCAAACCCGACCTCGCCAGCGGATGGACGTCCTCGTTCTCTGGATCCTCACGTCCTTGCTTCAATAATCACTCAACTGAGACTGTCGGTCGCAGACCTTACAAGAGAGCGAGATGAACTCTCTAAAACAGTCGTTGAGGTGCGGGCCCGCGAGACAGAAACTACAGACACACTCGGGGATATGACGGAGAAATGCTCAAAGATGCAGGAAGAGCTGGATAATGCTCATGCAAAGATTAAGGATGACGAAGACACTATATCAATACTTAGAACGAAAGTCGAGGAAAGCAGGTTCGTTTCTCACCTATATAATCTTGTACAATGTGTCGCTCACCGTGCTTCCTGATTTTTAGGCGTGGCCTCATGCGTCTACAGTCTGAAAATCGACGAGCGAGTCAGGTGCCTTCCGCTCTTGACTTGTCTAGAGCCGGCATCCCTTCATTGAGTGGCCCGCCGTCCTCTAAGCGCGCATCATTTACTCCTCTGACTGGATCAACAACCGGGCGTAGCAATGCCCATAGACGAATATCCTCGATCTCCGACAACTTATCTTTCTTCGACGGCTCTCATTTGACATCCCCGATCCCTACACCAACTCCCACTCTTCCCGATGTGCAGAGAAGCAGGACCCAACCCCCTGCCCACACGAGAAGGATGTCTGGCATGTTTGGTCGTGCGTCACCACCGCAGTCACTTTACCCTTCGGAAGAGTCTGCTGAGCTCGAAATGCTACGCCGGGAGCTCAATGCTATGAAGGCTGAACTTGATGACGTGAAGCATGAGCTAAGTGAAACAAATGAGGCTCGCGAAGCTTCAGACACTTGCATTAAAGCTCTACGGGAATTCATTGAAGAGAACCAGGTTGGTGCTGTGACGAAGAGCCTTCCCCCTTTACCCGAGGAAGGGAGAAAGGCCGCACCAGCCGCCGCAGGGTGGGGATTCAAGCTCTGGCGAGCAGATTCCGTGTCCCAGAGCCCTGTACCAGCCGCTTCACCACATGTTACCCACACTGTATCCCCATCCCTATCATCCCTGACACCCCCCATTCCACTCTCCAAGAAATTGGGTGACTTCTTCGGTGCTCGTGCCGCGGCGGTTAACTCCTCACCGACCCCACCACGCGTTGGACAAGAACCAATGTACAATGGCATGTCGGATACGTCATCTATTGAGGACTCTGTAGCCGAGCCTATCAGCCCCGCTAGCGAGCGCCCTCGGCCAGCTGTATACGTACGAGATACCATTAGCCTGACATCGGAGTCATCACGGGATCTTGGTGTCAATCTCGAGGGAAAATTGCTTCCCTGTGCCGACGAAGATCTGGCCCCTATTGTTATTTGATTTGTTGGAGGCGTCTTATATTGGGCTCTTCGTGAACCCGGATATGTGCGATATTAGACATTCGATTTCGTTTTTCTGACTTCGAACTAAGCTTGGACAGTGGGTTTCCCATGACAGGCACACCATGACTCTTCGCAGATATAGTATATACCATTGTAATAATGTACATAAGTACGAGACAGGACGGAATAAAGGAAGAATAGACTATCGTTCAAGTCACTCAGCCGATTACTGTCCTACTTCGATAATCCACTTCCAAGTCGTTCGACATTTAACTCAGACGATGCAGAATTGTCGATAGAAGGTGTAAAAATAGGATGAATGTCTATATCTGACTTTCTCCTGTTCCTACAAAACATCGTCTGAAGCATGGAGCACCTTGGTCTATGAGTTACTTACGCCTTGTCCTTCCTCATCATCGAATGAGATCTTGGAGTTGCCCCTGGGAAGCGAACGAAATGTTCCCGGTCAAAGACAAGGACCGAAGCAAATTCAAATGTGCTCCAAACATACAACAAGGCCGTGACGCAGCCTTCGGGACTGTGCGGTTGGGCCAGGGGTTCATAGTACTGCTACATAAATGTTCATTGCGATCAGTGACGTCGGGCGTTGTTTGTTTTTACGGAATGGCGTGGAAATTTCATGGGCGAGGTCGTATGTTTGAGCGTAGATTAGCACGAGGAACTTTAAAGTTGACGAAACGTTGGTGGGATCACTGAGATGAGCGCTCTCGAGGAGGGACGAAGAACGTGATGCTGTACCAAGTGTGGACCTTATAAGCTCAGGAGTCAGCGCTGAACGTCATACTATAAGACAAGTTTCGCTCCAGCTCCGCTCAGCGAATAGGCTTTGCTGAACCCTGATGACCAAGCTAGCAACAATGTCAGGAAAACTGTCCCGTATTAAGCTTGAAGCTAGGTTCTGCTAGACGATTGCATGTCACGTTCCATAACAAACGCTCAACGGAGGCAACATTCACTGAGGATCCCCTCAAACAACAGGAAACAGTCTTTCCTTGAAATGATCAACAAAGCAAATCATGAAAGTACAAGACGCACCAATGCAAGTCGGGTAAGGTCTGTTTTTAAAACACCCACGGAACTGCAGTCAAGTAGAACCAGCTCCCAGATACGACCATGACCACTCTGGATGAATCATCGATGCATCGCAGAGTTTCAGCGACTGGTAGTCCGCAAATCGCAGATAGTGCCGATCTAAAGGCATCGGAATTATCAGCTGACTGTGGCTCACTGGCTCGGCACATCAGTAAAATACAGTTTAGCGTCGTTAACAAGTGCCCTCATTGTTTGTAGCGTTATAGTTTTCCATAACTTTCTTTTGCACTAAACGAACGCAGATTCCTGAACAGCGGAGATGCGAGAGCGGATGTAGTGTGTCGGGTTTCAAAAATGAATGGTAAGAATCGCCGTGGTGTTCGGGTGTAGATCTATCATGATCCAAAAGATATGAAAGGCGTCTGAAGAGCGAAAAGTTTTTGAGAGGCCGTGATCATGATTAACGTGCGCGGTCCATTCAAGTCACAAGGCAAAGGTTGCTGATTTGTTGCGATGCGATGCGACGCCCGAGATCAGTATCTGCGGGCGGAGATTCCAAAGCAGCGAAAAAAAGTGAAACACTACTTCCTATGGACTCTGGGTGGGGATCTACCGGTATCTTACCACCACGCGCTAAGCAGGAGGATTAACATACCCCGGCTATTGTAGAACTGCACGGAGTCATACTCACCAGGTACACTTGCCTCGACTATCGCAGATGAATGCACTTGAACAATTTCATCCGCTGATAACGCATGCAATTTCCCATGCGCACTCGATGGTCACGGACTCCTACGAAGTCATCCTAGAATTATCACATCTCACGTCCGTAGGACGGCGTCACAGGACCATGCGTCGGTAAATCAGTGCTGGTCGCCATCATGATTAATTCGTGCCTGCGTGTTTATGGTCTCGTCATGAGAATGCCTCGAGGCACAGGGTAAATAAAACCTTACAGGCAAAAAAAACATCAGTGATTGCATTCCGAAATGGTGAGAAGAGATATGAGCTTAAACATGATCGTCGATAGAAGATATGTAGAGACCGATTGGGAGATATCGGTCAGTACTTTTTTTGACATTGCCGCTTCGCTGGCTTCCGAGACCAAGCCCCTCAGCTCGAAAGAGGTTTATCTGATCTCCGTTCTGATTAGATTGTCATGCTAGATTCAAGATAGTTCCGGACACGTTCGTGCAGGGCTTCATGTGTGGCATATCACATACTTGAAATCATGCTGTACACTCGTTTTTAATATTCGTATCTAGTCCTCTCGCTTCTACGAGAGTTGTCAAGTATGCAGAAGCGGTATGCGATGCGTGTTGAATTGATGGTGACCACTGCAAGGGGGGCGCAACGTTCCCCTTGCATCCTGACGGTAGTGTTGAATAACAGCTGCGTTGGTATTGTTTGCCGGTGCCGCAGCGTGAGTCGGAAAGGGGATCCTTGTCACATCTCGTCATCATCTGTCACTGGTCTCTGGCGTCTTCTGTTCTTCTCATCGGCGGTGACAATGACCGAGAAGAACACCTGTGCGTTTTCACGTCACAGACGAATTTATGGATCTCGCATACTAGTGCATCGCTCGCGAATGTTTTAGAAAGGGCTGGACCGCTATGCGAGACGCTGACACGTCATAAGTCCTGTCATCAGAAATGGCATTGGAATTTAAATTGGAATTGACCATGGGGTATATATTAGTAGAAGCCTGAAACACGGCGCGTACCTGGGATCAGTGGGGAACTTCAACGTTCCAGACTATTGCGACAAATTTATGTGCTAGAAGTAAATCGTGCTCTCCAGTCATGTTAATCTCTCATCAGTATTTTCGAACGAACGGACTTCGGAGACATACTAAATCCAATGTTCCGATTATGCTGGGATGATTATGAAAGAAACGGAACGGCGGAAAAAAAAGGTTTATCCGCAATGAATTAGATAGTTATGGATGGCGTAGGGTGAGACAGGTCATGAAGGCCTCGTGTTTTGAATCTTGATAGAAGACTGGGGATGCTGGTATTGAATTACTATGTGTGCAAGTGAGGGGGGTCATGAATCACGTACTCGGACTCCGCGCGAGGGTCGTGAGGTCAGCGACATTCAAAATGCTTCCGTGTCGAGGGGGGGTGATGATCCGATTAATCTATATTTGTACGATACTCATACCATATGTAATAATCAGTGCGGAATTTAGTTGGACAATACTTGAAAACCATCACAATGTGATAATTATGGCCATCTATCTTCTTTCCTCCTGCCATCAGTCCTTGCTAGTGGGGCCTCCGCATGCAATCTCCCCCAGTCTCTCCAATTCGCATGGAGCAGAATCTCTTTGCTGATGCAGCTAAGAAACGCAGAAAGGGTGCTACTCGTCTTTCTTGTGCAGAATGTAGACGGTAAGTCACAGTAACACATTCAAAATCATTACTCACTTCTATGGCGCGATGTATTTCATTTTTAGTCTGAAGTTGCGCTGTGACAGAGCGATTCCTTGTGGCTCATGCGTGAAACGTGGCTGCGGTGCCATCTGTCCAGATGGTACGAGTCCAACTCCATTCAATGCAAGCCAACAGGCTGATCATTGATGCGATAGGTTCTTTGACAACTGGCCAGGGGAATAGGTGAGGGGGTACTTGTGGTGCTAAGCCGAGCACTGTCTGATTGCCTTCTGTGGTCAAGGTTTGTTTTAGCATCAACTCAAGAACTTCATGAGAAGATATCGGAACTCTGTCAACGTGTGCGAGATTTAGAAGACGCTCTTCGGCAGTCGCACTCTCTCGTATCTGCAGACCGGCACCATCTATTGACTGATGACTTGTTACAAATCAAGCAACCTTTGCAGCGCGAGCCCCCCAGTAGCAGAAATATGCCTCGATGCGAAGCCAAGGAAGAAGAGCAGAACGGCGAGGTCGTTGACGCTTTTGGCTCATTATCGATTAATGCTTCTGGGGGTGCAAAATACTTCGGTTCCATCGCAAATTCCTGGGTACGTGAATGTTCGTTCAACGCGGTATTCCTACGTCTGATTACGCGTGCTCTAGTATTTCCTACAGGTCCGTCCAAGTCCTCATATATGTTTCTACTATCTTCTGAATAACTGCAGAATGAAGCAAATGAAGATCACGAAACTGACAGTGATCGCCTTGCTGCACTACAAACCGTTCTTCCTGCCGACATTCTAGCGCGAAGTGGGGCATTCCCAATTCTGCCCTCAACACACACATCTATTCATCTTGAGAACGTACGACTTAGAACTCTCTTATGGTACCTTCCCAAGGCCCCCCAAGCTCAAGAAATATGCCAAACGTATTATCGGCTAGGAGCATGGATGTCCGTCGGCTTTCTTATATCACGGTGAAATTTCGGAAATTCTGATTGTTTTTTTCCCGCAAGGTACAATCCTATAAGCCAGCAATGCTTCTACGAAGATATATATCCCCAATTTTACACTCCCAATACCGGACCGCCCCCCGACGATCCACTTCTTTCACACAAACTGTCTCTCATGTTTATGATTCTCGCGATCGGGACCCTCATGGATATACACCTACCAGCCTACAACATTGAAGCTGAGAAGTACCACCAATTAGCTCGGGCCGCGCTATTCCAGAGCTCACTGTTCGAGGACCCGACTATTAATGCCGTTCAAGCTCTTGTAAGCATACATGACGAATCTTCATTCGTGCTTACACATACAATTTCAGTTCCTCATGACTTTTTACCTTTTTATGTCGGACCGGCATGGTTCCAATTCTGGAGCACGATGGGCTATCATGGGCATAGCTATCAAAGTGGCCCAAAGTGTAAGCCGTGCATAGCCCCTCAGTTTATTATGCTCACCTGGTCATTTGGCAGATTGGTCTGCGTACGTAACGTTATCGCACCCTGATGTGGCTTGGGATACTAACGCTACATTCTTGTCCTTTAGACCGAGACCCCAGTCGATGGGGAGTGGATCAAAAGGAGACTCTGCGTCGCAGGGAGCTCTTCTGGGAACTTTACACATACGACTCGTGGCAGGTAGGCCCTATTTGGTATCGTGGACGCTTTTGACTACTTATGTGATAACGGCAGTGTCTTACATTTGGTCGACCGGTGTCATTTTACATGGCCCATATTGACTGTAGGTTGCCATACTCGACTGACGCGTCAGAGGAAAATATCTGTAAGTTCTTACTCCGCGGTGATATCCTTCGACGGTCATTACATCGGTGACTAACAACATTGATTCAGTCCATGCTTGGAAACACCGCTTCACGTCAGAGTGCATGAGCGTTGTCCACGATCAAGCATTTGGTGCCAAGACACCAACGTACGCCACTGTCCTTCAGCTTGACCGCAAACTCCGTGCCTTCCCTGTACCCCCAGCGCTGCAGGTCGCCGGATTTGGTGCATCCACAGGGCCGAGCGATACACAATATTCAGAAAGTGTGATGCTGTTGTTGCAACGTCATATTGTATTGGCTATTCGGGAAATGAGTGAGTTAATTTTGAAACCTAACTTTGATGCATATCGGCAGTTGCTTCTCGCCGATACATCGAGGAAAGGGGCCGCAGCAGATAATGGATGCTCACACTGCCTCTCACGTCAGATCTCCTATACCTCCACCGCAGTTTCTTTGCACGTGCCGTAACTGACCACCCAAAAGACCCCCTGGGAAGTCCCTACGGCACATCGGTCATTGCTGCTTATCGCAGCGCTGGCTCGCTTGTTGCTCTCATGCGCAACCTTCATACTCAATTGAAGGAGCCAAGCGAGCGCATTTGGTTCCTTTGGGGGCACATGTTTTCCTGTGCTGTGTGTATCTTGGACTTCTCTCGCAAATAGCGTCAATCCTCATTTGATGCTATTTATAGATCGTACTAGGGTCTGTGGTAACCAGATGTCCATCCATGAGCTTAGCCCCTTCAGCGCTGGTGCAATTGGATTCTGCTTGTGAATTATTCTCGAAAGCAGCCAGGGGGTTCCGTGCACGGTCTGTCTTGGTAAGTCCATTGCCTTGATCATTACTAGTCATATCGTCTTTCAAAGCTCAGGCACGAGTTGGAGCACCCTTACTAATAAAGTTTTTCAACAGGAGGTGATGCTCGGCTTGCAAGAGAAAGCTCATCTCAGCCTCGCTGAGCATCGGAAGGGTAAAGTGTCACCGCTTACACGTCAACTATCTGAGCCGTATTCGCCGTATGATGACGAAGATGAATTGGCTACACTCGGAGGGAAGACGCGTTTGGTCGCGAAGAAGGATTCACTATCAGCCTCATCATCTCCCGCAGCGGTTGTCGATCGCTCTCCCACATCTTTGAATCCTGTTGTTCCTCTCCCACTCATGTCAGGAAACTCGCATCAAGTGGTGCACCCGAACGTTCTGGTTTACCTACAGACTTTTCCAAATCCGGGACAGTCGCATAACGCAGGGCCAACATACACAGATGCCCCTGCGTATAGTATGTCCCCTTCCAGAGAAAATTATTCGGACACCTCGGGATATAGCGACTCCCAGGCACCGATGCAGCCCATGGAACTTGTCGCAGGGCAATTCCCCAGCTATTTCCCTGTGTACGATTATGCTCTCAGTAGCGAGAGCAACTACTCGCAACTGAACGGGCAGATGTCGTCGGGTACACGCCGCGAGTCTCCAGAAAATGCAAATACAATGCATCACACCTGGCAAGATTTTGTGGCACAAAGTGGCCTCGAGATGGGGTCGTAGTGCTTCTCGTTGGTGTCAGGCAAAGGAGGAAATTTTTCGCCTTGCCTACTACGATGCTTGGGCGACTCCACGGGTTGAAGATAGCGCCCGCTTCCTGCTTTATCTGATGGACTATCCCGGTAAGATGTACGTGCAACTATGTATCTCGTCTCATACTGTCTTTGTCACGAGTCGTCCTTTGTGTCATGATACCATTTGTAGTTACTTTCACATACCTCTGCATCAGTTCTCTTGTATGGTATCTTATCATTTCTTGATATCTTCATATGATTTACAAGCATTGATGACCGCCCATATCAACGCATTTGCCTCAAATTTACTTTCCGTTCAACGCCCGAATCCTTGTTTGGACCTGTTTACCAGGACTCCGGCGGGAACAACAGCCTGCCTCAGTGACTGCAAACACTGTCATAACCGGGGAAATAACTTTCATACTTCCATCTCTCACCTTCTGTTTTTGAGTCTCATGGTAATCTGTGGGTCATCATCGAAAACAGGGTTTGGTCGTCGACCTGTGAGCTATTTCTCAATACATAAATGTGGTTCCCAACTAACGTGGGTGGCAGATACAAAGAAAGGTTGTGGTATGCGGGGATGGCGCTTCCGGTATGACGTTTCAGAATCTACTCCACTCATGGATACTAAGCACCATAATTGTCCTGATAGGCAAGACATCATTGTTGAATGTCTTCACGAGGGGTTTCTTCACCCAAGTCTAGTGAGCACTTCACCCTATGTTGTACTTGGCAACTGACTCGCATCGGCAGCGAGCCGACCGTCTTCGAGAACTACGTGCATGATATATACGTGGAGGACCAGTTAGTGGAGCTTAGCCTATGGGATACAGCCGGTAAGCAAATTTGTAGATCATGCCTCTACATGTTCGCTGTAACATCTAACATTCGAAGGGCACATTAGGTCAGGAGGAGTTTGACAGGCTACGGTCGTTAAGCTATGCAGAAACGCATGTTATCATGATATGTTTCTCTGTCAGTTCCGAAAGCTCATCATCTCGCGGGAAATCGGGGCTAATACTGTCTTGGCAGGTTGACAATCCGACATCATTGGAGAACGTCGAGTCGAAGGTGCGTGCATTCCTCCTCTCCATGCTTCTTCTCACTGAATTTCCGTGAGCAGTGGATCGATGAGATAATAGAATACTGTCCGGGCGTGAAGGTGTGTCAACGATCCTTGCATACTTTTACGTCGCTGGCTAATTTTCGAAACAGCTTGTCCTAGTCGGTCAGTCGTATCATCACAACCTTGTTTTACAGCATGATCTGACAGACGATAGCCCTTAAATGCGACCTTCGAGACGACCGAACTGTTCGTGATCGACTTGCTCGATATGGGGCCCATACGGTGCAGTATGAGGAGGGTCTTGCAGTTGCCCGTCGAATACGAGCATCACGGTATCTTGGTGCCTATCATTCCTTTTTAATGTGTTCACATGAGCTGACTCGATCATCACAGAATGTAGTTCGAAGCACAACAGAGGTGTCGCAGAGGTCTTCTATGAAGCTGCACGTGTGTCCTTGAGCACGCGGGCTAAAGGATCTGGGAATGGGTGCGTGATAATGTGATAACAATACCATGTCAGATACATATGTTCATAACTTGTCTCGGACCGTCAGAGCTGTGCTCGCATACTTGCTGTATTTTTACATTACTACTCCACTAATAACTCGACACTCATTATTTACCAAGCAATGCATGGGATATACGAATCAATGCCCGATACGTAGTACAACAGCAAGGCAACGGGGGCGATATAGATGATGCGTGAGTGAAAGATACACAACAAATGGGGTGATCAGAACAAGGTGGTGGCACAAAGATTACAACAAGCAGACCATAGGTCGGCGATCGAAAGATTGAAGTTACCAGCGTTTTGAAGTTACAGTTCATATGTTCAGAGGTGGGATGGAAGTAGGGGAACTAAAAAAATTGGTGCGCTGCACGGATCCGGTGCTTCGCGACTTCATGTTAGGGTGGTGATTGTGATGATGATACTGATGGTGATAATGATGATGGTGGATAGGCCCATGAGTCTTGCGTTTCAACATCTTCATCTCGCGGCGAGACTCTTTGCGAGTTTTGTGAGGAGGCTGTTGATCATTACGGGGAGGTTGATCGTGATTATGTGGCACGTGGGTAGGGGTGCGGTCGCCATCGCGGACGGGGAGAAGGACAGGAGATATGACGACTGATCGGTTTTTTCGGGGAGTCGCCTTTGCAGGCGGTTCCTTATCGTGCCAGAGCATAGTACTGAGAGGACTACTTTTCATGACGTTACTGTATGACAGAACGTCAGATGATGCGGTCTTTGGGGGTTCGGATGCCCAGCCAGGGGACGAGGGAATTTCACTGGAAGATGCCGCCGACTCGCGAGTGAAACGGAAAGTGCCGACGGGAACTCGATCCCAGCGACTGAGGCTTTGTAGATGACGATGGAGTTCGCCTTCGCTGCCTGTACCGGTCCCTAGTGACATCTCCGGTTCAGAGTCGAGATAGGAAGAATCAAGGACATCGTCGAGTTCAATAGGCTCCGCGAGTGAGGGTTCGGGGGTAGTTTGTAATGAGGGTTCGTCCGATGACGAAGGAGGGGGTAAGACAGAAGACGGGGTGAAAATGGTGAGTCGGGATGTACGACCGCGGATGTCCATCATCTGCAACACCAAATTAATAGGGCAAGACGGTCATATCATATAGATACATACACTACTGAAGCTCCCACCACTGCTAGAGTCAATGCGTCTGTGTCTATGGGCAAGGCGGGGGAAAGGAGACGGAACATCTTTGTTAGACCCAGTGAGAATTGCGGTCTTCTGCGTGTCATCGCCGGCATGCTCAAAGTGTCCCATGATGGGAACACCGCCTCGAGTTATTCTCCGGATGGGACTAGGTGCACTGCCTTCGCCGCTGTCTGCTTGAGAATGGTCCGAATCGTCACAGAAGATCTTCATGGCGAGAATGTCGGCAGGTCGAGGGGAGTCACGATGGCGTGAAGTGGTTGATCGGCGGTTGTGAGGGGCGGGTGAGACTGTGGGACTGACAGTAGACATTGGATTGATGGAAGACACGGTCGTCGGCCAACGGAAGAGCCTCATGGCGCGCGACGTCGGCAAACCACTGGCGTCAACGAGTTCCTCTTCCGTGGTCTCACCATCACTGGTACCAATCACAGAGTCGACCTCGTCGTCGTCGTCATCCTCACCGCCGATTCCCATTTCTGCCCCCATTTCCACATCACTGTCCTGGCTGATGGATGCGGTATCCGAAGCCAACAATTGCGCTGCGGTGGCCTCAAAGGCAAGATCCAGAACGCCTTGACCATCGTCACAGCCATTCGTGAAGACGATCTGGCCATCCCATCCCTCCGTCATCTCAAGGTTCGTGCTACGCTGCAGGCTGCTAATGCTGCTTGCCATGACGTCGTCAGCCTGAGGATCGGCAGGCTCATCTTCTGACGAGCTGTCATCGGTGTTGGTATCGGAAAGATTAGCGAAGAAAATGTCGGCGTCGAAGCTCGACTCCTCATCGTCAGACCAGCCAGTCGCAAGGCCAGTGTAAATGACGCTCGGGGCCTGACCATCCGTCTCTTCGTCTTCTTCCTCGTCACATTTATCTTCTTCTTCCTCTTCTTCATCTTCATCCTCCGTAAGATCGTCACTCTCGCCATCCATGTCGACATCGCTGAGACCAACACTTTTTTTGCGCGGGCGAATGACCCAATTATTATTATGCGCATCCTTGCGTCGATGAGAGTCGTCGCCTAAAAGCTCGCGACGAACGCGCGCTTTGTCATGACGTCTCTGTTCCGCAAGAATATAGCTCTCCTCCTCTGCTTCCAAAGAGGAATCAGAGTCGAAACTTGAGGACTCGCTGCACGAGTCTGAGGAATCTGATGCCGATGACGGTGACAAATCTGAAGCAGCAACAAAAGTAGGAAATTGTCCAGACTCAGTATCGTTGTCGTCGTTCAGATCATCAGTACTTTGATCGGCATGATCAGAAGTGGACCCATCACTTAGAAGAGCCTGCTTCTTCTTCTTCTTCGAACCCGAGACCTTTTTGGGGCTTGTGCCTTGGGCTTTGGACTTTTGGGGAGGCCTCGAGGACTTTAAATTTGACCTCGGCTGGTTAGCACTCCTGATATCGGAGCGTGGGCCTTTTAATGCACCTTGTTTGTGTGCACGAGGAGATGGGAGATGTGATTGTGGCAACGTGTTAGCCTCGTTGCCGCGAATTTGCCGGTCTGCTGCCGCAGTCCTGGATGGGCCTCGTACATCGACGATACCAATCGATGGACGGCCTTTGTGTTTCTGGTTCGTTGAATCTTGGGATATATAGTGACCATGGCCAGCGGTGCTTGACGAAGCGGGATATTGAGCCTGTCCGGAGGTAGACGCGGCTCCCGATCCCGTGATGTTGCTGGATGACGCGCCATCTGCGCGAGATTTCTTGCTTTGCGATGCTAGTATGCGTGCTCTGTTCTGCATACTCGCAGGAACGGTGAATTTGATTTTTAGTGACGGCATTACGGGAACGTGAGCGGTTGAGGTGCTCGAAACGGATGAGGTTGCAACAGGACGCGCAAGTCCATTGCCTGCGATCGGCGCAGGCGGGGGGCGCGGTTTGTTGTCGCAGGTGCAATCTCCATCGCACACCGGACATATATCGTTGTCGTCCTCGTCGTCTGGAGGAAGACAACTTACGGCGGCGCCTGCGGAATGGATGAGGGAAGGAGACATCGCTGGGGAGGATTGTTTTTGATAATCTGACGAGTACAGATGATGTGTGAGTAAATGTACGTATAAACGAGGAACCGAGAGAGGACAATAAAATAAAATGATGATCCACTTGAACTGCCCTCGACATGTTCACAGAAGCAAAACGAAACACGGGATATTCCTGAGAAGACACGCGCATAAAGCAAGTAGAAATCAGAGTAGGCATCGGTCGGGCCATAGTATTACATGTAAAGATATCAGTACAGGGCCTCAACAAGCGATGGTTTGTCGCGTGACCCAGATAAAGAATGGTCCTTGGCTCAACAGCTCCGTAATGAGAAGGAGAGGATAGACTTACTGGAAACTCGATTTCTTTGCATCTTTTGACGACAAATAACATGGATAAGATATAGGCTCCAGATTGGCTGTTCCCTGCAGCTTTGTTAGTATTTAATGCTGGCAGCGGCGATGGGCCACTGTATGACTTTCGCTGGTGACTGCGGTGAAAAGAGAAGGAAATCTTCACTTCATAATTTTGACCCATCAAACTTCCCGCTACCGTAATGATTACATAAACAAAACTCATATTGACAAATGACAGCCCGTGATGACTTTCCCATCTTTCATCCATGCAACGTGAGTTCATGGCTTCGGATTACAACGACGAGAAACTGAAAATTTTATTGTGACAGGAATATCTCTTGCAGAACAGATCGCTCAGCTTGAGGACGCTGCTCCTGTAGGCAAGCACTACGGCTCGGCCGTTCATCGTCCACTATGACTTATGCCGTTTCTAGACTTTGACCCAGAAAACGAAGTCACAAGCCATGATCCGGAAAATGATGATATCCCAGATAACACCAGCGGTGCACGCGATCATTATATTGACGTCGGGTAAGTTACAACTTTCATTTTTCCTCCTCGGGCATGATTTCAAGTCCTCTTTAGGCCCTCTGCGTTGCGCAAATTGCAGGATAGCATAGCTGACCCAAAATATGATGGCGTAAAGACATCTCGCAGGCAATTGATGGAATATGACGATGCCGACTATGGCGACGACGAAACCAGCAGCGAAATGGAGCACGATGAAGATGAAACGCAAGAATTAGACGACGAAGTTCCATCTTCTCAAAGTGAACCAGAGACCGAATCAGACGTACCGACAGTGATTCCTGGTACAGCTGTATCCAAAAGCACGACTTTGTCTGAAGAGGCAAAGCATACCGAGAATCTTTCCTCAACATTACGCAAAACGCGTGATGAGGATCGTAAAAAAGGGAAGGCCGTTTCGAAGCAAATTGTAAAGTTCTTCTGAGCCCCTCGTCTTGATTTTATTTTATTGACTGCATGCGGAAGGCACTTTGGGACTCGCTACTTGACGCACGCATCCGTCTGCAGAGGGCAGTTTCTGCAGGAAATCGGCTCCCACCGGTAAGCATGTAGATAATTTCTCAGTACTTCCCCTTCACCTCCACGCAGCTTACAGATTACAACGACGTCCAGCCATCATTAGTAAAGATGCTGGCAGAGGCACAGCTTCTGTCCGATGAATTGTTTGACCTGCAGGAGGCACGTTTAATGAATGATCACCGCCCTGCTCCCCCCTCTTATCAGCAATATCCACTTTTCTCAGGAATTACTGTCCACTAATGAGGCAATCGCTCCTCCTCCTCGCAAGCGGCGTAAAACTGATGACGTGAGAACTGCACAAGATTTTGCTTCAGAATTTCGAGAAGCCACGCAGGTAGCTGCCTCCGTGGAGCATATGTATTTCCGTTTGCCTTCTCAACCGCTCCACGCTGGCTAATGAGCCGCGGCAGTTTTCATCCTCATCTTATCCAGACTTTGAACAAGTGGTCAAGCAAAATTCAAGCAGTTGCCCCCTCTGTGCTACTGCCTTCCAATCGTAATGCATTTTCAAAATCATCGCAAGGATTGAAGTCCGCTTCTCAACTCGTCGATGAAACACTTGTGGATCATGACAAGGTTCTGCAGCGGACAAGAATCTATCGAGGTAAGGGATCTCGGATAGGGGCTGATAAAGGCGACGGAGGGGACGCCGAGGAGGATCGAGGTGATCTAGAGTTGTTCGACGATACGGATTTCTATCACCAACTACTGCGAGACGTCATTGATGCCCGCGGAAATGGAGGCAGCGAGGATTGGATGGAAGTTCAAAAGCAGAAAAAGGCCAAGAAGCACGTCGATACCAAGGCCAGCAAAGGTCGCAAGTTACGGTGGGTAATTCTATCAGTTTGCTGCTCCGAGATACTCATTTCGCTTCAGGTATGAGGTACACGACAAGATTCAAAACTTCATGGTTCCAGTCATAACACAGGCCAGCTGGCACGAGGAGCAGATTGACGAGTTGTTTGCTTCTTTGCTTGGGAAAGGATTTGAGAATTCTATGCAAAGCGTGGACGATGGGATGGATGAAGATGCCTCGATGAGGGAACAGATTGATGCCGCGCTGAAGAGCGGCTTCAGAGTCTTTGGGTAGTCCACTATATACTCGTAGTTGTGTGTTACATTCTGCCATTCCAGTCTGCAATATAGCTAGCATTGCATTTGAGGGGACGTCCAAATATGGACGCCAATGACAGTGACGTTCTCAGTGCATAAATCACCGCCCAAAACGCAGTTGTTGACCTTCAACGTACAGCAAGCTAGCGTCTATTCTACTGCTTGTGACATCTTTTTGCACAGACAGTGTGCTTCAGAGACCTTCTAGGGGGTTACCATCTAGCAGCCTGTGTTCCACTTCGAATTTAACTTGTACAACCGGACTTCAGCAAGTTCCTCAACTGACGCAACAATACACATTGTTGCAGCTTCAACATGGACAATTTCGAGGACGAAAATCCGTTCGAGACCGATGCTGATCGTGTACCCTCTGAAACATCGTCCACATCGAAGGTGAACATATCTGCGCCCTCTTCTCCCCCCCATCCCGCTCGGGTACTCTCACCAACAAGCCCAGCACCGAGTCGTCCATTTCCTTCGTCTGGAACCAACAGGCATCCACAGACGACATACAAGAGTGATTTTTGTTGCGGACGGGACCAGTGGCTGCATTCTGGGGAGGACCTCGAGATTCTTGTGCGTGGCTCTTCCAGTTGTCTATGCTCAGAAAACCTCGCTAATAAGAAGCTTACGTTGATAAGATAACGGATGCGCAGAAGACGTCTTTGAACTCGAACACGCCGTATATTGCCTATATTATCCGTGCAGGTGTAAGTACAACCCACTTCTTAATCAGATGCAACCCTCCTAACCTTATACGAGATAGAACGCGGAAGCGAAACATCGGTACTCGGAATTCGAGTCCCTACGGTCAAGCCTTGTGAGGTTGTATCCGACCCTCATCATTCCACCAATTCCATCAAAGCAAACTATTGGTGACTATGCCACGAAGCAGGCAAAGGCCAAGGAGGATGCTGCGATGATCGCACGACGGAAGCGAATGCTGCAAACTTTCTTAAACCGCATCGCTCGCCACCCAATTTTGTCAAATGAGCATGTATTCCATCGTTTTCTCGACGGTGAGGTGTCTTGGGTCTGTTGAAGTTTGATCCCATATACTGGCATTCAATTAACTGTGGCTGAATAGGCGGAAGTGCTACATTCACCTCCTCTGTCCCTCCTTCCGAAGAATACCCTCAAAGCACCTTCACACAACCCGACAGACCAGAATGCCTCTTCTGCTTACGCTGCACTTCCAAATCCATCGGCAACACACCCATTAAGAAATCCTGATCAACGGTCTGTAGACTCTGAGATATTTACCAACAAATTCGCAAACCATCTCAGTGGACCGATGGAGAAGGTCACTCGGAGAACCTTGAAGCGATGGTCAGGTGCGACCGACATTATAAATCGGACAAATGGACTGCTAATGGACTTTTGTAATGTTAGAGAATGCTCAGGATTATTCAGAACTCGGAGCTGCTCTGAACGGATTTAGCTTGAACGAAAGTGGCGCACTGGCCGCTGCCATGGAGAAGACGGGACAAGCCGTTGACGCAACATACATGTCGACAACTAGACTTGTGAGTCTCCCCTCTTTGTTCAAGTCACCCATCTGACTTCTTGGCAGCTCCAGGAACTTGAACAGAACTTTTCTGAGCCTCTCCACGAATACGCGCAATTCGCCGTGATTATCAAGAAGCTGCTTGCATATCGTCACCAAAAGCACGTTCAGTACGAGATGACCCAGGACGCACTGGAGAACAAGCGTGAACTGCTAGAAGAATACGAAAAGAGCGAACGAGAGGCAAAGAGGTTGGAGGAGGCGTTATCCAAAGGTCGTGTCAATGGCCCGCGGACGCCAAGCAGCCCTGCCGAGGGCGAAGAAGGCCAAAGTCAGACTCAAGGTGAGGCTGAGGAACCGGGTTCAGCATTTCTGCCCCCGCATCCAGGTCCCAGCCCATACAAACGGCGAGCACCTGGTATGGGCTTTTTAAATGCTTTAAGTTACACGCTCCACGGGATGATGGACGTTGATCCCGAAACGGCGCGTCGTAGTGGCATTAGCAAGACGCGGGAGACCATCTCGCAGGTATATCTTTTACTATTTTCCCTGTTGCTGAACATGAACCTGACTGCATCTCAATATAGCTGGAAGACGCTCTGCACCTCTCAGCACAAGATCTCAAGTACTCGAGCTCGACGATCCAGGCTGATTTAGATCGCTTCCAGAGACAGAAAGTCGCCGACTTAAGAGAGATGAGTATTAGCATGGCGAGGGTTCACAGGGACTGGTGCAAGAAGGTTGGTTCTATCTTGACTATTCCAGAATTTAGCTTTGACGGTTGCAGAACCTCGAGGCCTGGCAAGCGGCGAAGAAGGAGATTGAGAAAATTCCAGATCATCCGAATAAGAGACCTCCTTCTCCAGATGTCCGTCCAGTACCTGGCCCTTCGGGCTTACGGAGGGACTCAACTGCCACAGTGAATGGGCGGTGATAACGAGAGCATACAAGACATTATTAGATGTTCGTTGTCCTTTTTTCTCGAACATCTAAGATTTTTTTTTCGGTCGTACTTCATTTGTTTCTTCGTCTACACCCTGTTGAATGTGCTTTGGTCGAATTATATTAAATGCTCTGGAAGATACTTCACCCCTCAATTTCATGTGGTAGCTCCGCGAGTGGTCGCGAGATTCATTCAATCGCTGGGATGAGCGCCTACCACACACCATGCAAAGTTCATAAACGCCCCTGGAACTTCTGGAAGTTATTTATGTAAGAGTGAACCTAAAGCGCCTAAGGAGACAAGATCTATGTATGATGTTTATTAAAGCAAATATACTACAGTCCAACTCGGACCAAGGGAAAAGAACATGCAGCAAGAGAATACAAGTCAACGAACGTAGGAATATTGCAAGGACAGTAACTGACGCGGTCAGGTAATAATAATTAACAATTAGAAAGGGAATCAATACGAAATAGGTATGCGTGAATAAAGGTCACGGGAAGCCCTTCAAGTAGGCAATACAGCATATATCTATAGTGTTTCGTTAGACAGTCATCAACTTTTGCTGTACATCGACACGTGCAATTCATTCAAGCCGTTAATGCAACGACAGGTGGCGTATTTGGTACTGAATGGGAAGTCGAAGACGAATTGGAAGCTCCAATACATTCCTCGGTTGGCTTGCGCCGGATACGTTTATGCTGTCCTCGACGGGATTCCGTCGGATATTCGCATTTCATGCGGCGTCGCGCGCATTGGCTGAAGAAGTAGTCAGAAACAGGGAATTGTAACCCGACAAGACAGGGCTTACTTGCAGGTCTGGTCCGGGCTATGGGCAGGGGGTCTGCCACAGGCTATTTTCCTTTCTCTACAGAATAGGCAAGCAAGGGCTTGCTTCTTCTGCTCGCCGGTTTTCCTCGAGGCGCTGACTTTCATTAGAGGCTCCACTGGCGCTGGCCACGTTGTAGGGGCAGTTGAAGTAGTTTGAGAATGGCGGATGATCTCCTCGGAGCGATGGGGCCTTTTGTTGGGCTGGTGGGATACTGGTCGTCCTTCTTCACGTAACAGTAATGAATCTGGCGAAAGGGAATGTCTAAAAGGACGAGGGGAAGACCTCAGGATGCTTTGAGACCCGCTACTGTGTGGTGAACCCTGAGGAAGCTGGTGTGCATGTACAACTCTATTTTGAGAAGGAACAATCATATGAGGCTGAGGAAGGTATCTTGGATCTTGGGTGGTTGCATGGGCGTCAAGTTGCTAAAGTTTCGATCGTCATATCTTAAGCTTTGGATGGCAAGTAACAAGCGCCGGTACCTGATCAACAAAGACCCCCTCATTCATGGCTTCCAATGAGCGTTTCCTGGCAGGGGTATGATTGCTGGTTCGCATAGGGCTCTGGTGAGGGGTTGTGGGTCCACTCAAGGCAGCGGACGTGTTGCGAGTCCGCGAAGTAGATCCTCCAAACAGCGACGACGCGCTTGCAAGAAAATCATCGCTGAGGCGCGCGATCGTTGCTCGGTACTCTGAAGACTGGGCAGCCGCAACATGAGCAGAATTATTTCTGACGTCTTGTGCCCAGCTCGAGGGATACGACGGTCTTCTGTCAGAAGTATATGTCGGGATGCTGGGATATGCTACTGCATCATGGAAATCAGTCGAGGTCTGCGTGTAACGCCACATTTCGCTTGAGATGAGTGTTCGATAACAAGTTACGGTCGACAGGACTCACTAGAGATGACGAATCTGGTGGTACAGAATGAATGGAGGAAGTTGCGAAGATGTCAGCATTGGGGTGGTATTCGTTAACAGGAGTCTGAATCAATTGTTGCTCGCCCTGTGGGTCTGGTACCGCGAGCACCATGTTGTCGGGAATGTAATACGAGTAAGGCTGATACGAAGAATAATCGTAATGCGTAGAAATTGGGAGATTAGCGTCATAGTACTGATCCCCATCATAGTACTGGTGCTCCATCGTAGAATAACGGTCGAAAGCGTCGTGGATGTGCGGCGGCATAACCGAGTTCAAGGTTGGACAGAGAAGGAAAGTGTACGGAAGCAAATTTCTGACAATTGATGCCGCGGAAGAACTTTTGGCTAAATCAGTACCTGAGTGGAAGGCGAACACTTTGGTGGGGAGTGCACCGGAATCACTTGCAAGTAGATATATACTGATCCACTGCTCCACGCCCCACTAAATAATTGCATGTAATTGCAGACCACCCTAGGGCACATACATACATACATAAGGCAAACACTGGGCATCATGCGCGCCAGACTGCTTGTAACAGGAAAGGAACGCACGAGATGCGATCAATAGACATGGGATCATAACGAATAGACGGTGAAAATGGAACTAATTCACTTCCACCATCATGAGGCCATATCGGCATGATGAAATTATGTTTAGGGGCCTGTTTAGTCCTCGCCAAGCCAGTTGTCTTTTCTCGCGGAGGTTCCGCTGAGGGCGTTCTTGATTGGCTGCCACAAGCGAAGAATGAACAACCAAAAGCGTCCGTTGTGATGACCTCGCGCAGGTGGTTGGGTCTGGATCCAGACACGAGCTATGAGGGAGAAAATACACGCCTGAGGGTGCTGATGCTCATTCAGCGTGCGCATTGTAGCACAATATCATGGTGCCTTCGCGCGCAAGCAAGGAATTTCCATTCGAGTGATGCGACTCCTCGTTGGAGACTTCTCGGTCGGGCTGTATCGTGGCGCAAGGGGACGAACGCACTTCATCTACAAGTCCGCACAACAACGAGGAAAGCGATGCATCACCCCTAGACCTTGAGAAGACCATGCTGCGTGAAACCTCACGGGTTCCATCAAGTCTCTGCGGATCAAGTAGTTCAGAAATGGAGCCGGACACACAGCATACCACTGAGGTATTGAAAGCTCACTGCAAGGGCGAGTGCATTATTAGGGTGATTGCCGGCAGGCATGCGGCTGCACAAAATGTTGAGGAATTCGACTTGCGTCATGAATGCTAGTGGCCCCAAAACTGACAACAGCTGTAGCCTTACGATCTGGCCGAGCAGCATTTAGTAGGTGTTGTCCATCCGTGAATAATGGAAGCTGAAAAATTGCCCGCGTACACCGGATTGTTTTCTCGGCCCATAAAAGGGGTGCAATGGCTAGCTGTTGCTTTCCCCCTCGCGTGACATGAAAATTAGGCCCGAGGTCCCTCGCATAAGTTGTGCAACACGACGACCTTAGCTATTGCTATGGTACCTATTAATGAACGTTAAATAAGATATAATGACGGCAAAATTACAGGTATAGAATACATACTTAGGCTTTGTTTAAACCATTAATACGTCCGCGTTGTGATGGGAGCTAAGTAGCCACTAGTAAAAGTCAGAGACGTCAGTCACCCAATGCATGAATGTGACATGCATTGTGGACGCAGGGGATAAAAGAACTTCGAAGGGAAGAATTAAAGAAGATCAAAGAAGCATACTTAGTAGACTGCTTTGCTTGTAGACAGGCCGGCGACGCCAGACAAACGGCAGGACGTTGAAAGCTACGCCATGAACACAAGTAAAGCGGCACGTACAACTGGCGTTGAACCAGAATCATGGGAAATCTGGATAACAGTGGTTTGCGCCGTTCCGTTGGAACACTCGCCATTGCGCCATAGATAGATCTGATCCGATTACCGAGCGCTATCGCGGTGATGAAGAAGGATGCAAATTCGCATCGGAGGGGCATGTCACCAACGGAAGAAATTTCAAGTTTCTATCTGTTTCTATCAGAAACTTACCCAGGCAATGAAACATTCCTGCCAATGATCAATGGAACTTGGAAGGCAGAAAACAAGTTGAGGAGTGAGCGTTATCGATTCTCCACTTCGCTCGAGAGAATATTCGCAGAGTTCACCTGCCTGCAAGCTGCTGCAAGCAGAGCCTCAGGTACTAAGTTCAATCAATGCGAATAAGCTTCTCCTAAGTTTGAGTCTAACCTGATAACGGGTAGGACTGGGTGGCTGTGCATACCTATGGACCTCGTGTCAGCCGCCGCAAGATTCCTCTCATACTGTAACCCCACACTCAGTTAAGTATATTCAGGTTCACCCTAGCAAGCTCGCAACATCATGGCGTCATGGATTTCCACTGTTTCTGCAGTCGGAATGGCTATCGGACCTCCGCTAGTCTATGTTGATCAAGCTGTGTCTATCGTTCGCAAAAAGTGCGGTTTTTTACGCTCCTGCTAACACACGTTTGCTCAAACTGACGTGTTTTTTCACCCAGGGACTCGACAGGCTTTTCTCGTGATGTTTGTGCCATATTGTGAGCGCTCTAACATTACTCTGCACCCTGCAATGCTGACACCCTGCGACACTTTCATTGTTTCACCGAAGACTTATTGCAAACATAACGCGATGTTTCTTCTGGTTGGGCGATCGCTTCGAGCTTGCCCTGCTGATGCAGTCCATATTAATGATAATAGCGCAGGTATGTTGTATGTTGTATGTTGTGGCCTTCCTGCATGTGACGAGCTGACTGTCGTTAGCTGGCCTTGCTCTACATTTGCGTTCGATATCGACCCCGCGTGAGCCCTGAAAACTTTGGAGCATCGTCTCGTCCCCTCTCGTTTTGGCAGTGGCATGCGTATGCTCAATATATCGAGTTTCTTGCTGGCTTCATGTGAGCGTTAGCTCAATCTCTGACCTTTCTACTTGATCGAGCCGTTCAGTCTATGTTCAGCAATATTGTTCTTGATCTTTGGTCGATCGGAGCTATACGTCACTATACTAGGGTTTGTTGCCTTGGGACTAGAGAGTACGCTGCCTATTCCGCAGCTGATCAGGTAAATGACAACATGACGTCCACGCGCCCGACTGACATTCACTCATGTAGTAATTACAAACAACGATCACTGTATGGCTTCCGTGCTTCAACTCTCGTTGGATGGGTGGGGGGTGATTCATTTAAGTAAGTTCTCCCGATTCATTGCCCTGCCCCAGCGCCTTTACGTCCGGTCAGGACTGCATACTTTTTCCTTCAGGGCTCACCCCTGCAGTTCAAGGTATGTGCAGTATTCCAGTTGTCAGTAGACTGTGGTAAGGGGCTCTCCACACGCGTTGCAACACGTCACTAAGAGAACTTTTTAAAGTCATCATTCTACAACGTCTTTACTATGGTAATGCAGCTCCAGCGACAGTGCTGGAAGAGGGGGATGATCTTGAGCAGGAAGCTTTGGCACTATCAGAAGAATAGAGTAGATCATTGTTGGAATATGATTTTATGCACATGCCCATTGTTTTAGCTGCTGCAATTTTTAAAATTTGCTACTTGTGGCACGCATTATATATCTGTCGGTTGTCCATGGCCGCAGGTGCAGTACTACAAGCGTGAGACAAACAAGGGTAAACTTTATTAACTTGCGTTCGCTAACCCATTGACAACACCCACGTCTCCTTCAACTGCGCCGCGTCCGGCTTTCACGACTTTTGCGCTATGGCCGATATTTCGAAGCCTATCACATTCTGCGAGCATCTTCAGCTCTCAAGTTTGGCTATACAGCCTAGTTCAATTGGCTTTCAGGTACGTGTAACCCATTTAGCATTCGTTGCTGGCAAAATGAGACACTCAATTATTCATGTGTGCTGGGTTTTATTATAATCCTGCAGGTGAGCTTTGTGTGCACCTGCACTCTAAACGAGATTACTGACCGCGTGGGCTCGCGTGCCATAGACCTTGACTCTAGAGTCCGACCACTTCATTTGCGTACGAGAGAAGATTAATGAGCAAAATCAAGTCGTTATTATCGACCTCGCGGATGCCAATAATGTCCTACGAAGACCGATAAGCGCAGACTCGGCCATAATGCACCCTCACAAGAAAATTCTTGCGCTGAAGGGTACGGTTATGTGTGCATCATAGTGAAGGATTTGCTCAACACTCCTACTCTAGCTGCCCGGACGCTTCAAATTTTTAACATTGAAACCAAGCAAAAGGTCAAGTCGCACGTCAATGCAGAAGATGTCGTGTTCTGGAAGTGGGTGTCTGATACCACCATTGGCATGGTCACCGACACCGCTGTGTACCACTGGAGCATCTCGGACCAAACTTCCCCGCCTCAGAAAGTGTTCGACCGGCATGCAACTTTAACGGGTGCTCAAATCATCAACTATCGTGTAACTCCGGACGAGAAATGGTTAGTTCTCATCGGCATTACCGGTAACACGACAAATCCCTCGGCTTTCAAGGTCAAGGGCGCAATGCAGTTGTATAGTCGTGAACGAGGCGTCAGTCAACCAATCGAGGGGCATGCGGCTACTTTCGCGGAGCTAAAACTCGATGGACACCAACACGTCACCAAGTTATTTGCATTTGCAGTCAGAACAGCGACCGGGGCCAAGGTTTGTTTTCGTTTTCAGCCCGCGGAATTATCTCAACAGTGGATTAGCTTCATGTTGTCGAAATCGACCATACTGCGCCCGATCCTCCCTTCGTGAAGAAGGCAGTAGATGTCTACTTCCCTCCGGAGGCGACCAACGATTTCCCAGTGGCCATGCAAGTGTCGAAGAAGCATGGCATCATTTTCCTGGTCACGAAATACGGTTTCATTCACCTGTATGACCTGGATAGTGGTGCATGTGTGTACATGAACCGCATCTCTGGTGACACAATCTTCGTCACTGCTGAGCATGAAGCGACAAACGGTATCATTGGTGTCAACAAGAAGGGTCAAGTTCTTTCGGTCAGCGTTGACGAGCAAACCATTATTCCTTACATTTTGACCACCCTCAACAACACGGAACTTGCTTTCAAGCTTGCAAGTCGTGCGAACCTCCCTGGCGCGGATGACCTCTACATTAAGCAGTACCAGCAATTGTTCTCTAGCGGACAGTACAGCGAGGCCGCGAAAGTTGCTGCCAACTCTCCGAGGGTATGTTGTAAATTTTCGAGTATCCTCCTTATCTAATTTGTATTATCACATAGGGTATACTCCGGACTGCGCAAGTTATCGAGTCCTTCAAACAAGCTCCAGCGCCTCCTGGCGGCTTGTCACCGATTTTGCAGTACTTCGGTATTTTACTGGAGAAGGGCGAGCTCAACCATTTTGAGTCGCTCGAACTTGCGCGCCCAGTGTTGCAACAGGGAAGGAAGCAGCTACTCGAAAAATGGCTTAAGGAGAACAAAGTGAACATTCTCCTGCTTGTGTTTTACTTTTACTCAAGTTTCTTTTGAAGCTCACATGCAGCGAGGAATTGGGTGACATTGTGCGATTACACGACATGACACTGGCGCTGAGCGTCTACCTACGAGCGAATGTTCCTAACAAGGTCATTGCGTGCTTCGCAGAGACCGGCCAAACCGAGAAGATCGTCCTATACTCGAAAAAAGTTGGTTACAGCCCGGATTACATTTCCCTTCTGCAGCACGTCATGAGAACAAATTCAGAGAAGGGGGCTGAATTCGCAAGTCAGTTAGTCAATGACGAGAACGGGCCGCTCGTAGACATGGAACGGGTAAGGCTACTTCCTAACTTTGAGATCGTCGCCTCCTTATTTGTCTTCTCTTAGGTGGTCGACATCTTCATGTCACAAAATATGATTCAGCCTGCAACCTCGTTCCTTCTTGATGCATTGAAGGATAACAAACCTGAGCAAGGCCACCTGCAGACTCGCTTGCTCGAGATGAATCTCGTTCATGCCCCTCAGGTCGCAGATGCCATTCTCGGCAATGAGATGTTCTCCCACTACGATAGACCCCGAATTGCCAATCTTTGCGAGAAGGCGGGCTTACTCCAGCGAGTGAGTGGAGTTTGACCATGAACGCTGATCGTATCTCATTTATCGGTATGAAGGCATTAGAGCATTATGAAGACCTAGCGGACATCAAGCGCGCTGTTGTTCATACCAGCGGTCTGCAGCCGGAGGTGAGCTCTCGATTTATTACTTTCGACAGGAGGTAGTGGGCTGACTTTTCCGAAGTGGCTAGTGAACTACTTCAGTCGTCTGACGACGGAGCAGTCAATGGCATGCATGCAGGAGATGCTGCGCGTTAACATCCGGCAGAACTTGCAAGTTGTGATCCAGATTGCCACCAAGTACTCTGACATCCTTGGCCCGGTGAAGCTCATTGAGATGTTCGAATCTTTCAAGACATTCGAAGGTAATTTCTGCCACATGTGATTAGAGTGAAGGGTCAGGGAGCGCTAACTCTACTACAGGTCTCTACTACTACCTTGGCTCGATCGTTAACCTCAGTGAGGATCCCGAGGTGCACTTCAAGTACATCCAGGCTGCTACTCGTACTGGCCAAATTCGTGAGGTCGAGCGAATCTGCAGAGAGAGCAACTACTACAACCCTGAGAAGGTCAAGAACTTCCTCAAGGAGGCGAAGCTTCCAGATCAACTTCCCCTTATAATTGTCTGTGACCGCTTCGACTTCGTGCACGACCTGGTTCTATACCTATACCAGAACGGACTTACGAAGTTCATTGAGGTGTATGTGCAGCGTGTTAACTCTGTCCGGACGCCTCAGGTTGTTGGAGGCTTGCTCGATGTTGACTGTGACGAGACAACCATCAAGGGTTTACTTGCCTCCGTCACTGGGAATTTCCCCATCGATGAGCTTGTCCATGAAGTAGAGCAACGCAATCGTTTGAAGCTCATTCTTCCTTGGCTTGAGGCTCGCGTGCAGTCTGGCAGCCAGGATCATGCAGTCTTCAACGCCATGGCCAAGATTTTTATCGACAGCAACAACAACCCGGAGACCTTCTTGAAGGAAAATAACGTAAGTTACGCTGCTTGGCCAATGAGCTTGACTGGCGTGTTCACCTGCTTGTGTCATAGTTGTACGAGCCACTGGTTGTCGGAAAGTTCTGCGAGGCCAGGGACCCTTACCTTGCCTACATTGCTTACGCAAAGGGCTTCTGCGATGAGGAGCTTATTGGTATTACCAATGACAATTCGATGTTCAAGCAACAATCCCGCTACCTCGTGAAACGTCGCCAGCCCGAGCTTTGGGCGCAAGTTCTTGTCCATGGGAATATTCACCGCAGGGCTCTCATTGACCAGGTCAGATTAAATAAATTTGACCACGCATCTCAGAGATTCACCCTCCTTGAATAGATCGTCGCGACTGCACTTCCAGAGTGCACGGACCCTGATGATGTCTCCGTTACCGTCAAGGCATTCCTCTCGGCTGATCTCCCAATTGAGTTGATCGAGCTTCTCGAGAAGGTAGTCATCGAGCCCTCTCCCTTCAGCGACAACCGTAATCTCCAGAACCTTCTGCTCCTGACTGCAATCCGCGCAGACAAGGGCAAGGTCGTTGGCTACATCAACAAGCTCCAGAACTACGACGCCGGGGAAATAGCGAAGATTGCAACCGAACATGGACTGTACGAAGAAGCATTGACGATCTACAAGAAATACGAGCAGCATGCAATGGCTATTAATGTTCTCGTCGAGCATATCGCCTCCATTGACCGTGGGTTAGACTACGCGAACAAAGTCAACAAGCCAGAAGTGTGGAGCAGACTTGCAAAGGCTCAACTCGATTGTCTCCGCATCAAGGACGCCATTGGTGGGGTTATTCGTAATTTTTCATGTGTTGTCATTTATGTTTGTTTTTTCAGACTCGTATATCAAGGCTGAGGACCCCTCGAACTTCGCTGAGGTCATTGAAATCTCGAGTCACGCCGGAAAACATGATGATCTTGTTCGCTTCCTCCAAATGGCTCGCAAGACACTCCGCGAGCCTAAGATCGACACGGAACTTGCGTATGCATATGCCAAAACTGACCGTCTCCATGATATGGAGGACTTCCTGGCCATGACCAATGTTGCTGACATCTTGGAGGTCGGAGAGAAGTGCTTCGAGGACGAACTGTACCAGGCTGCCAAATTGCTGTTCACGAGTATCTCCAACTGGGCACGTCTTGCAACAACTCTCATTTACCTTGGCGAGAATCAAGCGGCCGTGGAAAGTGCCCGGAAGGCCGGAAACACTCAGTACATTCATTCTTTCAAGGCGTCAATCTTTAACTGACTCTTCCTCAAGGGTTTGGAAGCAAGTTCATGCTGCATGTATTGAGAAAGCCGAGTTCAGACTTGTCAGTGATTTATATATGAAGTTCAATTATTCGTGTTCTGACTGTCGTCATAGGCGCAAATTTGTGGCTTGAACATCGTTGTTCACGCGGTAAGTTTACATTCTAACCTGACTATGTCCTACACTCACAATCAATTTAGGAGGAGCTAGCTGCTCTGCTCCAGTCTTATGAACGTTGGGGCTACTTCGACGAAGTTCTGTCCTTACTCGAGGCTGCCTTGAGTTTGGAGAGAGCACACGTAAGTGTTTACAAGACACCTGGCACTGTCAGCTCTGATTGTTTGGACAGATGGGTATCTTCACTGAGCTGTCTATCTTATATAGCAAGTACAGACCGGGCAAACGTAGGCAGATAATTATCTCCATAACAATATCTCATCTCCGTTTTACTAGTGATGGAACACCTCAAGCTTTTCGTCTCGAGAATCAACATTCCCAAGGCAGGTTTCACGCTCACATTCTTAATATACATGTTTAAACCCCATCTAGGTCATCAAAGCCACTGAAAAGGCCCATCTCTGGCCCGAGTTGGTGTTCCTATACATCAAATACGACGAGTTTGTGCGTGTTCTCGCTACTAGCTCTATCAACAGATACTTACGGTTATCCTAGGATAATGCGGCTTTGGCGATGATTGAACGTTCAGCCGATGCTTGGGAGCACAACCAGTTTAAAGATGTGGTTGTTCGGGCTGCCAATGTTGAAATGTAGGTCCCCGCGGATTTGACGATCCTTGCTGACTAGAACAAATTTCTAGATATTACAAGGCGCTCACGTTCTATCTCCAAGAACAACCGACTCTTTTGACTGATCTTCTTACTGTTCTCATTCCCCGCATCGACCATGCACGGGTTGTCCGCATGTTCCGCCAGATAGATCATATCCCCTTGATTCGGGCATATCTCATTGCCGTCCAGCATGTAAGATCCTATGCTTCTGTCGTCTCTTTTTTATGGGGAGTTGACCCGTCGATTAGCTGAATATCGAGACCGTAAACGATGCATACAACGACCTCCTCATAGAAGAGGAAGACTATAAAACGCTCCGAGATTCTATCGACAGCTTTGACAACTTTGACAATATTGGTCTTGCACAGCGCTTAGAGCAGCATGGTCTGCTGGAATTCAGAAGACTCGCGGCACATCTGTACAAGGTACAGGATCATTTGGGTTCCCAATCATGCAAACCTGACTTTTTTCTACCTCAGAAAAACTCGCGCTGGGAAGAGTCGATATCTCTCTCAAAGCATGATCAATTGTACAAGGATTCTGTCATCACCGCCGCCACCTCCGGTTCAACGGATGTCGCAGAAGATTTACTCTCTTACTTCGTTGATATCGGCAACAAAGAGTGCTTCGCGGCTTTGCTATTCGTTTGCTTCGATCTTCTTCGCCCAGATATTGTGGAGGAACTGTCATGGCAACACGGTCTCAATGATTTCTACATGCCGTATAAAATCCAGGTATCCAGGACCATGCGCGAGAAGTTGGCTGCCTTGGAGAAGGAGGTCAAGGAGCGTTCTAAAAAGGAGTCTGCTAAGGAGCAGCAAGAAGCTGATGCCCCGATTATCAACCCTGCCACCCGTCTGATGATAACCAATGGGTAAGCGAAATCCTGGCGAGTTCGCATGCTTGGTCTGATGCACGGGTCTTAGATATGTCGGGCAGCCACCACCAATGCCAATGGCAAACGGCAATGGCATGGTTGGGATGATGCCTGTGAGTTTCCCTGTGATCTTGGATTTCTGTGTGACTGATCTACCACTACTCAGGCTATGACCGGCTTCGGATACTGATCGTTTTTTATGTGGACTGTTACCCTCTACCATAGTATATGCTTGGAATTTGCTGCAATAATTTTCTGTCACATCGTGTCAACTTGTGTGGGATTATTGACTAAGAATGTGGTTTGTTTATCTATTTTATGAAATCAGCCGATCCCGAAACGGCATGACTCCTTTTTACGCGTTCATCACCCACAATTCAAGTCACCAGTCTCAAGGACTGCAGTTCAATGGTTACAACAAGATCAGCCTCTCGTGTAGTCGGGCACGACTCCCTCCAAGTCATGGTCTCAAATCCAGGAAGGTTTGTCCCTCAAGCCAGTGACGAGGATTCAGAAGGCTCGGACCCTGGTCTTGCTCCACACCGCGTTAGGAAAAAATCCAGGAAAGGGGCCAAATCTAAATCTTCAAAGAAATTGAAAAGACGTGGACGACTCGACCTAATGCCCACCATGAACTTAGATATTCTGTTTCATGTCAGGTTTAAGCATACAACATCTTCACGCAAGACTCACGAGTTGGCACAGATCCTCAGTTTTCTCCATCCAATGGACCTTTTGAATCTGTCCCGAACAAGCAAGGACTTTCGAAATTTATTGTTGCGGCGATCATCCGCTTCTGCTTGGAAAATTGCCCGCCTCCAGATTGAGGATCTTCCTGGTTGTCCCCCAGACATGAGTGAGCCGCAGTATGCAAATCTCGTTTTCTACCCTCATTGCCATGTAGGACGAGTTTTCCGAAAGTGATACCACTCTTGCTGACCAACGTGTACTCTAGGATTGTGACAAAGTTGTCCGAAATGTTTTGTGGCCACTTCGGGTACGGTACTGCCCAAGATGCATTGATGAAAAGTTGGTCGTGTTGGTTACAGGCTCATCGACTCTTGTATTTACGCTGCGTCCAGCACTGTTAATCGGTGGAGTCCACATGGCCGCATCCCGTCGTTCGATTTTGACCTACCCAATGTCATTACATACGGACCAGGTAGGGTAGCTGATTTTGTGTCACTGCTCGTCTTCTTATGGTATTTCAGGACGACAAAGTAGGCAGTTGCTCCTCAAGAAGGCACACGATGAACTACTTGTCGAGCACCCGAAGACGCCAGCAGATGAGATGGCAGCTTTCCTTACTAAGAAGCGAAAACATGCTGCTGAGGTCATGGAAGTGCGTCGTTGAACTTGTTATATTGGATTATGCCAATCAATTTTTGTTTCAGCATGCCAGGCAATGTGAGCGGTGGTCAAAGTCTGTCGCAAGTTCTCGCAAACACGAACTTGGCGACCTTAGACGCAATCGGCAGAACGCGTACGCCGGTCACCACTTTCTTGTGTGCTGCAGCCTTGACTGACCTACAAACTTAGAATTATTGCTCGCCTTACCGAAGCAGGTTACAAGCCTGAGTTGGACTATATCGATATTGATTGGTTGCGAGACCAAGCGAGAACATGGTTCAGGGAACCAAAGCCTCTTACGCAGAAATGTGAGTATGTCGTCGAATTGTTAGAAGTAGGTATACATCACCTTGGCCACCAGCATGGGATCGTATGTGCCCAGTTTTAATCACAACGCTCGACCCTGTTAGGGCCCGTCGCCTAGAGGATAAGGTCTATGGTAATAGGCGTCGGATTCTCATGGATGAATACAAGAAGTACCTCCAGCAGCCTCCTCCCCCTGGCGCAGCATTTGACGTGATGCCGCACGCCGTTGATGTAGCAGAGTTCGGCCCCTTCAAAGATCTCATCACGTCACCTGAATCAACCACAATTGCTGCGACTTCGTTCCTCTCTGCTTTTCAGCAGCTCCCGGACTTGGTATCCTCCTGGAGAGCCAAAATCGATCACGATTTTTTGGACCTGGTCCGCTTTCCAGAAAACCATGGCGATAGTGGCAAACAAAAGGGCTCGGATTGGCTGCAGTTGGCGACTGCTGTATTCGTCATGGAATCCGGTAATGATTGTCGTCTCATGATGTATCCCGATGTACTCTTGTGGCCCGGATTCTTCTCTTTGTCATCCATCCCGCAGAATGACGAGCTCTTCCTACTACGAGCGAAACAGTTTGGGTGCTCCAGGTGGTCCACCGCACATTTTTCTCGGATCAATGTGTTTTGGGGAACCGCAGCTGTTGTCCAGGCCGCCAACCTTGACCCAAAGACTACGCGTCGCGAAGACATGGACAGGCTGGATGCTCGCTTTGCATGCGGAAAGTGTTCCACGCCGGGTAGAAAGGTGGTTATGACATGGGAAATGGCGGTAAATGAAATTTATGTGGATGTGACCGTGCTCATCACTTTGTCGTCACAGGTAATGCACAGCTACCGCTTGCACCGAGATCAGCAACTTGAAGAGATCAAGTGGTCATTGATAGAGGGTGACGAGTTAGCAAATGTCAAGAATTATGAGCGAGAGGTCAAACCTCCTGTGAAGGCAGATGCTATCGTGCATTGCGCCTTGTGCCAGCATCATTTGCGCGATGCACTGTCGCTTACACCCATCCTGAACCATCTGGCTCAGATGTGGGTGTTTACCTCATTGGAAGTCTATTCGTGCTAACATTGCCAACAGTCATGGGATTCCCTTGAATAAGGCTGAACAAGGCGCACACTACATTCCTGAGCGTAATTCAATATCGGTGATTTCTATGGTTTTGGACAGTGATGGTAAAATATCAAACTATGCTTCCCATCGATTAGTTCCGTCGTACTCCAGTGGGGTAGAACTCCTTTATGGCAAGAGTCATCTAGTGTAGTACATAGTTCCCATTTGTCTCATTCTTTATACCTCGCTGAATACTCATTGTACAACCCAAACTACGAATCCGAACCTACTAGACTTTGTTGCTACCTTCTTGTGAAGGTTTGCAACAGCCGGAGTCACCACAGCAGCGCTGGGGAGTTATACTAGGCTGTTGCGCGACTTCAGGAATGCCTTGTTTTTCTACCTTGCGTTCCTCCTGTCCACAACAACAGCTGCCATTGAATTGGTCATTACTCGCCCACCTAACCATCTTAAAGCCCTCCCAACCAAAAAGTATAGCAATCGCGATGGCAGTCGCGGAGTCGACCCACCACCCACCGCGCCAAATACGGTATATGAGGGAACCGATCAATAGTGCACCGCTGAACTGGATGCATGACAAGGTACAAAGTGCCTCGCCGTTCATCGTACTGGAATTCAGCGCCTTTGCGAGGTAGCGCTTCGGAATCCAGAACAAGAACATAATGAAAGTAGCGCTCGCAGCGATGATGAGGGATGCGTTGGATTGACTGGGGTGATCATGGGCGATGAGGGAGGCGATGGATGTACCTATGGCTGCTAGGGCAAGCATCACGAGGAGAATGCCTATGGTCAATGTTGCTATTTTCTCTACCCTGCTGAGTGTCGGTAGACGAAGACTGGCACCGGCCTGGAAATCTTACAAACCTCAGGTCTTTACTCATTCTAACTTTGGATCCACTGTCGCCTTCTTCACCAGCTTTAAGTCCGCTCAGAAATCTCCAAACCACGAGTGACGCCGAAAGCACCTCGATGACCGACTGAATGCCAAAGAAGATGAGAGAGTGCGAGGATGATTCTACACCAAAGACCACGGATATTACACCCTCGGCGATGTTGTAGAGTAGGCTGGCGACGCTGATGGCGATGGCGCATTGCTGCAAGACGCGTCGTGAAGCCATGGCGGCGTGAAAACCACCTTAGATTGATCACTGCATATGTGGCTGACATGTTCTTATCGCGGAGAACCTTTCTCGGCTGTATCCCTCATACGGCCACCAGACGAGCCAGTTCACCTTTATATCCTGAATATGCCTCGCCTAAGGTGCCCGCATAGGTCCGCAAAGGTCCGCATAAGATGCGACATAGATACCGACGAACCCATTTGTAATGAGACTTAAAGTCAGTAAAGTTCGTTATCGAGTTTGCGTCAAACGTTTGAGGAGCTCGAGCTTGTTTGAAGTTAAGATACTATGGCCGCGTTCATACACTGGCTCATCACATGACTTTAGGTCAGAACACATCATTTGTGCTTAGTTGTAACAATTTACAAGCTGGCGAAGTAGATCTCGCTTGTATCTAAATGAATGCCACTCAAGCAAAAGACAGACTATATGGCCAACTTGCAGCCAATCTCAAGAATATGTCGCGTGCAGTCGGGCAGACAGCAGACCTCTTTGAACAACTTCAGACAGACTTGGACGCAATGAGAGTTCTTGCTGGTACACATGCTGCACAGTAGGTGCCGATCTGTGGTCTCGTATTTGATTCATGATCTACCCTGTATATCCAGGTTTATGACCGTCGCTGCCGAACTCAGTCCCGAGTCGGATGGGGGAGCCAGCACAGAAGTAACAACTGGGGTGGGTGCTCTGACATTCAAAAATATATCATTATTGAGATCCCTCTAGTGAATTGTCTTCCGAATCTTTTATCCAATCGCGACGCAAAGAGATACGACGCGAGAACAGGTTATGGGGTAGATAGGTAGACATTTTACTTAATTCATGACTGTACGGTATCGCAATGTTGGACAGCTGAAATCTGGGCATGTTTTGAGCTTGTGAAACCTTAGGCCTTATCCGCGGCCCTAGAGCTATGTCGTCACGTGTACAAACACCGGATGAAACTAAGGTCGGTCGCGCATTTCCTTCACAAATTTGTCAATATTTTTTGATTCTGGGCGCCTTACGACCCTCCTTCTCGTTGTCCCTTGGGTCGCTCTGACTGGTCACTGCCAGCATAAGCTCCATTTTTTTTGGCTTTGTCTACTCGACTTCAGGTGCACATGGGAAGCTCAAAGGAAACTTCAGAGGATCAAGACTTGGCAGAGTTGAGGCGGAATTTAGCTACCAGGAACCAGAAAGATGCTGGAGATGCTAGCTCCGCTAGTGAGTTACTAGTTACTGATATGCTTTTGTGTGTGCTGCTTGCTCAATTGCATGGCGGTGTACAGTTCCTTCCGTCGTATGCTACTGTGTAGCGTCAATCATGATGACAGTTGTGAACAAGGTCATAGGCAACGTCTTTTTATCCTTTTCACTATCTGAAAGCGTGGTCTAGTTCGTAGTATCTGGGAGTCAATTTAACATGACGTTTCTGCTGCTATCAATGCAGAGTGTAGTCTGTGTTGCATGCGTGATCGCAGCTAAGAAGACGGGCGTAATATCCTTTCGCGATTTTGACGTTCAAGATGCCAAGGCATGGTATCTCGTCAGCTGCCTGCTAGTAGGTGTAATTTATACCGGTTCGAAGAGTCTGGTGAGTGCTGCTGAGCAAGAGTCTCAATTGGTACGGCATGAGCTAACAGCAGCCTCACATCAGCAATACCTCAGTATACCCGTTTACACGATTTTCAAGAATCTGACGATTATACTCATTGTGCGTTTATTGTTATCACTCGTAATCATGTCGAGGCTAATGAGGAAGCAGGCATATGGTGAAGTTTTTTGGTTCGGTGGACGAATTACGGGACTTACGATGGTCTCTTTTATTTTTATGGTGAGTGGCCTAGTGACTTTTCAAGTTTATGGGCTGATTTTTGTGACAGGTGTTCTCTTCTATATTGGCTGCATATACGGATGTCAGCAATACCATAGGTAACTCCGAGAACATTTCTCCCGCGAGTGCTGCCATGGGTATCGGTTTGGAGCTGGTGTCAGATATGGTTTCTAGACTGAATGTGGGGTACTTTTGGATGTTTGTGAACTGCTTGATGAGCGCTTCCTACGTAAGACCGCATTCCTTAATGATGTCGTTAAGCAGAACGTTGACTACGTTATCTAGGTTCTTCTGATGCGCAAGCGGATAAAAGTCACTGGCTTTTCGGATTGGGATTCGATGTTCTATAATAATCTGTTATCGATCCCCGTCTTGGTGGTGTTCTCCATTGTTGTCGAGGATTGGGGCTCAGAGAACCTGGTTAGAAACTTGTACGTGGCTTTTGGTGCCCCCGTCATCTAGCGCCGCAGAGCGGTTATTGACGCTCACCTATTCCAGCCCATCTGAGACACGAAATGTTCTCTTGTCTGCTATTGCGTTTTCGGGTGCGGCTGCAGTTGGAATCTCGTATTCTACGGCATGGTGTGTGCGCACCACGAGCAGTACCACCTATAGGTACGGAGACAGGCCATAGTACTCTTAACGGGCTACAGCTGACGACAACTGCAGCATGGTCGGAGCTCTTAACAAACTCCCTGTTGCGGCTTCAGGTATGCTCTTCTTTGGTGATGCAGTAACATTAGGATCGGTGTTGGCGATCGGAATAGGGTTCTTTGCAGGAATTGTGTATGCGATAGCGAAGAACAACCAGAAGAAGATGGAGAGCCGAACTCAAGCGAACGCTATCATACCATTGTCGAACCGGAAATGATAGACCGCCAGCAAGTGCACACGCTAGCTTCTTAACTTCATCATGCGTTATTGTATATCCCGAGCATCTAGACGGAGCACTGGCCAATGAAATTATGTCAGAGCTTATAGTGCGGTTTCACGCGAGTAACAGCGCTGCCACAGTGATGGAGTTAAGAGACAAGAAGTGGAGATGAAGTGGTTTGGTCCGCCTTAAACCCGGAAGTCAAGCACAATCTTGAGAGTCTAAGAGATAAACGTGCGTGCAACGAGACGATGAAACATTGTTGTAGCGGATGTATCTGCCAATGTGGACGGATCACTGCGGATTACGGCTATCTCGTGATTTCATATGGTGCGATTAGATTTTAGAATAAGCGCTCACCAAACTGGTGATAATCAGAGTTCCAGTTGTAGCTCCGTAGTCTTGACTCTGTCCTGCCATCTCACCATCCCTAGCTATAGATCAATTTCTTTACTGTCTCCCATTTTTCTGTGGCATTCCTTTGGCTTCTAAGCATCATCATGGCTTCCTCGACTCAGTTACCCCTCCACCCCCCGAGGCTGGCACATACGTTCGTGGGCACTCCAAGTGCCCCCGGTACGCCAGTGCACTCCATTCAAACTATGAGAAGGAAATCCGCAGGTCACAGTGGACCTCTCACCAAGATTCTTGTCGCTAATCGTGGGGTGCGCTCCGATCTCTCATTCTGGGTGCCTGTGTCGCTTAGATCTCATTCATTTACAGGAAATCGCTATCCGTGTCTTCCGTACCGCTCATGAGCTCGCTATGCACACCGTCGCGATCTACTCGTTCGAGGATCGTCTCTCGGCTCACCGTCAGAAGGTATTTGATACGATACGATACTTGATCTATCGATTGTTGCTCAACGTCGGGCCTCAATTAGGCCGATGAAGCGTATCAGGTCGGGAAAGGGTTGACCCCCGTTGGCGCATACCTTGCCCAGGAAGATATCATCCGCATTGCTCTTGAGCATGGTGTTGACATGATTCACCCTGGGTGCGCTATCTTAATCTCTCCTTCGCTATATATCGCTGACAATGTTCTAGGTACGGTTTCTTATCTGAGAATGCTGAATTCGCTCGAAAAGTCGAGCAGGCCGGCATCGCATTCGTCGGGCCAACGCCCGAGGTTATCGATGGTCTTGGCGACAAGACAAAAGCGCGTACACTTGGTGGGTATAACGCTTTGAGAATGGGTACCGTATATACTGACTGGAATGGTCCCATCAAGCTATGAAGGTCGGGGTGCCAGTCGTACCTGGTACACCTGGCCCGGTTGCCTCGTACACGGAGGGTGATTCATTCATCAAAGAATACGGTTTCCCAGGTCGGTTGATGCTCTCCTTTTCGCTTTCTTTCTGACACCATTTCGCCGCATATAGTCATTATTAAGGCTGCTATGGGTGGCGGCGGCCGCGGAATGCGCGTTGTTCGCGAGCAATCGAACTTCAAAGACGCCTTCGAGCGTGCCGTATCCGAGGCTAAATCAGCATTTGGAGATGGCACTGTCTTTATCGAGCGTTTCCTTGAGCGCCCCCGTCACATCGAAGTCCAGATCCTTGCTGACGGTGTTGGCAACACGATTCACTTGTTTGAGCGTGACTGCTCCGTCCAGAGACGTCACCAAAAGGTTGTCGAGGTTGCACCTGCAACCCACCTTCCCGAAGAAGTTCGTCAGGCCATTTTGGCGGACGCGATCAAGCTCGCGAGGAGTGTCGGGTACAGGAATGCTGGAACTGCGGAGTTCTTGGTCGACCAAATGGGAAGGCACTACTTCATTGAAATCAATCCTCGTATTCAAGTCGAGCACACCATCACTGGTACGATTTTTAGAGATAAATTGGAGTGCTTCTAGCTTCGCTTACTCTCGGAACACAGAGGAAATTACTGGTATCGATATCGTTGCGGCCCAGATCCAAATTGCTGCCGGTGCCACCCTGCCCCAACTTGGTCTGACTCAGGAGGCCATCACTCGTCGTGGCTTCGCTATCCAGTGCCGTGTTACTACAGAAGATGCGGCGACTGGATTCCAGCCCGATACTGGCAAAATCGAGGTGTACCGCAGTGCTGGTGGCAATGGCGTTCGTCTTGATGCCTCCTCTGGTTTTGCAGGTGCACAGATCACGGTATGTTCCAATCGTATTCTGCGTCTGCAGTCATTCTGAACTTATTGCTCCGGGAAGCCCCATTACGACAGTTTGTTGGTGAAGTGCACTGTGAGTGGCACCACCTACGAAGTTGCTCGCAGAAAGATGTTGCGTGCTTTGGTTGAGTTCCGTATCCGCGGTGTCAAGGTACTTACTGGTAGTCTCTGTATGGAAACGCGTCTGACACTGCCTATAGACAAACATCCCCTTCCTGTTCCGTCTCCTCACCCACGATGTCTTCATTGGTGGCAAGACGTGGACCACTGTAAGTGATCACATACATGTAAGGACTATAGGACATAATTTCTAACGTTTGCATCAGTTCATCGATGATACCCCTGAGCTCTTCAAGCTGGTGCAAAGCCAGAACCGTGCACAGAAACTCCTTTCATATCTTGGTGATCTTGCAGTCAATGGAAGCTCCATCAAAGGCCAGAGCGGTGAACCAGGCCTTAAGGAAGATGTTGTCATACCCAAATTCGAGAGCCGTGACGGTCCGGATGGCACACCCCTTGACACTACGTTCCCTTGTCAGGTTGGATGGCGCAACATTATCGTCGAGAAGGGCCCTGAAGCTTTCGCGAAGGCCGTCCGCGAATACCCCGGAACACTCATCATGGACACAACTTGGCGTGATGCGCACCAGTCGCTGCTCGCTACCCGCCTCAGGACGATTGAGATGGTCAACATCGCCAAGGAGACCAGTTATGCTCTCGCGAACGCATTCAGTTTGGAGATGTGGGGTGGCGCTACCTTCGATGTCGCCATGCGCTTTTTGTACGAAGACCCTTGGGAACGTCTGGTGCGCGATTTGCAGTGTGTGGGAGGAGCTCGAACTGACGTTTATACAGCGTACCCTGCGTAAGCTGGTTCCCAACATCCCATTCCAGGCTCTCGTTCGTGGAGCCAACGGTGTCGGGTACACGAGCTACCCGTACGTGCTCTCTCATTGCTGCCTAATGTCTGGCTGATTTTGTGTAGTGACAACGCCATCTATGACTTCTCGAAGAAGGCAGTTGAAAATGGTCTTGATATTTTCCGAGTGTTCGACTCGCTGAACTACTTTGGTGAGAGTGATAAAGTTATTGATTAGTCTTGATTGTTGACGGATTCCCATAGAGAACGTGAGGCGAAGCATACCAGATTATCGTGCGACTGTACTAACCTCCACTGCAGATGAGACTCGGTATCGATGCTGCCAAGAAGGCAGGAGGTGTTGTTGAGGCCGTTGTTTGCTACAGCGGTGATGTCGCAAGTCCGAAGGAAACCAAGTACACTCTGGAATACTACCTTGACTTCGTTGACAAGTTGGTCCAAGAAGGAGTACACATTCTTGGTGTCAAGGACATGGCTGGTTTGCTGAAGCCTGAAGCTGCAAAATTGTATATGAGCAAGCCCTTTTCATTCACTTTACAAAGGCTGACACTTTTGTAGGCTTATCGGCGCCATCAGAGAGAGGTACCCTGACATCCCTATCCATGTCCACTCCCATGACACGGCTGGAATTGCAGCAGCTAGCATGCTCGCGGCGGCGGCGGCTGGTGCTGATATTGTTGATGTTGCCATTGATAGTAAGTCATTGTCATCTGCGAAGGCGAGCTAGATGTTCAAAAATTCCGATAGGTATGTCTGGTCTGACATCACAGCCCTCGATGGGCGCCATATGCATGGCACTTGAGCAAACGCAATTGGGGACGGGCATCCGCTATGCCGATATCCAAGCGCTGAACTTGTATTGGAGCCAGGTTCGCATGCTCTACGGCTGCTTCGAAGCCAATGTCCGGGCCTCGGACTCGAGTGTCTTCGACCACGAAATGCCGGGAGGGCAATACACAAATCTCATGGTGAGAGTGATGACTCTGTAATGTATTTGATTGGCTGCTGAGCGATTCTATAGTTCCAAGCATCGCAATTAGGTCTTGGCACTCAGTGGACCCGTGAGTGTCTTCCTTACCAGTAACTTCCTTGCGTTTCCCAACCTTCGAATTTTAGAAATCAAGCAGAAATACATCGAGGCGAACAACCTGGTGCGTTGTTTCTGCGCGTCATTTCCCACTCCATCTGAATCGTTCCCTTCAGTGTGGCAACATTGTCAAGGCATGCAATTACCTGTTTAACTTTGTGCAAACCCTAACAAAACTGTTAGGTCACACCCTCGTCTAAAGTTGTTGGCGATTTCGCGCAATGGATGACGTCAAACTCGTTCTCCAAACAGGACGTTGTTGACCGCGCTGACCAGCTTGACTTCCCCTCCTCTGTTGTCGAGTTCTTCCAGGGCTACCTTGGACAACCTGTGGGAGGTTTCCCTGAGCCACTTCGTTCGAAGATCATTAGAAACAAACCAAGAATCGATGGACGTCCTGGTGCAACCATGACACCCTTGGACTTCAAGAAGATCAAGGCAGAGCTCCGCAGCAAGTTTGGAAAGCACATCACGGATGCGGATGTTACCTCATATGTTATGTACCCTAAAGTACGTCCGTGCCTTGTTCTCCCGCGAGCGTATTCTGACGCCATGTTAACTCCGTCAGGTCTTCGAAGAATACCAGGGTTTCCTTGAGAAATATGGAGATCTCAGGTGAGTAGTCTCATGACGCCGTGTGATGTTCAAAGATGGACTTATCCTTTGCTCAAGCGTTCTTCCCACACGGTACTTCTTGGGGCGACCAGCCACAGGAGAGGAGATGCACATTTCGATCGAAAAAGGAAAGACGCTGATTATCCGCCTGATGGCCGTTGGCCCTGTTGTGGAAGGACGTGCCCAACGTGACGTCTGGTTCGAAGTTAACGGCGAGGTCGATAACAATAATCTGACATGCGAATATTTTGCTGACATTGCCCCCTGTGCCGTAGGTTCGGGCTGTGTCTGTCGAGGACAAGAATTCCGCAGTGGAGACAGTTTCGCGGGAGAAGGCGACATCCGACCCCGGATCGGTGGGTGCACCCATGTCAGGTGTCGTAGTTGAGGTTAGAGTGAAGGAGGGCCAAGAGATTAAGAAGGGCGACCCTCTTTGCGGTAAGGAACGATCGGCTTTGTTTACTTTTCTGTCTGACGAGCGCCTTTTCTTCACCTAGTACTGAGTGCGATGAAGGTATGTGTGAACGCTTTGAAAACGACGACCTGCTGACATTTGGTTCACCATAGATGGAGTCTGCTGTTACTGCACCTGTCTCTGGTCACATTAAACGCGTGGTTGTCAATGAAGGTAAGTCATGTTCAAATTTTCCGGAACGCGGAGTTAGCCTGACATATCTGTGTAGGTGACTCCATCAATCAGGGCGACTTGACGGTGGAAATCGTCCACTGAGGCCAGGATCTTCTCGAGCATGCTGTCACGATTAGTTGTATCATAAGTTCCATTGAATTGAATTGAATGCATATCACACTGTTACCGACGGAGTCATTAATGGAGTTCCTGACAACTATTTCCCCACACGTTACGATTATTGCAGGGATATACAATAAGCGAACCGACTGTCCGAATAGGCAAGGTAGTTATGTTGTGTTAACGGAAACCAACAGGCCTGCCGCATCAAGCGGCGATAAGTGTTGATACAAGAGTTAAATGTTCCATCATATCCGCGTGTAGTTCTCGAACAACATCCTACACAAACATAGATTAGCTGACAGCCTGGCACATTGCAATTTAACTAGTCAAACTGACCTGCGCTGTCTGAATGTCTGTGACCAATTCAACGCCAGTACCAGCCCAAACCAATATCTGGTCAGGATCCCTATTCTGTACTGCCTTGTTGAAATTCTCTCGAACAATTTCGATGTCAACACCATCATCCATATCTTTCACTGTCCGGTTGTAGATGGCACGACCGTCTACGCCTTCCGGCCAATCTAAAGTTCCTCTGGCACGGTCAAATGCCATCGTGCGCACTGTCGAGTTGGCATTGGCCATGACAAGCATCTTCTTTTGCACTTCATTATAGAAGCTCTCTTCTGTCATCAAAAATCGGGTGCCGAGCACTACGCCAGAGACTCCAAGGGCAAGGAGTGAGGAAACATGACCACCAGTTGACAGTCCGCCGGCTGCAAGAAGGCAAGGACCGTCTTTGGGCAGCACTGCCAGAATAGACGGCACTAGCGTGAGAAGTGGTGGAGCGGCGCTATGCCCATGACCGCCAGATTCAGATCCTGCGGGAGTGCACATAAGAGGAAAGTTCAATCCAAGCCTAAGGAGGTTGGGGAAAAACCTTGAGCTACTAAGACGTCAACTTTCCAGTCGTGAATGGCAATAAGAGCCTCTTTCACCGAGGAAACTTGTACAAATATTAATGTTCTCTGCTCTCGGCCGGAACTCGCATCATAAGAGCGAACATGGTCGATCCATCGGCCTATACTGTTCCCGAACGCGAGCCAGATGGCCTGAACTTTGTTCGAAAGGGCAAGGTTAAGCAATCCAGCAGCAGAGGCGAGATCCTTTTCCAGTTGCCAAGCCAGATAACCTACACCAATCGGTAGAGGGTCTGTTTCTGTTAAGCGAAGCAGTGCGCGAGCTAAGGATAGCTCCTCTTGGATGCGAGAGGGGGTCAAGTATCCTTGATAATTATTCAGCAAATTACTCGCGAAAAGGTGCGAGGGTCTTTACCTGCACTGACAAATCCAAACGCTCCGGCAGCGGATGTCTGGGCGGCTAGCGCGCCGCCGCTAGCACCTGCCATGGGCGCAGCTACTACAGGAGTGGGTATGCCTGCGGAAGTATTCAGATTTGTAGATCCATAATAAAAGGCAGTGAACACACCCATCAGGACGGTGAATGCATTATGGATCTTTGACATATCGAGGAACACGGTGAGGAGGGAAGAAAGCCAAGATCCATATATAAGCAATGCGATTGTATGTGTTTCAAATAACTTCTAATACCAAACACTGTCGGGCGAATTTTCCGAAGGTAGATCACTGTTGGTCCGGTGACTGACAAAGGCCCTAATATAAATCTGTCAGCAGTGATTTTCAGCCGTGATAGAGATCGCGCGAGTGCTGGGCAATCATATCATATAGAGCAGAAACGGCTGAAAAATTAGTTACATGGCAGGAGGTAAACATGAATCAAGGGGGTATTTGGCATTGTTTGTGTCCTTCAACTCAATCTCGTTTCTTGTCATCATCTGCATCTGCAGACCATAATTCTAATCGTTCATCATGGTGAGTCCCCATCAGAACGTATTTTCATGGAGTCTGATTATCGTGCTTCAGCCTCCCCCAAAATCTAAAGGAGGAAAAATGCTGGGCCTCATCAATTGGAGGCTTAAAGTGACCATCAATGATGGACGCGCGTTGACAGGTCAAATGCTCGCATTCGACAGGCATATGAATCTTGTCCTGGCGGACTGTGAAGAATTCAGACGCGTTCGGCCCAAAAAAAAGGCGGGAGAAACTGAAACACCTGCTGAGCAAGAGATGAAGCGCACCCTAGGTCTAGTGATTTTACGAGGAGAGACAGTTGTCAGTTTGAGTGTCGAGGGGCCTCCTCCAGTTGTAGACGAGGACAAAAAGAATGCGGTACGTCTTGTTCGGCTAATTATTCGGTCAGGATCTTATATATATATTACATCCAGTTGCCTGCAGGGCCTGGTCGTGGAATGCCTGCTGGTCGAGGAATGGGCATGATGCCTCCCAGTATGTTGATCACTACACACCCGAAATCGTGTCGCTTATTAATTTACTAGTGGGTATGCCCCCCATGGGACGTCCTCCGATGCCTTTTGCCCCACCAGGCATGCCCGGCCCCCCGCCTGGCTTCCGTCCTCCTGGCTTCCCTCCAGGTGCACCATTCCCCCCTCCACCAGGCTTTGGTGGACCCCCTCCCCCTGGGTAGCGTCCTTTATTTCTTTGAGCGTACTGTCGATCCTAATTGCTTCCCAGCTTCCAACCGCCTCCCCAATGAAGTCATTGTTACTCCTTGTTGTTTGATCATATTGTTGTGTGCAGCAGACGAAATCCCGAACGTAGAGGTGAAAGCAGGGCAAGTAGTTTTGCTGGAATGTTTGTGCGTTTGCAACATGTATCTCCGAGACCTCTCAACTCCGAAAGGCTCGTTGTTGTACATTTCACTAACAAACCAACAGCACCGTCTCATATCGGTTGCCGGTTGGGTCTGCACACATTGTTGGTTGTAGAATGTACAAGTTTATGGAGTCATCCATGTAAAGACGTGCTAAGTTGCTCCTAAAAAGAAATGATGGGAAGTTGGGCAGTGTCTCACTATCTGGAAGATGCCCTTGCTTTCCCAATGTATTCTTTAAGTTCCTATTTCTGAGTTTTGTCATTGGTGTTGCCAGCCAGCTATTGATATGTTTCAGGATTGTCGAGGAGTGAATGGCTGTGGAATTTGAATGGTCCGCAGTACACCTTCTTGACTTGGTCTTCCTTCTTTCCCCTTGAGTGAGTGCCTTTATCTTCTTGGTTTCCGTCAAGGTCAATTACTGTCTCCGAGGTTCCCACAACCACCCCGAGTTCAGGCTTCACATTGATAGAAGGGCCGTGGACCGCTGACGGCCTGTGGAGTAAGTCCTTCTATCAGCGCTGGACGTTCGTGGGTGCCCATCCGCAGAGCTGTTAGTGCTCTATTGGCATATATCGCGTTAGTATTATGATGGAAGCATTGGCCAATGCACATGGTCATTGGCATCCGCTGGCATGGAATCACATACATCAGCTTCTTCTGCCCCACCTCCGCATCCCGAGGTCAGCCCTGAAAAACGCAACGTCGTAATGCGGGCCCCCGAACGTTCATTCCGAGCCGCCATGATGTAGATCATCCGAGATACAGCGTAGTATGAAGTCCTCCGTATCAGCGCCACTTCCTGCAAAGATCAGGAAGTGAGCAAACACGACACCTTCTCGTTTGATAATCCTTATCGCCCTCTCACCATGAGCGGATTTCATTGCCGAGGTTGGACGGATTCCTCGCGTTGCATATCTCATCCTCTGGACCTCCGGCTTTTGGGTATTGACCTCAGTGAACTGACCGTATGGCACGTGTCCTTAGGCTTTTGGAATTGCATGAACTTGGATCAAGCAGTCCACTTTGGGACTCGAATATGGTCGCGTCATTTGCCCTAGGTACGATACATAGACCACACTCGTCGACCAACTGTCTGAGCGCATGTTCACTGACATGTCATCACATACGTGGGTGCCAAAGACAATTTTGACTTTTAAAGCTAGTCAGTTATCCAACAACTCAATAGAGCCGAGAGCTGACCGGTTCACCTTTCAGGCGAGCATCGTGATCGCACAGTCGCAACGGCATGCTCTCCATAGCGTCCGCCGGGCCGTTTGCGATAGCCAACTCTGGTTTCGCTGTTATTCGCTTTACCGCAAGCAAAAGAGCATTGGTGTTATCAGTATCTCAACGTTCCCTGAATGACAGCCTTCCCAATTGGTCCCAAAGCGGACTAGTCGATGACTGCGGAGGTTATTAAGATGGCGCGAAGTTGAGCAACACCTGACCTGGTAACCCCTTGCCAAGTACCCAAAAGCTGAATTTTCCTGGAACTTTAGGTTGGCGCAGTGATTTAGCAAAGTTAGCATGCCGTGTCGTCTGACACTAGATAATGATGCTCCTCCCGTCGGTATATTGAACGCCAAGCAGTCTCGGTTGATGTTTGTTTATCTTCACCGCCGCCACTACCGACGCCCTGTTACTTATGTGCGATCAGTCGGAGGCGCAACTTGCTGTAGGTGGCTTGATGTCGTCACCCAATATTTGTTTTTTGATGAAATTGTTCATTGACTGGGGTTTGTGCATGCCATGCTATAGCCACCGACTCTCAAGGCATCGCAGGTTCGTCGTTTATCATTCCGGAACGGATGCTAATTGTTCTGAGGTATTTCCCAGCCCTTGTCAATAATTTCCCCGTCGACCGGTATTTAATTTTTTTTCCGGTCGGGGCGGACCACTAGCACAATCTTTCCATCTCTTCACTCATCCAATCTGCTTAACGACCAATGGAGTCAGTTACAGTCCTCAGGCGCACTCAACTTTATTTATATGGATGTATAACTTTCCAGGACTGCCAACTTTACGCATGTGCAAAAATGACCACGTCGGGTTCCATTGCAAAGTTTCAAGGCACCGCCAAGTGGTTTCGGGGAAATTGTTGCGCACTGGCAAAGACATGACGCGCGCAGCATACAGGCATGCCGATGTTCTTCCCTGAGCTAACACAGCCCTGACTATCGGGCATAGTTGTATGACGTGCTGGGAGCTGCTCCAGGCTTCTTTGGCCGGAACTTGGGCACCAAATCGCACTAACTCCGCGCTCGCAAACAATTGTGCTGAAGAGTCGCTGGTGTGCTCGGGAACGTTGCGTAAGCAAACGATTGCACCTCATGACATCATTTGGCGTCCCATACCCCCACGACAACTTATCTGATAATTCGGTGAGCTTTTGACTCGAAAGTCCATGTCATCAAACTTGGCCCATCATGAATTCCACATCAGACACTCGAGGAGACTAACGCAAGTTCGCAACATTTGATTGACGAGGAACAATCTATTAAGAAAGTTCCACTCCGATCCATTGAAGGTTCTTTGCGTCGCTGGTATTTCGTTCCTCCAATCCCGTCAAGCCACCTCTACTTAAGTGGCATATCTATTGCGAAACGGCTGACATAATGGACGTAGCCCCTGCAACGCTTATCTTATATTCCAGGCCCCACTCCATTCTCGGTGTTTCCAGCAGGTTCAATTGTCCATCGATTCAAATCAGTCACTCAGGCTTGAAACTATCAGCGCCCCTACTGCTCGATATAGCAAGAACAAAGATGAACACAGTGGCGCGCAGTCGGTATTCTAAGATTGGATATGGGGGAACAATAGAGGCAGTCTCCCGCCCCGACGCCACCGGTTGGCGGGATAGTGGTATCACTAACTTTGGAGCTAGCTGCGCATCAGGAGTGGCTGCATTCTCAGACTTAGCTAACCCCCCCGTAGTTAGCTTTTCAAATAACCTTTGACGGGCTGCAGAGCTTTGATACCCATTATGAACAAGATCCAGTGCTTGTCACTCAGATTTCTCGATTCATCCGAGAACGACACCTCACCCGGGCCACTGGATAGCCTATCCACCGCGTCCGAAGAGCGATCTTAATTTGCATGACACTGGTCTTTAACTTGAGTTGTGCATACGTGATCGTAGTTCGGAAGCTCCACAGGTACTTGGATAATATAAGTCAAGGCTGATGGGCTGACAACCTGACCTCCTGAATACCAATTTCCTTGGGTGTCAATGTCTTATCAGCGCAGCAGATTTTTTCAAAACGTGATCTTCTTACTTATCACCGTCATTAATGGCGTTGGTGGACGTGCATACATGGCTAGCTCGTGCCCAATATTCAGCTCGGGTGTCCATGCGTAGTCTGACTTCTGTGGGAGAAGATTCAGCCTTGAGTTTTTTGGTCGTTAGAGTGTTTTTGATACACGTGCCCATGTTAGTTGTCTGGAAAACGCATCCAACGGCTGAATTCTAAGAATATCACAGTAGCATGTTGTCAATCAGAACCATGAGAAAGCGAGTGAAATTCAAGCCTAAATGCATCAAAGAGTGAGAGTAAAGTGACGAGGACGGGTGCTGAACGGTGCTGTGAAATATGACACGAACTCAGTTAAGTTTCATTAATATACAACCGATGAAAGCCCTCGGAATATTCCAGAATTGAATTGTAGGACGATGAACGACCCCCAAAAATAAGACTCAAGGACCATCGAGTTTGTCACCGCACCGTGAATAAGGGTCCGTTTCACTGTGATATAGCGTACAGAACATATCATCAACGAGTCGCCCTTGCGCAGTACACAGCTCCGTAGGCGAAGCGTAACTTGCCGTGTAAGTGCGTCATGAGATCGAATCCACCCTACTACCAACGCAGTGATTACGGAAAGAAGGTATCCCATCATAATGGTCTAGGCCTACAGGACGTATTATATATCAACTGGGAGCTACTCAATTGAATGATCATTCAACCGGTTTGCGAGAAGCGGACTGCCAGATCCTCAAGAGTCATATTAACCACGATTATTCGCGGCGATACTCAGTAGTGACCATGCGGGTGGACGCGGATCTGAGAAGACAATAAACAAAAACATGTTCGAGGGTAATGTTTTTTCAAAAAAGAAGGATTGAAATCAAAGCGTCGCGACAATGAACCGGGAAATACCGAAACAGTGCCCATGCCAGCAACCATGGCCAACTACAAGTATCATGATCTTCGCCACGGAAGGATCCGTCTTTGGTTGGGACGCATTTCTTCCACGTACGGAAGAACTCACTCAACAATTGAGAAGCTTCTGTCAGAATCAGGCAAAACGTTGCAATTTCTCGAGTCTGAAGGGAGCGGATGAATCCGCGACTCAATTCACCGGTAATATCTTGTACGTATCTACCAACCTCGCACATGGCACAAGCCAAGGGGCGCTCTTAGCCAAGGCGCTCCTGTCAGTCGCTTGTCAGCCACACGCGAGTCCCTCAGATCGGCCACATGCCAGTAAACGTACGTACCATGAAATATCATAGTCATCCATAACACGGCCCACTCTAAACAGGCTAGCCTCTCACCTCCAGGCACAAAACCGTTTCATCAACTTCCTCGAGACGCGACCGTGGGTAGCTTGCTCATAATGCCAGGATTCCCCGAGACTCTGCCATTGCCGCGTCGACTTCAATGCCGACGCATGCTGGCACCTTAACGGCGATTTCTCGCTTCGCTTTGACAGAGAAACCCCGCGTTTACCCAAGACAGCACGCGGTATGGGAAATCGCCCTCCCGCGAAGTGCGAGAGTACTGTCAAACCAGAATACACCCATTCAATACGTGACACCGTTCAATTTAGACTTGAATGAAAATTTTCTGCACGCAATTGACACTGACAGCGATGAATGAAGTCTTCGCTTTCGTATGAGATGAATAAGGGCGTCCCTCTGTTGATCACACCAACTTTTCTGTGCCTTTTGACTAGCAAAACAAGTGCCCTTGCCAACGCTTCATGTTTAGAACAGGTTTTTCTTAGGTCTCCCGCAAGAAAATGTGTTCAACGATGAATTCCTTTGACTCGCGTCAAAATCTATTGTACAATAAATCAATACCATATTCCAGGGTGGTCGAGAATGAGACGTGTTTATGCAAGTGCAACGAGCTATCTATGTGTATATGCATGTATATACAAGTGTATGGTGAGAAGGAGTGTGTGCGTGCGAAGAAAATAAAGAAAAAGCGAAGGACTGTGATGGTGTGTGCTGAACTCGAGCAGCAGCGAAAGGATAAGTGGTGTACAAGATGCACTGAGAGCGTCCCTGGGTTTTGGACGGGAGTAAAACGAACAACAGCTATGAGGTGATTTTTGGGGATAAGGAAGTCCATAAGTCAAATTGCGTGAATAGGGCCTATCGGCACGAGGCGATTTTGTGAATGATGCTGAGTGAGGAACGCGGAACGATAGTGATAAAGAAGAAGACGCGCAGGACCTCAGATAAGACGACCGCCACGACGACCTCTAACGCCGTCCAATCGCTTCGATGCCATTAGGAGGATGGATGAATCGGAACTGGAATCAGAAGGGGAGGGAGATGCAGCACGCGGCCGAGACTCGTAGTTATGCTGGTAATGGTGGTGGTAGTGAGCCGGAGGTACAAAACTGTCTTGGTCGTCATCATCCCAGTCAAGCTCGGCAGCCCGGCATGAAGGGAAGACAACGGGGGTAGGGGTGTGAGAGTCGGTGGGCGTTGAGCGGTCACGGTCATTAAAAAGAGAAACCTTGGTAGTGGGGAACTTTTGGCGAACAACGGGGGCAGGGGAAGAAGATTGGATGATCCTAGATTTTTTTGAACGGGGCAAAGAGGTCGTCTTGGCGGCGGATGAATAAGGGGGGAAGTATGATTTAATTTCCTCTATAACGACTTCTTCGTTGGTAGACTTGGCATGTTCGCGGTCGCGATGAACCCACGAGCGAACGAAAGCACCAATACCAAATGGGGAGTCTCCTTCGTCGGGAGTAGCCACGAGGGGTTCGCTCAAGAGACTAGTGAGTGAGGTGCTTGCTTCGCTTATGCTAGCAGTAGTGTTGCACGCGGTATTTCCATTGAAGTAAGCGCGGTGTGTGCTGCGCGAGGGAAGAAGAGGGCGAATTTGAGCAGGTGAAGATACGCAAAGTGTGGGGATAGGTGTTATAGCAGAGGTGCGCTCAATCAACTTGGGGGTTGCCTGGGAGCGGGCACGAGGTGAAGGGGAACGACGAATTGATTGAGTGGATGCTGAAGAGTGCTCAGAATGTTCTGAGAAGGGGCAAGAGGGAGCTCCAGCGGGTACATGGGGCGGGATAGCAGCAGCCCATTGGTGAATGCGATGAGTGTTAGGTGCAGCTACTGGAGCAGCTGGTCTGGGTGATGATGATGCTGGTTGAGCATAGGAAAGACACTCTGAGGAGCAGTATGGACCAGAAGTAGTGGCCAAACCGAGCTAAAGTTGAAGTTAGATATGATCAAGGAAAAGAAGTAAAAAGATAGTTACAAGTTTGCGATCACAGGAAAGGCACCAGTCGACGTCCATGGTTTAGAATTGTAGGTAGAGCTTGAGCTCTTAGGGAGAGATTCAAAATTGTTTAGAGTAGGGCAAGTAAAGCAACGCATCCCCTCATTTCTTGTGAACGTTCTTATAAGGTCCCCCACCCCTTCTCATTCACAACACCGAATTAGGAACTAGGCGATCGAGATCGTGTGTTTTTATTAAATCGATTTAATTAAAGGAATTATTTTACGGAATTATTTTATTTTTTCTCAGAAAAGAATTTGATATTTGTTTTTTGATTCTTCTCAGTGAAGATAAGGAACAATCCCTTTAGTGGAACTACCTACCTCTACATAGTCGGCACTCCCCGGCGCTCATTGAGTGACCGGTGAGCTAGAGCATTAATGGGATTAGAGATATCCTTCCCCGCCGACCCTCTTCGAACTCAGCCAAATTCTCGAAGCCCTATACTCTGCAATAAAATGGCATCACATCCACAAATATACCGGCACCGGCTATAGGGAAACGAACAATCATCTGAACATTGCAACATCTTTGCACCCTGACTAGCGATCCTGTGACAGGAACCTTGGGTTAGTTCTTTGCCGTATCTGAACTTTGTGAGAACCTTGCATGGCGGAACCTTGTCTCATAGCTCTAGTAGTACCAACTCCCACACGAGTCTCATACCTCGTACTAGAGAATCGACAGCTGGTAGTTTGGTATAAGATGCAAGGTTTGAGTTTAACCCGAAACGTTCTGATATCAACGTATCCTATGGCAGTACATAAAAAAAGAAGTTCCCCCTCTTTCATTTACAGTACGCCCGCCCTTATCCTGCCAATACGTATCCTGGTCATCATGAATCATCTCATCCTGGCCTCTTCTTCGTGTAACTTTATCTGCCACTGAGGCCGACCGCCACCTTCCCAAGTCGACAAACATAGTTATTCCATCAATGATCATCTACTCAAATATGTTCACCCCTTCAACCTTTTCTCGCTGGCAGCTCGAACGAGCACTCTCATATTAGATACGGCATGTTCCTTGCTCCAACTCATTTGAGTACTTATAATTATAGTCACCTGCCACACCATTGATTCTCGAACCTGTTTTCAACGTACCTTCGCATCAACTTCCCGCCCCCAAAGCTAAAATATCGAATTTCATTCCCAAGTAGCGCCCGACGCCACGAATCAATCCCATTGATATCTAAACCGACGCAAGCGCCATATAACCTTATCAGTACCTTCAACTCCCACTCTCTGGCCTTGAGTCACCCGAGTCGGGGCCTGTGCCATGCTGATTGAATTTAATTGCTATGCTACCAGCTAACTTAATGGTGTGATATGATACGAGAGTTGGTGACTATCGTTTGATCGGCGGGCGTCCTATTAGCTCATTCGCCAAGCTCCTTACGTCCCGTCTATGGCTCGATCAACCTAGGCGGCTGTTAGAAATCTTGCATAGAACCGTCGGAACACCCTAGCGCGACGTTAAACTCTCAAGTCCGGTCCCGACGCACTTATTGAACAAGCGCGCATGACACTCGTACGTTCAGGTCAGGTTCCCTCCATTCTTCCTTCGGGTGATCACCATTCTCAACCGTTATCCGCAGATCTGAGGAATTTTTGCTGGTTCCGGCGCATCGCGCAGGCAGTTGATCATGTCAATATTCAATTACAATTTGTCAGCCCCCAATGCCCAGCCACCGTATCTCCAGCGAGCGAAATATTGTCATATCATGCTGCTCTCTTGCCAAATTCAAGCAAACGGATGTAGTTGCCCGCATAGAAGCTTCCTAATAACTGGAACAGGTTCGACGTGATAGTATATATCTGATAACACCCTACACATACCTTATCATCAATTACATGGTCCGCTCAAACTTGAAACCCTGTCACTCGTTGATATCGCCTGAAACGTTCTCCAGGAGAGCACCCCAAGTGGCTGCGCAGCTCTCCAGAATAGACTTCTCGTTGAGCGCTAGCACCATCGCCGCTCGGGTCCGATTCATATGCCTTGGTGTTACCTAATTAAGGACAAAAAGGACAGGGGTCAGTAACTCGTCTTTGACGGCAAGGGAAACGAGAGATCGGCGACATGAAGCGATGCTGTGCACATAACGTGGGCGCTCATGAGTCCAGCGTCGTCAACGAACAATGCGAGAATGAGAATTAACGACTTCTTTGGAGTACAATGATTCGTGTTGAAATGAGGATATTCTGGGAGAACAATGAAGAAGTAACATTTGAATAAGATTTAGCAACGTCATGTTGCTTGGAACCGTCGTGCTCAGATGACGAAAAAACAAAAATAATTCGGGCTTCCGCCTCGATATAGGCGCGGTCATAGCGAGAAATTCTAAGCAGCCAAGACGAAGACAATATTTGGGAGGACAGCGCAGGGTGGATCCACAAACTGTGGTGCCCACTCCACAGCTCCACAGGAAGTGAAGAACGGCGATCAACGCCTTATCCGAGAGGGAAACCCACACACAGGAAGTGATTACCCTGTAGATAAAAGGGGCGAGGATACGCATCGAGCCAAGCTCCTGGCAAAGAGGTAATATTAGGACTGGTTACCCTGTCCAAATGAGCAGCGTATGAGGCGTAAGTCATGCACTGGATTGACCGTGTGAAGACTGATTCGCTGTGGCCAACTATAATATGAAACAGAAGGAGAATAACATGAACTAAGAAGCCCGCATGACCATGTTTCAATTGTCATGCCGTTCATCCTCGCAAATCTCGGAAAGCCCATGGCAACGCAACATAAGAAGATAAATGCGGCTTCTCTGGGCGCCATTCTCCGCAGCTAAACGTCCCCGGACACTGACCAGAAATCACCCCATGGCTTGCGAACCCACACAAGACAGCATGCCAGTGGTTCGCGAGACGTACCCCACACGAATTGAGAATCCATGAAAAATGACATCGAAGAACTCACATCTAGGAGTTCTCCCAGTTCTGCTGCGGTCACATCATTACTAGCGTTCCGATCGGATATGTGTGCGGACCCGATCCTGTGCTGGCAAAGGTGAACGACAGTAAGAGCGAGCGTTTGCGCTACCCGATGGGCGTGTAGCGCCTCTCCGCGACCCACAATAGCACTCGAACTTCCAGTCCTGACTATTTCTTCGGCAACGGCTGTACTTCGCCTACCGAATATATTGAAGGGCAGATCCTCCTGACTATCCAAGGTATGGGGACTGGAGTGCCGTAAACGTTTTTGGGGCCGTTCTTCCTCCACATTGGGTCTTCTTCGCAGACCGCTCCAGACCATCGCTTGTGAGGTGCTTGAAGGACCCGAAGGTACTTGTTTTGTTTGAGCTCAAGGTGATAGCAGGGACATTGTAAAGTTCTGACGTTAACTTACCGGTAGTGTATGCATGGGCAGGGACGCCTGTGTCTCTACCACTGTGAAGGTCGAAGGCATGATCGAGGCCCAAAGACCTGCCGGTTGGCGCGTGGAGACTAGATATGAAACAGGCACTATCTTGCGCGCTGGCATGGTCATTGTTTTCATCTACAAATATTCCGCCAGTGTCGGTTTTGATATGTCTTCGAGTGGCAGAGAGATAGGGATCGTCCCGGGCATCCGAGGAGACAGAGACGGAGACTTCTCCGTCATCATCGCTCATTTCCCTCGCATTGTCAACATAAGTCTGCACATCCAGGAGGTGCCGTTTCACGTCTTCCACAAACGGCTGACGCGTAGGCGCATTGTCACTCGGGAAAATTGAGTGAGCAAAATTAGTCATGGTTTCTGGGGAACGTATGCAGATGGCGAAAAGAACGCAGAAAAGCCACAGGGCATGCGTCAGCTTTCCGTCGACGTTGATGTTGAAGACCTCGGGAAGAGCAGAATCTGGATCATCCCGTAAGGCCCATGGCGACGAGCCTGACGGAACATTGTAGACCATTCCATCATCACCCGTTTCGTCCCATCGGGGTTCGGTGGTCCACAGCCTTGCAAGACGCGAATATATTCGTAAGAAAAGGCTCGCAAAGTCGCCTACAACATAGATGCGGTAAACATACGGAGCGTGCCGTTCCGCAACGTACTCACCTATCTCGCGCTCATCACCCAATACGCAGCAGTCCTGAGGCACACTTAAGTTTCTGACATTAAAAAATGAGCGCTCCGCCACCATATCTCTTCGCTTATTCTCGTACCTGATCCGTATACGTCCCTGCATTTCGGCATCGTTACCACCGTCGGCGAAAGAGTGCACCACACCTATAAGACTGTTGATCAAGGCGGAGAGCGAGCCGTAACCTAACCTAACGATATCGCGCTCGTTCTCCGGCAGGGTGAAACCGTACCTGGAAAGGAGCTCGGCGTTTGAGAGCGACCCATATGTGTTGAATACCTCAGAGTGAGGTAGAATGGATCTAACAGACCGCATGTCAAGGGTATCAATCTCTGGCGTCAGTTTAGCTTTGCCCACTCCAGGAAGCGAACAGGGTCCTCGGGAAGGGACAGCAGGGACAATATCACGATCATGATCACACTCCACCAGGGATCCACATTCGACACAAACATCAAAGTCGCTCTACAAAAAACAAGTTAACTTGCGTTCCTTGTAATACATAAAGCACTGGAGAGTAAGGCGCTAGAAAGACGGCCTTGTCTCGAGACCAGTGATCACGTCGGCAGCATGTCGGTTCAAGATGAAACCCAAGTGTTTGATGCTCACCTCCATATGCACATGGTTCTCGTTCGTGTGATTGAAACTATTGGAAATGTTATTAGTGGAGGAAGCAAAAAAAAATGAGCCAGACCAAAAGAAGATAAATGAGTGAGTAGCATGCAACTACACTTGGGGTCAATCCGATCCACAAGTCTTCATTAAGTGAAGGAACTAAATTTTGGTCTAGTTTGGAATCTTCGGGGGATGCGTAGGCAGCCGCCGGCAGCGCTCTAAAGTTATAATCGTGCTGACGTATTACGACTTGCCGCCGGGATGCCGCTACCGACGAAGACGTCAAGCAAAGCAAGCTAGAACCGACTACATCAAAGTGAGGTGGACACTTGTAAGCTCGTGAGTACAAGCCCAAACCAAAAATAGTTGAATGACCCAACAACGCTGATGCCAACTCGGGTAGAACCACCGTAGAAGCATGGTCACTGATGCTTTCGGAGGACAGCGCAATGCGGGGCACGCGAAGCCTATCAGAAGCAACTGGGCCGCCGGGAGCTGTGAAGCCGCACTCAAGTAATGATGAGGAAGCGGCTAGCGGAAGAATCCCAGGCTGCTGCATGTTACGGACGATAATTCCATGAAGTTCTACTTGTTAACGCCAAACTCCAGGAATTATTGTGGGTCCAACGTAAAATGGACTTCCACGATGTACGATTTCATTCATTCATTGGCAACGGATCCAAAGCCCAAAAAAGAGTAAAAAAAATCACTCACGCATCAGCAATGGGCACCATTGAAAGACCGTGATATGAATCCACTAAAAACGCACGGGAGGACACGAGGGAGTACGCGTGGCAGAAACCAGGCAGCGAGGGTTCCACTGAGTTTAACTCATTGCTGCATTCATCGAGATGTGGGATCCCACCACCTACTACCACGCTGACATCGTGCTCAGCCTTCGCTTGCCGAAGTCTGCCAAAGGCTGCGTATAGTGTGGGTTCCACGACGGAGACGTAGTATTGACGTATTTCATGCTATTGAGTCAATGTGATCAGTTACTAGGCAGTACTTGAGAGTGTGACCAAGTGAAAATTTTGGGCCAGAAACGGAATGGAAGAACACTTCATGATAATCAAAGAACGCGAAGAGGGGATTGGGGAGAATCGATTACGAGAAGCAAAGGGTCTGATAGACGTATTTAATAGAGCTTGAGTGACCATCAGAGGGTATGAAATACCGGCATAACAAGTGTAACGCCGTTGTGGAATTCGTACCCCCAATCTCGGGAGAACCAAATGACAAGCAGAGCTGAAGAACTCATTCTTCCAAGAAGCAAGAAAGTCTGGTTCTGGGACCTCAATATGGATCAAGTCCGAGGCGAAGGACTCATCTAGGAGTCGCAGATTAGGACTTAAAGGGACAAAAGTGAAGTCTCAACAAGAATTGGGCAACCAGATATCACTAGATGTAGTGTCGAGCCAAAAGATACGTTGGACAAGAACACGAGGAGAAGGCGTGTTGGCAAAGTGGTGTGCACAGAAGATAAGGAAAATTCATAAAGTTAGCAGAGACGTGAAAAAACGTGCGCGCCATATGGGAGAATGGAAGTCAAAGGGTCGTGGAAAATGACACCGATCATCGGCGGGTGATCCACGAAGATGGTAGGTAGTAGAAATGATGACCTAGCGAGCTCGTGTGGAGCACGCGCATCAGTCGGCCAAGCCGCCAAGGTGCATGCCCGAGTATAGACAGTATGGCCGCCTCGAGATGCACTACACCCATCAGTCACGACTGTATCAAGATGATGCATTCATGGCACGCTGGTCCAATCCTGTAATACAACGAACCCTTTTCAATTGACTTCCCGACTGGGCGATAATGGTATGGATCATCCCGGAATCGATCATCATACAAGTCAATCTCGTCTCGCAAGGGTAGCACATCGATTGAAAAAAGAAGCAAAGCATGAAAGCGGAGCAAAAGACCGAAGAATAAAACAGCATTCGAAACGAAGAGCATCCTCCACAACACAAAACGCGTATCAAGCATTAAGTTGACAGAGGCAACAGAATAGGCGCACTTACCATTAAGCCGTCCAGCTCCATTTCGGCCTCCGTACAGGAAAGCCACATCCGAGCTCGCTTACCATCCAGGAGTTGGTGAGACGGAGCACACTCGGGAAATTCCGCACTGGAGCAAGTGGATCCAACGTCATCTCCAATGGCACTTTGCGAGGAAATTATGCATCCGCGGCTTGAGCATACACAGGACCGGAAGTTGATGACGTCCTCGACACCCCAGAATATGGCTATATCCACAGTTTCCCGCGGTAGGCTCTGGAGGTATCCGAACCATCTGGAATCTTGACCTCGCAAACTACACCCGCAGCATGAAACATGGCGGAAACAAGCGGTTTTGGTACACGACAAACCCCAAGGTAGTGGATTCGGATAGGAGCAACCCAGATCCAAGAGCCAGGGAACGTTACAATGTGTCACGCGACATGCAACCGGTTAGTTCATTCGATCAGGTATTTAATTTTTTGTGTAAAGTATAGTCGTTGAAGGTTGTGAGAGCACGAGAAGCCCCGTCGGACAGCGGTGTGGGAAGCAGGTGAATCGGGGTGAAGGAGCGGAGCAGAATACGCGAGTGAGCTAAAAGTTGAATACAAAGTTGTGGAAGCATAGGAAGGGTACGTACATCTCACCGTACAGGGCGAGAGCCAACGCAAGATGCGCACCATGTCCATATGGTGCAGAGGTAATGCCCTGGGAGAGGAAGCATGACTTGGTCGAGAGAATACTTGTCTTCGGAATGCGTACAACTACATCAACAATTAGAATGAGGGATTGGCGACATTTTTTAAAAGGAACAGGTGTGATGTTTGTTCTCGATCGACTTCTCCGCGCTAAAAGGTGGAGCACCCAAGCCCACTCGCATAACACCAAATACTGACAGAAAGTCTCAACTGTACAGCATCTTCGTTTGTAGGATTCACCAGCCAACCAGTGGTTTGGGAATTGCAACCATCCGGCATATGCAAACTGATCACTCACGGGAACAGGAACGATCAATGAGGTCTTCGAGTGAGTACACGCTGATCCCGCGACCACGCGAGGAGGAACTGCGGGAACTTTCCGTGCTGTCGGCTAACTCTTGATTGTTTTTACTTTCGAGAACTTGAATTCTGGGATCCATTTGGATACCATTCTCATTGCACCAAGTGAGAAGGATTTTGACTCTGGGTGATGACATCCGCGACAAGTGCTGCGTGCCTCCAGAGTCCAGACTATTTAGAAGTCAGCGTTGGATAGCAGTGATCGGCAGCAGCAGCTGGAAAATTGATGCGAGGAGACAGCTGAAGACAGTTGCTGGCAGCTTCCCAGTGCTTGCCACAGTGGATGATTTTAGGAAGTAACACCGTACCGGCGGACTAACAAAAGCTTTGTGGCACTCTGGTCAAGGGAATTTCCGCCGCCTTACCCCGTCGGGCCTGCTAAGTGTGACGGTTATGTCTGCTTTTGTACTTAACACAGTGTCCTTCTGTCTGACCACAATCCTTCGAGAAGCACAGCTAAGCCTGGCGACAGATCGAGGCTTGCACCGTTTGCTCCCGTTTACCATGCCACTGGCAGTTACAAATCGTCTCCCATTTGTGGACATGGTGTCCTCGTGCCATGTCCGATCAATGACGGCCGTGGAGACCTGCATGATGATTTTTCTAATCCCGAGACTCGGCGAGAGGTATACGTTCCCCCGTCCAAGTCCGAGGATACCGTTCGCGAAGCGCTGCAGTGTGACGCCGGGCTCCTGGGTCTTGACAGAACTGCCAAGAGCCGAAAGGTATTGGTGTGCGCGCCTCCTTTGGTTGTAACGATCTTCGTCTTGGAGTCTTTTCTGCTTCATCGCTTAAACCGCATGGAACTTCCTTCCGGGAGAGGAAAAAACACATGGGACAAGAAGGCATGTTGTTTCTCCCCGAGGGCAGGAAGCCCTTTTTGTTTTTAATTCGGCGATCCCTTCACCTTGAGGCCGGCGAAGCTCTCGTCTGTATCTCGTCATTGCTCTAAGCTCTTAGCGCGGCCGCTAGATTCTAAGTGTAACTCGCTTGGAACCTCAGACCTCAGTAGGGAGTCACACATAACGCACATGTAGGCTGTTTTCAACTGACCCTGTCACTGGTAGTTACGCAAGGACAGCAGAAATTGTTAAGACATGGTATGCAAGTAGCGTTGGCACTGAAGTCGAAGACGCTGCGCTTGCTCCCAGACGAGCGCCCACGTGCCCATCCAAGCAACCCGGATGTCTGTTGTGTGCACGGCGAGATCGGTAGCACCAGCGCGCCATCATGTGCTCAAGATACCGGACTACCTGAAGAACTTACTTCCCCCCTGCGAATTGCAGGGATAGCGAAGGACAGTCGACAACGCGGCTGCGCTTGAGGGGGAGGTGCCCATTGTAGTAGCAGGGCATGGGGGGAAAAAGGGCGGTGATTACGAGGGCGTCCGTGTAGGATGGATGCAAAGAAGGCGAGCTTGTGGAGTGCTTGATAGGCCATATGAATTTGGTCTGTCCAGCAAAGTTAGTTTACGGATCTTGCAGAAGGAAGATGGGGGGTGTATTTCTCTCATATGTCGTGTACTTTTTTTTTAGCTCTGCATGGACCCTTGATAGCCCGTCTTTACTTTCCGAGCTCCACAACAGTGCCTTCAAGTACTTCTCCAATGTTTTGAGACGAAGACCACCTGAAGGGAAAATGCATGACAAGGGCGCAAAGTTCCAAACCTTTTGCAGTCCTGCGGGAGCGAGCCTATACTCGTAAAGATGGGATGCAGCAAATGTGAAAGATAGCGAGAGAAGTGATTAATTTTACACGAGCAGCAAAAAGAATAGAGCAATATCTTTCATCAAGGCTCAAGCGGCATTGCTTAACCCTTCTTACAGCACCCCTATCGTACAGAATTCCTGAGCGAGTTTCGGAGCAAGTCCCAGATAGTGAAAGGGAACATAACCGTCCGAGTTGGATATTTCATATTCACCTTGAGCTACTTTGAACCAATCCTCTGTTTCTGGAAGTGTTGAGTTACAGTCAAAGCAAATCCAGGGCCTGTCCCTGAGGGAACAGACGGGGTCTAACGTCAAGCACGAATGGCTTCGAAAAAATTATGATCTGCGGGAAGAAAGCGACGTAACTTGTCAAAAGGGGTGTATTTTTGGCTCAGATGCTGTTGAGACTCGTCGGAGAAGACATGCCAACGAGAGTGCCTGCCCAACCGGATAAGTGATAGTTCTACACAGCCCAACAAGACAACCTCACCGTCATGAAACTGGAGAATCAGGTATGAGATTCTTTTACTGCGCAATGACGAGAAGAACGACAATGATAGAACCAAGATATTTGATCAGGACCATACTTGATCTTGGACCAGATCTCAACGAGCCTTAGAACATGTTCAATAGTGACGTGAATCCAGCTGATGGGCCAAAAGTAACAAAGCAAACACTGTGCTTGGACAGGCCTACGGACCTGCAAATCAATGTGATGAGTGTGGACTTGACTTCCATTGAAAGTTGTATCGTAACCGTCCATGTCACTACTGACCACAAGAAAACATGTGGATCGTGGATTGAAGCATTGAAGGCTCGCGGAGTACGGCGACTTCGAGAAGATACGTATCTGCACTGCTGTTCGGTTTGCCGAATGAATTGATTCAATCACGGTAGGATTGTACGTTCAGGAGGGCTATGTACAGCCGTGATAGAAGACCTCTGCGTCACGGCATTTTGGTCATAGCAGTGCGAGAACACACCCTGTCAAACATGACATGCATGACATTCGACCTGTTCCGAATTTGAACGTGTTCTACAGGATCTGGCTAACCCGTACTGAACGCCAATACAGATCATTTGTAATCCAAGCAGGGGCCTCAGAAGTACACACTCTGCGAAATCAACATCCAATGATCTCGCAGAAATAACCAATCGTCATTCTGGCAGTACTTCTGGTGACAAAAATTAACAGCGGGTGGCGCACAAGAGCTCGAACTATGACTTACATACATACACATCGCATTGACAGCAGACGCTATTGGAAGTATTACTTCCTCTTTGCCATCTGCATGGTCAGGTTGTCGATATACATCTGCAAGGTCGAATTCTCGGAGGTGAGTTTGTCAACGTCCAACTGGACGCCGTGTAGTCGTGCAACAAGTGCTGAAGATGCGAGATTGGCGGCTGTGTAAATTGATACCCAGGAAGCAAGTACCTTGCAAATCGCCCTGTGCGGCTGTAATCTCTCTGTGGATATGGGTGATTAGAAACTTCAAGTTGTAGTCGGGAAGTTCCAAAGGAAAACTGACTTGAGAATCTTCTCCTTCCGTATCGCATCCCTTACTATGTCGCCAGGCTGCTGCTCAGGTTCACCCCAGGCTGTGGCCGCTCCGAAATCATTGAACGACATGGTGTCACATGCTAAGACTTTTCATGATCTACTTTGAGGGTATAATTTGATGCCACTAATTACGCAGTACACACAACCTAATCAAGTAACAGCACTACCGTAGTACTTGGTTATCATAGTAAACCATTACACTAGTAAAAGAAACGGCAGAGCAGCAAAGGATCACCATTTAACATGTTCCTAAGACAGTCCGATGACAAACGTATACCGGGATGCGGAATTTGGATGGACAATGACAGTGTCCATAGCCAGGGAACGCCTTGACTGAGTATGTCTGTCCTCCCGTTTCGCACACCAGCAGAGCGTTTACTCCTTCTTGGCTTTCCCAGCACTGGCACTCCCTTTGGCCTTCAGTTCCTCCTCGATTTTCGCCAGCTCTCTCACCTCTGCGCGGCGCGCGTACTCTTGTCCGCCCTGTTAGAAAGAAAAAAACATTAGAAATAGATATTGGGTGGATAACACAGGAATGGAACGGGGTTCCGCGATGCGCCCTCGGGCAGAAAATATTATAAATAAATATTTTCAGGCAGGCTGAATAAAAGGGGACAGACGAGCTTCGTGCGGGAAAGCGAGCGTCGCATGATGGAAGCGACAGAAAAAGTTCAATCATTACCTGAAGTACAAGAATGGCAGTAAGGACTACCATCATAATGGTGTTACCCGCTGCGAGTATTTGCATAGCTTCGATACGGTCCGCCCGTGTATCGACTTCTACAGGGGTGACAATGGTTCGCAGGGATGGAACTGTCACTGCAAGGTAGACAGCTACTGCGAAAATGTATGCCGCTAATCACACCATAAAATTATTGAGCAGTATATTGGAGCGAGTCAAGATTTGGCTTCCTACCCAGACTTGATCCGTCAAAAAAGATGGCACTCTCATCCCACTTATGCAGTTTCGCCACGAGCCCCAAAATACCAACTCCCATGAAGCCATGTAGCAGCGCCTGTGACGGTGAGCATCATCCTAACATTGCTCATAAAGGAAGGCAAACCTTGATTGCGGGTGGTGCATTGAAGAATGTGGCATAAAATTGGAAACCGTCTTCAATAATCTCCTCTGTCAACTCTTGATGCAGAATGCGGTAATCAACAAAGAAGCATATGAAGAGTACACCTGTTGTGGAAGGACGGAGTTAGGTTCATCGGAGACATGAGTTGAGGTCTCACCAAGGAAAAAAGAGCACGATGCAAGGATAGCTCCTTGTCTGAATCCCATCTTCAGGGTTGCGAAATGACTAGTAGTGACTGCGGCGTGAATAACGGAACTTCTAACTTCTGTTCAAGACCGGAAGTAGATGGACTCACCGAAGCTCGGGCCAAGATATCGAGTTCGTCCAGGTTCTAGTAACGAATCGGATTCAAAATGACCTAGTATTTGTGTGATACCCAGCCAGAGACGAAGAAAACAAGCGGGGCAAATTTTCGAGGTCGTTGGACGTGGCGGAGTGCCAGGAGTCCCCCCACTTGCTGTATTCAACTATGACCCCAACGCCCCCTTGATCAAGATGTGCCTTGGGTACCTTGATTAACGACTGGCAAGTCCGTGAGTTCCGCGAGTCGCACGACTTGATACTTATGAGCCATCATTGCAGCTTGTGGTCCGCCCTCAGCATGAGAGACTCGGGTGTTCTGTGCATGAATGCATGGACCATGATTTTTGGCTCGATTTTCTGTATCATGACGAATGCGCGGTCCCCAAGTGCTTGGAAGTGGGAAGGAACCGGTACACTCATCCAGTTGAGCCATGCAATATTTCTTCTATGTGATGCACTGAACTACCGCTGGCCGAGATTCGCGTCCACCCAGCAATGGTCTCATCAGCCTAGTAACGGTCGGTCCAGGCTTGTCCAGGCTAATGCTTGGTATTGCTTATCACACGACACAGAACTCAACTATGTACATAGTGGGGACGAAACTGGAGTTATATATCTATGTACGTGCAAATTCACTTCGAACCTTGAATACAAAGTTCAGAGCGAACATCATTTAAGTTCAAGCTCAGTGTAAGGAGAATGGAGCAGCTCCCACGCAGATTGCCCACACCCACCACTCTATTTGCAGGCAGCCATCAGCAGCACTCAATTGACATCCACCGCCTCCCTCACTCCTGGCCGCTGGATGTTCGCAGCCCCCTCGAGATTTTCCCATGATCTACATGCAGGCAATCGATCATCGTTGCCTCACGTTTCATATGAACTGCTGCGAATCGGCCAGCGCAACTGTGTGCTAGCGATAACGGTGGCAAGAAACGCACTCGACTGGCAGACAAGGGCTGGAGTCAAGGAAGAATCTTACTGACATTGGATGTTATATTTTTGTTCGTCGTAGATCTAGGGATTTCAGACACTCTATTATAGTGATTGTCGCCGTCTTGACGCCGAGTCTTCTCTTCTTGGGTTTTACCCAACTGCGCACTTGCCCTCTGGTGTCCAAGGGATGGACACTAGCTGGTAAGTGTGCCGTTACTAATACCAGACGGCTGAACCCGCTGCATCTGATGTTTGCCTTGGTGATCTGATTGTTCGTAATTCCCCAGTATTACAGAAGCGGTCGTGGAGATTCACGATTGATGATACATGATCGATAACGTGTAATAGTACAAGGCGCAAAGTGTCGTGTGTATTTTAATACATTGTCGAGTTGTAAAGATAAGGCGTTTGAAGGAAATACAATACTTCCTCTGTCTCCAGAAGAGAACCCGGCTTCCGTGCTATTTCGGTACGCTTGCGCCCTCGATTATTAGAACATGGAAGGTGACACGATGGAAAGAGGCGCGAAGTAACCTGGGTGCGTAGGGTTTTGAAAGGGCAAATGCAGGCCGGTGTCACGGGTTATAGTCTGTGGAAGTCAAAGAGTCGAGTAATAGTAACGTGGGATGCATATAGGCTTTGACGGGTAACTTGCGGTCTCAAGCTCGGGTCGGAGTTGAGGGGAAAGAGCGGCGGTCTAGGAGTGAGAGGGATTTCATTCGCTTGATGACTGAGTTTAGAACACTTTCAGGAGCGTGAGCGTAAGCTATGGGGGTACCGAACTCTGGCACTGTCTGTAATGCCCACTAAGAAGAAAATGTTATTACCAAAACCTTTAGAAAGAGTGATTATCATACCTGGCGTATCGCCAAGTCGGCGTCGTTATCATCGGTGTTGCCCGCCGGTGGACTGGGCGTCATATCTCTGAAAACATTGCCAAGCTTGGAGACAGTTGAGGCGGTAGCGAGGGTCACGATACTGTCCGAGCTGTTCTTAGGAGATGGAGGTGAGACGGATGGCGACGACAAAGGGGTTTTGAAATCGTTAGAGTCGTCGTGCGAGAAATCAGGAGAGCGAGGATCTTCAACAGCGGTCACCAAGGAATGCTCTTCGCTAGTCGGCGGACAGGTTTCTGCAAGCCCCAGAACTTTGCAAGCCACTTCATCGGATGCGCGGAGAAGTGCTAAGGTAGAAATGCATATTGTGAATATGGCGAGACCTGGGGAACCCTCCTTTGCCTTCTGCAGGACGCGGCGGGTGTGAGGAACCACAGTTTCATGGAAGCAGACCGCTGCAACAAAGCCAGCGATGATAACTCGAGCGGCAGTAGTGGAGACAATAGAGACTCTGTTCATCCTGGATAAATATGAAGAATACTCTTAGTGGGTTACTTCTGATAACGTTTTGACTGAGCAGGCGGTTGGCAAGATCTAAACAGTTTCATATGTTCTGAATATTTGTTTGTTTGTATTGAACGCGCAACTCGCGTCATGATGGTCACGTGTACACAAAATCAAAGATCAGGAGCAACAAGGCGCAATGCGCATGGTATATATTGCAGGTGTACTTCCGAGTGAACAATGCAGATTGTTCTAGATTCTCTTACACGACCTTCTCCACACCGGATGGGAACTTATAGTCTCCCTGTCGCCTGACCTCGTCGAAGATGTCCATCTCCACCAGGCTCTTGTCATGTCCCCAAAGCGAACTCTCACTCTTTCCGTCACGCACACACCGCGCAACTTCATCCGCCTGGAAATGCCATCCACTGCCGACGTATTCGAACTGCCTCGTCTCCTCCTTTGTCACCTTCTCGCCTTGAAGGTACTGCACGGTGAAGCTCTTCGGGCAGTATATCGGGGCTGCGATCGTGATCGTACCCTTTTCATACCGAATTACAACGCCGGGCTGGTAGGTATTTGCGTTGAGGTTGCACGACAGGATTGCTTGTGCTGCCAGCCCCTTTTCAGCGAAGGTGACTATGAAGGAGGTGCTGCGGTCGACCCCTGTCAGAGGAGTTTTCAACATTGTTCCAGTAACGTTGCTAGGAGCAGCCCCTTTGTTTTCAGGGTGTTCATACAGGGCGAGCAGGGCCTGCGATTGTCATTAAAGGACTGAACGAAAAATCCTGTTGCCTTACCCAAATAAGAGGATACGGTCCCCTATGACAGGTCAGAATCTCTCCGCTATAAGATTTACATTGTGTACTTACAAATCCAGTAATGCACCACCACCAAGGTTGGGATTCAAGATTCGGTGGGTCTTAGGAATCTCTGCCGTGCCCCATCAAGTCTGACTAACGTGAAATAACGCAACAATACTCACTATCAAGCCCAAAATCGACTGACAGGTCAGCTTGGAGAGCCACTGGTGCGCCTAATACACCACTTTCTGCAATTCTCTTGACTTCAAGCGCAAGAGGCTGGAAGCGCGTCCAGAGCGCTTCCATAAAGAATACTCCATGCTCCTTTGCAGCTGCAAGGAGCGACCGAAGCTCGGCCGCGTTTGAGGTCACTGGCTTTTCGCACAGAACGTGTTTCTTTGCTTTTATCGCGTCGAGTGCGTTTTCATAGTGAAGAGTATGAGGTGTGCCTAAATAATGCTCGGTGAATCGAGAATCAGATCGACGAAGACCTGAAATTGAGTCGCACCAATGTAAACTGCATCGACGTTCTACCCCACATTCCGTTAGCTTAATTGCTACTTTGACGACATTCTACCTACCGGGTCTGCAAAGACACCAGCGTAGCTCCCATACGCTTTGATTTCGGACTGATCACCCTTGGCGAATTCAGTGATAAACTTCTGCGCTGATTGGACGCTTCGCGACCCAACGGCAGTCACTTCGTGCGCTACATCAGTGACATTACGACTGCATTGAACAATGTCATTGGATTCCACGATGGACAACAAAATGATACAAACGTTTCTGGATCAACGAGAACATCCTAAACCGCACTAGGTCAACTACAAAGAGATATGGACGGACATTTCGAACGCACTGTTACGAAGCAACTGGCGATTCTGCCAGTCGAGATAATGCCCCAGCGAAGAACGAATGGTTGGGCCATGAATGCCTATGAATGTGGAGATGAATAGAAGCGGGGGGATGTAGTTTGAATGCAGTACTCCGTCGTTATATATGGAGAGTTGGGCGCAACTTGCTGCAAGTCACTAGGACATGATCTCATTTGTTCTCAGGGGTCCGGCCCGACTTAGTCACTGCGTTGAGCGGTAAGATGGCTCTATGATAAGGCACTCCAGTACGCTGCAGATTCGGTAAAAGTATAACCCAATTGTCTGCAATCTATCGCACCTGGTGACCTAACCACGTTTCCCTCACGTCTGACCACCATCTACCACGGGTTGTCACTGGGGCCCCTATCGATCATCGCTTATCCTCCAATTTTGACACACTATTCGCGATATGTACGAAAATCAGACTGACCTAGCAAGCATCCTCACCCAACTATTCGAACATTCTGATATCTTGATTTCCAAACTTGTCCCGGAGCTCCTCCAATCCATCCGGGATACACCTCTTGGACCCATAGACCCCACCAACGCGCTCATCGAACGTGCCATCGCTATCATCCACGCGTGGAATGTAGACGACCAGGCAGAATTCATCATCGCACACCCCCGGATCGGGGAGATCAGACAGCTCTCTGCGTTGAGTGCCAAAGAGCAAAGTGGAGGCCTCTCTGCCACCACAATGGTAGAGACACACCCAGATGTGTTGAAGCGATTAGAACACCTTAATGCATGTTACGAGCGTGTGTACTCTGAACTGAGGTACATCACGTTTGTGAATGGGAGAACTAGGGCTGCGATTGCGAGGGAGATGGAAGACAAATTGCAGCTTGGACACCCTTTGGAGAACTTCCCGGATGGGCCTCCGATGAACGAGCCGGTGGTAGAAAGTTTGAGCTGCGTCGCGAAGAACAGTGAAGAGTGGTTGAATGAGCTGACACGAGCGGTGGATGATGTAGGGAAGATTGCCAAGAGTAGACAAAGTTCATTGGGGTTGTAATGACATGGAGATTGTATTAAGCCGACAGACTGGAGTTCCGTATGTACAGCAGCCTGTCACTAGATGTCCACGGAAATAGAACATAGGCAAATCAATGAGCGAATAAACACAAATGGAACAACAAGGAATCACAGAAGCAAGCGAACGAACATTGGTATAGAATACAACAACACCACGAATAAAGACTCCAGCGTCGGGAGATAAATAAAGCAAGGTGTCCGCCGAACCGAACCATAAGATAAAACTGTCCGTCGAGGTCGTGCTGCTAAATGCGAGTTGTGTGTCGCCGCGGTATTTGACCTTTGTCCGCCATCTCTTTACGCTTCAGATAGAATAATTGGATTAGAACTTGCAGATGAATAATACCAGCAACGTACCTGTAGCACTGCCTGCCTCCGCGACTCCCACTCTGGGTGGCATTCACGCAGCTCTTGATAGAATCGCTCGACCATTTCCATATATCGCTCCTTCTCCTCCTTGATACGCTTGAGGCTCTCATAGAAGTCCGCACGCTCCTTCATACGCGCCTCGCTACGTTCCTTGGTTTGACGTGCCCACTGGTCGCGTTCCATGACGCGCCTGTCGTGCTTCTCATCCCAAACTTTCTTGTTCTTCTGAGCAAGGTGGATGCGGTTGTCGTAGGCCTAGGACACACGTCAGCACTCATCAAAAGGCATAAGCATTGGCGAGCACACACCTTCCTTTTTATCGGATCACTAAGCACCTCAAAGGCGTCGCATACCTTGCAACAAAAATCATATTATCAGCATCTGCATCGAGTAAGTATCCGCACCAAGCCCAGACCACCCATACATTTCTAAACCTTCCCTCTGCAGCACGGCGCTCTTGCTCCGAGACGGTGGGTTCGAGCTTATCAGGGTGGGTTTCAAGAGCTTTCAGTTTGTATGCCTTCCTGACTGCGATTGAAAGTTACATCATCCGAATTGTGAAGGGAATTGGGAATGCGAACCATCATCTGTAGAAGCGGTAGTTGGGATTGCAAGGACATCGTAAAGTGTGAGTCCTATCATGGATGACAGAGGTATCTGAACCAATATGTTTATCGATTCGGGCTTGCCTCTGGGGCAGATCAATGGTTTTGGTTCCGCAGTAGATAAGGAACGAGAGCTGTATCGAGCACAGTCGGCGTGTTGTCAAGCAGAAGCTGCAGAGGAGTTAGAACGAAGTTTAGAACTTCAACCTTGCTTGAACGTTGAACCGAAATGAAGGGCACGCGACCGTGTATATCACGTGAGCTTTATATTTTTAGTGACACGTCACACAACTAAGACGTCTATGCTCTGCACTAGCTAGAACTCTGCAGCTCCTAGATAGGCTCTGACGACTACTGGAGCGCTCAACAAATCAGACAATGAACTGATGAATAGATTTGCAGTTTGGAGGCTCCAATCCATTATCTGTACATCCGCTGCATACCCAATCATACACTTTAATTTCTCTGTGACAGACGCCATTTCTTTTACGCTGCTTCTTTGCTTCCAGGCGCATCAATCGCGCAAAAAGCCCCAGACCACCTGCATAAACCTCTCCGTCTCTTCCAGCTGCGGGACATGTGCCGAGTCCGCAAATTGTATCCATCGCACCTTCGGGATGTGCTTGAAGTATGGCTCCACAACCATGTCATGTGCTTCATCATATCTTCCGTTGATGAGCAACGTCGTTGCCTGAATGTTGGGCAGCCGGTCAATGACGCTCCACGTCTTTAGAGAGCCAGTGATGTGGAATTCATTCGGTCCGTTCCTATGCCTCAAAGGTTGAATATGCGCACCTCAGAATGGACGAAACACCTACATGGTGAAGTACACAGTTGGATCCTTTTCTGTCCATGCGAGCGCATCCACAAGGGGCTGAGGCATCGGGTCGAGCCTGCACAAATGCCGCTTGTAGAATTCGTTTGTCGCGGCAATGTACTCTGGATCCGTTGTTGTATCCGCCTCCTCGTGCTTATTCAACGCATCCTGCACTTCCTGGGGCAAATCCTTCCTCAACTCTTGTGCGGCTTCAACCCACAGTTTCATACTTGCTGGCGAGTCAGCAATCACTAGTTTCCCAAGGCCTTTCGGCTGGCGCGTTGCAAACTCTGCTGCCAGCATCCCTCCCCAGCTCTGCCCTAGTAAGTTGTAATTGTCGTGGATGTTCAAGTGATTAAGAAGGTTGTGCAGCTCATCGACGAAGAGCTGCACAGTCCAGAAGTCGACATCTCCGTTCTTCTCTGGGATATGGGTGGAGCGCCCATTGCCGAGTTGATCATAAACGATGACGGGTACGTCGAAGAGACGTGTAAGCTCAGAGAGGATGTCAAGGTACTCGTGGGTCGCGCCAGGACCGCCGTGAAGTACTACAAGAGGTGGGTTTTGTGGATGGGGCAGTGTACCATACACCTTGTACCAAGTCTTGCATGGCTTTCCCGCAGCAGGAACGTTAAACTCGGCTTCGCCTTCTCTGAATTGTGGTTTGAGCGAGGACATGGTTTGCTGTGGTTGTGGAAATCAAAGAGCTGTTGGGTGGGTTTCGCGGATGATGATGGGCTTTATCTGTGATGGGTCTGGCATGGGAGGAGGAACTTTGAGCCATATGGTTTCTCCGGAACAGCGGTACGTTCATCCCGCCCATTCTCATTTCAACGTTTAGCTTGCTTTGCAAATCTGGTGCTGGGTCTGCTGACCACCTGGCTTGATCGTAATCAATTGCAATAAATCAGAATACGAGCTTGTAGTATACACTGAGCATCAGATGGTCTGAATGTTGTCTTTGGTAGCTAGTAGTACAGTTTAAACTTATTATCCTCGTGGGGAGTGGTATTATATTTGAATATGTGCAGCCTGACTTTCCAAACACATGACGGACACATCCGAGTCGGCAAGCACGCGCATGCTACCACCATCAATCATCTTGCGTTGATTACATTAATCTTTACTGCTTCGGTGGTCGCCGCCCTCGTTGCAATCAATGGCTATCTCACTGCCACTTTCTTCAAGCAAATCATTGTCTCGTCCACTACACTTCTCAGATCCGAGTCCGAGGTTGGCCTCAACTTTCAAGTCCTCACCACGGACAGTCATTCTTATCTTCACCTCCGATAAAGCCGCTGCTCGAAAATTTCTCAGCAATCGACCGCTCCACGAGTTCGCGAACGTTGATGCTTAAAGTTACACATAGGCCTCACTTGGAAATCCTCCATCTCAGTGCTTCTTTCTTAGTGAAGCACTGGGGCTCGTGCGTCCTACATAAAGGCCACGCTTCGAAGAGCTGCACTTATCTCTCTTTTCTCTTCTTGACCCCTATCTTCCTTGCAACGCGCGTACAAAATTTTAGACTCACCCATCATTTCATCTCAGTGCCCACTACTGTTCCGCACATTTTAAGGAACACGAACCAGCGGCGCACTGCTGTGGAGAGAGTGGCTTCGTCTTCCTGAGTCAACATGTCAGGCAGATCCAGGAACAGAAAGGTCACGATCCATAGATATCGTCCTGAGCCAAGTTGGCAACTAGAAAGAGCGACCGAGAGTCAAGATTAAGCCGAGAGGGGCCATCCGGGTCATCGAGAAAGAGAGCTTTCGTTGCTGAATGGAAGGTTCTGTCTCCCGATGACCAGTACAGTCCTGTGAGTAAGTCGTCGATGAGACGGAAGTTCGCGCTTAGTGCGTTTTGGGTACGGAATAACATCACCGTGACCAGTCAACTCCTGGATCATCCTCCTACTGCGCTTCCATGCCAGAGGTCCTGCCTGGGCAAGCTCAAGTTTTGCAAGGTACGGACTGCCCATTGCTAACCAAAATACGACGCTCACCATAGCTTGCTAGTACAAACCTAGAGCTTCTCGATTGATCATTGCATGTGACAATGTCGTGCGTTCTCGCTTCGGGCGACACGCTGCTATTCAGAATTCGGATGCGCAAGTGTCGTGACCAGGCAGCCCTTGTCAACAACCACTCGCTGCCATGGTGGACGCTCAGTTCGATGCTGTCGCCAGGGTAAATCGTCGCCTTCCAAATTAGAAGAAGACCATTCCATGACGCTCCATCAATGGTATTCTTTTCGGCTGAGAGTTTAACGCCAATCCCGTACACGACATTGCGCCTAACATCTTGCAAGTCCTCGATGTGAGAGGTGCCGTAGTACGACCGACAACGTAATAGCCTCCTTGGACCCTCAGTGTCTCCTGCGCCGTTCTGCTATCATCTATTACCGATGATAATAACATCGCAAGGGACAGTACCCGAGACTCCCAAGAGGTTGAAGGCCACTCCCGCGCACATGTCTACGCACCGAACATCCCGAGTCTTCGATGTCAGAGGTACCCTACGATCGAATCCCGCTGACAAACCAAACCACGCAATGTGACTGACCTCCTTCACTATCCCCTACGACCCGGAGCTATACTACCCAATAGGTTGGAGGTCACTGCCCGCAGTCTTGTACGTTCATCTAGTCCACTAAGTCCGGCTTCCTTTACTGCGGGTCAGAGATTGTTTTCTCCTTTGTACGGAACAGACCTGAGACAATGGACGGACTGCTCACAGTCCCACTTGGTTGAAGTAATCATGAATTCTCTCGATAATCTACGTTTATTTCATTGATATAATTACACTACTAAAGCCTTCATTTTCGTCCATGCATGAATGTAGGTTTGGAACACAATTTTTGTTCACTTACTTATAAGTGAAACGTGACTTGTCTCGACGCCCGCCCCATGACGTTATCAATCAATTGCTTACGGATGGACACACGGAAGACATGATGATTTGGTACCACATGGCGCTGTCTCTGGTTCTATCTCTTTATCTCATCTTTAGCGTCTACTCAAAGAACGGAAGATGAACATGGAAGTTACACAACTGGAACCGTACATACTTAAAGGTCAGTCACGGTCATGTGGGTCGAGGAAGGAAGTATACGAGCTCACACATGGAAAGGCTCGATCAAGGTCATCGACAGGTTCTTTTCTGTGCCCTTGGATTACGCCAAACCGGATGGTCAGCTCATCCGAATATTTGTGCGCAACCTTATTCCTGTGGGTGAAGCCAAAGGATCTAGCGTAGAGTCAGATCTGCCTTATCGTACGTCAATATCAATTTCTGCAATCGTTGCATGATGTTCATTCGCGAAAACCAGTCTTATATCTGCAAGGTAACTCATCACGCGCATGTCTCGAACAATTGCGAAGTGGACCAACTTCTTTGTGCAGGTGGCCCAGGGTTCGGAGTCGACCTATCTCTCAGCGTGGACTTGGGAAATGCGGTACGTTTCTTTGTCTTCATGCAAAAGAAGGTTTGCCAAGCTAAAGATATGAGGAAGCTTCATCAGAAAGGATATCAGGCAAGCGCTGCCATGAATTATCGCTCGTCCATGATGCCTATTTGACAATCGCAGACCCTTTGGCTTGATCCTCGTGGGACCGGTCTCAGCACGCCAATAACAGCGGACATATTTCAAGCTACGCAAATGGACGATAAGGACATTGCTCAATATTTCAAACACTTTCGTGCGGACAACATCGGTGGATATCTTCTAAGAACGCTAAGCGTCACTAGTGCTCATGCGAAAGATAGTCAGGGACTGTGAGACCATTCGGCACTTTCTCCTCGACGGCAAGAAGGATCCCGAAGCACGCAAATGGTCGATCTTAGGGCAAAGTTTCGGAGGTTTCTGTGCCGCTACCTACCTTTCCTTCCACAATGATAGCTTGAAAGAGGTATTCACCACTGGTGGTATCCCACCCATGGTCGACTCTCCTGACGCAGTTTACGAAGCTCTCGTTTGTAAGTGCCTAGGTGTATGCCCGCCTTTCCACTACTAACAGGCTGTGTAGTAAAGGTGGAACAACGAAACAAGGTTTACTATGAAAAGTATCCCCAAGATGTTCGAAATGTATGAAAATTTCAGCCAGTCTATTCCCAAGTTGTTAATAAACACTAGGTTCGTCGGATCTTAGATTTCCTAGAACGCAACAATGTCGTTCTTCCGAACGGCGGGAATCTGTCGGTTTCGCGATGGCTACAACTCGGGATGCAGTTTGGATCGCATGGTAGGTTTTTATTACTGCGCAAGTGCCGCTTTCCCTCATATTGTATGCGTAGGTGGCATTGATCGGGTTCACCGTACGTAAGATTGTTTCAACTTCGCCAACGAAAGCTCATTACACGCAGAGCTCGTGTTCCGAGCGATCACGGACTTGGACTCTCTTGGGAGGCTCTCATACGGACTTCTTGACAGTGTACAAGGAACGCAAAGCTTTGACACCAACCCTATCTATGCAGTACTTCATGAGCCTATTTATTGTCAAGGGTGCGTTACGGATCTACCCTTCGCGAGGCATATCTCAACTGATCATTTCTGTCTCAGGCGCACGGCGAGCTGGTCTGCACACCGCATCATCCAGAAGAACGATAAATTTGTTTGGGGAAAGGTGAAGCATATGTCTGATGATGTCCCTATTTACTTCACGGGGGAGATGGTACGTCCACCTGGGTATGTTTGGGATGCTGAACTTAATCCACACATCAACAGATATTCCCTGACATGTTCGAAGATTATCATCATCTGCGTCCTCTACGAGGCGCGGCTGAACTCCTGGCTAACGACGAAGATTGGCCCATGTTGTATGACTTAGAAACCCTGAAAAAGAACAAAGTCAAGGTAAACGCAGCAACGTAAGTGGGGTATTTGTAATAGTCAACCCAACTAAGTTGAACACGATCCCCACAGATATTATGATGACATGTACGCAACATTCCTTAAGTCACTCTTGATGTCCCTCACGTGAACTGTTTCCAGGTATGTCGATTTTGGTCTTGTGCAGCAAACAGCGTCTGTCATCGGCAACGTGGAACAACTCATCACTAATCAGAGTTTCCACGACGGCATTCGCAAGAACATGGACAGCATTCTGGAAACTCTTTTCAAGCTGTCTAAACGAGAGCGCGACTGATTAGACGAACGTTGTGGTGGTCAGCTCTCTTGTGCATAATGTAGCCTTTTCAGTTTTAGGCGCGACATTCGTTACAGGATTGACCAAGGATTCAAACGTTATCTACAGTCTTTCCACAATATCAATGCAAAAGCCTTTTGACTGCGGTTCTGTACTGTTTATCAGAGAAATGAATAGATATCAGTCAGGTCGTGAAGGGGCTCGAACACTTCATGCTCGTCGTCCTAAACTTCTCAGAGATACGAGCATGCCATTGACAACCGTACTACGACACTGTCATCTGTTGCCTTCTGCTACCCGCCGGCGCTCTGCTTCTGGATCTTTTGCTACGCGCGCAGGCAAGCAGAGAGACCCTAGAATAGGACTGAGGATCCAACGCTGCTGGTGAGCGAGACCATTGGGATATATCTCGAGGAGAACATTGTAAGGAATAGCGGCGGCAGTGCTTGATGAAGATCGACAATTTTGTAGCTAGGTCGTCGGGTGGATAGTCGGAAGAGGATTGAATCATTGAAAAGTTGCAGAATTCAGATGATGCGGCGTGGTGGGTCAAAAAATATTATCAGTGCTCCCTAATTATAATTAAGCGCTCGACTCTTTGATGAACCGGATCATGATCGATATCTACGCTCGGCGTCATTCTGCTCTGACATATTTCATTCGTTAGACTATCTGCCGTTGGTTGTCCCTAGTCTTCCTGATACTCTTATCTCTATAAAGAGTTACCGTATGTGATCATCTCGAGGATCGCAGTCTGCGAATCCTAGTACCAAACAGTTGTAAGTAGTACAGTCGGCTTCTATCGTATCTTTGCTGTTGATTTTTAACTCGTCAGCTGGGTCTATGATGCACCGCGCTCTGCAATTGGACGACATCATCTACATACTCTTCCACCATGTCAATGAACTTGAACCCTCTTCGAAATATTCAGAATTAGGGGATTTTGGGCGGAAGACTCTTGCGGCCCTTGCGAGGACATGCCGAATATTCCATGAACCCGCGCTGAATGTGTTGTGGGGAGATCTGTACTTTCTGTATCCCTTGGTAGAATGCTTACAGCACTCAGGCGATGACTCGTGGTATCTCGAAGTAGGTTTATTACAACAGAATTCTTGACTGAGTACTAACAGCTGAATACTACTAGGATCATATGAACAGCCTGACCGCTAGCGATTGGGAAGTTCTGCAGAAATATGTCCCGCGAGTCCTGTCTTTGACAATATCCCAATGTCATGGAGAGGCACCCTTTTATCACAACGTTTTGATGGCTCTTCGACAGCAGCCCGTTGCTCAGCCTCCCCTCCCAAACTTGCAGCGTTTTGATTGTCGCCACCTCATCCCCGAAGACTATCCTCTCCTCAATATGTTCTTTGTACCATCTATGACGGATCTTAGCCTCGAGATCCATCCTGTCGACTTTCCAAATATTCCACTGTTCATCTCACCTCTTGCCACTTTATGTCCTCGTTTAACATCTCTCCGTCTTTTCGGTTACGGGTCGCACGAGCCCATCAAGGCTACTGTATCAGATGTAATCATGAGCCTACCTCATCTTCAGACACTTCATTGCGACGAACTCAGTCAAGCGGCGATGAATTTCGTTGCATGGCACCCATCGTTGACCGAACTGGAAATTACTATCCCGAGTGGCCATCAGTACGATTTTTCACAGTTTCCGCATCCTGCTCTCCCTCGTATTCCACCTTTTTCCCGGATCAAAAGCTTTGGGATGAACTCCTGTCATCTGACTGACATCAATGCATTTATTAAGACTGTCCAACCCTCGCCTCTTCATTTACGTATTAAGGCGGTCCAAGGGCCGTCGCTTCAAGGTCTACAGGAGTTTTTCAGTACCTTGTCAAGTCAATGGAGATGTGATTCTATGCAGAGTCTTCAATTCCAGCCCAATAAACGTTTCCCAGCTGCATCCATCGATATGGATACCATCAAACCTTTGCTTCGCTTCTCGAAGCTGCGAGAGCTCCTTCTCTCGACACTCGGGTCCTTTCAATTCTCAGACGAGGAGCTCGCTGCTTATGGGTTCTTCTTGGCCTTGCCTTGAGGTCATCACCCTGAATGACGGTGATGGGTCCCTGGCGAGTAAGGCCATCCCCCATCACTCTGCGCGGCCTCCTCTTACTGGTGGATAAGTGCCCTCGTTTGAGGAGCGCTCACCTAGCTATCAACGCATGTGTGTTGGAGGGGATAGAGGAGCCTCCTGTATCGATGGTTGGCGCCAATGACCTTCAGGATCTCGTGCTTGCGGAAACAACCGTCGAAAATCCTAGAGCTTTTGCTCTCATCGTCTCTCTAGCTTTTCCGAAGGTGAAAGAGGTCGTGATGCCTCATTCGTGGTGGCGTATTCCGTCTGACGAGCCTAAGTGGGGCAAGGTGAATGAGTACCTCGAGATGTTCAGGTCATCCGAGGGGGGCATTGAAGGATCTAGTTGCGTTGATGCCTGAAAGCTGGTTCTCCGTCTCCCGTGTACCAATGCATACTAACATGTTTTAATTGATGTAGTACAAGTGATTGCCGCTGCGGGGCTCGTCTGGTTAATATGATTGTATTTAGCAACCTGAGAGGAAGAATGCCTTGCGCGCACGATCCACTTCAAGCGCGTCCCCAGAGTGCAAACAGGAGAATTGGATTCAGGCAGTCTATATCTGATACTCGTCATTATACATGAACAAAAATATGGGAACATTGTCAAGAGATGTGTAAAAGATGAGTCCATAAGTGATAAAAGAAACGGACAGTCCAATATTGTCTGTCAAGTACCGATAACAGGAAAAGAAACGAAACGAAAGAGATGCGGCGGAGATGAGTCCATAAGTATATAAAAAAAGGGCAGTACCGGCGATAAAAGGAAAAGAAACAAATCAAAAGTCGTATGTAGGAGAGATGAATCCACAAGTAAAAAGAGAAACGGGCAGTACCGGCGATAAGAGGAAAAAGAAACAAATCAAGACCTTTACATGCAAGGAGATAGAAGAGACTTGGGGGTAGATGTGTGTGCGGGACCGCGGGCGGTGGCCTTCAACTTCTTGGATAGTGGAAATCCAGGTCGTAGGGGACGAAGGAGGCCGTTACGTTGTGTGTGCGTCGGATTCGGTCGTAGGGGACCTCTAACCGCAGAAATGGTAGGGACGAAGGAGGCCGTTACGTTGTGTGCGTCGGATTCGGTCGTAGGGGACCTCGGACCGCAGAAATGGTAGGCGCGTAGAAATGTGCCGGTCGTTATTGATTAGCGTGATGGTCCATCTTGAAGAAGAGTGCTATGAAGAAGAGTGCTATGTAGGAGAGAGTCCTGGAATGGGCGTGTTCGGAAGCGACAGTGGTGACAGCATTGATGTCAGTCCCAGTTCAGCCATGGCAGTGGCCCAGCCGTCGACGAGAGCTGCCTGGTCGACGAGAATCTCGTCGTAGACTTGTTCGAGGTGACCTATATGAAATGAGTAAGTGATGTGGGCGACAGGAGAAATTACTTACTAATCATTATATTGTCTTGCTTGAGATGTGAGCGCGCGATGCTGTCACGCGCGGCAATCAGACGAGCAGCGTACTAACAAATTGATACAATGAGCGTCATACCCGGTTTAGCGACAGGCACGTGGATACTAACCTTCTGTTTACTGAGGTGCGACCTTTGATGTCGAAGCGCCGTAGTAGGGTGAGGTAGGAGTCCGTCGGTAACGCGCTTCGTACCTGGAGGCTTTAGACGCGGTTTCGTCGTCCGAGGCAATGCTTCGATGGAGCTGGCGGATCCAGGAGGAGCGGCAAGGTCAGGATTGGCAGATGGCGTCTGGTGTAAGTTGTCGACTAGTAAAATCAGCGGCAGCGGTTGCGGAGAGGGACAATCTGAGTCGCCGGGGGTAGGAGTCGTCGTCCCTGGGGTCGGGTTGCTTGAAAGTTCGTCCTAGAGATTCAAACATTAGCAACTGATGAAGTTTAGTGCACTGTGCGGCGGGTCGCGGCTCCGTACCTTACAGACAGTGCTTCCGTCACCATCACATTTACGATCTCCCGAGTCGGTGTCTGAGTCATGGTCGGAGACGGGAGTGTCCTTGTCGAAGTCGTCGTCGTGGGATACGACAGTGGTGTCGGAATCGAGCGAGCAGCGTTTTGGCCTTGGGATTGGTGTTGAATGTAGCCATAGAGAGTAGGGTGTAGGCGAGTATGCAGTGATTGGCGAGGCTTCGGTTGCGGGCACATTTTGCGAGGATGATGCATTGGGTGGAGTAAAGATGTCGCCGGCGAATGGTGGACTTGGGTTGAACGTAGCTTCGGAGCGGGTTCCTTGTTGATGCCACTGAGAAATATGCGGGCGGCTTTGTTGGAGGCTAAGATGAGAATTGCAGGAGAAACACAGAAATTTAGTGCAATGCCGGCGAGATCGGAGACGTTCTCCGCGTCGCGTATAAGCTGGACGGTGGAGTCCAAAACAACTTCCTTGTAATTCGCGACATAGAGATATCCAATGATAGTGAGGCGAGCACCTCCGTTGAACATGGTGGAGATCATTATGTTGGATGGATGAATGCGAGTAAATATAAAGATGAGCTGGTACGCGTGTAAATCGACGGCAAGAAGATGGCGGACACTGGATACTTTGCGCGAGCGCGATATTTATACTCTTCCAGATTAGAGTTTGCGGGCGCGCATAATATTTTATACTCTCCTAGATTAAAGTTTGTTAAACAGACTCGATCGCGACGCGTCAGTCACGTGGTGTAAAATCAACCCTTATAAGTATAACGCACGACTGACCATGCACTACAGACGAACTTGCCCTCCGACATATCATCATGGTGTTGTTCGTACTGAGAATGGGCGTGGTCTACATAGACATGACTAGGTTATAGCAATCTGAAGGCGAAGAGCGCTGGATAACTTACATTAGATTAATCCTAAGCTAATCTCCAAGCTTCCTCCAAACCGTAACATTCATGTCGCTCATCAACCCAACTTAATATATCTTTCAAGCCCTCTTCGCAGCGTGCAAAAACCGCTAGAATATACGCTCATCCTCTCCCAATCATATTTCCGGAGCTAACATACAGACTCTCGCTCACCCAAACACTCAATCCTCACTGCACTGCGCTGTTCGGCCCTGTCACCCGCTGAGCTTGGGTCTCAAACTCTGGCGATGCAAGCTTATTATGGCAGCGTGACTCTTTGGAAAGTGAGACCTGTCCAGGAGTGAGTCCAGCTGGTTGGCGAGACAAGTAAATGAACGGGAAAGGTGCATCGTTCTCTTCTTTTGTTTCGTCATGTTGTAAAACTCTTATCTGGTACAGGACTCACATCCGAAGAGATCATCGCCGCCAAACACCATGCAGAGCGCAAACAGTTTAAGCTCGATCGTGCGAAGTTGCTGCGGCTACTTTCAAGGAAGAAGGCCGCGTTATCGTGCCTGGTATTGCGCCGGATGGCACACAGATGCATCACCTCTGCTGCGACCTGGAAACCAACATGTGCATCCGTGCCTTCCGAACAGTCACCTCCTGACGTCGGTGCCAGGTCGGACATTCTCACTTCAAGCAAGAGGGTCTCGTTTATCTTCACAATGTCAATTTCGCCTTCGTTAGCCTCATGTCCCCTGCGGGTGGGCAGGTTCGCCAAAAGCCGCCCTTCTACCTCATGCAACACCTTGTTACCTTGTATCCTGGTATTGGATTTGCAAGAGCGCGGGCGACGAATTGCTGCTCATCGACAGATTTGTATCTGATATTGAACACTGACCTGGCATGTAGTAGGTAGACCACGACATATGCACCTCGGGTTCAAACTGCACCACAGCACTGCAGCACATTGTAGGAGACGCAATGAGAGTGGTCGGCGATGCTCCAGGAAATTGATGTGTCGTGACAACCAGAAACTTGTGACCGAATAATAGACTGAGACCGTGCTTTGATTACGATGGGGTCACTATATTCTAGCGCCAAAGCAGGTTCGGGTACATCCAGCAGGAAGGCGTATCGATATCTAATCCGAGAGTTCCTTTTCCTTCACACCATATTTTGCGGGGTCGGTACCATGATGTTGATGATTCACAAAGTTGAACCTAAGAAATTTGTTATGGGTCAGGGACAGAACACTCTAGTGACATATATTCGTACATGGGGAATGCGTCTGCAAATTAGATGTATTTAGCTGGAGAACACTAGTTGACATACTTCAGTGACACTCACGGAATTTCAACTGAGACCACGCAGAATTCCGGTATGCAGTGCCCTGCACCCACTCTGGCTGGCTTGATGTACCATACAAAGGCTTACCCTCGGCTGCCCTTTGGGAGAGCTCAGCCACGTCCATGTCCTCCTCTCGTTTGTTCTCTGACCAACCCCAGAAACGGACTAACGGGAAAAACATGAGGCTGCTCAGGCCGCACAAAACCAAGGCAACTCACAACTTGAGCGTTGGTATGCTAGCAAGAACCCGCCGACGAAGCCAAGGAAGCCTCCGAGCCGAAGGCTGGTCCGCAGACGAACCTTCGCGGGGTCAGCCATATCTGAGCACGAGGATAATTCATATCAGCTGAATAGAAAGCGCTTTGAGTGAAACAAGGATGCATACTCCAGAAGTACAATGCACCCGGGAATGCGGCTGTTCCTGCAGCCCAAGTTGCATAGTCTGAGGAACGGAAATAACGCACGACACGGAAAGCGTGCGGGTCAGCGTCGATGAGCGGGTATGGTGTCGTGACGACCTTGTTCGGCATCGCGACAAATGTTGACAATAAGAAGAACGGTCACTGATTAGTAGTCGTTGTATGGAGAAAGACAAGGTCGCGGTTCGTCGCGAGGAGTGACCGGCCCTAAACCGGGAAATGCCAGGCCTGCTCACTGAGCGAATCCAATAATTATATCTTGTCCTCAACGTCCACTGTTCTTTCGTTTCACATCGCTGGTTGCCTGTTCTGCGACGTACGCAAGGCAGCCTGCAAACTCTTAACTCGCTGGGATATTTCTAGATCCATTTCAGGAGAATGAGCGCGGACAGACGGAGTGACCGTCGGGCGAAGAGGACTGCCCATTCGTCTCCCTACGCTCGCCCAGCGAAACTCAGCAACCCAGTCCCAACCAAAAAATCGGTGAGCACATGGGACACAGTGTCGTATTCTATCTGGAACCTTGTCTGATATTGTACGTTCAAGCTATGGAGCATTTCAGGTTTACTGAGCTTCCTACGATTTGGTGGCACTGAGGAGAATGAGCAAGCTGAGGATCTGGTGCGCTCAGATGCATCGTCCTCTAGTAACGATGAAGACGAGGGTTTGCAGGTTCAGGAAATGGAGGCGCCTCCTCGTATACCGGCTCGTAGAGTTCAACTTGATCGGAACTCTGCGCCTGAATTTGTTCTCCCTCTTCCTCCTGGCGATGTACCACCAGGGCATGAGGTTTGTACTCTATTCCCCTCCATTTCGATCCAATAACCTTGATTCACGAAGAGTAGCCTTCGCAGGAACTAGTTTATCCACCTGCGTGGGATGCTCAACAACCGGGACCTTCCAATCGGACATCCCAACCAGTTACGCCCGTCCGACAGCCTCTCTACAATTTAAATTCACCACCTCAGCCAAGCCATACGGCCCCATTCTTGCAGCAAAGTCCATCGCTTGCTAAGAACCTCGAGCCTGTCACTCGTTTCCTTGTCGAGAAGGCAGGGCGGCCTCTAAACGAGTTTGAGGCAGCTGGCATTGTGGACTACATTCAGAAGAACGTGCAAGGTTCGCGTTTTTTTCTCCCAACATGCTGTATACACATGGACTCATGCTCAAACAGCAGATAAACCGGAGCCATTCCGGTTCTCGACATCTCCTTCGCGTGGATCATCTCCGACCCTTGGGTTCGGGACACCAAATGGTGCATCAGGCGACCCACACACGAAAAAGACGCTTTCGCGCAATCCCAACGGCGTATTGCGCTGGCAGGGCGCGGGTAGTGCCCGTCCGCGCAACCGATATCGATCGCCTGGGTTTGGGTCTCGGCCTCAAGGCCCTCGTATTGAGCTATCTCCTATCCGGACATCTTCCGCAACCGATACTAAACGCCGCCGTGTCGGCCATGAAGCCGAGTCTTCGACTGCACAGAAGTCTGCGCCCCCAGCACCGACGTCTACAATCGTTTTCCCAACTTCAAACTCTACTTCTCCTATCCATCCTGCAGTCAACGGGAAGACTCCGGTTCCACCAATACCTGTATCGACATTGGCTCCGGCTGCTCCTGTTACGCCGAAGGCGAATGGCGCGGCCACGCCTCGTTTACGCACCACAGGTCTTTCTGTAAAGCCCACGACCCCGGCTGTACCTTCACCTTTGCGACAAACGTGGAAGCAGAACGATTCACCGCCACAGCCTCCAACACGACCTACGCGTGCCGCAAACTATATGACGGGGCTCATCAAAGACGTCACTCCCCCCAAGAAACCTGACGTGTCGAACCCGTACCAGACTGCAAGTCCTGTAAAGATGCCTACTAGGAAGCCTCCCGTCAGACGTTCGCGCCCTCCAGTACAGAACAAGGAAAAACAGCAGAAGGAACCAGAAATGACCGCACAGGCGATCATTGAGGCGACAGTGCCGAAGGTTAGTGGAGAAATTGTGATTCAGGTCCAGGGCGCCAAGCTAATTATGTCGATTCCAGGGAAGCAAGCGCTCAAGACCTCCGCCAGAAATGGAGAGGCAAGAGAGACCAACTCGCGAAGTTCACGACTTACATGTCCCGGTGACCAACGGTCACAGCAAGGCTGCAAAGCCAGCTGTCACTGTTGAAGAAGTCTCAGATCAGGACGAAAGCCCTACCAAGAAGCGAAAGACAGCGAAACCTACTCCCGTTAGGCTGTCCGTGGAAGAGGTAGTGGAGGAGGTCGAGATGGTTCAGGACAAATCTACGGTTTTCACGCGGCCCACCGAGATCATCGAGCCGACTCAAGAGGCTACTTCGTCACCCGCGACGCCAAGCGCTTCGCCGTTCTCCTTGCTACACACTCCCTCTCCGGCTTCGCCGATGAAGACTGCGTTTGGAGCCAAGACATCAGCTCCTAGGCAATCATCCAAGTTGCGGTACAGTTACCACCCTGATAAGGAGACTGTGTCAGCTGAGGAGAAACCTGTGTCTGAGGAGTTAGCTCCGCCGCCTGCACCGTTGCTGGCATCCCGCAACCTTCCTAAGGGGATACAGACCACGTCCCTGAAGACGAAGTTGCCCCCCAAGGATGCTGTTGTGGCTATGGAGGTCGACGAACTGCCGAAGTATAGCTTCAAGCTTGCTGAGGCTGTCTATCCCGCTGGGCCCAGCCACGTCAAGGCTCGCATCGCAGTTACAAGCATGTCTGTGCTTTCCCTTCCTACCTTTGAGTTCAAACCAGTAGCGCCATCCACAAACGGGTTCAACTGGACTGCAGCAGGCATGAAAGCGCCTGCTGCTACCTCTGGTACTTGGTCATGTGGTACATGCATGCTGGCGAACCCTGACAGTGCCAAGGATAAGTGCACAGTCTGCGACGCCCCTAGATCGGGTGGTGCGTCAAAGCCTGTAGATGTGCCTCCCCAGAAGACATTCGACTGGTCAAAGACTGCTATCAAAGTTCCTCCAACTAAACCTGTTGGGAATTGGCTATGCGATACTTGCATGCTTTCTAATCCAGACAGTGTGAAGCTCAAATGCACTGTCTGTGATGCTCCCCGTCCTGGCGCTGCTACTGCTCCGGCTCCGGCCCCGGCTCCTACAGGTTTTGATTGGTCTGCTGCAGGGATGAAGGCCCCAGGCTCAACGACGGATATGTGGAGTTGTTCCGTCTGCATGCTGCAGTCGCCTACCAGCGCGACGAAGTGTACAGTTTGTGACACTCCTCGGGATACGATGGATTGAAGAAAGCGGCGTGGAGAACGAAGCTGGACATTAATGGATCCTCCACGTCAAGAGAGAACGAAACCTGCATAGCGTAATGTGATGCTTGATTGTCACCTGTAACTCATCAGCTTGTTGTCCTGTACCTCATTCCACTGGCGTTTGTTTTTATCCACTACCAACAAATTTTAGTTCATACATATTCCACCATTTCGTACAAAGCCACTCTAGCTTAGTTGTTATGTACATAACCAATGGAGGTGCGAGGGGAGGAGTTATTGGTCGTCAATACAGTGTGATCATGAGTGTTTTGCATGTTGAGTGAAGTCTAATCTGCGAGCGAGCGGTCTCAGGTCGGTACCATCGGGGGACGTCAGTTTCCGTTTAAGTTTATTGGGTGCATTGGCTTTGACGCCTGGTCCGGTACTGGCCGTGTCAACGTTACCATCGAGTTCCTCGAGGGGGCGGGAGGTTTGAGCGGCGGGTTTCGGGAGTTTGGAGGGATGCGATGGGTGTGGCAAGGCGAAAAAGTAAGCGTGGTTAAGAGCGTCTCTTGCGCTGATGCGCCGTCGTGGCTCATACACGAGGAACCTGCTAAGAAGATTCAGCGTGTCTCCAGACGCGGCGGTGAAGAGGTCGCGAAGGGGCGTTCTTGGGAACTGTCCTACTGGCACGTAATCTGGCAGTTTTGTGTGACCCTGGAAGACATGAGACACAAGCATGATATAGACCGTCGTACAAATACACACCGGCCAGTCCTCTTCTGTGGGCGTTCCAAGTGCCCGGAAGATGGTTTTGAGTTGGTCCATGTCGCTCTCACCGGGAAGGTACGGGGTTCTCAACATGAGCTCAGCGAATATACAGCCTACAGACCATATATCGACGGCCGAGCTATAGTACCGACAGCCGAACAGTAGTTCGGGTGGTCGATACCATCTGCGCAGCGCTGAGTGACGAACAAACATGATATGCGAATACACGCACCGAGTGATGACTTGACATGTCATTTTATGTCCTGGGTCTGCGAAATCTCTTGCCAGACCAAAATCAGCGATTTTGAGTTGTCCGTCAGATGCGATAAGCAAGTTGTTGGGCTTCAGATCCTGCAAGACCCCATGAGTGGTGAAAGGTTGGTGAAGAGTTTGACACGTACACGGTGAAGCATGAAGTTTCTATGGCAAAATTCAAGCCCACGCAAGGTCATCGCCATCCATGCCTTTATATCTGCGGGAAGGAAGACGAGTGACCGGTCCTGGATTATCATCTCAAGGTCGCTATCCAAGAACTCCAAAACTAAGTTAAGATTCGTTTTTGAAGAAAAGACGTCCAGAAGCTGCAACAAAGAGGGTCAGCGCTCATGAATGCGAAAGGCTGGGGTGGCGACGGACCTCGATGACATTCTGATGGTGAAGCTCTCGTAGATATTTGACCTCTCGGATGGCAGACATGTCGAGCCCATCTTTGAATTGTCCAACTTTTATCTTCTTGATAGCGACCTTACGGCTTGTTGATGCTTCTCGACCTGGCAGGAGTCAGAGAGAGACTCGTCGACTGGCACATGAGCTACCTCACCTTGGTACACGACAGCGTATGTACCCTCACCGACTTTCCGGTCTTTTACCCTGCAGCGTGATGAATCAACGACTTACCACTGCAAAAAGGAGCTTACCATCGTTTTTGCCTCTCCGTGTTGGCTTTTTCAACAGCGTCCATCAAGTTAAGATACTAAGTGGCAGTGACTGAAGTTGACTCGGCGTGGATCTATTGCAGTCTAATTGACCTAGGTTGATACTTACAGCTCTTTGCATAAAGGATGGCAGTTTCGCTTACTGTTACTTTGATCTCTGTCACGTTCGAGATCAAAGAGCTCCCTGTGCGACCACAATTTTTTGCACCAACGGTGGCTTCTTTGATAACTGCATTATTATTCAATAGCTATGTGAAAAGATCGACTATTCAATAATGTCCTAGAGGAAATACTAACGCTCGTGGATGGATTCACGTGCCACAAAGTTGATCACGGGAAGTCCACACGAAGTCCCTCACCCATTCCTCGAACACACTAGTCCTTTTTGCACGGTGGAGGTCGCTCCCCATACACATGAAGTACCATAAGCGGACACACACCTTCGAATTCCATCCTATCCGGCTCCTCAGTGTTGTTCCATAGGAGGTTCTCTCGCCCTGCATCCTCCTGCTGGCTGCTGATCATCGCCTTCAGTATCGTCGATGACAAATTCATGACGAAATTCCTTTTGATTAAGAGCATGAGCGTGGTGATACGGGGCAGGGAACGATTCTAGCAATAGAAAGGTGCGTTGAGGAAGTACAGGATGTCATTTATTTATGCAGGAGGATTGGTTGTTCGTGGGGGTAAATTATTATCTGGCATCCGGACCCGAGTCAAAGGTTGCTATGCTTAGATCCATTCCAAGCATCCATTCGCCATCATGCTTGCACTTGTGCCAATCGAATAACCCGATTTTTTTTGCATTGTTTCCGAAGTATCAAGTTCACCCCAGAGATGTCATAACACCCCCACTCTGCCGCATGGTATAAGTCGTGGACTCATACGTCCTCGCCTTCTTTGCCGCATCCGATGGCATTGTTGATGAAAACCTCGTCGAACGTTTCTCCAACGAGGTTCAGGTCGCCGAGGCCAGATGCTTCTACGGCTTCCAAATCATGGTGGAAAACATTCATTCCGAGACCTACTCACTCCTCATCGACGCTTATATCAAGGATCCCCGGCAGCGCGAATACCTTTTCGACGCCGTAGAAACTATTCCTTGCATCAAGTGTAAGGCTGACTGGGCACTCAAGTGGATTTCCGATCAACGTTCCACTTTCGCTGAGCGCTTGGTGGCGTTCGCTGCTGTCGAAGGCATCTTCTTCTCTGGCTCCTTCGCGTCTATCTTCTGGCTGAAGAAACGCGGTCTGATGCCTGGTCTTACGTTCTCCAATGAACTCATCAGCCGTGATGAGGGTATGCACACCGACTTTGCTTGCTTGCTCTTCAGCCATCTCGAGCGTTGGCCACACCCCGACACCTGTGAAGTGTATCATTACTCGGGCTGTCACTAATCGAGCAGGAGTTCCTGACGGGTCCGTCATTGCCGTCATCTTGTCCTTCTTATGCTGACTATCTTTCCAGATGCTCTCCCTGTTGGTCTCATTGGCATGAATGCCAAGCTCATGTGCCAGTACATCGAGTTTGTCGCAGATCGCTTACTGGTGTCGCTGGGCAACGACAAGGTGTACAATGCCACCAACCCCTTCGACTTCATGGACATGATCTCGCTACAGGGAAAGACGAACTTCTTCGAAAAGCGTGTATCAGACTACTCAAAGGCGAACGTCAACCACACGAATGCCAAGACCGACCAGGCAACAAGCAAACTTCGTGAGTATACAATCTACCTCGTAGGCTTCGTGTCTGACAATGTATCCTCCAGCTCTTTGGAAGAAGACTTCTAGATATGTTTTTGCGTCTTGTTGATTGCATAGTTTATACTTTCCCCATTTGCTACACCACACCCATCATGTTCATCAGCGTCAAACTCTCCCGCATATGTTCTAGATATGACAAGTATCATTATCGACCCTGTATTGTAGTGTTATCACTAGGTTCAATTCCAATATCAACGATTCATTGCACAGAACAGCGTTCAGAAAATACAAGTACACCACGTGAGTTCGCGACGCAAATAGTATCGTACTGATGGTGATCGGGGGAACAATCCTCAGCTAGTGTTATCACGAGGTGAGGTGAGTGGATGTTCTTGAATCTGAAATTGTTTCAACTACCGCAGCGTGGGCGAGTTTTGAAAAGTCACTGTAGTTTAATATGCAATACACTGTAAGCAGAAGGAGAACAAACAACAAGTTGATCAGTACTCGGTCCTTGTTGTGAGCTGGCATTGACCTTGCTTCATAGGGTATATCTTAGGTGCAATCTGCCGGCATTGTACAATTATGACGCAGATATCATCTGTTCAAAAGAGGATTTCAGGTGGGTAGGTTCTTCACTGCGAGCTGGCATTGACCTTGCTTCACCACGTAGATCTTAGGTGTCAATCTGCTGGCATTGTATCAAATATCATCTGTTCAAAAGAGGATTTCAGGTGGGTATTAGGTTTTTCACTGCGTGCTGGCATCAACCTTGCTTCACCACGTAAATCTTAGGTGTCAATCTGCCGGTATTGTACAATCACGATGCGGATATCATCTGTTCAAAAGAAGATTTCAGGTGAATAGGTTCTTCACATAAAAGCAAGCCGTCTTCCTACTGTCCCCTTCAGATTTATTCGATCCCACATCGCATCCTTACAAACAATGCGTTTCCCCTTTGTCCTTGCTGTTGTTGCTGCTTTGGCAACATCAATATCTGCCAGTGACGCTGAGGCTGAAAAATGTGATGCCTTTTGCTGGAAAAACAAAGACTGCTGGACCTGCTCGCAACCCCACAACTGCGTGAGTATTGTTTGCGTCCATGGACTTAACCACGCGACTCACCGGTGTGGCAGATTTTTCTCTTTTGCAATCGGTGCTACGACGATGGATTCGAAGGTTAAGCGAGCAGTTGTAGCTATTCTTCTTGCACTGATTGCAACCCAGAACCATCGTCGTGCGGGTATACAACACCCTGGGGAGATGTTATAACCCTCGGCTGAGAGACCCTCTCCTCCCAGTCCTTCGAGAGCCTGAGGGTAAGTGTAGCCTCCTGTACTATGTTCCTGACGAGGCCTCAATATAGCACCCTCTCCAGATGTCCTGACTGAGGCTTAGAAATCGAGCATCTCCGTATGTTTCTGCGACGTCAGCGAGTGTGACGGCAGATGTATTCTAGAGCCTCTGGAGTTCTTTTTTTTCATCTTTCCATCTTTCTCGATACTTCCATAGCACAATTTGTAACTAGGCGGAGGTGTTAAAAAAACTGAAGCGCTACCACGGTGTGAGTACGCATAACAGACCAAGAGCAGTCATTGAATCATGAATGCGTTCCTAGTTTTTGTACACGCTCTCATCGTCGCAAAGCTCAGGTAACGGGCTCTTGGCCTTACACGACTTCAAGTTATACTCATTTTCGCTACGAGGCATGGGCTGAGGCATTGGAACTGTGAGCTCCCCTTTGTCACTTTCCTCCATGATGATGGATCCTTCAGACTAGCTTGTCAGCCTGGTGACCTGGTCGTAGAGGTTATAACCCCGAGGCTTGCGTGTCATCAAACGCAGCATTTAAAACCGAGTGTTTAAGCTTTTAAAACGAGACTACAAATCTGGGTCGTAAGTACTTCAGTCATATTCCACGTATTCAAGTGTTTGAGATGTCTTCTATTCCAAGATCTAGCAGCAGAACAATTTGATCAGAACATGTCGATCAACTCAGCAACAAACTACTAACGCGTCGTGCCATTAACCATACTGCACCGATGTGAAAGTAGAAGAACGAGTCACTGTAGTTCACTGCTGTGCCACGAGTCACTCAGTGAACACAAAAAGGAGACCTGCTATGCCGGTGAGTCACGTGGTTAAATCCAGGACGTAAACTACTCATACTGACGCATTTATGGCTCCCGCAGTTTGCGCAGTCTGATCCACGCACGCAAAATACGCATCCCGCACGGTCAGCGACACTGGCAGATATCGATGCTGTCAAAGCAACAACGACAGCGAGGACAAAGGTTAAACGCATTGTTCGTGAGGATGTGATATAGGATCAAATGTATCTGAAGGGGACAATAGGAAGACGCCTTGCTTTTATGTGCTGAAGGTCGTTTTTCATTGTGATGTAGGAAGAACCTATCCACATGAAATCCCCTTTGAACAGATGATATCTGCAATGCCAACTGAGGTCTAGATCAACGTTCTCGGCAAAATTGACCCGTCTGAGTAAGTCGTACAGGAAGTCTGGCTCGACGTCAGGGATGATGGGCAGGATGTTATTTGGAAGGTGACGCGCACCACTACTTACATACAGCAACGCTTACGCGTCGATAATGTTGAGGTGTCTCAGCTGCAAATGTATGTTTCGTGACTGGTAGCAAGTACACGGAAGCGATTTAAGGAAGCAGAAGTGTTTCAAATGGTTGTGGAGGTTTTTGAGACCATCTTCGAGAATCTAGGTGTGCATCATGATCATCTTGTTTCATTTCGGAATCATCCCGCAACTCGAAGTTGAACACACCGAGCGCTGTTCATCCACCTGCACTGAGCCCATAGCAATTGCGTTACTTGTCAAAAGATGCACATGACATGTAAAGCTTGGGGCTGAGAGAGAAGTCGGTTTACTTGTTACCTTCCGTCTTCTTACCTTTCTTTCTCGGCCTCTCTACATCATCTTGATCCTCGACCTCACGTGGTACAGTAGCACTCCCGCCTTCCACAACTACTTTTTGCTTTTCCTGCGTCATGACCTTCTGCACGACCGTCTCCCACATTACGTCGTTAATCCCCTTCGCCTTCCCAAGTTGTTCTCTCAAATTCTCGATCTCAGCTTCAAGCTCGGCAACGCGCGCACTCGATGCCTCTGATGTGCCCATGGCATTGGGTTGTACGAAAAACGCATAGTCCCGTTGGAACTCGGCTTCGGGGTAGTCATACGCGCTTGGTATGCCTCCAGGGGTCTTGGACGAATATGAGCATAAGGGAAGCACCACGGAAGAGATACTTACCTCGTCCTGCACAGGAAGCATCATCATCACCTCATGCGCCTCCCTTGCCTTGGTATCCTTCGTGCGATGGAACGGCACAACAGGGTGCACGGGGATGACGTCCTTCGCATCAGCGGAGCTCCCGAGGTTGAGGGACAGGCTAATGTGCCCGACGAGGTCCGGTGGCTTCAGCATGGTAGCGAGATGGGATATTGACAGGCCCTTGTGTGTCGAGATGGTACGCAGGAGCTGGTGGGAGGCGATGTCGTAGAGGTGGATGAGCCCCGCGGCGGTGCCCACAAGAAGAAGCGAGCTAGTAAAGGAGATAGTGAGGGCTGTTATCGGTTGGCTGATTCGAGACGTGTTAGCTAGCCATACGCATAATAGAGTGCATGGAGAAGGCATACTCGACTGATATAAGTCGTTTTCGACTGCTGCTGCTTGTCCTCATCGGCGACGCGGATGATATCGCTGACGCCTGCGCCTCCAACGGCTTCAATCGTCTGACCAGCGTGTTTTTCAGTTCGCTGGCGGAAAAGATTGACTTGGTATATGGAGCCATCTGGTGATGCAGCGAAAAACAAGCGTTCGGTGATGTCCCAAACCGCTGACGATATGGGTTTCGGGAAGTGGAAGGTGGTCAACAAGGATTGAGAAGACAGATCCCAGAGCTTTATGTCTGAGGTAAATGAAGGAAACCGTGGCTGGATAGACGAACTCACTTTGACACTATGGTCCAAGGACGCGGTGAGGACACGACAAGTAGGGAATGCGCCGAGGCCGCAAACGATGTCTTTTACGGGTAGGGTGTGGTCTGATAGTGTACAATATGGCGTCGGAAGTTCATTTTGCGCATCATCGTCGACAAGTCTTATACCAACATTACTGTCAGCAACGCACCAACAAAAAAAAATTGGAACGGACCTTGCCACGGACCAGACACTGACACCAGAGTCATCACTGCCTGAGATAAGGGCAGCACCGTCATGTGTGAATTTGAGGACATTAACGTGGCGGTAATGGGCGTCCCAAGAGTTGTACAATATGCCTGACGCGACCTACTGTCGAAATTTAAGTCAGGGACACCACCTGATATATTAGTATCTCTGACGCGCCTCCCACAGATATATTCGACCTTGGGTCGTTCCCCCTGCGCAGAAACTTCCCGAATTATCTAGCGCAATGCACGAAAGCCTCTCAGGTAAGACTATTTTAAGAGCGAGTTGGTCCTACGATGCAATGAGAAAGATCAAAGCCATGTCATAGAAATAAGATGTACCTTTTGGAAGTTGTAAACATTTAGGATGGATTTGTCCTGTTGTGCGGCGAGGATGAACCCTCCTTGGCCGTCGCGCGTTTCGATGAATGAAGTACAGTGCGGCGCAGAGCTGGATTGCTTGAAGGACGCGAGCGACGTACCGGTCTGTATATCATGGAGAACGATTGAGCCTGAGCCAGATGCGGAGGGCTGGGGTGCAGTAGCACATAGGATGACTTCCTGCAGAATCATTTCAGAGATGCGTCAATATTTAATTTGCATAAAATATTTCATAAGTAGCAGCCGTGGGAATTCTTATTTCCCCTATGACTCCTACTTCAGAAATTTACAATAGCCTAACTTACTTGTAAATTCGTTGTACTACAACGACGTTCGACGAATACGCAAGTAGAATCCAAGTTAATTATGAGCACCAAAGAAAGTTTTTGAAAGACTGAGAAAGTGTTAGAACTTCGAGGAGCAACCCCCAAAAGGCAAATGACTTCGAAGAGGCTTCGGAGGCAATAGAATGTCATAGACTCTGCACTTGTTCTGCACCGTCATCATATTGTTCTTGTAGTCTATCTGCCTAGATTCTTGTATTTGTACTGGCCTCGACGTTTGTGAACCTACATTCACCATGGCCAACAACCTTTACGAAACACTTGGCTTGACCAGAGATACTACTCCAGACCAGAGTATGTAGTCAGTGCTAAGTCGAGTCCTGCATACTCACAACCCGAACACAGTTCGCAAGGCTTACAGGAGGAAAGCTTTAGAAACCCACCCTGATCGCTTGCCTCAGGGAGCTTCTGCAGCAGAGAAATCTATGTCAGAGGAGATGTTCCGCAAGGTAACCTTTTCCCGCTCATTCAGTCCTTTCGTACAACTCATCAAGTATTTTAGGTCAACAACGCTTACGAAATCCTCAGCGACCCAGAAACCCGCAGGGTTCGTGTCAGTTGTATTATTGTACATTTTATTCTAATTATTTTGCAGGCTTATGACCAGTACGGAATATGGCCTCCTCCAACTGTCCAGGACAGTTACGCTCAGGGCAACTGGCGAGGTCCTACTAGAGGGCCCTTCCAAGACCCATCTTATCAGGACCCTTTTTCCCAACACCCATTTTTCGGTCGCAGCCATCAAGCAGACCCATTCGGTTTCTTCGCTCCTCAGGGTCATCCGCAATTCCATGGCTTTACAGATCCTTTTGTTCTCTTCAATCAGATTTTTGGAGACCTCCACCGAGCCTTTTCCAGAGATCCCTTCGGTGATCCATTCGGGCATCGAGATGATGGCTTCTTTGGTCGAGGGTTCATGTCTCCAACATCTATGCCTCACATCACGAGTTCGCCCTTTGATTTCCTCACCGGCGGCAACGTAAATGCGTACGGCTCTTCTTCTCGTGGTGGCCTTCACTGGTGGTGCCCCAAATGGCTCTGGATGGGTTTCTCAGAGTTACACGACTTCCACCGTGAATGGCGTCACGCAAACCAAAGCTGTCCGTAGAGATTCACAGGTAAGTGATACTTGTCTATCTATCTTGACAATCGTTCATCGTTCATCTAGGGCAACGAGCATGTCACCTACTCATACGCGGATGGTACCGAACGCCGCTTGATCAATGGGGTCGAGCAACCCTCACACTCTATCCCTCGTAACAACCGCGCAATCGCCCCGCCGCCAAGTGAAGACCCTCCTCCGCCATATGACGCATATTCTGCCCCACCCGCAGGTTCACGGGGCCATCATTCCAATTCTCGAAACTACGCAAGGCATCCTCAATCTCAATATCCCTATCCCGCACGCGATTATTCCTCGAAGCAACCGCAGGCGCCCTACGCCTCGCAATATGCGGATCCGAATTCATCTGGTGCGTACTACAGTTTGCGTGACTCGAAAGAGTAATTGCTTACGTGGCTGTTCTTTTCTTTAACAGGGCATCACAACAAGTACAACAGCCGTGGTGAAGACGAGGCACAGGGTGGGTCTGCGTGGAGGTTTTGGAAATGAGTCATCATATGGTCGAGATGACGAAGTTACTTGTCCGAAGAATAATGAGTGTTCCGCATACCTGACTGCTTCCACTATATTGTTTCATGATCTTGTATACTCTCGCGATGTATTGTTGTCTGTATGTTTTCCTCTGCTAGTGCTAGCCTTAGTACGTTTTCCGTTCCCAGAGAACTCGCCTCATTCCCCTGAAGTAGCAGGGCTGCTATCAATGCAAGAATTATCTTTGCTCATTCACAGTCGAAAATCGTGGATCGTATTACAATATGCACTCCTAGCGTGATAAATCCATAATCGATACTACATCCTCCCTCCTCACAACCCTTCAAAGAAGGACAAGTCTTGCGCAGTCAACCCACCCGTCTGAATAGGCTTCGCAGGCTGGTCTCTCCGCTCGCGACGACGACGACGACGACGAGAGCAATGCAAACGACGAGAGCGGCTGTGACAATGGCACAGGTGGTGGAGACGGCGACAGCTGGCGCACCATCGCAGAGTGCACCATCGGCGGCGGGGACGCAAACCTCGGCGGGGACAGCGGTGCATCCCCATCGCACAGCAAATCCATATCTCGACCAAACGATGCAGAAGCAGACGGCGGTGGCAGCACGGGGTGCTTGGGCTGCGCACGCGGCGGGGACGGGGACGGCCACTGCCCACGCTGTGTAGCAGCATGATCGAGCAAGCTCTGCGTGCGTTGGTGCATGGACATGCCAGACAGCGGACTCGTCGTCCCCGCTCCTCCAACCACCTTTGAGGGCTTTGCTGGGACGGGTGGCGGGGATGGCGTGCGTATCTGCGAAGACGTTACGAATTCGTCAAAGTCGTCGAAAGACATGGACGTCGAGGACTTGGAGGAGTTCAGCGCTTGCGCAGAGGATGGCGAATTGAGGGATGAGTCGATGGATTCGCGTGCGGGGAAGTGGTTTGTGCGAGGGAAAGCGGAGAAAGCGGAGAATGAGTCGTCATCGTCGTCATCGTCATATGTGGTCGCTGACCAGCCGGTGTTTGGGGATGATGTAGAAGTAGCTACCGACGTGGGATGCACGGTGGGCCGTGGGGTTTGCGGTGGTGAGACAAGGGGGTGGTGGCAGGAGTGGTGGTATCGAGAGAGTAGAAGGCGCCTTCGGCGGCGGCAGGAGCTGAAAGGGGGAGTGCTGTTCTCGAGGATGGTGGAGGTGGCGAGGGTATCGTAGGCTGGCATGTTAGAGGGTTGCGTAAGCAAAGAAAGATGCATTGATCGGTGGAGAAGATTGTTTCAGAGGTACTGCTGGGCTGTGCGGACGCGAGAACGATGTCCCAGTCACTGGGGACAACGGTGGCGGCAGGAATAGAGCACGAGCCGAAGAAGGCTGTGGAGAACCACGCGCGGGCTCCAGAGTGATGCCCAAGCCACTTAAACCAGCGACGGAATGAGGTCGGCTGGTGTTCACAGATGGAGGTTTTGGTGGTGGTGCGAGTGGGGGTGGAAGCTTTGTAGGCAATGGTCTTGGATTTGAATTGATGAGACTCGAAAGCGCTTTCAGCTGGGCATCGTCCGTGTCGTCGTCGGGGTCATGTGCACTAGGCACGATATCGGAAAGGAAGTCGAGATCGTCTGTGGACAGAGCAAGAGATTTGCGCTCAGATCCAGTACTCTTGACGCGTGAGAAACGGTTCAGGAAGCGCGAAACGGCTGATGGCGCAGGTGTGGCCGCTGGTATCACGATTTCAGGAGCTGTGGATGAGCTGGCTACTGGGGACGAAGGTATGAAGACAGTTGGCGTGCGAGCAGGAGAAACATCGCGTCTCTCTGGCACCGGGGGCTTCGTACTTTCGACGCTAGAACGCGCGGATATAGGCGGTGATCGTGGATTCTCTACCCTTGCGTCTGTGGAAAGTATTGACGATGATGCCTTGCGGTTCCAGAACGAGAGCAACCCTCCACCAGGTTTCTTTGATTGATTTGCGTCAGAGATGGCAGCGCGTTCGTCTTTTTCTAGGATTCGCCACCCCACTGGAGTATCGTCCACAGTAGCATCTTTCCTAGCTTTGACTGATTTCTCCCAGTCTGCTGACCCTTTGGAACTAAGGAGGAGGGCCATCGGGCTCTTACGTGTCAAAGACATGTGCCTCGTGAGCTTGAGAGCGTTATTCACCGCTTTCGCAGTGGCTGTCTGTGAGAACTGTATTGGAGGGGGCAGAACTATGTCCTCAGGGACTAGGTCATTTAATAAAACCGTACTAAAGTAAGAGGCATGTAAATTGCACCGAAGAGAGATACCAGATTATGTACATACATGTTCTCAAGGCCATCAAAACCAGACCTCCAGTTGCTCTGAACAGCATCTGAGTCCGACTCTATTTCTGGCCAGAGCTCACCAGAGACTTCTTGGCACTTCTGAATGAGAGCTGCCAGAATTTCGGGAGGCTAGACTCTAATTAGCAAAGTCGGCGCGTGTGACGACCATTCATACCACTGCACGGTTCAACTTCTCTTTCTCTTGTCTCGCCGCTTCCCACTCGTCTGGTGGCTCCTCAACATTGACAGACACCTCCGGTACAGATGTTTCTGCCCAAGCTGCACCCCACTCATCGGCATCATCCGTTGAGACAGTTACTGGATCTGCCCATGCTTCACCATCGTCCTCAGTCTCCTCATCTTCCTCCTTAGCGGATGCGCCGACTTCAAAACCGCTAGGAACTGGGGGAATAACTTCGACTGCTGGTGACGCTAGCTGAGGCTCCGCAGCATCCGGGAGAACAAGTGCGGCAACGCTGTCCTCTTCGCTGGCTGTGGCAGCAGCGGGTACGGGACATATGTCTTCCTCTTCGGTTTCTGACTCGACTACAGCGTCTATTTTTCCCTGACGAGAAAGGTTTATCTTTGCGTACGTCGAAGAGCCCCATGCGCCACTGCCATCGATGGAAGAAGTCCAGAGGGCGTTGCTGGTTTGAGATGGCTCTGGCCACTGTGCATTATTACTTGCGGACCATGATGGAAGTCCTATATCTTCCTCTTGATCGTGGGTTTCATCGTCAACAGTAGATGACCATGACAGTGTTGGAATGGGTTTCTTTTGTTGATCGCTTGACTGCTCCCAATTTGTGGCCCAAGGGTTGTCCATAGCAAGCAGAAACGCCGAGCCGTTTCAAGCTGCCACTGAATAAGCAAGTTTCAGTCGTTCACTCGCGACTCTGGACAGACTCCAGTTTGCCTAGGAGGCACCTATACATACCCTGATGCTAAAGTCGAGCTAGAAGACCTAATAGGTCTGTCCGTGGCGAGTCGTGGGAAGACTTCTTGGCATACTAAGTTGAACCAACCAATATTGAACGTTTGACAAGTCAACGTTTCAACATTTGGTCAACATCAACTGTGCCATAGGTAGTGATCGAGGAAATCCATCATACTGATATCGACTTTCTCGACTTCGACCTATGGAAGGTACAAGGACTTACATTTACCCATTGGGTCATTGGGCACGAAGGCGGAGTCAAGCTGATTTCATCACGGCTTTGGCTCCCCAATATGTTCACGGATCCATGGCCTACTGAGCGCCTGATCGGCTCGACTCATCATCGTTGTGCAACGTTCTGCTGCCAGACTGCTGGTGAGTGCAACCTTGGCGAACCTAACGGCGACCTTTCCGAAACTACAGCTATTTGTCTTTGTGGGCTGTGCTTGTGAAGATCGAGTCCTGCCTACATCTCTGACACCCAAAGTTATCGCCATATTAATGTTCTCAAATTCACCTATGAAAGTACTGCCCTTATTTCAGGCAGTGATGACTCTGGTGTTAGCGTCAAATTTGTGGCAAGGTCCGTTGTAAATTTATTGGTGTTACTGTCGTGTTGATAGCACAATGGTGGTTCCAAGTTTAGACTTGTCGACGATGACACGCAAAATGAACTTCCGACGCCGTAATCAGAGCACACCCTACCATAAAAGACATCGTTCGTCAAGCCGTGCACAAGCTTTTTGTAATTGCTGAACTTCTGATGGACGATAATCCGGACCGTGCTCATTTCCGCCATACTGTGTTAGAAAAAGCTGAGTGCTTACTTGGATGGAATGTGGTGGCCAGAAGGATGGTTACGGCAGGCCAGCGTCGGAATGAATGCAGGGGAAAGACTTTAAGCTATCCATCAAGTGCGTCCCGGCGCTGCTTGTTTTCTCACATAAATATTACAGCATAAATGCAAAGCCCAGGGCCGACGCCACCTGCATCCGCCACGTCCATCGAGGTCAAAGGCTATTAATCATATAACCATTTGATACAGCTCGACCTCTTCAAACACCTCCGCAGACTTACCATAAGTCAGGAAACCTGCATTCATCGCCGAGGCGCCTCAGCTCAACTCTGAACTTAATCGACATTGACCTAGAATCAAGGTTTTGCTGAAGGAACATAGATCAACGGAATTGCAACAATCATGAAAGTTGAAACATACACAGGCGATACAACCAACGACTTGAAGAATTGTGTTGATTGACTCCTTCACAAGAGTCGTCGGACATGTTGACTAAGTCCCTCGGCGGCTGGGATTGCTGTTTCTCGACGGCAGAGCTCAGGGCTTCCCTGACAACGGTTGCGTTCGGAGACACTTTATACTGTTCGAGAGTAGCATCAAAAGGGTCGACGGACTCCTGCTGGGCCTGAAGAGACTTAGTCTCCCCTGTCAGGACCGATAGAAGGAAGATAGCTGAAGATAGAAGGAGCGTTCGAAAATAATGATAGTAGCTAATTGACGGATAATAAGCAGGTTCATTGTGATGTCGCCTAAAAATTCACCAGAACCAAGCTGGACTAATTTCCTCCGATGCTAACGAGCCTAGGCCGAGGTCTGGCACATCTTCAACATGAGGATTGTGTAGAAAGTCACCAACAGGATCCATATGCCAGAACGTTTAACCTAGACTCCCACGAGCCATCGCTCAGGACAGTAGGATTCAAATATTCACGTCCTGTCAAGTTCTGGTGTTGCCGCGAGGCAAATCGAAGTGGAAATTGAATACACTTCCGAAGGTAGACTTCGATGTAGAAGTTAGTTGAGACAATGGCCGTACACCTATAATTCCACCCCCAGTATTTGGAAGTGGCTTGATCCATTATGGCGCGTGGTAAACTATAATTGACTGGCAGGTGTCAGGTCTCTGTCAAGCAGCTCTTGTCTGTTCCCCATTGGTTCCCCATGGCCATGGATATTGCCAACGGCGAACGTAGCATCTTGAATTGGGATGAAGACCATGTTCACCGATGGCTTACAAGCCTTGGTTTTTCGCAGTATGAAGCTCAGATCAAAGGTTCTACTCGTGTCCTCTTTGAAGGTGCAAACGCTGAATTACATTCCATAAATCAGAGCATAATATATCCGGTGACGTCCTTTGCCTGCTGGATGCGGAGGATCTCAAGGCAATCGGGATAAGCACTGTGGGTCAGAGATTGGCCATACTTAAGGCCGTCTATCAGGCTAAGCTCGCTCACCATGTGCCTGTTGAGGCCGACCACTACATTCCTCCGTGTGCGCATTTTAGCCATCACTATTACTTTAGACTCTAACTTCTGTCTCTTAGCCGAAGTCCAGGAACGCAGTGTAACGGTGGAGAAGCTACACGACCTCGTTAAGGCACAAGGTTCGTCAACAACCTTTCCATACCATGATGCTCTTCTAAGATCATTCCCTACGACAGCACAAAAGGTTCACTCACTCGAAGAAGACAACAAACGTCTAAACGAAAGATTCCAACTGCTTGTTGACGAGATTAACCATGCTCCACTAAAGCGACAACCCTCCTTCAAGTGGGCTCAGTATGTTAATCCCACCAAATCACCAACCAAACCCGACGTCGAATCCCCCCACCCTTCCCCCCAACAAACAGACCCTGACATATCTCATAGTCGCGGGCTGCAGCATAATCAATCCCACAAGCATCCACCAGCACCTGTAGAGTCACCTATTCAACCGTCACCTTCAACGTCATCACGACCCAGCCGGCAAGAGAGCACTGACAATCTTAAGAGTTTCAAGGTCAGTCTAGAGGACCCGACGTGGAAAGTGCTTCCCGCGGCCCTTAAGAAGTACAAGATCAACAACGATAATTGGCAAAATTATGCCATGTTCATATGTTATGGTTCCCCAGGTAAGTAGTCGAGATTTTACGAACAAAAATATCTTATTTGGCCTGCAGGAAACCGCATCGAGCGATGTCTCAGTTACGATGAAAAGCCTCTTCTACTCTTCCAGAAACTCAAAGACGCAAAGAAGAACCCTGTTTTCATGCTCAAGCACATTAAGGATATCCGGTCTCCCATCGCCGTCGCACAGCAAAAACACGCTCTCCGCAAGGCGTCCGTTGCCTCCGAGTCATCATCCAGCCAATCCAACAACAAGTCTTCAGCGTCAGGGCAGGGCAGGGCAGGCGCGCGACCACCGAAATTAGAAGTTAATGACATTTCACCTCCCGCACCCCCATTAACAGGTACCACACCACAAGCTGGATGGCCAGAGGTGATGTCGCCGATACTGGAGAAGCAAGAGCATGATGCTGTGAATATCAGAGACACGTGTTCATCTTCGACAACGCTCGTGGGTCATACGAGCACCGCAGAAGGTTCAAAAACACGGATCACGAAGCACCGCTGATGCAGACACGGCGAGGAGGGAGATGCCGCCGCCGATGTCTGGGGTATCGTACGCGGTTGCAATATACCCTTATATGGCAGAGCAGGAAGATGAGTTTGATGTGGTTGTGTAGGTGTTTTTTTTTCTAGCGACCAGCGGTACCTATACTTATGTCTCATCTAGTGGTGATACATTTGTTATTTTGTCTCGCGCACGAGGATGGTGGGTGGTGCAACGTGACCCGACAGGTTCAGGTGTGGTCGACACGGATACCTCAAAGCAGGGCTGGGTACCTGCAGGTTGCCTCCTTGAGACAAATGTTCCAGTTGCATCCGCTATTGCAGAGGCTACCGCAGCCTCCAAGGCATCAGGTTCCTGTGACTTGCCATTAGCAGCTGATTCTAAGACGCCCATCCTCCCTCTCAGTATTATATCGACGAGTTTCCCGGGAATAGCCCTGATGGACTACAAGAAGAAGGGCTGAAGAGGAGTTGGATTTAGTGAAAGATGATGCGCTTAGGGTGTTCAAGAAATACAATCACTGGTCATATGTAAGATATAGTTTCCGTCCATGACATGCCGCAACTCACTCGTCATGTAGGCTGTCAAAGAAGATGGTGGCGATCGAGGATGGGTACCTGTGCGTTTTACGCTTTTCTTCTTTACGAAGCCCCACTGACAATCCCTCGCTACTTACTAGTCATGGTTCATTGGCAAGGTACCTACTCCCGGCGCAGTGCCGCCGACACCGAGCACAGGCTCCGCGCCCGCACTTAGCGGTGGACCCTCCGTCTCCCTGGACACTGAGAGTGCGAACCAAAATCAGGTTTCACCGATGTCCTCCGCCTTCCCCCCGCCAAATAGAAGCGGGGTTATATGATATCCTCGTCACCCACTGGACAGCGATATGACGACCCCTCGTGTACATTTATTTCATCCTTCACCGCTGATATTTTCGCATTCTTGGTTCATTATTGGGGTGGTGTGGTTGATCTGATCTCAATGCTTTCTTTCATGCTCTTCATCATTTCCTAATACCTATACATACTTACATATAACGCATGGTCATATTTTGTCGTCCATCCTATCTCATTGATATATAACAATCAATTGAGATCGAGTCGAATGTGCCAAATGCTTGCATTATCCTTAGCGTGCTGTGCACCATGTCACTGATTCCAATTAATTGTCCGTGTAGATCGGCGCCATTGTCTTACTCGCAATTTTTATAATTGTCTCCTCAAGGCTCAGGCACTCCATTCACCGATCATCTACTTTACCTGTGATCCGGACGACCATCTGCATGTACAATCCTTCACTTGGTTGGCGTCTTGCAATAGGCCGCGGTAGCATCCGATATGACTCTCAGAGGAGTACCATATGTTTCGACTTCTGTTTGCAATGTCCCTGCCACATGCTGCCACGCCCCTGCTCCATCAATTTGAAAATCCAACATAGTTCACACGTCGGCTCTCTGGGCAGGCAACAACCTCGATCGCTGGAACTGGCTCGCTGGCACATGAGACAAATATGTTTCTATCACGTTATTCCTACTACTATGATATATTATGAGAATGACCACCATCTTACACCTCACCCATCGTTTTCGCCATGGCTTCAACAGGCATCCCCATGGATGCTGCTACTATAATCTCCACCGCGCTGGAAGGTATTTTATACGGTGAGTATCCTAATTGGTTCTTCCGTCCGATACCCACCAAGCTAGGGGCCAGGTTTTTCGGTCCTCATGTTTATGGGTACCATGTGGGCATTGATATGCAAACATGGCGTGCAGGATGTTAATCGCCCCATCGCCTGTGGTGGCAATCCTGCTGTTGATACTGAGTACCGCAGTGAGATCCCTGCCTTTTACACCCGATGCCAGCTGCTGAATTCTCTCAAGTACATGGTCGTCAGCATCATTCGTCTCGAAGATGGACTGGTGAAGTATCGCGACACCCCTGGCGGACCCGTAGCATTCTTCGAAGACATTAATCAAAAAACATATCTCATCAAGTATGCAATATACGGCTTGCAAACTCTGCTTGGCGATTGGGTGGTGGTGTGTCAACTTTCTTATTGGTCAGCTTTTAAACCCTCTAAGCTCAAAGAATGCCGCCTTGCTTGGTATGTAAAAGATTTATCGCTGTTATATCGTTTGGCGATCAGTCTGGGTCATCATCCTACCAACCATGTTGTGGTGCGGTATCGCAGGTCAGGTTGCAATCGTGCCCAGGCAGTCCTGTGTTCTGATTTTGAGTCAAAGTGACTGGTTTCGCTACCGCCTATTTTGCTTCGCGGGCGACTGGTGCAGGGGACATCTACACTAATATGGCTGGACAATGGGTGATGCCATTCTTTTTCTTGACAATTTCAACTAATTTGACAAGTTCAGGTAAGTATACTTCTACATGAACGTGACGTTGAGGCCTCACAGCAACTGAATTTGACCAGGATTACTAGCATATCGTGTCTGGACGATTGAGCGCAATGTCTCTACAATGCGCACTACGAAAAGCCCTGTTATGCCTATAGTCCGCGTACTTGTGGACACCGCTTTGGTGTACTCTGCGACGCTCTTTTCCACCCTAATCTGTTTCATTAGCTCGAGCAATGGACAGTATATTTTGCTAGACATGGTGATTATCACCGTTAACACCCGCTATAAGATATTGCTGACCCTCGACCAACTAGACCATGCCCATCATCTCGATCGCCTTCTACATGGTGCTTATTCGCCTCACAATCAGAAATACCGCCCACACTCGCTCCCTGGTGGCCAGTGGTGTCACAACCAGTGAGACCCACAGAGGAAACCGATATTCTATGAAGCCTGTGCAGGTCCATATATCTCAGTTCACGCACAGGGACGAGGGTACTCCGTGTGGAGTAGTGAATGGAGACAGAACGTTGACCCACAAGGCGGAGTCTGTGGAAGAAGCATCTTGCAACGTATAGTTAACCTAACAAAAATTCAGTCTGAATTATTGATAATTATGTTTAATAAAAAGCCAGACACGAATGAATCGCGCAGCAGAGGCTTCGCAAAGACAAGTAGAAGATAGCGCGAACCAGTGAAAATGGGGTCGTCGACGTTCTAAGTCCTTTCCTTCCGGTAGCGCATCTCCACTGTCATTCATCTCGAATGACATTCGCGATGAGCTCTGAGCAATGCAGTTCAAGTATCAACGGTCCCTGAACGTTGACGAAGGCCAGAATCCACCCCTGTACATTGACACGAATGGTTTTCGAGGTGGGGAGCAACGACCACGTCTGGATGGTGAGCCGGACACTGGATTTGTAACCGCCGTAATTGTCCCAGATGTACATGACGAGTGCGGCTGATCCAGCGTAGGCTACGACGACCACCCAAAGAGAAACGATAACTTTCCGAATCCTAGGGTGTCTTCCACGCCGAGGGTTGTGCCTCTGATGGCTTCGCTAGACCTCCATCCACGTCCAGGTCAGACGAGCAAAACACGCACCAGAAGGGAAGTCAATGGTGTGTGGTGCAGCAGAGCGGCGAAGTCGAAAGGCCATGCGTTGAGCCGTAGGATAGATACAATGAGAAGGACCGTTATGCAGGGCACCATTGGGGTTGCTCCATCCACGAGCTGCGGTCATGAGGCACAGATCAGTGTTGAAACGAAGCCGAGACTCTGAGGCTAGGGCAGAGGCACAATGGAATATCGTGTACGAAACCTATGGTCTCGGTGCATAATGTGACGATTAAGTTTAGTATCAGGGGTAGTATCTCTCTGCAGGTCGTCGCTGTTTACTAGCACTATGGTTTTTCCCGAGACTCCGTGAATGGCTAATGTGATGGCGTTTGCAATGATACAACTTCAGCTGACGATGATCGAGCATGGCCTTGCTTGCAGCCTTCAAATCAGATCACAGCAGTGGGGCCACTCTAACAGGAGCATATCCGCGACTTGTCAGACTGCGGTCTTAGAAATCGGTTCTAGTCTCAAGAGTGGACTTTGGTTCGAATATTCTCGATTCAGAATTGTCCTAGTGATTCAGGAGTGTGTTATATGCATGAAGACTGGATGAATGCTAATTTTCTTTTGTCGAATGAGAGGAAGCTGCTATGAGAAGGGCTGAGAATGTAGGGACTAGTACATTATAGAAGGTGGAGTATGTATCTTTCACCTGGTGACCATAGCCTCTGGGTGATGTACATGGAGGTGGAGCATCGTGGTGGAAGTGCGGTGGATCGACACAAATTTATGCGTATCATCGGAATGTAGCAGTGATATTGCGCAAAAATATATCGCACGTACATATAGATCTGTGCAGATTCTGCAGATGTGACTGATCAGAACGATCAAATATGGTCACCTCGCTGTGGATGAAATATTGAAACTTGAAGTCGGTTAATTGGCACCCAGGCGCGATAATATAATGTTTCCTTTGTGAGACAAACGTCCATGGAACCGCATGACTAGGTCGAGCTTATTTTATGGAACGCCGTAGAGAGTTGTCACCCGCGTAATAAAACAGGTGGCAGCGGCTGTGATGATCGTCTGTTCGGCTCCCTATCAACTCGTACAGACAGGTCACAGGAGACAGCACACCTGCACATAAATTTCATCGCTATCACCCTTGTAATGGCGCAGCCTCAGCCCTTAGGTCTTTCACCCACCAAGTCAACAAGTGTGCACACAACATGCGCAATCATCGATCATCCTAGGCGGTGACGAACGTTATTCTCCGCGGATCCGGGTTGTGGGCCGTGGCATTTTGTAGTCGTCCACATACATCTGAGACCTCAGGTCTTTGAACCACTAAATCAACAAGTGTGCACACAGCATGCAGGGCCGGAATAACCCTCTCTGACAATCAGGGCCTGCCAAATTAGGTAACTTTCAAAAACCCGGCGTCTGATACAAATGCAATATTGTGTTAGCGTCGACTTCCTTCTTACACTCAACATTGTCCCCTTCGGGGTGACATACGAAAAATTGGAACGATACAGAGAAGATTAGCATGGCCCCTGCACAAGGATGACACGCTTTCCCGGAGTGGTAGACCTACGGGTCTCAATATTTATTTTGCTTTTTCTCAGAGAGCGCAATCATTTTCGCCGAGAAGGTCTTGCCCCTCGTAGACACAATTGTGAAGCAATACTCTAAGACATCGAGTTATGGACTGCTTCTAAGAACGTAGTCTAAGAACACAGACTCTAAATTCTCGATTCACTTGCCAGGCACAAAACACAAACAAGTGAAATATACCAAGAATATCATGCCTTGTTTACGAAGTAACAAAACACTTTGGCCAGTACGTAGACGGAAACCCAGCTTTCACCGTGTTGGGCCCTCCAATGTCCTCGAAACAATCTGAACACCTCGAGATACTCATTCACCTTACCACACTGACCCTCGTCATCAGTGATATGCCATAAAGCATGTGCCACCATCTTGTTTACCTTCGGGAATGCCAGAGACACAATCACAGCAAAAGCTCGAGGATTTTTGACAATTGTTTCTGCAAGTATGAGATGCTCAAGGTCGCTTGCGCCAACCATCGACACAGGAGAGGGAGGCTCATGATTACATTCGACACAGTGGCCTTGATGGGCTCGTGCGAACCATAACCGAAAAAAAATGGAAAGATGTCAAATGAGGGCATAAAGTGGCAAGAGGAATGAGATATCGGGGAAACTGGCAGGATTGACCTTGATAGCGAGATCTTTCAGAGATGGCACATAGAAAATGTCGAGGAGAGCATAGTCTTCAGGGATGAAATGGCTGTAATCAAGACGCTACAAGTTTGGGAGAGGAGGCTGAGCAACGAGTAACTGTCGAAGAGCCACCAAGACTTTGCGATATAAGGATACCTCTGAATGGCAAGTCAAAGACAGGACTTGCGGGACATATTTCTGCAGGACCTCCCAATCTCTAGCAGTCAAACCGCGTATATCCTAGTTGTATGTGACAATTGTTAGTACATAAGTACCCCATCACCAACAGGCTGTCATGATAAACCGACCTGTAGAGGCCACCATTGATGACCTGAGTCTGGCAAGCATCATATCAAAGGATGTGGAAAGTATAAATCTCTCCACAACACATTCAAGGCGGGTTCACGCAATATTCAGCATGTTCTCGCAAGGGCCGCAAGAGTTTTCTGCCCAACATTCCCTCCTGGTCTCTCGTATCGCTGAGGATGCAATGGGAGGAACAAATAGAGCACTCTATTTGTCAGTGAAGTTCCCTTTCGCTCTAGTTATTGCCTCATAGTCCCTATGTATCAGAAATTTCTTTTCTGCCCTCGCCCAAGCGCTCATAAAAGCTCCTCAGAGACTGCCACACAAGAAGTATGGTGCATGGCACTAGAAGCTGCTCTAGTTCGTTTGTATACTTACGCTTGGGCCCTCCATCCTTCTCGTACTCTTGTCGACCCCCTTGCTTGCGTTTATCGGTGTGCTGCTGTCTGGCCTTGCAACAACTGTGAAGGCTGCTGGAGAGGCTACTGAGGTGACGAAGGACATGGAAGTGAAGGCTGACAGGAGCGCGTACGTCGATAGCACAAACCTGAAGATCGAGTGGGTCGCTGATCCTGGAGTATGGAGCATGAAAGTTGTGGTGGAGGCACTAGCTCAGTTGTTGTAAGTAATTTTATTCTACACATCTTGGCGCGTAACATCATGCACTGTTCGCCGTCATATAAGGGTTGACTTTACCAACACGTGACTGACGTGTTGCAATCGAGTCTGTTGATCATTGGTCCCCGTCCGCAAGGTTTAATTTTTAATCTAGGAGGATATAATATCGCGCTCGCTGCAAAGTATCAGTGTCACGGTCATCCTCGATTTGCGCGTACTTATCTTTACGATCTTCGTCCAACGCTTTAACCTCCATCCATCCTTTCCGTCATGATCACCACTGCGGTCAACGGCGCTACCCGCCTCACTATTGCCTCATATCTCTCTGTCGCGTGTTTCAAAGAAGTTGTCTGGGATTCCACCGTTCAACTTATACACGGCACGAAGAGCGTGTCCAATCTTGGCGCCATTGCATCAAACATGTGTATATCTCCAGCAATTCTCGTTTCAGCCTCCAACAAAGCGACTCGCATAACTCTCAGCGACTTCAACAAGGAACTTGCTCCGAAGCACGACTTGGCTCAGCCCAATCCACCCTTCACTGGCGACATCTCTACCCCACCTGCATCATCCTCGTTAAATGTAATCGCAACCGAAGTCTCGCCAATCACTGCATATTCAACTACACCCTACTCTCCATGGCTAACTTCAACACCAATTCCGAGGCCCAAATGCTTCTTGCTCGATTCTGACACTACTGTCGTAGCCCACGACGACTCGGACGACTTCGTCTCCGAGCATTGACTCAGACACCAAAGTCATGGTGACGGAAGCACTCTCCGCGAGGTACGAAGCCGCCGCACAGTGCACTAAACTTCATCAGTTACCAATGTTTGAATCTCTAGGACAAACTTTCAAGCAACCCACCCCCAGGAATGAAGACTCTCACCCCCGGCGACTCAGATGGTCCCACTTTGCAGCCGTTTATTTTACTAGTCGACAACTTACACCAGACGACATCCGCCATTCCCAACCTCGCCGCTCATCTTGGATCTGCCAGTCCCATCGAAGAATTGCCTTGGACGACGAGACCGCATCTAAAGCCTCCGGATATGAAGCGCGCCACCAACAGACTCCTACCTCACCCTGCTACGGCGCTTCTACATCAAAGGTCGCACCTCAGCAAACAAAAGGTTAGTATTCAGGTACCTGTCGCTAAACCGAGTACGACGCTCATTGTATCAATTTGTTAGTATGGTCCTAGAGCTTCTCGTTTGATTGCCGTGCGTGACAGCATCGCGCATTCACACCTCAAGCAAGACAATATTATGATTAGTGAGTAATTTCTCGTGTCACCCGCATCGCTTACTCATTTCATATAGGTCACCTTGAATAAGTCTACGATGAAATCCTCGTCGACCGAGCGGCCCTCGTCGACGGCTGGGCCGCTGCCATGGCGGAGCTGGGTCTCACATCAATGCTGTCACCACCATCGCTTTCGCTTCCGAACACGACCAATCGAGGACTCTCGGCTACATAGCACTCTTCTTCAAGACTGACCATCACGCTACTCAATAAGGACCAGCACATTTCTACGCGCCTAGCCTGTCTCTGCGGTCAGAGGTCCCCCTACGACCTGGATTTCCACTTTCCAAGAAGTTGCAGGCCACCCCCCGCGGTCCCGCACACATCTACCCAAAGCCCCTTCTATCTCTTTTGCATGTAAAGGCCTTGATTTGTTTGTTTCTCCTTTTATCGCCGGTACTGCCCGTTTCTCTTTTTACTTATGGATTCATCTCTGCTACCCACGACTTTTGATTTGTTTCTTTTCCTTTTATTGCCGGTACTGCCCTTTTTTTGCTTTTATTGGTGGACTGGTGGCGACTGGCAATGAGCCTGCCTCTGGCAGACTGAGCTGGTGTGGCTCGAGCTAATGATGGTGCTACCTACGACAATGCCCGAAGGTTCTATAAGCTACACAAACGCTGGCAAATCCCTGCCTACACCACCCCCCGCCAGGGGGTATCGGTACTTGACAGACAATATTGGACTGTCCGTTTCTTTTATCACTTATGGGCTCATCTTTTACACATTTCTTGACAGTGTTCCTATAAATAAGACTACCTGTAGTTTTTAAATCCAATTTTCTTGTTTACACTCTGAGGACACGCTTGAAGTGGATCGTGCGCACAAGGCATTCTTCCTCTCAGGTTGTTAAATACAATCATATTGATCAGACGAGCCCCGCAGCGGCAATCACTTGTACTACATCAATCAAAATATGTTAGTATGCATTGGTACACGGGAGACGGAGAACCAGCTTTCAGGCACCAACACAACTAGATCCTTCAATGTCCCCCTCGGATGACCTGAACATCTCGAGGTATTCATTCACCTTGCCCCACTTAGGCTCGTCAGACGAAATACGCCACCACGAATGGGGCATTACTACCTCCTTCACCTTCGGAAAAGCTAGAGAGACGATGAGAGCAAAAGCTCTAGGATTTTCGACGGTTGTTTCCACAAGCACGAGATCCTGAAGGTCATTGGCGCCAACCATCGATACAGGAGGCTCCTCTATCCCCTCCAACACACATGCGTTGATAGCTAGGTGAGCGCTCCTCAAACGAGGGCACTTATCCACCAGTAAGAGGAGGCCGCGCAGAGTGATGGGGGATGGCCTTACTCGCCAGGGCCCATCACCGTCATTCAGGGTGATGACTTCAAGGCAAGGCCAAGAAGAACCCATAACAGCGAGCTCCTCGTCTGAGAATTGAAAGGACCCGAGTGTCGAGAGAAGGAGCTCTCGCAGCTTCGAGAAGCGAAGTAAAGGTTTGATGGTATCCATATCGATGGATGCAGCTGGGAAACGTTTATTGGGCTGGAATCGAAGACTCTGCATAGAATCACATCTCCGTTGATTTGACAAGGTGCTGAAAAATTCCTGTAAACCTTGAGATGACGGCCCTTGGACCGCCTTAATATGCAAATGAGAAGGCGAGGGTTGGACTGCCTGAATAAATGCAGTGATGTCAGTCAGATGACTGGAATTCATCCCAAAGCTTTTGATCCGGGAAAAAGGTGGAATCCGAGGGAGAGTGGAATGCGGAAACTGTGAAAAATCGTATTGATGGTCACTCGGGATACTGATATCCAGTTCGGTCAACGATGGGTGCCATGCAACGAAAGTGATCGCTGCTTGGCTGAGTTCATCGCATTGAAGCATCTTCAGATGAGGGAGGCCCATGATTACATCTGACACAGCGGCCTTGATGGGCTCGTGCGACCCATAACCGAAAAGGTGGAGAGATGTTAAACGAGGGCATAAAGTGGCAAGAGGTGAGATGAACAGTGGAATATTGGGAAAACTGACAGGAAGAATCTCGAGAGTAAGATCTGTCATAGATGGTACAAATAAAATATCGAGGAGGGGATAGTCTTCAGGGATGAGGTAGCGGCAATCAAGACGCTGCAAATTTGGGAGGGGAGGCTGAGCAACGGGCTGCTGTCGAAGAGCAGTCAAGACGTTGTGATAAAAGGGTGCCTCTGAATAGCACTGGTATATTGTCAAAGACAGGACTCGCGGGACATATTTCTGCAGAACTTCCCAATCGCTAGTGGTCAGGATATTCGTATGATCCTAGTAATATTCAGCTGTTAGTATTCAGTAAAGAGCTCTTTTGCACTAAACGTACATCCAGGTACCACTGATCGCGCGAGTTCGGTAAGCATTCTACCAAGGGGTGCGGAAAGTACAGATCTCCCCACAACACGTCCAAGGCGGGTTCGTGGAATGTTCGGCACGTCCTTGCAAGAGTCGCAAGAGTCTTCCGCCCAACATCCCCTAGTACTGAATATTTCGTAGATGGTTTGAGTTCATTAACATGGCGGAAGAGTATGTAAATGATGTCGTCCAACTGCAGAGCGCGGTGCATTATAGACCTAACTGACGAGTTTAAAAATCAACAGAAAAGATGCGATGGGAGCCGACTGTACTTGCACTGTTTGGTGCTAGGATTCGCAGAGACTGCGATCCTCAAGATAGTGATACAGTAGCGCCTCTTTATAAAGTACTACTTATCGGAGTCGGGAAGACTAGGGAAAAATCAACAAGAGATGATAGTCTAAGGAACATGTTGGAGTACTTGACGCCGAGCGTAGACATCAATCAAAGTGTCGGGGGCCACGCGGGTACGTATCATTTGTTTGTCACACTCAGTGACACAAGACAGGACCACTCTCAATGTCTTCGCACTTAGCCCTTTCAAAAGGCAATAAAAAGTGCACTACTGCATATTGCTCCTCGTCTTTTGATCAGCTTCAGCGTTGTGTTATATGTTCATCAAGTCGCTATCACCGACATCATAACAGGGCGGTTCTTCTCGCGGTATCTGCGACGCTTCCTCTGCATAGGTAAAACTTTCGGTGATCTTATATTTACGGAGTTCGTGCCTCATTTTTTCACGTATCGGTGACTCAATGGACTTCAGGTCCAATACTGCGACGGTCTACGAGTTCCACAGATCATCTAGACCCATGCCATTTTTCCTACGATGTTGATAATGGTAAGTGAGCCTGACGAATAGGGCTGTTCACCGTAGGCCGTACGATGGGTCCATACGGCTCCATAATACGGTATCCGTAACCGTACCGTTGGGCGTTCAGGCTTGAGGTTGACGGATACGGTGTACGGGTATTTAGGACCCGTACATCACCGTACTTGTACGGCCGTAATATGTTGCAATGACTCAGTCGTAGGTTGGACGACACCATCAGCAGCCTCGACGATATCGACCACAGCGTCGGTATGGGCGCATCGTTAATCCACCTATAGGAAACAGACTGCATCGAGTGAGTTGTCGTCAACATAGATCTTGAGCTTACCTTGACTGATATTGGGCTAACAATACGTTACGCCGCTCGCAGTCAGATATACGCTGCACAGAGGTACTCCGTCATTCTCGAAGCAAACCACCCTATCGATAACTATTGGGTGCATGTGGACCCTAACTCGGGTACTTACTACCAACTCCACGACCATCTTTCGAAATCTAGACTCTCGTTATGTAGGCTATCAAAGAAGATGGTGGCGATCGAGGATGGGTACCTGTGCGTTTTACGTTTTTCTTCTTTACGAAGCCCCTCTAACCATTCTTGCTACTTGCTAGTTATGGCTCATTGGTAAGGTGCCTACTCCTGGCGCGGTGACGCCGACACCGAGCACGAGCGCAAGCTCTGCTCGCATTCAGCAGTGGACCCTCCGTCTCCTTCGACACTGAGAGTGCAAACCAAAATCAGGTTTCACCAATGTCCTCCGCCTTCCCCGTGCAGAATAGAAATATGATATCCATACCACACCGTACTAACAGTGATACGACGACCCCTCGTGAACATATTCCATCCTTCACTGCTGATATTTCCGCATGCTTGGTTCCTTATTGGGGTGTTGTGGTTGATCTGATGTTGTGTGTATCATTTCACTGATTCCAGTTGCGGGGCTAGCCGTGTAGATGCGCCAGATACGTCTCATCGCCGCACCCCAGGCAGTCCATTGCTACATCGATCATCATATTTTGCCTGTGATCCGGATGATCGTATGCATGTACAGTCGTTCAATTGGTTGGCGTCTTGCAATAGGCCGCAATAGCAACCGGTATGGCTAATGCAACTCTGCGCCTTCGGCAGAAGAGATTTTGTAAGCTGAAGAGATGCGGATACCATATTTCAACTTTTGATTGCAATATCGCTGCCAAGCTCTTTCCCCATCAACTTGAAAGTGCAGCATGGTTCACACGTGGAGCTCAGTTTTCCTGCGGCACTGGTATACTAACTTTAGCGTCGAAGAGCGAAGGGCGGCTCTCTGAGTCTGGGCAGATAACAGCCTCACATCACCACAATCAACGGACCTGGCTCGCTGGCGCATCAGACAAAGAGGTCTCTTCAAGTTGTCATGTCATTGCTATATATTATGAACACCCTCTTGCACCCCAGCCATCATTTTCGCTATGGCTTCAACAGGCATTTCGCTGGATGCTGCTGTTGTGGCTTCCACAGTACTGGAAGGCATTTTATATGGTGAGTATCGCATTCGGTTCTTCCGTCCCATGCCCACCAAGCTAGGGGTCAGGTTTTTCGGTCCTCATGTTTATGGGTACCATCTGGGCATCGATCCACAAACATGGCATACGGGCTGTTAATCGTCCGATCACTGTGGTGGCAATCCTGCTGTTGATACTGAGTACCGCGGTGAGCTTCCTGCCTTCTGCACCCGATGTCAGTTGCTAAATTCTCTCAAAGCACATGGTCGTGGACATCATTCGTCTCGAAGATGGACTGGTGAAGTATCGTGACACGTTCCCTGGCGGATCGGTGGCATTCTTCGAAGACATTAATCAAAAAACATATGTGATTAAGTATATGATATACGCCTTGCAAACTCTGCTTGGCGATGGGGTGGTGGTGTGTCCACTTTTTTATTCGTCAACTTTAAAACCTTCTAAGCTCGAAGAATGCCGCCTTGTTTTGTATGTAAAAGATTTATCGCTGTTATGTCGTTTGGCGATCAGTCTGGGTCATCATCCTACCGAGCATGCTGTGGTGCGGCGTCGCAGGTCAGGTCGCAATGTTATCGTGCTCAGGGAGCCTGTGTTCTTATTTTTCGTCGAAGTGACTGGTTTAACTGCGGTCTCCCTCTCTTTGCGGGCGACTGGCGACGGGAACATCTACACCAATCAGGCCGGACAATGGATCACGCCGTTCTTTTCCTTGACAATTTCAACTAATTTGATAGGTTCAGGTAAGCATGCCTCTCCGTGGACACGACGTCAAGGCCTCACAGCAACCTAAATTTATCCAGGATTACTGGCATATCGTATCTGGACGATCGAACGCAACGTCTCTGCAATTCGCACTACGAAAGGCACTATGATGCCTATAGTCCGCGTACTTGTGGATGCCGCTCTAATTTACTCTGCGACGCTCATTTCCACCCTAATCTGTTTCATCAACTCAAGCAATGGACAGTATATTTTGCTAGACATGGTGATTATCACCGTTAACACCTGCTATAAGATATTGCTAACCCTCAACCAATTAGATCATGCCCATCATCTCGATTGCCTTCTACATGGTACTTATTCGCCTCGCCATCAGGAGCACCCACAATCGCACTCTGATTGCCAGCGGTGTCACAGTCAGTGAACCCAAAAGAGGAACCCAATATTCTATGAAGCCTTTGCAAATCCATATATCCCAATTCACGCACAGTGATGACGGTACTTCGGAATCGTATGGAGTAGCGAATCGGGACAGAACATTGACACACAAGCCAGAGACTGTGGAAGAAGCATTTTGTAACGTATAGTCAGCCTAAGAAAGTAAAATGTAGCAGCTCTAGTCAAGTACCAGCTCGATTCTAATTTAATTTCATCAGTATATTTTTCCAACATACAAGCTGCCATCAAGCTCTCAAATTTACTGCTGCAATGGAGGAATTAATTACTACAAGAAACAAATGGGTAGCAAAGACAAAGCTGAAACCCTGGATACGATGAGCCTGGTCTCCCTACGTTCAACATATATATAAATGCGTACTAGGTACGAACTGTAAATGGAATGAATAGAATCCTGTTGACAAGACGAGTCACGAAGCGGCAATCACTACTACTTACCATGGCATGTATCAATACATTGGTACAGCGGGACGCTTTCACGAGGTATCAACAAAATTAGGTCCTCCAACGTCCCCCTTGGAACAATCTGAACGCTTCGAGATACTCATTCACCTTGTCCCAGCTAGGCTCGTGAGATATACCCCGCCTCAATCCACCCACCCCTATCTTCTTCACCTTCGGAAAGGCTAGAGAGACGATGAGAGCAACAGCTCTAGGATTTTTGACAACTGTCCCCGGAAGCAGGAGTTGCTGGAGATCGTTTGCGCCGACCATCGATGTAGGACACTCCTCTATTCCCTCCAATATATTTGCGTTGATTGGTAGGCGAGCGGTCCTCAAATGAGCGCACTTGTTCACTAGTAAGATAAGGCTGCGCAGCGTGATGGTTGCCCGCGCATCACCGTTATTGAGGTCGATGACTTCAAGGCAAGGCCAAGAAGCACCCATTGCAGTAAGGTCCTCATCTGAGAAATCATAGGAGTTGACTATCAAGAGATGGAGCTCTCGCAGCTTCAAGAAGCTAAGGAGAGGCTTGATGGTATCCATATCAACGGATGCAACTGAGGGATATTCGTGGGGCGGATAGGACTGCACTCCAATAATTTGCACAGATTCATGTCTCCGTTTATTTGACAAGGTACTGAAAAGCTCCTGAAAATCTTGAGGGGACGAACATTGGCTGGTCGCAATACGTAAATGAGAGGGCGAGGGTTGGACCGCCTGAATAAATGCAGTGATAGAGCTCAGATGAACGGAATGCATCCCAAAGGTTTTAATCCGGGAAAAAGGTGGTATCCGAGGGAGAGTAGGATGCGGACACTGTGAAAGATCGTATTGATGACCACTTGGGACAAAGATGTCCAGTTCAGTCAACGATGGGTGCCATGCAACGAAAGTGATCGCCGCTGAGCTGAGTTCGTCGCAATGAAGCGTCTGAAGATGAGGGAGGCCCATTATTACATCTGAAACAGTGGCCTTGATGAGTTCGTGCGATCCATAACCGAAAAGACGGAAAGATGTTAAACGAGGGCATGAAGTGGCAAGAGGTGAGATGAATGAGATATCGGGAAAGCTGGCACGATGAACCTGGATAGCAAGATCTGTCAAAGATGGTACAAAGAAGATGTCGAGGAGACGGTAGTCTTCGGGGATGAGGTGGCGGTAATCAAGACGCTGTAAGTTTGGGAGGGGAGGCTGAGCAACGGGCGACTGTCGAAGAGCCTTCAACACGTTGCGATAAAAGGGTGTCTCCGAATGAAATGTCAAAGACAGGACTCGCGGGACATATTTCTGCAAAACTTCCCAATCCCTAGCGGTCAGGGGTTTCGTATGATCCTAGTAGTATTCATGTGTTAGTAGTCAGTAAAGAACTCGGTCGTACAACCTACCTTTAGATGCCACTGATCGCCCGAGTCCGGCAAGCATCGTATCAGAGGCTGCGGAAAGTATAAATCTCCCCACAATACATCCAAGGCGGGTTCATGGAATATCCGACACGTCCTCGCAAGAACTGCAAGAGTTTTCTGCCCGACATTCCCTCCTGGTTCATGATTCACAGAGGGTTCATTGACATGGCGGAAGAGCATGTAAATGATGTCGTTCAGCTGTAGTGCACGATGCATCGTGGTCATGGTGACGACTTGGAAACTCGATAGAAAGGATGCGATAGAAATTGACTGCACTAGTACTGTTGGGCGCTAGAATTGGCCACGTTCGTCAAGATATTTCGAATTCGACGGTGGATCGGGTAGCTAGTGGGCCGTCGTTCCTTCTTTTTCAAGTCGAATGGCTTTCAAGAGGACTTCAGAGCAGCACCTTGGTTTCTGAACCGATCACAACGTGAACATGAACCAAGCACATGATCATGATGAGCCAGTGACTGTTACATACCTAATTGAATGCTATCATCATAGTGGCCACTTGACTGCGTGTCACTCTACAACCTATGTGTGATCCAGTCCTTTTCACTGATGCACGGTGGTGTGGGACTCCAGGGAAACTCTATGAGCTACCATCTTGGCGTGTATTCGAAAGCAATGATACATTCGATACATTCTATAACCCAAGACATATTAATCAAGTCAAGTTATTGAGTCCACTTACAAGTTTCAAAGACGCTCGAAAACCTCCCTTAACCGTCAGGTTCTTTGCAGAACTGGCTCGGGAGCGAGGTAGGACGATCTTTTCGCATTTGTAATTTGCCTCTCCAAGCCTCTTGCTTTGCAGCTTGGTTAGGTACCTCCCGTCACTTCACGACGCAGCGAGTCTGGATGCCTTCACAAGTTCAACTGCGAACGAAAATATTAGATACGTCTATGGTGTTCGGTTGTTCGATATGCCAAAACGGACGAGCGAAGTGGTTGCTCTTGTCAAGGCACCATGACATCTCCGCCTGTGGTGACGAGTCCAACACCGTGGCAGCTCAGAGGCTTCATTAGATGGAACGATTTCATATCTTCCTTCGTCTATATAGGTTTGCCTAGGGGAGACTAGCTCAGAATGATAAATATTTTCTCACTCATGCAGTGTTCAGAAGGCCTTCCCCTAGAACGCTTCAAGCGCCGGCGCTACTGTTACATATTAGTAGTGTCGAAGTGTACATTTTTGGAGATAGTCAATGCAACCCGCCGCCCTGTCTCGTATCTGCTTCCAAGTCATCCCTCTGTTGGATGTTCAACATCGACCTCGTATTCCTTTTCCTTGATCGCCATCACGGACTCTATAGCGTAGCTTATAATTTAGTTGTATCGCATTGTTTGTACCTCAGCAGTTCTTTCACCAACGCTGAGGTACAGTTCACGTTCATTCTGCACGCCGTCTCTCACTTACATTGTTTCGTCTCTAGACCTGTCTCTTAGGTACTATTAATGTCATAGCAGTTCTTTCACCAACGCTGAGACCTGTCTCTTAGTTTCTACTTTCTACAGGTTATGAGCCCTGGCTCAAGCTGAGCCAGAAACCAAAACTTCGAACAGAACTTCACTCAGTTAGTGCCCGCCGCTCACTTATCTCATTTCCCTCCACGACGGCATCGTCATGGGGAAACATGATCACATCCCCGAGCTGCTTGGAATGGAGAATTATACTGGTTGGGCTACCAAGATGCAGTACGCTCTTGTGTGTGAAGACTACTGGTGCCACATCAACACGAAATCCGAACCAGGGGATCTCCTCGGTCTTCCCTCATACATACCTTTACCAGTCGATAAAGCTAAACCCATGGATGCTGAAACAGCGCTGATGCGTGAATGGTTGCTCAAAGACATGAAGGCCAAGGAACTCATTACTCGGCGACTGAGCTCGTCCGTCGCATCACTCATTCCTCGTTCTCACACCGTCTCCGCACGTAAAGCTTGGCAGGTCCTACAAGATCATTTCAACTGGACCGACATGAGCGCACAGTATCTTCTAAGACAGCAGGTACAAGCGTTGCGCATGAAGGACTCTGCTGACGCCACCAATTATGTCGCACAACATGCGGTTTTCTGCGAGCGCTTAATGGATGCTGGTGCACCTTGGGGTGAAACTGACGCCATTTACCATATGTTAATGGGGCTCCCTCAAACCCCAATCTGGCAGCAGTTCAAATCTCTTCTTGAACAGCATATGCATGATGAGTCGACGACCGCCACGTCAGCATCTGTACCTACTTTTACCTTCGAGAGTTGCGTGTCTCACGTCACATCTGAGGCTGCACGCCATGTCGTGACCCAGCATGCGCATTCCTCGCGTCCAGGTTCAGAGTATGCCAATGCTGCCACCACTCCCAACGCGAGCGGCACCAATCCCATCACCGGTCTGCGCATGCACAAGCACAACCCCCAAGGGGTGTTCTGCACCACGCCTGGCTGCAGCAAGGGCGATCATGACCATGCTCACTGCTATGGAAAGGGCGGCGGAATGGAAGGTCAGGCTCCTTGGATGAAGAATAAGAAGAAGGACAAGGAGTCCGCGGTTGCTGCAGCTGCTACCACAGCGCCCGTTCCAGCTCCTCCCCCTGCTCTTACTCCTACACTTCCCATCGCGGCGGCTGTCACTGGACTCAGCAGTCTTATGGACGACATGTCTTTTGCTTCAATTACAGAGCTCCCAGACAATGTATCCTGCGCCGTCAACCTCCTGTTCTCCACCATTTTGGACTCTGGCACTACCGTTACCCTAGTCAAAGACAAGCATTTTTTCCACACTTATTCTGATGCAGACCCCATCCCAGTGTGCACCGCTAATCACGGTATCTTGCAAACCACCGGCTGCAGCTCCTGCGTTGCATGGCTCACCATCAGGGGGAAACGACTTCGTATACGGTTATCCAACTGCCTTCATGCACCGGGTGCCTTACTCAATCTTCTATCTGTCAGTTGCATGAATGCGAAGGGGTGGGATGTCAACTTCAGATCCAACATGACCTGCGAACTCACCTACAAAGGCACTCTCCTTGGTGCGATACCAGCCACCGGGAAACTATATGCTGCAGACATGGAGTTCATTCCAGCCTCCGTGCCGTCAACTGCATCATCGCCTCACCCTGAAATGTCGGCGTTCACTCACGTTCCTCTCTCATTGGACCTTTGGCATGCTCGAATCGGACATATCGGAAAGGAGGCGGTATTACGACTCAGTCGCGTTGCCAAGGGCGTTACCGTCGATTCTACCGCACCTCTCTCTCACTGCAAATCATGCATCATGGCCAAGCACCCTCATCAACCCTTTCATCCGTCTGAGACTGAACGCGCGTCCGGTTTCCTTGATCTAATTCACTCCGACCTCTGCGGTCCCATTCCCACACTCACTCCTCACAACAAGCGCTACTTCATCGTCTTTCTTGACGACCACACACACACGCTTGATCTCCAACTCCTTGCCTCGAAAGATCAGTCTCTAGACGCCTGGCGCGCACTGCATGCCCGCTGGGAAAACCTGTCCGGGCGGTGTGTAAAGATTTTTCGTTCCGATAATGGCGGGGAATTTATCAATGACGCCTTTACGGTGGATCTTGAGCAAACAGGTGTCCAGCGTCAACGCTCTGCTCCCCAAGCTCATCAGCAGAATGGGAAAGCAGAGAGGGTGATGCGTACGATCGAAGGTCGTATGTATGCGATGCTGGACTTTGCCTGTTTGCCAGGCTCTTTGTGGGGTGAGGCAGCTCTCACTGCATGCTATCTGTTTAATCGGACGGAATCGCGTGCACTACCTGCGGGGAAAACTCCATATGAGATGCTGCATGGCACTCAACCAAATCTGGGCCACCTACGCGTTTTCGGTGCTCGTTGTTTCGCACGCATCCCAACAGAGCTACAGCAAAAACTTGGACCTCACTCTTGCGAAGCCATCTTCATGGGATACCCCCCAGGTGTCAAAGCCTGAAGATGTCGCAACATCGTCACTGGCGCTTTCTTCAACTCGCGCGATGTCATCTTTGACGAAGGATTGTCCAACCGCCCCTTCCCTGACAGCGACAATGAGGATGACGATGCTGTACTCCCGCCGGCACCTCCTCCTACCATCATCATCCCGCCTCCACCTCCTCACGCTGATATTATTCGTCGTTCAGGTCGCATCCCAATCTCAACTGAGAAGGGCCAACTCTTTAAGGGTCGCATTGCTGCCGACAAAGCACGTCTCGCTCGCCAATGCGAGGTTCGCATCGCACGTCTCATGGGCATTCCGCCGCCTTCCTCGGATACTCTTGTACCTGTTGCACTGATCGTCAATGCTCCCGCTCGCATGCCTGACCGCCCACCTCCCGCAGTTGTCGACCCTGATGCAATCAACCCTGATGATGATGAAATTGGTTTCCCCGAGGTCATCGCTAACCTCATTGTTGTGGGAATGGCTTGTCTGTCCATCCGCAGTGACACACGCCGAAACCCTCTGTCCCCTGGTTACGATCTCAAGGTCCCCCCTGCAACTTATGACGAAGTGCTCCGTCGTCCAGATCACGACCATTGGTTAGCCACGATGCATAAAGAGATGAACCTAATGTCAGAAATGAAGGTATATGAACTCGTACCACTGCCTGACGACCGTCGCGCCATCGGGTGCCGCTGGGTACTAGAATTCAAGGAGGATCTCAAGGGCGGTCCTGTATTCAAGGCGAGACTGGTAGCGCAGGGCTTTTCCCAGATTCCAGGCGTCGACTTCAGATGCACCTTTGCCCCAGTGGCCAAATCCACCTCTATCCACGTTCTTTCCGCTTATGCAAAGCCAATGATTGGGAACTCAATTGCTTCGATGCGAAGCGTGCCTTCTTGTGGGGCAAACTCCAAGAAGACATCTACATGCGTCAACCCCCTGGCTTCGAGCGCGCTGGTCCCGATGGTCTCCGCCTAGTCGCCCATCTCCTTTCCTCTCTCTATGGTCTCAAACAGGCTGCTTATGACTGGTATGAACTCCTCCACGAAGTCCTCTCTTGTCTCGGGTTCTTACGCTGCGATGCTGACTACGCCGTTTTCATCTTTGACCATGTCAACGGTGAGGGGGTGAGAATAATCTGCATCATCACATGGCACGTCGACGACGGACTCGCGGGATCGAACAATCGCACTTTCCTTGACCGAACAAAGGCGCAAATTGCTGAACGTTTTGGGATCACTGACCTTGGACCTGTCACGAAATATCTCGGCGTTCAATTCATCCGTGATCGCCAGACTCGTGAACTATGGATGCATCAGGAGGACTACATCGGTTATCTGCTGGTGGAGCATGGCATGTCAGATTGCAACCCAGTAGCACTGCCCATGGACCCCACCTTTCCGTTTGGCCGTCCAACTGACGTTTTCCCTCATGTTAACGACCTTCAGACCGAATATCGCAAACTCGTCGGTGAACTCCTTTACCTTGCCATGTACACTCGTCCCGATATCGCGCTTACCGTCATGCAACTGGCACAGTACAACGTCTCTGCCGAACCTAAACACTATACAGCCGCCAAACACGTTCTTCGTTATCTCGCCGGTACGAGAACTCTTCGCGCACATTACGGGGGTGTAGGAATCAACCCAAGTCTGCACGGGTTCTCTGACTCTGACTGGCCCTTGTGCCCTGAGGATCGCATATCAATTTCGGGATATGTCTGGTTTTTCAACGGTGGCCCCGTCTCGCACTCCGCGAAGAAGCAAACCACTCAGGCTCTCTCATCCACTGAAGCAGAATATATGGCGCTCACCTCGGCCATTCAAGATGGCCTCTGGCTCCAGTCCTTCTTTGGGTGCCTCAGCATCCCTCTACCCCTGCCATTGCAACTATTCGCAGACAATGCTGGCGCCATTGCTCTATCGAAGGAGGCTGCAAATCACGTTCGAACGAAACACATCGATCTCCGTTACCACTTCATCCGTCGTCATATCGAAGATAAAACATTCTTGCCGATCTGGTTGTTGACTCATAAAAATACTGCCGACATATTCACCAAACTCTTACCCCGTCCCGCATTCATTCATCATCGTTCTGGTCTCGCGCTCGTGTCTCATTGAGGCAAATGTTCTGTTTTGTCTCTCGTTTTCGTTGTCTCGTTGAGGGGGTGTGTTGGATGTTCAACATCGACCTCGTATTCCTTTTCCTTGATCGCCATCACGGACTCTATAGCGTAGCTTATAATTTAGTTGTATCGCATTGTTTGTACCTCAGCAGTTCTTTCACCAATGCTGAGGTACAGTTCACGTTCATTCTGCACGCCGTCTCTCACTTACATTGTTTCGTCTCTAGACCTGTCTCTTAGTTTCTACTTTCTACACCCTCTTCCCGCTGCATGCCAGTAGGACCATCTACCGCCTCCGATCTTGTGTCTTACATATAGCTTTCGGTGGTAGCCGACGCCTCACGATTGAATTGTTCTCCACCTCCGTCGCAATCGTGATTCATTGAATTCAATACAGCCCTTTCTATCTACAAGATACCTCGCAGATCATATGTTCGGAGGACAAGACGAACGATAATATCACGACTGAGTATATAAAGGGATTGTTTCAAGAAGTAAACTAGCATAGAACCCTCTGTGACAAGACGAGACTCCGACGGTGGCAATATTAATTACTCGTGTTACATCAATTTAAATACGTTTAGTATGTACTGGTACACCGGGAGACGGAAAACCAACTTTCACGAGGTACCAGCGACACTAGTCCTCCAACGTCCCCCTTGGAACAATTTGAACACTCCGAGGTGTTCATTCACCTGGTCCCATCGTGACTGTGGTTCGTCGGGATTATGCCACGGCAAATCATCCGCCACTATCTCTATCACGTTCACATTTGGGAAGGCTAGAGAGATAATGAGAGCAACAGCTCGAGGATCTTCGATGACTCTATCCGCAAACATAAGTTAGTGAAGATCGTTTGCACCAACCATCGATGCAGGACACTCATCTATCCCCTCCAACACATTCGCGTCGATTGGTAGGTAAGCGCTGTTCAAACGAGGGCACTTGTTCACTAGTGACATGAGGCCGCGTAGAGTGAAGGCGGATGGCCTCGCCCGCGCATCACCGTTATCGAGATTAATGATTTCAAGACAAAGCCAAGAAGCACCCATGACAGTGTCCTCGTCTGAGATAAGATAGGAGTTGATCATCATGAGATGGAGCCCGCGCAGCTTCGAGAAGCGAAGCAGAGGCTTGATGATATCCATATCAATGGATGCATCTGGGTGATGTTGGTGGAACGGGTAGCACTGTGCTCGAAGACTTTGCATAGATTCGTGGCTCCGTGGATTCGACAAGGTACTGAAAAACTCTTGCAAATCTTGAGGTGACGGCCCTTGGCCCGTCTCAATCTGCAAATAGGAAGGCGAGGGTTGGACTGCCTGAATAATGCAGTGATAGCAGTCAGATGAAGGGAAGTCATTTTAAATATTTTGATCCCGGAAAACGGTGGTATCCGAGGGAGAGTAGGATGTGGAAACTGTGAAAAATCGTACTGATGGTCACTTGGAATAATGATGTCCAGTTCATCCAATGATGGGCGCCATGCAATGGAAGTGATCGCCGCCTGGCTGAGTTCGTCGCGATGAAGCATCTGAAGATGAGGGAGGCCCATGATTATATCTGACACAGTTGCCTTGATGGGTTCGTGCGACCTGTAACCAAAAATATGGAGAAATGTCAGATGAGGGCATAAAGTGGCAAGAGGTGAGATGAGCAGTGAAATATTGAGAAAGCTGGCAGGACGAATATCGATAGCAAGACCTTTCAGGGATGGCACAAATAAAATGTCGAGGAGAGGATAGTCTTCAGGAATGCAGTGGTGGTAATAAAGACACTGCAAGTTTGGGAGGGGCGGTTGAGCAACGGGTGACTGTTGAAGAGCCTTCAAGATGTTGCGATACAGGGGTGCCTCTGAATCATGATGGAATGTCAAAGACAGGACTTGCGGGACATATTTCTGCAGAACCTCCCAATCCCTAGCGGTCAGCCTGAGGGTGTTCGTATGTTCCTAGCTGTATTGAGCTGTTAGCACTAAGTCAAGAACTCTGTCATGATAAACCCACATGGAGATGCCACTGATTAATGGCAGCTAAGTCCGGTAAGCATCGTATCCTTGAAGGGATGCGGAAAGTTCAGATTTCCCCGCAACACATCCAATGCAGATATGGAATATTCGGCATGTCCTTGTAAGAGCTGCAAGGGTTTTCTGCCCAACATTCCCTCCTGGTTGCGATTTCACAGAAGGTTCATTGACGCGGTGGAACAGTATATAAATGATGTCATTCAACTGCAGAGCACCGTGCATCGTAAACTGACGACTTGAAAATTCGACGGAATGGATGTAGAAGCTGACTGCACTTACGGTACTATTTGGGGCTAGAATTGGCCAGATTTTCGAGACCACGATTCTCGGAACGGTGGATTGGGTGTTGGACGTTGGACTTCTGTCTTCCAAGTCCGTTCAACACAGGTTCAACACGGTGACGCAGAAGAGTGTTTTCGCTTCAACAAGTCTGAAATTATTGGGGAGTCCAGTAACACTGGTATCTTAATGACCGTATCTTGTATATATGTAGAGTCCCTTGTCATCTTATCGGGAAGACTAGTGAAACGTGTCAGACCCGTCGACCAGGTTGATCGGGTTTTATGTCAATAGGAATCCTTTGCCAAGCAAACCACGACATGAGCATGAACCAAACACATGAGTTGAACGTATCTCTAGAGCAGCATCTTCTGCAAGTTCTTAACCCTCTTCCCACTATCCTACCCGACGACCTAGCTGCAGAATTGTCGACCTTCATATCCCCATCATCAAGCATCGTCATTCCCTACAACGTTCTCCTCAAGATATCCCAATGGTCTCGCTCACCAGCAGGCCTCAAAGCCCTGCAGAGCTCTTCCTTGGTTCCTCAGTCTTATTCCATGGTCTCTCTGCTCGCTGGCACGCGAACATCACCAGAGAAAAAGTTTCCTGCATACGTAGTAAATGATCCACAAGCAGAACGCCGGCGGGCAGCAGATGACAGGAAGGCAGTGTCTACAGTCGTTAATGGCATCCTCGGCGTCGCAGGAACCGGGTTTGCGACATGGTGGGCAAGTGAACATACAGGCCTGCGACTTGAATGGGTATGGAGCTTCCGCGGAGTGTTATTTGATGCTCATAAATGTCTATCCAGAGAGCATTGCTTGCAACATTTGCTGCTCTTGTCGTTGCCTTTGCAGAGGTCATTCTGTACATGATATGGGACTCTCGTCAATCAACCAAGAAAACAGATCGTGCTCCCCGCATAATATCGAGGGACAAGAAGCTACTGGAAGACTCGGACAAGACGGCTGATATAGAAGATACCACCGCAACTTCTTCCAGCACAGACCCTCATCACTCTACATTACGCCAACGCCAAATACAATCCGCTTCCATTCCTCACGAAAATTCGCCTCGAGTGACATGAGATATCCCGGCTCACTCCTATTTCAGCTGATGGGTGTAGTGCGACAGTACCTCACATGTCATCCTGTGAAGTTAACAGTGCCTCAGTATAAGCTGTAGCGCAAATAGCCAATAATGCGTAGAAATCCTACGTGCTAAAGAGACCTGTGTACCTGTAAGTGGAAAGTCGGCTGTGTCTCAAAAGAAATCCATCTGGTCCAGATCAAAAGGAATCATGCGCGTGGTACGTGCCATGGGAAGTCGCGACATGGAAGCCACGATGCTGTGGAGTATGACGAATCTGCCGAGAGTTGTACAGCACCAGCGCGGCGGTATCAGCCCTTCTTTGCCTTTCTCTTTCTATTCCCCGTGCCAGTACTTGCGCCAGAGGTAGGCGGTAATTCAACAGTGCCTCCAGCGGCTTCGGCCCCTGCGCCGTCCTCCTGCTCGATCTTCGCCCGAGCTTCCAAGAAGAACATGACGTCCCTGACCTGATCCTGGAGCTCAGCGATTTTGGCCTGATACTCTTGACGCTGCGTCTCCGATTGTGCACTCGTCTCCTTCATTTTGGTTAGATTCCTCAAAAGGCCCTCGCTGACGGCCTTCTCTTCCTTCAATTCTTTTTCAAACTTCCTCGCAAGCTCTGCAATGCGTTCCGCTTTCTTCTCTGCCTTGAGCTTGTCCTTGTACACCTCGTTTAGTTTCTCTTCCTCTTCCTGACGCCGTTGTGCTTCACGTTCCTTCGCTTCCGCCCTGTCCTTTTCTAGGTCTCGACCTAGCTTTTCTACCAAGTTTCGTAGCTCGTTCACCTGTGTCTTCAACTCAGTTGTTTGATCCTCGTAAAACGAACGCTGCGAATCCAACTGCGACGTAAGCAGATAGGAGTACTCGATTCCAATCGCCTCGATCTTCTCCGCGCTGAGCGAATCTGCATGACTTGGACCCAACGTGCCATCGTCTCGAGAGTTGACGCCCATCGAGGATGCAGCGGAAGGAAGCTCGACAAGTTTGCCATCCGCTTTGTTCTGAATGAGGCGGTGCACGTAGCCATCGCCCGCGTAGTCCCAGACACGTTGCGTTTCAAGTTCGAGGGCATAGAGATGGGTTGTCTTCTCGTAATGAGCATGTGCGTGAGCACGGCCGTAGCGCCCGCAGCCAATATTGCCGCATATCAGGCAGATCCACAAGTTTGTGGTGGAGGAACAGTCAGCGCACGTAGAAAGGGAGGGGGTAGCAGTATTTGCAAATGGAATGGGTCGTGAACGCGAGGTGGACGAGGTGGGATGTGAGGAGAGAAGAGTCTGCGAATAGCGACAGACGGGACATCTAGTGATAATCATAAGTTGCTAATGGGGAATTTCTATGGAAAGTAGCGTACCGACTGTCGCCCCATTTACTGAGACACATGCAGTGGAATGTATGTGAGCAAGGGACTGTGATGAGACCAGTAATAGCCGAATCCATCCTTTCCAGACATACGGGGCAAGTCGGCAGTTCATAGACTGACTGAGGCACTCGTGCAACGGTAGAGGGGGAAGGAGAGGAGTCGGGATCTATCTCGACAGATAGAACACGGACAATATGACACGTCTCAGGCTGCATTAACACTCAGTATCGAGCTGAAGGTAATGTCAAACCACCTACGTCCATAGAATTGAACGGTTTGCCGTTGAATGCTTCTGCAAATTCAATTGATTGATCGGCTTCCCGAAACTTGATGACGGCGATAGAACGATTCGGGGAAGAATCTCTGAAAGCATCCCGTAAGTTCAGGACGTATATTATAGCTTTTGGGAGTGCACACCGGATAAGACGAAGGTGAGCCATACCCTCCGCAGCGGGCGCCACAAAAGCTAGGAAGTCCGAAGGTGTCATCCAAGCAGGAACTGCCAATACACCAAGCATGAAGCCATCTTCTGGAGTGGTCTCGCTTGTAATTGCGGTAGATGGTCCATTAGACTCATCCACACCGTTCTGTCGCCGTTCGTTACACTGGCGGTACACGTGAACCGTGCCCTCGGGCAAATTCGTCGAACCAGACTTCGTTGTCGTATTAGGTATGAACTCTGCTGTCGAGGGACCTGAAAACAGACGGTTTGAACTCTCGTTCGCGAAATATGTCATTACTCGCACCTCGCCCTGGTTCCTTCTCTTTGCCAGCGTACATAGTAGAACTCTTACTCTCGAAATCAATCCAATCGAGTCTTATTTGACCAAATCTGTAATCCTTGTGAGCTGGGTTGAATAAAGCGTTCCTCCTGGCAGTTGATTTGGGCCGATGTAATGGTAAGCGTTGAAAGAAGGCCTTCGGGATGAATGTATCGATAGAGTCGGGTTGTGAGTCAATCTTACTGTGTAGCGCAATTCGGATGTGACAGCTATTTATCATGTTGAGGGCTGTCGAGATGAGCACATTGATGTCGGATATGTAAGTCACCGTTGCAGCGCTAGCGCTCAGCGAGTCTGCGCCGGCCAGCTTCGGAGTGTCGCGGACATAACTCTTCTCCACTCAACACCCAAACAAAGTTTGTTCCTCATTCAAATGTCCGACCAATATTCGCTCAACGTCCGCTTTTGCGAGATTTGTGCTGGATTCCTCAGTGAGGGCGGTAAGGACAGTGTCCCATCCTTGACCAGAGCGCTTGATACGATCGCTAGTGATCTTGCAAGAAATGAGGATCTGAGGTGAGATCGGAACCTATCTCGTATGAGAACTCAATAATTGCCTGCCCGCCGAAAATGCAGAATTCGGATGGGGTCGGATGGTCCTTCGATATGGCCGTCCCTCCAACAGTTATGGAATTTTCTTGCGGACTATCCCTCAGCGGACGCCGATGTCCCAGCCTTGCGCATCCTCGTAATAAGCGTCGCTAGATTCACCAGGAATCTCGTCGCAAGCGTTGCAGAAAACCAACGGAACGCATTGTGAGTAAAACATATTATCGGGTGGTAATATCCTAACGGCCGAGCGAGTTTCAAGTGGAGTCGAGCCGGCTCTCCGACGTATTCTGCATCTATACAGCTCCTGGTCTGCGATTCAAATCACGGACTGTAAGTCGCCCATTCTTCCAAGACACATCTCGACTCAAATCAGATACTCGCATCTACAGCTTTTCCGGCTACTAGGATGGCAGTCCAAGCCCTTTCAAACATCGTTACCACCAATGAGGATCTCACGTCTCGCCTTTGGAAGACTTATCTTTCCCTGCCCGAGGAACAGGTGGTTCTAATGTAAGCCTCTACAGCTACTTGCTGAGCGAAGACATTGATTTTTCTTTGGAACAAATTCAGTCGCTTGCTCGGCTCCCCTGACCCTAAAACTATCCTATCACTCTTGATACTTATGGTTAATTGCATTCACAATAGTGCTCAGCGTCGGTACGTAACATCTCGCGAGGACTGCTTAGCCTTGACACATTCCCTTTAAACTTAGTTCTTTACTCACGAGATCACGTGTGGGAGCCCGAATCTGTATAACACTTTTGGACCGCATGGTCTCATTACACGATGCGGAGGAATCAAGTGACGGCGCAAAGGCGTTTGACTACGGGTAACTGCAACTGGTGTATTGTGAAACTTCATAACGCCTTTCTTGAATAGGTATCATTTATTTGCCCACTTGTTTGACGGCGGCTTTGCACCAGACCTATACAATTCCCTGTCTGTGTAAGTCTGGTACTCTTATTCCGCGCAGAAAAAAGTACTCATGCTCTGCGGCAGTGAAGGGGAAGTAATTGCGCCGCATCAAACTACTCTTCTCAAACTGCTCGATTCGTACCTGCAGTCATCGAAAATGTGTCCTATACATTGTGATATGTGCCCTATGTTGTCGGAGATTTTTTTCTGCCTCTCGTCATATTCTCAGTCAGCGATCAGACGAGCTATCAAACCCAGCAATTCGGAGCCTTTGGAAGGTACCAACGAACACCCACAAGAACTTGATTTATTGCTGCCGAAAACGTGCGAGGCACTCGTATTAGCAGTTCAATGTATCGTGAAGATTTCATTGCTATCCGAGGAGCAACGGACAATGGATACGTCCGCTGAAGATTTACGAGCGACCTTCCGAGACGCTACCTCAACCGACGGTCAAGGCACAGCTGAGAGCATCATAGGCAAGTCGCGGCTGTCAAACTAAATTAGAAATATCATCCGACTATTTTTGTCCAGAACTTTTACGCCTCCTTGACGCGTTTCTTCCACGTATTTACTTTGGAAAGGCTGTCATACAACCTGTGACGGATCGAACTATCCCATCGTCGGCCGCGGAACCCAGTGGATTCTCTTATCTAAAACGAGACCTTGTGCGTTTGGTCGGGGTGCTTTGCCATCGAGATGCGATATTTCAGGACCGCATTCGAGTATGTGGGGGTATTGCCGTTATTATGAATATGTGTGTTGTGGACGAGCGCAACCCATGTACGTCAACTTTTTGGTGAGACCTCACGAGATTTCTAGACTTTGGATCTCTAGACCTTCGAGAACATGCTATATTAACACTTCGGAATCTGTTGGACGGCAACAAGGAAAACCAGGACGAAATCAACAGCATTCAACCATCGGGGTATTGGGATGAAGCAGGAGTACTGCATGAGAAGGTTGGAGCTACCCTTAGATAGATTTGATGAACATATGTCAAGTGTCAGGCCGCGTGTACTTCTACATAGAACAACAAGGAATGGACACGGGTGCTGACCAAACTCGTTATTCCTCTTCATCGTCGTCGAGCGCCATCGTTCTCTTTTTCCGTGCGCCAGATCCGGCTTTCCGAACCCTATGCTCCTCCTCCTCTTCCTCGCTTTCGATGTCCATGTCTTGGTCATCATCTTCCTCTGCGCCATCTTCCCCTCCTTCTGTCGTGGCTCTGTCGTTTCCGGAGTCTTGGTGTTTCCGTTTCCGGTCATCTTGCTGCCGCTGGATAATTTTAGCATCAAGCTGATCAAGCGGATCCTCTTCCTCTGCATCTCGGTGTTTCCGTTTTTTCCTTGGCTTGACCTCTCCATCAAACTCCGCATCATCGTCTGACTCGTCCGCGACCACGAAATCATCCTCTTGGTATTCGCCGGGACCCCTTTTCCTCTGTTCATCTGCCTTTCTTTTGGAAGCACCAATATCATCGTCGTCCTCTGAACCTTCATACTCCGGTTCCTCTTCATCCTCCGACCAGATATCGTGTCCCTGTCTTTTCCTCGATTGACTGTACCTCTTTTTATGAACACCAAGTCCAGAATCGTCAGTTTTCTTTTTGGATTTCCGAGCCGATTGCCTCATCAACTCCATCTTCTCGCGCTCAGGGTCCATGGTTGGATCAGGCGCCATACGTAGTCGCGCCACTTTGTTATGTTTCTGACCAACCGCGCGCACCAGCATACGATGCGTTTCAGACTGCATGCCCGTCGGTCGCAGTGTCATGTACCCCGTGACGACAGTTTCCGCTTGGAGCACCTCTGATCGTTTGTGTTGTGCGACCAGATATGTTAGACCTTGAGATCTCGAGCTAGGAAGCATGTTTTGTGATGCTGCTGGCTGGCTTTGTGATGCCTGTGACGGCTGAGTGCCTCCTAATGATTGACGTACGACACCGCCGGACGTGTCGACGGTTTTGGTGATATCAAACAGTTCCTTGCCTAATCGTAGGCTGAGAGAACCATCAGACCAACGGATCACGCGACTGTTTGATTGTCTTTTCTGTAGAAAGAGATCAGGCAACCCGTGACTTGCGTGACTTGAACATACATAACTTACATCTTGACCAAATTCATCTTTGGTCCACCGCCAGCGTACGGTATTTTCGACTTTGAGCTTGATAGACATGCTCTTCTCGCGAACGTTCTCATTGTGTTGGTTATCATCTTCATCGTGTTCGGGACCGATGTATGTGTCCGGGTGAAACGGCTTTGAATCCATTTTGACAAACGTTGGCATTCTAATTGCCCAGTGCTATGAAAATACAGCTTTTAGCTTACAGTCATGGTAACGAGACAATGTTACATACATCCCCATCTGAGCTCTTTGGAACCGGAATGTTGGGAATGCGAACGTCAGCCTCTCGGACCTGTTCAACGACAATACCAGGCTCTTCAGGCTCTAGATATTCCAGTGCTTGGCGGTGTTCTTTCTCCGTCTGTGAGAGATCATCCGACTCGAAACCTGATTCAGCAGGGGTAACGGCAGGGGCACTAGGATGATGGCAGTTGTATTCTTCAGCAGACATGATACGCGTACATGTAGCCTTTACTTACCTGTCTGATTTCGCATCTACAACGTCATGCTTTTCGTCTGCATCATTTCCAAAGAGATCTTCCATTTCCTCGTCTTGGACCCTTTCTTCAAGCACTCCAGAAATGGTCGCGGCGTCTTCTTCCTCCTTCAGAAGAACGTCACTGCTTGGGGCATTCATGTCCACGTCTTGGTCAGTGAACCCTCCTGGGTTGGCAGGTGGGACGTGGTTGTAGCTTGCGGGCTGATCTAGGGCACCGGCAAGGGATGACATTTGGGCTCCGTTTGAGTCTGACTTTGTTAGACTTGTCCCGTTGATCTCCTTGTGGCAGTTGAACTTGAGCTTTACATAACCTTGTTCTGAAAAAGGAAATCGGGCTATTGGCAGTAAGTACCTGGTGGCAGTACTTGGCAATCTTGAGCAAAGGTAAACATATCCATAGTCCTATCCTCACGTTCGAACAAGGAATACCGCTTCAATGAATCATCTTATTATCTTCCAGTCTCCAAAACAAGATGATTCAAAAATATGCCTGGCACAGACATCTGGGGCACGACGCGGGGCAGTTCAAGTGCTGTGCCATCACGCCGCACCAGGCCGCACCGTGACACTGGAGAGAATTAATATCATTGGTGCCGCGGAGGCGGTTCTCTAGCCATTCTGCCATGTTTGTGACAAACCATCTTATTTTGGTGACCACCCGCAGCCATGCCTTGGTTGCCGTTCCTATATGCTCCGCGCCTTTGACCTATCTCAAATGCCACTGTCACTTGGCCATTCATAGCCAGCCATGGGCTTGCCCATTTCCGTGTGGATGTTTCGTTTAGAAATCACGTTCTCCAGCGCGCTTGATGACTGATCAGAGACACAAAATTTAATTTCGCCTTGATAATTCTCCAGAGATAATATGTCCTGACCCGTGTCTTTTGTAGGATCAGTATACTTGCGATTGTACTATACAGTGGTAATTGGGTTTGTCCCTTTTCTCTTACTACGTCTTACCAGGCAGATGTCGTTATTCCGACGATCTCTTTAGAACGGGCGCTCCAGCCGCTCCAATCGGCCACCCCCCTTGGCTTGCCTGCACAGCAACATACAGCTTGTTGTATCATCTGTCTCCTATGTCATCCGGTATAAATTAGAAATGCCCATCCAATTTTCAATTTCGTTCTGATACCTACCTTATCCGCCAACCTCCCCATGAGTGACGCACCCCCATTCAACAGTTTCCCCGGCATTTGCAGCCCGGAAGATGATATCCAGTTCGACGCAGTGTGGGATGGCGTGGATTTCGGGCAGCAGCAACAACAACCGCCAAGGTCTTCCTACCCTTTTGTTCCTGTATGTGCATTTTCGTATGGTCGTCGCCTTGCTCACCACCGAAATATATAGCAACCCAGTCAACTAAATGCGTATAGCTACCTAGGTCACGACTTCTCTAACCAGTTGCAGTTCGAGTATAGTGTACCGTTCCCTGCAACGCATCCAAGTGATCCCAGGAATGGGCTTCCTCGAATTGAAACGAAAGCTCTTGGTCCGCCACCGCGGTTACAGATAGTATCTGATCCGTCTTCTTCAACAACTTCAGCTGGGTCTATGATGCCTCAGACCCCCTACAACACATGGGTAGCGGATAATCGTCTTCAGGTCCTTGTACCTTCAGGAACTCCATCATCTCCATCCGGCGCATTTTCATACTCTGCATCTCCCACAGTATGTTTCGGTGACCCAATCACACTGATCATTAACAACCGATGTGTCAGAATCCGAAGGGCCTGTCCCCTATCCCTTCCCCAATGTCACCCCATTCGCCCGCTGCCTTTGGTAGCTCTGACGAGGGGTCTTTTTTACAAGCTCTTGACGATGATGAGGTTTGTACTAAATCATGCGATTGATTGATGCACACGTTGTTAAACACTGGATGGATGCAGGAAGACGCGCCTCAACCAATGGAACATATCCTAAAGTGGAGGTCCATTCGAGAACAAGCAGTCATCGCCACAGGAACCGATGTCTACATCCCTCAGATTATATACCAACCATACACAGAGGCGGATCGTGTCCGCTACATCCAGAAAGCTGACCTCAAGGAACCAATCATCTTTATGACAGCACATCCCAATCAGTGGGGCATACCACTTGATGATGCCATCAAAGCTAAGATGAAAGACCTTCTCGATAAAGATGACAGCATGTTTGAGGACTGTGGGCCCTCAGTGTCCATCAGGCTTCAGGTATCCTCATTTCTCGCTGGCTCGATTGTTTCCTCATATGCACTCCTTCAGTGGCCCGGATACCGCTCGTGGACCAAGCAGATCCCTACGATGGACTTTAAAAGTCCAAAGGGTCCGATCACAAGAGCTAAATTGGCTAAAAACATCGCCAACTGCGTCAAGCGATTCATCGAAGTGCGCCCTACAGTCATTGTGTATCATCTGTAACTCATATCTCCCGTTCGTTTCAGGAAAAGGAGAAAGAAGCGCATGGAGATGGAAGCAGACCGCCGGTGGAGAGTTGGAAACCGCTACATCAGGATGGAGGACCTTATCTTGGTGTCCCTGCACCACATTTCCAAGGGCAGCTGGCAACCTCAGCTGCGTCTACGCACTACTATGAGTGACCTTCAACTCCGCCGCACGCTTCCGCCTTCCAGCGCATAGACTCACAGATGTGCGGACCAGTCCTCAATGCTCAGTTTCAATGCAAACTATGTCGAATACCCTGGATGACACTTGGATGTCACCATACCCGCCGGTTCCGCGTCGGCCTTTGAAACTCACTTCATTTCTCTATCTCATTGGAAACGTGCTCTGTGCTTTTCGAAATGCTTTCTCAAAATGTGCTGGTCATTTTATGAAGTGTCACGTCATAGAACATGAGAGATACGCTCTGCACGAGCGTCTCACTGCTGTTAGATTTATCCCTTTTTAACGCCGGGCTTTCAGGTTTCCATTCTTCAATCGCCCTGCTGCGCTGTTTGCTGTTTGCTGTGTAGCGTTCTGCTCCGCTCTACATAGGCTTTAGTCGGTCTTTTCGTGCTGCTTTCTGGCAATTTCGATAGCCATGGACATTCATATTGTAACCTTTCATCGTATATCCGTTCGTGGTCCCACCCGAGGGACTACATGTATAGTGAAATGACTCGTTAACGTTTGGTTAACATTGCCAGATTCCCCTTGATGACTCGGTACGCCGCCACGTATTATTGAATGCTTGGATACCTACATACTAGGCTACGTACGCTGGGCCGAAATCTTGTAGTCTCCCAGTTATAAGATAATGACGTCTTTCTAGATTCTACGTTTGTTCACGCGTTTGATGATGTAATTATAAGCTGCAAAGTTACGATCTGGTATTGAGAACACCGTTTCCGTATCAGCATCAAGTGATGGTAGGATTGAACCCACCCCGTTGTGGTCATCGGAAGTGTCAAACCGAGGAGACTCCGGAGCGGCCCGCCCGTCGGACGGTGATTCCGAGACCCCGCTAGTAAGCGAGGAGCGACCTAGAGCTAGACCTGGAGGAGACCGCAGTACAGCTTGGCAGATATTTCTGGTGCGTTTCAAGTTTGCTGTGTTTGTTTGCTCTTTGTCCACTGAACAGATTTATCCTGCTCAGCTGGACCGCCACAGTATAATCAATCAAACTGGCTCCTGTGCTCGTAGTCGATCGATGCATCGATCTATGATGTGACCATTCTGTCGTCTCAATAATTCTCGATGACCATTGGCATCTCGCGCGCTGGCTCCAAACAGGTTCAAATCATTCTCACCCGCCAACGCACATCCTCGGTACTTAACCTCCTGCAAGGCTCCAAAGCTAATCTCCCCATAGATAAATATCAATGAAGATGGTCGTTCCTTCATACTCCAATGCGCCCCTTTCATCCTTCCCACTCTCTGCATCGGTGTAAGGGTGGCGATTCTAATGCAAAACCGATGCAAAACGCACTACGCTAAATCCATCATGCGGTTGCAGTTGATGGCATCTGTGTCAGAGTCATCGATCTGAATTAAAGATTTTCCACGCCGGCCAGATACATTGTATCACATTGTTGATAGTTGATCATTTGGTTTTGCTGATGCGAATCTACCATAAGAACCCTCGATTTCACAACTGTGTCACTACCTAACTATATCTTTGTTCACCATACTGTTGCTAGATTATTGCTAAACCTCCATGATGAGTGAGACCCCCCCATTTGACAGCTTCCCCAGCATTTGCAACCCAGAAGATGATACCCATGGTGTACCATGTCCTCCAAGTTCAACGCATCCAGGTGATCCTAGGAATGGGCTTCCTCGAATCGAAACGAGGGCTCTTGGTCTACCGCCGCGGTTGCAGATAGTATCTGATCCTTCAACAACTTCAGCAGGGTCAATGATACCGCTGAATCGCTATAACTGGATGGAAGACGGACTGAGTCGCCTTCAGGTTCATATACCTGGAAGAACATGTCCGTCCGGCACAGTCTCATACCCTACATTCTCTCACACCGTATGTCTCGATAAACTAATTACATGACTCATTGGCAATTGACGTATCAGAATCCGGAGCGCTTGTCCCCTATTCCCTTCCCAATGTTGCCCTGGCATTCACTTATTGCTTTGGGCGGCGCTGACGAGGCGTGTTCTGTTGATGATGAGGTTTGTCTCAATTCATGCAATCGATGCATACGTTGTTAAAATGTGGATGGATACAGGGAGATGCACAGCCAATGGAACATGTCCGGAAGTGGACGTCCATTCGCGAGCAAGCGGTCATCGCCACAGGAACCAATGTCTACATCCCTCAGACAATATACCAACCATTCACAGAGGCAGATCGTGTCCGCTACATAGAGAAAGCCGGCCTCAAGGAACCCATCATCTTTATGACAGCACATCCCGACCAGTGGGGCATACCACTCGAGGATGCACTGAAAGCCAAGATGGAAGATCTTCTCGATAAATATGACAGCATGTTTGAGGACTGTGGGCCCTCAGTGTCCATCAGGCTTCAGGTATCCTAATTTCTCGCTGACTCGATTGTTTCCTCATATGCACTCCTTCAGTGGCCTGGATACCGCTCGTGGACCAAGCAGATCCCTACGATGGACTTTAAAAGTCCAAAAGGTCCTATCACAAGAGCTAAATTGGCTAAAAACATCGCCAACTGCGTCAAGCGATTCATCGAAGTGCGCCCTACAGTCATTGTGTATCATCTATAATTGACATCTCCCGTTCGTTTCAGGAAAAGGAGAAAGAGCGCATGGAGATGGAAGCAGACCGCCGGTGGAGAGTTGGAAACCGTTACATCAAAGTGGAGGACCTTATCTTGGTGTCCCTGCACCACATTTCTAGTGGCAGCTGGCAACCTCAGCTACGTCTACGCACTCCTCTGAGTCAAATTCAACTTCGCCGCACACCTCACGTTCTGCCTCCCAGCGCATAGACTTACAGAGGTACGGACGATTCCTCAATTCCAGTCGTGTTACAGAAGCCACCTGCATGTCATCATGCCTGTCGGTTTCGCTCAGCCCATGATACTCGCTTCACTTCTCTACTATCTCGTTGGAAACGTGCTCTTTGTTTTTCGATATGTTTATGCGCTGGTCGTTCTATGGAGTATCACGTATAGAAGCAGGAGATGTGCACTTTGCGCGAGCTTCTTACGGCTGTTAGATTGACGACGTCCGGGCCTTCAGGTTGTCAATGTCACTTTAGCGCCAGACTTTTTTTCATCCTACTTCATTCTTGTCCGTTGAAGCGGTTGGCATTCCATGCTATATGGTATTTTATTCATTTATTGTCCGTGGTGTGGTGTGGGTCCGTCATGACTGGATCAAAATTTACAGTGTCTGGACGTTAAAGCTATCTGATCTCTCCCAACAGGACACACATCTTGTCTCTTTTAAAAAAGCCATTTGAAGTGAGATGCAGCCTTTACATAGTTAAATTTGCTTCACGACATCTTGTCGTTTGCTGTGTAGTGTCCCCTTCCTCTTAGAAGGCTTACTCAGTCTTTTCATGCTTCCTATCGATGATTCAATTCCGATAGTCATGGCTCCGTCATTCCGCCAAATGATATCTTGTGTCGATCTTGTATATCACCCAAGGATCAGGACTGCATGCAAATTGCGCGGGTTACGTTGGGTTACGTCACCAGACTCGGATTGGACTCATTAGAGTCCCGTCGATGACTCGGTACCTCAGTACTATGTACCACTCGGGGCTCGGATTCTTACGAGCAACGAGCGGTGACTGCCGCATCTCTTCATGCACATGGGTGAAAATCCATTTAGGCATGGAAACAGATTGCCATTTGATTATCAGAACTGTCTTCGAAGTTCATCTAGGCCAGACCGGAAATTCTCTGTCGAGTCCCTCCGACCTCGAGATGTTTGAGCGGGATGTAACCTGTTTAAAGAAGGTATCATGTACAAAATAATATCCGCGGAGGTAACAATAAGGGTAAGGCTGCTCTTTGCTCAACTATATTGCAGGAACTTCATTTGGGCATCACACAAATGGCGCCCAATGGTACTATTTGATTTCAATGATCCGCTTACTGGGAACACTGGCCCAGGTGCAGCTTAATACCATTAATAGATTCATACCCGTTGTGGGGTTGAAAGACATTTGAGCCGCAAGCTCCTTGTCAACTCACATGCCACCATATCGTCGACCCTATTCCAGTGACACTTGGAACGACTATGGGACACTGCCTTGCCAACTGTCATCTTCCTGAGGCTCTCCTTTATCTTTTGCCACGTATGCAGGGAACTTATTCTTCAATTTTCTGGTGACATCTTGTTCAGCGACCCGAGGGATCATAGAATAAGACTGGGGATCCAGCGAAGAGTTCCCTCCGATGGGTCAAAGCAAGCCTACTGACATCAATGCTCTCGTAAATTATGCTCGTAAGTGAGAAAGTTGTACTTTGCGTGTTTCACGAATTGACTCGGAGCTAACTGTTATCTAGAGTCATCTCCCCAGGCAGATCCTGGAATAGCTGCGCTGGCCAGCTATCAACTGCGGTCTCAAAGGTATGTATGACATCGGGCTGACGGCGCATCCGGCACACCACAAGCTGTGGAAATACAGCAACTTGTCCTTGACGGCCTTCCAAGGAGAGCAACTATGTGATCTATCGGTGTAGTGATTTTCAAAGCCGGATTTGGCATACCTCATTTTCGGCATATAAGTCCACCGATGAGGTTCATAAAGGACTGCAGGAGTGAATGCCAGACGTACAGTATCTATCATTTATGTCCTTCAACGACATCTCTACCTTGTCTTTTAACAACCTCTCTATGCCCAAAGAATCCAGATTATTGAACAGCAGCACAATGATGTGGGGGGCTTCGATGGACGATCCGACTGCTCGTGCGCTGCCTGATAATGTCAGTTACCACTCTTTCTTGAAATATCAGAATTTCAAACTCCTCATCCTCGAAGTCATCATACTCTGCAGGATTCCTGGAACTATCGCTAGGGCCTCCATCGGAACCCCCACTCGCTTGGGATATCTCGTCGACCTTCATTAGCACTATCGACAATCAGATCACACTAGCAATGTGGGATGTCGAAGAGCAGCGGATGGATTCATTTACAAACTCCAATACAGGTATGCGGTTGATAGAGATGGTGAGTGCTTCGTTTGTTGGCGACTCGGTTATAACCCAATTTTTTTAGCCGTTCCAAGCTGAGCAAACGCCGCCTCCTTCTGGCTCCCCGGATAGTGCATGCGCAGACTCTGGGAACTATCTCGGCGAGATGGGCCAGTCTCTTCCTCTAGAAGGCCGAGTGAGTTTTGTGTCATGTGTGATTCTGTGAGCTCTTACCCGGATTCCACGAGGATACCGGGGCTAGCAGTGACTTGAACCTCGAGAAACCCGATGACGCATGGAAGAGGGTTCTCCAGCTTGCCATCGTCGCAGCTGGAACTGCTACTTTCGTTCCTCAAGCTCTATATCAGCCGCGAGGAGAAACAGATCGAGAGAAGTACGTATACACGGCAAACTTATCCCCGCCTATCTTGTTCTACGCGGACAAGCCCTTTGAGTTGGGTATAGCCCTGAAAGAGATTTTAACGACAAGTTCGAGACGTCTTATCGATAAGGACGACCTGGTGCTTGAAGGCGGTGGCCGATCTATCTCGGTGAGAATAGAGGTCAGCCGAGAACCTTGTGACCTAGGTGTTATGGACTGATCATGAGCTTGAATAATAGTGGCCTGGCTATCCTTCCTGGAGTTGTCAGCTCGCTACCAGGGACTATCGCAAGACACCAGGCCCCATCACCAAAGCAAGACTTGCAAAGAACCTTGCAACCTGCATCCGCAGATTCGTTAAAGTAACGCGTGTTTCTTCGTTCTCTCTGTCCGCAAATGCCAATCATTTCCTTTGGTGATTTTTACAGAAAATGGCAACTCGCCGCATGGAATCTGACTCTGACCCCGTGTGGATGGTTGGTCCCCGTCACATAAATGTTGAAGATCTCATCCTTGTCAGTCTTCATCATGTGTCCCAAGGAAGTTGGCAGCCTCAGTTGCGACTTCAGATACGGGGTGCATCATCGAGTAGAGCTTAATGATCTTCAGGTTAGCCCCATTTTGCGTAGTGGGCAACCTAATTTCTCAGGCTGCTGGAGTTAATTTTCCCTCGAGACTCCGGCTGCCGAATCTTTCCATCTCTTATCTCTTCAAATCTCATGCCTCGTTGCCGTTTGTGACGGTCTGTGGCAGATTTCCTTGCGTCATTTTCTCGTTCCCAAACTTCCTTCATAAGTCAACGTGTTATCATGCTTTCTGTCATCTTATTTTCGTAACTATCCGATAAATTCTTACCCTACAAATTGTACAATCTGTTCGGCTACAAGAAGCTTTAGCCAAAATAGTAGCATGTCCAACATGTACAATAAAATCCCTTGCTATCACACCTCAGCATTCTTTTACGTTCTTGTACTTAACTTTGCAGGGACACCTTTTTGGTCATTAGCTTATTGTCCGCCACGTGTGCTGTACCTTCAGATGGCACGGTGGTCAACGGATGCGTTGGACAAGGTTGGACGTTTCTTATTCTTTGCTTAACAGGGAATCGATTGTTGTATGTACGACAATGGCCATGAATATTGACAAACTATCGTTCTGCGAGACGGAAACACTCATATAAGCCAGGGATATTTCTGATGCTACTGCCATATCCAAAGCGTCCCAAAGTCTCCCGGCCCATTGTCGAGCCTCTGTCTACTACCAGAGCCATCTCTCGTTCCTTTTGACTCTCCTGTATCACTTGCCTTCGTTTCAATATCCATATACTTTATCACTCCCTATTGATCATGAGTCGCGGAACAGTTGCCATCGCTGTCGTACAGCACCAAGTTATGATCATACAACTTGTACAAGGTACGTACTCACCGAAACTGCTCAAGAACCAGTTCCTTAGAAATTGCCTATGTAGCTGCCTCAGAATGCTCTCACAATCGTCGCGATCGATGGCTGGATGTATACACTTATACGCCATTTGGCGACCACCTTTTTCTGGCTTCGTCCGTTCCTCAGGCACGCATCGCCCCCTCAGACCTTCTTACCGTCTTTCCGTTCCGCACCGCCACTACGGACATGATTGAATTGCCTGCACAGGCATATCAGGAGTATCTCAAGCTCAAAGCCAAGCATCAGAAGAAGCAGGAGAACTTGTGGCGTGCCTGGAAGGCCAGGTTGCACTAAATATGGTCCCCCCTACGAAAGACGTCAATGTGTTTCGTACACCATGAGCCAGGGAAGACCAGACGAAATTGCTTGTATTTTTAACTCTATCATTTTCCCCCTGGAATGTAGCTGTACTAGATACCACCTCACACTGTAGCCTTAGTCCCTAAGTTGTATCTTGGTAGAATTTTAACGCGTCGCATCTCGTCCGTTCCGCGGAATACAACATATTATTATACTTATACTCAACCCGATATCGATAGTGGAATGAATAGAAAGCAAGAACAATACAGAAATGGTGTAGTAGCATACGGAAATAAAAATATCGATAAGTCGACCGCTGGCAGAGAAACAACTGCATTGATCTGCAGCTAAGCAGCGGGGGTGGCATCTGGGTCCCTAAACACCTATGGGCGCAAAGGCTCAGCGATAAGCCAGTGAAGAAAGCAGTGGGCGCACCTTCAAACTCCATATATCTCCCACTCTATCTCTGTCTTGGGAGTCCGCGGCTTCAGTCTCAGCTTCAACCTCTTCATCTAGCCGGTAGTCGGGAGAAGTCTGTAGCTTCAGTCCCTGCTCATTAGCAAGGTGCAATAGACATATGAAACAAAAGCTCGTGCTGATCTCTTCCATCTTCTCTTTTGGATACGATTTCTGCAGACCGGATATCACTGAACTAAAAACTCTATGTTCTGTAGGGTTAGTGAGAGGCTCGTCATCAACATCCTACGGGCAGGTGAGCAGGAAATGCGGGGCGATTAAAAAGAGACAAACCATCTCGTCGTCTTCTCCCTCATCCTTCGGTTGCCCGACCTTAATGTCCAAGCCTTTCCAGATGTTTTCTTTCAGCTTCCTCACGTCCACCCGTTTGGCACGCTTGGCATAGTTGACGAATTCTGGTCGGACCCGCCGCGTTTGACCTTGAGTGGCAGCCAAGAGGTCTTGCTCTCCAGCATCCTCCAGTGCTGCACCATCGCCATCAAAACCATCATCAAAGCCCGGACCATCATCATAGTCATTGTCGAAGAACTGAGTATTGAAGGGTATATTGGGCCCATCACCGTCTTGCGGAGCAACATGAGCTTAAAAAATATAAAACCTGGAGATACAACGTTCTCACTTTCATCATTTTCAGCTGCAGCACGATCTGCAGCTTGGTTCGCTGCGGCCTGTGCCCAAAACTGCTCGTCAACCTCCCCATCGCCGTTCTCATTGAACCTAACACGTTGACCACGCATCTTTAACTGAAGGTGCACAGACGTCAATCCATGTCTCTCATGAAAATGATTGCACGTACGGAGAATTTGGGCTTCAGGAAAAGGGTAACAAGTTGCCTGCTCGAGAAGTGCATGTCATCAGGAAGAGTATGTTCATCACGCTTCTCCTCCTTTGCTTTACGGCTGCCCCGACCCTTCTTGCCAGTCTTTGAACCTCCGTAGCTGGGCAAAGTGATACCAACCCCCCGCGTGACTTTTGCAAACATCTCATTTGCGATCGTCTTGATGTCTTTCTCAGCGGGCGTGAGGAAGTCGATCTTAAATGCTTCCTTCTTCTCTCGCCGGGCTTTGGGAGCGTCAGCCTCCGCTGTAGCGCAACTTCATCAGTACAGGTTATATGAATGACCTGAAGAACTCACGTTTCCGAACCACTTTTCTCAGCTTCCAGTGTTCAGGACCTGCCCAGTTTTTCATGAAGTTCTGATCAAAGTAACCCATGATTGCGTTTTCCCCATCTGCGTCTGTGACGCCCATCACACGATCTGGGTCATTGGGCGCGCGTCGTGGGTCGAAAGGAAGAAATGCGCCTCCTGGACGTCCCTCATGTCGTTGATCACTTTCTGCGCCGACCGATCCATTCTCGCCACCCCCATAGTCAGCTCCACCAAAAGCATCCCCACCATCATAATCGTCGTCGACAGCTTGGTCTCCCTTAAAGAAGTCCTGGCCTTCACCGTCCATGTCCACGGGTGCGTCATTCGCGCCATAGTCTCCGAAACCCGGATCGTTGGCGTCGTCATCATTATCGACTGTATCGTCACGGTAAAGAGAGTCGTCAAACGTGCGGTTACTGTCTTTGGCAAACGAGAAGGCGGCTAGTGAATGAGAGATCGCCTTATCCTCGAGAATCTCCATGTCAGGCAAAAATTGGCCTAGTATGATAGTGAGTATGTTTCACCCAAAAGAACTTTCAACATACTTCGTAGGTGACTGAGGTCCACATCTTCTTCCGGCTCCTCCTCATCTTCCTCATCATCTGCCACTCGGCCCATGGAATCACTCGCGTCAAAGACGACGCGCATGCCACCATCACTTCCAACCCCCAAACTGAGGTGATTCATGAGCAAACCCTGGGCGCCACCCTCGTCGAAATCTGCGCAAGTTTTACGGAAGAGGGGGTCAACGCGGAACTCGAGATCCAGCTTCTTGCTCCGAAGCTGTGAGGCATCCTTAGCAAGTGTCGAGTCGGGTCGGTGCGCTTTCTTCTTTTTCTTCACCTGCGTCGGGTCTTGACTATCAGGATTGTCGGACAAGGCTCCATCATCATCTGCGCCGACCATGCCTTCGTTGGCAAGGTTGCTGAGCAGTTTGCCTGTTTCCGTGCCCACGGAGTCGACGCGACTAGTCCAAATTTTAACGCAGCCATCAAGCGTACACGAAGCGCGCTGGAAGTTGATGGAATTATCGATGTTATTTCGGAGCAGCGACATGTCGTGGAAGTAATCGATCAGCGCGAAGTTCCATGAGTTCGCAGCGTTGATTTTCTGGTGATGACTATGATGAGCAGCAAGATCCAGATTCCACACTAATGAAACGCACATTGTCCGTCGCCATTTTCATCCATTCCTCAAAGTTGGAGCTCATGACGTCTAGGGGTACGTTAATGACAGGAGGAGGGGCCACAGAGTTGAGCTGCTGCTGCTTCTGCTTTGCTTGTGCAGCCTTGGAAGATTCTGCCTGATCTTGACGCTCCGTCGACGGCCCCGCTTCCGCGTTCTCTATGACAGCCAGCTTATTGCTCTTCCTCCGCCTGCGCTTCTCGGCAGCGTCGTCATTAATGTTAACCGCCCTTAGTGGAGCGCGTCCAGATTCAGAGTGTACATCATTCTCGCCGCCATATATATCGCTGATCCGTTTCTTGCTGCTCTGCCGGAGTGTCGGTCTTGGTGTATCTGGCTCGGTGTCACCACCTGAGTCCGAGCCATAATTCTCTGTATCTGCAATCCTGGCATGTCTAGGAATTCATTTTCTGTTGAATGATATATCGTCCGCCCTCGATGCTGTCTTGACAATGAGCTCGCTGTTAAACGTTTGGTTACCGGCGTTGGTGGTGTTCAACAAAAGGTGATCAGTTCATTCTGAAAGCACGTGACACACGCGCAAACGCGTCTTGTCACAGAGTCACACATCACAGTGCTTACATAAATACAAGGCTAATATATTCGAGGTTCCATTATGAATCGTACTTATCTCGTCGTAGGATATGCTGCTAATATGTGAGGACGCGACCATTTCGAGATATCAAAATAGCATAGCTACCTAGGCTGTCTTATCGTGCACCCTCTGCGATCGATGTCGCCTCGATGCTAGTACTTAGTACAATCCCATCACCTTTAACCCCGTGCCTGCAAAGGCCACTTAGATGCTCGGGCTTGGCCACACTCGTCTCGTCTTGAGGGAAATATTGCTTGCTATGGTATTAATCAAGTATTAATTATACAAGAGTGTGCTGAACAACCAAGCGAAATGAAAACATAACGATACAACGTTCACTACCACAGATCTCCATCAAACCGCTCGAGGACAGTGTTCGCATCTTCTACGTCCTTTTGCGCCTTCTTCCGCATGTAGAAGATGGGGCAGTCCTTGCTGGAACATAGCACATCCTGTCACCGCAATGTTAATGACAGTTGAAGTAACAGCAATTATAGCCTCACTTGATGCAAAGACCCCTGACAACGTTGACATTGCGTCCACAATCGCGAGAACCGTACTTGCAGTTCTGACGCACTCATGACCTGCTTTTGATATAGCTCCCCCATCTTTGGTCGACAGTTATTGCATACGGCACCGTCTCCAGCAAAGCATCAGTGAGACAGGATCAGAAACTTGTCTTTTGCAACTCACTCTTCACGCTGTTATTGGATCGCAATGGTGTTTTGCATCCGAGACATGTCACCGTCTTCACTGCGAACTTCATCAGACCACCAACCGTTGGCGTTGCAATTTGGATTGTCCTGGTGTGCGCGCCAGACACTGTCGAAGACATCAAAAAGACGACATCCATGCAACCACTGAAACGACTTACACAACGACGCTGCCTTCTCGCCCAGGATAGGTTCAAAAATTCTCATGAGAGGATTTGAAAGCTGGTTTTCAAGGTAGTATTTGGTGTCGATGGGAATGTTGTTCTCCAATACATAAAGGGGATCCTCAGATTTTTCGTACGCAGCAGCACCTATTCCCAAGTCAGCATGGAAGTATAATACTCAGCGCAGAATCCGACCTTTGATACCCTTTACAATCACGTAGGCGACACGGTCACCCAAGGCCGGTGCAGAACCTGACCATGGATATCAAGAAATATCTCAGAAAACCATATCAGTCACAAACCTGCGTCACGTTGCCGCATGCGCTCCGCCAACTCCACATGCGCTTGCTTCGCAGCATAATCTGCAGACGTTAGCACACGCCCATTTCTCGTTCAAGACTTACATACCTGCTTTTGCCAGAGCTTTTGTAATCACGAGCTGGGACATGTCGACCTTGTTCTGCAGAAGATCCGATATGATGCGCTTCGTGTACCTGGGAAAGTTGAGGAGGTAACCAAAAGACAAATGACGTGGACGTACTCCTCAGCTCCCTTGACATCGCGATCGATCAACATCTTATGCAGGCAAGTCTCGATGACCGTCGATACTAGCCGACAATTATCTCTTCGGACCGTCTGGATCCCGTGATTCAATATGCATGGTAACCACTACAGATAAAGACAAACCTCGATCCCCTTAGAGTCCATCTTGTCCCATTTGTCTGGCTTTGTCCAGTAAAGTCCGGCGTACCGCTTCTTGCTGATGAGAAGATACGGGTAGTAAACTTTCTCGAACTCAAGCTTGATAGGTCTGACGAATTTTGTCGTCACAAAATCTGCCGCCTCCGCTCCTGTGGAATAGTTCGAATCAGATGCAGCTCGGATCGCTCTTGGTACTAACCGAGAGTCATGACTTGTTCCAGTTCCGCCGGCCCAAACTTGACCATGACAGAGTCAGTGTCACCATAAATTACTTCGGCATTATGAGTGTGACCATTATTGATGGAGAATTCTGCTTCGACCTCCTACGAAGGGTCAATAAGTGGATGTTCGTTAGCGAACGGACTACAACTTGCCTGTTTAGTCGTCTCAATCATCTGACGCCCATATGCCGTCACACTGGAGGAAATAGGAAGGCAGGGCAACTTTCCAATCGTAGCACCAGTGAATCCATAAACAGAGTTGGCGCTGATCTGCAAGTAAATGAGATCAGAGGGCTACTGGACTAGATATATCCACGGCACCTTCAAGGCAAGCTGACGACCGTCCAGAACAGCACGCTTGGATGGATCCGTCTCCTTCTTGAGATCTGCCTTCGCTCGCTTACGAGCAGAGATCAAATCTTCCAGAACAGTAGGTAGTAGACCCTTTCGTTTTGCTGTGGTAGCGAAGAAATCTAGTCAAAAGGATTAGCCGGTTGGTCTTCAAGTTTCATACCCAACAACTCTAACGAACCATTATTGGGGGTCTGAATATAATCTACGTCCTTGACAAGCTGCAAGCGGTCAATGGTACTCTTTTCGAGGAGCGTCGTATAGCACAAGTTATGCGCCATCATGATAGACGGGTACAAGGAGCTAAAATCAAGAGTTGCAATCGGTGTGTCGTAGTAGCCTTTCTTCGGCTCGATGACAGTGGCACCTTCGTATTGCTCATCTGAGCCCTCACCCTTATGAACAGGAATGACATAGCCCTCCTCGTTGGCCTTGCGAAATAGCTGAGAGAGCACCTTAATGGACTGACCACGGGAAAGAAGGTAGTTGAACGGAACGCCTGTGACACGCGCCATCTCGGTGTAGTTGACGAAGCACATCAGTTTGTCCATCAGTCTCTGAGGAAGATATGCATCCTATAGCGACTGTGAGAACGACACAGACGACACAAAAAATCCTCATCACCTTCAAACAGTAAACGGCCAGCCGACGTCTGGACTCTGGAGTACCGTTCTGCAACTCCGTGATGACGGAGTGGTGCACATCCTCCTTTTGCTCACCGAGGAATTGTGCACAAACAGAGTTGAGAGTATAGCTACGTAGCTTGTGCTCACGCTGCATGAACTGCAGGACGTCAAGTTGTAGCCGCCCTTCTAATTCCGTGTCTTTAGAGTCGCGCTGACCGTACGCCTTTGACGAGAAGTGCGTTTCCTTCGTCTGAGTTTTGGAACCTTCAAGACAGAATAAGTCGCGTCCCATCACAGCGAGCAGAGGCGCGCACCCTTCACGCGACCAAGAAAAGGAAACTTAGTTGCCTTGAGATGCTTTGCTCGTTCCATGAGATAGGGAAAATCGAAGTTTGCGATGTTGTACCCGATGACAAGATCCGGGTCAACCTCTTCAATAAAGTCTCGCCAGGCCTGCAACATCTCTGCTTCGTCGTCAAACGACATAACTTGTGAGCCGACTATGTGTGAACACGTATTCAAAGTGAAGATATTGCGGATGAACGGCTTGGTCTCGCCTTAAAAGACTGCAATGAGCCGACACACATAAAGACTGTAGACCTCATACCTTGCCTCGTGACCATGTTAGCTATCTGGATGACCGGATCAACCTGTGCCTCAGGAAAGATGCCTTTGCGTCCAGCACACTCGATATCGAAACTCAGTACACGGAGAGGCGCAAATTTCTGCCAGTTGTCTTCCGGTGGATGCGAGATGAAGGAATCCCACCTAGTTCAAAATTTCAAACATCTAGACTGATGAGAATAACGGAGCAAAAATTACCTGACTTTAAGTTCGATCTGACATGTTGACTTCTTGTCTTTCTCGGGCACAAGTTTGTATTTCCCAGCGGGAATCTCAATCCAGTTCATGCCTACAACCTGCAAAAATGTCATTTCTGAGTTCTTGCGACCCGCGCATTCGTACCTTGGTATCGATCATGAAACGCAGGGTGTATACAATGTTACTCTCGAACGTTGAGCAAGGTTGTCCGGTGGGGAAAAAGTCTCGAAATCCGCATTCGCCCCTCTCGAACAAGCGTGTTGATCAAAGAATCATAAGTACGTGCAGGAACCGTCGGTGCAGAACGAAGACACTCATCTCGAATTTTTGGGAGATTTCTCGGTTCAGATATTGTAATTTTCATGAAAGGGATCCAGTCATCTCCACGGTATCCCCAAAGGCTGCGTCGCTTGACAATCTCTATTTGCCTCACGAAGCTGCCTTGAGCCTGTTTCTGTAGGCAAGTTCAGCCATGATATACCTCATGCGCCACCATGATACACACGTTCAACTGGTCCGCAAACGCGTCAATGTCTGATTCATCAAAGCCGCGAGGGACAGCGACATAGAAGTACGGAAGGAAACCAGTGACATATGCAAGGACGCTGTTTCCGTCCTACAAGATGATTTGAGAGCTGTGTGACGGTGAGTAAAAAGGAGGTACCTCGGTCACCCCAAACAACCTCAGTACAATAGACCCATTGCTGTAGTCCGTTGTCTCGTCGACATCAATCTGTTGAAATACTGCAAGGAGTCGCACCATAAGTTTGATGAGCGATAGGCGACGTATGTACATACCGACACTATCCCGCTTCTCATTTATGGGGGGAAGGCTCGGACGGGCCCAGCTATCAGCGCCACCCTCCGCAGCTACTCAAATCGTCAATGATTCAACTTTCTGAAGAGCTCGCCATGCCACACACCGACACCGGCACGCGCTCCGTCCTGGCTGAGTTGTTCCAATACGTCTGCAAAAGACGAATCCTGCGTTTTCTGGGAGTTGGATGGGCCTAGTTTGCGCCTTTTCGCAGCAGGCTCCGAGCTTACATCCGGCTTGGTGCTGTCAAAACATAGCATCTGAGTAAGGACGTTTGCAGTGTGACACGCTCTGATCCTCACCGCGTGCGCGCCACTGGCTGATTTTGCCGTGTAGAAATCATCGAGCCAACCATCGTCGCGTCTCAGAAGATGAGAGTACAACACACAACAACGTGTCGTGAGCGTGCCGAGTAACAGAAAATCTGGTGACTAGTGGACAACACAAGGACGCGTTTTGAATAGAAACACGTATGGTCGTATTTGTTCGCTTATGTACACGATTTGTCGTGATCACTTCTAGGAATGAGTCCATAAGTCCATTAACATGCAATGTAGAAGCTGCTCTATGTACAGTAACAGAGAGTCATTTGGTATAATTGTAACCCCATTTCTACGCACGCCGTGGGCCTTTAGTTTCTACATCTTTGTAACATTCGAACTTACAGCGAGCGCTCTATGACAGGAAGAGCTCTGTGCAGATTCTCATTGTATCTGCAGGATTCTTGACAGTGTGCCCGACAGTACGGGAATCGCTGAAAATCTCGTAGTCATTGCCTCCCTTTGTATAAATTGTCAAGCGGACAGAATTTTGCGCAAGAAACTCGACTGTTACCTTGTTCGTCTTGTCTCCGAAAAAGTGGATTTCTTCAAAGTCATCTTTCTCAACATGTCTAAGGCAGTAAGTCTTGTCCCACCCGTGTGGAAAGACATCAAACGATATCTGGCCTCCGATAGAGAATGTTAGGTTTAGATGCTTGAATTTCTCCCGCATGACTTCCACAAAGTCCGCCCTGACGTGGTGTTGCTGCAGAGAATCAGTGAGCACGATAATCAAGGGTTCTCTCATGTTATTACCTTGTCATAAGCCTCGAAATCGTTGCGCTCCTGGATACTGCGGAGCCCAGCGGGGTTAAAGGAGGTTTATGGAATAGCACGTAAGAGAACCTACGTCGCGTTACGGCCGATAGGGCTGACATTGATCATCCCATTGCGGAACTCCACGAACGTTCCACTGAAATTTGTAAGTGAATGGGCCGATGAACAGCCAAGTATACAGAAACTCACCGTTTGATGGGGATGTTCAAGTCAGCAATGTAATGCAAGATGAAGTTGACCATCTCCTGATAGTCCTTTTCACCTACGGTTTTGATGAAGGATTGTGACTCCAGTGGCTTTCCGAGCCGGTAAGCAGTAAGGCCATTCTCAGCAAATCCAAAGTCAAACTCCTCCAGGACTGCGCAGCGCATGAGTATCATAGCAGCGAAGGGGGACAATCTTCGTACCATTGATATCGCCAACACTGAGCTGTTCAGTTATCTTGACTAGATCAGATCCACCAACAAAGCCTATGGCAACCTTCTTCCTGAGGTCGCGCAAGAGCTGGATCATTTCTGGAGACGCCTTCTGTCGGGAGATCTCGACATCAAGCGTGGTAGTCCTCGGGAAGCTGGATTACCTGACGGGCGGGCGACAACGTCCCATCGACGTCGAACAGCACAAGCTTTTTAATCGGACGTTCGACGAAATCTGTAGACACCATAATAGTTCGGTTACAAAAGCACTTTGATAGCCAATCAGCTCAAGTACTACCTTCGGTCACTTCCGAGTCAACGATTATTATAGCCTTTCTCGGTGACTCTGTTTCAGTCAACTCAACGGTTCCGTCGTTCGCCCTATATATTGCCATTTTTTCTGCTCAGGATTCATCAAAGGACTCGCACCAGTACTTGCATCAATGGCCCAGAGATACCATGTCTTTTCGTTACCTCCCGAATTGCTGGAGACGCTTACACCCCGGAATCTAATCAGTCGACCGCCACCCGAAGTCCCGGCCCTCGTGCAACCAGCTCCTCTAGTATCAGATAACGCGAGAGGGTGTAACGTTTGCCTAGAGGCGACATTTTTAGATGTAACGGAGCAACGTTCTCATTTTCGATCCGATTGGCATCGATACAATGTAAAGATCCGCTTGAGGGGCGGCAGCCCTGTGACAGAACCAGCCTTCGCGCAGCTTGTAGACGGTAAGCACATTCAATCACTCTACCAGTCACTTTGACGAAGCCCGCTTCGTATAAGCTAGGACTAGAAGACTCCCTCTCAGGGTCTGCGTCATCTGACGAGAGCTCTGATGACTCCGATGCAGTCAAGGCCCTCGTCAGTAAAATCAAGCGGATATCGAGACCGTCTTCACCCAGCGAGGAGCGACAAACACTGGTTACAGCGATTACTTGGTTTCATTCGCATCCATCCACTCAAATCGGGGTGTACAGAATGCTATTTCCAATAGATACGCCTGCACTATTGTACTTGGCGGAGCTGAAGAGCATGCAGGAACGTGTGGAAGGTGGACGCAAGTGGGCTATGTTTATGGTCGCCGGAGGTCACTTTGCAGGCGCAGTCGTGCAAGTCGGTAGGCCTGCAGAAGACCAGGATATACCTGTCTCTGCGAAGGCGAAAAAGAAACCACCAAAACCCAAGCCGGAGACATTAATACTCAAACACAAGACATTTCACCGTTACACTAGTAAGTATCGCAATGATCGCCTTATGCTTTATACTGAAAAATCGTGTCTAGCTCGCCGTAAGCAGGGTGGTTCGCAATCGGTAAACGATAATTCCAAGGGCGCTGCCATCAGTGCAGGTGCCATGCTTCGCCGTTATGGCGAGCAAGCTCTCCGAGATGTGAGACAGCCTCCTTTTTATTTGCTCTAGCTAAACATACAACTCTTAGGATATTCGTAACCTTCTCCAAGACTGGGCTGAGGACCTTCAGGACTGCGAAAGAATTTGGATACGTGCTAGTGTCTCTAACAGGCGCATTTTCTTTGACTATGAAAACTGCGTCATTAACAAAGGAGACGATCGTCTGAGAACATTCCCTTTTCCAACGCGCCGACCCGTACGTTTTCTTTGCCATTGTCACTTACATAGTTCTTATTTCTTCTTCTCTTAGACTCAATCCGAGCTCATGCGATGTCTGCTAGAGCTCACTCAAGTGAAGACGTCACACCTTACAGAGGAAGCCCTCCGAGCGCAGGACGAAGCGTTCATCGCTTCTCTACCCAAGCCCAAAGCTACGCCCTCTGCCGCCCTCGCCCCTGCGCCCGAAAAGGCAAAACCGCAACGACTAACTAAGGAAGAAGAAGCCTACCGCGAGAAGTGGTCGCGACTATTAGATATGATAAGCAAGGGTCGCTCAGAATCTCTCAAATCCTTCTGGGAGCGCGAAGGCGCTTCCCTTGGAGGCGTTGACAGCGCTCATACCGGAATGGACAGGGGATCGGCGCGCATCCCTGCTCCAAGTCGCCGCGCAATCAGCGCAAGAAGATGTAACACGCTGGCTGTTGTACGACCTGCATGCCAATCCAACTATCACTGTTCCGTCTTCTGGCGCATGTCAGGAAGACGAAGCTGCCAATGAATCTGACGCATCAGACGCGCCTCCGCAAGGTGCAGGTTCGCGTCATACTGCCTATGATTTAGCCCGTACGAGAGGGGTCCGTGACGTCTTTCGGCAGTGCGCAGGAGATCACCCTGACTGGTGGGACTGGTTTGGAGCGGACGCATGTGCCGAGCACCTTCAACAAGGAAAAGGAAGAAGCGAAGGATGAGAAGAAAAGGCAAAGGAAGAAAGGCCTGAAAGAGAAGATGCGGGAACGGGAGGCCAAAGAGAGAGAGCGTGAAGGTAAACGGTCTGACATTGATGACGAGCAGGTAGAGGCAAAGCCCGAGCCTCGCCCTCAAGATGCTATGGCTCCCCGAAAGCTGGGAGGTTCGTCCGGAGCAACTGATGGTGTCATAGGTTTGACTCCTGAAATGAGAGCAAAGGTGGAGCGGGAGCGAAGGGCCCGAGCAGCTGAAGCACGGTTGAAAAATCTTACTGGACCACGACAATAGTTGATAATTTCACCGGCCCAAATTTTATATCTCCGACCTGTCATGATGATCTTGATGAAAATGGGCATGATGTGTCCCCCAGTCAAGTCTGGTGACACTACTGAAGTACGTGTCAGTCCTTATCTTAGCTGGAATTGGTTGCAATGGCCTATTAGGGTCATGAAAGACTTGAAGTACTGTATGAATCAATTCAATTCGACATCCCCATGTGACTGCGATGCCTTAACATGATTCGACACTTCGACACTTGGGCTCGTGAACTGCCTGTTTTCGACACCAACACCACCGCCTGTGACACGTGACAGTTGAATTGAATTGATTCCTACAGTAGTCTTTGACAAATGTGCAGATACCAGACCAGGTATATTCATGGCAGATAAGGGTTGGCAAGATGAGGCTCCCATGACTTACAAGTCTGTTAGCCTACATCAGCAAAACCCTAACCCTATGTGCAGTGTTGTGCAGCGCTGCACAGCAATCACAGTGTCACAGCGAGATCCCCCCATGTACAGCGCTGCACAGTGTTGCACACTACACAATTTCTCAATAAAACATAATTGTTAGCATACCATCTTGTTATATATATGTTTGTGACTACATTACACTCATTTTTACATAGAATCAGTACCTGTGTGATGCTGCAGAGCCTTTACAAAAAACTCTGTGTGACCTGTGACATGCTGTGTGGCTGTGGCGCTGTAGCCAAATCAGGGTTTTGCTGATGTACCTCTTTGGAACTTTGCAATGGTGTTGGTAGATGTGGTTATATTACACTTCATGACTCAGATGGATCTGGTATGATTAGGTAGAGCCTAGTAGAAGCTAGCTCCAGTCACCAGCAAACTCAGGCCAAGTCTTCAAGGGCAAGTGGCGAAGACATTAGTCATCATATCTGGCTGACGAGGATGTCATACATATGTTTACCTTTATTTATTCCTGTGGATCATTCATTTGTCAACGAACACCAACAATTGTTCAACCCATTTCCACCATCAATCTTCTGTTAGATGTCTGAGGTTGCTGGGCCCTCAGGTCTTCTCCTTTCCCCTCATGAAATCTCTAATATTGCTCATCAAGTAATCAAGCCCCTGCCATGTGAGTGGGAAGGGTGCTCAGCTGTACTCAACAGCTGTTATAATTTGACCAAGGTGAATTAGATTAGCTCCCTTTATCTACTGTAGATGTAGATACTAGTAGATGTTCTGGTGATGGTGTACTCATCTCCAGGGGTACTGTAGTAAACCTTCAGCTGTAACACTTTGCTGTAGAGTCAACAGTGGTCATGCTGAAGGTTTTCTAGAGTGCTCCTGGAGTGAGTATCAACTCACCTTACCCTTATCATCTACCTCATCCTTCATCACTGGTCACTAATGTCTGCCTACCTATCACACAGCATACATTAAGACACTGTGATTGCATAGCCAACATAGTGAGTTTTTTCTTCATTTGCAACTGACCTTATTTTGCTTAAATTCCTTGAAGGAAGGACAGTACCAATGCCAATATTTGAGATGTGCAGGTCGTCTGCATGCCACAAAAGATGCACTCAAAGCACATGTGAATCTAAGTCACCTGTCTCGCCTCATGATCAGTTGTCCAATCCAAGGTAAGCCTTGCTCCAAAGACAGTAATCTGTTTCATTTTCAGTTTGATATTTTCTCAGATTGTGAACAAGGATTTTCACGAGCATCTCAGCTTGAGTCCCACTTCGAGATTGATCACAAGGATCTCATCAATAGGCGTGTGACTCGGGCATTCGAAAGGCTTGTTCCGACTGCGCTACCAACACCACGGGTCGTGACTCATCCCCCACCATTACCGTCACATCACGAACTGTATCACTGGTATTTCACCGCTCCTGTCATCTCACTGCCACGTCACAAACCGTGCGGACCACTTGTCGAACCAATTTCCCGAAAATGGAGAAGACTAGATGCACCGGACGAGGATGACAGAGATGGAAATCACATTATTCCACTCGACAATCTCGTCTGCCCTGCAAGCTCGCTCCAGCAGTCGAAGGAACTTGTCCTTGACGTGCGAATAAAGCCGTTGTCATTGAATGAGAATCAACGACTCTCGTGCCCTCAATCAATGCCTCACCCTCCCCCGCGCGATGACCTCGTTTCTACGACTATAGGCATGTCTATCTTCGAGCAGAAGTTCGGGGAGCTTGCAAAAGATGGAGTGGTTGATGGATCGGATAGGCTACATGCTTGAATCTTGATGAAAAGTATAGTTTTGGGAGGTTTTGGGTCTTGCGAAGTCCGAATGTAGCGATCGGCGAGAGATGTCGGAGAGCTTCGGATGATGGTTGGTCGGTCGTCGTCGCTGTCGTGTACTGCCAGGCATCGGTACATTATATACTGCAAATAATCGATAATCAACAGTGCAATACTGCCCTCGCTGCGGACAGTTCAACTTATCACACACACAAGAAGTTCGTTTCGCACTCTGGGGTCCGTCAGCTTGAGTTCTCGGACCAGGTTTCCGCGAGTCATTTACTACCTACTGATTGAATATCGTTTCCGTCAGAGTTTGACCGTCCTGACACTGGATAGTAATGTTCGAACTTTACGGACATGACCACCGACATACACTTCTGATTCACTCATGGATAGGGAGGTTTGTGAGCTGGACTTGTTCCTTCGACGTTTGGGTAGACAAGAAGACAGGATATATCATATCCGCTGAGGACATTTCAGCGTCCTTACATTGCATGAAGCATAACGTCAGGTAGTAAACATAAGTAAGGGCTACTATGCTCATGCGCGAAGTACGGCTATAATGAAGCACATGAGCCTATGCTCCCGGCATCTCATCGCAATTTTGAGTTTATGCAGCGTTTCCCTCTGCGAAGCTGAGGAGATCAGAGTCTCCAGGATCGGTGACAGTCATGACACTGAGAGGATCCGTTTAGCTTGAGTAACAGACAAAAATATGAGTCTACTCACCCAACACGGAAAAGCTTTCCGGCAGCAGTGCCGAGTGCGACGTTGGTGCCAGAGAAGTGGTGCACGGTCGTCTTCGACAACATGGCATAGTACTCGAGCTCAGATTTGCGCAGTGGTGGGCAGTTACCAGCAATCAGAACGAGCTTAGCTAAACAATCGCAGGTGCGAAGAGGACAAAACACAAAGCAAAATTATCGTCAGCACAAGGGACCTTCTCAGCCTCACGCTCCAGTCCCCGTGAGTGCGAAAGAGTGCTCACCTTTGCCGCTACGCATCTGCTTGAGGGCAGATTTGTAACCAAGAGTGTACTTCCCCGACTTGACGACAAGCGTAAGACGAGACGAGATAGACTCGGACGACTTGGCTGCCTTGGACTTCTTGGAGGGGGCCATTGATGTATTTTTTGGTGTCGGGGAGTCTTGAGGAGCTTGATGACGGCGGGCGGCTTTTGGATATGACAATCTAACTTTCACAAGGTTCGTGATGAACTGTACAGTTCTAGCCAAATCCGTTTCAACTCCGACACGACAACCCCCATTCAAGGGGTCAAATTTTCACATCACACTCTTAGAGCCCTCAGAACTGCAGAAAAACATAGTAAAAGAGAATCGTTACAACGAGGCTGGAGACATTTCTAGAACAGCGCGTGGCCCCTTCTCATTATAATCTGTCTTCGACACAAAATTCTTCCCGTGCGACTCATTGAACGCGATCTAAGGGAGTTCATCAACAAAAAGACCTTGAGCGCGTTCAGCGATACACACACCTTCGCAACAATGCTAGTGCCAAGGAAAGCCGCGAGGCCATCTCCTTTTTCTCGGTATTCAGCAAAGTATTCTGGCACGTTCAGTACTCGGATTGACCGCGGCTGAACTTCAGTTGCCTGGTCGGGAGTGCTAAGAATGAAAGGCGCTAATCGCGATTGCAGTGCAGCTCCGATGCCTTTGCACGATTATTTCCAAGTTTACTAGTGATACATGGTCACACACCTTTTACGTGGTTAGTGAGGTCGCCATTAACAAACAATCCTTGCCAAATATATTGCCTTTGGGTGACGTCTGTTTGGCGAACGGAAAATGCAACAGCCTCCTGCAAGGGCAATATTCTCCCTTCATAAGGATCCGCACGCTCAACAGGCAACCCGTTCAATAGCGTAGGGTCAAAGAGAGGCTCGCAAAATCGATGTCGCTCTTTACCCAGAGTGATAGAGCGGTCGCGGAACTCCACAGTGACAAGGTCAAGTGCCTCAATCTCCCTCGCGCGAGCTTGCTCCGCAGCAGAAGCCTTCGCAGTCAGCTTTTTTTTCATCCCCGTTTCGATGACGGCTTTTTCCTTGCCAGCAACGAGGACTGCTGCTATATCCGTGACTCCTTCATCTTCTGGTATCTCTGCTGTTTGCCCATCTGAAGGAACGCGGACAAGACCCTCCGCCCAAATATACTTGACAAAGTCCTCGATGAATCTCTGGGTGACCTCCGGGTCGCTTGGGTTATCCAGAGGTGATGCAGCTGCCATGACTGACTGGTTGGAGCGAAGGAGGTTGGCGAGGTAAACCTGACAGTCTCTGATACCTAGAGGCGTAGACGAGCGAGCGTTATGCATGATGAATCCATCGTAAATTGGAGTGATGTCGGTTATTTCATGCCCAATATCAACCACAACCCCGTTGAGCTGCCCAGCAGCATAGAGCTGGGCCATGGGGCGGTCAAGGAGACCGAAGCCTGCGACATTGAAACGCTCAAAAAAGATCTGGCATATGCGTTCTGAAGACTCTCGAAAGAGGCCTGCTGGCATAGACAGCATAACGGGAGACTCGTTCTGAGTTCGCTTGAGTTGAAGTATCTTGAATAGAACATGTTTCCTTGGTCACACAATGAGTTTGAGGTGAGGACGCCATGTTAGAATTACAGACGAACCAAAGTGCCTCCGCTTGAGTCCAATCACGAACATCACCATCTGCAAATGGCCATGATACAATGATATCTTGGCCAGCTTCGAGAGCTTCGTCTAGTTGTGGGCCGACGAGATAGTCATGAACTTTTGCCGAGGGACTAGGCTGACAAGGCAAGGACGACGCGCGACTGCTGGATGCAGAAGGGCGCAAATTCTCGCTGGTCTCGCCTGGTCTTAGTGAGGATGTGCCATTTGCATCACTGGGATTGCGTCGCAGACCGACGCGAGCTTGTATTTCCTGTCACAGCCTGTATCATATATGGGATCTCAGACACGAAAATGAACTATACGAACGACAGACGGCGCCTTGAGGAGATCGTGCAAGCCAAGGCCTGCTCTGATGAGTGTTCTGCCGGACTCGATGATGACGACAGACGAGTCTCGGAAACTGACCATCGTGGAACACCAGAAATGTGATTGTGTTGTGGACGCGTTGTTTACATCAGGTAACTAATCATTGGTCACCGCTTTACACTGCATGATTTTCTCTCTTATTCTTTAGAAATAATGTACATGCCAACAGAGGCCCAAGTTTCTGTGCTGTGGCCCCCGCTCGATATCCCAGAGTCTGGAACAAAGCCCTTCACAGACTACAGCCACTGGAGGTTGCTCGTAAATGACGGAGGAAGGCACACTTGGCACTACCTCCAAACAGACGAGGAGTGCGAGAAGTGGCCTCAGAATGATGTAGACAAGTACTGGATCGGGATCCCACTGGTATGTGCATTGTCCAAGTTTTCGCTCGTGAACGCGCTCAGTGCCGAATAGAACTTGCCCAACCTTCCTAAGCCGAAGGATGCACTGGATGCTGCCCGCAACGGGTATACATTCTACAAGCACCTTCAGTCTCATGATGGACATTGGGCGGGTGAGTACGGTGGCCCCATGTTCCTTCTACCTGGTCTCATCATTGGGTCATATGTGACCGGTATGAGCTTCAAGGAGGAGGAGCGTCTGGAGATGATTCGCTACCTTTTGAATCATGTTAACCCAGAAGACGGCGGTTGGGGAATGTGAGTTATAACACGGAATCTGCTACTCGCCCTGTTACAACTCCACGCAGACACATTGAAGGGCATTCAACTGTTTTTGGGACAGCGTTGAACTACGCTGCTCTTCGGATTCTTGGTGTGCAGGCTGACCACCCGGCTACTGTAAAGGCTCGTGACACATTGCACAAACTTGGTGCGCTCATTCTTTGTCTCTATCGACGGGTATTGACTAATTCTTCAAGCGTAGGAGGAGCCACAGGTGCTCCTGCTTGGGGCAAGTTCTGGCTCGCAATTTTGAACGTGTATGATTGGGCCGGTTTGAACCCTGTCCCTGCGGAGCTTTGGTTCGTTTACAAGGATTCATTTTGGCACTTGGACTAACATCTCCATTTTCTGCAAGGCTCCTTCCTGACTGGCTGCCTTTCCATCCTCATCGCTGGTGGATACATACCCGGACTGTTTATGTGCCGATGAGCTATCTCTACGGTATCCGATTTAAAATGGAGGAAAATGACTTGATACGAGCACTCCGAGAGGCGAGAACTGCTACTACTGAATCTTACATTGTGTCCACTGACAGTTCGGCTTGTAGGAACTATACCCAACTAACTATTACCAGATCCACTGGCCCTCACAACGTAATAACGTGTGCACAGCAGACCTATATTCGCCTCATACCAATATTCTGGATGTTATGAACTCTCTTCTTTCAATATACGAGGGCTGCGCAATTCCTCCCCTCCGCCGGGCAGCTCTCAAACGCGCGTACCACCTCGTCATCCTCGAAGACGAGAACACCGAGTACCAGACCCTCGGGCCCGTCTCCAAAATGATGAACCTCATCTGCCGTGCTCATGTGGAAGGCCCCGACAGTGAAGCGTACAAGCAGCACGCAATCAAACGCGCCGATTTTATGTGGCTTGGCCAGGAAGGCATGATGATGTGTGGGACGAATGGGAGCCAGCTGTGGGATATCGGCTTCATCACGCAGGCACTCGTTGAGACCGGCCTCGCGAAGGAGGAGGTGAATAAGGAGAGTTTGTCGAGAGCGCTTGGGTGGTTGGATGTTTGTCAGATCAGGGAGAACCCGAAGCATTATGAGACGTCATACCGTCACACCACGAAGGGTGCTTGGCCATTTAGCACCAAAGAACAGGGGTATACGGTGAGTGATTGTACCGGCGAGGGGCTGAAGGCGGTCCTATATCTGCAAAACCAAGTCGAGTTAGTATTATTATGATTTATTGGTACTGCCACTGATGATTCTGACAGAGGTTCGGAGAAGATCATCTCAGACGACCGATTGTTTGATGCTGTGGACGTCATGCTGACTATGCAGAATCCGAATGGCGGTTTTGCCAGTTACGAGTTGGTCAGGGGTCCCAAGTGGCTCGAATGGCTGAACCCTGCAGAAGTTTTCGGTCAGTCGTTCAGCTTAATAACCCCTCATTTTATCCAAATGACGAGTTTCAGGTGATATCATGATCGAGTTCTGTTATCCAGAGTGCACAACCTCGGTCATTACGTCGTTGTCCATCTTCAGGAAGCATTACCCTAACTACCGGTCTGCTGACATTGAGTGAGTGAAGCACCTTTCGGTTTACCGCCCTAACATCATTTCAGAAAAACTATCAAGGGTGCCATCAAGTTCTTACACAATGCTCAAAAAGCCGAAGGCGGCTGGGTCGGCTCGTGGGGAATCTGCTTCACATACGCAACGCAGTTTGCTCTTGAGAGTCTTTCATTGGTAGGAGAGAATTACTCAAACAGCTCTCACGTACGACGGGCATGTGAATTCCTTCTCTCGTGGCAAAGAGTAGATGGTGGTTGGGGCGAAAGTTATAAAGTTAGTGCATCCAAATTTACATCCGGGACTGGTTCTCAATTTATTCCGTGTAGTCATGCGAAAAGGTCGCCTGGATACAGCACGAAAACTCCCAGGTCGTGCAGACCTGTTGGGCAGCCATGGCGCTCATGTACGCGAAATATCCCGATCCCGAGCCTATTCGAAAGGCTGTCCGGTTGGTCATGGATAGGCAGTTACCTGTAAGTTTACAATGTCACGGCGGTCTTCAGAAGCTTATGCCATAGCGCAGGATGGATCATGGCCGCAGGAGGCGATCGAGGGAGTATTCAACAAGAATTGCGCCATTTCATACCCGAACTTCAAGTTTTCGTTCCCCATTTGGATGCTTGGACGTGCGCATCACTACTTGAAGGAGCAAGGCGAGCAGGCCACTAAATTTCTGTGATGTGGCGCTCGCTACTCGATCTGGGACCCCAGCAGGGAGTCCACTCCTTTCCGCTCGCTCTCCCTGTTCCGCTCTCCCTGTTCCGCTCTCGTGAGATGGACTCTCCACTCGCATGCTTATACCCGCACCTTGTTTATCTAGTATCTAGTTTTGAATGATATTTTTGCTTTTGGACACGCGCTAGTACTATTCTTTGTAAGGAGGTCACGCCGCGAATTCCGAATTCAAGTTTGCACCCAAACAAATGATGTGCTTTTGCTGTCATCCTTTTGAATCCAGCAGGAATATTATGAGGTTTTCGTCGCCTCTTCTGAGTTTTCTCCCTCCACTCGGTTTGCAGTCAAGGTAAGTTATCCTTCTCCCGCTGGCTTTTTGTATGTTAACTATGTCTTACAGTCGACGCTTGCCATCATGTCGAGCGCCACCTCTATTGTAGCCCGGATAGCTTATCTGGCTTCGGATACCATCGTAGATTCCCAGCCTACCGCTCCATCGACCTCGCAGTTCTCAAAAACATATAATTCGCTCTCTGCGACATCTATTCGGCGTGCGACAATCCTGTCGGTGCCCTTAGGCGGCGATCCAGGGTCGACATTACTCAGAAACGGATCGAGTGCCGGGCTCATCTCATTTACCTCTTCAGCAACGGCGCACACCGTAATCAGGCTTGTCCTTGATGCTCCTGAACTTTCATCACTTCCCCTCGTCCTACATCTTGCAGTGAAAGATGACCTGTCTGACGTCCTTCTGCTCCGTTCCGCCGTCCCTTTCTTCCTCGTCTCTAGAACTGCACAACAAGCACATGATCATTCACTCCTGGCATCTCGTTTGGCGCGGACCGAGAAGAAGGCGGTCGTGCATGTCTTCTATGAGGGATTCGGTGATTTAGCGGAGGAGATAGCAGAGAGTGACGTGCAGCCTTTCCTTCTCTCCGAGAAGCCTGCGTCGACCAACGGAGTGAACGGGCACAATGGTCATGCGAACGGTGTAAATGGCACCAACGGTGTCAACGGCAATTCCACGACCATAGTGTCCCCTGGCTTAGAGCTTTTCAAGCTTTACGAGTGTGCAGCGCTTTCTACGGTCGTTCGCACTCGTCGCGCATGCCCTCCGCTCCAGGTACATGGCTCCAGTGAACCCCACACTGTCATCTTTGCTCTGGGTGATATCCCTTCTGTGGATATTGACGGAGTGTCAGTTGTCTCAGTCAGCTTGCTCGCTCCCCTACCCCCATCCCGCATACTCGATGTCATTCCACCATCTGCATCACGTGTCGTCATCCTGGAGCAGCTCCACCGCTGGAATACGAAGTGGACACCTTTGTATCTTGAACTTGTCGATGCAATTCAACAGCGTGTAGGAGAGCAGCGACCTCACATCCAGAGCGTATACTTTAGTGACCCTGCGCAATTGATTTCCCCCGCAATTGTGAAACTATTCCAGGCAGCTCCCTCTTCGACTCCGCTTCAACTTGGAGGTGTCAGTGCCTCCTCGCTTCTCTCGCTACAGTTGCCACACATACCCAAGCACGAGTCTTCTTATACGAAGATCTTGTCTCACGTCTTCGGCGAGCGCCTCGAGGTTTCCAATTCGCCTGCCTTGGTGCCTCAACAAGGTGTTATTGCCACCAGCCCAGAGTTTGCGCTGGGTCGCGTTCGGGGACAACTCGATCAGCGACATGAACTCGTTCGTTCTGTGCAGCAGCTACTGGAGGTCAAGGAGATCAGCCCTGAGCTGCACAAACTTTCCAGCCAGTGGATTCTCGTCAAGGATGACGCTATCAAGAGTCGCTCAATGGGCAAGGAGCTCATCACCGCGCTCGAGTCTTCAAAGCTCTCAAGTCCTATTGTCGACCGCATTCTTGCACTCCGCGCACACATCCCCGCACGCTCAAGATGGATCATTGGCTCAGACGCCTGGTCTTACGATCTTGGCGCCTCTGGTCTGCACCACGCCATTGCGTCCGGTCTCGATATCAACATTCTCATCATCGATACCCTTCCTTATACATCCCGCAACTCCACTGATCCACACCGTCGTAAGCAAGATGCTGGTCTGTATGCAATGAACCATGGCGATGTCTACGTGGCGAGCGTTGCCGTGTATTCCTCGTATGCTCAAGTACTGCAAGCAGTCATGGAGGCGGACAGGCACAAGGGCCCCAGTGTCGTGCTTGCATACCTGCCTTACCAACATGAGGACGCACCAGCACTTGAGGTGTTGAAGGAGACCAAGCTCGCTGTCGACGCTGGGTACTGGCCACTTTATCGCTGGGACCCCGTTAAGGAAGCACAAGGCAAAGAGCCATTCACGCTTGACTCGGACGCTGTAAAGAATGACCTGCAGCAGTTCCTCGACAGACAGAACCATATCTCGCAGCTCGTGCGCTCCAAGCCCGAGCTCGCCACAGAAGTAGTGAGCAGCTTGGGTGAGAATGTAAAGGAGGCGAGGAGGAAGAAGGCACAGCAAGCGTATGATGACTTGGTTGTTTCGCTTGATGCGCCACCGTTGGTAGTGCTGTATGCCTCGGATGGTGGCACCGCAGAGAAGTTTGCGAAGCGATTGGCCAACCGCGGTAAAGCCAGAGGCTTGTCGACATCCATTGGCACCATCGACTCTATGTCTATCGATAACCTCGCTCAAGAGGAGTACGTGGCCTTCGTCACATCTGTGGCAGGCCAGGGTGAGCCCCCACAGAACGGGCGGACTTTATTCAAGGCGCTCAACGCCGCTGCTCTTCGTGGAGAGAAGCCTTTCTCGAACCTTCGATATTCGGTCTTCGGCCTTGGTGACAGCCACTACTGGCCACGCCCAGAAGATGCCCACTACTACAACAAGCCTGTCAAGGACCTTGATGCTCGCTTGGAGCAGCTAGGAGGAGAACGCTTCGCGGATATTGGGCTTGCTGACGATCAGGATGCAGATGGGCCGGATACCGGGTACAAAGTGTGGGAGCCACTTGTGTGGAAGACGTTCGGTGTCGACAGCATTGAAGTGAAAGAAGCTGAGCCCGACCCAATCACAAATGAGCATATCAAGGCGGCATCGGGCTACCTTCGAGGCACGATTGCAGAGGGTCTCGAGGATACCAGCACGGGCGCCCTCGATCCCAGTGACACCCAACTCACGAAGTTCCACGGTATCTACCAGCAAGATGACCGCGACATCCGTGACGAGCGTCAAGCTCAAGGTGTCGAGCCTGCGTTCAGCTTCATGATTCGCGTCCGCACGCCCGGTGGTGTTTGCACGTCTGAGCAGTGGCTGCAGATGGACCAGATCGCTGATGAGCATGGCAATGGGACATTCAAGATCACCACAAGAGCTACATTCCAGTTCCATGGTGTTATCAAGCGCCACTTAAAGCCTTCCATTCAGGAGATCAACAAAGTCTTGTTGGATACTTTGGCAGCATGCGGTGACGTCAATCGGTGAGTTCTGCGTCTTGTGGTGATGTTTCTCGCTCATCGTTCGCCTTAGGAATGTTATCTGTTCCGCCATTCCTACCTTGTCCCGACTTCATGCACAGGTCTACAACTTCGCGAAGCTTGTCAGTGCTCACTTGTTACCTAGAACAACGGCATATCACGAGATTTGGTTGGACAAGAAATTGGTTGCTGGCGAGGCGGTCAAGGACTTTGAGCCGCTCTACGGCGAGTTTTATCTTCCACGAAAGGTATGCTTAGTCGCGCCTTCGTTTCAAGCTGCTCCTCACCTTGCGACAGTTCAAAGTCGCGGTTGCGGTACCGCCCACTAATGACGTCGATGTCTTTGCAAACGACCTGGGCTTCATTGCCATTGTCGATGAGCAGGGAGAATTGGCTGGCTTCAATGTTACTATCGGTGGTGGCATGGGAGTAACTCACGGCAATAAGAAAACGTACCCTCGAACTGCGGACGTCATCGGTTTCTGCACTGTTGAACAAGGTCCTATCGTAGCAGAAAAGGTTATGCTTACGCAGCGAGACAACGGAAATCGTGCAGAGTAAGTCGCCCAAGCGTTCCACACTCCCTCGTCCTGACTAGTGTCTTCAGTCGCAAAAACGCTCGATTGAAATACACCATTGACCGGATGGGGCTGGATATTTTCAAAGCGGAGGTTGAGAGTCGACTCGGTTATCCATTGGCCCCAGCACGATCATTCACGTTTGACCGCAACATTGACGACTTTGGCTGGTCAACGGGAGACGACGGCAGGCATCATGTCATGCTCTTCATTGAGAACGGGCGCATTCAGGACGAACCTGGACGCGACTTTAAAGCTGGTCTTCGCGAGATCGCCAAGATTCATAAGGGCACGTTCCGTCTGACCGCGAATCAGCATTTGATGATCTCCGAAATCGCTACGGAAGACGTGCCAGAGATCAAGAGAATACTCGCCAAATACAAGCTGGACAACCTGAACCACACCGGTTTACGACTGTCCTCGTCAGCTTGTGTGGCCTTCCCGACGTGCGGTAAGCTGATTCGCACCTACGACTATAGTTTTTAACATGAGCATACATCCAGGTCTCGCAATGGCTGAGTCCGAACGTGTGAGTAGCGACTTCGTACACTTCATAATCAAAAATTCATCTCATCATAACGTTTTCTAGTATCTACCAGTACTCATTGACAAGGTCGAGAAAATCTGCGAGGAGAATGGCCTTCGCAACGATTCCATTGTTATGCGGATGACTGGTTGCCCCAACGGCTGCGCACGACCATATGTCGCTGGTATGACACTCGCTTCCTACATAAAATCCTCGCTTAACATCTCCACAGAGATTGCCTTCGTTGGTAAAGCACCTGGATCCTATTCCATGCTTCTCGGTGGCGGATACTATGGCCAGCGCCTGAACAAGATTTACCGGGAAACAGTATCGGAACCCGAGATTCTCGCCATCCTTAAACCTATGATCAAGCGATATGCGCTCGAGCGGCTCCAGGGTGAGCACTTTGGTGACTTTGTCATCAGGGCGGGATACATCGCCCCAACTACATCCGGGAAAGAGTGGTACGACGGTATGGGCGGAGAAGGACAGTATCGTGAGGTTGTGGCCGCTGCATAATGTCTCCTTCTGTGATCACTAAGTACATCCATGAGTCTTTTTTGGGTATCAAATCACCTCATAACCTGCTGGTCATGATTGACAAATGAAATTGGGATGCTTATGTACTCTATCCAATGTATCGCACATGCCACACGAAATCATTTCACTCTGGTTCCTACTGCTTACTAGCCTTGGCTTCTGCAAACGTCTCCTTCACGGCACTGATAATCTTGTCGATGTCACCACGATTAGGGTCAACGACAGAAACCCCCATGTGCCTGGGAGAGAAAGTCAGTTACAGCACATCATGAAGGTTTCACAGGCAGGAAACAACGCACCCTATGCGGAAGTATTTGTCTGTCGAGGCAGGATGATCGTTAGTGAAAAGACAACTCGCGGGGAACTTTACCGACCTTTAATGCTAGCGTGCAATCCACCGGCGACAACGACGTTTTTCTTCAACAGACGAGGAATGATATCGCTCGCTACGAAACCGTCGGGGAAGTAAAGCTGTATGCAAGATCACTCTGAGTTACTCTCTATTGCAAAGCGATCAGGTCCTGTACGCACTGCAGTCATGCCATTTGCCTGAACGTCCTCACTGAGAGGCACGCCCCTGAATCCGATTTCCTCTGCCGCTTTCTTGACACGTCGGCTAGCCTCCTGGTGGAGCTTGAATCGTTGCTCGAGTGAGACAGAACCCTGCATGATTTGCGTGAGGGACGTGTGGAACGCATAGATGAGGTTGACGGGTGGCGTGGCAAAGTAGGCAGCAGAGTTGTTCTCGTAGGCTTTCATTATGGGCAGCCATCTATTCAGGGGTTGGGATTTGTTTAGGGATGAAAAAGATAGACTGTGCTTACTTCTTCCAACTGCCGTAGTATGTCGTAACTGGCGTTGAGCGGTTCTCAAACACCTTGAGGTATTCACATGAGTAGCTGCACGCTATGGTATTAGAAAAAGGCAAACCTGGACAGCTTTCTGAGAAGCAACGAGGATGCTAAGACCTGGTGGCGTGCCCAGACCTTTCTGGCTGGCTGTCAATATGACGTCAATGCCCCAGGCATCCATTTGAATTTCTTCGCTCGCTACTGAGCAGACAGCATCGACAACAACCTAGTGTCCCCCATGATGAGTGTACGTGAAATGAGCAGTCTCGGGAGAAATTACCAGTGTATCTGGAGAAACTCTTTGCACGATATTTGCAATAGCTTTGATGTCGGATAGAACGGCTATTCGAGATAGTGCGGCATCAGGAACTTATCAGGCAGCCGCCAAGTATCACTAACCTGTCGACGTGTCGACGTGGGTCACGGTAACGATCTTGTACTTCTTCGCTTTGAGTGCACTTTCGATATCAGCCTCCTTGACGGCGCCACCTATCTCAGCCTTGATTTGGTCTACATTGGCACCATAGGTCTGCAAACTGGAGAACACGAAGGATGAGCAACCACCACAATGCTTACCCCATGCTGTCCCTACCAGTCTGCGAAGCTATCGGCAAAATATCCGCTGTGCAGGACGAGAGCGTTCTCGCCAGGTTCCACGAGATTCGCAGAGACCTGCGCCATAAACATGTCTGCACCCTTGAAATTAGCACGAAACTCGTACCTGATCCCACCCCAGCGTGCCTGACCCAGCGATCAGGAACGGTTGCGCATCCTTTGAGTAAAGAAGTTGTCTGGCAGACGCGTGAGCTTATTGTCGGCGGCACTGATGACCCGCGGTATGTCCTTGCCTAATCATGCGAATGCAGTCACCAAACACTGGCGCAAATTCGGGTGACACATGCGACATCGATGGATGTGCATTGGCGTAGAGGACCTGTAAACCTTGGTGTTACGAATCATGCAGGAAGAGTCCAGGGATTGACGCACCTCATCCGTGACCTCGATAGGCCCTGGGATGCTGAGAACGCGAGATAAGATGCACGCCACGCCGGCGAAGACACAGCCAGACTTACACCAGAAGCCTTGAATTATCAGATACGATCTTTAGTCGCGTACACTGATGCAGAGCAGATGATAACTCACTTATGCGGAGCCTACCAAGAGGTGAATTCCAAGACATTTGAACAATTGAGACGGGACACACCTGAACAAATTTACACTCTGTAGACATATTACGAGTTGGTCTTGTCAATGGATTGCTGAATATACGAGCAACTGCGTAGGATATATAGGAAGGCTTAAGGGAGATGTTGCGGAGGGCACTCATTCGGAACATGATAACACGACAAAACAGCTGCTATGTACACCTTCGGGATGGGCGGAATCGCTGTTCCTCTCTTCCCAGAAAAATTCCCCGGATGTCGTATCACTCCTGTAACAAATCCGTGTAACCCACTCTAATTCCATCTTTCCTGCCCAAAAAGCCAGTGGAACGCCGTTGGCCAAGCGTGGATATCACAGGCCATCTTGAAGTCACAGCGTCAAAAACTTACATATAACTTATCATCCTCGCATTCATCATAGTCTATAGTCCTCCCAGTTCCCATGAAGACTAAAGTGTCATGGGAAAGATGCAAATAGCATACAGAAGATCAATGCGAGCGAAACAGAACATCCCCTTACGACACTCGAGGAGATCGCCATTGATCCCATGACATGGCACGGAACAACCACGGAACATTGAAAAACATGTTCATCTCCCTGCAACGATCCGCGTCGCGTCTCCGTCTGCCACTCCGTTCGCCTGTGCACCCCCAATAAAGCCCGCAACTGTCTTCTGGAGATCCGTCCACTCAGATTCACGTGGAAGCGCCATGTCGCCAATATCGTAGACATACAGCTTCCCGTCGCTCCCTCCGAGTGCGGCGCGCCGTCCGTCCTTTCTGTCCCATTGTAACTTGTTGATAGCTCTTCCGGAGCCGACGTTCGTGGAGACAACCGGTACCTGGAATGGAAGTCAGTAACGGAGTCCCGTGAACGGCACCAATGCCCGATCCGGATCAGAGCAACTCACTTCCGTGTCCGTATTTAAATTCCAAAGATCAAATCTCCCTGAGCCATCTGCCGTTCCGAACACTGCAGGATGCGCTGGATGCCACTTCACATCGTAGACATAGTCGTCTGCCTCGTCGAATGAGTAGATAGGAGCAATGGCATGTGCAGCAGTCGACGGTTTTGCGAGTGACTTTGCACGCCAAAGCTTGACCGTCCAATCCACACTCGCTGTCAGAAACAGATCTGAGAAGTCCACCGGTCCTACAAGGGGATGGAAATGCAACCCCATGACCGGCCCCGCGTGCCCCTTGTAGATATCATACTGATTTAATCCGGCCTTTGCGCCCGCGCGATCGTACCGATTGGCCTGATATACATTGCCTTCTTCGGTGCCGACCCAAAATGTGGTAGTTTCGTTGTCGGGGAAGTCCAGAGTTGTGATGGCGACCTCACCCGTCTTGCTGTGGCCTGCATGAATGAGCTCGAGGGTTTCCTGAAGGAAAATTCATTCAGGAGTCGAATAATCTTCGGTGGTCTACAGGCTTACTTGCGGTTGGGCGAGCATGTCAACAAGCCAGCTGCACACGGTGCCATCTGTGCTGCTGGTGATCAAATTGTGTGCATTCTGGGTGCCGACCATTTGCATTGCATACACTGGGTGTGTATGTCCAGCAGCTGAGAGGGGCGTTTTGAGTACAGGTAGATGTTTCGATCGTGTGTCCCATAGTAGAATCTGTCCTGAGTATGTGCCACCAAACACCAAGTTTGAGTGGAATGGAGAGAATGTAACGGAGAGGACATCGGACTTGATGTGATATCCCTCAGTCAAACAAACGCATATAACTTATGGAAATGCTCACCGACCTGAGAGTGGAAGACAAACTCTGGTCTGTCAAGTAGATGGAGGTTCCATACTGCAACAATCCCATCGGGCTCATTCAACGCAGCGGGATTCTTGTTGTACGATGCTACACTCAACTCCGGATACTGTGTCAAAACAGTCAGTATGAATTATCGTGCTAGAACAATGTCGGAGACCTTTGGCGACCAATCAACATCTGTAATCGACCGATTTTTCCCGTAGCGTTCATCATAGAAAGCACAAATACGCTTGACGCGCTTCCCTTCCGAGTCATCCCTGAAATAACCATTGATATACTGGTAGCACGTCTAAAGTAGAACAATGCGTACCCATTTGCCTCAGTGCCAACAGTATAATCACGAATGTAGTCATAACCATCGTTCAATGCTCGCTGTAGTATCTTCGATGATTGCTCCACGAAGTCAAGGAATTCGGGTGCACTGAGTATATGCGCGCGTTCCTCTTCGGTAAGCTCTATAATCATACCACTTAGTTGCGAAGTATAAGAGGGAAGGAGGACACGCACCGCGAATCTCCTGCTCAATCTCCTTCTCGAGTTGTACACTCTCCTCCTCGAGCTCCTTGTCATGCGCAATACGCTCCGCCTCCAACTCCCGCTCGCGCAATATCTGTTGTCGAATATCCTCTTCAGATACATAGGGTGTCTCTGTTTCGATGGCGGTCGTTTGGACTTCTTTATTGTAGATGACGCGTTCCTATGAGTATTGTTTCAGACGAGAGCTGGAGAAGATGGGATTGCTTACGCGTTGTGGTAGCTCGAACAGTTCCTGCTCCACGTCTATAAGATCTGGTATGAACCGTGCTGTCAACACTCTACACGGACGGCGTCAGTACTATCTAAGAGACCACTGCGGGGCCCACCTCTCGACATGATCCGTCATCCCCACCATTGTCGTGCCCATGCTAACTCTATCACTACCAACATCACTCTGCCTGCTCGCCCTGCCCGACGGTGAAAGCGCTGACCCGTAAAGTAGACTCGCAGTTGGTCGAGGCGGGGTATTTGGGAGGGATGATGAAGGTGTAACCTCCCCGCCGGTATCTAGTCCACTACGGCTCCCAACAAGTTGGTTGACAAGCTCGTCGACATCGCGTCGAGCTCCACTGGAAGGACCAGCCTAGAGAAGATATAATGATGAGGGCTAGAACTGTGAAGAGGTTGCAAAGACGAGCCTCAGTCTGCCGTCTCTCAGTTTCTGCCCGTTGCCGGTCTGCCCTTGCTTTTCTGAGTTCTGCAAGCTTAGCGCGTTTAGCTTCAATCTCTGCTCTCCGTTTGTCTGACATCGCTGCGATCCAAAAGAAAGTGTTTTGATATCACGACAGTGGACCAAGGAGTACTGAGCAATGCAAGACGCGTTATGAGCAATATAAAAGCCCCGTCGCGGACTGAGCACAAATATATTAATGAGAGGAAGAATGACTTGTGCGCTCGAGCAACCTCAAGCGTGTCCTGAGAGCGTAAACAAGAGAGTTGGATTCAAAAACTACAGGTTGTCTATACCTAATACTCATCCCGTACATGAACGAAAATATAGGAACATTGTCAAGAAATGCGCAACATAGATGCGAAGACGAGTCCACAAGTGATAAAAGAAACGGACAGTCCATATGTTATCTGTCAAGTACCGATAAAAGGAAGAAGGAAATCAAAAGAGACGCACATGGGTCCTTAAGTCAAAAGAGAAACGGGCAGTACCGGCGATAAAAGGAAAGAAACAAATCAAAAGTCGGTAGCAGAGATGAGTCCATAGGTAAAAAGAGAAACGGCCTGGGGCAGTCCATTGTCTGTCAAGTACATACTGGTGATACAAGGAAAAAGAAACAAATCAAGACCTTTACATGTGGGAGATATGGAAGAGATTTGGGGTAAATGTGTGTGCGGGACCGGCGCGGGCGGTGGCCTTCAACTTCTTGGATAGTGGAAATCCAGGTCGTGGGGGACAGAAGGAGGCCGTTACGTTGCGTGCGCGTCGTCGAGATTCGGTCGTAGGGGACCTCTGACCACGGAGAAGCTAGGTGTGTAGAAATGTGCTGGTCGTTGGACACCTTCGGGATGCTGGTCGTAGAAGATCGAAGTATGTCGTCCGTTGTGATTAGTGTGGTGATGGTCAGCCTTGAAGAAGAGTGCTAGCCGAGATTTCTGGAATGATCGTGTTCGGAAGCGAAAGCGGTGGTGGTGACAGCATTGATGTGAGACCCAGCTCCGCCATGGCAGCGGCCCAGCCGTCGACGAGGGCCGCTTGGTCGACGAGGATTTCGTCGTAGACTTGTTCAAGGTGACCTATATGAAATGAGTAAGTGGTACGGGCGACACGAGAAATTACTCACTAATCATAATATTGTCTTGTTTGAAGTGTGAGCGTGCGATGCTGACACGCGCGGCAATCAGACAAGAAGCTCTAGGTTCGTAGTACTAACAAATTACAATCAGCGCCGTACTCAGGGCACATGAGTACTTACCTTCTGTTTGCCGAGGTGCGACATTTGATGTGAAAGCGTAGTATGTGGGTGAGGTAGGAGTCCGTTGGTGGTGCGTTTCGTGAAGTTTGTATCCGGAGGCTTTAGAGGCGGCTTCGTAGTCCGAGATGCTTCGACGGGGCGGGAGGATCCAGGAGCGATGTCAGGATTTGCAGACGTCCAGTGTGTGTCGACCAAGATAAGCGGCTGCGAGTGTCCATCTGAGGCGCCAGGGGTAAGAGCCTTCGTTCCTTGAGGCAGGGTGCTTGAAAGTTCGTCCTAGAGATTCAAACATTAGCTGATGAAGTTGAGTGCGCGGTGCGGATTTGTACCTCGCGGAAAGTGCTTCCGTTACCATGACCCTCACGGTCTTTGGTATCTTCGGGGTCATGGCCGGAGATGTCCTTGACGAAGCCGTCGTCGTGGGCTACCACGGTGGTGTCGGAATCGAGCGAGAATCGTTGTGGCCTTGGGATTGGTGTTGAATGTAGCCATGGAGAGTAGGGTGTAGTTGAGTATGCAGCGATTGGCGAGGCTTCAGTTGCGATCACATTTGACGAAGATGATACATTGGGTTGGGTAGAAATGTCGCCGGCGAAGGGTGGACTGGGTTGAGCGTGCTTCGGAGCGGGTTCCTTGTTGATGCCACTGAGAAATATGCGAGCGGCTTTGTTGGAGGCTAAAATGAGAATTGCGGGAGAAATGCAGAAATTTAATGCAATGCCGCCAAGATCGGAGACGTTCTCCGCGTCGCGTATAAGCTGAACGGTGGAGTCCAAAACAACTTCCTTGCAATGCGCGACAGAGAGATATCCAATGATAGTGAGGTGAGCAGCTCCGTTGAACACGGTTGAGATCATTATGTTGGATGGATGAATGCAAGTAAAGGCGGAGATGAGCTGGTACGCGTGGCAAGAAGATGGCGGACACTGGATACTTTGCAGCGAGCACAGTATTTATACTCTCCCAGATTAGAGTTTGCGAGCGCGCATAATATTTTATGCACTCCTAGATTAAAGTTTGTTAAACAGACTTGATCGCGACGCGTCAGTCACGTGGTATAAAATCAACCCTTATATAACGCGCGACTACAGTGACGAGGGACTTGAAGTGATGAATCCCGAGAAATATATACACCTACTCCTGCCGTTCAAAAAACATCCTGTCGAGGGTGGAACAGATCTTGAGCAAGATTACTATAGGGCTCGTTTCAGGAGTAATCGGGGCACGACTTATTTGTCGTAGCAAGGTCATTCAATCACCTATGCATCAGGATTAGCCGCTGCATTTTCAATGAGTTGGGGTAACATAGCTGACCAAACCCTATGGCCGTGTAGGCTCTTGTCCACAAACCAAAACGCATGCGATATCCGGAAGATACATGAGTTCTCATGACACTACTGTAGAGATACGCACTTAGCTTCGTCACAGCGTCACACATCCTTCGAATCGAAGCTATTTCAGTGTGACTGTCACACAAAGTTGAAAGCGTCGAAGGTAAATTGTGACATACGGTAAAACATGAAAAAAAAATGCCTAAATTATGGTCAATGTTTCCAAAAATTTTGTACTGAGTATTTTCCATGCAGTCTGTGCTTTCCACGACCAAAGATCTCTTCATCACCCTCGGTGGCAGAAGCTGTAAGCTCTTGATCATAACTTTCTGCCTCGTTGCAAGCCAACAGATTGCCAGAATCATCAGTACCATAGCCGTGAGGGACTGACCCTCCTGATGTGATGTGAAGTAGAACCGCATCAACATGAATATCACAAGGATCAAGGTCAACATCTGCAGCATGCAGCAAATGGTGGCTCAACCTCGTCTAGTGCCGACTCGGATTGAGGTTTTTCAACCTTGTATTGAGCTGTCTTGATTCGGTCCCACTGTCTCGACGTCATTCTTCTCTACATCACGCAGCGCTTGAAGAGCTTCATGGCTGGTAAGGCTCTTGAAGGAGAGGTTGAATGAAGTGCTGGCCTTGCATTGAAAAAATGCCTGAATGTGTCAGTGCCATTGGTGAGGGATACAAGGATGGTGTACTTACTTGTCTAACAACATCGGGCTTGTTAATGGCAGTGATAGCCATTGATAAGCCAGTGCAATGATCTATCACGCAGCGTGGGCAACGTTGTGTCGAGTCGAATGATGGTGGCAGCGGTATCATTTTTCTTCAGCAACGACAAAGACTCAGTCAAGGATGTCAGCATGCTGACATCATTTGACGGCAAGCTTGAATGGCCGCTGGACACCAACATCACATGGTTGGGCAATACCAGTGCAACCGCCAGGGACAAAGCGATACTTGATCCATGGGTAATGTTGATCAAGCCAAGTGCGAAAACTGGATGGACTTGTGGACCGACCAAACATCCAGGTGTAAGATACATTCTTGATCATCAGGGTGCACCGACGAGCTCCTTCTGTCTTGTCCAGTAAGGGACGAGGATATTACGAACATAGTTGCACATGAGCTCAAACGTTGACCAGTACATGTCGGTATTTGAAAAACACAGCTTGAAGCCTAAGCGTTGTGCTTCCTTGAATTGTGGTGTGCTTTTCAGTGGGGAGGGAGCATGTAGTTTTGCCACAGTAGATGACCTGAAATGGGAGAGCATCACCGGAGGCAGATATGCCAACCACCACAGTGAATGCTCGCTTCTCCTCCTGTCCGACGACTGCAACTTGCTTGGAACCAACTTCTTCATATGTAGCGGTGTTTGTGGGTTGATACACGATATTCGTCTGGTCAATGTTGACGTAGAAACAAGCATGAAAAATTGTGCAGTTCCGAATGGTCAAAGCTTAAGCTGAAGGAATTGGTCTAGACAAAGTTGATCGGCATTGGAAGGGGTTTTCTGTGCAGCACAGGGTTGCACGACAAAATGACCAATTGAGATTTGCAGCTACAAACTTCTTTACCCAAGACTCTGTGCATTGAAAGCGTGAGCCGTCCTTTGCAACAGCCTCGAAGACCTCAGGGCAAGAGACAGTGAGGCGGGTGATAATTACACCACAACAACGCATGGTATCTAAAGCTACACCAACAGTGCGCAGAGCACTGCAGATCATCCATGATGGTCTTGTGTTATGACCAGAGTTCACCGAATGGCAAAGTCTGACAACAACCACTAGGACTCGGTCAGGGATGATGATGAGAACGGATAGTAATTGAGCATGAACGTCTAGGCCTACTACAACAGTAGAGAACTGAAGAGGTTAAGTCTAAGGAGTACTTACGCTAACTAACCTACTTTTATACATAACATTGAATAGGAGTCTGAAAGAAATCAGCCAATGAGAAAAGAGTCAGTACAATACTGCGGATGACTAAGTATGACATCATGATATATAAGCGAATGAGTAAGACGGTTACTAAATAGAAACCCAAGATCCGAATGGTTCTTCTTTGGGAAGTGAGATTGTTCTAGCCTGTGGAGTAGGGGAGCCAATCGGAGAAACCATGGGTGATATGTGAAGAGGTGAAGGTGTGACATAGTGAGGAGTCACGTGACCAGGTTCAGGTACTGGACGTAGCCGAAGGAAACCCAAGAAATGAAAAATGGTTCGTATTAGGAATTCGTGACATTACCCCCTTTCTAGGATGAGCATCCTTGCGAATGTAGGATGGTCGTATATTTTTCTGTCTCCATTCGAGGAAATCAGGGGTCATCAGAATTGAAGCAGAGATACACGCCGATTTAACCGCATTGGGGTTTTCTGCATAAAAGTCGGCTACAATGAGCGGCGCATTCTTCACATCTTCTTCTGACTGCCATGTTGCTTCTTCTATTGCATATCCTTTCCATTTTACTAAATACTGCAACTTGCGTCTGTATAGGCAGCTTTGCAATATTTGCTCTGCTTCATATTCTGGGACTTGGTCAACAATTTCCGGAGGTGGATGTGGTTGTGGTGGGCGGTCAACGAGTTGAGAGGTTTGATGTGGGGTGAGTAGTGATACGTGGAAGACTGGATGAATGCGATATTTAATGGGGAGTTTCAACTTGTAGTTTAGCTCGCCAGTCTTCTCTTCGATTTTGAATGGTCCCAGATGGCGGTCGGACAACTTTTGGCTGGGACGGCATTGTTTGATGTTTTTTGCATCCAACCATACCTTGTTGCCTGGTTTGAATTCTGGTGCGTCTTTTTTCTTATGATCGTAAAAGCGCTTCATTCGATCGTTCGCTACTTCTAGCATCGCCTTCGTCTCTTCTTGTGCCTCCTTCATCTCAGCTAGTCTCTGATCGGCTTGGGGAATTGTGTTGGAAGAATTAGGGGAAATTGTGAATTTGGGATTATAACCATAGACACATTTGAATGGGGAATGTCCAGTGACGGTTACGGAATTGTTATGCGTGAATTCAGCAATTGGAAGCCAAGAAACCCAATCATTCTGATGGTAGGATGTGAAGAGTCATAGGTACTGTTCGACTTCTTGATTGACTCGTTCCGTTTGTCCGTCAGTCTGTGGGTGATATGCTGTTGACATGGACCACTTGGTTCCTAGTCTTTTCGAGACTTCCTGCATGAACTTGGACACAAATTGTGTTCCTCTGTCTGAGATCACCTTCTTCGGTGTTCCATGCAACTTCCATACATGGTTGAGAAATAAGTCTGTGATTCCCTTGGAATTAACATCTTTGGTGGTTGGAGCAAGATGCGCTTGCTTTGTGAAACGATCAACGACTACCAAAATGCTGTCTTTGCCCTGGGAGATGGGTAGATCAGTGATGAGGTCACAGCTAATGGTTTGCCATGGCCCTTCTGGAATCTCGTTTGGCTTCAAAGGTCCGTGAGGTTTTGATGGTAGCACCTTCGTCTGCTTGCATCAATCACATCCATCTACGTAGTCATTGACCCACTTCTGCATCTGAGGCCACCAATAGTTCTGCAAGACAAGTTCAAGAGTCTTGGCATGTCCCATGTGTCCTGCTGCAGGCGAGTCGTGAAAGATCTCTAGCACTGAGTGACGTATTTCCTTGTTATTGGGAACATAGACCAATCCTCTGAACAGAATGAGTCCATCCTCTGTATTCCACTCTTCCAATCCTCTTCTCAACTGTACAGGGGCTTTCTTCAGGGTTTTGATAGCATTTCGGACTTCCGGATCCAAATCAGTGCAGTTTCTGATATGCTTTAACAGCAAATGTTCTCCTTCTATCAGAATCTGACCTCTTTTTGCGGCTTTGATATGGAAAAACTCGGGTTTCAAAAGCACACGATCGGAATTGTCGTTTTCTACCCCCCCTCTGTGGTCTGGCCTCCTGGACAGAGCGTCGGCAGTGTCGTTAACCTTTCCCGGTTTGTGTTGCAGAGTGAAGTTGTACTCTGCAAGGAACAAGGACCATCTCGCCTGTCTATGAGTTAACTTCTGGCTTGTCATGAAGTACTTGAGGTTTTTATGGTCCGTCCAGATCTCTACCGGATGAGGTGTGCCCTGCACATAATGCCTCCACTCCTCCAATGCACGGATGATAGCTAAAAGTTCTTTGTCGTGAATATCATAATTTCGTTCTGCATCCTGCATTGATTTACTGAAAAAGGCTACTGGGTGCCATAGTCCATCTTCTTCTAACTGAGAAAGTACGCCACCAGTAGCGTAGTCGGATGCATCGCTCTCTATCTTCTGTTTTTTATTTGCATCTGGCATAACTAGTACTGGTGTGGAGGAGAAATTGTCTTTGAGGGTTCTGAACGCCTTCTCCTGCTTGTCCGTCCATTCCCATGGTACATTCTTCCTGATGAGTTCATTCATGGGCCTGGCAATGTTCGAGAAACCGAGAATGAATCGATGATAAAAGTTTGCGAATCCCATGAATCGTTGAATGTCCTTGACACAGGTAGGAGTGGGCCATTCCTGAACTCCTTTAACCTTGACCAGATCCATAGAGATGTGTCCATCCTTGACGATCAAACCAAGAAACTCCACTTCCTTCTTCTCAAAAGAACACTTTTCCAGTTTGAGATAGAGATCATTGTCCTGTAGTCTCTGTAGTACCTCGCATACCACCTTCCGATGTTTCTCTACATCATCGTTGGTGAAGACCAGGATGTCATCAATGTAGACTACAATGACCTTGCCTTCCTTCAGATCTTGGAAGATTTGGTCCATCATAGTTTGGAAGGTAGCTGGGGAGTTTGTCATGCCAAAGTACATTACGACTGGTTTGTGGTGTCCAAAAGGAGTTTTGAAGGCAGCCTTCCACTGATCTCCTTCTTTCATTCTAATATTGTTGTAACCCCATCGAATGTCCATCTTCGAGAAAAGCTTGGCACCGGAGAGACGATCAATGAGATCTTGAGAACGAGGGAGAGGGTATGCATTTCGGATGGTTTTCTCATTCAACCTCCGATAGTCCATGACGGGTCTGAGCTTTCCGTCCTTCTTAGCAACAAAGAAGAAAGGAGCTGCCACTGGAGATTCGGAATCTCTCAGTTGTCCCAAATCATACTCTTGCTTGAGCCACTTCTCACATACATCATTTTCGGCAGGGGACAGGGGATAGGCCTTCACATTGGGAGGAAGATTGTTAGGGTCCTTGAGGTCCACCTTGTGATCCCACTTCTTGGACTCGGGGAATTGAGTAGACTCTTCTTCAGAGAAAACCTTAAGATAGTCATGGAGCCAGTCTGGCACCATTTCTTCTACGGGCTTCTTTTCCTTCTTCTTTTCCTCCTGCTGCGCTAACTCTGACGTGACAGAGCTTTTGTATCTGATCCACACGTTTTGTGATGAATCTTGATCCTCGACCTCCTCCATCTGCACATTCTTGGTAGCTTCATGTCCAACAGTAGTAGCAAGGTCTGATTGTTCTTCTTCCTCAAGCTTGGCAGGTATAGTACCCACATGTCCTTGCATTTTAGAGCTGAGGCTGTTTGACTGAACCTGATGATGGATAGAGGCTTCCTCAATATCCTCATCTTCGTCATCTTCTGCCGGTATCAAGTCGGGCAACACCGAAGGGATCGAAAAGTTCGTGGCTTTTCACTTCTTTGCCTTGGTCTTTTTGTCCTTGACCTTGGCTTCTTGACATTTGACCGGGCAACGGTCTAGTGCCACCCTTCCTGCATTCCAATTGATACTGGGGTTGTGGTATCGTAGCCAATCTATTCCAATGATAACATCATCAGATCCTAGGTCTGTGTCCAGAAAGGCTACTTCTTCCTCATGGTCCCCTATTGTGAGCTTCAAATCTGCATAGGATGTAATTGGTCCAGCGGAATTGTCTGTTTCATCAATATTACGGATCGACATTGGTTTAAATAATTGTTTGGTCTGGACTTGATTCTTTTCTACAAACTTCTTTGCGATGAAGAGGTTTGTTGCTCCGCAGTCTACTAGAGCTTTGACGGCTGCATTCTTATTTTTTTCCTTCCAACGTAACTGGCAAGTAGAAATGGTCTCATTTATTCCCAGAACAAACTTCTGATACTTCTGCAAACATAATTGCCAAGTCACCGAGAATGGAAAAACAATTTCTCTGATCTAAGTCCACAGTCGACTTCGATCTCCCTAAAAACCCTTCTGCTCCTCCTTCTTCGCTGGGTTGTACATGCTGGAGAGGCAGATCCTCTCATTGATGATGCGGTTAATATCTTCCAGTGTGAGTGGTTTCACAGCTGGAACTTCTTCCGTTTTGACGGCGCAGACAGCTGGTCCTTTGCCCTTGTCAAGGGGCTTTCCCGTGCAGTTACGAGCCATATCCCCTTCTTCTCTGCACCGGTAGCACTTGAAAACACCTCCCGGTTGTCCTTGAGGTCGGGGTCTACCTCCTGTCCTGGTTGCATCAATGTCCATGGCATTTCCTCCCTGCGACGTGGTCTTGGGTGCTCCAGCTGGTGCGGGTGGCGCAGCGCCCCCTTGCCAAGGTCGTCAAGGGTTGAAGTTCATCTTCCTCTCATCATCAAGCTCCTCCAAGTTCTGACCGATGAGCAGCGCCTCCCTGATCAATCCTTCCAGGGTGTCTTTCCTGTTAGGGTGGATATTGGCCAAGTAGTTTTTAACTCGTTGGTCCAATCCAAAGTGGAGTTTGCGCATCAACTCGTAGTCAGAGAAATGACAGAAGGCAAGCTTCTGTCAGAAGATGGAGATGTACTCCCCAACTGTACGATTGCCTTGTCGGAGAGCTTCCAACTCTCTTGCTGCCTTTTCTTCCTTGTTGACGACAGTCCACATGACCTTCATGTCCTTGACAATGCTGTCATAGGACCCGGGGTGGCCACTGAGAGCCATGGGGGTAATGCTTTCCGCCCATTTTGCTGTAGCGCCCCGACAGAAGGAAATGAGGCATGTACATCTCTGTGTTTCTGTTGCTCCAGGGTAGCCTGTGAAATAGATTTCGAGCTGAGTGAGGAAGGTGTCGACGTCAATGGAGTTCTTATCTCCTGTGAAGTCCATGGGTTTCGCCATCTTCAGATCAGAGCCTGAAGTCCCAGATGTAGAGCCTGGGATCTTCATTGTAGGCGAGGTTTCCAAAAGTGTGATCTTGTCTTCTGTGTCCCTCATCCTGATCTCCAGGTAGTCGATCTCGCCGTCCGCGTGCACCAGGCCTGCTTGCAGCTCGTCGATCTCCTTCTGCAGACTGTCTATCAAGTGTCTGGTGTACTCTCTTTCTGTTACGACAACGGCATTGATTGCGCGCGAAATTTCCTGATGGGTGATGGTACTCGATCCAGGATTGGAGATGCCGAAGGGTGCAGAAGGGCCTGTGGTTGGGGTGGTGGATAATCCTGCAGATGCTAATGGGCCTAATGGGTTTATCCATCCTTGTGGTGCCGGAGAGTGGATTGCACCCCTGGGTGGAGTTGCTACTCTTGGTATCGCTGGCGGAGCTTCTGTCACTTCCGTATCCTCAGAAACGTTGATCCCAGTTTCTCCTAGATTCTCGGACATGGAAGAAGGAGCAATGGGAATCCAAACAGGAAACGTTGTTGTGTAGCGCAAAAGCCCTAGCCTCGACTAGGTGGGATCTGTATGGCGGGGCAATGATGACAAAGGTGCAAATGCAGCGTGTGTAGCAGTTCGTCAACCTATGTAGAACTCGAGAGGAGTTCACGAAAGACGCGGTGAACTTTGGGTCTACTTTTAGCACCCTTGGTTCCTATCGTAAAGTATTTAGACAGTGAGAGGACTGTTGCGAGTGCCGTTCTGTTACGTAGAAAGCAGATATTGTAGCGTACAGTTGGCAGGGTTTTGGGCCTAACTGCAGACGTGCAGAAACAGGACCTAAGTGTCACTGATCCTTATGAACTGGCAGCTTGTAGTAAGACGAGGGCCTGGTTCACTTCTACTAAACAGGTAACATAAAGAGATTGATATACAAAAACGCGTCGGGGAATGATGATTTGAATAAACATAATCCATGAGATAAATCTCAGCAGAATAGCACAGTGAAGTTTATCGTGAACAGTGATGTCCAGGATAAAGTTCGAGTCGGAGTGGTAAGACAGACTTAACCTAATGTTATGACCAGAGTTCACCGAATGGCAAAGTCTGACAACAACCACTAGGACTCAGTCAGGGATGATGATGAGAACGGATAGTATTGAGCATGAACGTCTAGGCCTACTACAACAGTAGAGAACGAAGAGGTTAAGTCTAAGGAGTACTTACGCTAACTAACCTACTTTTATACATAACATTGAATAGGAGTCTGAAAGAAATCAGCCAATGAGAAAAGAGTCGTACAATACTGCGGATGACTAAGTATGACATCATGATATATAAGCGAATGAGTAAGACGGTTACTAAATAGAAACCCAAGATCCGAACAGTTCTTCTTTGGGAAGCGAGATTGTTCTAGCCTGTGGAGTAGGGGAGCCAATCGGAGAAACCACGGGTGATATGTGAAGAGGTGAAGGTGTGACATAGTGAGGAGTCACGTGACCAGTTCGGGTACTGGACGTAGCCGAAGGAAACCTGAGAAATGAAAAATGGTTCATATTAGGAATTTGTGACATCTTGACAACATTAGGATACTTCGAGAGGATAGCAGGCGGTGTTGCCTTCATTAATGGAAGATTGCCCTTTTGAACACGGGCAAGCACATTGGCATGCCATGCTGGTCATGTCCTGCTATGGTCTATCCAGCTTCCTATAACTTGTGCGTGGATACCACCAAAGCGAGTGGGGTCGATTCGTTTAAGCTCGCGCTCAATCTGCACTGGTGACATCCCATAGCCAACATGGAGAGCGGCCATTTCAATAGTTGGCCATAGCAGGGGGCTTTGCCAGTTGACACGCAAAGCATCTGTGTCCTCCCACTTGCGCTTCCATCCTAGGTTGCGTGTGTGCTTGCTACGAGCATGCCTTTGCAATTGGCGATATGGACATGATGCCTCTGCGATAGTGACTGGCTGGTGGCTGAGGATTGCTATCATGAAGAATGGAATCGATGGTAGGTTTCTGATGACAGAACATGTAAGCCCTTAAGATGACTCGGAGCAAAAAGAAGACACGTGCTCACCTCCTTAGCAGCTTTTTCATGTGCTCGCTGTTTTCTCTTTCGCTCAGCTGCTCTTTCACAGCTTGCGAGTAGCCTTCTCGAACTTATTAAATTCTTGCTGATAATGGTCCCGCTCCTGATCTCTGAGCTCCCAAGCAAAAGGCTTCCAAGCACGTTGTAGATGCTCCTCATGTGATACTTTTGGGAAGAACTTGAACAGACCTTTGTTTTGGTCTGCATCAGTTGTATGGAGGTCGAGTTTTGGTTTATTAGTTTGCGTGGATGATGGTTGGGTGGGGATAGATGGCTGAGTCTCTTCTACCTCAAGATCGTGTTCGCTCTCTGCACCTGAGGAAGTCTCTTCCGGCTCGAAGTCACTGGCATCGTCCACATCTGAACCGTTACATATATCCATGCCATCGCCAGGAACTGAGAGCTATAAAACCAATATTCAATCAACAATGTTGCATCAGTTAGCACAAGATGCCCGTACCTCAAGATGATCATAAGCAAGACCCAGAAATTCTTCCATGCAGAGGGAGAATGCTCCGTTATCGTCGAACAAAGGATCACAAAATACAGCATGCTTGATGGTGTTGATGGCTGCAATTCCACACGAAAATGAATCCAGCTGTTGACCGCACTGTAGTGCATTTGCGTTACTAAATCCAGAGAGGCCATGACGGCCCAGCCAATGACGAATGGTGTCAATGTCATGAGTGGGCCAACTCCACCCAAGAGAATCAGCGTATGAGATGGTTTGGTCGATCACATTGACCTCGATAGCAGCCCAATGGATGTCAGTGAATATTGAATAGGAAAGAGGACACGCTGAAGTGTTCCTTCAGCGTAATGCAGAGCCTATGGCACGAAGGTGAGTAAAAGCCTTCTCAGTCTCATAGTTTGCCCACCGCTTCTCATTGAGCTGAAGTGTATCCATAAGGATGAGGGATTCGACACAGACTGTCCGAAGGTCTCTGTTTTCAGATGCTTGCATACGTTCGACTACCGCAGCAATCATAGTATCCATGATGTGACCGCCAATTGGACCTGATGCCAACAGCAGCCGGAGTCCACTAGTAGATAGATCAGTCCAAGCACCGACTCCCTTGAGTGGAACATCCCATGGAAGACGCTCTATGACATCTAAAATGTCGTCAATGGTTTCCAACTCAGCGCAGTCACCCAAAACAGTGTCCAGTCGGTCTAAGATCCAGTTGTGCGATGCACGCCAATCACTGTGATGCTCAAGTGCATGAGACATGGACACCCAGTATGACAAGACCCACAAAGGAAGGGGATCATTGGGGAATGACGGGTGCATGACTGATTGATCTCGGTCTTGCCATGCACTGGTAGCACGATCACGAAGTGCAGTGGCCATTGAAAATGCAGGAACTGATCACGAAACAAAGTCTGCAGGGAGCTGGACCGTGGGGGGCTCTCGGGAAAGGATGATATTGGTACATGACGGGTTGGTTTCGAGATTTGTGGGGAAGTTGAAGACGAGTAGCTGAGTAACTGAGAGAGTACGGGAAGGAACAATTGCACAAAACTTCACAGGAACACATAGGAGATCTGATAGTATTTCTTCGCGACTTGTTTTGGAGGTATTGCGTAAACTAGCCATGGTACTGAAGGGCTTTGAAAAGGATGGTTTCAGAGTTAATCGTCCTGAGAGCTGACTTATGTCTTACCGAACATTGGAGGATCTGTGTTGATAGTATGACAGTACATGCATACATAGAGAAGCCTGGAGCCTGACATATCGCCAGATAAGTGAATACGAAGTGCTCCGTGGCGAACGCAAGCTTGAGGATCATTGATAAATTGAGAGCCTGTTGCTGCAGGCACTGACAGCGGCTGGCAGTTGGTCACAGTTCGAAGCTATTTCTGAGGTGTCACAGGTCACACCCGTCTTCGAATCTTCGAAGCTAAGGCTCGTTTGGTCACACCCGGATGATGTCGAAGCTAAGTGCGTATCTCTACAGTATAGCCCCTTACATCAAAGGGAGGGTTATGTAAGCCCGGTGGCTTACCTGAGTTCCCATAATCAGCATAAATACTGTCCGAGATAATGAAGCATGAGCTTTCAAATTTCATTATCACTGCCTTTTGGCGTAACGGTTAAGGGACGACAGTCTTGACTATTTACAGGTTACTGATACCTCGATCATTGGCCTGGACAATGACTTCCCAGAGGGGGATCTCTACTGGCTTGAGACCCCCTTGAACCCTACAGGCGAATCGAGGCGAGTCTTTGAGATGTTTTTGTTTGACACAATCCGTGATCCGGATCCCTGCCAGAAATACAAAGTACTACGCAGACAAGGTATGTCTCAAAATGACACGGACATCAGCAGGTGCCCATGCGCTGCCCATGAGATTCATGCTGTCAGAGAGAAGTACTGATAGATTCAACTTTTGGCCATCCCCCTCCAATATCCTTTCAAATGAGGGGCAGACTGTGTATTTCATAGCGGTATGGCAAACTTCGTCCCAAGCGCGACATGACACATCCTGACCTGTCTTAGGAACCAAGTACTTCGGAGGCCACTTAGATTTGCTCTGTGGAATTATCATTGTCGGGGCCAAAGCTGAACGTGATCAGGTATCTGTGACCCACTTGTGTCAGCTCTGGCACGACCGTGTGTACTTGGGGAACATGATGGGGTCCCTTGAGTCTTGGCTCTTATTACAATTACTTCGAATGATGCATCTGCGCATCCCAAGGCAATTGGCAAGCGACACGGAAATTACACAATGGCTCAGCAGAGCTGTTGTTCCAGAGGGTCTGGAGTACGATGGCATTCCCGATGGAGTGGTCACCAAGGATTGGCACTCTAGCCTTCAGGAGACTGATGCCAATGGGCTAACCCTTCGGTACAATGAAGGTAGATTCAATGTTTGTTTCTCGATCTTGGTGCGTAAATGCGGATACAATAATGCAAGATTCTGTTCTCATTCGAATGAAAGCTTTTAAAATAAGAAACTGCGGTACTCACTGGAGTATTTTGTGGTAAAATGCTTCCATTAGGAAGTGAGCGCGTTGATGGATGTACCTCAGTCAGCAGTCAGTCCTGGTGGTGTTGAGTCTTGGGCGCAGCAGCGCGTCAAGGCAGATCTGAAGGAAAATTCCCTTCTCGTACGCCTAAGCATTGGCGTGGAGGAAGTAGCAATGAGTCTCAACGTGGGTTTCTTCTGGCTGAACCTTGACATCCGAGTCTGTGTTAGGACCTGAAAGACCGTGACATGCGAAGAGCATAGAGATATCGAGAGAAAATTGAAGCGAACAGTGCATAAATTTATGTGAAACATGCTAGCGACAAGTCTGTGAGCTGAAAGTACAAAAGTCAAGTACAGCCATGGCGCATAATACTACCTAGACAAACTCGCATTCTGAAAAATCGGGATGGTGTCTTGAGCGCCGATCAAGGGTGTTAACCCTAAGTTGGGGTTGGGGTTGAGTCAAAGATTGTCTATGCCTAGGGGAGACTTCAGCTTGACATCCTCGATGTCGCTCATCAACCCAACTTCCCGTTCCAAAGGGCCTTTTAAGCCCTCTTCGCGGCGTGCAGAAACCGCTAGAATATTTGCTCATCCTCTCCCAATTATCTTTCCAGAGCCGACATACACATTCCTTGGACTCTCCCTGACCCGACCACTCAATCCGCATTCCACCGCACTGTTCGACCCTATCACTCGCTCAGCTTGGGTCTCAAATTCTGGCGATGCAACCTTATTATGGCAGCGCGGATTCTTTGGAAAGGGAGACCTGTCCAGGAGTGAGCCCAGCTGGTTGGCGAGACAGATAAACGCAAGAAAAATGAAGGGGAAGGGTGCGTCGATATCTTCTTTTGTTCCGAACATGTTGTCGAACTCTTCACTCGTACAGGACTCACATCCGAAGAGATCACCGCAAAACGTCGTGCAGAGCGCAAGCAGTTCAAGCTCGATCGTGCAAAGGCAATTGCTGCTGCCGCAGCTGAAGCAGAGGCTACTTTCAAGGAAGAAGGTCGCGTTATTGCGCCTGGTATTGCGCCGGATGGCACACGCGTAATACCCTCTGCTGCGACCTGGAAACCAATGTCTGCATCCGTGCCTTTGGAACAGGCGTCTCCCGACGTAACAGCAGAAGAGATACAAGAAGAGATCGAGCCAATACAGGATGTCGAGCATCTCCAACTCTCGCTTCAAGAGGCATTTTTCCTCGTCTGGGCACTTGACTGCTTGACAGTCTTGCATCTCGAAACCGTGTGTTTCCTTATTCCCTCCTCGAAACTTGTTCATCTCATTGTTTTTACCTAGAATGTACCCTTTACCCTCGCTGAAATTTGGAATGCGTTCCAAAATGCCCATGTACCGTCATTGGGTCCACAACTAAACGCACCGTCACCTCCACGTTTTGACAACCCTTTCCTCGTATCTTACATCGCATATCACCACTATCGCTCCCTTGGCTGGGTTGTCAAAAGTGGCATCAAATTTTGCGTCGACTATTTGTTGTATAAGCGCGGCCCCGTATTTCAGCATGCCGAGTGCGTGTGGTGTTCACCTCAGTCCTCATCTTCCCTTTTATTTTCCTCATGAACTTCCGATTTCTCTCAGCAAACCCCGTTCTGCATTCAAAGTTGTCTCAGTTCCGCTGACATCTCTTCAGATTCGCAATTGTCGTCATCCCCGTATATGAAGACCCCGAAGATCAAGCAAACTCACCATTCAAACTGCAGAACGCAGAGCCATTCACGTGGTCATGGCTGAGCACGATAAACCGTGTCAATTCTCAAGTTCAAAAGGTCCGTCTCCATCCCTCGGCTACTAATACCCGTCTTAGTTATGCTAAATTGGTTCGCAGACGCTGGTCTTGTCGTACATCACCATACCTGCGGAGTCGCGGGTATCTCCCAAAGTCCTCTCTTCGCCTGCGTGCTTTGCGCATTACTCGGTGCGCGAGGTCGTATTGAGGCGGTTCGTTCCGGCACGGATGCGAGACTAGCTGCTCGAGGAGTATATTGAATCGTGCACACTCCGTCCGACGTGGATTTCGATCAGTGGCCTTTGCATTACTGTAGCCGATCTGGTGGTGACGCAGTATTCGATCGCAGTACAAACGTCTGGAACTGTTAGAGTGGCCCCCTCTTACTGGTCGCCACTTTAGATGGATACTGCTGCCAGCGGTCTGTCTGCGGTTTTTCTCGCTGCCGCAAAGCCTAACGGCAAGGATGAAAGAGTTCTAGGGGCCTCCTTTACTCCCTTCGCTGTTACTTGTCATAAAACCCTGTATTGCAATACACTGTGTGCATGGCCCTGCACGATTCAACAGACCACCACTGTACTGATCGATTATTGCTGCAGCCAGCCAACACACAGTGCTGCGTCATGCCTGATAGGCCCCTATTTCCTTGTTACATACTTTGAAGTTCTATCTCCTTTCGCCTCACTTGCAACTCCATTATGGCGATTAAGTTCGTTGGCAACGCACCTCCTTCGTACGACTCGATTTCTAAGTCCCTATGCATCAGCGGATTCCATGCAATCCAAACAACGATTTGTGTATTCCTTTTTCGAACAGATACGTGCCTGGGCCTTGAGTTCTACGGCTACGTCAGAATCCGTTCCATCTATCATCCGTGATCTTGTCTCCGCTCCCGATTTTACCCCTTCCTCTGCCGCCACAATTGTCAATGCCTGCGCTGCTACTCTTCCCACTGCAAAGTTCTCCGACCTCCTGCAAACATCCAGTATCGAGGGTCACACGGCGTTGTATTGGGCAATTGTGAACAACCGACGAGAAGCCCTTTCGGCGTTCGCTGAATTCATCTCCGCATTTTCGTCAAATTGTTCTTCCGACTTGCGTGTCGCTTGCATGGTCACTAACGACCAAGCATTGTTTGCACAGCTGAATTTGGGAAATATTGGTGGTAAGTGCATCGCGATGCTCACCCGGGACTACATCCATTTCTCTTATGTGCGTCAGCCCAGGACGGGCCTTTGAGACGCTCTTTGGGCTATCCTACAGATGAGATTCAGGTGCATGAATGGTCGGACACCGGTCAACTAGGCAACAATTTGTTTGTTGCTTCTTTCCGCATCAGGATGTTCCAGAAATGCCTGCGCAATACGCAGAGGTTAAACTTTGAATTTTATTGCAGGAGGTGCGTTGTCCATGTCTCTCTGTTTTTTTCTGGCGTTGATGTGATGCCATATTCTCTGCAGGACGTATATGGTGGCTGCGCTTTTATACGGACCCTGAGTAAGTGGAAATGGCGTGTCGGGTTTTGTCTTTCTGCACCTAGCCTTCCAGCGTGTCCAAAAGTTGTGCTTTTGATAGAGGTCAGCAGAGGGGAAGGGAAACTTAGCTGCGAAACACCATCTGAAGGGCTGAAACTGGTCCAAGAGACACTTGTACCATCCGATGTGTAGCTTAAAATCTACTCCGACTCGTTCGAAGCATTTTGTTACACAGACCTATAAAGTTCTCGGGAAATGTAGCTGGCACACCTTCCATCAACAGTTGGTGGCCGTTGGGTGATCGGGTTATGTACGAGTAAGCGTTTCGCTTCCTCGAGTTACATGATGTTTCGCGACTTTTCTCTGCCGTTTACAGCTCTTTGCATAAAGGATGGCACTGGCGTGAAATTTTCGTTCAATTAGGAAATGTTAGACTTAGTGAAATTTTGCTCATTGCACACTCACATCCCCTGTAATTTATTATCATCATGTCGTTTATAACTATTCCTGCCTCCAAAAAACACAAGAGCATGACAGTGACCTTGATTCCGATAGCTCCGATCAGGACGATACTCGAATCAAAGAACTTTCGGAGGAAGAGGAACCTGACTCTGACTGTGACGGCGAAGATAACGAGCCTGAGCGGCAGTCCCAGCCCACGAAGATCCTTACACCACTTTGAGTTTCCTGTAGCTCACATCAGCACGTTCGAGCTCGCGGAAGATTGTCGTGAAATGGACAGATATGAATTGGTTTGTCGCGAGGAGGTGCATGAGCTCATCCAAAAAATAGTCAGGATTCTGCCTTACAAGGCGAAGCAGGCAATCGATATCTTCACGATCGAGAGCACGCAGACGACCACGCATTGTTGTGTTAGGCTGACGGTCCACGACATCGCCGGTTTCGTGCCAGAGCTTCAAAATCCGAAACCAAGTGCGTCTGGAAAATCCGCAGCAATATAGGATATCACGAAGGCTTAGAAGGTTCCGTTCATGGAGTCGGATTGCCGCAAGTTTCACATCACGACTGATCTTGCGAAATCCCATGTTGCGAAGATGATAATATAAGGGTAGTATGAGCGTACACAAGCAAAATTTCACGCCAGTGCCATCCTTTATGCAAAGAGCTGAATTCAACTGACTGTGTCCTTATAGCAATCCCTTATATGTAGACTGCGATGGCACCCTACATGCAAAGCTGCCGATGACACTCAAACATCGCTAGCTGTTTTAAGTATGAAATTCTAGCAGTAAGAACAGGAAGAGGGTAACGATTTATCAGGATATGTAGAATACATTCGCCGCTGCGGGGTGATTTGTACACCAACAAATACCACCCGGTCCACGGCGATGGCAGCAATAAAAGCGCCTTGTTGCAAACCACAGCTAGATGCGAGTGTTCATTCTGGTGTTTTCTCGGTAGTCCTCTCTCTTTGAACACGTATTTGCTCGTTTGAGTTGACCAGCGTAAAAAACAAAAAATGATTCGGATACCGGGAGTCGAACCCGGGGCCGCTGTGTGAAAGACAGCAATGTTAACCGTTACACCATATCCGACTTGTTAAAGGTCTCCCACAATTCCTTGACATTGCGCGCACACAGCACTGCCTTGTGCCAACGGAGGTATGGAGGCAATGGCTTCCCTCTGGAGCAATATTGAAGATTACCAGCACAGCCGGCCAAAAAATCATATGTGCTTGAAATTAACTTCAATTGTAAGACGATACATAACATACACATGATGCTTCTCCAAGCTCCCACCCCTTCCTCCCACACCACAAAGTCCAACCAGTGCCCATCAACGACTGTTGGCATGGTGGTACATCGCTGGAAGAAATCAGCTACCAAAAATAAAACCGTCCTGAATCTCTCCTCTAAGAAACTACCGCAAGACGCCAAGACCCCATGAGAATGAGATTCTATACCGTGTTGTTCTTGCTCTTGATGCGAAAACCTGTCGAGGCTTGAAGGTGGGAATGAGAGATGAAAGAGAGGACTGGAGAAAAGGCTGGGGAACGAAGTAGTCGCTGCGATATATAAGTTATCTCTTCTCCTTCTATGGTATACCACTTAGGTGAGATCGATTGGGCAAGATGAAGATGAGATGCGAATGAGACGGAAAAGACGGACAAATCTGGCAGGGTGTGGTGCGGGAGAGGGATACGAGCCGCAAGGAAGAAGTTGGAGGCGCAGTATAGGGAGATACACCAGGCTGCATTGAGCGAGCTATATCGCGCCCTTGATCCCAACCTTGCGATATTTCTCCTCGTAAATCTGTGCCAACTGTGGTGCGGCAGATTTACACTCGACCGTCTTCTCCCGATCGGGGGCGTTCGGGTTGGTGAAAAAGGCAGAACCGTGCGTCATAAGGAACTCCCGTGCTTCTGTCACTGTTTCGAAGCCAAGCTCCTCCTGAATGAAGGGCAATGAAAGCGTGCGGTATCTATAGATCGAGACGAGTAAGATAATGTCATCATTGTATGGAGACAATGGGGACTCACGCTTTTGTCATGGTCATCAGCGCCCTGATTCTCTCCCGATCAATGAAATAATCCATGATGTACGCCCCCATGTTTGGTGCATCCCAGTACATCTCAAACAAAGCGTGGTAGTTGCCCATAGAGATCGCGCGCTGGACCTGAAGCGCGTGATGCACTGCGGCATCCTTTTTCTGTCGTGGTGTTAGCGTACCTACGTAGAGATTAAGCTCTACGCAGTGAAACGGGTATACAAGTATGAGTCATATCCCGAACTGAAGAAAGAGGAAGAAGGGGGCACACCGCTTTTATTCCGCCCGTGCAAAAGCATGAGAATGCGGTAGGCGGTAAATTCTTCGTGTTTGCCTGGTATGCCGAGGTCGTATAAATTCTTAAGTGTTGCTTGACATTGGTTATATTCTACCATATCCGACTGCGGCAGCCGATCAGCCGTAAGCCGCACAAAAAATCCAGCACCTACGCTTTCAAGTGCCATGCGTGCGTGGATCTCGTACACCTGCACTGTGAACTCATTTTTTATGCGTTGTACCTGACAAGAAGGGGCGCGTGTCAACATGAAGTGTGCAAGCGATGGAGGACGCACCGTGAGATCTTGCCGCAGGCTCTTGAACTGATTACATATCCAGTTATACGACACCTTTTCCTTCCAGCGTTTCTTAAGTTCAATGAGTGTCTGTTGGAGAACTGAGTATGGGCGAATCGTCTCCGGTTTGGGTTCCTGTAGGGCAATCAGAAAGGAAATGCGATTGCATCAAACGATCTCGTACCGAGGTAAGACGCAGATAATCCTTAAACAATTCCTGGTTCGTCCCCACGATTGTATACTTATCCCAGTCTAACACGTTCTGAGCAAAAACATAAGCTTCCAAGTGAAGTGCAGAGGTAAAAGACGAACGGGATCCGCGTCAGGGTCATCAGGATTAGTACCTAGGAGGCTCGGAGAGTCGGAGCGTGATATCCGGTTGAAGAGGTGAGCATTCTGATTATTTGCCTGGAGAGAGGCCTGACCGCGCATACTCTTCTGTCGCTCTATTTCATGTTCCCGCTGGAAACGTTCGGCTCGGCGACTCAGAGCCGCTTGATCGCCAAAGTCGAGGTTGGCATTGGTGTGTTTCTGCGCTGCGGCTTTCTTTGCTTTCTTGCTCATTGGTGGAGCGTCATTCCTATAGAGCGTCAGCGGGCCATGTCAACCTAAGTAGCAAATGACACCGACATTTTGCGTTTGAGGGTGTTGATCGTCGGGGGAGCTTTTGGCATCAGACTGGATGTCACAAGTCACTGAAATCTGCAGCTTAGTTTGTAAAGAACAAAGACCGCACCATTTTAACTGCACACCGGCCCAGTCGGTTGTCCATAGAGACTTTTCAGCGAAAGCGTTAGCAATTGACTCTCTCAGCTCAGCCTGGGCTTCTGCCCTATTAGCATCTGTCATTTGCCCCAGACATCGTGCAACCCATTCTCTGAGTCACCGACCTCAGCTGTACTGCTTACTGTGTAAGGACCAGGAGATGGGCGCTTACTTGAGTTGTGGAGGCCACGACTCGGACGACATTGTGATTGAGTTATAGACTTTTGGTGTGTGCTTAACGCTCGGAGAATGGGAAGAGGGTATGGTGGTCGTCAGTACTTATGAAAGAAGTTGGTAAAAGGAAGGCTTAAAGGTGGAGGAAAAGAGAAGCCCAAACGAGGTATCAGCATGTCCATCCTCCCGATTTTCCCACGGTTGGTGGTCTCAAATGTGTTCAAACCAAATCTCACAAAACTCGCGATTGAAAAATCAGTCTCATTAGAAGACGCAACATAAATTGCAGCATCTCATGGCCGTAAGAGTCTATGGGATACTCGATCCGCCCTATGTACATAAACTCTCTAATGGTTCAAATCCTTGGGCGGGTTGTAGACTTGCGAACTCGAAATCAGCATCTATAAACAGCATTAAATGATCCAGAGAACTTACAAATCTTCCTGTTCTTGATCACAGTCCATTTAAACCGCTTCACTCCGATGGAGATGGCGAACAATGCAGAGAAGCAGATGACAGCCTTGATACCCATCTTCTTCCGTTCGTCGTGCTCGGGCTCAGCTGCCCAGTTCAAGAAGGTGACGACATCCTTGGCCATCTGAGAGGTCGTGGCAGGGGTACCTATATCGAGTATCAGTACGGGACCAGTTCAGCTTACAAAAGACGAACGAACCATCTTCGTACTCGACAAGATTGTCCCAAAGGACACGCGCCATGGAGATAGCACCACCAGGGAAGTAAGGGTTGTAGTTCATTCCGTCACGAATGTCAACGCCAGCAGGGGGGTCAATATAACCCGTCAATAGGGAGAACACGTAATCCTGGTTCACGAAGCGTTGGTTGACATCTTCATTCAGAACAAACAACTTACCGCTCCACCATGACGGGCCTTGATGATCAAGCTAAGGTCAGGAGGAAGGGCACCACCGTTACCAGCCCGAGCAGCCTCCTCATTGGCGTATGCAGGAGGGAGGTAATCGGAAAGCTTTCCGGGGCGCTGGAACATCTCGCCTTTATCGTCCGGACCGTCCGTGTACTCGACGTCCTCGGCAAGTGCACGCACTTCGTCGGCAGTATGAGACACGCCGACAAGGTTGCGCCAGGCAATGCGGTCGAGCGAATGACACGCGGCACAAACCTCACGGTACACCTGGAACCCACGACGGATGCTGGAGTGCGGATGTCATGGAAGTGATTACATGGTAGTTAACGCGGACATACCTAGAATGGTCAAAGCTATCGAACAAGCCCTTGTGGGACCAAGGATACGCAGTGGGGTGAAGGCCGTCGTCGGCTAGCGAATTCGCGTGCACCTCACCAATGAAGGGGAGGGAGCCGTATAGATGAGTGTACCATGCTATCGAGCCAGCAGAGAAAAGGGTAAAGGAAACGAATGACGCGCGAGATGTGAACAACGACTGCAATTCATGGGGCAAAAATTAGTGAGCACGTTCAAGAAACGTCCTAAGACACATTTTAAACGAACCTCAAGGGTAGCTGAGGACGCTGAACTGGAGGAAGCAAATCGGACGTGCTGTCGGAGGTTGAGCAGGCGAACTTCGGGTTATTTTGAGAAAGTAAAACTGACCGACGTAGCACGCGTCTTGAATGCGCTGAAGGTAGAGCGAGATGCGCCTAGTACAGACTGGCTCTTGAGCGCGGCCACGGGCAGCCTCGATAACATTTTGGTTTGAAGTCCTGAGGTCCTCAAGATTTTCGAGGAGCGGAAGAAGGGGTGACACTGTTAGTGTCACGCGTCACACATATCAGTCACGGAACGAACCGGAAGACTACCGGACGCTAGTCGGTAGCCAATACAATCACCTCAATTTCACAGCCCATCCGTATCTCCGTTGCAAAACTTCGATGTCTTTGACGAATAATTTACAAGTTATCACAATTAACAGGCAAATAGTCATTCAAACGTGATACTGTCACGGAGTACGGTATCAAAGTCCAAGGAGTAATAGAAATCAGGATATGACTCGTGACCAAGCGGTAGAGAGAGAAAGGGCTCATGTACAATGCAGCAAAAAGGCATCCGACCAGCATATACAATGTGAGCGTGAATAGTTCGTCACCTGGGCATTGCACCGTGCCAGCGGAAAGCAACCCTCCGATGCAACTCCGAAGGTCTACAATAGGCAGTCGCAAAGTGCCTCTTCAGGATAAATTTTCAGTATACCGGTGATCTGCCAAAATAAATAACCCACCCTCAGCACAGCAACAAAGACATGCACCAGCAAGACAGGCTAGGCACCCAACACCTCCCCCAGCACCCCCACCGGACTGATTTGGTTGTTGTCTGCAAAAATTTTCAGCCTCGTGTCAGCGACGCAGTGAAGGCGAACTAAGATACTGACACATAAACGGTCTGTGGTGGCGGTTGAGGTTGGTACCCTTGTCCACCGTAAGGTTGACCATAAGGCTGACCTCCGTACGATTGTTGGGGTTGTTGAGGCTGTTGAGGGTAGTAACCCCCCTGTCCTGGCGGTGGACCTACAACTGTGTGAGAGATCACTCGATGAAACACCAAAAGATGACCAACCTTGAGGTGGGTAGTATTGCTGACCGCCGCCGTAGTAATCCTTGTTGGCCATTGTGAATAGAAGAAGTTGAGAAGAGGGTAAAACCTGGTGTTTGTCTTGCACGACTTATCTGTAACGTGCGGTTTTCTCACGCTACATGAGGCAAACCTTGGCAGTTTCCAACTCCCAGCATCCATTCCAAGGCAGTGTAACACTTCCAGCACGTCCTATGCAGCCACCAACTGCGGACTGTGCAGCAGCGATAGATCCCGCCGCAGTGCATTTGAGCCAAAGAGCCACCAATATTATGCTACTTCCCCACTTGAACTGGGGAAGAGCACTGACATTGCAAACAAGGCGCTTAATTTGTCATTACCACGCTCTCTAACCATCGCCGCTGGGCACTGAACGTACTGAACAACGGAAATGAATCCTTGCAGGCGTTGAAAGGGAAAGATACATCAGTCTCTCTCGTCGGCCGCAGTTACACTTTAGGCGAAGTTTGTCACTACTTGATGGAGAACGCGACAACGACGTTCCTGAGAGAGGCGCTCAATAAACCTTGTGGCTCGATTTTCAGACAGCTTCGCTTACTTACAATTGGTTATTACAACACCGAGGCTTGGAACGACGCAGCATGTAAACTCTAATTGAATAATCTATCTCATCCCCTCAACGTGTATTTGCGATTATAGCCAGATGGTATATGGAATCAGCAGGTCAAGAGCATGCAGGACAAGAAATAGCAGAAACGGATGTCAGTGCGGAAAGGTCGAATGAATGCACCGACTATGATATACAGAAAACAAACGAAATGCAAACGAGACAAAAATGCATCGGGGAATCAGAGCGCATGTTCTAAAGCCTAAGGACCGTTTGGCGTGAAGGCATGGATTCGTGCACCCTGTCTCAGGAAGCTTTGTGTTAAACGTGTAGGGGCTGTTTTGGAAAGAGGCGGTGCCGCATCAGCAAGAAAACTAAACAATAAACCCAGGTCCTTACGCGGTGCAACGTAATTTTCATGGGCATAGACATCAAATGACCGTGTGCGAGCCTGAGCTAGCACTGTCCCCTGGGATGCGATGCTCATAGCACCAGAAGCATCGGTCCTGCGAACATCGAGAAAGGAATAAATCAGTCACGGGCACCCGCCTCGTTCCCGCACCCACGTACTCTGATATCCGTAATAGAGAAATTCCGAGCTGAAAACGGCCGCGCCAACGTATACTCGCGTCGGGAAACAAGAAATACAATCCAAGACGGCCCTGAAGGTCGCGCAATTGATGAGGTGACGACACGAGGTTTCCGTAAAGCAGACGCCGCGGAGGTGCCTCTCCATTTGGTGATGAGCCCATGTCCAACGGCCGTGACCCATCATCCGTGAACAACGACAAGTGGGCAATCAAGAACGGCAGCTCCATCTCACTGTCGAAAATTAGTATGCACTAACCATGTGAGGTGCTGATGAGACTTACGGAATGATGGAATGCCCAAAGCGATCGCGTACGATGAGCTGAACGACCACTGGTGGCGCTAGTGGCAAACGAGAGAGGCTAGCGGAACCAAATTCTGCCGTCCTTTGGGGATGTTGCACGACATCAAGATGGTATGACCTAGTTTACCAAAACATTAACGCGAGAAAGATCAATGTACGACAAATAACTTGCCTTGTTTGACCGTCGTTTAGGAACGAGGAATGCTGAACCCTAGATTGACTCGAAATATATTGACTAGACATGGATGGACTAGCGCGATCGGTGGAGGAAGCCTGACCCTGCTGGCTAGATGACTCTGACTGGGATGGCAAAGCCCAGGAGGACGGAGGCGACTGTGTGTTCGAATGGTCGCTGGCAGCGACGGACCTCGGCGAACCCTGAGGGCTTTCCCAGGGCAATTCGTGGAAGAGCTTCTTGTAGCTGCTGTGCATCATGTGCAATCTGTTCAGCGAGCCGGGGACCGAGAAAAAAACAAACCACATACGAAGATATACACTTCACGGGTGTGATAGGCGTAACCGGACGTAATTGACGTGTACGCTGAGACATTTGTGATGAGGGAAAGTGAGCTAGGCTTCGATGGGTGCGTGGATAGACAGCAAGTAAGCACTCACTGCAACATCTCCTTCGACACTGAGGCGCGAGCGGGACGCATGGTCAACATCATGAGCGTGATAATTCAGCAACTTGTAGGAAAAGCTCAAACCATTCTTGGTTGACACCTTTTCCCATGAGTATTGCCTGGACCAGTAGGAGTCAATAGGGCAAGTGCGCATATGTCACGAGGAAAGAGTTGCCTGGGAGATGAGGCTCACTTTTAAGCCTACAGGAGAATTAAGATACTGCAAAGCATAGGAGCTTGGAATTTATCCATTCCGTGTGTAGGCGATCATATCATATTATACTTATTTCCAGGGAGCGGAGCTCGGGGTCAGAGGAAGACTGAAAGGTATCAGAATTTCGAATCTCAGTACCCAAAAAGTTTGACACTGACAGATCTGGAGGCGACCGATATAGGGTCCTAAATCTGTTCGGAGCAGTATTTGGGAAGCTGAAGGCACGTCTTCTTTGGATCTCGCGCAGCTATGATCTAAACACCTGAACGCCGACCGAGGTTCTGTAAATCCCATTGGGACGCTTACATCAATCGAGAAGAAATCTCACTAAGTAACCAAATATTAGGAAGGTATATGTTACAGGGGTCTATCATACGCTCTTCTTCACGTAGCTCCAAATACCTGCTACTCCCGAAATTACTGATGCTGCTGCAAGAGCGGGCTTTACTCCTACTAATTATGAAAAGTTTTTTTGTTAGAAAACGTAAACAAAAATGAGAGACTGGGGAAGGCATATGTACCTGTCGACTTGTAGAGGGCGCCTGTTAACGCACCCGCAGCCATGCTGCCGGCTGTGTCATGTTTTCCGCGAAAACCGTCGATGGTAGAATTAATTCCGTTATAGACAAGGGCTGTGATTAACGAAATATTAGTGATATACCCCGATGGGAAGGGTGGACTCACCAAGTACACCAGCCGAGTTACCAATGAAAGTCCCTCTTCGTGTGACAGAATTGAGAACGCTGTTAATCCGGAGGCGGGTATTTGATACGGCTAGAGGTCTTCGAGCGCCTTCGCTCACGCCCCAAACGCCACCCAATGCCAGACCTGGAGGAAAGATGGATGAGCATGTGACAAGTGAAAACAATAAGAATGGCCGAAGTTGGAGATGACAGTAATATGATAAGGTGGGAGAAGATGGAATGAGAGAGGGCACGCGTCCGACGTAGACGTACAAACTCGTGCAAAACTCATGTTAAAGAACCGAAAGAGGAAGACCTACCGCTGAGGTACATTGTGCCAGTTCCGTAGCACAAATCATCACTCCAACCTCGAGAAGGTATGGCAGTGCCAGCCCCCGGCAACTCGCTCGTCTTATCATCATCTAATACAAGATAGTCTAATTGATCCCCAAGTTGAGCCAGAGGATGTAATTTGGCTGGGTCGTAGGCACCCAGGAGCAAGTCGTTAGCCGTTACAGCACTCTCCACAGACACTGCTGGCCCATCACGCGAAAAAGTGGCCGAACGCAAAAAAGTTGTTGGGTCCTGCGAGCCGGAGGCCGAGTTTTGAGGGTCACCTGAAGACATGCTTAAGGACAAGGAACTTCAGCGCGGTGGCAAATGAGAGCAATGAGCAGCCAGCCGACGAAATTTTGGAACGGCGCGGGGATGTGTGGGAATAAATTACCTGAATCACCAACCTCCGTTGAGACTTCTTCAAACGTACTGACTTACCGCTTTCAACCTAAACAATTAGAAAAATGTCGTTTGCAACCACAAGCACACGCTCCCTCTCAAGACCTGCTAGCTTCTCTTTGAGGACAAATGCATACTTCAAATCGAGCCGGGCTCTCCGTTCAAGGCTTTTACACACGGCAGGCCACGAAGCACCTGTCATTGCCACAGCGCGTCCCGGCTATGCCGCGTTCCGTCGCAAATGTGCGGGTGAATCATGGAATAATGTGTTCAAAAGTGAGCACTGCATTTTCTACTTCCATATTGTGCTAAAATAGCATTTTTGCAAGGATGGGCAACTTCCACTACACTGCATTCGACAGCATCAGATCCTGCAGAGATGGAAGCCATGCAATGTCTGGAACAAGGGACCCAGAAACTAGAGGAGGGTGATATTCAAGGCGCCAAAGAACTTTACAAACGTAGCGTCGAAATCAAGCGTAATGCTAGCTCTCTCTTCAACTTGGGCGTTACGCATTATCACCTCAGTTTGTCAAACTCATCTCCACCAATTGCAGGGTACTGAGTAATTTATTCTTAGAGGAGTTTGACAACGCTATTGCCGCTTGGAAAGAGTCAATAACACTGCAACCCGCTAGTGCCGATGCTCACACAAGTGCGTGCCTCATATTAAGAGCTGTCTAAATCTGGATGACGACATTAGTATCCGAAAGACCTCGCAAGCGCATACATAATATCCCCTGTTGCACGCCCTGACCTTGCTTTGCATCATCTCCAGCACGTAAACTGACCAGAGCTTCCTTATCCGTTCATTGACTATTGTGTCCCAGCATTGCGGCATCCCTCTCACCGGAAGACCCTGAGATTGCCTTCAATCTCGCCGCAGTTTTGGAAGCCAGTGAGTAAATTATGACATTGCTTATTGTTCCTAAAATTAACTTCCGCTCCTTGTGAAGCTGGGCAGCTCGAAGAGGCTCTGAAGCAGTATAAACGAGCCAAAGAATACGGCGTCGAGCGTGCCGCAATGCATATTCGGAACGTTAGTAATTCAAATCACCATGTTCATTTCCAAATCTCATATATCACTACTTTAACTGCAGGTGAGCGCAAAGATCCTAGGAAAGACCATAAAAAACGCGGAAAACACGGACAGCTCAGCAAAAAAATCTGATTCATGATGCCGATTCTCGCGCGGGTGCGGGTTTTGTCACATCAGAAAGGTTGTCTTCGGTCACTTGAAAATTTCAGACTGGGCCATGTGCGGGGGTGCTTGTCTCGTCATTTAGTCTCGCTTTAGACAACATCAATATTGCCAAGGCACCTGGCACTGGACTAGTTGCGAAGGCAGTATTTTACATTCATGTATCTAATGCGAAGTCGTAAGTTTTCATACACAGGGTTTGAAGTTCATACAATCTCCATGGAATCTCCCGGAGCGCCAGTACCTGCCTATGATACTCCTCGGACCGCTCCATGGGACCCGTAATGTCCTCGATCAGAGTCCTCGTGCCCACTCGTCAAATATGTTTCTGAATCTACGGTTCTACTTGTTCCTCCGCGGTCATTATCCCCCCTCCTAGAATAGGATTGAGGAAGTCTATTGAACCAAAACGGGTGGTTCCTGCCACCGCGATGAGCATAGCGACCTCGGTACCCGCGACCTCGTGTATGAATTGGGGGTGAGCTTGCGGAAGTGAAGGAAGCTTGCATGGGAGGCTGAACGTTTCCCCATTTGAAATCTGGAGAAGAATCGTGGAGCCGTTGTAAGATCAAATCAATGTCTTCGCGCGTGTACTCGGGATGAAGGTGGTCCGAAGGCTTTAAGTAAAGAATGTGGTCATGCCCTTCATTGGGCTGCGGGAACTGGAGGTCTGACGCAAACCTAGCCAGAATAGATTGTCCTTGTTGGGGGTCTTTGATGGTTGGATGTGAACTTCCTATCAGAGAATATAATCATCGATCTCTACAATAGATAATGACCACATACGTTCCCAAAGACGGGAGGAGCAGACCTGTGATGCAAATGCAGTGCACGATAAAGCTACGATTAGCTTTCATCTCTTCATTCTCATGAATCTCAACGGACCTGATAGGGAGTATCAAAAACAATAACACTGATGGAAGTACCAGGAAACGAGCGAGCGATATTGATCCAGTGGGATCGCTGTCTGCGGGTAATAATATTTTCATAGATCGGCCATAAAGTCAGCTTCTCATACTGCATGTGATAGAAAGAGGCTTACAAGGCATCAACATTAGTCCTGTCAATACAAGGTGATAAGCCTTCGCGGAGCGTGCGGTGAGCTAAACTCTCGACGCGCTGTCTTGTCCCTAGCTCATCTTGATTGCATCTACGAAATTGCAATGGAAAGTGACGTTCGAGCGCCTGAGCAAATGTGGACTGCAACCATTTTGTCAGCACCGTTTCAACCAAAATTTCAAAATCAAATATCATAAAGATGTGTACCTTTCCTGATGCCACCAGTCCAACAAGGATAAGCATCGTCCGTGTACCAGCGCACGGCGCCAGATCTTGCAAGGTCATAGACTGGTCCATCCCGTCTGTAACGTCAATGTTGGAGGCGAAAACAGTCGGCGACTCGGCGTGACTCGAAGAGCCTAGGCGAATTCAAATTCGACTCACACGAGGCCGCCACTATAGGCTACTATAGCCTAACGCAAGATAATTTTATAAAGCGAAATACACGGTCCAAATCCTTGCCACCTTACACTCCTTGACCAACAACTCCTGGAGGTCCAAACAAAAATCTAACGGTCCCTTGATTTCTCCCTAGCATGGCAATATCATTCCCATTATATAGCTCGCTCGGATCAGCACTCCCGAGCGGTTGCTGTGGTCGCAGTGGGTGCTCATTTTGCCGCATCATAATCTTGAGACTGATGAGCTGATCTGCTTTGTATGGTATTGGCAGCGGTTGCGGGGTGCCAATGGATGAGAAATGTTGATTTCGTGGGGATGGGTGTGGGGAAGGTGATGCCGGAGTGCTCGGAGACGTATTGGCGGATGGATTTTGCGCGGCTTGTATGAGTAGGTCGATAAGTACATGTGCAATCTCTGTGGGAGGAGAAAATTAGTTGGGCAAAACGCCAATAGAGATTCTTCCCAACCTTCCAAGTCCTCGGCTTCAGCCATGTATGTCCGCTCCCAATCTCCTTTCTCCTTAAGAATGGTTGCCACTCGTGAGTCTAATTGGGCTTCTACCAGTGGAGACGGCGGAGGCTCAAGCGTCGTCAATAAGGAGGCAGTATAGAGACATCCCAAAGCAACGGTGTTCGGTGGATACATGATCGGTACAAGTGTTCGGTGGCTATCATTTTGTTCGAATATGAGCAGAACATAAAGTGAGTCACAATAAAATGTCGACACACCTGTCAATAGTGAGCCGCCATGCACATTTAATCAATTTCTTTGATGCTGAATATGCAGAAGGTTGAATATGCAAAGCAGAGAGCATTGAATCGAGTAGAAGCACCTTTCAGCTTCCTCCCAATCTTGATCACATATGAAAATGGCATTTTGCTAGTGAAATTGAAGCATATTGTCTCTAGTATCAGCCGCTCTACAGCTAGGAGTCTCTGGCGGTCGTTCTCAGCCGTCTAAATGCACCACGTCAGTACAAGAGGACCTAGACAGGGTCATGACTTACCGCGGGATCCATGTCAACTTCTCCGCCGACAGACTTCGACTTGGCTGCAAGCTCTGGGAATCGTACAGCATATGAGACCATGAGGATCTCCCGAGGCTTTTTCAACGTGTCGTGCATCTTAGTGGAGACGTACAGAGCAGCTAGTGTGACATCGTGATAGTTGAAGTCCTTTCGAGGAAAGAACAAGTGAAACCGGTGGTACAGATTCTGGGCAGTTGCTAGAGTCTTCCTAGGACTGTCCTTTGCTATCAGCGTCAGTATCCAGCTATCCGTAAACAAAACGCACAAGCCAATCTTTGAGCCCACAGCTTCTATGAAGCCACATGCTTGCTGTCTTGCTTTCTCCTCTTGCGTGGCAGACAGTTTTCCGCGTTGTTTCTCGGACAGATATTGTACCTCAGCAGATGTGAAGTATGGGTGATGATATTTAGAGAATGAAGCCGGTAGCTGCGGTGGTGAAGGAACCCTGGAATGTCCTGGATCCATGTCAAGTCAAGATATAGATGACGATTCAAGTTAATGAAAGATGGCTTTGGAAGCACGTGATCCAGACTTTCAAGTTCTGGACGAGTAGCCGAAGCCTAAGGACCTCGTTATCATTTAGTGCATTCGTGTAAGGCAAGACGGCGTCACCGCACAGTAAACTCGCTTGTCCGACAAGAATTGGTGCAAGTGCATGTCCAGAGCACGAATTCAGAATCATTGACATGTTGAAAATCTATCTATGACAACTCTAAGTGTAGCAGGTATTATTCAGGGTATGGGCAAGGATAAAAATTACCAAGTCATAAGCAGATTAGTCCAAACCACCCAGACCATCTATATTCTAAAAGCAATTTCCAGCATGGATCCAGCAAAAAACGAAGTGAGCTGTTCAGGTTGCGAAGGACGACTGCCATTTGGCAAGCCGATCGGCGGCGATCGCTTAGCACGCAGGCACAGTCAGTGGAATCTTCACGGTTGTCTACAAAAAGACGTCAAGGCAATAAAGCATTTGAACCCAAGCAAGCTTACAGCAAGACCCTAGATTCGGCATCGGTAAGGAAAAATGTGTTGAAGATGAGCTTAGTGACGTACAGATAGGCTGGTTTCTTTGTATTTGACGCTCATATCAGCAGCGGTAAGACGCATTGCCTCAATTGCCTCGTCCAAGGTTACACGGTATACGCCGGTGCTAGCCATGGAAAGCTGAGCTGCGGTCACAGCCTTCACGGCTACATGCGCAGTCCCATATCAATAAATAGCATCATCGAATGGAGAAACGCGGACGCACCACCTAGGCTATTTCGTTCCTGCGGGGCCAGATAAGCAGTTCATCTTCAGGATATTCTCACAATGGCTTACAATGCAAGGAACCTGAACCAGCCCGTCGATAGGGTCACAGGTCAATCCCAGATTATGTTCTGTAGACCAGTGTTTATAAGCAAATGAAGGCACGAATTATAAATAAAATAATTTTACCGATGCCAATCTCTGCAGCCTGGAAAATACTCAATAGAGGTTGAGACGGTACAAAGCAGAAACACAGACCTGAAGAACAGTTTCCGGTGATGCACCCATGCAGGCAGCAAATCCGGCGCTAGCCATAGAACATGCAACTAATAACAGTGACATGAACACCATACTTCTCTATGACAATTGGAGTCAGCGCACCACCAACTTCCGCTTGGCACCCTCCTTCTGCAGCTGAAATCGTACTGCCCCGTTTGAATAGCATGCCCACCGCCTGCAACCTTTCGTCAGTATGCAATCTTCCCTTGAAAGCAATTCGCATAACATACTGATGCTGTCAGCAAGAACGTCTTGATCGTCTTCTCAGGGTCATCACTGATGAATTCGATTACATACTTCAACACAGCAGGGATGACGCCCGCGGCACCGTTCGTTGGTGAGGTGACGATGCGCCCCCCACTGGCATTGACCTCATTTACAGCAATTGCGTAACAAGAAAGAAAGTCAACAGCAGGTATCATTGTCTTACGCTATACGTGAGGTCAACAACGATTCTGCTGATCGGTGAAAGATGAGCAATTACCGGGGGCATTGGCAGAATTGCGTGATCGAATGAGCCTGTAACCCATGGTGCGCGCGGCATTTTGCTTGATGCACTTACTTCACCATCACTTCCGTCCGCAATAGACGAAGATTGTGTGTCTGATTCTGGCGCATTTATCGCCCCGACAGAAGCGGCAGATGCTGAACCGATGAGTTGCAAATGGGGTGTTGCGATCCCGGGATAGAACCTGTGAGCAGTTGAGGAACATGTTCATTAGTACATAGTGAACTATAACTTACCCTCGCATCAAGCGCTTGTACAGCATCGGGGCACGGCGTTGGAGACCCAAACGACCGGGGAGAGTCTTCTCAGCGGTACTCACCCCTGACCGAATGCAATCAGTCCATGACCGCCCATATCCGCATGAGCTACACATTCACACTTAACTATGTTTTGAAGCTGATACGTGCAGACAGCTGAATACCTTCTCGTGGATCTCGTCCTCGGATAAACCAAAATAGCGTTCATTATCATGCACAATTTGTGCGATAGTGAGCTATTTGAGCAGCAATCAGATAATACCAGATCGCCCCATGAAGTGGTGTAACATACGTTGTGTTTTCTCGTAAGTGCCAGGAGACTGTTTCCAGACTCAAACGGATACGGCGGATGCCCAGGATCATCCGCTGCTGCTTGGGCTGGTGTTTGATCTCCTTCAGCGATGTTACGAGTCTGATGCAACCTTGCTCCATGCACTACGCGCTTGTCGACGCCCTTGTAAAACAAATTCTCGTCCACTAGTGCAAGCGTTAGTTGCTGATGCCATAATCAAGTGTTGAGAGATGTACCTTTTGTCTTCTCATTTACAACAAATCCTCCTCCAACACTACCATATTGTCAGCTTCCTGATCAAACTACAACATTATTGTACTTACCTGTAGTACTCGTTAGTCGCCAACAGTTCGCCTTCTTCCCCAAAGCATGAGAAACGCATGCCATTCGGGTGTGTCTTGAGGACTTGATCCCATCGCCACAGCATATCACGGTCCATGTCAAAGTGAATGCGGCGCTTGCCTCCGAGATGAAGAGTTTTATTCGCGAGTATGGCCTCGTAACGGGAAGAAATTGTACCAGTGTCGATGGTTTCGGGATCTGAACCTTCAAGCCCGAGAAGGATCGCTTGCGGGGTGTGATGTCTGCACAGATGGGACTCCAATGGTAAACGAGAAGATGGCGAGGTTGGAATCAGACACTCACCCCTTCCCTATTCGAAGAGAAATGTCGATTAACGAACAGAACTCCGGCAACTCGAATGCTCACCCGTAGCAGCCAGAGATCCATAGCTATCATGGAGACCTGCACTGTCAGCTTGATGCAAAAAGAAATTACGCGCCTGCACTTACAGGACTATTTTCACAGTTGTAACCTGCAAGAACAAGTTCATTCAAACGTGTTGAGGTAAAAAGCGGAAGCACGTACCTTCTCCAACATCTGCAACTCCTGCAAGTCAGTAATGAAAATCTTACCAGCACGCATGGGCCCAACGGTGTGTGAGCTACTTGGACCCACTGAGAAAGCCAATGATGCCATTCAGTCTTGTGTTCACGCACCCAAAACTCGATCGTACAAGGACTCACCGCCAATGCTAAACAAATCGAACGTTGAAATGACGGCATGTCCGGGTTTGACTTTCTCCGTTTCCATGAGTGCAGAGTTCTCTTTTGCCTGGTTCGACGCTAAAGTGTTTGTAGGATATTGTGAGGCTATTGAGCACGATATCTTCCTGTTCCCGCCCGCTGGAAGACGGCAAATAAAGTGCGGCTGTCGCACACGGAACCCAATGCGGATCGTTGAAGGGATCATTATGAAGGAAAGAAGAGGTGAGAGGACTAGACGGTTTGTATGCTCCACGTATGCCTATGATTCCGTGCTGTAAGTAATGATGCACGCCAGCTCAGTTGAACATGCTAGTGACGACTGGAACGGAGTCAACTTAGTATTAATATTAATATTGGCAATCGCTTGAACTTTTCTGGTTATCCTAAAAAGGAATGTGCTGTATTCACCTCAGGATCAGCGCTTTTCAAACCTGCAGACCTGGGCGCTCTACGACGGTACTACAGGTCTCGCGGGGACAACGCGGGGACATTGCTTGAATTTTGCATGAACGAATTTACCGTGATAAGTACCTCTCAAGAAATTCGAGGATCACGCAGGATTGATAAATATCACAGCCTGGGCCGCTCTCAGAGCAATCGGGATGTCTTCATAACGGAATTGTAAGGGAAGACACCAAGGTACGTAGTATATAACTGGTGGATTTTTTGTATGTGAGAATTCGGCGATATCTTGCACAGATATTTGCTTGATCTTAATTCCGGTGTGGTCCAGGCGTTTCTGGGCGAGGGTCGAGTGTCACGGAACAGCGACGTCAATGGAGCTCAATTCGTTGCTGATGTCTCTCCACGCTCCTTATAACCATCGTTCCCTTTCTTTCTTTCCTTCTCCTTCCCTCCCCCCCCTTCTCTCACCTCTCATCCTTAGTGTCATTCTTGTCGGCTCATGGCCAAGAACAAACCCCCTTTGGCTGCTTCAACGCTCTGATAATTGAGCGGTCTATATACCCTTGCCAACTCACTCAATATGCAAGCTCTCGATGGGCAACCATTCAGAGCCTATATCATCACTGCAACCGAATTGCCAACCTCCCTAATGATCCACCGGCTCGGGCCGATCGTGGCAGCCCCTATCCCTCACCACTGCTGGCTGCGACACTCCTACTCCGGCACCATCCTCTCGCTCCTCCAGGCCCCAAAACTCCTCCGGCCCACCCACTCCGCTAAGACGCTCTCGGATCCTCAGAAAAGGGACAGATGCATCACCCTGCCTGCTTGACACCTCAATAAAAAACCAGTTCCGAAGGACCCATCCATCACCCTGTCACCTTCAAAAGAAAAAGGGAAATCGACTTGCGTCCTATATTTCCCTCTTCCGTTGCGTCACTCACGTCTACCCTGATTTCACCAAATTCTTTGCTAATGCTGTTGCTGTCAGCCATCCAAACTCCCCTGCCTAGTCCCCCTACTCGAACACCCCCCTGTCGAGACCTGTGGACAGGAAAAATCTCGGTTCTGGTGGCTGAGTCATCGGCAACGAAACTCCCCCAATCCTCGCAACCGGGAGTCCTAGCCACCCTCAGTGGCAAATTAAGTTAGTGGAGAACATCTTCCTCTGCCCCTCTTTGCCTTCGTGTCGGTCACGGGTAGGTGTCACCCCCGTTGTGTTCGTGGGGTTGGCGCTGCACTGCACCCTCAAGTCAGAGTCCACTAGCAGCAATTTGATGAGTTCCTATTGGGGGCGCTGGCGGACGGCGCATTGGACTGGATCCTCTAGTTCTGATGAGCCGGTAGGGGTGTATCTAGTGGGCACAAGGTGGGAGGCGCTTTTGGAGGCGATATGTGCATACCCCAGTGCAGCAGCAGCGGGACACACACTTTCACTTTAGAAGACGTGTGCTACAGATCCGCGGGCGCGTCCATGTCGTTTCAGGAACGTGCGATACACTAGGACATACTCTGACCTGCCATGTTAAGGGGTCGCGAAGATGGCACAAGCTGTATAGCCCTTTTACAGCCTTGCAACCGCCCTGGGCTGTGTGTTTAGAAAGGCAACTGATGATCCGATTCACCGTTTCGCCTTTTTTAGCGAAAGTATACTTGTTTAAGTTGACGGGGAACATCACCTAACACTGAACCTAGTAGGAACTTTCCGGACAGGGACCATAGCCCGATGCGTGATTCTACGTAGCAAGCTTGTTAGGTACGAAGTAGGCCTCAGTATAGTGTGAAGCAATGAGCAATCTGTGGTGAGTATAACATTCTACTATTGTCATGTTGTGATGCTTCCGAACGTCATGCATCATCATCATCCGGGAGACAGACATAACCTCCGCCGTGAATCCATAACTCATGATCTGGTAAATGAAACATTACCTTTCCCGAAATTTTGATGCGAGCCTTACCAACAAAGAAAACATGCGGTAAGCTCGTGAATGTTGGGCCTGGTCGGTTGGAATATTCCGACCACAGAATTAAATGACACCGCTCTATTTGACTGAGCTGAGGTAACACAATATGCGTGTAAATACATAGTTACATTTGATGAGCAATCAAGCTCAAGCTCAAGCACGCCGCTCTGGATGTTTGCAGGTCTACACTGCAAGGCGCTGCATAATTAATATTACAGAGCTCATAGTATTAGCCAACTTTGCCGTTTCCATGCGTATCGATGTTTGGTAACCAGGTCTTCACGGGGTAGATCACAGGATCGCGTACATGTGGGCCATATTAATGGAATCGACGTTGGAGTTGAAATTCAGATGCTTTGTTGGATCGTTGGGATTGGTCGTAGATGCTACAAAAGAGGTGTATAACCGTTGTATTCGGAGTCATCCACTTCACTGCTGTCGCGATTCTCGTTTTCGGTGAATGGAATGGAAAAGCGGGAGCTGGTTGTCGACTTGGAATTGCGAATTGGTACTATGTATGATATGATGTACGTGGTTGTTACCAACCTTCTTTCGTACAGCCACAGTACGCCTCGACCGTGCTTCTTTCTTTCCTACCACCGCGAGCTCAACGTCCAACACGACGAGCTCGACGTTGTCCACGACGGTCTAGAACAAGGTTTTACGAAATAAACATATTCCCATTCACAACGAATCCAGATCTGAACCGGTATGTATTAAGTACACCATTGTCGTCTGCCATAGCTCATTTTTACATCTTACTGAACGGATCATCGTACAGCGCTGCGGTGATTAGGGCGCGCTTGCCATCTTATCAAACTTCGCTTGGCTCGCTAGTTTGTTCAAAGTTTTTGTTGTGCAATATCACGAAGCTTGACTTGCTACAATGGCTACTGCCACGCCTTCTCGCGAACGCAGCTCGACTTCACAGTCAACTTCTTCTCCGATGTCTATGAGACCTCAGGCATCCTCTTCCAATTCTTCAATCGCTGCATTGGGTTCAACCGCTAGCACCACTACATACCCCATTTCTCTCGAAACCCTTCTTGCAACACATACCAGTGCACCAAATCCAATACTTGCCGCATTGGATCAGGTCCTATCAGAACGAAATGTTCTTTCAACTCAAAATACACAGCTCTGGAAACTTATTGAGAAGCAACGTGCCGGATATAACCAGGTGCTCAAGGAAATCGAACGTGTCCGTAATGAACGGGATACCTACAAGGCTCGCTTACAGGCAGCAGGAATGAGCACTGAGCTGGCAAAAAGGGACAAGGAGCGCGAGAAGGAAAAAGCTAGGAGTTTGAAGTCGTCAGGATCCAACGCCACGATGTCAAGTATGTCTGTCAATGGATCTGCTGATTTGCGGTCAAGGATGGTTCGCAATCAATTAGATTCTACATGCGAGTTATTATCCCATCTCCTATTGGTCACGTTCCTAACTTCCTCCCAGCATCACCGTGTCGTAGCGACGACCGTCCAGTTACTCCACCACGCCTCCCAGAATTAAACACTCGTTACCCCAATCCCGAAATCCCTCAAACGCCTCAAACTCCAATGTCTACGCGTCCACCAAACTCTCCTTTGGTCGTGCCTCCTCGAGGTACCTCATTAGCATCTTCTGCTCCTTCCTCCAGTACGACTACCTCGCCAGAATCAACTTCACAATCGAGCATTGACCTGGAAAGGACTCCAGTGCCACGTCCAAACGACCCACGACCTCTTTCACATCAGAATTCTGCACTACCACCCCCATCCCTTCAGCCTGCCCACCTGCCGCCTCCCGCTTCCCTTCGACCAGCTCATCCTCCTACCACTACACTCCATCCTGCTCCATCCATCAACACCCTCCTCCCCCCCTATGGCTCAGCCATATCTCCCAACAATATCTCATACACCGCATCTCAGACAGGCTTGCTCAGCCCCGCTGTTGATGGTTCACAGCACCCATCACGGGAGTCTCGAGTTTCCGTCCCAGATGAGGCCAAGCTCTACCTTGCCAGCATGGGTGAGAGCCCATTGCCAAGTCCAGCTATCTGCCCACATATGGCTGGGTTTGGCGCTGGTCCAGAGTATCATACTGATCAGGCGCCTCTTACCAATAGTGTGCCCCGAAGGGAATCTCCCACGAGTATGCTGACAAATGGGCAACGAAGTGATGTGGGAGAATTCCTGGATATGGATGATGATGATGATGAAGAGATAGCAAAGCACTCAAAAACGAAGAATAAACCTCATGCAGCAGTAGAAGATTTTCCAATGCCCCCCTCGCACAGCGCCATCCATATTCCCTCCTCCCATGTGCAGTCCTTGGATCCTGCATTAATGCGTACGCCAACACAGGCGAACCCACAGCCATCTACGGCGGTGGGCGCCCCATCGCGAGCACACTGGCAATCGCAGCGGGAGCTGGTACAGTCTGACAATGCTTCTGTTGTTATGCCTGAATCTCCTCTACCTACATCCTACTTGTCGCCTACAAATGCGACTTCATCATCCGGTACTAGTGCAACTTTCCGTGCTCTTCCTCTCTTACCAGACGACCTCGTGACAACGCGAGTTGCTGTCTCGCACTCGTCTGTAAAACCGAATGATCGTGGGAAGGAAGTTTTATCGTTCGTCATTGATGTGGACCCGGGAAGTGGTAAAGAGTCGTGGAAGGTGGAGAAACTGTATTCAGATGTGTTGGGGCTCGATAATCGAATGCGAGCTAGCGTGGGGAAGGGTGTCGGGAAGAAAATGGCGGTACTCCCAGAGGGGAAGATCTGGAGGGACCATGCACCTGCGAAGTCCGATCAACGAAAGGCAAGCGAAAATACATTCGTCATGATCATATCTAACATATGATCGATGTCCAGGTCGCACTCGAGGTGTATCTCCAATCACTAGTTGATCTACCCGTGAAAAATAAGGACGAAATTATCGCCTTCTTCACTTCGGACATTGTTCGGGAAACCCATAAGCCCGTTATGCAGGCTGGATACAAGGAAGGATATCTGACGAAGCGGGGGAAGAATTTTGGTGGGTGGAAGTCGCGATATTTTGTCCTCCAGGGTCCGGTGTTAGAATATTACGAAAGTGTAAGCAATCTCCATTCGTCATCCGTAACAGTCGTCTTATTGTTCCCTTAGCGTGGAGGCGCCCATCTTGGCTCGATAGTGATTACGTCCGCCCAGATAGGGCGACAGCAGCGCACAGCTGATAGTGACGATGAGCGAAATTATCGTCATGCCTTCCTCATCATCGAGGCAAAAAAAGCTCCAAATGGATCTCACTCACGCCATGTCCTCTGTGCAGAAAGCGATGTAGAGCGTGACAGCTGGGTTGACATTCTTGTGCGGTATGTATCCGGAACGTTCAACGAGGATCCTGCCACATCCACTTCCGTTTCCCCAAGTCCGATATCCGTCAACGTCAATGTTCCTTCTGGGCAGGGGCTTGGATCTGGGCAGTCGAGATCAAGCACAAGTTCCAATCAAGATGGTCCATCGTTCACGCCTAACGGAAAGCGCTCCATGCGGACAATGTCCAAGGATGATATCTCGCGTGGTGCCGCAGTACCCATCAGCCAGCTTACGCAAGACGGGACCAACGCGAAACTCTTCCAGTCTGCGCCAATTCCTGTGGTCACTGAGGACCCACGCCCACACTCTGCTAGTCCCACCAAGGGAATCGACCCGTCAGCTCAGAACGAGCGAGACTATTACACTGCGGAGGAGACAGCCCGGCGGATTTTGGAGCGTGGGCAGCCTTCTGGGAGCTCAGAGCAGCTTTCAAACTCGTTGCCATCCTCCTCGCCGCTAGCGGGAGCCAGTGGAAATATGGTATCTTCCAGAGCGAACTCTGAGCTTGGGCACTATTCGGACCTACAGCGTGGTGCTCATCCCAAGCAGGAACCATTTTCACATGAGCAGAACAAGTCGAGAGAGCAGCGGCATGACAAGAAGGCTGTCCATCCAGGATTATCTGCTATAACTAGTCCGACGGCGGCGACCTTTGGTGACCGTGCACCATCGCCCGAAGTCAGCGCTACACCTTCAAAAGGTGGTGATCGCGCCAAGATATCTGCTCCGATGAACGGGGCGCCTATACCAGCGGGATACAAGTTTGGCAGCAAGGATGTTCCTTTGGAGAGTTCTGCATCTTCGAATGACAGACGAGAGAAGGCGAAGTCACGGTCCTTCTGGAATTTTGGACGACCTGTGGACAAGCCGATAACTCATGTTCCCAGAGCTATCTTTGGCGTACCACTCGAAGAGTCTATTGAGGTCGCAGAGATCGCTCGTCTGCCTGCAGTAATTTTTAGGTGCATCCAGTATCTGGAAGCAAAGAAAGCAGACCAAGAAGAGGGCATATACCGTCTCAGCGGGAGCTCAGCTGTTATTAAAGGTCTGAAAGACCGCTTCAATGCTGGTCAGTTACACGATGTTCTGAGTTCCGGTCCAACGTCTAACATTTTATTCATAGAGGGGGACGTGGATCTCCTTGCATCGGATGAATATTGGGATCCTCACGCCATCGCTGGGCTCTTGAAGAGTTTTCTGCGGGACCTACCTGCCAGTATACTGACACGCGAGTTGCATCTGAAGTTCCTGGCAGTGATAGGTGAGAGGATTTATAATTTGTTAGCCTGCCTGGGCTGACATCTGTAGCAGACTTCGTCGACGCACAGGAACGCATTCGAGAACTATCTGACCTCATTGCCTCCTTGCCGATTGCTAATTATAGCCTGTTGCGCGCTCTCACAGCCCATCTCATCCTCATCGTTCAAAACTCAACGGTGAACAAGATGACGATGCGTAACGTCGGCATCGTCTTCAGCCCTACGCTTGGGATTCCTGCGGGCGTGTTTAGTTTGATGTTGGGCGAGTTCAATCGCGTTTTCAATGTCGACGCTGGACAGGGTGATGAGGACAATACTGGGGAGCTGAGTCGCAGGAACAGTCGACAGTATTCGGACGCTGCTGCTGATGAGTTGCTGGGTTTGTCTGGAAGGAGTTTGAATCGTACGTGTTTTATCTTCATTTGTTTCCCACTCCTCACGATTGTCTTCAGCACCTTCCGAAGGAACTCCCTCAGAAGATGGTGACAGTATTTCCCTTCATTATGAAAGTGGGAACGATACTACCGAGGATGCAACCGTCGAGTCGAACCTAACTCAGTCGAGTGCTCACCTATCTTCGAGTCACCACCATCCACAAGATTCGCAACAGAGTGCCGATCTGCTCTCGCCCCTCCAATCTGAAGGAATTTCGTTAGAACAGCGGTCACGAGCGTCCAATGTTGCCGCCAATCGTGGCCTGAACATTCAAGTTGGCAAAAAAGGCAACAGACACAGTCGTATGATAGGCCTTCCCGCGTCAGCCCGGTTACCAGTCGATTCACCACGTTCTCCTATACCTTCGCCGATGCACACGGCAAGACAGAGCTGATAACCTTCGCATCCATGACCGTTGTAACTTTACCCTGCATTCGAGATCATGGACTACATTTACTTATCTCAGTCATCTTCATCTGTTTTTATCTATACCCGTCTCATATGTTGTTGGTCCGCCAACGTTGTTGATTTTTTTTTTTACTTGAGTTCGAAATAACGATGGACATGCTGAAATGTCAAATAATGTATTCGGGGGCTGTTTGTAATTATTTGTACTACTTATGTATGCAGCACATGACCGCGACAACTGCGCGACGCGTTCTGACTTGGACTCCTTGAAGTCAGGACACGACCACGGCCTGAACTAAACATATTAAAATTTTGAGCAGGATGATCAACGAGCAACCCAAACACATTCCATTTTCCTTGTGCGTTTAAACGTTGTCAGCACTCGAATCGTTTTATGAAACTCCTGACTCTAGCTTTGTTTCTTTGTTGCGTGAGATCACCGATATTCCAGCGCATAATACATCGTTTCGGCTCAAAAAACAGATCTTGCTGTCCGTTCTCCTGCCAGCATTCTCGGACGGTGGGTAGAAGCCCTCAAGAAGAATTATTCACCTTTACCTCGAGATACTACTGCACACGTTCTGCGTCTTTTATTTCCTGAAGAGGACTCACACAGGAAGTATGACCTACAAGAATCAAGGCTATCGCAGCTCCTGCCAGAATGCCTAGACAATTCTACCGTCCCGCATATCTCTGCCGCTCGTCTGAAACAGTGGGGTATGCAACAGAACTCGGGATGCCTCGGCCAGGAAATCCTTGCTTTACAATCATCAGATTCCGAGGTATCTCATGTTATGTTTGACAGGCGGGCTGAAATTCACTGAAATGTAGTTATTCATTGGCCCAAAGAGTCTCCAGGAGATCAACGTATTGCTAGACGAATTGGCATCTACCTCCGTGTTTTCTGACAAGGCCCTCCACGCGGCCCATTCTCTGTCGCCACAACGGTCTAAATCTGCTATTTTGCGGTCTTTATATGAATCACTCCCTGTACTCGACGCTGCTTATCTCACACAGATTATTTTGAAAGATCTGAGACCCATCCTATACGCTCCCCCTGTTACATCCACAAGTCGTGTTCTCCTTGACTACAACACGAATAGCAAGCCAATGCTGACCAAGGAGGACTTCATGAGGACTTGGGACCCCAGCGGCTCCATGTTGAAGATGTACAGAGCGCGCGCTAATATGACTGAAGCAGCCCTGGGTTTTGAGGCTGGAGGTGCGATTTCACACCCGAGGCCGCGCTGGGGTATTCCTGTCGAGGTGCGCTTCTTGAATTCTGCTATGACTCGTCAGTCACTTTATATTATCTGAAGATACCGAAATCCGCAAAGGGCCGTAGCCCGCGGCATGCACTTAATGTTCTCAGGCGAAGTAGCACCATCTGGGCAGAAACCAAGTATGATGGCGAGCGTGCGCAGATTCATGTCCGATTGCGCGACGAAGGTGATCCACAAATCACAATTTTCAGTAAGAGCAAGAGGGATTCGACGCTTGACCGCATTGCGGTACACCCGTATGTTTTTCTTCTAGCCGTGTTCACATTCATGCTGAGCATGTCTTTCAAAGCATAATTAAAGAGGCTCTTGCTGGCTATAGTATGGGAGACATCATACTTGATACAGAGATGGTTGCGTATTCTGATGTGCGGCACACAATAGAAGGTAATCCTACTCCCACATCACTGGGCATTACATAAATTGAATTTATTGAAGAGTTTTGGCACATACGCGGCTTAATAGCCCGCACTGCTAAGGGCGCCCGGGCAGGCGGATATCGAAGAGGTGAAACGCAGCATGATTCGCACACACAGCATGTATTTTTTTTCGTGATCATGACCCTCAATTTACCGCGCACACAGAGAATCTTGTCCTTCACTCCATTCCAATGCGTCGTCAATAACGTCCACCTTGCATCTCGCACTCGTTTTCTTTGATGTCTTGCAAGTGGGCGCAGCCTCCATGTTGAACGCACCATACCATATGCGCCGGTCACTCCTTGAGAGTATCATCACCCCAGTTCCAGGGCGTTCGATATTGGCCGAGCGGGCAGTCATCATAGATGGGAATGTGCAAGAGCTCGAGGGGCAAAAGAGACTGAGGGAAGTATGGGCCCAGCGAATTACAGACTGTGAGGAAGGGCTGGTACTCAAAGCTGGAGAGAGCACCTATGGAGACTGGAAACTCCCTTGGGTTAAGGTACGCCAACTATCCATCGACCTATAGCCTCGTTAGACATCTGAAAACACATGCATGCAGCTGAAAAAGGATTATATCCCTGGGTATGGTGATACCATTGATCTTGTCGTAATCGCTGCTGCTTGGGAGAAAGACAGGGCTAGAGATCTGAGAGGTGTGTTTTATCGACGGGATCTTGATGTTGTGATGATGAACTACAGGTGTTTAGTGTCGCCATCGACTCTAACTACTTTCTACATCGCCGCCCTAACCAACTCGTCGCAAATGAAGAGTGATGTAAGTACAGAGATCATCATTGTTCTATTGCTTAATCCACCTTTCCTAGCCTAGTCGCAAACCTCACTTTGTTGCATACTTCACTGCTTCATATGGTTTATCCCGCGAGCAGCTTGAAGAATTCAATTTCTGGATACGCGCAGACGCGATTGATGGTCCCGAGGTTGTCTATTTCTCCAACAGCTTGGAATCATACTGAACACCGAATACCAGCCGCATATTAGTGAACTCTCCTACACGTACGCTATGTTCCAGACGCTGCCAAAGCCATCCGTGTTCGTTCGGAACCCGATTTTGGTAGAGTTATGTGGTGCAGGGTTCACTAAGGCGTTGCAGAGCAAGGTGCGTTTTGTTTCATACCCTGTTCTTGCAGCGCGCATCTAAAAACAATCCAGTACTACGAGCTCCGCTTTCCGCGCATCACGAAGCCCTTTCGGCCGTCTGAGAGGTCCTATACGGAATGCCTCACCCTCCGTGAGCTACAGACTATAGCTTTAGAGGCAGTTGGGCGACAGACCCGTGATGCCGCGAAGTATAAGGACCTGGATGACTGGGGAAGAGGATTGTGGGGTAAACCGGGAGACGACACTGCCGAGGAGCAAAAAAGAGAGCTCAAAAGGCGACGGTCCATGGCATGCTGGGAAGAGAAGCTGGAGATCATTGATAGTGAGAGGAGTGGAAAGAGAAGGAAGGAAAACCTGGAGATGTCGCCATAAGAAGTTCAACAGACGCATCATCCATCGATGACGTACAGCACGAGATCGTTGTGTTTTTGCCTTTTCCCCATGGCCGACTAGCTCAGTTGGTTAGAGCGTCGTGCTAATACCAGTCCTGGTACGCGAAGGTCTTGGGTTCGATCCCCACGTTGGCCATCTTTTTTTACTCAATCCCAGAGGATTTTCCCATTGAATTATACTTGCACGCTGAGCATCTTGGAACTCTCAGATAGAAGGAAGATAGCTGTTCCTTTTACCAGATGATCAATCGATCAGGTTTGACTCGAACACCAATGTTGTCAACTGTGTTACAGTAAGGGAAATACAAGATGTTATACATATGAACGACTTGGTACTCGGTCGTACACTGTATATATTACAGACTGAGTATTTCTTTTGACTTTGACCACTAATCGATAGATTATTCTTACCGTGATTCATAAAATAAGCCAGCTTTCGAATCCTTGGCGTCGCACATCCTACGGCCATATTCAAGAATGAGTGGGTAATGAGTAAGAGCAGCGTTCGAAATCACAGGGGAAGGCGGTAAACGGCTGTTATCTGAGATTCCTCAGGGCTTCATTGACGGTGCTTCGCTCAGCAAGTAGAGCAAGTATCTGCCATCGCTGATCTCGGACCTCTCGATCCTTTAGTAATGCAACATCTTCATCGTCTATAATGTCGTTGTCGCCAATAGCCAGGCGCATAGCTGCGGCTGATTTATTCGGCAGCACGGCAGGTGAAAGTGTGAATAGGGTATCGAAAGAGGATGCAGTGAGAACACGGCTATGTGAATGGCGCGCAGATGGATTTATGGAGGCGATTGCGTGCGACGTTGAAGTAAGAGAAAGTGCATGTGTGATGAGTTGTTTCAGTTTGGCCTGCGTAAAACACGTGAGGATCGCATGTCAATACTTTTCAAGGATGACGGACCTCAAATGCAAGCATCAGCAGCGAAGCTACAGCTCGTGACGGTGCGCCAAGGTTATGCTGTGCTGCTGTGAGATTTATTCTATCCGAGATATGTTGCAATGTCGGAGCTCGTGAGACCGATGCAAGATGTAACGGCAAGCGACTGCCTGGTGGATCTTTGATGAAGTAGAATTTCAGTGGTCGTCGAAAGGTAATAAGCCATTGCACGCACCTCCGCGTTCAGTTAACAACATCACCCCTCTGTCGCGGACTATCTCATCAGTTTCTTTCCGAGGTCTCGGGCGTTCAGTGGGCATAGATTGCAATGTTCGTATACGTTCGCGTTCGCGCCTCCCTAAAGACACAGTCCATCGCTTAAGCCTCGACGAGCGCAAGGTATCATCTCTGTCATCCGGTCCCTGGTAAGGCAATGTTCTGCGACGTTTACGTGGTGGCGGCTTCGATACATCAGGAGGGGGCGTGGGTGGTCGACGGTGCACGGTAAAGTCAAACAACGAAATGATCAAGGAATTATGTAACTGGACTAGAACGATGTCATTGCCACCATGAAACGTCAGGAGCAACTGCACACACCTAAATTCGGAGCATCCAGTGCTTGACGAACGGATTCGTCAAATTCTATCCTGGATATCTTGCCAGAAACAAACTGGCTAAGGGTTTCGAAATAAGCTGATGCCTTCTGCCCCAGAGCAGCATTGAGCTGGCTCTTAATTGTCGACGTCGAGGACAATGACATTAGTTGGAACTTGAGTCTGAGCCCAGTAAGTAGTAACTTGTCGGTATAAAGCTTAAACGGAATCGTGGGAACAAGTCCATCTCTCTGTGATCATCCACACCAATCTTACAACCGTCTACAACTGATCATTTGCTTGGAATATTATAATACGCAGTTTGAAGGAGAAACATTGGCAGATGTTGAGATGGATCGCCCGGTGACATCCAAGTCGAGGGGAATCTGTCGGTACTATAACACCCCCAGGGGCTGCTACGCTGGTGACGACTGCAAGTTCCTCCACGGTCCTGAGGAAAAGCTTACCCCGTACGACAAATCCAAGGTGTGCAGATACTATATTAAAGGCAAGCAAGATGTCATTTGATGACGACGTTGCTGCAACTGACGGATGTTCAGGACACTGCACCCGGGGTGCTCGGTGTTGGTTTCGTCATGAGCTCGTGAAAGTGCCCCTTGATGAAGAGCTGAAGAACTTTGATGAGAATATGTGTAACATATGCTTGGAGAAACCTCAGACATACGGTCTTTTGAGCGAGTCGCCATCTTGACTTCCCGAACGTCTTCTGACATCGTCCCCCAGCTGGCTGCGGCCATGTATTCTGTCTTCAGGTCAATTTATCTTTATCACTCTGTGCATGCAGAAAATAACTTACTCTGTTCAAGTAGTGTATTCGCCAGTGGCGAGAGCCACAAGGAAAGTCGTCGGATATGGTGATGTCAGGTGTTATAAAACGCTGTCCTCTCTGCCGCAGTCCATCGCGTTTCATTACACCATCCATGCATTTCTTCCCTCAGGACCACCCACGCAAACAGGAAATGATAGATAGCTACAAGAATAGCATGGCTCGCGTTCCATGCAAGTCGGTACTATTCTCCCATATCCTTCTCACTGGCCTGATCGCTAATCATTTAGATACTTTCGTCGAAACATCAGCCTCTGGCAAGCCTTGTTGCCCCTTTGGTTTAGATTGCTTCTACCAGCATCTCAACCCTGATGGTACACTACACGTTTTTCAATACGGAGCAGGTCACTTTATGAAGGTATGGTGTTATCTGCATATTGTACCTGTATATTTATGTTCTCTCAGGTATTCAGGCGACAACAACGACAGCATAGTCCGCCAATTTTTTGGGGCTGCTTCAGATACAGACCTTACAGATCGCCTTAGGCTTCTGCAGAGCATCCTGGGGGATCCAACGAATAATCTCCATATCACCCTAAACTTCGTCCGACGACACCTTCCAGCGATATGGAATGGCATGGATGCCGAGTTTGGTTCAGCCACAGATACTCCTGTGGATGAGGACACTCATGAACACGACGAAGATCAGTCAATCCTTCGAGTTACTGGTGAGCCACATTTATATCCCTTCATTGCATGTCATGTGTATATTTGACAGCTCTGACTCTGTTTTACCAGGCGGAGAGTATAGCTGCAGAACGGTCACTAGAAGATACAATATCGCGAATCCTTCCTGTTACCCACGCATCCCTCACTGATGAGGGGAGTCCGCATCCACCTGTTGAGACTCCCGTAATAGTGCCTATGGCTTCAATACCACCTAGGGCTAGGAGTGCATCCCCGGTCATGGAACCCTCAACGACTCCTCCGGTGCCTTTTAGGCCATCCTCCTCTGCGGAGGTTTCTGGACCACTTCCTCACAGTTTCCTGCCCTGGGCGATGCCCCGAACACCATCCCCTCGTCCCCCATCTATCCCACCGGCCTCTATGACGTCTACTGTTCAGCAATCAAATACGTCCAGGTTCAGTACGGTGCTGAACTCCCGCAGCAGAGAGACTATGGTTATCGACATCTCTGACGAGGACGAAGAGGACGAAGCAGAGGAGGATTGTCTGTCATGTTCACCCAGTATCGGCAACGACAATGATAATGATAATGACGCTCACTCGCTATCTACATCCACTCTCTCTGACCGACCAGGGGGCAATGGATCATTACCTGTGTCTTCGGAAGCTGCTGAGGCACCAACAAGTAGTACGGGTGAACAGACGGTTCCATCCAGTCGCCCGCAATGTGAACACGATGCAGATCCCCCATTTGTCACTGATGGCAGGGGTAGAGTGGTATGGAGCAGGACAGCACGTGGTCCGTCCCACAACCAAGCCCAAGTGGACGCCCGTGAGCGACACCGCTCGAATCCTACCATCAAAGCCCGACGCCAGACATCTGAGACTGGAGCATTCGCTACAGATGGGCGCAGTCGTGTTGTTTGGACAGGACAGGAGGGATCCGAGGTCACTGGTAGGATAAGTGGCACGGAGACGGAGACTGATGCAGAATAATAGCACATGACAGTGCCAAGCGTTGTGTATAATATACTTACCCGTGTGTATTTGGTGTGTATCTATAAGCTTCTAGTTGTGCAGCATTTCAAGTGTTGGGGGTATCAAACGTCATACATTCATGGACAAGCACTATTTATACAAGCGGTAATTGAGCGGTGATTAACATTCTTCATAGCAAATCGCTTTCGTCCACATTCAAAATAAACTTGGTATAGAAACGAACGCCTTCATTCAAGCTGTCAGCACGGAAAGCTGGTATACGGAAACTGTATGAGCGAGTAAGAATCATAATACCAAGCAAACACTTGCCTTCATTGACGGTGTGTAGTCCGTTGTACATATCAGTCTCGAAGGACGGCGAGAAGCGGAAGATGTGCTTGGTCAAATTCCAGTAGAACCGAGTATCTTGAACAACGTGAAGAAATAGGTGGTTAGGAGTGGATCACAGTTGCTTACCAGTGTTGGCTGGTTGATACCATCCGTCAGAATCGTGCAGTGCAAACCACACAACAGACGCACCAGTGGATAGAGACGGCGTAACAACAACCTTGCTGCTGTTACGAGTAGGGGAACTTTCAAAAGCAGCTTTAATGCTTCCTTGCAGGATGGCCCAAGGACCATACTCGGTAGGCGTCACTGGCGAAGGCTCCAAGGCTGATCCGAGAAAGTCGGACAGAGTGACTTGACCGGAACCACCAGAAGTCACGTTACTGCCGAACGCGACGAGAGCGAGGTCATATTTGGCTGCCACTGGAGTAAGAAGGTCGATCAGGTGCTGCTGCAGCTCGCCGAGAGAACTAAAAATAAGAACTGAGCGGAGTCCTGGAAATCTTGGAAAAGAAGCAAACCTGTGCTCTGCAATGCGGTGGTTGACCACTGCACTAGCACGTTCTGGGAGAGCGTTGACTTTCACGCCGCCTTCGACAAGGTCCACTGCTTGTGTGGTCCCGAGCATTGCTTTGTACATGGGATATGAAGCCAAAAGTCGCTCTTGAAGCATATTTAAAGCTGCATCATCCATGACTGCTTTTCTTGCGAGCTCTCGCAATTCTTCAGGGTACACGGGATTGTAAGCCGCAAGACACTGCGTCATCGCAAACGGGGTTCCTGTTCGGGAAAGGCTGGCTTGATGCGGGTTATCCTCCACCGCTGTTATGAAGCGAGAGAGGAGACCAATGCTCTGTATACTCGTCAAGTGTCGGTAAGAAGATGTAACGATCAGCACTCACCGTATGAGAAGGCGGTAAGCTCGAGTGACCACCCGGAGTCGAAAGCGTGATTTTCAGGTCCAGATAGCCCTTCTCAGACGTCGAGGGTGTAGCAAAAACGATACCACCCATGTCCTTGTACCCACCTAGCGCAGAGTAAGTTGTGCCATTTGCAACATCTAGTTTACGTACCTCCTTCGTCAAGAAGCAGGGCGAAAGAATCACACCCATATGTTTCTTCTAAATATTGGGCGAGATGACCAGCACCCTGAAATGACCTATCAATGAGTGAACTTGTACGTAGAGGTTATCCTGACCTCTGTGCCTTTGGACTCTTCATCGAATCCATAAGCAAGTACAAGGGTGCGTGCAGGAGAGAAACCCTGCTGTAACAAGGAATCAACAGCGAGCAATTGTTGTATCAAGTCGCTTTTGTCGTCGCAGGAACCGCGGCCCCATATCCATGTGCCTGTAATAATATGAGATGTAGCGCCTCGCGGGGTTTAGAGTTTGCTAACCGTCATAGTATCCAGAATACGGATCGGTGTTTCCACTCTTTGACTGTCTGACCATCTACTGGTACGACATCTGAAACGACGTCAACCGAGATTCAATAGGATGTTCAAATGGAGAATGACCTTGATGAGCGGCCAAGAGATAAGGCATTTGCCGTGGTTGATCCCTGCCAGTGAAAAACGAGACCGTATGTATTGACTTTGGTGACATTCAGGGACTCATAACTAGAAATGAGAAATGAGCCATGTCAACCCAGAATTGAAGATCATGACGTACACGCGAGGAAAAGTGGCTTCAAGGACTCGATGAAGCTCTGCGAATGTATCCCATCGACTGTCTTCGCCGACCGCTCCATTATCGTCGTATGATTCGGTCCTAGGGACACGTCCATGTTTTCACAATGGTATGCAACATAGGACTTACGGTACGCGGATTGCGTCTCCGAGGACTTGAATGGCCTCGAGCTTGAAGTCTTCTGAGTTGTATGACGCATCCAGGTCTTGACTGAGCTCATAATGCTCAGGTAGGATGTAAAGCTGACCACTGGGCGCATGTGGTAGAATTAACGTTCGGAGGCATGGCTCCTGCAAGCTCGCTTACAATGTCCTGCAAGCCAGAAACGAGGAACAATGTAGGTAGGGCCATAGAACTTATAAAGCGCCAGTGAAATGACTGTCAGGCTGAAGAATAGCACTTGAAGTGCAGGCAGCAACCCGGAACAGACATGGTCACGACGCCTCCTCGACATTCGGGCGCGAAATAAATCTGACTGTGCAGGAGCCATTTGCGAAATGATTTCGCTTGTGGCGGCAGGCTGATTAAGTACTACTAGAAGGTTAACGCTCGTACTACATAAGCAGTGTCAGTAACGGTACCGAGTCCGGTGCGTCACCGCGCGGGCTTTGAAGGCCTGAGGGCTAAGGCTATTCGCAGAGTCATTCGGTACTTGACCCGAATTTTCAGTGACTTTTCAAGAACGTGATCTAGGACGCGTTCTTTACGATTATTTTCGTCAGAGCCATACGGTAGATGATTGGACGCGTCCGATCGGTCATGAGCTTCCGGTTTGCGCGATGTCGATGTAATGACTGTCTTCGTTGATCTGCGGGGAGACTAACATCAATGATGACCCACTTCAAGGAATCTGACTATGTATTAGCCTTAGTACGTACCACCTCAGGCTGATGAAACTCAATTCGGCTTGGAGACGAACCAATTAGAGAGGCCACGTATGCTTCCATCACAACGGCGTCCACTAGGGCTAGTCAGATGACCTATACCTGTGAAGGGGATGATTGAACACATGACAGGAATCCTCGTGAGGGGCCGTCTATATATATATCGTTTCTCCCAACGGTCTATCTGCTGCTGTTCAGGCATTATCTGTCTCTCCCTCGCCAGCAACCAATCAGCCTTATATGAGTGTGCCCGGCGCTGTCCGCCCTCGAGGCAGGCAGTTTACCTGTGCTTCTGGAGTCCTCGGTGCGTATTATATATGCGAACACATGTGATGATTTGAAAAGGAAATTGTACTATACGATGACGATGCAACAAGGACGAACCAACTTTTTACCCAAGAGTTATTCCAGACCTGTGTTCGAGCGATGTGAGTATAGGGCTTACTTTAGTCAGTCGCTAGATTTCGATAGCATCGGTTACCGAAAAAAAAAGTACAATTCCTCTTTCCGCCTTGACTTTGCAACAAGGGTTGCGATTGCAATGGTGATTTAGCTGTGTGTATTGATATCCCATAAAAACATCTGGATGTTCCTATCCAGCAACCCGATATTGCGTCAGCCGAGGCGCCACGGTGTCCCGAGAAGGTATAAAGGGCAGAGATCATATGCGCGAGTATACGGTCAATCCGCCTCTTATCGTCAATCATGTCAGGACAATCGACTGAGCAGATGCTTCCTCCGCCCAGTGTAGACCAGCCTTTCATGTATGTATCGGCGCTTGAAGGAGGGAATCTTCGCGTTCCCTGTGATTTGGTTGTGAAAGGGGGTCCACAGGGAGAGAACATTTCATGCCCATCTCTCGCCTTCTCACTGCGACACTCCGAGACCAACTCATGGGTTGTCTTCGACTTGGGTATACGGCGCGACCTCGAAGGATACACCCCTATCTCCCAGGCGCGCATCAAGGACATGGGGTTCGCCCCTGTTGTGAACCAGACAGTCGCAGAGTCACTGGTCAAAGGAGGTGTTTCCCTTGATCAGGTTGAAACTGTTATCGTCAGCCACTTGCATTGGGATCAGTAAGCGTCAAGGAAAGCTGGCAGGCGAAAAAAAAAACTGACGACTGCTCCTCTTAGCATCCGGGGACCATAAGCCATTCACCAGAGCTACATTCGTTGTGGGAGAAGGGTGCAAGGATCTCTTGGCTTCAGGATACCCTACGAATCCAGACTCCCTCTTCTCTTCGACTGCTCTTCCGCTTGAACGGACTAGGTTCATTTCTCCGTCCGACTTCAGTGGGTTCATTGGACCGTTCCCACTTGCATTAGATTATTTCGGCGATGGTAGCATGTATATAATCGACGCGCCAGGTTCGTCATATGACTAAGACCCCAAGGACGCACGACCTAACAAGTTATAGGACACATTGGAGGACACATCAATGTGCTTGCGCGTACCTCCTCAGACGGCGCATGGATTCTCCTTGGAGGAGATTCTGCTCACGACTACAGACTGATCACGGGCGAGAAAGAAGTTGCACATAGTGTTGATTCGTCAGGTCGCGTCTGGTGCATGCATGGAGACAAGGAAAATGGCGGTAGAGAACATCGCAAGGATCCGGTCGTTATTGGGGATTCCGAGAGTGCAGGTACTGATTGCTCATGATTCGAAGTGGTATGCGGAGAACAAGGAGTCTGCCTTCTTGCCCGGAGTCATACCACCAGTGGCTGCATGAATCCGCAATTATCAAACTTGTTATTGGACATTGAAATAATTTCATCCAAGAGAAGAATCAAGATGATAGACACCTTTATAGCCTCCCCAGGTCAGACCTTGAAAGTAGGAAGACAGTCGTTCCTCGATCCCTTTAGATGATCTAGGAGATACTATAAGTAAACTTCCCACGAGGCTCAAGTCGTACTTCGATGTTCTTTTTGCAAGGAAGAAATATTAATGACCTCGTGTTTGCCAGCAAAGGCTCAACGCCACCGTACGTACGCTCTTGACGTATTTTTCATTCCACCTGCTCCATCATGGATAATTCGTCTGTCCTGAGTGACGAGGATTACGATGTCATCTCTAACCCTGGTCAACGTTCTTTGGAGTCCAGTATTACCGACTTGCATCATATTCCAGCCTTGACTACGTATGAGCTTCCCCCGTCTGATGCAGCCAAGGAACGACTCAGCACGGTGGCGCTGAGCCCTGCGGATATACAGGCATATGTCCGGAACGCAGTTGACGCGTCTGGTGTAGGGAAATATCCACGGGACAATGGGACTGTAAGGGTGTATGTTGACGGTGTATTCGATGTGTTAACTGCAGGGTGAGTACGCCGTCGCTGGATGCTGCACGAAACTAAATATTTAATCCAAGGCATGCACATCAGCTTCGTCAAGCGAAGCTCTCATTTCCTTCTGTACATCTTATTGTTGGAGTGCTTTCGGATGAGCAATGTCAAGCTCATAAGACTACGCCTCATTTCTCGCATCTTGAGCGCTGCGAGCTCATGCGGCACTGTCGCTGGGTAGACGAAGTGCTACCTGACGCACCATGGACAGTGAACGATCGCTTTATTATCGATAAGCGCATTGATTACCTTGCTTTGGAGGAAGGCTCTTCTGTTAACCCGGAATTCGATAAGGAACGACTCAAGGGATACGACGCAGTAAAGAGACTAGGTACGATCAATTCTTTCTCACTAAAGTTGCACATACTGAAGAAGATAACAGGACGAGTCTTCCCCACTCGAAGGACTATCGGACTAACTGCTACTCCGCTTTTGGTTTCTTATAACGAGTCAGAAGAAGTCCCACCATTCCGAGAACTTTCTCAGTTAGTGTTAGAACAACCGAACCACAACTCATTTACGCACTCAGCTAACCTCCTACCTCCAAAAACTTCTACCACCATGTCCGCGGACGGCAAGACTCTTGACTTTGGGGCCCTTGGGCCGATGGAGGCCCTAGAAGCCATGTCGAACGAGCTGGCGGATAGGTGTGCTCGAAAGCAGAAGCAGCCATTCAGAGGGTAGATACTGGGGAAACTGATGCGCCTCCTGACATTGATAGGCTCCCTTTTGATAGAGGGTAACTATGACGGGGTTTTTTTGCCTATGCTATATTGCTACTTATGTTATGTAGATATTCTTGCTGTAGAATACGAATATTGGTTCTTTATGCGACATAGTAGTAGGTCTGTGGACACACTTTTACTGCATATGCTTGACTGGTCATTGAATCTTTATCTGTTTGATTGGCATTAGCCTAAGCGTATGTTCCTCACTTCGCTCATAGAGTGTCGATTATCGATTATCCGTCACTCTGAAGTGCGCCCGTCACGGGTGTCGTTGGTTTGTAACTCGAAAACTATCAATTGGTATCGTAGAGGTGACTGGGACTTTTCGAGCATTAATGTAGTCGCGCACTGCACTGCTAGAATAAGTACTGGAGTTGAATTCGCTGAGATAATAAGCCCGAAAATATCCCTAAACTGTGTCAGTGTTGGTCACGAGACTTTGAGCATGATTGCACCTTTGAGGAGGACCTCCACAGTCACCAAGCTAAAGCTCACGATGGAAAATACCGCAATCTCACATCAGGTCAACCAAGGGAACGTCTCCCTTTCTCTTACTCGTTATTTTTCCAGGTACCCACCACATAAAGACCGCCTCAGCTTGTCGTCATCGGCATCGCTGACGATCACCCCCAGGCCCTACCACAATCTTTCTGATCTGCGGACAAGCAACAATTATTTGTCCATGCAGTTTCAGAATACACACGGCGCTTATGACCTTCCTGGGTTTGACGCCAGTACGCATCGTGGAGACTCATTGCGCCCGCTTTACCCCCCATGTCCTCACTGTCCGCAAGGGTCTATGAATAAATGCCAAGAAGCGGCATGCCCCATACTAGATCTCACTTCGCAATGCACTGACCAGTGTGTCGTCGTCGCCTGTAACGATCCCACCCACCCTGAACCTAGTTGTCATGTCCCTGATGGTGACATAATTTGTGACAGCGTGTGCGGCGTTCCCGATGAGGAGTGCATCGATTGTTCTGGTCTTGAGGAATTGGTACGCTATATATTACATCTTCAGTAACTTTCTAATTGCTCTCGTCATAAGCTGCAATGCTGTACCGACTACCATTCATATTTTTCTGAGCCAAAGTCACTTGACCCAAGCCTCACACAGTCAATCGGTGACTTTTGTGGATGCAGCGAGAGTGATTATAGCGAACAACATATCTCCCAATTCTTTTCAGAGCACAGTGGCATAACCCGACCTTTGGGTGACGTATCCCCTGAACGCCCAGCATCATCCGCTAGCTCAGCATTTTCTTCACCGCCCATTTCCCACGCGACCACTCAATTTCCACCTGTCACCCTGCCACAACACCTGTCGCAGTCCTCACTACCTATGTTCAATTGTATGTGGGCAAACTGCAAGGCCGCCTTCCCATCTATGACGGAGTTAGTCGGGCATGTCAACTTGGACCATCTCCGCTTCCCAAATCTAACGGCAGAATCAGCCCCTCAGCAGGTATGCTCAGATTTTTCTCAGGATCAGCCATTCAACTTCAACGCTCTGTCATGCCACTGGGGAGACTGCGCTATGTACCCCTGTCCAGAATCAATTCCAAGCTCTTCGACGACTGCGTTTCCCGATACTGTCCTTGACGTTCTTACCACGCATTTGATGCAAGATCATCTTGGTATCAATTACCCCTTTCCGCAATCGACGATCGTGGGCACTGCACCATCACAGAAAACTCCCCCTACCCGCTCTCCCTCAATAGCATTGCCGAATACCCTTAACGGATCGTCCGCAGACACCCCTTCAGATCCTTCACCTCGGGATAAGTCTTATTCGCCAGACTCCTCATCCACAGACTACGCCGCCAAACCCTGTAAATGGATCGGATGCACGCAAACATTCTCTTCTCCCGATGACCTCACAGCACACATCCTTTCCGCCCACATCGGCGGCGGCAAAGCGCACTACGAGTGCTGCTGGGAAGGCTGCCCTCGGAATGGCAATCAAGGATTTTCAAGCAAACAGAAAGTCGCACGGCACATGCAGTCGCACACGGGACACAGACCATTTAAATGTAAAGTCTGCGGTTTACATTTCTCGGAAACGGCTACGCTGCAGCAGCATATGCGAAGGCATACCCAAGAGAGTATGTACTTTTTGCGTTATTCTTTGTTTCGCGTTCGACGGTCAGCTCATTGGGATCACTGTAGAGCCATACGTCTGCGATTTTCCCGGGTGCGGGAAGGCGTTTGCTATTACGGGTGCGCTGACGATTCACAAGCGGACACACAATGGCGTCAAGCCGTTCAAGTGCAAGTACTGCGAGAAGTACGGGTTTATTCCTTCTGATGCTAGAGTACTTGATAATTTTTGTCTTTAGGGCTTTCACTGAGTCGTCGAATCTGTCAAAACATGTAGGTCATGTTATTCTTCGTAGGTCTAGTTTCTGAATTAGACGTTTTATTTTCTTAGCTACGAACTCACACGGGTGCGCGCCCTTACCCTTGTCCTGAGGATGGGTGTGGAAAGTCTTTCGCGAGGCCAGATCAACTTGCGAGACACATGAGCGTACATAGAAAGAAGGGCCTAGGGCCGGGAGTGGAATTTATCCTTTAACGTTTATCTATGCATCCATCATGAGAGCGGGGATCGTCAGGGTACATATTTAACAATGGGGCCAAAATCAGTTGGCAGCTAACTATGGTCAAATTGAACGTAAAGAAGATCCTGGTCTATGGAAATCACGACGCGATTGTCGATCACAATTCGACGTCAAGATCATCCCTATTTGGTGGTACAGGTGAGTGAATTTGGTGTCGACAAGTGCGAACGCTATACTGGGTCGCGTGCGTGTGAGTCTCGGTCGCGTCGAGCTTCAAACACCGGGAGGCACGCGGCGCTTGTGCATCTCAGTCTCCCACAGACAAACCAATCGAAGGAAGCGTCGTTCCTTCGACTTGCATGTACAACGCAAACAAACAAGCGTCGGACCAGGGGAGTCGGTACTCTTTCTGTGTATTAGAGCCAGCATCCTCCAGCATCGCATATAGACGGATCCGCGCATTCATGACTGGCCTGGCAACTGTGTAACCTCACGTTCAAGTTTCGCCCTTCGAGTAGAAGCTGAGAATGAGAACTAGAGACAACGCCATGAGATAGTCAGACTTGAGTCAGACATCTTCCATGCGTCGAACCCGATCACGTTTCACTTGCGCGCAACGAATCAACGCGTCGTCAGGAGTAAACAAGAAGATCGGATTCAAAAACTACAGACTGTCTATATTCAATACTCGTCGTTATACATGAACGAAAATATGGGAACATTGTCAAGAAATGTGCAACATACATGGCAAAGTTGAGATAAAAGAAATGGGCAGTTCAATGTCTGTCAGGTCAGGAAAAGAGACGATTCGAAAGAGATGCGACAAAGATGAGTCCATGAGTAAAAAGAGAAACGGGCAGTAGGCGATAAAAAAAAGAAAAACATCAAAAGGCCTTTGCATAGGAGTTGAAGTCCATTGTCTGCCAAGTACATACGGCGATAAAAGGAAAAAGAAACAAATCAAGACCTTTACATGTGAGAAATAGAGGAGACTTGGGGTAAATGTATGCGGGACCAAGGGCGCCGGTGGCCTTCAACTTCTTGGATGGTGAAAATCCAGGTCGTAGGAGACAGAAGGAGGCCCTTGCGTTGTGTGCGCGTCGTCGGGATTCGGTCGTAGGGGACCTCTGACCGCGGAGATAGGCTAGTAGGTGCGTAGAAATGTAATCGTCGTGTTCGGAAGCGTCGTGTTCGGAAGCGATGGCCCTGGTGACAGCATTGAAGTGAGTCCCAGCTCCGCCATGGCAGCGGCCCAGCCGTCGACAAGGGCCGCTTGGTCAACGAGGATCTCGTCGTAGAGTTGCTCAAGGTGATCTATATGAAATGAATAAGCGATGCGGGCGTCACGAGAAATACTAACCAATCATGATCGTGGCTTGCTTGAGGCGTGAGCGCGCGATGCTGTCACGCGCGACAATCAGACGAGAAGCTCTAGATTCATCCTAACCAATGACAATGAACATCGTACTCGGTCTAACGATGGGCACGTGAATACTAACCTTATATTTGCCCGGGTGGGACCTTTGATGCGGAAGCGTAGTATGTAGATGAGGTAGGAGTCCGTTGGTGCGCTTCGTATCCGGAGGCTTTAGACGCGGCTCCATCGTCCGAGATGCTTCGATGGGGCGGGCGGACCCAGGAGGAGCGAGGTCGGGATTTGCAGACGTCTGGTGTGTGTCGACTAAGATAAGTGGCTGCGACTGTCGAGAGGGACCATCTGGGTTGCTGGAGGTAATGGCCTTCGTTCCTGGGGGCAGGTTGCTGGAAACGTCGTCCTAGAGATTCAAACATTAGCTGACGAAGTTGAGTGCACTGTGCGGATTCGTACCTCGCGGAAAGTGCTTCCGTTATCATGACACTCACGATCTTTGGCGTCTTCGGAGTCATGGCCAGAGACGTCCTTAACGAAGTCGTCGTGGGTTACCACGGTGGTGTCCGAATCGAGCGAGAAGCGCTTAGGCTTTGGCGTCAAAGTTAGTACTAGTGTGCGGGGTGCAGTGGATGTGATTGGTAAATTGCTGAAGGCTTCTGAATCGGTTGCGATCGTGTTTGATGGGGATGAGGCAAGTGAGGCGGGGATGTCGGCCACATTGTCGCCAGTGAGGGGTGGATTGGGCTCGGCCGAATCGTGCATGGGGGCGGGTTTCTGCCACTTGATACCGCCACTGATAATTGTCCGAGCGGCTTTGTCGGAGGCTAGAATGAGTATTGCAGTTTCAAGGCAGACGTTGAATGCGACCACGCTAAACGACACCTTCTCCGTTTTGTATATGAGCTTATACGTGGGGTCGAAGACAGTCTCTTTGAAGTATGACGCGGCGAGATATCCGCCGATGGTGATGCGGGCAGCGCCGTTGAGCGCAGTGGTGATCATGACGGAAAGGATGGATGGAGGCTAAAACGTTGGACGAAGATCGTATAGATAAGTACACGTAAATCGAGGATGACGGATGATATTTCGCAGCGAGCGCGATATTTATACTCTCCTAGATTTAAGTTTAAACCTTGCAGGGGAGCACAATTACGGGCGGGGACCAATCAACAGACTCGATCGCACCATCGCAACGCGTCAGTCACGTGTATGGAAAGTCAACCCATACTTATATAACGCGCGACTACAGTATGATGTTACACGCCAAGATGTGTAGAATAAAATGACTTACAATGATTGAGATAGTGCCTCCACCACAACTTTCACGCCCCACGCTCCAGGATCAGCGATCCGCTCGGCCTTCAGGTTTGTGCTATCAATGTATGCGCTCCTGCCAGCCTTGGCTTCCATGTCCTTCGTCGCCTCAGCAGCCTCTTCAGCAGCCTTCACTGCTGTCGCAAGGCCGGACGGCAGAGCGCCGATGAACGCAGCGAGGGGGTCGACAAGAGTACGAGAAGGAGGGCGGGCCCTGGTGTAAGTATACAAACGAGCTAGCGCAGCTTCTAGCGCCGTGCACCATACTTCTTGTGTGACGGTCTCGGCAGAGCTTTTTGCGAGGGCTTGGGCAAGGGCAGAAAAGAAAATTCTGATACATAGGGACTATGAGACAGTAATCAGACCCAAAGAGAACTTCACTGACGAATAGAGGGCTCCGCTCGTTCCTCCCATCGCGTCCTCGGCGATACGAGAGATGGTGATGACGCTGCCGAGAACGTCGTTGCCGGTGATGCTGTTGTTACTCAGAGCTCCAAGCACGGCTGTAGGTATATAATGAGCATGCGTGCATATCATCATCATCTCACGATGTACCTGTTGCACCTCCCTTGAGCGTAAGTCCGCAGTCTCCATCACCAGCAATGTTGTCCATGCGAGTAATCTCGGGCTCAGCAGCAATGAAGGGCCCAGCATGCACGCTCTACGGCACTGTTGAATCGATTGACATCGGGAGCTTTGAGTGAGGCTGACTGGCAGGCTTTTACGCGGGTTGCAGTGGGGAGGGACGAAGAGACGGATGGTGGCTTTGGAATAGACATGGAGGACCACTTCCATCCTGGGGTATTGGTACTGTCGTCCAGTAAAGAAAGGATGAGATCAGTGGACGGAGTTCCCATGTCGTTTGCGGCGGGGAGCAGGAGCATAGTAATGGAAAATCCGGGCATGTTGAGACTTGTCTAGCAGGGGTTTTATCAATTGAAGTAAAACCACGGGAGTTCAACAAACCATGAAAGAGCCAGAAAGCAAACGCATGATTGTAATCCCAGATTTGTCCAACGCACGTCTCACTTCAGCGACTACTCCGCCGAGCTCAAGCTCACTGAGACCTCCGAGGTTATTGATGAGGAGAACGACACAATCGGTACCGTCGTTCTTGAAGGGAACGAACGACCGCTCTTTATCGGTTGTGGAAGTGATCATTTCGAGGAGAGTGGGGATGAGTTCATTGAGAGGCGGAACAGGAGAGATGCGGCGGTGACCACTTTCGTTGTGAATTCCAAGACCAATTTCGAGCTCATTCGCACCCAAGTGCGTATCAGGAACAGCGGTGCCTGGGACCTGTATGGAATAATGGAGTGTGATAAGTACGACGATGACCTCGATGCTCGGACGTTGACTCGTACATGACAGTGGTCCAGACCAACACCTATGGTGCCGAGCCTAGAGGAGACATACTGGGCGACATCATAGACCTCATCTACAGAGGCACCCGTTTGGGCGAGGGCACCTGCAATTTTGTAGACAAGACAAACACCGGCGAGACCCCTGCAGGATATTTAGATAAAGTAGTGTAATTTGGGAAAATGTCCATACCGTCGTCCGACAATACTGCCCTGGGTTCTTCCTACAGCAACATCATCTCCCACGATGATGAATTTGACGCGATCAGCTTTTTGGGGGTCACGGGCTGCATACTCTTCTTTGGCTAGACCAAAGTTGAGTACATCGCCAGTGTAATTCCTATAAGACTGATGAGCGAATTCGAAGAGATATCGCGACGAGGCATACTTTACTACAATGATAGTGCTAACGCAGCACTGTTAGCAGAGTGAGATTGGAGTAGCAACGAATAGATTACCCTTTCTCATTATCGATCAGATCTATGCCTCGGCGAACTTGACCAGCACTTGGAGAGGCGAAGACATTACCACACACGGCAGCTTCGTGAATATCTTTCAGACCATGGCCGTATAAAGTATGTAGTGATTCTGCTTACCAGTCAAAGCCCCCTGGCCTGCATCCCGATTAACGTGTCTGAGATGTAATGCGAAGGCTCACATACCTACAAAGCCTGAGTGGGATGGCTCATGGCCAGAGCCACCTCCGCAGAGTAGGGCAACTTTGGAGCGGTCCTGATCGGCAAGGTACACGACTAGTACATCTCTTGTGTAAGTAAAAGAAAATTCGTCAGTGGTGTCGGTAGTGTTACCTCTATGCGTCGGATCGAGAGCTAGATGTGCATTGATTGCACACAGCCCTTCTAAGGAATCAAGTACGAGGGAAGGTGCAGTGTTCAGGAAATGCTTGCCTGCGCTTAAAGTTGGCTAAGTGATTAAGCACAATAGCATGAAAAGACCTTACTTTGTACGACCATAATGACTGCGGGGTGGGAAGGAACTTAACATGTAATAGGCTCATGATCGTCATGATGCCGCGGCCGCGATTGAGACTGATCGAGAAGCCCTGGGAAAATAACTAAGACTTAATTTCATCTCCGCGTCGCCTGCATCCAGCATCCATAATGCAGCTGCCCGAACGCGAAGAGCCCCGCATCATCCACCGCCCGTCACTCTACGCTAACGGTCAAGCCTCCGGCCACTTCAACAGTGAAACCTGATCAAAGTCGCCACCGCTACAGCGACAAGCCTTACTTAACGCCGTAATAAGTGCCGTGAAAGTGACGAAAAGGAAGTGGTGATTTTCCTGATGGCCCCATTTAAAAGGAGACTACAAAACTGCGTCGTATATTATGTATTCGAGATTTCCTCGATTCCAAGATCTCCATTGCTCGAGCGGCCGTACAATTTGTTCAGAAGCAAACACGTTGATCAATTCAGCAACAAACTACTGGTAATCCACGCGTCGTGCCATCAACCATACTGCACCGTTGTAAAAGCAGAAATATGACTCACTGTAGTTCAAGCTGTCGCGACGTGCCACTGACTCATATACACGCAAAGAAGGCCTAATCCCACGCCGGTGAGTCATTGGTTAAATCCAGGATGAAAACCACTCATACTCACACATTTACTGTCCGCTGGGCAGTATAAGCAGTCATTAATAGTTGCGCACCAGGTGGGACACACCCCAATAGTAATAGGGTCATTGGCGGATATTGCGTCACTGGCAGATATAGATGTTGTCAAAGTAGCAACGATGGCGAGGACAAAGGGGAAGCGCATTGTTTGTGAGTATATGATATGGGATCAAATAAATCTGAAGAGGACAGTAGGAAGACGTCTTGCTTTTATATGCTGAATATTGTTCTTCATGTCGATGTAGGAAGAACCTATCCGCCTGAAATCCCCCTTCGAACAGATGATATCTGCAATGCCAGCAGAGTACCCACTGCCACCTAAGATCTAGATCAACATTCTCGGCTAAATTGAGTTACCGGTGTAAGTCGCACAGGTCTCAGCACGAGCATTATTTTCGACTTGAATTCGGCGCAGGGCCCTGCAGGGCCTCGTATACCCACATGGCGGTCTTAGAGCAGATATCAGGTCCCCATGTGACCGTTGACGATGCGGATGATAAGTTGACGCCGCGCGGCAGCACGCTAGTGTTGTGGGCAAAAGTGTTTGGCAGAACTGGCGGAACCTGGCAGATTGCAGAATCGATAAAGGAGTAACTCGCCTCCAACAGCTTCGATTGTCTGACCGGTGTGGCTTTCAGTTCGCTGGCGGAATGATTGACTTGGTGCAAGGAGCCATCCGGTGAACCAGCGAAAACAAGCATTCGGTGATATCCCAAACTGCTGACGATATGGGTTTTGGGAAGTGGAAGGTAGTCAACAAGGAGGAGGTAGATAGACGAACTCACCTTTACACTATGATTGAGGGATGCGGCAGTGAGCACGCAACAAGTAGGAAAATGCGCCGAGGTCGCGAACGATGTCTTTTACGGTACATAGGGTGTGTTCTGATTATAGCGTCGGAAGTTCATTTTGCGCGGAGTCATCGAAGTCTAAACCACCATCAACAGCACCAAGAAATTTGCAACGGACCTTGCCACAAATTGGACGCTAACACCAGACTCATCACTGCGTGAAATCAGGGTAGCACTTTGAACTTCTCGTGGGTGAATTTGAGAACAAGTTAACGTGGTGATAACTTTGGGCGCAGGAGATCACAACGAACTTGAAGTCAATCGAATTGCATGGTTTCCGCGTCTACGTAAGTTGCCACTTGTCGTCTTTCGCTCAAGCACTGAAGCCAATACAGATACCATTATAATCGAATGCGCTATTCCATGAATTGGTGCCCTAACTCACAGCGTTCGATGAGGTTAGTATTGCAAGTTTCACTGTATCGGAGAAACACCATGGCCATCACCACACGTTCAGGTATGTATTGTGGGGTGTGTGACTCATATTTATTATTATTCTCACTACTCAGCAGCCGTCGCGCCTATTTCAAGGCTTGATGTTGAAGTTCGCATCGAGAGACAAAGTGCGATGCTCTCGGTATATGACATCTACCCATCCTCCTCTTGGTAGCCACACCCAAGCGATAGTCATCTTTAGCCTGTACCCCTTGCCGCCCTATATCCTCGGCAGAAATCCCCGGCACGTCCACGGTCGACATCGGCCTTATTTATGATCCTGCTCATGCCTTCCGTGACGGTAGTCAGGCCTCGGTTTTGCAGCTACGAAGTTGTCCGGACGGCGGAGACGGCTCTGCATGACCTCAAATTTTCACAATTTCCGACGGGCCAAATTACAGTGCGACCGTTTCTACTTAACAGTGTTATAAACAGTTAATAACTAGAATATTTAACCCCTGTTTAACATGGACTTTTCAACCGCACCCTACCAAGTTCCGTCTTGTTGACCACGACCCTTCTGCGGAAGACCAAAACTCAAACGTCGCGCAAGAATTTTGGCATCTATGGGGCGACCGTGGTGAGCTTCGTTGATTCAAGGATGGTCATATTACGGGGAGAGTTGTTTGAAGTCATGGCGTCTGATGACTGCGCACATATGACGAGCAACGCAAAGTCAAGGCCGTCCAGGAACCGGATATACTTACTACATCAACTTCTCAGTTCACAAGTCTCGACATTATCATGCATTTTGGCTCAACTGTTTTCACCTAAAGTAGGGCATCTCAGTAGTAATGCTAGCAACGCCTTTGCGTTCACACTGGAAATTTCAGCCTAGCAAATACCTGCTTGATACTATGGCTTTGTTTCATTCCCTTCCAGGAATTCCATCATGTTTACTTCCCGCTCCGTACTACTCAGCTTCCTCGCTAGTGCCAATTGCCAATATGTGTGTGAAGTGCCCAGCCACAGCGAAGTATAACAATCTTGTACTGCACTTAACCACACGCATCAGGCATTTGACCCCAGAATGGCAAAGATTTAGCTAGCTTTATCTAATGTATAATATTACAGCTGATTCCATAACTACTATCATTCCCTGTAATATGTCAATGGTTGCTAATATGCAAAGGTTTATAACACTTCAACATCGTGCTCAACTCGCATCGAAAAAATTCAGGCATATGCAGAGTACCTAGTGTTATGACCAACGTCCCTTAACCTAACTAGTAGGTGTCTGGAGATCGGATCACACCACAGGACTCGTCTTGAGAGAATAACAAGGGGAATAGTATTGAGAGGGAACGTCTAGGTCTACGATGACGTAAGAACGAAGAGGTTAAGTCTAAGGAGTACTACTGACTACGACCTAAACTATATACTACTCTCTAGGCGGAGATATCTGAGTATGAAAGGTAGTGATATATCTATATAAGATCATAACATTGCGCCTAGGGTTCAGGGCGTCTTATCAACCAATCAACTACAAGAAAGGGTCCATAGGGGTTAGGGGTATCGGTGATTAAGCAGGGTCTCAGGGTACTGCTTCTATTCAGGGTGAACGGATATGAAGACGGGTGAGAGAGTTCTGTGACAAGAAGTCTCGAGCGGTGATTAAAGATCTCAATAAGAGATGGGGTCTGGAGATGTATCGGATACGATTGGATCTAGGGTTTCTCCAGGGTCTTCGGTAATGAGCATGCTCCTCTATGAGTGGCGCTTCTGTGATAGGGTTCAAGGGTTTAGCTGTGACTGTGCAACAGGTTCTTATGTAAGGGATTCGGTGAATGACAGAGGTAACTCTTAACATGTCATGTGTGGGAAGTGAAGGTCTGCAATGTGAAGGGATGATAACTCTTCGAGAGATGGCTCGTAAAGGACTCTCGGTTATGGTTCGATCATAGAGGCGTGTAGATGCTTATGATGTAACCCGTTGCCTAATCGTAGGACTTCTAGGAATGTGATGACTTCGGATGTCTAGGGTTACAGATATAGATGGATGACGTTGATGTAGTATAGATGTGATGTGAAGATAGTGATCAGTTAATCGGTTATCCATCTTATCTTATCAGGGATCTTATCTAATCTAATCTTATCGGATAGGTGACTTAGGGTTTGATAATTGAAATTTAGATGCAGTTGGTAACATTCATGACACCTAGAAAGGATGTTTTGTACAAGTAGAACTTGGATGTTGCAGCTGTGAGGGGTGAAATAGTGGTAATTTGCAACCTTTGCACAACACAAATCCCCCAGATCCCAAAGATCCTGCCAATGTATTCATAAAATTCTACCTGGAGCATAATGAATACCTTATAGGGATGTCAGAAAACCAATGCAATAAAGGTTACACTCTTTCATTGAGGTGCTATAGTAGTAGAATCAATGATGAGTACAATAGTGTGACACCAGACAGGGGAGATACATAAGAAATTCAATCTCCTCTTTGGCACACACAGCATCTATCCTCTGCAGTCAAGCATTCAGAGGTCACATTGTGTTGCATCATTCTCTCAAATGGCACCACACTGCAGGAAAGCAGTCCAAACGAAAGCCGAAGAAAGATGCCACTCATGAGGCCAACATTGCAGCTGCTGTCCAGGCTATCAGAGAGAAGAGGGCTAAAAAACTCTTGGCAGCAGCTGGCCAGTTTAATGTGCCATACCATACCCTTCATCAACATGTGCAAAACCTTACAGAACCTCATTCAAAGGCCCACAAATTCCAACAGCTACTTACTGAAGGACAGGAAGAAACACTATGTCACTGTGCCAAGTATCTAGCCATGACAGGTCACCCTCTGTCAAAGTGCAACCTTTGTGCAAAGGTATCAGAGCTGAGCAAGAAGCTGAAGGAAAAGAAAAGGCTCACTGGGAAAGATTTGGAACTAGAGAAAAATTGGATTGAATGTTTTCTCACTCATCATCCAGAAATCAAGTTAGGATGCCCCACAGGCATTGATCCAAAGCAGATGCAGATGTTCAACTTCACGACTGTGAATCACCACTTTAAACTCCTCGTCAACTTCTTGAAATCCAAGGGCATCCCCTGGGAGAATGTGTATAACATGGATGAAAAGGAGATCCAGCTTGGAGGGGGAAGGAAATGCAATAACACAAGTACCTGTTTTCACAGTCAACAAAGGCTTGTGTCAAGGCAAAGAGTGACCAACTCGAGTTGGTGACAGTGATTGAGTGTGTGTGTGTGTGTGTGTGCAGATGGCACCAGTTTGAAGCCTGGCTTTGTATTTTCTGGGTCAGACATATACCCTGAATATTATGAGGAAGATGGAATCATGTGAGTCTCTATTCTACAATGCAACAAAAATCTGACTATGTTCTGAAATCAGAGTGGCAACATCTGAAAATGGTTGGACCAGTGACTTCATTGGCACTGAGTGGTTCATCAAGAGTTTTGTGCCACAAGCCAAAGCATGGAATTCATCTGGATCAACCAATCCTCCTCATATATGATGGACATCATTTGTTATGACTAGTGTTCACCAAATGGCAAAGACTAACACACAACCACTAGGACTTGGTCACAGTTGATGATGATCAAAGATAGGATTGAGTGTGAATGTCTAAGTCTACTACAAGTGTAGAAACAAAGAGGTTAAGTCTAAGGAGTACTTACAGCTAACTAGCCTACTTATATACATAACATTGAAGAGGAGATATCTGAGTATGAAAGAAATCAGCCAATGAGAAAAGAGTCGTACAATACTGCGGATTACTGATCATGATGTTGTGATATATAAGTGATGAGTAAGATGGTGACTAAAGAGAAACCCAAGATCTGACTGGTACTTCTTCTGTGTTAAGGTTGTGCTCAAGGGAGAGGTTACTCAAAGGGCTTCGGCTTCAGCTTGTGCGCTGTGCCCCTTACCCAAGTATGTGCCCTTAATTTCTGGGGGACAGAGGGGAAGTCCAGGGGAATTCCGGAGGACAGAAGTCGGTGGAGTTCGGCGGAACTCCGGAAGACTTATGTGGGGATGGAGTAAGGCTACTATGGAAGTCCGGAGTAGAAACAGAACAGAGGTTAGACTACCCTAAGGTAGAGCTGGAGAAGTAGTCCTAAGGTTTAACCCCTAAGACTCGGAGGTAGACAAGAGATGAGACTCAAGTCCGGAGATTGCAGGAATGAGCAGAACTAAGATGATATTCAAACTGAGGAGTTCTGGAGTATTACAGGGGTTTATATACTGTAGGTATCATGTAAGTAAATCAGTCAGCAAAGGTAAGGGCTATGTACGAAGCATGTGGAAAGTCTATTACTAAGTGTAACAGATTAAAGCAGTGAAGTTGGAAATGAAGTAAGAATGGACGGATCAGTAAGCATAGCAGAATAGGACATAACTGGTAACCGGAGCAATAGCTAATCTAAAAGGAGTTAGGGGTGAGTGCGGAGATGAAGGCGGAGCGCCAGGCGGAATATAAAGATGGAGGACTGGACTTTAATGAAGTAGATCCAGAATTCCGGATCTGGAGGTACGGGATATGACATTCTGGAAGCGAGATCATTCTAGCCTGTGGAGTTGGGGAACCAATCGGAGATACAACAGGTGATATGTGAAGAGGTGAAGATGTGACAGGAGGTGAAGTCACAGGACTGGTTCAGTAACTGGAAGTAGCTGGAGGAAAGCCGAGGAATAAAAAATGATTCATGTTTGGAATTCATGACACCGTTCCCATGAGACAATCAAACTTCGTCAAGCAGCAGAAGAGCATGGCATTCACCTTTTCTGCCTACCCCCACACACAACCCACTGTTTACAACCCCTCAATGTTGGTATTTTTGGTCCTCTGCAGAGGCAATGGCAGAGATGCTGTGAAGTAGTAATGGCAGAGACTGGGGAAGGGATCAAGAAGCGAAATGTGATCTGAGAGTATGTAAAGGCAAGAGCAGATGCATTTAAAGAGGAAACAATTCTGCAGGCATGGAAAAAAAGCGGAACTAGACCAATAAATGCCGCAATATTCATGGAAGAGGATTATGCACTGAGTTATGAGTCATCCACCCAGCTGTACCTCCTGGCCACCAATCCCACCAATCCCACTTTCTCCGATTCCCTTGATCCCTTTCTGCCAGTGACAAGTCAGACCAAATGTATGAGGGGAACTCATCTAGCTCTGATAAGGCTTCAGAGTCTGAGTCTGAGTCAGAGTCAGATGATGAAGTCAATACTGGTGGTGATGGCAAAATGACAGATTGGGAGAATATACTGCAACAAGCTGGTTCATCACATTTTCCTGGTTCACTCTCATCAGTGCCAGAAGCTGGTCCCTCACATTTTCCTGGCACATTCACAGGATCATCTGTACCTTCTGTCATATACCTGATCCAACTGCTCCGCTTATTGATACCCACTCCGCCTGACAATCATACTTCCCCCGCTTTCCTACCACCTCCACTCTGTCTGCCCTCCACCTGTCCCAGTCAACTCCCACATCTGCTCCTACAGCTCCACTCGACCACCTTGTTGGTTGCCTTCTGCATCATCCATTCTACTGTAAATCTCCTTTCCCCATTTAGGTATATACTTTCCCCATTTGCACATAGTACTTACTTCCCGGATCACTGGTACTTCCTATAACCGCTCAACTAACTGATCCGACGCGTACATATTGATATCCGCCCCGACTTATGTTTTTCACCTGTGTTCACTTACAAATTGTATACTAGTTACATAGCCTCATACCAAGGACTAACTAGTCACTGCCTCCTACATAGAAGTATATAAAACATATCCTGTACTTAGCTACTCCCCAGTCTTAATATTACTTGTCTTCCTGCTGTCTCTACTAGTGGGAATTCTCTGTAGGACTTTGCTCCCTCTCTGGACACAAGTATACCTTGTCATCACCTCCGACCCTCCGCTCCGACTTAGAGCCGTGCTCTAAGTATTTACTCTTACCTCTCCGACTCCACCAATCAATCCCCTTTCCCCCCTCCATCCCAATAAACTTCCTCCACCTTCTCTGCTCTGCTCCTAGTTGGACTACCACTAGCAGCACTTACTTCCTGACCCACCAAAGTGGACCTAAGTGGACCACTTGTCCTATCATTGGACATTGTCGGATCTGCTCCAAATTCGGGGCACGTACTCAGCTAAGGGTGCAGTGCAAGAGCTGAAGCCAAGCCCCAACCCCTCCGCTTCTCCATCCGAGCATGGTCTCTAACACCTTCCAGGAGCACAACTCATGTGACACATCCATTCCATCGCCACACTCAATTTGTGAAGTGTGGCACCAGAACTTAATCATCCAGTACTGAAATCAACCATGTTTGACCAGCTCTAAGAGGCTGAGATAGAGAATGAATGGCTTCATAAAGAGAATGAACTGTTGAAATATCAAAAGGATGCTGTGGAGATGCACTGCTATCTTGTGGGTCAAATGGCAGAGCATTACAAACAGCAGTTGAACAAGAAGGCAGAAGAGAAAGCTCACAAGAAGCCAGGAAAGAAACAAATGAAGCCCTATTTGAGGGTACTGACATCAGAGGAAGGTTGCGCAGATGTCATATACTGGATCCGAGTACCCCCAGTACCACCTATAAGCATCCCTACTGCTGGTCCAACCCCCTGTTTCCCCATCTGCTCCATTCCTCCTTCTCCAACAATGCACGAAGTGCATCTCAGCAGGATTAGCCCTGCTACCTCCACCCGACCCCTGTTCCGCTCTTCCGACACTATCCCTATGTCCTCCAACACCATACCCCTTCCATCCAACCCTATCTGGGGTTCCGCTCCTCCGCCCTATTGGTCTGCCTGATCCTACTCCTACTCCCTCCGCTTTTCTGACCTGCTCGGTTCCCCTCGTCTTGTCCCACCCAACAATTAGTCCGTCCAACCGCCTCACCAGTCCACTCCTAGACTAGGAACCACTCAACTGGTCCTATCCCCGTTTAGTATCATAGTTCCGCTTTTCGGATCACCAGTAATCCCTATACCCTAGCAATTCTGATCTGTCGCGTACATACTGTTCCCCGAGCCTTATTCTTGTATGTCTGAGTCATCCTATTGTAATCCTGTACACTCAGCACATAGCCTTCTGCTATGCTATGCTCATCACTTAGAGTATATAAACATATGTACATTTGTCTGTAGATACTCAGTCTGAATATTACCTTTTCTAAGCCCTGCTCTTCTGTTCTTTGACTTGGGCCTGATCCTAGTCAACTCCTGTTAGCCGGCCTAGGGGATTGACTCCCTAGGTCGGCCACCCTCTGATCCTCTGATCCTCTGCTCCTCTGCTCCTCTGCTCCTCTGCTCCTCTGCTCCTCTGCTCCTCTGCTCCTCTGCTCCTCTGCTCCTCTGCTCCTCTGCTCCTCTGCTCCTCTGCTCCTCTGCTCCTCTGCTCCTCTGCTCCTCTGCTCCTCTGCTCCTCTGCTCCTCTGCTCCTCTGCTCCTCTGCTCCTCTGCTCCTCTGTTCCCCCATTCCCCTGTTCCCCCATTTCCCCATTCCCCCATTCCTCCGCTCATCTAACTTCCCGTGCATCAGAACTAAACCCCGCACTCTCACATCTGTCCCCTCCATTCCTGCTCTGCTTCGGACTTCATCCAAGTAGCCCCCTCCGTTCCGCTTCTACTGTTGGTTCTGACCACAGTAATCTCCCGCCTCCCTCCTGTCGGGTGGAACAACCCCCGCCCGACTTTCCCGTGCTCACCTAGTAGTTTGTTGGTCCTCCTTCAGAGGACCCCCATTCCAACGTCCTGTCGGAACTCATAGAACTCATGTCAGACTACATTCCGAAATTAGGGGCACGTACTCGGGTAAGGGGCACAGTGTATGAGCTGAAGCCAAGCCCCTCAGACTCCGCTTTACCCCTGAGCACGGTCTTAACAGCAGAGCTGAGGGAGCTAGAGGTTGAGCAGGCTGAACATGAACATCAGGAAGAGGCAAGCAAACAGAAGAAGGTCATGGAGGAGCAGAAAAAGCGAGATTGGCGGGTGGAACAGGAGTGTTCCAAAGCTGCATTCACTGGTGCAATCAAGACCAAGAAGCTGGAGGAGCTATGCGACATAGCTGCAGCCTTGCAATTACTCGAGACTGGACTCAAGGCTGAGGTGTTCCAGTGAATTCTGCAGCACTTTGATGACAATCCTGACCTCAAGAAAAATCCACAATACGAGGGTTTATTCAACCCTACCCATTCTCGCAAGCACTGTCTTGATAACAGTGATAGCACTGCAGAATTACCGCAGGACACGATTCCCCCACCAAATCCAGTTCATGAACTGTTTGGATACCAGCCTCAGCCTGCACATCAACCCTTGATGTCAAGAAATGAACACATACCAGAATTTCCCCCACCTGGGTATGCCCCCCTGCATTATCCAATGCAGCATCCTGCACTTCAGCCTCACCCTCTGCATATTTTGCACCCTCACTTTGCACCAGCGAGTCATGATAATGCAGATCTCTGAGTTGGTGACATGGTGTCATAGCCCATATTTCTGGACCCGGAATTCCGGATTCTCACTTGTTAGACCTGGACTTCTGTCCTTAATTCTGTCCGGTGCTCCAGTTTCATCTCCGGATTTACACCTATCTCCTTTTAGATCACTGCTCTCTGACTACTGGTCATAACCTTTTTCCACCTTGCTTACTGATCTGTCTCTCTGCTTTCATTTCCGACTTCATTTCTTTGATCCATTGTATACTTACTAATAGACTTTCCACATGCCTCGTACATAGCTTTTCACTATACTGACTGATTACTTACTTGATACCTACAGTATATAAACTCCTGTAAAACTCCGTAACTCCTCAGTTCAAATATCATCTGGCTGTGTTGACCAGGAGTGGAGTCACTATTGACATCTGGGTGATATGAAACAGAGTGAAGGAGAGGTGGGCTAGCGAGAAGAGCTGTCCTACTTGGCATAGTAGCTTGGTGGAAAGAAATTTCTATGCACTCTTGGTATCCATGACATTACTCTGCAATGCTTCTATCTCCTCCACTGTGGTGGGGTTCCTGACAGTCTTGCAGGTATTAGGTCCGCTGGGTGGAGTTGAGGGGTGGGTCTTGGATTTGCTCATCCCAGTATCAGTGCTAGGCCTTCTAGGGGGCATGTTAGTACTAAGATTCAGGAAATATGTATCAGAAAGGTAGTATTTGAAGGTTTTTATGGTCTTCTGGTTGGCCTGGAGGTTGGTATTATAAAGAAGAACATACAAAGGAAACTTATAGTAGACTAGTTTATGCATCACTCCTAGATTGAGCCCAGAGCAAATGGAGGAATGGAGAACAATGTATGATGTTGGAGGTCATAGTTAGGGGCAGAGGAGTATGGATGATGGCAGATAAGACTTGTATGAATCATGGATATGACAGAGTCCATCTCAATCATCTAATAGATACCAACCAACAAAACAAAAGAAAGCTTATGATGAGTTAAATGTCCAACATAGGGTCAATGACCCCAAAGGACTATATTCTGAAGCAAAAAAAAAAAAACAAGGATGACTAAGCATTCATGTATTTGGACATGTTGAGCAAGTACTCATGAACATAAAGAGGAAATAGTGATGTGTCAGCCCAGCTTTGATCTGGCATGGGGTGGCTTGGGCTTTTGAAAATGTCAGGCCAAGCCATGAGCCAAAGCTATGGCTTGGCTTGGGCCTAGTCATGGCTTTGGAAACCAAATAGGCCAACATTCAATATATCACACTATCTACCAGGTCTCATCTATTGATTCTTCACCCTTGTCTTCTAAGATCAGCACATCCCAACCCCCCTCCTCATCATCATCTCCAACCTCACCAGCTGTCACGAATTCCAAACACAAATCATTTTTTGTTCCTCAGCTTTCCTCCGGCTACTTCTAGTTACCGAACTGGTCACGTGACTTCACTTCCTGTCACATCTTCACCTCTTCACATATCACCTGTTGTTTCTCCAATTGGTTCCCCAACTCCATAGGCTAGAACAATCTCGCTTCTGAAAGAAGTACCGGTCAGATCTTGGGCTTCTATTTAGTCACCTGTCTGACTCATCGCTTATATATCATGATGTCATGCTCAGTCATCTGCAGTATTGTACGACTCTTTTCTCATTGGCTGATTTCTTTCATACTCAGATATCTCCTATTCAATGTTATGTATATAAGTAGGTTAGTTAGCATAAGTACTCCTTAGACTTAACCTCTTTGTTTCCACACTGGTGGTAGACCTAGATGTTCACACTCAATCTATCTTGTTCATTATCATCCCTCTTGACCGAGTCCTAGTGGTTGTGTGTTAGTCTTTACCATTCGGTGAATGCTAGTCATAACACATATTGATATCTGCTCCGACTTATGTTTTCACCTGTGTTAATACTTACAAATTGTATACTCAGTACATAGTCTTATACCAAGGACTACTGGTCACTGCCTCCTACTTAGAAGTATATAAAAACATACCATGTATTTAGCTACTCCTCAGTCTTAATATTACTTGTCTTCCCGCAGTCTCTACTAGTGGGAATACTCCATAGGACTCTGCTCTCTCCAGACACAAGATTACCTTGTCGTCACCTCCGATTCTCCGCTCTGACTTAGAGCAGTGCTCTAGAATATTCACTCTTACTTCTCCAACCTATCCAACCCATCCTCCTATCCCCCTCCGCCCCAAACACACATTCTCCACTTCACCCGCTCCGCTTCTAGTCGGACCGCTGCTAGTAGCTCTTACCTCCTGACCCGCAAAGCGGACCCAAGCAATCTGCCTGTCCTATTGTCGGACATTGTTGGTGCCACTCCAAATTCGGGGCATGTACTCGGCTAAGGGCACAGCACAAGAGCTGAAGCCAAGCCCCGACCCCTCTGCTTCTCCATCCAAGCACAGTTCCTAACAACTTGATGAAATTGGTGCTGTGGTGGACCTGAATCAGGAAATGGGTCAGGTAACAGCATATCTGGAGACAGGGGGGAAGGGTAAGATGGGTCTCCTGCCCATTGTGGATTCTGTAAAGGGGGGTGACCATATGAATTTCTGTCATTATTAGATTGAACTAATGGTCCCTCACAAAATAAAAACATGCTGGGCAACAGCAAGGATGATGAGGAGAGGTAGAAAGCCCATGTGCATGTTCAATGAGTCAATATCAATCCAAAACTCTGTCAGAACTTTCTGACTACACCAGAATTTGTGCAAGTCCTTTGCATGCTTTATCAGACTTTCTGTTTTCGGTCCTCACTTGTAATACATACTGTTGTAATTATACCTGCAATTGTAACAAGAAACATGTCCACTACTATTCGAGATCATCAAGATCATCAAGATCATCCTCAGCATCCAAATAGCCTGAGTAAGGTACTCCAAGGTTTGATATATCAAAACCTGGTCTCTCCATCATGAAAAAACAGGGCTCAGTAACTCCTGAGGGGAGTGTTGGGGTGTGTGGAACCATGGTGACAACACTGAGCATTTTCTTGACATCAAGAATGCAAACTTCATTGAGGTGAGTGCAGGAAGCAACAGTTTGTGATGAGGGTTTGAGAAGTGACTCATCGGAGGGAGAATATAACCAAATCAATGCAACATTTGCAAACTGCCAGTCTTCTTCATTGCCAGGATCTGCTTCAACAGACAGCCATGTAAAATATAAGATTTTACCAAAGCAAATCTGTCCATCAAGATCAATCTAAATACTAGCATTAGAATTAGTCAGTAGGAGGCAGTGAATTATGGGTGCACCTTTACATTCCATGAAATATGTATCTTCTCCAATGGCTTCAGCATTTCTCTCCAAGCAGATCAAGCAATCTGTCCATTTGGCAGCAGAAGGTGTGCCCACTTTTTGATGCAATGAAGCACACACCCTGCGCCAAGGAAGCGAGAGATAACCTCTGCATGCTCTTGATCTGAAAAGCAAAAGTATCTGTCCTGCTTCCATAAGAGAGCATATCCATCTCCAAGGTTGACTGAACCAGTAGGAAGGCCCTTGGGAGGCTCATTGAGCTCAGGTAGGACAGAAAGGAGTGTATTAACTTGGCAACACCAGAGTCCCTCTTGTGAGAGGTTCACATAAGGATTTGATGGTTGTTGAATCTCTTGGCCAAGGTTTCCAATTGTTCACTCTATGGTCCATTGTGCATAACAGATTGGCAGCCCCTTCCATAAAGTCTCTGGAGTGAGGTGGTTGACTTGATGGACACATGGTCAAATGAACTGTAGTCAATCTTCATTATGCTGGTAATACAATGATTCAAATTCTCTCTCCCAGTTGCAAAGAAGGACATGTGCATATTGAAGATCTTCGGTGGTGATGTAATGTTGACATAACAGCTGGAAACCACGAACAAGTTTGCAGTAGTTTAGCCAATAGGGCTGGGGGAGGACATGTCATGAATTCCCAATACAAACCATTTTTCATTTCTCAGCTTTCCTCCAGTTACTTCTCATTCCTGAACTGGTCATGTGATTTCACTTCCTGTCACACTTTCACCTCTTCACATTTCACCCATTGTATTTCCAATTGGCTTTCCTATTCCACAGGCTAGAACTGTCTCTCTTTCCATTACTTAATTTCCGTCTATGATATTATTGCTTATATATCATGGCATCATGCTACATCATCCACAGTTATTGTACAACTCTTTTCTCATTGGCTGATTTGTTTCATACTCAGATATCTCTGATTCAATGTTATGTATATAAGTAGGTTAGTTAGCATAAGTACTCCTTAGACTTAACCTCTTTGTTTCTACACTTGTAGTAGACCTAGATGTTCATGCTCAATTCTATCCTCTTGATCATCATTATCTATGACCAAGTCCTAGTGTGGTTGTTTAGCCTTTACCATTCAGTGAATACTAGTCATAACAGGACACCATAAAGAAGGGCAGGACCAAGACCAAATGTATACAGCTGGAACTCCCAGGTCTTATAGCTTGTGTTAAGCTTTTTAGCAATATTGCATGGTTTATGATCAAAGGACCCAGGGAGATAGAAACCCGCTGCCTCAACTGATTCCCCATGTGCATCCCAAGTGTCTCAGTTTTTGAGAACTGCCCATTTCCAATTCTCCACGTCATCTGATGGGCCATGGTCCATTGTTCCATGCCAGAGACTGATATTGAGGTTGCTAAGATTCCCAGCAATATGCATGATGTCCGCTGTCATATAGTGAGGAACTCCGAGACAGTGGGAAGGTTTGAGGCCAAGAATTAGTGGGGGCTTTGTGATGCCAGTGTCAGTCTTATTTTTATCTAACTGGCACTGGTTCAGAGATGCTACAAGCAGATGTAAGTTTTCGGTGTATTTGTCTGATCCTCCAGGTGGAATCTTGAACACCTGAACATCAGGATGTCCACTACCAGGAGCACACCAATGCAGCTTAAGGAGAGCAGGGTAATAGTGACTTCCACGGGTTTTTCATCTGCCCCTCATGCCACAGTATAATTGACACCCATTCTTGCCACTATGCCTAACTATGCCATCCCAATATATGAGGCCAGGGCCATTAGCTGTCATGTAAAGGAGATGGAGGTCAGAAATAAAACAAGCATCGCGAGATGCATCCCAAATCAGAAGTCCTTCATTTTGGAGAGCTGCAAGATGGTGCATGCCTACAATGAGAAAAGAGTTGAGATTCTTGGGCTTATTGGGCCCTGGTATAAATCTGCCAGGATGGACATGGACTTTTCGATAGCGCTTGTCAGGGGTGAGATTGACAATAACCCAAATGTACATCCAACAGTCCAACTGTTTGCTTTTGTAGAGTTGGGTCCTGTCGAGTGAAACCATGAGGATTATGTCATTTTCTTTTATGTGCCCATCCAGAACCATGTCAAGGTAATTGTAACCCATGGCAATGTCATCTATGATAGGAATTTGCCTAGTTTTCTCTAACTCAGTGAGGATTTCCTGTGTGCATTCATGGAGATAGTGCATATCTTGTGCACTCTCTGGGTTCTGGTACATGGCTTGGAGTTGTGGGCCTATTGGTATAGTAACAAAATTTTGCACAGCAACCTTTAGTCGCCCGCTGCTCGCTTGCATTTTTGCCTGATTCCAGCAAGATGTTCTGCACAAGGGACAGTTGTCCTCATCAGCATATGGACCAGTGAATGCGAGACATGACTGTGGATATATATCATGCTCTATAGATTCAACTCCTGTGTATTTCACAATAAACTTCTTGACAACCTTGAAACTGAGTATCTCATCAGCACCTTCTGCACCTGCAAAGTTGCATGTTATAGCTCTATGTATCCAATCATAGGCATCTTGTGAACTATGCTCTGATGAACTCCCAGGCTCTCAATTTTACCAGGTTCTTGATGTGGATTACGCAGTCTAGCTAGGACGTCCTCACCCAGCTTTGCAACTGGATCTTCCAGTGAGGTGTTCCTGAGTAGGTGCACAAACACCATGGTTTTCTGCATTTTCAGCAGTACAGTGCTCTGGATGAGTTGGTCAATATCAATATTGGGCCTTGTGATAGGCCCAGAATTAATCTGGATGTCATCAGGAGCAGGAAGGTAATTGGGAGCAGGAAGGTTGTTGTTAAGACCGTGCTCAGGGGTAAAGCAGAATCTGAGGGGCTTGGCTTCAGCTCGTATGCTGCGCCCCTTACCCAAGTACATGCCCCTAATTTTGGAATGTAGTCCGACATGAGTTCTATGAGTTCCGACAGGATGTTGGAACGGGGGTCCTCTGAAGGAGGACCAACAAACTACTAGGTGAGCATGGGAAAGTCGGGCGGGGGTTGTTCCGCCCGACAGGAGGGAGGCGGGAGATTACTGTGGTCAGAACCAACAGTAGAAGCGGAACGGAGGGGGCTACTTGGATGAAGTCCGAAGCAGAGCGGAATGGAGGGGACAGATGCAAGAGTGCGGGGTTTAGTTCCAATGCACGGGAAGTTGGATGAGCAGAGGAATGGGGAAATGGGGGAACAGAGGAGCAGAGGAGCGGAGGATCAGAGGATCAGAGGGTGGCCGACCTAGGGAGTCAATCCCCTAGGCCGGCTAACAGGAGTTGACTAGGATCAGGCCCAAGTCAAAGAACAGAAGAGCAGGGCTTAGAAAAGGTAATATTCAGACTGAGTATCTACAGACAAATGTACATATGTTTATATACTCTAAGTGATGAGCATAGCATAGCAGAAGGCTATGTGCTGAGTGTACAGGATTACAATAGGATGACTCAGACATACAAGAATAAGGCTCGGGGAACAGTATGTACGCGACAGATCAGAATTGCTAGGGTATAGGGATTACTGGTGATCCGAAAAGCGGAACTATGATACTAAACGGGGATAGGACCAGTTGAGTGGTTCCTAGTCTAGGAGTGGACTGGTGAGGCGGTCAGACGGACTAATTGTTGGGTGGGACAAGACGAGGGGAACCGAGCAGGTCAGAAAAGCGGAGGGAGTAGGAGTAGGATCAGGCAGACCAATAGGGCGGAGGAGCGGAACCCCAGATAGGGTTGGATGGAAGGGGTATGGTGTTGGAGGACATAGGGGTAGTGTCGGAAGAGCGGAACGGGGTTAGGTGGAGGTAGCAGGGCTAATCCTGCTGAGATGCACTTCGTGCATTGTTGGAGAAGGAGGAATGGAGCGGACGGGGAAACAGGGGGTCAGACCAGGGGTGGGTGTTAAGGTCATGCTCAAGGGAGAGGTTGCTCAAAGGGCTTTGGCTTCAGCTCGTGCACTGCACCCCTTACCCGAGTACATGCCCTTTAATTTCCGGGGGATAGAGGGGAAGTCCAATGGAAGTCTGGGGAGTTCCGGAGGACTTAGTGTTGGTGGAGTTCGGCGGAACTCCGGAAGGGTTATGCGGGGACGGAGTAAGGCTACTATGGAAGTCCAGAGTAGAAACAGAACAGAGGTTGGACTACCCTAAGGTAGAGCCGGAGAAGTAGTCCTAAGGTTTAACCCCTAAGACTCGGAGGTGGACAAGAGGTGAGACTCAAGTCCGGAGATTGCAGGAATAAGCAGAACTAAGATGATATTCAAACTGAGGAGTTCTGGAGTATTACAGGGGTTTATATACTGTAGGTAACATATAAGTAAATCAGTCAGCAAAGGTAAGGGCTATGTACGAAGCATGTGGAAAGTCTATTACTAAGTGTAACGGATCAAAGCAGTGAAGTCAGAAATGAAGTAGGAATGGACGGATCAATAAGCATAGCGGAAAGGAACATAACCAGTGACCAGAGCAATAGCTAATCTAAAAGGAGTTAGGGGCAAGTACGGAGATGAAGGTGGAGCGCCGGGCAGAATAGCAGGATGGAGGACCGGACTTCAATGAAGTAGATCCGGAATTCCGGATCTGGAGGTATGGGATATGACAGTGGGGATGTTCACAGGTGGTATTGGAGGTGCTCGGATCTGGTATATGACAGTTGTCAGGAGCAGGAAGGTCATTTGTAGCGGGAAAATCATCAGGAGCAGGAAGGTCATTGGGATCAGGAAAATTATCAGGAGTGGGAAAGTCATCAGGAGCAGGAAAGTCATCAGGAGCGGGAAAGTCATCAGGAGTGGGAAAGTCATCAGGAGCAGGAAAGTCATTAGGAGCATGAGGCTCATTAGGAGCGGGAAAGTCATCAGGAGCAGGAAAGTCATCAGGAGCAGAAGTCATCAGGAGTAGAAATGTTGTCAGGAGCAGGAATGTCATTAGGAGTGGGAATGTCATTGGGAGCAGGAAGGTCATCAGGAGCATGAGTGAGAAGCTCGTTGGGAGCATGAGCAGGAAGCTCATAGTCATCATTGTCATTATCCTGTAAACTCTCATGTCAAACAGGTGAATATGTGCAGTTCTGAACACGTACCATACTGGGTTCAGACTGTTTGGCTCATTTGCAGTGTCCAACTTTGCATAAGGATTCTGCACTCTCTCATGCTCGTTTTGCAAGATTGCAGATCATGTCCAAGTGATGAATGCTGGGAGGTAGAGACAGAGCGCTCTCTATAGGTAGAGCTGGCACAATCAGCATGCTGTGCCCATGTAGCACTTGGCCAGTGCATATTCTTTCTCTCTCATCCTGCATGCTAGCTTCCTCCAGGTGCCTGTGCCACATTGTATTCAAAATCATGTGAGACTGGCCTTGATTATATTTGCTGCAGACACAGACATATCAGGGAGTGTTGTTGAGTCGCTTGAAACTGGAACTCACATAGAACATTCTATATAAAATTGTCCCAGCATTCATTATGATGTTTGGAAGATATACTCACCTTAGAGCTTAGATCTTAGATGTGTGCAGTGGCCAGATGCTAGTAGTAGTACCGAACACCATACTACTAGGTATATGCAAGCTAGCGATGTGATCAATGCGACATAGTGCACAATGTGCGATGCGATGTACACAATTATGTGATGCGATGTATATTGATACAATGTGTATGAAATTACAAACTAGCACAAACTAGCACAAATAGTCACAGGACTAAAACAGAAATTCAGTCCTCAGCATATCCCAGCTGTTTCGAGGACAGCCAGAGCTTACTGGGATTCAGACATCTGTCATGTTATTGTTGTCATCAAAGCCTAAAAGGATAACAACAGATACAAAAATAAACCTAGAAGATCAAAGGTAAGTGATAAGTCCACAGAATGGTGACTAAGTTGTAAAGCCACAGCCTGGGCCACCAGCTTGGGCTTTCAAACATCTCAGGCCAGGCAAAGGCCATTGTCAGGCCATGAAGTTGGCCCAGCTTAGCTTGGCCTGGCCCACAGCTTGAAGCCAGGCCATGCACATCACTAAGAGGAAACAGATATGTAGTGCACATGTTACTATAATAGATTGGGGTCATACTTGGAAGAATATAGAAGATTTGTTGCAGAACTTCTGTTGGCAAGGAGGTAGGAGCAAGGTTGTCCAGCTTCATATGGACCATGGCAAGTTCTGTCTGGATAGCACAATTCCCTTCAAGCAATTCCTCTTTCCCAAATTTTGAAACATTTGATGACACGGTCTTGGGAGATGTGACACTGGACATCCCAGCAGTTTTGTGCTACCTTTTCGAAGGTGGCATTTTGGCCTAAGTTGCCCCTATCATTAGACTGACTCTCACTTGAAGGAGAGCAGACTTACTTTTGAGTCTGGATATTAGTGCACTGGAACTAACACAATGACAAGAGCAAATAAGATGAATGGGGAAGTAGGAAGGATATGGAATATTTGCTCCAAAACTTCTGTTGGCAAGGAGGTAGGAGCGAGGTGGTCCCGAACCACTGTCTGGAGAGTACAAGTTTCTTCGAGCAATGCCTCTTTTCCAAATTTTGAAACCTTTGATGGCGCGGTCTGGGGAGACTTAACGAACATCCCAATATTTCTGCGCTGCCTTATCGAAGGTGGCATTTTGACCTAAATCGGTCCTGTCAAATTGAATCTCGCTTCAGAGAAGGAGAGCAGACTTACTTTTGAGTCCGGATATTAGTGGACTGAAACTCGAGCAACGTTGTACCGTCGGTGGGGGCAAATGTGCCCCTTCTCAAAATTGGTCACATTGTCACAGCGGCTGTCGTGAGTAGAGATTCGGAAAAGCGCAGACCGTATAATTCGTTGATCGAGGTGATCAACTCGGTGCCGGCTTATTGATTTGCGCCGTAACTTCCCATCAAGTAGAGACGGAGAAAATGAATCATTCAGATACCTAGCGAAACACGGTTACGAGAACCGTGACATATTAACCTCCTGGTTCTTTTTGAGCTCTTCGCGCAATATCAAACTCAAGGTTTTCCTGCAACCCGCCGCCGCCGTTCTCCGATCGGAACACGAAAATCACGAAGACTATCAAATGACGCACCTGGACCTGCTTCTATCCGAGTACTTCGGCGCCCAAGCACTGACCCATTTTCTCGGCGAATGCGTGTGAGCTTCGGAATCAGAGAATATTGAAAACGGGAAACGGACGACCATCATCGCGAACAAAAACGGCAGGTCATGATGCACAAGTTTGTGAGCCGCAGTTTGACCACCCACCCCAGAATTTTAGATGACTACATGCCTGCAAGGTTCGAACCGCCCGCCAAGGAGTCCAGGTATACGTCCATTTTCGTCCATGAGCACTACTGGGATGTAATGCTTACCTACAAAGTCCGAGTCACTGCTATGGGACGGCTCATGACCAGAGCTACATGTAATAGGCCGATCACGGACATGATTGTGCAGCGCTTGCTATGACATATGTATTAGCATTAGAAAGTTACTTACTTGGGGCCCATCGAAGATCATTAGAAGCGATCAAGATATGACTTGAACATTGGTTATTAAACGACCCTGCGCAACCGGTTAGTCTGATCGCAGCCTAAAGGCCCGCTTCGGTTTTCCCCCCGTGGGAAATAGGTGTTACATACGCGTTCTTGTGTAGGAGTACTCAGGTTTCTGGTCTTAAATGTCATGAGTCTGCCATCTCCTGCAGTATCTCCTTCCTTGAAACCAACTGAATTGATTTCCGCGAGTCGAAAGAGACAACGCTCGCAATCCATGCAATCAGATTCTTCATCTTCTGTAAAGCGTTCTGCTTCAGAAGGTCCTTCTTCCGCTACACCAGTGGCAGTCCCTATGACAGATACTTCTCCTGCCCGCGAGCAAGATATTGACATTGACGCTTACATGGCAGAACAGGGCGAGGATGTCCCTTTTCAACCCACACAGCCATGTCCTGTCACCATCGAGCACAAAGTGGCTCGCATCAGACAGTTACGTGACCAACCTATGGTCGCGGGCGATACGTGGTATATCATATCTCGTCAATGGTTCAGACGCTGGGAGATCGCTTGCGGAATCTTGTCAGACAAGGCAGTCGAGCCCTTGCAGGAGAAGGATATTGGTCCACCAGACAACACATCCCTCTTTGACTCCCAAGGCAATCTTACCTCAAATTTAGTCGAGCACATCGACGTCGAGTTTTTACCCCAAGAAGCTTGGTCCGAGTTCGTGACTTGGTGCGTGTCGCTTCTCCCCTTTCCCGAGTTATATCTGATCCATCTCAGGTATGGTCAGCCGATAAGTCCACTCCCTCGATCCGTTATCGCCAAAGCTTTCTTGCAGACTGCCTTGGAACTTCGTCCTCCACGTCTCAAAGTCTTGGTACTCAAAGACTTGGGTCCCGATGCTGATATCGCAGGTCCCCCACATTCCTACGCCACCGTCTCTATTAAAGACTCAATGAAGTCCCTTACCAAGGCACTCGTGTCCGCTGTCACCGCTCGTAGCAACGTTCCCTACAGAATCTGGAAACTGGAACCCGGTGATCTTTCAGGTTCTCAATTTCCCGCATCGAGGCTCGTATCCTGCGGGGCGGAGCTAGTTGGTGAGGAAACCGACAAGACAGTGGAGGATAAGATGATCGAACCTGAAGATCCTTTCGTGGTCGAATTCCAAGAGAATGGCACTTGGATCGTTGACGCATCTCAAGTTGTACGACCGCCTCCACCTTCAGTACACGGACCGCCACCCCTGTTCTCTGAGAATGATTTCTTCAGCCGTATGACCAACCAGCAAACATCGCTTCCAAACACTCAATCTTTTCGCACTCCATCGCCCTCGCGGCGAAGCTCTTCATCCAAGGCGAAGGAAACAACGGTCGCTCCTTTTAAGTCATTCGGATTTACAAAGGGTAGCAGTAAGACTATCCAAGTACCTGGCACCCTCGGTCTGGGAAACATGTACGCCTTGGTGCTAAATAGCAGTCGATTCACTAACACAGATGTAGGGGAAACACTTGCTTCATGAACTCAGCGCTCCAATGCCTCGCTCATACAAAGGAGTTGACAGATTATTTCCTTTGTGAGTACCTCTCTCGCATGGTTGCCAGCGATGCCAATTCATGGTATGAATAGCTGGTGTCTATCAAGAAGAACTCAATCCCGACAACCCGCTCGGCATGCACGGTGCCATTGCAGAGGCGTTTGGAACCCTCCTGCACCGCATCTGGGCAAGGGACTCGGCAGCCAGTTCGTACTCGCCGAGGGAATTCAAGTCGCAACTTCAGAAGTTTGCCCCACAATTCAGCGGATATCAGCAACACGACTCACAGGAGTTGGTTGCGTTCCTACTAGACGGGCTACACGAGGACCTTAATCGTGTTCTCAAAAAGCCTTACATCGAGAAACCAGATTGGGAAGGAGGGCAAGATTTCGAACTGGCGAAGTTAGCTCAAACGTCATGGGAAGGATACATGAAGCGCAACGATAGCGTTATCGTCGACCTCTTTCAAGGCCAATACCAGAGCACCCTAGTCTGCCCTGAGTGCCAGAAGGTACGTACCGCAAGACCATTTTTCGCTCTCCGTTGAGTAACGCCCTCGCAGGTTTCCTTCACGTTTGATCCGTTCATGTACCTCACCCTTCCCCTCCCTGTAAACAAAAAGTGGGAGCATGTTATCTATTATGTTCCGTGGGACCCATCCGTGCCTCATAGGAAGGTAAGACTCCTGTTTCATTTTATCTTCGTTGCGCTAGATATAATGTATCAAAAGGTCCCCGTCCAAATAGGTCGCGACAGTTCGTTCAAGGACCTCAAGAATCTGCTTGGCCGATGGATGGGGTCTAAGCCCAAATGGGTCAGCATGTACTTACACACTATCAGCTTCCTCTGCTAATCACCTGGACTCTAGTTGCTAACCTTGGAGGTGTTCAATCACCGTTTCTACAAGAATCTCGACGACAGCGTCCTGTGCGGCGAAATGGCCGACAGTGACAGGATTTTCTGTTTCGAGTTGCCCTGTAATTCGCGCCAGAGTCGCTCATACAAGCCGAAGGACGATGATCCCTACATCATTCCTGTGATTTTGACGGATGTGCTCCCTCCTCGCCCCGCCTACGCCAATTATTCTCGTGGTACAAATAACTTTGGCTGCCCATTCATTGCGGTGATATTTAAAGACGATGCACGATCAGTGGAGGGCATGTATGACGCTGTCATCGAACGCCTACGACGATGGACGGTCCATGAAAAGGACTTGTACACCTGGCAGACCGGTCCTTCTGTCGATGATACTGTCACGATCCCTATCTCAACGGTCTCACCCGTCGACTCCTTCACGGAGATCAAGGAGAATGGTGACGTTAACGAAGTTGACGGAATGGTCATTGAAGGCGACATCGCAGATCAGAAAATTCTGGTAGACGAAGATGCTGGGATGGAATCTGATACAGACGATGGTCTTTATCTCATTGGACCAAAACAAGGCGTCTTCAATTTGCACCTCTACACTGGCTACAAGGATTACAGCGCAGGTGGCTATGGTTCCAGTAACGGCCGACCCGAACATTGGGATAGCCGTATTGAAGAACTTGAACCAGGAGCTCCGTTACTGAAGGAGGGCGACGCTTTTATCTGCGAGTTCGACGAGAACATAAAGGCCTACTATTTCGGCACCTCGCAGGTCGAGAACTCGCGGTGGGAAGAGTGGTTCGCTTTCATGCATCCTGAGTTCGTGGCAGCCAAAGAGGCGGCTTTAGTAAAGAAGACGAAGGGGATAACGCTTGATGATTGTTTGGCCGAGTTCACGAAGCAGGAGCAGTTGGGTGAAGATGACTTGTGGTACTGCCCGCGTTGCAAGAAACACCAGCAGGCGACGAAGAAGTTCGACCTTTGGAAGGTCCCGGATATCCTTGCTGTACACCTCAAGCGTTTCAGTAACAGCCGTGCGCTTCGCGACAAGATCGACACATTCGTTGACTTCCCTATCGAGGGTCTCGACCTCACTGCTCTTGTTGGTGAACGGCGAGTGGGGACTAGCCTCGCCCAGAGTGGAGTCAATATCCAGGAGCTTGGCATCAGAGAGGTAGAGGAGCCTCTGATCTATGATCTCTATGCCGTCGATGAGCATCTTGGGGGTCTTGGTGGTGGGCACTATCGCGCGTATGCCCTTAACCATGTGACGGAGCAGTGGTATCACTTTGATGACTCGTATGTCTCGCGGACCGATGCCAGTCATGCAGTGGTCAGTCCAATCTCTTTATTTCTTTGTTCTGCGCGATCTGATAGTCTTGCACGAAAGAATTCCAACGCCTATCTGTTGTTCTATAAGCGTAGAAGCAGCGCTCCGTTGGGTGGCAAGACGCACGAGAAGATAGAGGAAGCTCGCCGTAAGGCTACGGCCGAAGTGGAGGTAGAAGCAGAAAGCGTTGCAGTGCAGGAGGTGCACCTTCCGACACCACCCAGTGAAACCGGCGCAGCTCCCTTTCCCTTTCCCCTCACGCAACAGCCTAGTAGTAGTGGCGGGTACATGACACCACGATCCAACCCGAGGTCAAGTCCTACATCATCGCCACCGCCTCTCGACGATGGGGATCCATCAACGTCGGAGGCACAGAACGATGATTCAATTGCCGACGACGGTCTTGGCCTTGGTCCTCTAGAACTTGCGAATCAGCAGTTTGATTTCCCAGACCCGTCAGCGAGGGCCTCTCCGACGTCCTCAGTCGAAGTGGAACCTGACTATGACGATGAACCCCCACGCAGTTCACTATTCCGCGCGCACGCAAACATCGACTCTTGGGTTGGCAGTAGTAGTCTGCCCTCACCAGTGGGTTCCGATTCCGAAATGAACCCATTTTCCGACATGAATTCGCAGAAGAAGAGGGACGCTGATAGCATGGACTTGTGAAGAAATACCACGATTATAGAGCCACCAGATGTAATTTACCTGCATAATCCCGTATCTTAATTAGTTACTACTAGAGTGTGTTTTCTATCGTACTTTACATCCTGCGCTTTCGTGGGGTGGCGGCTTAGCCGTGGGTGATACTCACTTGCCCTTCACAATAAGCAACCTTCCCTGTTCCACCATAACCAAGGTTCGCTACATGAGCAGGATTCATCCAGCATTGCTCTATCTGACTATTTACAACCCGACTTTACGTCCCAGTGAAGAGGTTTCCAAAGACGATGAGGATGCAGAAGAGCAAGCCCAGATCCTTTTCTACACTTCACAGGAACGCGCGGCGTCGCGCGACAAGATGCTAAGGCAGGTCGGACTCGCCAAGGCGCTCGTCAATTTCTCTGAGTAGGAGTTCCAGGTTTACCTCTGCGCAAAGACGCTCACTACCCAACAGGATATTCCATACGACCGACTCTTGCCACAATGTACATTCTCAATCAAGAAGGATGGTCATGCTCAATCCCGAACCTGACTTCTGGATACACGCAGTACGCCGACTCTCGATATGTTGATGCGCTCTTATGCTATGTTTTACTAGGCGGTAGAGCTTGCAAAGACACCGCGGACGCTTCCGCCTAAATCGAAGGATAAGGGCAAGGGCAAGGCTAATGACAAGGGAAAGGGCAAAGAGAAAGAGCAAGCAAGCGCTCTGCAACCCTCTTACGATTATCACGACGGTTCGCTTCACGATTACGCACTTCGCGCCCACTTGCTTCGGGGATACGAGCAATTCAAGCTTTCGCATGGGTCCTTCACCTCGATTTTGAATTCCCTCGGGCAAGAAGCATTAGAGTTGCAGCTAGAACGGTTCTTCACCATGTGGGCATGGTCATGGAATCTCAGCAAGAGTTTTGAGTTGAACAACGACCTTGGTGCGTTGTGCGTCTTGATACCGCGCATATATTTACTGATTTGAATCAGGATTATCGCTTCACCCATTATACCCCTCTATTCTACCTCTACTGGATACCTTTTCATCTCAGTTACCGGCTGGACTGGATGCATTGTTTCTCTCTCCTCCGCACGTAGTTCCATCTACCAGATACAGACAATCTAATCATACACCCGCGCTCTCGCGACACCTTCTGTCTCTCATTCCACCACACGTACCGCGGCATGAAGCGGACCATCGTTCAGAAGCCTCGTCACTCACCGAAAAGGGAGCGACTGCAAACGCGGCAGCTAAAGAAGCCATTTCTGGCGTTATCCCCACCAGTGGATTCTTGGGCATGCCTTCTAGTCTCGCCATGAGTATGGACGTCCGGAAGTGGAGTTGGCCTGGGGCGTTGTCATTTGGGAAGGTTGCTGAACGAAAAACGCCGGTGACAGAACAAGAAGGAATCAATTCTATCCCCTCCGTGGCCGAAAGCACGAGTACGGTGACTGCGGTCGACAGGGGCGCTTTGGAGGATGCAATATCCTCAACCGATCTACGTGGCCTCCTGGAGAAGGCAGATGATAGATTGCCCGGCACAGATCCTGATGCTACACACGAAGCGGGTTCGGAAATGGAGCACAGTGGAGATACTCCGCGACCTTCCAGAGTCCCATCACCACTTCCCGCAGATGCTTCATCCACAGCTCCTCACGAACCCGAAAAATCAGATCCTTGCCGTCAATTGGACTTCGCTTGTACATTCGTATTTCTAGCTGAAAGCGGTGATCCGTTGCAAACTCACCGAAGGCAAGTCATACATCTAAGAGTAAGCATTGTTTCGTACTCATTCTCCAGTTATGTTTACATTGCCTTGCTAGTGTCAAGCCTTGGCCGTGGCTCTCACAGCGGATGCTGATCACGTAGAAGACTATGATATGCATGTTATATCTGAAGCTGCATCCCAATTGCTACGGGACGTTGAGAACCTGATCGTTGCGGAGGCGACGCGGTATGTGTGAGACTGTAGAGCAGAAGAGCAGAACTCACATACATACAAACAGGGCTTCTGAGACCTTACCTTCGGCGACGAAGATTTTGCAACCCAAAGACAACTACCTCATTAGTTTTGGCGATTTTACTGCAGCCAGTCCTGACTTCGTCGCGAAGTCAGATCACCTATATAACGGAAAGCAGCTATTGGAACAGTGCGTGTTACACTTTTCCACTCTAGTATAATCTTGACGGCTCTGCAATAGGGAACTGCACGTCACTGAAGTATTTTCCCGAGGTCAACAACCGCAGCACTGGCATGTTTCGAAAAGGGACAGCACCGGTGGAGAAGAAAGAGAAGTTTTCCTCGAGGTTGCACGGAAGGAGACAAGTTTATCTGACGTCGATAATATCATTCAAAGGCTTCATTTAGATTCATTCTAGCTTGCGTTAAAGATTTTTCTCAACCTATAACGCAAGCGCCTCCCTAGCAGACGCTTTATCGACCGTCATAGACGTGGTCAACTAGTCGTGATCAATTCACGATCACTTATAGCCTAGCGATGGTAAAATGTAGTATGTCCGAAACGCGTTAATCACGCTCATTCTCAGTCAGCTTCCTTGCGTCGAAGAACGACAAGCTTGATCTGAACCAACCACCCTCTCAGCGTGCGAGTATACACTGAACAGTACTGGTCGTCGCGCTATATATATGGGGTTGATTTTTCAAGTACGTGACTAACTCGTCGCGATCGAGTCTGTTTATCGTCCCAAAGTGACATCTGTCGACTCCTCGCCAAAATGATTAGGACTCTTTTCAACGGCGCTGCGCACCTCACCGTTACTGGTTACCTAACTGTATCGTTCTTTAAGGAAGCTGTATTGGACCCTACAAATCAGCTCATGGACAAAGCGGAGAAGGTCTCCAATCTCGGCGTCGTCGCATCCAATTTCTGCCTTTCGACAATGAATCTTCTGCTCGCCTCCAACAAAGCCGCTCCCCAATTTCTCAGCAGCGATATCAAGCAGAAACCCGCACCCATGCACGATTCGGCCGAGCCCAATTTATTTCTCACTGGCGACGACATCGCCGAAATGATATCCTCTCTACTCGCACCTCAGCCATTCGACTCCTCATCAGCAACCGAAGCCGCCGCTTCGCCAGTCACTTGCACTACACCCTGCTTTTCATCGCCTATTCAGAAACCGAAACCGAGTCCGACACCATCCTTGTAGACGAGTTGGTCACCAAGGACATCTCCGACGATGCCTCAGACACCCAACACGAACACCTTGACGACTCGCATGGTTCCCCTTAACCATTGAAGCCTCCGGAGCTCATACTAGTCACCAGCCAGACGACATCTGATGATGTTTTTTTCCCGGACCCGACTTGGAGCTGGATACGGAACCCACCGCCACTCAACTCCTGCAACTCCCTCCTACTGAGCTTCGACCTCAGAGGTCCCGCCGGGGAAAGCTCAACTCCGGCATCCTCCACGGTCCCCTACGACCCGGTGTTATACTCCCACGTGGTTGAAGGCCAGTCCCGCACATGTCTACGCACTGAAGTCTTCGATATCAGAGGTCCCCTACGACTGAATACCGATGACGCATCATCAACACTACGGCCTCCTTCGCTGTCCCCTACGACCGGGAGTTCCACTACCCACGAAGTTGAAGGCCATCGCCGCGGTCCCGCACATACATCTACCCTAGGTCCCTCCTGTTTCTTTCGCTACGTAGAGGTCACTTGATTTGTTTCTTTTCCTTTGATTGGTACTTGACAGACAATGGACTGACTATTTCTTTTATCTCCGTCATCTATGTGGACCTCTTTTGATTTTTTTCTCTTTCCTCTTGACAAACAATGACTGCCCATTTCATTTTTTTCCTTATGAACTCATCTCCTTCATCTACACATGTAACTGTCTTTTGATTTGTTTCTTTTTTCTCTTGACAGGCAATGGACTCCCCATTTCCTTTATCATTTATGGACTCATCTGCATCTGCATCTGCCGTCTTTTGATATATATATATTTTTCCTTTTATTCTTGTCGGACAATAGACTGCCCATTTCTTTTACTTATGGACTCATCTCCCATCTACGTTACGCATTTCTTTTCATTGACACTGTTCCACATTTTCGTGCACGTTACGATGACGAGTATTACATAGAATCAACCTGTAGTTTCTGAATCCAATCCTCTTTTTTACTGTGGTGCTCTCGAGACACTCAAGGTTCAACGTGCGCGCAAGTGAAACGTGAGACAGGGCAGCCTCTGGTACGTACTCGATAATGATCACTGGACGAAACATGAATGCGGAGTTACACAGCTGCAGCCATACATATTGGTTAAACTTGAATGTCAGTCAGGACTCAAGAATGTGTGGTCCCGTTGATGCGATAAGATAGGCTATCTCGAGTAAGATACAGAAAGAGTATGACTCCCTTGGTTTGACGCTTCTTTGGTTGCATTGCAGATGCAGGTCAAAAGAACGACTCTGAGTCTTCCTCCGATTGGTCTGTCTATGGGAGACTACTAAGATGCACAAGCGCCGTGTTCCCCCCGGTGTTTTGAAGCTCAGTGCGAACGAGACTCAGACACAGAAGACACACGCGACCCAAGATTAGCGTTCGCACTGTTGACACTAGATTTATTCATCTGCAAAACCGTAGGGATGATCTTGACGTTTTTGATCGATGATCGCGCTATCACTTCCATAGATCAGGATCCCCTTTGTGTTCTGGGATATTCCATAGTGTCGACCAAATTCCAATGTAATCCCATACAGTGTGGAGTGGCCGACGTCTCCAGGTGCGAATCGTATCCCGCTCGGTGCAGCGGTGCTATATCATTTAAGTTGCATTGAACTTGCACCACCGATGCGCCGGTATGCGAAATATATTTTTTTACCTTTCATCGCTGGCACAAGTTTCAAGTTTCAGTGGGTGCCTTCGCACAACGTCATGGACATCGCCGTGCTCTTCTGGGTCCGAAGAATATAAATAGGGACGAGCAAGTATGTCGTCGTGTCCCACGCATGCTTATCGAGAGCTCTAGATCGTTCCGAAATGAATTTGTTCGAAATATTAAGCTGGCCTGGTGCATAGCGACGTTATAGCTATTAACACCCGGACGGACACAAAGGGGACCCTGGATTCGACACTCAGGTCGGACAGGAATTTTGATGTTAGTCGTTGTATCAAAGGTTTGACGTTGTACTTACACGAGGGGTATAAAGGGGTAAAAGTCAAATCTTAGGGCTAGGCTTAGTCTCGACCTTTCTACGGGCTTGATGCGACACATGCATCATTAGAAATGTTATCTTTACTGTCCTGGCAGGCAGGGTTGGATCATGATAAGTTGGTTAATGAGTGGCTAAGTTTAGATATGGTTCCTGCCTTTGAAGCGTTTGCAGTATCTTGACTAAATCCATGAAGCTTGAAGCGTATGGAAGGCCAATGAAGCGCTCAAGTTCGAATTCAGATCTGCGCGGGCATCACACTGATTCTGCACACCATATGTACTATGCCCCTTTGATGATACAGTGCGGCCGTAAGGCACAGTAGGTAGCTTGTTTTCCTATTGCAGGTTCATCGATTCAAGGGTGTCTCCACTGAGGACATGAACGAAGTCGCGTACAAGCGAGAGTCGGTTTGACACGATATCCGCGGACTGTAAACCCGAGAAGACAGTTCATGAGTGATCCCCCATTTACGGTTCTCTTGCATTTGGTTTACGGTACTTGTTACTAGCTAGAACATATTGGGACAAGTGGTAATGAAAACGACAATCCTGCTCTTCTGCATGCTCACAGATAAAATTCTGGTTTTCTCGCGTTAATGCCGTACTCGGCCAATGCAGCACTCAAGTCATCCATGGTCAATGCGGTCCTTGTCTTGTCCTGATAGCAAGGTATTTTACACAAAGCAGTGCGAGGAAGAGCAATTACGCACCTTGGACCCTGGCCCAGTGAGGGGGCCGCGTGCACGGCCACCAACAGCGTTCGTACGTATACGAGCATGCTGGTAGGCATCGGCAGCAATATCTGATACAAATTTCTGTGCAGCAAGCGAAAGCAGACGTTTTCTGAGAATGGAAACGTAATGAGTCTATACTAGAAATGTTTTGGGGTACTCACAGCCGCACGTCTTCGCATTCAAAACCTACCCTCTGGAGATAGTAGTCTGTTACTTCATTAGGAATCTATGGGGCGCATTCAGCTCCGCCCGGATAAGAAAGCTATTGTGATGCACGCGTACCAAGGGTTCATAATCATCGAGCATGACAAGGAATTCAGCCAAAGTACGATCCTTGCGCGCCTCCTCGGCTGCCTGACGCGATTGTGGCTGACTTGCTACGGCAGTGGAGGCGGTTGTACTCGAGCCTGCAACTGCAGTAGTGGCTTGGGAGGGCTGCTGAGATGCATCAGGAAATGTTCCCGGGGGGTAGTATGTGTAAGGAGAAGGCTGGGATTGTGCCGTTGGCGAGTCAGCAAATGCTACTGGTGTCGACATGATCTACGATGCTGAAGTGAACGGAAGAAGCCTGTCGGAGTTAGCCAGGCTTATTGGCGGAAGTATAAATTCTTCCCACACGAGTTTTTTTTTGTTTTTGCATGTTCACTCAATCGGTTGACTTGCGCTGAGCTCGGAGCACAGTGAGTCTCTTTCTTTTTTTTTCATTATTACTTGAACCATTGGGTTCACTAGTAATCGTACATGATGTTTGAGGCATTTGGCTTTATGCAGGAGCGCACCCTGCGGTGCAGAAACTTATCTCAGCTACCTTCGGGGGAGCTGCTTTGGCAGTATCCACCCGCTTTGACTGAATCTTCCCTTCCTACGTCTGAATTAGTTTGCCGACGATTGCTGACAATCTTTTCGATTAACAGATGTGGCTACTCGCCTCCCTCGAACTGCCTCAGAGGCTCGCTTCGGCCACGGGAGAATTCCCATATTGACAATACAATGTACTGCATGTGTAATAATAGTCAAGTTTAATGCATCACGCTTGCGTTTACCTCTTGATGGACAATGAAGTTTGTGCGATCAGAGATCTGATGCCTTCCTCCCCGAGATGTGAATATCTACCGTGATATGTTCACATGACTGACCGATGTTCGAGGAATTTAAGTTGGTACACTAGTGTAAAGCATGCACTGGCAGTGCTTGGAATGTTATTCAATACAATCGAGAGTACTAGTGAACGTAAGAGGACAGGTTGCAATCGCTCCAAGTTCGGTTATCTCGGACAGCAATGAGCGCTTTTCTGAAATAGTCCATTTCGTTGCTTGATGACGGCCACCTTTCAAGTCGGGCCAAGTATCACCAGCCTATGGTGTACGTTAGTGTCCGTAAAGATACGTGGGGGGTGAACTTAGGGCGTTTATATATTATAAGATGGTTCAGCAGGCGGACACCAGTAGCCTATCGTCGGAGGAGGCATACTTGAAGCTGTCGATCATCCGAGTCCTTCATTTCAAATCCGCGTTTTTTGTAAACTGAGACTTGTTCTTGTCTTGGCTCCACTACCCCGGTAACTCTTCCTACTGTCTTGATCCCGCTTTAGCTCATGCGTCCGGAATTTAGCCAGCGAAACTCCGGGCTACCTCAAGTCTCTGGTGCGTCTTGCCAGGAAGAGGAAAGGGGACTTCATCGCTAAAATCAGGTAATCACGGGCGAAATCTCTCCTTGAATGCCTACCATCATATTACCTACACTTCACCTTCACGACTTTCGAATCACGCCTTGTATGTGCCATCCATCATGATTATCCTCGCCGAGAGTAGCAGGAGCCTCAGTCCTAGTATGGACAATGCAGGGGGTGCCAGAAAGTCCGGGTTGTCCTGCGCGGAATGTCGCCGGTATGTTCATATCCGCTACTCCTTGAGAGCACTAGTCCCACTTGACCTTGAATTCGTCTAGATCCAAGCTCAAGTGCGACAGGCAAGCCCAATAAGCAACTTCACCTCCACTTCATAGCTGACTTCTGCAGGGCGTTCCCGTGCCAGTCATGTATACGACGTGGATGTGCGAATATCTGCCCAGAGGGTAAGTACTTCGCTCTTATAGTCTTTATCGATTTCATTCACAGCGCCCTAGGAACTCTTACCGCCACGAAAGGAAACAAGTAGGTCCATCTCGGCTGCTGTCTTTCAGTTCCGACTCGGAATCTAACTTTATCAAAGGGTTCTTATGGCTCATGCTCAGCGCCTGTCAGGCCAAGTAAAATCTATGACAACGAGAATCAAAGAGCTTGAAGAGGCACTTGCTGAATCTCAGAGGTCCAATCGTGGCGAAAGCGAACCGCATCCTCTCCTCAAAGCACCGCCACACGAACATGCTGAACTGCCCGAGCTCCAGACTATTTATGACGATGAAGTCCGCGATGTATCAGAAAGCATCGGATCGTTATCAATCGATGTCAATGGCCGCACCAAATACCACGGTGAATCTGCTGGGTCAGAGGTGAGCCAGCCTATTCTGGTAGCTTTCTATGAGGCCCCTAACTATCTACGCCATGCAGTACTTTCAACCACTGTTTTTGGTTTGTAACACCTCGTTTCCAGAAGACATCATCGCTCATGTAAATCAAACGATAGCCCGACGGATGTTCGTCACAGCAGAGCGGTCCCACCGACCCCAAATTCTTGGGACTTCCATTTGAGATCATTGATCTTTGCAATGCATACCCCTTCGGTTTGAGGGACAGTCAATATACGAAATTTCTCTTCTTACCCTTTCTGCCTGCCCGTGAACGAGCCCTGCAACTTGCCGAACTCTATTATCAAAATGTTGCATGGCTGTGAGTTCATTTCGCACGGTCCATCTGACGTTCGTTGACCCACATAATCTCAGGAACGACCCCATCACACGAGATGACTTCATGACCAATATTCTAACCCCATTATATGGCCACACCGGTTCACCTAACATTAACAGCATCCACTCCCACCGACTTTCCGTGTTTTTTATCCTGCTAGCTTCAGGAGTCCTTTACGAACAATCACCATCATCAGGGGTGCTCGCCGAACAGTTTCAAGCCCTTTCTCGCGCTGCATTATCCCTCGATCCGATCCATCAAGATGCTACTTGCGCCACCGTACAGGCCCTTCTCATGAGTTTCACACACATTTACCACTCTGACCGTACGAACAACGAAGGTAGGTGGCTTCTGATGGGCGTGGTTACGAGAGTCGCGCAATTAGTGAGCACAGTGTGCTATTGTTTCGAAGAATAAAAAAGAACTAATATTCCGTATCACAGATTGGGCTACGTAAGTTTCTGTGCACGAAATCAATGATGCACACTAATGGACGAATCGCAGAACGCGATAGCGCGGGGTGGGATCTAGGGTACGAAGAAATACAGAGAAGACGCATTTTATTTTGGGAAGTCTACACGTGCGACGCGTGGACGGTGCGTGAATTCTTTCATGTTTGATCTGTTCACTGATCGGTTTCAAAGAGCATCGTAAATGGTCGGCCGCCTGCATTGAGCATCAACCACACAGACTGTTGGTTTCCAGAAGATCTAGACCCCGTAATCAAACCATCGGGCGCCATCGAAATGGGATGTAAGTTTCATTTGATTATTTTCTGTGCGAAGCGTTTCATCTCACTCTTTTACGTGTTTTAGGGCATGTCTGGAAGTTTCGCTACACAGCAAGCTGTTTGGGAATTTCCGCGCAACATGTCTTCAGCACGCGTGTGTCAAACTATTCCGCATTGCTCGAGTTGGACCGAAAAATACGGAAGTTTATCCTACCGTCCCATTTACAATCGCCCATGGAAGCCTCAGAAGCGGGTCGCGCCTGGTCGCCAGAAGCCCCTAGGGCAATGCAACAATATTGTGCGTTATGTCAAAGGGAAGCAAGTAAGTAGGCGCCGATCTACTTCAGATCAGAAATAGGCTAACGGCTGGCAGACTTACTGTACATCCATCGGAGCTGGTTCGTGCAGGCCATTCGAGAGGCCCCCGTCAATCCCCTTCAGCACAAATATGCGCCCTCCGTCTTGGCTGTATATCGTAGTGCATGTCGGTTGATCTCCAGCCTTAAGGGGTTGTATCGAGTGCACCCATACCCGACGAATCGGGCGTGGTTCTTCTGGTCGGCCATCTTCTCTGCATGCGTAAGTCTATGCAGTTCATTTTGACCACGCACTTATAGGGGTAAACAGATCGTTCTCGGAGCCATAGTGGTGGATAGTCCACAATGTACTCTCGCGTCGAACGCATTGCAAGAACTAGAGCAGGGGATGGTACTTTACGAACAGGGTTCGCTTCCGTGTCGACCACCCGCAACTATGGTAATGCAGGCCTCCAAGCCTTACGATCGTATGTGTCCTGACGCGTTCCCAGCTTGTCCTCCACAGATTGCGTGAACGTGCAATCAATTCCTTCAAAGCAACGCAGGCAGACGCCGGACAATCGCGTCAGTCATCCTTCGACCCTGGCGATTCAGCCGTGCTCGGACGCCGGAACAGCATCATCGCCAACACGTCATCCAACTCGCCAGCTTCAAGTCCATCTGGTTCAGACCGACAGTTATCAGAACTGTCTGATGATTTTGCGCGTCAAGCTGATCCATCCATCGTTCAATATTACGGGGCACTTGCAAATCCCAATCTCGTATTGCCGGCCACGAGGGAGTTCGAGCCGCCATTCACGAAGACTTTCGAGCCGTCCTATGCTGCAGCATCGCAGGAGGACCTCAATACACCTTCACCATTTTTTGACCCTGCGCTGCAAGCTGCGATGATGAAGCAAAATCCGCCCTCCAACCAAAATATTGCGGGCCCCAGTTCGAGCATGCCTCGGCAGCAATCCTTATCATATCAAAAAGCAGCACCCCATCCTCATTCCGCCGACCACAGTATTAACCAGGAGGAGGTCTGGCGAAATTACATTATCAACCTGGGAGTAATGAAGCCCTAGTCTACCATGATTTCTTCATAGACTCGCATTCTGGACCATGCATCATCATCGTGTTTTCGTTACCTGTCGCACTCTTTCCACGTTCTTGTCACGCACACATTTTCGCTGTCTCCCGCACATTGTCATGGTTGTTACAGTACTTGGTGTTATATACTAGTCCATTTTGATCAAATTGGTGTCGTCGACTGGCATGGCATTGGCTTCGGCTTGATCGCGCAACTCCATCGCATGAAGGAGTGTATCTATGTCTGGTGAGACGACAAACCGCTTGTTGACTTCTCCCATGACGTGCAGACGACTATTTTGTAAATCCAGGTGGACAGCTTGCTGCAAAAACGACGGCTGAGTTGCGCCAGTAACCTTGATATAGCCGTCAGCGTAAGCGACGGAGGCAAAAGCATGGAGATTAGACGAACATCCAAGAGGATGCCATTACCAAGGCGCATTTTGACGACCCCGCTGCGATATACTTCAAGCTGCCCGATGACACCGTCGACTTTTGGTAGTTCCTTCGTTTGCTCTGCCTCTGGTCCTGCGGAAGCGCTTGCCAGATCTCCGCTCGGACCTGGTGGCTTCACGTCTGCTGCGAAAGATACTTTACGTGGGCGACTATCCGAGGAGGGTGCATCAACATTCATTGTAGTCGGATCGGCTGGCGGGATATCGGAAACGAATGTCGGGAACGGCTCAGGGAACTGGAAGAAGTAGAGACGCTCTTGCCGTACGTCTGCGTCCTATCATAAGGATGAGCACCAGCACCAGATGAAGATTTCGAATGATTACCTGGTCCGCTTCAGCTTGTAATGCGAAATCATCTATGAGGTCTTCAAGCTCTTCCTCTTCCTCGCTCTCGCTAAGATTAAGAGCATTAGCCAAGTCCACTTCCCCCGATTCTGCTGCCTCCTCGATGTCCATAGCCTCTTCTAATAGAGCCTGAGCTTTAGGTAGCATAAAAATATTTGGAAAGGACTACCTTTTTTCTTCGAACCTAGTAAAGGTGACGATGGCTCTTCCATTTTCACTTGGATGACCTTTTTCTTCTTCCGTTCCTTACGTTCTTTGCGCAAGCTTTCTGGAGCCATCCAGTCCATCTGTTTCACGTTCTCCATGTCGATTATCTCGACGCCTTCGTCCGGATCAGAGTAAACGTCATCGTCATCCGCTCTTTTGATTTCCCCCGCAACGAGGATATTCGGTGCTCTAGTCTCCCTCTTCAACGACGGACCGGCAGCTCCAGAAAGTCCGGCACCAAGAGCGGCTGCATTTCCAGGTCCCAATGGAACGATGGGTGTAAAATTGGAGCGAGGAGCACTGCGCCGTGCTGAGGTACCTCCGAGAGCAGGTCCCATAGCGAATGGACCACTGGCAGTCATTTCTACTGGAGGTGGGCGGGGAGCTGCACCACGACCTTCGCCTCCCCTGCCCCTTCCCCGCCCACGACCGCGTCCTCGATCATTAGATGCACTGGGGATAGTCGGTGGAGGAGCTTCCTGCGTGCGGTTCAGAATGATGATTCGGGTAGGTGTGTCCTAGGACACATACCTGTTTAACTTCACTGGTAACAACGCCATGAGCGACCGTGGACTTGGACTTTGTAGAGTTGGCTCACTCTTTCTTCCTTCGGGATGGTAGTGTAGGGACGAACTTGAGCTTCTGTGATCCTTGCCTGGTCACATCAGAAGGTTTTTTGGCCAGACTGCCTATTGCTTTTGGGACGGATGGTCCTGGTGTGCTTGTAGATCCACTGTCTGCCATGAAACCTGATAAATATCGTGAAAAGTCAGTGGCACAGGTGTGCACAGCCACGTGGTTATCTACCAATCTGCTTTTGATCCAGTATCGATCATAGCAATCGACTTGCACCCATCCAGACCGGCGGCCCAATTCTCGATTCCTTGCACAAATGGGAGAACCAGAGCACCTCAGATCGACATACAATGATGTACACAACATCATTAGAGGAACCGCTGACAAAATTGCGTCTGAGTTCAAGCCAGATATGTTTATCGCGATAGGTACGCTAATTTCGTAGCCGATGCATTTCAAGCTCATCTTGTCCATCAACAGGAGGAGGGTCAGTTTTATCCCACTGATGTCTTATTATGACCTGGACTGCAACTCTCATCCAACAGTGGCTTTTTCCCAGCTCGTGTACTGGTATGTCGCCCAGAGGCATAGCGGCCCGACCGACCTTCTAATCCGCCTCGTGTCCGCTCATAGCGCAGTTTCCTGAAAGATTCGTCCACGAAAAGGACCATTCCGATTCAAGCCATCGGTCTCTCCCTCTATGAATCTCTTCCCGGTACAACTGTAATGCAGCTCGGCAGCGAAGTTATTCGCACCCAGTGGCTGTACGGCGTTATCAATTGTACCCAGGATCTGATCTTGACACAAATGCTTTCGACAGAGGACCAGACCCGGGCAAAAGGTTGCTTGGGAGACGAGCTTTGATTATTGTAAGTTCTAAATCCTCGGTTTTTGTTGAATTAAGCTGATATTCCGAGCAGGACGAAGTCGACGACTCGCGCAAAACCCTCCAGTAAGAACTCGAGCAAAAATAGTTCTTCTTGTTGGTCGTACCTGACGAGCGTTCGTCCCATCCACTGTGCAGATATGCATTGAGTGAGCTCCAGAAAGATGTCGAATTAGAACTGCAGTTGCTTCCAGAGTCCGAGCGTGACTCGAAACGCACAAAATTTGCGATCTTCGTGGTGCACAACAAGCTCAAGCCCAAACTTGGGGAGTTGCCACCAGATACCCCGTGAGTGTCATCTCTTACCACAACGTCTTGTCTTCACATGTTGTCACAATTTTCCCATCAGATACTTCGTAGGCGCCGAAGTGGAGGATGTGTGGTAAGATATAGAATATTGATCCCTCTGACTTCTGATGAGATTCTGAATATACAGGCTTGATTATCCGTGGGAAGCCATGTAAGTTCCGTTCTATTCGTTGATGACGATTCACCGTATTTTCTTTCGACTTCCGTCAGTGATATCGAGGAGCATGACCGTCTCGCAAAGGAGGACAAGGAAAAGAAGAAGACTACATGATATTTAACGAGCAGAGACTGGAACATGTTTATAATGATCCCATTCCTATAAAGTACTCGCTTCTAGATCTTGTCCGTTTCGTGATCCATTTTGCTTGTATAATGTACTTGGTTTGTTGTGCGGAAGTTCATGATCTCATGAGGCGGGAGCCGGGGGAGGATTTCAGTCGCCTCGATCTGTCCCTGATTTTCGACTCATCGACATACAAGCGGAACTTTTTCACACCTACTGGCTACATTTTTTGTTGTCCGGACTCCGAGTCGGTATTAGCAAACACCGCTAATTGATAATTGCATTTGGACCAGCTGTGTTTTTCACTGCGTGACTCCGACCACGACTCAGTTCGACTCTTCCAAGTACCGCCAACAGTTCCCGCACCAAAAATCGGGTTCGGTCTCCGTACGGCAAGACGGTCATCCTTCGAAGCCTAGTTACTCCTTTACCACGGAAAAACGGCGTTAAGGCTTGTGTTTCCATCTTTCTTTTCTTCCATATAGACTACTTGGATGGCTGAAGAGGTCGACTATGAGGCACTCCCATCCAACACAAGCCTTGGGGTGAGCCATTTAGTTGATCTGCCAGTAAAATTTTCACCGACTAATAGAACTATAGGTCAACATGCTCGCCGGAGCTCTGGTAAGTTTAATTTGGTTTGCATCTATAGTGCCCACGACACGTCTCTCGCACTTGCATCTGACCAGTTCGCGCTCTGGAATCTCTTAAGAACCCATACTGAATATCTTGCTCAGGCTGGCATCACAGAGCACGCAGTCATGTTCCCAGTAGACAGTATAAAAGTAGGATCCAGGTTTTGTCCAACAGCGTGAGGGCTAACAGGACATTTAGACACGAATGCAAGTTTTCGCTACGTCACCTGCCGCTGTTTACACAGGGATCGGAAATGCATTCACTCGCATATCATCTACGGAGGGGATGCGAGCTTTGTGGCGAGGGGTCTCCTCAGTAATATTGGGTGCGGGACCAGCACATGCGGTTCACTTTGGAACGTATGAGGCCATGAAGGAGTTGGGGGGTGGAAACTGCTGCTGGAAATCAATGGCTTGCAACCTGTATGTCCACCATTCATATTCGTTCCCTATCATTTCTTCCCTCTTTCCATGTCATTTTACCCCTCGCATCTGGATTCCCAGGCTGTCTGCTACGTAGTCGGCATGTACTCACCGTTACGTTCTCACAGCACTGGCAGGGCGCATCCGCTACCATTGCCAGCGATGCCTTGATGAATCCATTTGACGGTGAGCTCCCAGCTACTTGTGCCGCGTTCCCCAACCCATTAGCCTTCGCCCACAGTCATCAAGCAACGCATGCAGGTGCACCAATCGGAGTTCCGCTCCGTGTTTACCGCCATGCGTGTCGTGTACCGGACGGAGGGTCTCTCCGCGTTTTATGTCTCATATCCCACTACTCTGACGATGTCGGTCCCCTTCACGGCCGTCCAATTCACGGTCTACGAACATATGAAAAAGTTACTAAATCCTTCGGGCGACTACTCACCCGTCACGCATATGATCGCAGGTGGTATGGCGGGCGGTGTGGCCGCAGGTGTCACTACTCCTCTGGATGTCGCGAAAACCCTCTTGCAAACTAGAGGAACATCACATGATGCCGAGATACGAAGAGTAGGTGGAATGCTGGATGCGCTTCGTATAATATGGAAGAGAGATGGAATAAAAGGTTTTGGACGTGGAATGTCGCCACGGGTTTTGACGCACATGCCTAGTAACGCGCTTTGTTGGCTATCTTATGAGTTTTTCAGTGAGTCCATCCTCTCGTGATTTGGTTCAACGTCCACTCATATTGCAATTATTTACAGAGGTTGCTATTCGCGAGCAATGACAGATCGCGTCCTCCATAGACAGTAAGGCACGAACCGTGCTTGCATGATCCACTTTAGTGCCGGTTCATCACTATCGCACCTATCTCCGCTACATTACTATCAGGTTATTCCAGTCAGCTGCCACATAATACTGACAGCCTTTGAGATTCGCATACTCTCGCATTGACCTGTCAGGAAGCCTGCTATTTCCGGAAGCTCAGCACAAGGCCAATGAGATTACTATAGATTGATCGGCGAATGTTACGTCCGTGTGCAAGCAAAAGAATAGGTGTGGATAACAAGCCATGATAATCACCGACTGCGATGTCAATGACATGCGACTTCAACCCACCGACTGTGAGTAGAACAGCTGCTGCGTCGGCTCGCTCTCCTGACACCATGCGACTTGGTGTTCCCACATTCAACATCTCGGAATATATTTACCGTCTGACCCACCTGGTTCGCATACTATTCGTCTCGCGGGGCGTATTTGGGGAGAGTACAAGCAAGCGACGTGTCCGGGCAAAGATTAAAGCTCACATATTTCTGTCGCCCTGACTTAATTCCTTGGTAATTTGCTTACTTAGTCGGGTATTTCGATACCTGAACTGTAAATAGCGTAGATGGCCAAATATACATCATATGATCAACATATGATTATGTTAGCATTCAACGCTAGATGTTGCATATGTGGACCAAGGTTTGTGTGTGGTTTCGGAAGTCGAGAAAGCTGATAAGACCGTAAATAATACGCAGAGGATGTTTGGGCTTTGGAATAACGGAGAAAATTTGGGACACTCCCTACGTTTGCGACTGTTGGGTAAAGCAGTTTTTCATCCATTTTTTTTCTATTTACTAGCTACTTCACAGCCGCGACTTGAGGTCAGTTTCGCAATACGACTGGTTCGGCGTAATGCGTGACGGTTGCCCCCATACAGAAAGGCACAGCATAACTGGAAGGACCATGTCCATCCCGTGATATGTGACTTCTCTCCCTCAACATACCCCACATGACCCACCAGTCTTCAGCCGCGTCCCGCGCGTTATAGCCGAAGACCTCGCAAATCTCATCCCACTGCCAGCGCATCTTCGTCTCGTCCCAGCCTTTGTGTCCTTCGACCATCATACTATGGAGGGCCTGATCTCGCGCATCACGTTGTGGCCCAGGTGGCACCCATACTGTATCAAAAGCCTTCGTCTCTTTTGCATATATGGCACGCGTGCGTGGTTCGCGCAGCTCCTGGAACGCTTCGAGCAAGTGAGGTAACTGATCCAAGTCCCGTATTCGAGAGAAGAGGGTGCCGAGCACTTCGGCGTCCTCTATTTGCATACTGCAGCTTTGTAGAACGCAAGGCTGCGGAAAATTCAAAATTAACAGACAGAGTGTCGAACTCAGATGGACTTGCATATAACGGGTGTGCAGCCTCTCCTATAAGGAGAAGCCTTCCTGATTCATCTGACCATTCTTCGGCGCTTTCTCTTTGGAAAAGTCGTACCCTCTGATAATCAGTAGGTATGTTTAGCAATCGCTGCAACCTTGTCGAATCGCGATGATAAGTCAACTCAATCATGTGGGATATGATCAATTAACGCACTTTGGTTCGAAATGGAAAGGGAGCTTTTCCCGAGGGACGGTCACGTCCCAGCCGTCTTGCTCACCAATGCCATCAACTTCGCTGTCAGGCAAGAACGCATGAACGGCAAACTCAGCCCCACCAGCCTATGATGGTTGAGTCATGAAACCCACGGCAAAGGGAAAAACATACCACCGTGAAGGCTATGACATGTCTGGAGTCTCCGGTCCATATCGGGTACTAGACACTGTGTGAAACTTCCGCTAGAAAGTATTGGTGGGCAACGTACATCAGGTCTGCCTTCATGAAATCGCGTCAATTCACTGAGCTCAGGGTCGTTTTGAAGAACGTCCCGAGGTATGATTGCACTGCGCCAGATTCCCTGTCAGCGGCGGTTCCCGATGTGACAATGAGAATGGCAGATTACACGTAAGCACTGTGCCCTTCTGGCACCTCTTCGCTTGGCCACCCAACGACCGCTTCGCGGACTGTACTCCGTGGACCATCGGCCCCAATGACCATATCTGCTTTGAAGACGGTACCATCCTGAAGCTCGACGCGGGGTGGACTCGTGTGTACTTTGACCACTGTTGCATTATATGTAATACGGGCACCCGCGCTGACCGCTGCACGATAGAGCATATCGTAGAGGTCACCATACTGTAGGGAAAATGACATTATAATTTGAATAACTTCCAGAATGTTAGGGCAGATACAACTTACACGGATCACCAGATAGTCAGCTCCTGTCTCCTGAAGGACGTCTTCCTTCCATTCGAGGCATCCTATGACTTCTCCTGTGTCAACTGCCCGGGTCAGTTGATGAGCTAGAGTGAAACGTCAACTAGTGCCACAAGTTCCTCACTTGAAAGGAATGTGCTAGCGCGTGTGCTGAGTCCGTATTTCATTAGCTCATTCTTGAATCCCCAATCCACCAAAACTTTGGTAGCATTGGGTGGGAGATGTGTACCACCAGCACGCTACAAGTTTAGTTCAGCATTTGCCTTCGCGTTCGCACATAGAACCCACCCGATTTGGTCCTGGAGCTCTGTCTAGAACCCGAACATGATGCCCTGCTAGGCAGAGTCTAAACGCGGCAGCCAGACCGGCAATACCTTACGAGGACAATTGGACTAAATGGCCCGAGAAAATCATGCGAGTTGTTCACTTACCAGCTCCAACTATAATGATGTCGACGCTGAGCGGTGCTCTCCTTTTTGATGATGACATGAAAGCACGCGAGGGACGTCACGGACGTAATAGCACAGGTGTAAAAGAGGGACAGAGACTGAAAACGAGCGAAAAGACAGACGGTGGTAATGTCAAGGAAGAATGGATATTAAACGTTTTTCTTCAATGCGCCGATATATCATTATGACAGTCGGCTGATGCGGGCTAGAGTAAAGCTTCCCTTCCCTATGAGAGAATAGTACCATTAAGCGGAAACCGTCCGCATAAGGACATTTAATCAAGGAGGACCTGGCAGGAACATGACAACGTTATGATTTTCTGACGTTTCTGTAATCCGGCCACTGTGCGAATTCTGCGAGTGTGCCTTCAACAAGTAAGGGAACATCGGAAACAAGTAGCCCACGATTTGAACTCACTGGTTCAGGTTGATTAGGATCTAGGATTGATCTAGGACATGCATTGGCAGGCGCTGAGTCAGCGCGCGTGACAGCTGTATCGCTAGTTGACAACCCCAGAGAGCCACTCGCTGTGAGAACAAGTCGACGAGCGGAAGCAGGCAGCAGACGGAGGCTGATCTGGCAGCAACGGAGCCGGCGGGAGCGCGGGCACAGTGAATGTACCTCCGATAAACGAGCCTATCAGAGTGCGGGGGGGATATGCAATATACATGCTGTAACATGCTGGGACGCACCGGTAGAAATTGACCCCGGCAACCAAAAACAGTTGCCAAAGCCTATGAAGACGGGAAAAACTTGGCGCTGCCCTGATCGTATCCTCTGAGCCAACGGGTTTCGCCGTCAACTTCCAGCGCTTATGATCATGCGATAAATATTAAATACCAAATATCGTAATTCTACGGTTCATCGTGCCGTCATGCTCTCTAAGGCAGCTGGGGGACAGAAAAAAAAAATACCTTGCGGAATCAATCTTACAAGCTCGCTCCATTTTTCGCTAGTGGGGAGGACGTGTTTCTACCCCTGCGCGCCCTAAGTGAGCTGGAAGTTCCCGACCTGACGATGTAAAATTATAAACGCTTTGGTAAACAAAAATCTCGTTCAAATATTGTCGTCGTAAGCCTAAGGCGTTGCCCTATGTAGGCAGGATGCATTCGTTGAGTGTCGTCTGAATTTATAGGTTTGAACACTCATGGAAAGCCCAAGCTTGTGCAAGGATAAGTAAAATATGCATCGCCCAAGGACATGCACAATACTATGGATCCAAACTCTTCTAAGATTTAGAAGGGGGACCGAAGAGTCTCTAGAACACACGCCTGTCTGGTTCAAGTTCTATTCTAGTTCACATCCAAAACATGACGTGGTTGGCCACCCCAAAGTGCCATCAAGAGAGTATCACGATGGAAAGACAACATTCTAGAAGAATGTCATGACGACATCGTCAACAGTTTTTGCCCACGGCCGGAAGTCATCGAGGATAATAACCTATATTGACCTGGTCCACGGTGTAGGGGCTTGGGCCAGCGTGACACATTCAGTACTTGTGGACGCGCCTAGATGCCTCGATTTCGTACGCGAGATAAGAATCAGCATTATGAGAGACCGCGGGTAAAATGGAACATACGTGCACACGATTTACTCCTTGTAGCAAGCTTTCAGGGACCGAGGGAACTTGTCCCATCAATTCTATCAACCTTCCGCGTTTCAATCGTGGTTTCAGGGTGATGGCGAAGATGGCTAGACAGGCGCTCAAGTGTCAAAAGGGCTTCGCCAAAACGGTACGCCTTATCGCCGAGATCAAGAATCAGCACAGATCAGCACTCACTATCAAAATCAGTAAGAAACCAAGCTGTGGTACGTAGCACAAACCCACCGTTTGGAGTTATGATTTGAGTCAAATGGACAAATTCCAGAGGGTTCTATTCTTTCACCCCATTGCGCTGTCGGACCACCTCTCGACGCACTAGCATTTACGGACGTTCGAAGTCCAATGGGGTGGTTTTTTTACTATTTCAACCACCCTTCTCTATGGTGACGTAGTTTCGGCAAGGTTTCATGGCACCATAGGAAGGTACGTCCAAGTCGACAAGACAATAATACAGCTCGCAAGTCCAAATGCGATTTTTGCGTGTTTGCACACAAGATCTGTTAAATGCGATTACGCCTTTGGGCGATCTATCGGACCCGCGTAGACCGACAGGCAACATGCAGCACCTTTACAAGCAGTAAAATTCCTTTCTGTCCAATATTGTGAACGATGAAGTTATGCAGGGGCGGGTCATAGTTAGGATTGGGGTTGCCTCTTGAACCTGGAATGGACCGTCCAATGCTGTCGCGCTGAAAAGTGAACAATAGTTTGTGGAGCATGGGTAGATGGAAATGACAAGCGCGAGTTTAATTTCGGTGCCAAGTGTCTAATGGACCTCAACGGCATGAATGCAAGGGAGACAAGCGTCGCACTAACGTCCGATGAGTAGCGTTGGACTGAACAGCAGGAGAGGCGATGTAGGCACCTGATTATTTAGTATGTAAAACGAGGCGGTGGTGAACGTCGTTCCGTTTAACACCGAGAAGCGCAATGGGGACATTGACATGTCCACAGAGGCGATGTGTGGTTGATCCCCATGCTGAGCAAGTGCGCGCGGGAGCATGATTCAATCCGCTTAACAAATGAGCAAGCGGTAGGCCTGCTTCACTGGGTGAAGGCGGTGTACCTTCTTTTATGTTACACAATTACTACCAGAAAGCACCCGTCAGCCAGGCTTGGTGCGGGTGAGTTGCGGGCGGTGCATGCTACGTGATGGACAGCTCAGTAATAGATCGGTGGAGCGCAATATGTGATGAACTTACAGCAGCGTGTGGGCCAGGAAAGATCCATGAACGCAAGTTCATTTTACTGAACTGGAACCATGGAACCTAAAAGTTGTACCGTGCGAGACAACGTAACTATTCACCAAGTTTTCGTCAGGAACTTGCAGAACATATATACGGTATAATCCATACAAGCAAAAATACGAGAAGCTTCGCCTTCATCGTGCTGTTAGCTTCCATTTTCAAGCACCAAGCTTGTAAAAGGACCTTGCCTTGTCCTAGGGGTTTCAAGGCAACAATTCGCTCTCCGAGTTTGCTCAATGACATCATTGTGCCTCCCAAGTCATTGCGGCGACCCTGTCATGCAACTGTCGTTCAGGTTATCAGCTTTGTGGTTTCGTCACGTAATAGGCAAATCATTTCATGGATACTGCGCACCGCCGAGATAAAAGTTTTTGTGAATCGCGTTATTAATGCTTTGATGATGTAGTTGCATGTTGTTTGACATGCGCGTCTGACCGGAAGCTGTCTAGCATGTGCGAGTTGTGGAAACGCAACGCTCACCCAGATAAAGCCAGAATGATGTCCCCAAGCTTGGAAGGTGGTGGCGGTTCCGGGTTTGACAATCATTGCACTGTACTCGAAGGGCGGCGTAAGCACAGCGAACATGGCAACTGCTGTGATTCCGTATTTTGGAGTTATAGTTTTCCAATATTTCCGACACCACTACCCTATTCCCGAAGAAACTGCTACCTTGTAGTGTTTTCAATTTGCGTCACTATACAGCATTCCTCTGCCTGCTCTTGAGCTCGAGCTCGGCTGGTGGCATCTGCTCACAGGATCCTGCGTGCCCAGATCTCAATATCGTCTGTGCAGATTGGGATATTGAACGTTGCAAAAGCGGCCCTAATAAATAAATAGGGTGGTGCGTTCAGCCAGTCCGTCCAGTTGCGTGAAAGCACACGTATAAAAGCTTACATTTTCGATCTCGACGCCAATAAACCTGTGTTCGAGCCAAGCCTGATTGGGTCCCTCTACTTGAAGCTTTGATGCAATCGCGGAAGATCCAGCATGAACATCTTCGTCGGGTACAAGCAATTGTAGGGCAAAAAGGCAAGTCGGAATGAATTGCGCAAATGACAGAACGTCCTCCGCTCATACTAAGCACGGGATGTGTTCATCTGTTATTGCGCGTGCGGGCTTGAGTCGAGTGTCTTGTGTTTCAACGCTGTCATCACATGAATCATAAAAATGATTATACTAGTGCCCATCCAATGGATATTGTTAGAAGAGAGCTAATTTGGCTGAATGACTAACGGAACCTTTAGATAAATTATTAGTAAGTACCGCCACGGTGACCCGCACCAGATCTTGCACTTGACTTGCAACTTGCTCTCCAGATGCTTGCAGTGCAACAATCAGCTGTAGTTCCAGATCCTCTTTCGGTTCCTTCGAATGCACCGGAACACTGTCCTGTAAGCTTCAACGAAGCCTGCTAAATCACTGACATCACTAATTGCATTGAATGGCAGGGCACGGAGTCCGAGTTAGCTGGCAAAGCCGATGCTTGCAATGGATGCGCAAATCAAGAAATCTGTGCATCCAACACACCCAAGGGTCCCGACCCAGCATTACCCTTCATTCGCGATCGGATGGCTACCGTGAAGCACAAGATTCTCGTTCTATCTGGCAAGGGCGGCGTCGGAAAATCTACCTTCACCGCCCAGCTTGGATGGGCATTTGCTGCGGATGACCGGATACAAACTGGTGTCATGGATGTTGATATCTGTGGACCATCCATACCCACTATCTTTGGTGTTGCCACAGAGCAAGTGCACTCATCATCATCGGGATGGTCTCCGGTCTATGTACAGGATAATCTTGGTGTCATGTCCGTCGGCTTCATGTTGCCCTCGTCGCGAGACGCCGTCATGTGGCGTGGTCCGAAGAAGAACGGACTCATTGCGCAGTTCCTTAAAGATGTCGACTGGGGTGATCTTGATTACCTCGTCATCGATACACCTCCTGGCACTTCGGATGAGCACCTTAGTGTCGTTCAGTACTTGAAGGAAAGCGGCATCGATGGTGCTGTGCTTGTGACTACGCCGCAGGAAGTTTCCTTACAGGATGTTCGGAGAGAAATAGACTTTTGCCGGAAAGTGGGCATACGAGTACTGGGCCTTGTGGAGAACATGTCAGGTTTTGTCTGTCCTGGATGCAAGACGGAGAGTCAAATATTCAGACCAACTACTGGAGGTGCGGAAAGACTAGCAAAAGAAACTGGCGTTCAGCTGCTGGGTAGGGTTCCACTTGACCCACGAATTGGGAAGAGTGCAGATTATGGTGTCAGTTTTTTGGACGAATACCCAGATAGCCCCGCGTCGGGTGCATACATTGACATCATTGACAGTGAGTGTTGATCGTCTGCCCTGGTATTTTACTCATATATGACCAGAGATCAAAAAGATATTGGGAGGCGATAGTGCCCTGTAATTCTCATTGTCCCAATTCCCAGTATTCTAGTACCGACCTCATTTCAACTCATGTGTATCAATAGATTCTACACTGGAAAGCTATGGTGATTCTATGCAAGAAAATATTATATAACTCCCTCCTTCACCCCCTCTTTCCTGGTGCCAACGCTGAACTCCATCGGCATCTCACTGGGTGGAGCATCTGCTTCGGATTGTTGCCCAACAATGAATTTGCCGATGGGCGCCACACCCGCCAATCCCCCCGCCAATCCTTCTACACTCTCGTGAATGGATACTGTCGACAAAGTCCGCAACAATTTCCGCATGGCTATTTCACTCCCCCCTGCTGTTGCGGTTGAGGCCGTACGGGAACGAGCAGGCAAGACGTAACCTTGGCTAGGAAACGCGATACCGCTAGCGCTGGTCGGCAGGCCATCAAACATGGGTACGAATGGCTGTTGCATAGTTGATGTTGATGGCGAGTTATATGCAGATGTGGACGGCTGGCGTTGTGGTTGAAATGTGATGGAGCGCCGTGCGTAATTGATGACGGGGTCTGTAGGGGTGCACGGGCGGAAGTAGTCCGACACAGTTGGCGCGGCGAGGCTATCCGAGACCTCATTCTCCCTTATAACATCGGGACTATCCATCCTCCGCGATATAAACACGCTGTCCCAGGACTGGTGAGATTGTTCAGGTGAACTAGGAGTCTCTCCGCGAACATCTTGATGAGGGCTACGTGCCGCCCGCTCGCGCGTGATACCTCGCACTTCCATTCTGTAATCCTCTATTTCCTCCCATAGTGCCTTCCTGAAATCTTCCAGGGTTTCTAGCTTCTCGATGTCTCTCCACTTTTCAAACTTGGTGGGACAGTCGGGCTCATCGGTTTCTTCATGGTAGGATGCCAACCAAGGATGAGCGAGCGCGTCAGGAACTGAGATGCGTGTCGAAGGGTCGAAAGACAACATTTTCTGCAGGAGATCCAGGGCTAGCAAGTAGATAGTCATCAGTGCTGACCTAGTGCCATCGATAAGCTAGTCACCCTGAACATCGGCAGTCGGAAGCAACTTCCATAGCGGTACGGCCTTCTTGATTGGAAGTGAGCGGATATATAGTTGTGCCTTCCCGTAATGTCAGGGCTTGACCGATAAAGCTACGATGTCTATGTCTACCTTATCGCTCCCAATTCGATCGATTACATCTTCTTCCGGGGTGCCTAAACACCGGTCAAATTCGCGATCGAAGGAGAATCGTCGGAAACTCACCAAGAACGTCGAGTATTTTGTTCAGTTGATCAACTGTTAAGGACAAATGTAAACATAACAAACGTCGACTGCATTCGATGTTCATGATAATACTAACCATAGCTGTGGGCACGGCTGTCAGCTTGCCGAAGTAATACATGCCTGGACTTACTCTTTACCCTTGAACAGGGGCCGTCCGAGCATAAGTTCTGCGAATATACAACCTATTGACCAGACATCGACTATATCCACGGTTCACATTTACAAGAAGGATTGATTTATGGGAGGAGCTCACTGGCTCTCGTGTATCCTCTAATACCAGCCTGTGTGAAGAGAAGTATTATGACGGTGAAAAGACGGTCGCACCTGAAGGCCAGCATGATCTCTGGTGCCCTGTACCACCTCTGTGGCTACATACTCGGTGAGATGGCCCACTTGCTCATCTGGGGCAGAGTCAAATCCCCGGCTCAAGCCGAAATCACATATCTTCAGTTCGCAATCGGAATTAACAAGTAAGTTGCCTGGTTTCAAATCGCGGTGAATGACGGCGGCCGAGTGCACGTATTTCATGCCTGTTTGTCAAGTATATAGTTAGTGATCACTTAGAATAGCAGAATGAACTACCACGAAGAATCTGATACAAAAAGTACTGGACGTGTTCGTTGGTCAAATGCTGGCCGGACTTTATGATTTGGTGCAAATCCGCTGCCAAAGGTTCAGCACAACGGCCAAGTTGTGATTTGGAACCTTACCTTCCATGGGCTAGATAGAAATCAAATATTCTAGCAGTAGTCGAACTCCTCGACGACGGGTTAACGCACCTCCATGAAAATATAACTTGAATGGTGATAAGCCAACTACTGCCAGCAGTGAGCGGACTCGACTCACATCTCCTGGAAATCGGGAGAGATGGCATCCACGTCGATCAATCCAGTGATGTTCTCATGACTTGAAAAATGCCGAAGAAGAGTAACCTCTCTCAGTGCCCTTTTCGCAAGCTGTACTTTCTCAAATATTCGGGTGACGAGTTTGATGGCCACTGTTTCACCAGAAATCTCATCCACAGCAGATCTAGCTCTGGTACATCAATACAGTCCACTACAAAAAGTCCGAACCTGTCACTCACACAACGACACCATATGCACCTGCACCCATTTCTCGGACCAGTTTCCATCGCTTCTCCACGTGAAACATCTTGCCAAAGGACGTCATAAAAGAGTGGTATCCTCTGGCGCATATCATTTAATGAAGCCGGTAATGGCGAGGGCACGATTGATCTCACCGTTTTCTCATGTTGTGATCTGGGAGCTGATCAGAAGTCCGCCGTATTCTCGATCGACCACGATCTTGAGTGTCAGAACTTGGCGATGGTATCGGAGAGGACGACTCGTTGTCGCTGCGTGACCTGCTCTGCCTGGCATCGCCTGACATTGTAAGAACCAGAGCAGGCCGTGGTGCTTAACAAGACTAGATTGGACGTCTGAGCGCAAAGAAGGGAAGTCGCAGACGTGGCAATCTTTCCGTACTAGTACTACCGCAGAAGCAGGTGGCCCAGTGTCGAGTGCTGAAAAATTGAAGTTGTGTTTGAGAATTCAGCCGTTCCCGATTCCCGCATTGTTCGACACGATACATCACGAAGATAACCTCCGGGACAAGGGATTGAAATTACTCCGTCTGTCCGAATATACACGGGGATAAGACACTTTATGTCCGCAACAATTACACCAATGAAATAGTAGAATACTTAAGAATATTCAGGCGCTCAAAATTCTACACAGGAGTTGAGGCCATGATTACATCTGGCGTCACTGGCGCAACAGGAGATGCATCATCGTCCTCACCAAAAATATCCAAGAAACCAGCCACTCGTGCCTTGTTTCCGGCCCTTTTGGTGACATACTCTCGCAAGCCAGACTTCAGGCTCGGTTGCTTATCAACAAGTTCGCGCAGCTGCTCCTTTGGCAGTTGCAACAATGCGCCAAAGCTCGCCGGTGCAATAACCTTGGCACATCGTATAAACCCTTCCCATAGGTGAGGATTTTGCCATATTTTTTTGGTGATCAGGCGCGACAGCAAGGTGGTGGACACGAAGCCAACCAACGTTCTATACGTCGTGACGGCCTGGATGACCTATTTGACCGTATTACCCTGAATAACTGCAAGTGCGAATAGCAAAATCGACTCACAGTGCGAAGGAAAAGAACGGGGAGAACCGGTTCATCTACAATCTGTTGCATTACCACAGCAAGAATCTCCGAGCGGAAGACATCAGTCATTGAGAAGCAAACACCAATTGCTGCGCGGTAATAGTGGGATAGTCAGTGGGCGGCCGGCGAGGATGGCATAACTGTCACCTTCGATCGCGCTCTTGAGACCGATCTCCTTCTCAGCCTCGTGGAGTAACACCATCAACTCAGCCGGCGTTAGAAGCTCACTTTGCCTCACACGAGGCAAATTTGATGACACAGTCCCGAAAGTTTGCGGAGGTGTAGTGACAACGGAGCTGAATACAGACCGAACCAGGTTTTTGGGCTCTTGCTGACCGTTCAGAATGGAGACAATTCGGGGCAGATACTTTAGTATGTCCGGCTGTGAATAACTATATTTAGCAAGGACACGTTAGTCTTCCTCGAGGACATACCTTGTCCATCTCTGCGATGATTGGAATAAGGAAGCGAGCATCCAGATCGCGGTCACTAATAAGACCTTTCACTAATGCTACAAGCTGCGCGCTCGGTCTCCCGTGCTCTGTAAAGATCGTCAAAACACGCAGCGCAAGAGATTCACTCCCCGGGGGGCATGTGCGCATGAGGGTTAATAGTTTGCCATTGCTTGAACCTAAAGATTTGATAAGAGCAGTGATCAAGTCTTGAACCGCTTCTTGAACGGATAACTCCATTTGGCCATACGCCGTGAAGATCCTGAAAAGGTTTGAAACACGAAGCATAATTATAATTATCAGGATCGACGTACTCATCCAAGAACTCTGGAATCTTGACGGATAGAGCGAATAGGAGTTCAACGTGTTGTAGTACGTGAGCCTTCTGGGCTGGTAACTCTAGTTCTTCCGTTAGATACGGCGTTTGCATAAGGTCCTCGGAGGGAAGTTGGCCATCTTCCATATTTTCATCGCCTGGGCCGGCATGTTCATCGGTGACTTTTGGTACCTCCTCTTTTGATGGTCGCTTTTGTAAGCGGCGCAATATTTGAAGAGCAAAGTCACGTATCATACTATCCATGGGTTCAATGCCGGGAACCCATCGTCGCACGGTATTGATGGCCGCGCGCCTGGTCACAGGATCTGCAAGAGATTTACATCAGCATCTGACAAGGGATGTTTGACATACCTGGATGAGTAGTCAATTCCAGAAGGACCTGAAGGGCTTCGACTCGAAGGGATGGCCGCTCTAAAACAAACTCCCGAAGACTGGTGAACCCGACATGCATCCTGTTGATTGCTCGGTCCCCGTCATGTCAAAAAAAAACACAGACGAACGTACTTGTCAGGGTCAACAGATAGATCACGTAACAGACCCAGGACGTCGGGAGGCACGGAGGGTAAATCTAGTAGAAAACGTGCGAAAGCTTTATCCTTGCCGTCAGGCTTACCCTCAGGCTTGCCTTCCAAGACGGTCTGATACGTGGAAACAACTTGATTGAGCCAGGATTCGTAGTTTGGTCGCTAACGCTTGCCATTGACCAAACCATACCAGAAAGAGTAAAGACATAGCACGCACCCAATCAGGGATCATCTGCCATTCTGATACGATCATTGTACCATTCTTCATTCATCCACGTTGTGACGAGACGAAGTCTTCATTGCCATCAGAAACAAACTAGTGATTGATGCAATGTCGAGAACATACCGTGAGGGAAAATCAGCCATTATGTAGTCGCATAATGTTTGTCGTAAATTATCTTGTCGCGAATAGAAGTCCAATGCGGTTTTCTCCTGTGGAACTTTCGGCTCGTCTCCTCCATCTTCGGGCGGTTGATCACCATCAAGATGAGCTACTCGTGTGATCATCCGAACAATAAGCATCATCCACATATCGGTAGGAGAAGCGCCAGGCCATTGTGACGGTACAATTGAATCAGCCTTGAGTTCTTCTGTTCCGTCCCATATTCGGGCGACGGATCCACGGATCAAAGCGTTTCGCTCAACGTCGGTCAATTCTTTTGGTTCGAGTATCTTGGAATCGAGAAGGTCAAGGGTGAGGGCTTCTGGGAGATCCGCTGGAATTGTCTCTTCCTCCGCTATAGTTTCATCGCCCGAAAGCTACGGCGTAACATTAATTACAGTGAGCACAAGTCAGTAAATACTTAGAATGCACGAACCTCCATGTTGAGTCTATCAGGCTCATATTCCATTTCCTCCTCGTCGATATCCATTTGAAGTGGATCCACAGGTTCATCCTTTACAGGAGGTTCTGTAGAAAGCCCAGGGGCAGGAGTTGGTTCCGGCGTAGGTTGAGGGGGCTGCGGAGTTCTGGGTGCAGGAAGGCCAGGAGCCAGCCCTCTGCTCTGTCTGTAAGCTTGTACTAACTCAAGCAGGGCTGGCTCTGTAAATGCCTGCAGATTGGCGACAATAAGATCTGTTATAAGAGATATTGGAAGTGTGGTGAAGTCAAAGCTAGCTAGGAATGCAGCGGACGCATTTCCGGGAATGTCAGCGTCGACTCTCATACGTTTAGCATCAGATGGTTGCTCTGCTGGTGTAGAAGAAGGTCGTTTCCTGGTAGCCTCTGTTGCAGACGCAGCGACGGCAGCCTTGCGCGCCTTTTCCTCTGCGGAGGCCCGTTCCATGCGAGCAGCTTGTTGGGAGAGCGCCTCGTTGATTTGAGCTCCAAATGAAGAGCCATGGGGTCCCCTACATACAACCTCAGTATGCCTGGCACAACATCATCACAAGATCACTTACCTCGAAATATGGATGAGCAATATACGGACAGCTTTTTCAACGCTTTTGATAGACGATGCTGGAAGTCCGGACAGTGCGGCAGGAGTCCAAGACGAGAGTGAGGATACAACTAGATGTACCAGGGCGGGCCTTTGCTTGACTAAATTGCTCCAAGAGTGAAGTATCGCGCTCAGAAGCTCAGGGTTCCTTATAAGAAGTATCAGATACGCGCTCTTACAGATAATGCATGAAGATACTCACTGGCTGGTATACAGCATAGTAATCACGCTCTCAAGAAGTTTCATGCCTTCGGCTTCTAACGCAGGACCTGGAATGAAGGGGTGATCCGCAGGAACGTTTGCAATGTTGGGATCGTTTTTGTTCTGAAGCTGTAAATTACAGAGGATATAGTACAGTGAGCGTGCGTATGAAGGAGAGACTCATGGAAGAGTACCCTAGGGTCCGATATACCCCGCGTCTGGACAATGATGACACGCTGCATGAACTTAATGGCAGAGAGCTTCACGCCACTGCTGGCGTTTGGCGACCATATGAATTCTAGGATGCGCGCCTTGCACTGCGAGAGGACGTCCCATTGCTGGCGTAGGGTACGGTTTGTACACCTGTCACACGAGGGGGTATTAGACTTGGTCGAATCCGACAAAAGATGATAACGTGCTCACAATGAACGGAAAAGAAGCGGGTAGACACTTGTCAAACACTGAATAGACACCTTCACAGTACGCGTATTTGAGTCATGCAGGAGCGTGACCAGCGTATCGACGGACTGAGACGCGACTAAGAAGTAATGACATCAACAGACTTAGACGCTGGCGATACTCAAAGATTGAACTAACGTTGTGTGCGAACTTCGGTAGACAGATTAGAGCGAGAGATAGCAAAATGGAGGAGATCAAGAACCCATCTCTTGAGGAGAGAATCACCGGCACTCGACACAGTTTTGATGAGTGTTGTACAGAGGATGGGTATGGGATTTGGGTGCGCTTCAAGAGATTCACGTAAAGTAGCAAGTATATCTGCTTGTTCTTTCGAGTCTGCCGGTACTGCTAACGCTGCAGAAAGTGTCTGCAGCGGGTCAACCGGATTTCCTGCCATCCTGCAAGGTGTTTTGCAACGTTAAAGCTGATGCTACAGTCTGAAAACAATATCCTGTCGGAGTTCTAATTCAACTCCTCTACTTACCGCAATCATGGTAAGTACGGCGACGAACCAGCTTATGACAGTAGAATCTCATGAAATATCATAGGCAGCTCAACATTCGCAGGGAATACAAACGCTTCTTGAAGCAGAGAAAGAAGCTGCCAAGATTGTGCAGCAGTCACGTCAATGTTAGTGACATTCAGTTTACTTCATAATATGGCTGACTGTTTCACCAGACCGCCTTCAGAGATTAAAGGACGCACGCTCAGAAGCAAGCAGAGAAATAGAAGAATACAGACAGGCTAAAGACGCCGAATTCAAGTCGTTTGAAGCATCGGTATGACATTCACTCTCTCTTCACTCACGCACAACCTAACATAGCGAGCAGCACGCAGGAGTCACCTCCAATGCACAGGCTGCAGTAGACAAGGAGACAAATATAAAGTTACAGGCCATCACAGATGCTTATGAAGCACACAAAGATGTGGTTGTGAAGAAACTACTAGACCGCGTCCTATTGATCAAGCCCGAGCTGCATCGGAACCTCAAGAGGGCTGGTGGCGCAGAATCACAATGATCAACTTCATTGCTATGGACTTGACTTGTACAGTAATACACTGGGTGCTTCAATGAGCAATAATACCCCTCGATCTGATAATTAAAGGTTCGTACGAATTACCGAATAAATATCAAGGAACGACAAGTGTGCGGTTGCGGAACAAATACAAAGCAGGCGATGATAATGAATGGAAACAAACACTCTTGAACCTAGGCAACAAAGTGATGCTAGCTTGTCCTAGAAACTGTCGACTCGCTGGCTAGCCACGGTAAGCCGACAGGCATACTAGTTGAAGACGTGGCAACTGCGGGACGAGTCGAGGTAGAGTAATCTATATGTGAGGCTGAAAGAAATGGTGATCGAGTTGCGTCTCGTGGGCCCTGGCTAGGGGCTATAAAATGCTGTCCCGGTGCCTGCCAGCTAGCTGACGCAGGTGATGGATGGCCTTCATTGGCTCGTTGCCAATCCAAAAGACCGCTCGACTTCAGTGAGGGTAATGATAGTGCTGGGGGTACGACAGGAACTGGCTCCGTATTCATATGAACCCTGGGATTTGATGGCATCTGCAAGGCAGGATCGATATTGACATCATGTGCAACGCTTCTCTTCTCTCTAGCATCAGGTTGTAGTGGAAGAGGCGGATGTCCATGCGCTCGAACGTCAGCAAAAGAAGGCTGACCGAAAAACCGGGCATCAACGGATGTGCGCCCCGGCGGTGCATATACCGGAGGTGGGACTATCTGGGGTGCTGTTGCCTCGAGTGAGTTTCGAAGGACTGGTGTAGAGCAACGAGATTCTCCGGAGCTCGAAGCTGCTGGATGTATGCGACCTTGCGCAGGCGGCGGAGGTTGCAGTTCCTTGGTGTAGTCAGGTGCCGGTGGAGCTAGGTCTTGGATACGAACGCCGTAAACCTCTTCAAACTGACTCGACAATTCCAAAAGTCTAGGGTCATCCCCAGTACAATATTTGAACAAAGGCTGTTTGATCCGATAAGAAGACGATCAATATGACGTGAATCAGGAAGTTCAGAAACCATACCCAGAGTGCCATTCCCACTATAGATATGTACCATTAGTGAAACACAACGAAGCAGTCACCTAACGATACTTACGGAGAATACTTTTTCCCGCTCTGTCACCTAAAGCAACTAGAATCTTGTTCAGCCGCTCGCGCGCCCACAGTGGACCTCCGGGCATGGCCGTACGACAACGTTGCCTGGCCTATGTATCACACCGCCATATCCAGCCGTCTTGTAAGCGGACAGTTCAAGTCAAAATCAAGGTAACCCACCTGGTTCAGTCCGAAAACACACGAGCATTGGACGATGTGCAAACAACAGAAGCTCCATGCTCCCATGTTGGAATTCGTGGCAAACAACGTCATTTGAATGGCAAGATTCTCGTCGGTGAAACGGAGTGAGTCAGGAAGCGATTCGTCCCACGCCTTTGGAAGCGATCAATATCCTAAATCAAATCTGTATGAACTTTGATATTATCCTTACGTTGAGTTTGGCCTCGAGATCCAAAAGAGTGTTGACAGGATGTATGCCCGACTCGCGGTCTGAGCACGAATGAGAACATATGAACTCCCGCGAAGCGACTAACTCACTGTTGAAGTCATCCATGGTCTTCTCTATCTTCTCGTGTATAGAGAGGACGCGAATTAGCTGCCCGGTCTCGGACCTTGACGAAAGACTGGGTTTATCCAGAAATTCTTGACGAACCAATGAGCTCAATGCTGAAACGACGACTCGACGACTAACCTGGGACAGCGTCATGTACAGTAAACAGGAAAGTCGTCTCATCCACAGGGAGACGCAATTTCAATTGCGATTCCTGTGCTAAGATAGGACGTCGGTATAAAACAGACCCTTGAGCATCAGATATATATATAAGCCAGAAAACACGACGAGCGCATTCTCGCTCGATGGACGCATCAATAAACTCCAGCGAGGGAGCAGGTGTCAAGATGGGGTTATCAGCCTGATAAACGCCCAGCTGCTCGATAACCTCGAGTGCGTACACTGCAAAAGGAATAGTAGCATAAGCACCGACAACCCTGGAAATGGCAATTTGTATACCATGATATCGTCCTCTCCAGGATGAATTAGCCATCCGATCATGCAACTGCAAGAGACATAAAGCCTGCGCGGTTGCAAGATTCTTCTCACAAATCAAGTTTTGGTCTTTATCAAACATAAGCGCCATTGCGCCCTGGAAGAACTCCTTTCCAGCAAATCTTGAACCCCCCTCCTTAAAACAAGAACGCTGCGAGAGCGGTGCCGCGACAGCACAAATTGAAAGAAGAAGATGAGGGGGGACGAGTCTATGAGAAAGAGCATGATGGAATGAAGGCTCATGGATAATCATACGCTGCGGTTGCCGGTGTGCGAAGAACACTGGACCGGCTATCAGTCAGTGTCAGCGGTCGGCCACTGTGCGGGGGACTTACGGTGCACAAGCTCTCTTGTGAGTGACGGGTCTCGCTCCAAAGAGCGCTCAGAGGTTGGTAAGGATGCTGGAACCAAGCCTCTCAAAGGCGTCTCAATGGGAGACGCCGTCTGGCCAGAGTCTGGTCTGAACCGCTTGCGCGAAATATCTTCATCAGGATCGACTTGGGACGCAAGTGCCTCCTCTTGCTGTAGTCCTGGGACAATGAAGGATGGTTGACTACCCTGAGCGCTGTCCGGGAATGTTGCGAAGGAACCCTGACGAGCGTCGGCTGGTGGGTCAGGGTTATCTCCTTTGCGCGGCCTAGGTGCCGGCACAGGTCTACCCGAAGCATCTGTGTACGTGCATTTCTTTGAGGCGAAGTAACTAGAAAATTTGCATGAGACGACATATTCGGAAACATCCAAACGATTTTTAGATGACGTACCAGTTACTGCAAGGAGCTAGAAAGCAGGAGGTCAGGATTGGCATAGCATGGGGGCTGTTATGGAAGATAACGTACCTGTTCCGTCACATCGCCTTTTGCTTTTGTGGCAGGCATCGCACGCCTATATGGTAAGATACTTGGCACGCGTCCTACCGAGTCTGAATGAGTTGGAGAGTACATACCTTTGCTAGTCGTTTACGCTTTGGACCCTTCATGAACGCGATATTAGTGTCTGACCTATCTGAATCCTGGGAAGGGTCTATGAGGAAGCGGGAACCATCTGGAGGGGGTTGGTTTGGGGGAGCGAAAGTGATTGCCTGCATCTGTGGTTGCTGAAGAGGGTCTCGAGAGCGAGCGAAGTGATCCATTAAAAGGCGAATAATATGGGACTGATTAAGCCAGGCGACGAAGGAGCATATACGAGGACTGGTAGAAGAACTCCCAAGGACGAGACCTGGTTTGTTTGGAACGAAGGAAGGAGTAGGCGTCTAAGGGGAAAGACGCGAGGAGTAAACTGACTTGAACTTAAGGGTTAAACCTATCGATACATGACCCAGTAGTTGTAGTAAATGACATTAAGAAAAGAAAATTAAAAGGATAACTGACCTTTAGTAGATAATGGGTTAGTGAGAAAGAGAGAGTTGTAAGTAAACCCGTGGAATGGCACACACACACAAGTCCAAGTAGTACTTTAGACACTCACGGCAGTTCGAGGAAGCCTTGCAATAAAACCGATCATTTCTAACAAATCAAGTCAACCCGCCGGCCGCGTCCGGCTTTTCCCACTTCCTTGGCGCCGCCGGCTTGGTTTCCCCTACTATTACCGATCCCTGCGGCATCCGTACATACAAGATTTCGATTAGCCCTAGCCTAGTATACGCAGTCAACACCCGCTCCCCGTTATGTTTCATAATTCTAATCAGAATTATGGACTTAGCTCATGGCCGGGGCCCACTCATTGATCTAATAGCACCCTGATAAGCCGAACGGCACCTCTCGGCGGCTTTCCATTTTCGTTACCGCATAACTCATTTAGGTACACGTGTGCCTCATTTCATGCCGCCGGATATCACCCCAAAACAATCATAAATTCATGATACAAATTCCGTCCGGCGGCCATGCAGCGCCCACTATAAATTCTCCTACATTCTTTGGGTTGACCTATTATCGTGCCAGATCTCACTGTTCTGATTCGAACGTTCGAACATTTGCGCTCATTGGTCCATGGGAGGAAACTGCTCATTATTACGGAGTATCTGCTCGCGTGTACAAGAACAACATATCTTAACGTAATTAGTCGAAGAGACCGAAACCCATGTCGTCGTCGGATTCCTCCTGCAATTCGAAGGTTTAATTTGCGCTCGGAGGTATGGTCAATAATGGGACTGACCTTCTCCTCCTTCTTTTCTTCCTTCTTCTCTTCCTCAGCAGCAGCGGCAGGTGCGGCACCACCTGCTGCGGGAGCTGCAGCAGAGACAGCGCCACCAGAAGGAACCTAAGGACGATAATAGTCGATCAGCTCCCGCTACTCTTGTTTTTCTTGACCGAGACTTACCGATGAAAGCTTAGCAGAACCCTCAGCAATCAACTATAGATGAACACGTGAGGCACGGGTAAATTATGACCGGGAAAAAATCTTACAGCATTGATGTCCTTGCCCTCGAGCTCGGAGATGAGTTTTTCAAGCCTGTCCTCGTCGGACTCTATGCCGACAGCGGCCAACACCTTCGTGACATCACTAGCAGAAGGGGAGGCATTGCCACCGATTTGGAGGAGAAGGTAAGCAGCGATATGACGCATCTGTGAACGTCATACAGTTAGCGTGTTTTCAAGGCGTGGAGATTTGACATACTTTAGACGATTGTTAGTCACAAAGATATGTATAAGACAAGGATGCGGGCAGCCACAAATCACTAAAAGGTCCATTCAACATTCGGTTCAAGAACCGTGCAGAAACACAGATCATACCTTTAATCCTCAAGGGAAGACCTGTAGATTCTATCCGACGACGTTGATGATGATGTTCCCCCTACCTTTCTGCCAAACTTCGGGATGGTACTATACAGTACCACGTGACCACCATCAGCCACAATTTCCATATTTGATTCCTTTCCGACTCCGCCTCAGGATTGCCGAAATCCTTGCTCGCTGTTATACACGACAACCGCAAGACTAATTCACGACACAACATGGTGCGCCATCTGGTCCTTCTGGAGTACTGAGTCCAACGATCGCTGATTTGTTCGAATGACAGGCGGATTCATCAATCACTGACCCTACGGTCGCTGCTGAGCTCAAGAAGAAGAGAACCTTCCGCACGTTCTCCTACCGCGGTGTTGACCTTGACAAGCTCCTTGACATGAGCAATGAGGATGTGAGTCTCTATCACGGATACTCTTAAACTATGCTAAATGATCAATATTTAGTTCGTTGAGGTATGCATCTCGCTTTCAGTTACCTTTCCTCAACCTGATCCACATCACAATAGCTTGTTCATGCCCGTGCCCGTCGTCGGTTCGGTCGCGGCCTCAAGCGCCGCCCAATGGGTTTGATTAAGAAACTGCGCAAGGCCAAGAAGGAAGCTCCCCCGAATGAAAAGCCCGCAGTCGTCAAGACCCACCTCCGTAACATGATTATCGTTCCCGAGATGATTGGCAGCGTCGTTGGTATCTACAACGGCAAGGTTTGTATTATCCCAACATTCCTTGGGACGGACGTACAACTGAGCATGCCACTAAAGGTATTCAACACTGTCGAGATCAAGCCTGAGATGACAGGCCACTACCTCGCTGAGTTCTCGTGCTCGTACCGGCCCGTCAAGCACGGTCGCCCTGGTGTGAGTGTCTTGTTCTTATATCTTGGATGTTGACTCAATATCGGCTGCACAGATCGGTGCCACGCACTGTAAGTTTTCATGGAATCTATTTGGGAAATCGAACTTGATCCTCAAATTCCCCTCTCACAGCATCTCGTTTCATTCCTCTGAAGTAAGGCACTGGGTTCTTATATCTTCTGCATGTCCCTCCATCCGCTTTACTACTTCAAAATATATGCGTATGCTCATGCCATACGAAACACATATCGCTCTCACTTCTGTCATTGTCGGAGGCAACGGCAATCTCATGACATCTGGATTCAGTCCAGCAGCATCGACCCCCAGAAAAATTGTACAAGATAGCGTTTCAGTTTGGTTAAATTCAAAATTGCGTACATTCGAATGCACGGGTATAATGAGTATACTGCGAAGGTATTCGTCCATGTCATACTGATAAGTGAAACCGTACGGTAAACTACAGATAATGCGAAAAATCAGAAGATGCTTGGGGCAAATGAGCGTCAGAGCAGCTGCGAGGAACAGCAAGGCAAAAGAGTGGAAGTGAGTCGCCGTTATGATGACAGTATCTAGAGTCCAACGGGGTCATCGTCGGGGAGCTGAAGTAGCAGGAATGCCGTTTGGTGATGATGAATGGAGGTGCTCGCCGCTACTTCGCGGATGCACGTAGGATGATGGTCGAGGAGGTGCTGAGGATATGGTACCAGTGACGGGTCGTTGAGCAGTGGGCCAACCTGTCTCGATCGGCTGGGGATAGCGAGATGGTTGCTGGCCCTGAATCATAGCCACACCTTGCGAAAGGGAAGTTGGATGCGTAGAAGCAGGATATGACATGGGCGAATGAATAGCTCCTGGATGTGGATGTGGCGACTGTTGTCGACCATTCCGTGTATAAGGTTCGCTCGGAATCGACGTCAATTGTGGTCGATCTCCAGGTGGCGAGACGCGGGGTGAGCTGGTAGGATTCGGCGAACCTAATGATGCCAACGTTGGACGCCCGCTTGCTTTAAGGCGCATGTACGTGTCACATTTCTTCATGAAGTCTTTGCTTGGTAGCTCCATGCTGTTTGAGAAATATTCCTGATCATGGAGGATAGGCAGGAATTCTTCGGGAACCAAATAAAACTCGTCCTGGTTCTCGAGTAATGAGGTTACTACCCGAATAGCCCCAAAGCTCTCGTCTCGAACGGCATCACGCCCGCGTGAGTATAAAATGCTGGGACAGATGACGGTTGCCAGATTTAATAGGTCCATCTTACTGCCAGTGGATTCGTCCATGTGGGCGAATGACGCCACCCATTTGAGAAACACAAATAGCACCTCCATGGTGTCACGATGGCTCTTGGGAAGAAGCAACGAAACTAGATGGAGGCAACGTCTCCGCTCCGCTTCCGTAGAAAGGGCTGAAAAGGGAATGTGAGATTGCGAATCATTTGAAAGTAAGTGGAGACAGACACTGCGACGCAATCAACAACCGGTGTAATTTAAACGTCATCAGTGGCTCTGGCAGTTCTCGAAGGAACTTCTTCAAGAGGGCAGCTAATTGGACGGGATTGTCCTGTGTGAGATCCACCGATGACAAGTCGTGGTCGATAGCCTCCGTGAGATCCTTCAGCCGCCTGATGTTACCATTCTTCCGGAAGATTCCCTCCACAGACATATCTGCAGAAAGACAGGACATCAGCACAGTGGGCAACCGGGATTACCGTAAACAACACACCCATCTGCCTCATGGCTGAGACGACATCATCAATAAAGCTTGGCACCCTCAAGGTTGCACGGCTTGCTCCCAACAGGGAATCTGAACCTTCTTTCTCAACTAAGAGCTCAAGTGGAACATTGAAGACGCCTGAAATCATCGATGAGGAAAACCAAATGCTTCGGAATTGTGGAGAACTCACCCTTCTTCTTGACGTTCTTCTTGTCTCCCGCCTTGAACAGCTGTTTCCAGAACCCTCCCTTTTTCGTCTCTACCAGTTCGAGCAACTCATCCAGTTCGAGCTGGTCCCGGAGCGACGAACGCTGAAGGGCGAGGACGGCAGAGTATTTGACAATAGTAAGTTCGAGCGCGCTCAACTCGGCGACATGTGGTACCGTGCTCTGGCGTGGCAATGACCGCTGTTGTTCACGAGCTTGCGCGGCTTCCATCAGCTGAGGTATATCAGCTAACGTGATGCCGTCATCAGGAGGATGTAACGGGGCTTCGTCTGGGCCGCCTGCTGGAGAGTTGGGCGCTGACTCGTCCACGATTTTCACCTCTGTGTTGCTCCGCCCGATATTAGTACGAACTACTTGCCCCTGATAGCTTGTATCCAGCGCACCGGGAGTGCGAATTTGCGCTCGCGAAGGAGGTTGTGATGGCATTCCCGATGTGCCAGGCTGGGAGGGCTGACGCCCTGGAATCAGTGTCCCTGGTGGAGGTGCCCTCTGAGGTTGCGGCGTTTTGATATCTGGTTGCGATCGCTGCGCATGCAATGGCTCTGAGGGTTGGACCGTTTTGCCTGATGGACTCTCGACGATCGTCGATCGCTTAGGTAGCCGCGCTGTAGCAGACAGCTTTCGATCCAGATGTACAGATTTCATTCGCATAATATCGCCCGAGTTGCGATAGGGATCTTGGTCCCCTGACTTGGGGTTGACGCTTGGCATCGTGGAAGCAACTGACAACACTTGCTTACGATGCAGAATACAGAGTAAGAGAGATGGGAACATACCTGGTGACATAGGAACCACGCCTTGTTGCTTTAAAACCAGGTACAACCTACGCAGTGCAATGTTGAGCAGGAATGCATATTGCTCCAGCCGAGAGACAGCCTGGAATCCATCTTGACACCCTGCATGCGCGTGCTCGGTACACAGGGTAACGGAAGGCACTTCACCATATGAGGGCGTCTCCTTGACCGAATCAATCTCGTACATAAAGATGCCGACATTTGCCGGTGGTCTTCGAACAGAGGAGGGCTTCGATGGGTCCTTTTCGCTCTTTTCCTTTTCCTTATCTTCTGCAGACCTTGGTGGCGTCGGGTCTTTGGGTACCGGAGCAGCAGCTACCTTGTCACACCTGGCGCACTGCAGACATTGGGAGTGCCAACGCTGATAAGTCCCCAACCGAACACAGTCTTCTTCCACTGCTTGCGTACACTTGACGCACCGGTCTGAAGGCGGATTACTGACCGTCAACCGAGATGACGAGTTTGCTGAGAATGGTGATTCTCCTGCATTTTCTGGTGCCAAGCTCCTGAAGCCGTAAGTAACGCCCTGTGTGCCAAGGTTTGCTCCTCTGCCTTGCCCCATAACCTCACCACTTCCACCTTTGATGGTACGCCGAGCTGTTGGGTCGCCACCTTGCACCGCAAGTAAATGTAGCTTATCGAGGAATGAAGACATAGCCTCCCGGACGCTCTGTTCCCTCTCCAGTTTCAGGGCGCCAGTTAATGCTATTCGAATGAGGATCTTGAGGTAATGGGCTATTCCGGTCACAAGCGCAAGAAGTTCTTGGGTCATCCCCATTCTCCGTGACCCAGTTTCCTGGGTTCGCGAAAGAAGCGTGAACAGATCGACCGTTTTTCGACAAAGCATGCGGGCTTCGCGGACATGAGACATTCCTTGAAACAATGTAAGCGATACCGCCACGAAACACGAGACATACACGCACCTTTTAAGTTAAGCCTAGCGGAATGATACTCGAGGTCATCGATGGTACCGAATAAGACTTCCACATGTAGAATAAATTTCTCGGCCATCCTGATGGCATCAAGATATTGCCCGTTGCTAACCTGTCGCAACATATCAGATATACAAGCAGCGCTTGATTCCTCGAACGCCGAGAGAACCCTGTAATGGACATGTTCAGCTGGGTTTCATGCCACGTGGGAATCACTCACGTCCAGATGCGATAGACCAGCTGCTCCATCTTGATCTGTTTGTCCTTCAATGAAGTGGGAGTTTCTCGCTTCTCTTCCTCAATGTAGGATGGCTCCAATTCCGACCCATCACTAATCAACACACTCGATCTCCGTGAAACTACTTTGACGTTCCAAAACTGCAAGGCTGAGTTAGAATTAATATAAACCGCGACCTCCTAGAAAGAGGACCTTATTGATCATGTAGCATTCGGGATGCCAGCACTCGTCCCTCATGTTGCGATTTATCTCAACGAATTGCTTCAGGATGGCGCTGCTGCAACCTGCGCATTTTGTAGCAAAACGTGTCGAATAGTGGAAGTGGCAATAGACATCCCCATCGTGCTCGTAGTAGGAGTCCTGGGGGCCAAAAAGCGTCGGGCATAGGGAGCAAGTGAAGTGTTCCACGTGATACTTCTTGTCTGCAGATGGATATTAATTAGCAAGAAAGGAACGAGGACTAAAACTACTAACTGCATGCCGTAATATAGCTGCCTCGGAGAGCAAGTCCACACTTGGCGCATATAAGGTTCAGACGACGGAAGTAATCCCGTTCACAGAGAGGATGTTGTTTGCCATCAGGCCCATCAATGGGAAAGAACTTTGACGCAACGACATCGCCACAGTCCTGACGAATTATAAGCGGGACTGGCTAGATGAAAGGTCAGGATATTCATACCAAGCATTTGAAGCAATCCAAGTGGTATACGGTGCCTAACGCGCGAACGAAAGCCCCTTGCATTGTGTTTCCACACGCCGAGCAAGGTCTACGGTGAATAGGTGTCAGATAAGGGATCGAAAGCACAGAATACTAAGAAACTATTGGAAGAGCGTAGAGATCTAAGTAGGGAATGGCGAACTCACGATGATGAAATATTTGTAGATGTCGCAGAAGACGTGGACGTCATAGGACCAGCCTTGTTTGGGGAACTAGAGCTGGAGGACGCAGAGTTCCCGGAAGAATACGAGACTACACTGTCTCGACGCCTTATCTCTGCGTTCTTTTCGTTGTACGAAACAAGATTATTTGGAGTAGAACCGTTGGGAGTAGTAGGACGGCTGCGAGAACGAAAGGCGGGGGGATGGAGGCGGAAAAGATGCGGGGATACCATTCGAATCATACCTGCTCGAGTGAGCATGATTCAGGTCTTCACTATAAGCATGAGGAACGAGATCATGTTTCGCGGAAAGATTATTACGGTTGAGGTCCTGGGTGGAGCCAAGGGTGGAAGCTCTTGTAGGAAAATGGGGACGATCAGGGAGTCGAGCAGGGCTTGTCGGTGGAGCATAAATAGAACCACCAAGATGAGATAAAACGTCGTGCTCTTTGCGCAAACGAGCCGTTTCTGAATCAAAAGCCATAATGATCCCAGGCCTGACTACGATGATTAGTACCCCACAGTTAATTGGCACAGTTTTGAGAAAGATCCTGCACGATTTTCATGCGGAATAGTAGTAATATGCTCCAGCCAGCGATGAATGAGAACAAAATCAAGCTAGAATCACCAGAAGCTGGAGAACGGTGCAAAAGCAGTGAGGTCTACTAAGGAACGAGGATCACGACTGTGACAAATAAGTCACGCCCGTGACAGCAACGACACACCTTTTCTGATGATCTCTGTCGTGCAAACACCATTTATAAATTTCACCGTCTGCTGACCAGTGCACGATGCCGGCTTCAAGTTACTTTAAAATCATTAGCCGATATCTAACACAATGGATCGAACGACTCGTTTTTCAAGTGGAAACATTCTACAGAAATCTGTATATCGATTTAAAGGTCTTACGGGAGAAAATAATAACCATAGTCACCACCAACTATAACGAGAAGTTATAGGAGCTGTTGTGGACAGGTTGATTTAAATATGGAACGGTCTTGCAGAGAAACCTGGCAGAGGTTTCTCCAGACCGCACGTCGGCGGACCGTCATCTGGCGAGACAGTAATATCTTTTGGTTCAGTTTGGTAGCTCTGCGTCTCTGCACGAGTCTAGTACCTGCTGAGTAGGTGACTTGGGCATCAAAACTCCTACGATAGGGAATTGGATTCAAGACCAAAAATCTAAGCAACGATGCTATTGCCATTCGCGATGACGGAGGAGGTTATGCAGTCGGTAAGTGAGTCGAACGATTGATTATGCCTCATGCCATTAAAAAATCGAGATATCTGATAACGCCGTTGACGAACACACTTGAGGTGGTTACGTTCGTTTATCTCGAACCCTTCCCTTGCAAATAATCCTCTTCATGGACACATGAGAGAGCATAATTTTTTTCCAGTGGTGATGAGGACAAGATGAGTTCTCGTGCTCGGTGATCGACCGCTGTTCAGACTCAGGGGTATAACTGAGTGTAAATCTAGTCCTTGACTTGGCGTGCATGATCCATTCTACTCTTGAAATTTGAAGTTTGAAGACCATAATGGATCCCGCCTTCATTGATATCCACCTGTCTCTTCCAACATCTCCAGACAACTTAGATGATGTGTAATCAAATCCTTTCGTATTCCCGTCCAACATCTAACCCCTATGTCATCGCATCCCTTCAAGCTCCTTCGTTTCATGTGCTTTGTGGTTATTGGTGCTTGCGGCGAGTTGTCTCTTTCTTCTGAAAATACTATCAATTCTGCTCTATGACTCCCCAAGTATCAACTCTTCAACCATCGACTTTCCACCTGATGGTAACCTTGATGTATACTATCATGTTCAAGATGGCCAACAAATCCACGTCTTCCCTATTGATCATACCACGGTTTCCGACTGGAGCAGCTCCGGATCCCTCGTCACCTCTAGCCATTATGATCAAATGCTGGATTTTAGGACCAAATTGTCGGATAGGGATCATGGCACTTGTGTCGTCGCTGACATGAGAGTGGATTTCTGTGAAGCAGCTCACCTCATAGGTGCCAGCAAGGGTAACGATGTACGCAATCAACGCTGTACAAGCACCTCATGAAGCTCGTCATGTTCTGTATTGTCACTCATCAGTACATCGACAATCTTACAGCTAGGTGGTCGGTGAATTACCCACATCCCGCACACATCATCGACATAAATGACACTCGGAATGGCTCGTTCGTCAGCGCAGAAATCCACAGATCTCTTGGGAAAACAGTTGCATTTTTGCCAGTACATGCAAATTATACCCATGCTAAAGTCTCCCCAATTTATCTTTTTATAGATACCAAATATGACTGCTGCCGACATCGACTCTACTATGGATTTTCGAGTAACTCATTGCTCTCGATGATCATACCCAACAGTCATCCGGTCCGTATCGCACCTCAGGATTGGCCGCCAAACATGCTTTTCGAGGTTGTATACGCAAATGCAATGTATAATTAATGAGGACTCTGAGCCTTCAGAGACCATATGAAATCTGCCTGGAACGAAGATTGTATGGTAGTCTCCCTCTTTCTACTCGTGATAGTGGGCTGAACCGGGTGTGCAGTGAACGAAAAAGAATGGTGAGAAGTGGCGGCACAGACATTTACGGCCGCGGAGGACTCCGACCGAACCGGATGCTATGGATCTCCTACTGATGTTTCCATACGTCCTCTGGGGGAATAGGATCTATGCGGCAAGGGAGGCCGTGGAGAGGAGTCGTGACGAAGCGACACGGTCGAAGGTCCAGGAAAGGTTGGAAAGGTCTCAGAGGTGCGAGGGTGATGCATCCTCACAAGACTGCCCGTACGAACCATCTGATGCCCAGCCTTGAGTGGGCGTCAGTTGATCGTCGGCTCTCTTGATGTCAAGGCCACGAGTAGCGGCAGGCAAAACAGGGTGAGAGCGCGGGTGGTGAGAAGTAAGCTCACCACTGAAGGCCATACGAGGATCCGAGCGAGTCGAGATGAAATAGTGGGCTCCGCTGTCCACCCATGCCTCTCCCGACGTCGAGTTGCAGGTCCTTATCTGATAGATGAGGGTGATGCCATAGTCCATGGAACACAAGTGTAAGAGAATGAGAAATTATTCCGAGAGGAATCAATCACTAGAGGCTCAATTTTGGCTATCACTTTGAACTAAACGATGATATAATACCAAGATCCACATTTACAACCCTCGACGAAATACAAACATCCGTGAAATTCAGTCAATCCAACCTTTGTACCTGTACGAGAACATATCCAATATTTTCCTTCAAAGTTGTCTGTCTTGGTGCTAAATTCAGAAATACGTGGAACACTCTGAGACGCACGCACTCAAGACTGATTAGCTGTCAAGTTCACTATGTTAGCATAGAGGTGTTCTCTTCGCATCTTGTCTTTGAGAAGAGTGACGGAAAGCGATTCCTCATTTCGACCTGTAGCGCGGATAACTTCCTTGTCTTGCTCTGTCATCTCTGTCCTTAGAAGCAACTGATTCTGCTTGTCGGCCCGGATGTGCAAATTGATATACCTATGCAGAGTGATTGTGAAGAGCTCCGCGTGCTGAAACTCATGACGGGAAGACAAAATACCCACTCTAGCAACGTCGCAGAGTTCAAAGGTTTCTCGATTTGATTGCCCGTGAAAGCAGAGGAAGATATGAAAGGCTCGCCTTTCTTCACGAGCCTAATGGGATCAGGGGGAATTCGAAACGCAGAGGTGGTTCCGTGCTCTGTATAATTGATGAACTCTATAAGTCCAATGGGATCTTTGGAGAAACCCTTTGCGTTGCCCTCTGCTCGAGCCTCGCGCCATAAGCGTAGTCGCGTCGGCGTAAGGGGACCGTGCGCGCTCGGAACCCATGGAGAAATGGTATTGACTTGCACCATCCCTTGTATCTTCTCCTGAACGGTCCCGCCATCGAGATATAGTCTAATAAAGTCAAGAATATCAACCGGCTCAACGGCGATGTCAACGCGGACCATGAAAGGCATGTCGAATCCGATCCGGGGGTTTTCAAGCAAAGCACACTCGATGACACTAGCGGCTTGGAGACACATCATGAGCGTTATGTTTGCGGTGATCATTCGTACGAGTTTGATTGCTCCGGAGGAGCGTTCAACGTCGTGGCATCCCAGTTTGTGGATGGGCCTATTATGGTGTACGGATCCGGGTCTGGTGTGAGGTCTTTGTGCATGTTAATCGTAAGCAAAGCTCTCACCAGTGTTTCTTTTGGCACTACCAGACGTAAATTACGGTGTCAGTCTCTCTGTTTCATCTCAATCGTAGATCTTACCTCTTTTGAGCAATACCAGACGCCCTTACACTAATTAATAAAGTGATGAGCACCTGCGACAGATTTGGGCTGAACCAACAGTACCTTTGAACATTTCAAAAGTTTATCCAATTTTTTTTGACACTGCGTGCATTGTACGCCCATAGTTTTGACGTTCCTTTTGAGCAAATCAGTGGGACATGCTGCAGCGCGGAAAAGATCGTCCCGATCTGGATGAATCACATGGACGGGGACGATTTCTAGAGCCGCAGATTTGTTCGTGCCAGACATGTTCTCGTCAAGATGAATGTGGTGGTGAGTTGAGGTCAATGTAGATGTAAGACCCATAACCTTGGTCCTTAGGGGGTAAATCGGATTTTCCGGAATTTACCGTTTATAAGAATTAGTCAGCACCCCACGTTGCTCCCAGCCGACCGGGGCGTTACAGTCGCGCTCAATTTTGACACAAATATGGCAACTTCTTCTTGAGATCCTCGAATACTTGCTACCGCAAACCATTTCGCATTCATTGGAGACAATTTGTTTTAAGTACTTACTAGGCTGGTTCTCGAATCCAATCTATCTGTAAGTAGTCAAGACTGTTGTCCCTTAACCGTTACGCCAAAAGGCAGTGATAATGAAAGCTCACACTTCATTATCTCGGACAGTATTTATGCTGATTATGGGAACTCAGGTAAGCCAACGGGCTTACACTATCCTGCCTTGGGGCGCAAGGCGGTGAAAGCGATTATCGGTTGTTTGCGTACTATTGTGACTCCACCGGCGCTTGATTCGATAATATTTGATCAAATGCCATGTAGATGCCAACCTGTCCCAGAATCTCTCAAATGAACATTTGGAAGTGCGAAAACGAGCGCCATCGATGCGGAAAGATGATAGAGCATAATGCCGCCATCCCTAGGTGCAGAGCGTACTTGAGAGACCACAAGAACGTGACAGAGCAAAAGACAACATACTTGACATGGCATCGGATTATCAAAAACGCTGAGTATGGCACAAACCTGTGGTGAAGCTAACCAAAGTTGAAGACAATCCTAGGAGCACCGTCAAGGCCGCTACGACCTATGCGCGACCCCGGAACTGCATCCGGGACGGAAAGCTGGTCGACTCTGCATCTTCTGCTGAACCTTATATCGCAATTAGTTACGTGTGGGACACCCGCCCTTCTTTCAAAGAATGGGAAGGCAGGCGGGTCACAGAGCAAGCATTACACATCGCCGACCGACTCTCGAAACACACCTCATATGCTCTGTGGATCGATGCAATCTGCATTGACCAGGACAACGAACCAGTGAAGATGGTTGAGCTTGCGAAGATGGCGGATATATACCGCGGGGCCACAGCAGTGTTATGCCTTGTACCGGAGATAGACCAAACGACAAGCAGAGTCGTGGAGCATGGAACCGGGATGATAGATTTAGATGGGTTCCGTGCACTTGAACACGCTGGAGACACGCACGGGATGTACATGTTCGCTTCCCAAGGCTCAAACAAGGCGCTGCACAAGCTATTCAGCAGCAGGTGGTGGACGCGTGCCTGGACGTTCCAAGAGGCAGTTCTTAACTGCGTAACGTTTTTGGTGGGAGAGAAAGAGGAAACTATTCCCATTTCCGACGTCCTCAAAATCTCTCACCCGATTAGTCGACGGGCAGCGACACAGAAGAAAGACAACTTGCTGGGGCAATTATCCAGTTTTTGGGACTCGGTTCATTCCATGTCAGACACGATGAAGGTATACATGCCCCTCGGGACAGCTATATCGAGCGTGTGGAGGCGCCAATCTACCGTCACTCATGACATGGCGTACTCTCTGCTTGGCGTGTGTCGTCTAGAGACAGTCACACCTGACTATCGGCTCCCAGTGGAGAAAGTGTTTGCTGACCTTGTGGACAAAGCCAGCTCGAAGGGAGACTTTTCCTGGCTGAGATGGAGCCACTTGATCGACAGAGACACCGCATGTGAAGGAATGTCCATGGTGCCCGTACCTGCAACTGTGTTAGCAACCCCTGCCAGTGCTATCACGGAATGGCGTTCCGTAGAAGTTCCTCAGATGTCAGTTGTCCGTGGAGGAACCGTTGGTGTTTGCATTCCGCATCGGTCGACTGGCGTTATAAGATGGCAATCACAACTGGAAGACATCAAAGGAATTATCGACATGCTCCAAAAGCTGTCATACAGCCCCGAAGACATATGGAACTTATTATTTGGTCTGCACGTCGGATTGGCGTGTGACGTCGATAGAGCCGTAGGAGGATCTGGGCTAGCTCAGGCGTTGCTCAACCTGGCGACTGGATACATCGACGGCACGCTCAAATTGGATGACTCGGTGGATGATTTGGTGGGAGAAAAGCCATATACAAGAGGATACGGGTTCACGGCTTATGCATCCATGGCAGCAAAGGTTTGGAGAAATGCGCAGTTGGTCGTGATGCGCTCCCAGGGTGGAACAACAGTGGTACCTGCCCACAGCGGAACAGGACAGGCGCGATTGCATAAATTGCCAGTTGAAAGTCATAGAGGGACGTGCCTGTGCCTTGTTGTGCATGATAGCACGAAATTTCGGGCTAGCGCAATCGGAGTCATGGTAGAGAATGATCATGCAGGGAGTGGATCGTGGCAATTTACCCGGTTTTCTTGAAGATACTACCGACTTATGCTTGGTGATCTCATGATGGATGGTTTGATGAAGGACTTCCTATACTACTCTTTTGCTTTTGATTTTCGACTCATCTACGACTGGGCTGGTTATCTGTGATATACATACATACTCTATGTACATAGAGTGCTGGCTATCCAAGTCATCATATTGCACCTTCTCTTTCCACCACATCATTCGGTTTCATTGTCAAGTCGTACCAGTATTACGGTGGTCTGTGACGGGACCGTTCATTTTCGGGTTCACAGCTATACTTCCCATGGATACATAACTTTATCCTTCAGCCACAATTATCGACGATTTGCCTCATAGACAGGCTGGTCACGACTTGCCAATGCATCACAGACATGTTGGAATTACTATAGTGTGCTTACCTAATCTATAGTAGTACTTGTGTCAAAATCGAGCGTGGCTGTTAGGGAAATGAGCGCGGCTGTCAAGCTTTCGGCGTTACGTCACGACACGGCTGACCAAAAAAAGGACACGCCGAACAGCTGCGCGTCCTCCAGGTACTATTAGAGGCCGAGCGATGTCGTTGACGGCCGCCCAACGCGTTCCCCGACACCCTATAAAGCCCTGTGTACCCACCTGAATGTTATCCCCATTGCTCCCTAATCAATATCACCAACCCCCCTCACTAAAGTAACATGTATCCCTACTATCACCTCCGTCGTCCGTCCCGCATCTTGTGGTTCGTCCTCGGTGCGGGTGCAGCCACTTTCTGGCACTGCAGCCGCCAGATGCGCGAGCATCGTTCTCAGTACTTTCCCTGCGTCATGCAGGCGCGTCGGGTAGAAGGAGGCGGCGAACACCCCACTCCCCCTGTCTACTCCAAGTCTGATGCGGATGCTCCTGCACCCCATGAACACAGGTGGAACTTTATACACAGGAGCCAGCCTGATCGTAATTGGGATGGAACTGCAGGCTGGAATCAACGACAGTGGGAGGAGGACAAGGAGCGACTCAAGGAGATTCAGAAGCGCGCAGAGGATGCAGTGAGTCCAATGAAACGGTGTTCAGTATCGCAACTCATACTGATGTACTTGAAGATGCTTGATATGTCTGAATCTACCCTAGAGTCCATCGTCTCTACCGTGGAATCACTGAAAACCGTATGCCCTTCCCTTCATTCCCCAGACCCAGCCTCTCAGCTTCACCTTCCAGAAACTCGCCCAGCACAAAGACCAACGCGAACAACAGCGAAAGAAATACGAAGAAGAACTCGAGAGGCAAGAGAAACAACCTCGTCGATATGTATAAATCGAAGGATCGTGCATCACATTTGTAAATCATCACCACTCCCTCGTTATCCTTTTAATTCGATTCTTGCATTATAAACTACCACTATATAATCATAGACAGCTCACTTCTCGCTGACACCAATGGTTAACATGTATCGCATAAGGGTATGACTGCAGGTATCACTCTAAACTTGGTCCTCCTGTTGCATCCTTCGAATATATGTCGGAGCTTTAGGATCGAGTTTTCCCTGCTCCTCGGCTAATCCATCCACCACATCAGTGACAATCCAGGTAATGACAAGCGATCGACTTACGTGTTGCATGCCAAAAGTAGATGATGAGCCCAAGGACGACAATGCAGAAAGCAGGGAAGTAAAGCCAGTATGGCGAATAGTGCTGGAAAGGCATCAGCCGCCATCGACCATCATAGAGCGTAGTACTCACGAAAAGGAAGAGACCTATCACAATAGCACACGATCAGTCATCATGAGAACAGTCGCACAAGGAGGATGGCGTACCAAAAATAAGACCATAAAAGTCACTCGTGAGCAAACTAATATTATAGAAGGCTGAGGACGCCATGCGGTACAGCAATGGAGCAGTCGTATAGAGGATAAACATCGCTGCCAATGAATGTCAACATAAAAAACAAGCTGGAATATAACAGAAACCCACCAGCTGTGTAAGCAACAAGAAAACCAACTGCAGAATCCAATCAGCCACGTTCATATTACGTCCATGCCGGAACAACGCACTGGTAGCACCGTTCCACGACGCCGTAGTCATGGCCGCATGCTCCAGACTAGCAGCCTGGATCCCATTGATCAGGGTTCCCCACATACCAAGCTGGCCAACGACCTGCCACAGCAAAATGGGCGATAAGCACAGCTCCTCCATCAAAGGCGCCTCACTCACTTCATAAAGCGGCGATTTCCTCACAAAGAACTCTTCCGTGGCATTGGCTAATGACCGTCGTTAATACAACTACTTTTCATTCAGAAGAGAACGTACTAAAGCCGTATAGCGTAGCGCCGACGATCATGAAGGCGTCACCTTTGCCCCTGCTTAATGCAGGATAGTTCTTGTCCGTGAGCATGTCTGATGCTACTAGCATGCCGAGGCCTCCGACGCACACCAGGACGCCCTGTTTACAACCGTTCAGACATGGAGACAGCCAACCTTTGATGATTCCTCACCAACACCTGAGTCCAATGATACTTTGTACGCATATACACCCAGCAAAAGAAGATGCATACAGGAATCGCCCAGCTAAGACGGACTCCGTGAGACACGGTAAGTGTATATAAGCGGCCAAGTACAACTCACGCGTCTAGGAGCATGCAGGACAGCAGATCGGTGTAGTTGTAAGCCTGTACGATGTGAGATGAGGCTTGATCCGTGATCGAAGTGGGCGGAGATGCGTGCGCACCTTTACGACCAAGAAGTTACCCTCGACATCACAGCATGCAAGAATGAAATCTAGTGCGGGATTGTCAGGATTTCTGGCTAAGTGGTAGGATGATGATATCACGAACATTTCCATCCATCTCTAATTACCATCTGACCCCAGCCCTTCAGCCCATCTTCATCTACGTCAGTACCGATCAATGAGAAAGAACAGCCGCGCTTACACTTATACATAGTATATGGCGTATAGACGATAAAAAGCGAAAAGTATCTGCAGAAATGAAATGAATATGAATGGGCGTCATGCGAGGTAGGATCAACACAGGATACGCACAGGAACCAAGTCTGCGTAGTCGGCAACGACCAATTCCTGCTCACCAGCTCCGTCGTCGTGACGTTAGTTACCGTTATGCACAGAGAAACGACCTGTCCAGCTAAGAGCGAGAGTACGAAGCGCCTGGTCCATATACTCTTCCATCTTGCCCATGCACTCCTCCTGAAGGCAGATGGGGAAGAATAGTCGATCGGAGGGCGGACGATGTCTCGCACGACATCGCTTGCATTTACGACCGATACTGAGGTGGCATCCTCGAAATCGCGCTTGGTGTCGAGAGATTGGCGATGAAGAGACATGGTAGAGTCTCTGGCGGTACTACTACTAGCGTCGGCATCCCGATCTGAAAACATCAGTCTCTTTATGTCCCCCTTCACCGTTTGGACACACGCAGGGTCACAATTGGGACGTCAGGAACGTGTGGGTCTTGGAGACAGCTCATGGACATGTGCTTTCCAAGGTTCTGCCAAGTGTGACGGCATCAAGTCCATGTGCCTCGCGGATTTTTTTTATAGCAGACGCTGATTACAGTAAGTAGATCAACGCTGGCTCCGTAACATACATCCTTGGCGACTTGCTTGTCAAACCATGTCCAGTGTCGTATATAAGATGATGGCGTGTAGGTGCCTAGTATTATCCTATAGGGTCGAACTGAGCCAGAGTAGCATATTTACAATTTAAAAAGAGCCTTGGAAGTGAAAATTTAAATCCCACACTGGTGCCTTGATGGGGCTGAACTTTCATGGAGTTGCACCTCACTAAATTTGACATACTTTGACAACAGCAGGCAAGTTCAAATAAGCGAGGTGATCTACAGTTTCACCCCTGCAGGCCTCAACCTCACAGCGACCACAAGTCCATTAGAATGATACGTAAGACAGGATTACCGTTTATCCGCAAAGAAACGCTAAATAACAAGGGAAACGTTAACTCGTGACACAGGGAAAAAATACATCCCTGTACTCACCTTCAAATGCCGCAACTGCCACGTGCACGTAGCAAGAAGTACTCCAATCTGCAAAACGCTATACCAAACAGCCTTCGAGTTCGTAGCTTCACTCAAGTTTCGGAAATCCGCCTCTCTCTCCCGCTGGTACTGTTGTTCACGTCGAATATCTTCGAGCCTTTGGTTGAGATCACGGAGCTTGCCGCTGAGCTCGCCTATGTGGCTGCGGTCGCTCTCGATATCTGGTTTTGTAGTCCCTACCACAATGTCGAGATACAGCTTGATGTGTGTGCTTGACCACCATGACGTGTAGTTAGTGGAGATACAGATGGAGTGGTCGCCTGATTCGGTGGAGGTGAATGTAAAGCGGCCGTCAGGTGGGCCTCTCGTCTTAGTGACGACGTGCGCTGTCTCTATTTCCTATTCGTAGGAATCTCTGAGATGTTTGTTGTCCGTCAACGCGCGTTTGAACACGTACCTCCACTTCGACGATGATTCCGAGTTCCTCATTTATAGCGTATTGTAGTGTGCTGTCAGTCCATTCTAACGCTCTGTAGTGCCCTATGGTGCATGGTAAGCTTCGTGATATTGAGTTTCCTGACCAAGGACACTTACCCTCAACCACCGTGTCTGATGGCAGCTCTTCCACAAAACATCGTTTTTCGTTTGCATCTAAGTAGAAGTGGAGGGCATTGACTGTCGTTATTAAGAGAAGAAAAGGCGGCAGCAGCACCGAAGGGCGAAAGGCGAACATGTTGTCTGGTGTGCCTTGGATGAGTTGGCGAAATAAGAAGATTGGAAGTCACGTGCTGCACACTCAGAAAATTCACGAACTGGGACTCCTTGAATCATTTCATATCCATACCATGGCTCCCGCACGATTTCAGCCGTCGTCTATCAAAAACAAGATAAAGAGAGAGGAGGTTTCCCGCAAGCTGAAAAAGACCAAAAGTCGGGCAAAATTACAGAAACGGCTCGATCAGGCCAAGGTCGAAGCCAACGACCCAGCAGCAAAGAAAGTGCGTGCAATGAGCCATCTGTACTCCTTGCCGAGCTGACCTCGCAATAGAAACGTATTTCGGAAAATGTACCCCGGACGCTCGATAATACCCGTGAGGCAGACCCAGCGATGCTCTCTGCAGCTGGTCCTTCGTCTGCCCAGCACGCAGAATTCTCTAATGATATCGCATCCGATCCTTTTGCGGACTATTTCAACTTTACGCAGGACCCCACTATCCCGCCTAAGGTTCTCATTACTACCTCTGCCAAAGCCTCGAAGGGCACATATGAGTTTTGTGATGAGTTGGTAGGAGTCTTTCCAGGCGCTGAATTTATACGACGGAAAAAGGGGAAAGGATTCGAGATGGGCCGAATAGCTGGTTGGGCTGCTGGGCGTGGTTACAAACATCTGCTTGTTGTGAATGAGGACATGAAGAAGCCAAGTATGTAGTCTCGGCCATCTCTACTACCAAAGACTCACACATTTCTAGATGCTATCACCTTGGTTTATCTCCCCGATGGTCCTATGGCGTACTTCAAGCTTACATCTATAGAACTCACAAAACAGATATATGTGAGTTCGCCTTCCATCACATCGCAGGCGCAGAAATAACGGACCTGTATCAGGGACATGCCAGAGCAACACCACACAACCCTGAGCTTGTGCTCAATAACTTTTCTACTACTCTGGGACACGGTATTGGACGAATGTTCCAGACTTTATTCCCGCCGCTACCTGAATTTCAAGGGCGACAGGTCGTCGCACTTCACAACCAGCGTGACTTTCTGTTTTTCAGACGTCATAGGTAAGGGACAACACAAGGATTGGACGAACAAGGTTTTTAACTGAAAAATATGACATTACTAGATATGCTTTCCGCTCGCCTGAGAAAGTTGCTCTGCAAGAAATCGGGCCTCGCTTCACTCTCAAACTTCGGTGGCTCAAAAGAGGGCTGCCAGCAGTTCAAAACTTTGGAGCATCACCAGATGCCCTAGAGATCAGTACAGGGATAGAGGAGTTACCTGAACCTGAACCTCTACCTCAGGAAGAAGCGTCCATACCGGAACAAGACGAGGAATCGGAAGTGAAGCCGCCTGAACCCCTTCCAGTGCGCAATCCTCCAAAAGATAATGAGTATATCTGGCGTTGGAAGGTAAAGTATTGTTTGCTCGTTCACGAACCTCATGCTAAATATTTCACTGTAGCCTGAGCTTGAGACCACAAGGAAAACATTCTTCTTGTGATGCATATAGAGGTGGAATATCAAGTAGTACTTGCTTTAGCTCGTTATCACCATCAGCTCTGGGTCACCTTATTAGCATCTGTGATTCCCCGAGATAAAAGACATGCATCGCGCTGGTATATAGCGTGACTATTCGGCATTGCGACATCTCTGCACAACAAAGCTCAAATAAGGCTATTTTCATGTTCGTGTAATTACGGTTTTGCACTTTGCAATAACTGTCATGTCTACTACATCGCCGAAACCTTCGCCCCAGGATAATGTAAAGCCTGCGGACTATAAAGATGTGTTCGCTGTATGTTCTTCCTGCATGTCATCTCAACCTGGTTGTTCGCATTCACGATAACGACAGGCCCGACAAGCATATACCCAACATACTGAGTGCGTTTCCTCATTGTTCAGCGTCTCCCTTCCTCTATAACGGTGTTCAGTCCATGCGAACAAGCAGCGAAGGCGTCTCTGAGCTGCATGGACCGCAACGACTATAACCGCGACAATTGCATGGATTTCTTCCAGGCATATAGGGACTGTAAGAAGGCATGGGTGAGAGACTGCATCGCGCTGCGTCTGCGAAACTTTATGCTGACTACGTTCTAGCTGGAGCAGAGACGTGAGGATCGTAGAGCTGGTCGATCTACGCCTACATGAACCTCGTTGAAGGGACTGGCGCATTGATTAATATGCCAGTGTCGTCCTGCCTTCTGTATTTCATGGGCAGTTGTTCTATCAGACACGATCCATTTTTGCGCGGCCTGATGTATCGTGGAGACGACGACGTAAATTCATATGCTTGACTTCCAAGTACGCAAGACAGGCTTTTCTCAAGTTTCAGTCAAGGAGAACATGCGAAAGCACCCACCGGATGTTCAGATTCGAATTTCGAACGGGCATAAACTCGTGCGAGTCCAAAAAAGATCCACTACTCAAGAGAGACCATCTTGTGAGCGGACCTGCAGTGCAACATGCATCAGCGCGCAGTTTTGTGGCGCAGTTTACAATGGTCTTTTGAGCTGCAGCGTTGTTGGCACGGTTCCTGGACGGGACATATGCAACACCAACAGCATTTTTGCCTCTCAAATATTACGCGAAGCACTCGGGCATTGGTGCGCAAATGTGACATATTCTGGACGTCCATGACGCTGTGGACGCTTCGGATGCGTTAGCTGAAAATACATAGGTGGCTGGAAGCGAGGCTTATGCTCAGCAGCAACGGCATCACCACGGTGACCAGTGTGGGCCGGAAGCGGCTACTGTCGCCGTTGGCAGCTCGATACTGCTCTCGTCATTTGTTGGAGCCACATGCACCCTTACACACAACTCAATTCCCCTCTCGTCCACGCGAGTCACATCTATGTTGCGGATGCGCTGGAGCTGGAGCAAGAGTACAAAGTTACACTTTGGTTGGCGCGCTGGTGAGTGGGAATGGAAAGGAAGTGAAGGGGTGAAGTGACGAGACAATAAGGATAGGTGATGATGATGTTCGAGGTGTGATGCATCGATGAGCGTGTTTGAGATGGCTGTCTCGTGTTTTCCTCGATAATACTCCATACGTGCTGTGACATGGAATTCCAGAGGATTAATGGTAGAACTCGTTGACCTTGCTCATGCCGGTGAATGTGATGTCTATATATCATTTACAGTCTGAGCTTTGAAAATATACACATTGAACCAATATATATTTTTGTGCTCGTTTAGATCTCCTCATCGGATTCATTTCCTCGGCTTCCCCGGAATCACACACAATAGTACACAATTGGGCACACATAACTGGACAATTAGCGTTTCAAGTTGGTTTCAAGCAAACGTGTTGGGGGTCTGACCACAAGTACATATTGCACCCCACTTCGAAGTTCGCTCATATCAATCCAAATTTTGGACCACTCAGATTCAGATGGGTGAAGACCATACCCTAGATCCTCCTTCACAAGCCTACGGATCCAGCAAAGCAACCGCTGGTGAAAGCTCGGTACGTGGCCTCATTAGATCACTTGGGATGAGCTCTCATGAAAATTATTGTTACCTTTGATGTCTAGAGCCAATCCCGTAGCGGAGTCAAGCAGCTCACTCAGAAATTTAAGAATGTTTTAACCAAACAGCTTCCTGTGTGTAGATGCGAACGTCGAGTGTCCTGAATGTGGCTGACATTGTGCAGAAACGCTTCAAGCGATCCCGCAACCGCATCCCTGTTGCGCAGACCGTCGACCATGGAGGTTCATCATCGAATCAGAATATTGAGGTAGGTACTCACGCTCGTTATTGCAGTCCTTCAGGTTTCTTAGAGGCACCCAGGACACATCGCGTCTGCATGATTCTACGGGTCACCAGCGTCCCACCATATCTGAGAATCCTAGTGGCGGCTGCGTGAACCAAGGGTCATCTGGAGAACCTGCTTCGCAGGTACTTTGTTCAAATTATCCATTTTTTGGTCTCCAAATCTTGATGCTCCCAGGTTCAGGTTGCCCTATCTGCTGTGCACGAAGGTACTGATCCTCGATCGGTCGACGCTGCACTTCAGAATGCCCGTGAGGGTACGGAAAAGATTAATTTACTCGGGGGACTTGCGAAGTCTGCGGCGTTCACCGCCAAAAATGCCCCAGTAGGTCTCTCGGCTGCAGACGAGACCGCATATCTCCAACCCCTCAGGATTTTCGACATTGTCATCAAGAGGATCGCAAATGTTTGTGCCAGTCTCCTTGATTGGAAGCGAACTAATCATGTTGCATAGGTACACCCATACACAAAGATGGCGCTGGGGGTGCTGTCTGCTGCGTCTATAGTACGTTCGGTTTCGCCCGGAATTCCATCCCCTGCTCAGAAATTGTGGTTCCGTGTAGATCATTCTCGCTCAAGCGGATCGCGACCAAGCGGTGAAGGGTCTTCTCGACAAGTTGGAACAAGTTTACGGCTTCATGACCCAAGACGACACTCTTGGCAACATTGAATCGATGCGCGATATCGTTGGAAAGATCGCTCAGCAGACTCAAGAATGTGCCCGTTTCATCAGGGATTACTCGGAGACAAAGATCTTTTGTGAGTCATCCAGATATTGCACTTCGCACATTGTGAATTTCAAAACCATTATCATAGGGAAGAGACTCGGGAAAAACGTTGTGTCGGAAACGGATAGCATGATTAAACAATACTGCGACGCTTTGGATGGGCTTATGCAACAATTTCGGGACCAAGATGTTCAGGGCGTACCCATCTTCGTCCAGTGTACAGGTAAAAAATACGACATGCTCCTGACTTTGTATCCACTCATGCCCTTTCAGGTGAAACACTGGATCTCAGTGGTATGAATTACGCAGCCGGCGCGGGACTAGATACCACAAAACAATGCCTACCGGGGACGCGCACGGACGTTCTTTCTCAGATCACGGACTGGATCAACTGCAGTAGAGATGATGCCCAGCGTGTGCTGTGGCTATCTGGCCCTGCAGGCACGGGAAAATCAGCCATCGCTCACACGATCGCTAACTGGTTCGACGAGATGGGAGGGCTTGGATCATGTTTTTGCTTCGACCGGCAGCGCGAAGCCGACAAACGTCACGAAAAAGTGTTCTCCACCATCGCTCGTGACCTGGCTGACCGTGATCCGGAGATGAGACGAGCATTGGCGAATGCAGTCAAGAATGCAATTTCGCTTCAAAATACGACAGATATCATCCAGCAATGGCGCAAGCTTCTCATGGAACCACTAGGGAAGCTCTCCGGGTCAAGTGCGCAACCTGTCTTGATCGTGATTGAAGCGCTAGATGAGAGCGGCAGAGTCGAAACGCGTCGTAACCTTCTCCGCATACTTGCCGGTAAACTTCGGAAGCAGGGTGTTCCCAACGTTACTGAACTCCCACCTAACTTCCGGATTCTCGTCACCTCTCGCCCGCTTCACGATATCGATAAAGAATTTGAAGGTGCTCAGCATATTTTACGGTTGTCCATGGACGACATTCCACCAGAAGTCGCGGAGCGCGACATCCGCACTTACATATCTGAGGAGCTGGAGGAGCTGGAGGATTTTCAAAATAAAGAGTTTGCAGTGCTCGCTGCGAGAGCTGATGGACTTTTCGAGTGGGCGCGTCTTGCGTCCGAATACATCAAGCAGACACCCACCGGCTTATACCCAATGGACCGCTTCAATGCTATCGTGTCCCGCGATCCTGCGGAGCGGAAAAATTTGTTATACGATATGTATAGCTTCATTTTAGCAGAAAACATGGGGAGGGATAAATACACAAACCCCGAGTACGAGCGAGCGTTAACAAGGTTTCGTTCCGTGATGGGACAAATACTTGGCTCAGCCGAACCCCTCCCATTAGATGCCCTCAATGCCATGCGAATCCATCTTCCAGACGAAAGTGAGCACTATAAAGTGGAGGTCGTGGTCAAACATCTGGGATCCCTCCTCAGCGGCACCACCAATTCATGTACTCCAATCCGACCTCTTCACGCGTCCTTTCAAGAATTCTTAACAGACAAATCATCCAGCGAAGACTTTTTCGTCGAGGTGTCGGAGATGCGACATCGTGACCTTGCGTTTGCGTCACTTCAAGTGATGGAACAGGGCCTTCGCTTCAATATATGTGATTTAAATTCTTCGTACCTCGCTAATCGCGAAGACACCGGACTTCCTCAACGAGTCAAATCATGCATCCTCCCACATCTGTCATATTCCTGTCGATTTTGGGCTACACATGTACGAGCCACAGATTTCGACACGGAGCTCGCAAAGGAAATAAAGTCATTCTTCAACTACGAGCGACTGCTCTTTTGGATCGAAGTACTTGGCCTTCTGAACACACTGAGCTGCGTAGCTAGCGCACGTCTGCTGATTTCCCAGTGGCTGCAGGTGAGCACATGGGTACGAGGTGGTGTCGGATGAAGTGCTTACGCCCAACCACAGGGCCACTCTGGATACGAAGATGTCTTGTCCAGTGCAATTGACGTGCAGAGATTTGTCCAAGTCTTTGGCGGCATGATTTTGCACAGCACGCCGCATCTGTATATATCAGCGCTGCCGTTCTCACCCAGCAACTCAGCCATAGCTACTAAATTTACCGCGGGGTTTCCGAATAGTCTTCTTCTGACGTCTGGGCGTGATTTGAACTGGACGGCTGCTCAGTCCGAGATCAGGCATACATCTAGAATATCGTCAGTCTCGTTCTCGCCGGATGGAACTCGCATTGTGTCTTGTTCGGAGGATAAGACTCTCCGCTTGTGGGATGCAGCGACGGTGCAGCCATTGGGTGAGCCCTTACGGGGGCATACCGATGCGGTTTCCTCAGCCTCGTTCTCACCGGATGGGACTCGCATCGTATCTGGTTCGCGGGACAATACTATTCGGCTGTGGGATGCAGCGACGGGGCAGTCATTGGGTGAGCCCTTGCTGGGGCACACCCATTCGGTTTGGTCAGTCTCGTTCTCGCCGGATGGGACTCGCATCGTCTCTGGTTCGCAGGATAACACCGTCCGACTTTGGGATGCCGCAACGGGGCAGCCATTGGGTGAGCCCTTTCGGGGACACACCAAATTGGTTTGGTCAGTCTCGTTCTCGCCGGATGGAACTCGTGTCGTATCTGGTTCGCGGGATAACACTCTCCGGCTGTGGAATGCAGTGACAGGGCAGCCATTGGGCGAGCCCTTGCGGGGGCACACCCATTCGGTTTGGTCAGTATCGTTCTCGCCAGATGGGACTCGCATCGTGTCTGGTTCGCAGGATAACACCGTCCGACTTTGGGATGCAGCAACGGGGCAGCCATTGGGTGAGCCCTTTCAGGGGCACACCAATTCAGTTTGGTCAGTCTCGTTCTCACCGGATGGGACTCGCATCGTATCTGGTTCGCAGGATAAAACTATACGGCTGTGGGACGCAGCAACAGGGCAGCCATTGGGTGAGCCCTTGCGAGGGCACATTGATTTGGTTTCGTCAGTCTCGTTCTCACCGGATGGGACTCGCATCGTATCTGGTTCGCGGGATGAAACTATTCGGCTGTGGGATGCAGTGATGGGGCAGCCATTGAGTGGGTCCTTGCGAGAGCACACTGATTCGGTTTTATCAGTTTCCTTCTCGCCGAATGGAACTCGCATCGTATCTGGTTCGGAGGATACCTCCATACGGCTGTGGGATGCAGTGACGGGGCAGCCATTGGGTGAGCCCTTGTGGGGGCACACTAGTTCGGTTTTGTCAGTCTCATTCTCGCCGGACGGGACTCGCATCGTATCTGGTTCGCAGGACAATACTATTCGGCTGTGGGATGCAGCGACGGCACAGCCGTTGGGTGAGCCCTTTCGGGGGCATACCAATGCGGTTTCCTCAGTCTCCTTCTCACCGGACGGGACTCGCGTCGTATCTGGTTCATCGGATAAAACGGTTCGGCTGTGGGATGTAGCAACGGGACAGCCACTGGGTGAGCCATTGGAGGGGCACACTGATTGGGTTTCCTCAGTCTCATTCTCCCCGGATGGGACTCGCATCGTGTCTGGTTCGCAGGATAATACTATTCGGCTGTGGGATGTAGTGATGGGGCAGCCATTGGGTGAGCCCTTGCGAGGGCACACTGGTTCGGTTTGGTCAGTCTCGTTCTCGCCAGATGGAACTCGCATCGTGTCTGGTTCGGCGGATACCACTGTCCGCCTGTGGGATGCAGTGACAGGGCAGTCATTAGGCGAGCCCTTGTTGGGGCACACCAATTCGGTTTTGTCAGTCTCGTTTTCGCCGGATGGGTCTCGCATCGTGTCTGGTTCAGGGAACGTTGTCCTGTTTGGCTCGTCGGATAACACTGTCCAGCTGTGGGATGCAGTGACGAGGCAGGCATTGGGTGATCCCTTATTGGGGCACACTGATTTCGTTTTGTCGGTCTCGTTCTCACCTGATGGGACTCGCATAGTCTCTGGATCGCAGGATAACACTGTCCGGCTGTGGAATGCAGTGACGGCGCAGCCATTCCAGGACTACACTGAGACCAATTCCTCCGCATTCTCTCTGGACAGAAGTCCCACCACACCTCACACACAGGAAAACCATATCATGTCATCCAATATGTGGAACAATCACGTCGTTAACTTCTCATCCAACTTGGAATATGCATTGCACAACCCTGCTGAGCTACTCGAGAACACTTCTCGTCATGACTTCGGTCCAACCCCTTTCTTCCTGGCAGCTGATGGATGGATGGTAGGACCCAATCACCGGCTGCTTTTCTGGGTGCCACCAGCTTCCCGATGCCCATTTTATACTCCTGGGACTGCATTGGTGATCCCAAGGGGAGGTGTTGAGCTTGATTTGAGCCGCATGGCAAATGGGAAACACTGGTCAAATTGCCGAGATACGTGAGTTCTCAACCTTTACTGTATATTCCTTGCATTGCTAAAATCAATACATCTAGCCCTACTCCACGATGATCATGCTGCAGCAGTTGATTCATGGAGATATCAGATAGAAATACACGAAGCATGACATCGAGTGTGAACTTTGATTACTTGCCGATCTTGGTCGCTGCGAAATTCTGTTACCGAGACTATGTATTGTTGATCAGACTAGGTTACACGCTACTTTGTTGTCCTAACTCCTATAATTGAAATCATGAGCATCGAGCATCTTACAGTCTTGATTTTTCATGTGATGTCACCCTAGTTAGACATACATATATCGGAATGTTGCTCGCATGTTGTAGACCTTATGGACAAGTACCCATCACAGCAACAATAGACAACGGAGGAACAGGAGTCGAGGTGAAGTGCAGTACAAGCCAAGTTTTCATCGCGAACTGTCCAATATTACGCTTGGTGTCACAGTGTGAGCGACGAGCATGCAATGCCTGTCCGTACTAAGAACTAAGGGACTGACGATGCGCGTCGTCTGAGTCTCGGTCTGAGTGTGTCCTTCTCTCACAAATTGCGAACAACCTAGAAGAAAATGCTGCACTGTCTCTTGTGAAGGAAGGCCTTGATGAAAGACAGGAACTCAGGGGGGCAGCTAGAAAAACGGAACGATGGAGACCAAGGAACAACCCACGCAGTATGAATCCGATGAATCCGCGAGACCCTCAGGCAACCCTCAAGTGATCATCATACCATGGGCACTTCATTTGCATGAGATCAAAGCATCTGTACGAAACAACATCAGAAACGGTACAGGACGTACGTACGACTGAGCAACTAGATAGCCACTTCCAACGTCCCAAAATGAGTGATGAATCAAGAGGTGGGGAGTGGAGGAGGAGCGTCTGGCTGAGGAGCAAATATCAAGTTAAGTGGCGGCGTTGTTTGACTGTCCTCGTTCAAAACAGTCGCGATGATAGAGCGTCCAGCGAAGGACCGCCCAGCAAGCGCCTTGAGACCTGTCTGTGCACCTTCGGCATCAACATACTTGACATACACACGGCCTACACCCGCTGCTTCATCGGCGCGCTGAGCTTCAATGGCAGACTGGTGGCCAGGCTCTCCAGGAGCCCATTTCGATTTGTCTTTCTTGACCGGTCGAGGAATGCGCAGATCCTCGACAGCACCGTATTTGGAACATTCTTCTTTGACGTCCTCGTACAAGTCACCATATTCGTCGTCGTTGGTGAGATCATCGGGAGTAACCATGTTAAGCATGAGAAGGATACGAGCATCGGCGTTGTTGCTTTCGCCAGCAGGCATGATGGGTCGAGGAATCTCTGGAAACTGGTCGTAAGGGAGGTTTGGAATCATGCCCGGTGTACCGGGTTTGGCGCCAACCGAGGCTCTCTGTACAACTAGGTAGCGGTCTCCTAGCTCCATGCCGTTCAAGCTTTGGATGGCAACGTCAGTAACAGAGGCATCCACATATTCGAAGAATGCAAAACCCTATTCATTTGGCCGATCAGTTTTGAATCATCAGGACCTGAGGTGGAACGTTACCTTGGAGGGACCATTGCCATTTTCTCGGACCAGGTTGAAGGCCTTGAGCTCGCCGAAACTTTTGAGCAACTCCTGTACCTGCTCCTCGTTCAAGTAAGTCGGCAGACCACCCACAAATACTTTGTTGATGGAGTCGGGGACGTTTGTTGAAACAACGCCGGGAACATGGACGCTAGGAACAGTGATCTCAATACCTCCGTAGTCCTTCGGTCGCCGGATTTTGAGTGGACCATTGATGAATATGATACCGTCAAAGGCCATGGCAGCCGTTGCGTCTTCTGCGCTGCGGAACTGCAAAAGACAAAAGGTCAAACATGCCCACTGTCGGCTAAGAGGTGCACAAACCTCGACAAATGCATAGTTCTTCTCGTAATTACACTGAACTGCGAGGACAGGATTTCCGGGACCGCCGGTGCCAATGTCCATTTCAATCATCTTGCTGTTAAAGAAATCGGCGAGATTCTGCTCGTTGACCTCAGGTGTGATGCTGCCAATATAGAGGCGACGGGACTGTCTAGACAAGTTCGGGTTGCTCCCAATTCCCATTCCAAAAGTCTGGACTGGGATTGGAGGTGGCAAACCAGCAATGCCAAGGATGGGAGGGACTTGTGTGCGATTTGCTCCAGGAAGGTTGAAAAGACCTTGAAAACGTGATATTCAGATATACTTGGAAAATGGGATTGTCAACCAACCTGTTTGTTTTGCTTGCATGGCCGAATATTGTTCATATCCCGGAGCATGAACATCCCATCCAGAAGCTTTGCGCCTCCGCTGGGTCAGAGGAACAGCACCCTCAGGTGTGGGGGACCTCCGCTCTGGAGTGCCAAGCCCATCCCGTCCCTTGCGCCCAGCACGGCGCGGAGATCCCTCCTCACGACCTCGTACCTGCCGATGCCCGCGGTCCTCTTCGCGGTGATCCCTGCGACGATCATTGTCAGTGACCACGCTTCCTACGGTCATCGAATTCACGACCACCACCGAAGTCACGGCGTCGTTCGTCTCGACGATCACCGTAACGTTCTCTGTCCCTATTATCCCTGTCTCCTCTCTCCCTGTGGCCATGACCGCCATCTCTGTCGCGGTCCCTGTAATCGCGGTGTCCGTCGTCACGCCTCGGTCGGCGCTCACGGTCTTCACGAAAGCTGTGCTCTAGATAAAGAAGAAAACCATGGGTAGTGAGTAAGGTGTGATGCTGCTGGCGGGATCAGCAGTTCGGCGAGGAGGTGCATTTGCTGTACGCTAGCTAGCTAAAAAGGAAACATGGCGCAAAAAGAGGAGATGGCACCATGAGTTCATCATCTTTGACAGGAAAAATTCCAGGCAAAAGATGAGAAAATAACAAGTACCTCTGGCGATGCCTCTCGAGGAATACAAGTCGGCTTTTTGGCGCCTACCCGTGAAAATGACGCATGAAAGATGGAAGACGAAACTTACCTGCTGCGTCTGCCATATTCAAGTATTTTACTGGACGTGGTTTGTGTTCAAGGAAAGGTCGAAGCTTTTGGTGATGTGAAAAAGTTACGTCAGCCGTATCCTGTGATTCTCGGGCACTGCTTGAAGGTTTCGAGCGATAATTGGTCCACTGCTTGCCACTTCAACTTGTTCTGCAATGCCTACAGACCTCCCATACGCTGCTGACGCTGAAGTCTCGTTATCATACGACGAGATCGAGGTACGGACCTCCCTGTATTCAAGTCAGTGCCCGCCTAACTTTGTCATACAGGTTCTACGGCTACAATACGAGAAGGAACTTGCGCAGTCCCACATCACCGTCCAGACTAAATTCAACTATGCTTGGGGACTGGTGAAGAGCCCAGTGCGCGAACACCAAGTAGAAGGTGTGCGACTTCTGCAAGGTTTGCATTGTTTTAGTCTTTCCTTCCGCGGTGTCTAACTTGACGTTGCTCAGAAATATACCGGACAGAACCGACGAGACGGCGGGAGTGCTTGTACTATCTAGCACTTGGATACTATAAGATGGACAACTTCACAGATGCCAGAAGCTTCAACGGTATGTCGAGACATACCTCCTTACTCTGTCCTGGCTGCTTATACGTGATGTGCAGACCTTCTACTTTCCAAAGAGCCCACCAATCTCCAGGCGCAAAGTCTAGCATCACTGATAGACAAAGGTGTTGCACGAGGTACGTCACTTTATGGAGTATGTTTGCGCCTTACTCATCTGTGTCCGCAGAGGGGTACGTGGGTATGGCACTTGCGGGCGGTGTTGCCGCAGTCGGCACCCTCCTCATCGCGGGTCTCATACGGCGAGCAACTCGCAAATAATTCAAAATGCAGAACTCTGACACGACTTTTATTTACACTATTGCACCGTCACCCTTGCTCTCTGTACCATGAATTATTCTATATCACGATTGTCACCTTTGCGCAATACACTATTTCGTCAATTTGGGCCATTGGGTTTGTATGTACAGTAGCCATTCTTGAGTGATCTGGACGCAACGCAATGCAGCATATGTTAGATATGTATTACGCTGCCTACTCCTGTAGAACCCAAACGTGATACGAGAGCGATAGTTACATTAAGTTACCGAGTGTTCTACGAAGACGAGGCGATAATGCATCGAGAAATACGGACAGTCATTGTCACTGACGGTATGAAGCCGTAGGTCATGTGTGGTATAGATACTGGGCGGGTAAATGGTGCAGCAAAGATACATTAACTCCGATCGTACAAGTCCGTATGTGAATGACGAAAAAGCCCGTGAATTCTATGAGAGTGCAATCGTGATTATTCTCGTAGTCATGGAGCTGTTTTTGTTGTTATGTCGGTAGGAACACAGCTGCGCGGGAGTCAGTGCCACCGATGCACCAACTTTGTCAAAGTGCTCACCAGCTTGCGTGTTCATATCACCTGTCGATAGCTAGACGCCGCTGTAGGTATTGTGTGTACCGAAGGGATCGTAACGTACCTTGAAAGAGACGATTCCTATGAATAGAAACGATATGCAAACTCCCGCCTGGAACAATATCCAAAAACAAGCCCAGACTGAGGAGTTTAATTAGCTTCATCCAATGAAGAAACGCGTAAAACATTACCATGTGCAGGTATTCGTGGAAACATGAGATTGAACTGCGTACAGTCAGAATCATTTGCTTTACGAAAGTACTTGTCATCTGTTAAGTCCCCTACAACGAATCAAACGAATGGGTGAAATATGAAAAGAATTAAAGCGTACAAATGACGTAGAACACGCTGGAGTCGCAAGTTCCGTTAGCTTGAGATTGCAGGACAGATACAGCATCGATACAAACTTCATGACACCGACGAATAAGCAGTACCATCGAAGAGCTTGCCTACATAGGTTTTAGTACCAGGATGATTGTATCGGATCGCTCGACTCACGCATGTCCGATAAACCAGAAGCCAACAAGTAGGCCCTCATAAAACAACGTGAGTACGATGGTTCTGTATCGGGGTTAAAGGCTGTTCGTGGAAGCGATGTGAAGTTCTCCAGGCTCACAGCTTGTCTCGCACAAGAACCAACGGAGTAATGAGCCCCAGACCAAGGACAAAGCTTAGGATTTTGGCGACAAGAGAATCGAAGCCAGCCAGTATGAAGACGCCGCCAAAGACACTTGATCCGACATATCCTGCTGAGAGTATGATGGGCGGACGCCCGCCCTCAACAATGGTCGCGCCTATTGTTATGCTCGTTATGAATGTGATTCGGAACCAGAAGTGTTGGGCGTACCACCCAGATTTGGGTCGATCGTGACTGATGATATGGTCCCTCCAGTCAGCACTGCCTGGACACAGGCGATGAAGCAGGTGGCGTTGTTCAAACGAGAGCTGTGCTAGGCAGCGAGACAGACTCACAGCTACGATGTGGCAAAATTCATGCCAGCCGATGGTAAAGAGTTTAAGTGGGTTAATTAGCGTCCGTGCAACTGGGATATTCCAAATTCCGAATATAACCACGGCGTAAACAACGGTCTGTGTGAGATGTCAAACATATGTTGCAAGAGCATTCGAAAGACTTACGACGTATAGAACGACTATCTGAGAAAGGTTAGCACAGGTCAGCCATGCGCTGCGTGACCATTTTAAACGTCATAAGAAAATACACGGACCTGGTCGTGAGTTGGGGTGAGTGGTGGCGTTTGGGTCGCCTGGGGAGCGATGGGGACATCCCTTGGATACATGAGTTGGCAGAATGCCTGCCGTGTCGATGAACGCTCTCCAAAAACAAGAAGGAGCAAAGCAACAAGAGATCAAAGACAGCACAAAGAGGCGTGAACGCGAATTTTGAGAGACAATTTCCTCGTGGACGCCTCAAGGCTTAAAGCTATTGGAAGCAATTGGAAGCAACCCCGCCTTCTTCAAGAAACTTGGCAAGTCCGTGCCGTAACCCCCGCGGGTTCAAATTCGTGGGAATTTAAAGGCGCGTCAGTCACGTGTCATCCACGACGCGTTGATTGCAGTTTTGAGCGGAGCGCGAATGCTATCCAATAAAAGTCAGGCACTTGGTGAATCGTATACCCTGCCCAACTTGCTTCTCCCCTCAACCACCTTCCATTTTTGTTGTCTACTACTTGTTTGATCTAAAATCATGGTGAGTATACGCTTTTTAACACTTGGACGCTTGAACTAAACGACTTTGATGCAGTCTGGAAAGGGAAAAGCGTGAGTTTCATATCTGCCCCTGGCGCTGAACAGGAAGCTCAAATTCACCCAACAGTGGCAAATCTTCCTCTGGCAAGACCGGTAGCGACTCAAAGGCTCAATCGCGTTCTTCAAAAGCCGGTCTTCAGTTCCCTGTCGGGCGTATCCACAGACTGTTGAAGAAAGGCAACTACGCCCAGCGTGTTGGTGCAGGTGCTCCCGGTGCGTCCTATCCGCAATTTTCACTGAAAATATACTGACAATTTCTCAGTATACCTTGCTGCTGTTCTAGAGTACCTTGCTGCTGAGATTCTGGAGCTCGCTGGTAATGCCGCGCGTGACAACAAGGTGCGTAAGGTGGATTCATTCACAGCATGCAGTACTTGAATTGTTGTCAGAAACAACGTATCGTTCCTCGCCACCTTCAACTTGCTATCCGCAATGACGAAGAGTAAGTCATTATACTTGGCGCTTGATGCGATGTTAAAGCGTTCCTGTTCATCAGGTTGAACAAACTCCTTGGCGATGTTATCATCAGCCAGGGTGGTGTCGTGCCATTTATCAACCCAGAGCTTCTTCCTACGAAAACCACCAAGGGGAAGAAGGAGGGTGCTTCGCAAGAGGTTTAGAGCGTTGCATGGATTTGTATACTACATTTGGCACCATTGTACTCCTTCCCCATAATCTACATAATTGTACCATAGGCATTGCAAACCTCCAGTACCCCAGTTGGAATTGAACAATAGGCTGCATTACATCGCCAAGCACGCGACACTTGTGTGGCATAAGTTACATTACAAGTCAAGAACGTCACTTAAATACATCCAGAGCATATTCTGAGCTAGATAACATGTCCCATGGATCTGAATCATATGTCAGCATTTCAACGATACCTCATGCCCTATCAAGCACATCATCCTCCGCATCACTAGCCATGGCCCTCCTGGCGAACACACCACTTCTGCCAATCTTTCCTTTCCCATCTGCACCCCCCAGCATCGATGCCGGACGTGTTGTCCCACCAGAAAGCCTCTTGTAGTTTGGCGACGGGGGAGGAGACTTCGACATCGAGCTTCTGTTAAGATTCGCTACCATGCTGCTTACAGTCCCTCCACCCGCCGCCGGCCTTGGGCCACGGGATAGACGCGGGCCACGTACAGCCGCCTGTCCAGAGGAATGCCTTGACAAACCACTTTTTCCGGCACTCAAAGCCTGATCATCTGCTGGGATAGCAGGTGACGTAAGGGGAGACGGGCTACGTACAGGCGATGCACTACCAGAGTGCACAATCGAGGCGCGCCTGAGTCCCTTCATTGGGTTATGGGGTGTAGCGGGCGTCACGGATACCGCAGGCGAGGGCGGCTTCTCGTCTATCACAGGGGGTGGCGAGGCAGGCGGAGAAACGAAGGAAAGAGGTTGCATGCTAGGGCTAGGGATATCATCAAGTTCCGGAGGCGGTTCCTTGAACATAGGCCTGGGGGGTGCATCGTCGATCTCAGGAGGTGGCTCCTTGAATGTCGGACGTGGTGGCGCAGAGTCATCTTGAACAGCAGGAGGGGGAATGATTTCCGGTTCAGTACGACCAAATTGCTCCGACTCCTCGACGGCTGCTTCCGTTTCTGGTTCAGAGCTGAAGCTCTTCGATTCTGAGATCGGCGAAGGTTGGACCGCGGCACGCGGAGCTTCTGGAAAATGCCTAAGGATCGCGCCCGGAACCTGAGCAGCAACCTTTTGTGCTGCTTGCTGGGCAGCCAAGATCTCCCGAGTTGGAGCGCCAACGGAGATTCTGCCTCGACTCATACGCATGTCAATAGGTGCTGTGCGTTTCCGGACTGGGACGCGACGCTCAGATTCCCGCTTCTTCTTGGCAATAGTAGGGGGGAGAATATCATCATAGTTCTTGAGCAGATCGATGAACAGAACTACACAGCCTGGAGTGTGAAATGATGGACATGATGAATGGAACTACCACTTACGCGTAGGGTGGCGGTCCTGAATGGACAGCTCCGTCTCCACCTTCGGTTTGATGATCGCTGTCAAATTGTGTTAGTTCCGTACCGTGAGTCGTGGAACTAGAAACATACTGCGGCCAACTGACAGTGCCAACTTTGTGAAATAGATGTCATCTGCTTCCTCCACAGTTGTTGATTGGATCAGACTACGGCGCAACTCAGCAGTTCATCACGGAACCATACGCAGCAGACGTACTTTCTGAGATGAGACACAATAGCATCTAGAACATAGAGGTGGACCTTCGGCAGGCGCTGAAGAGCCACTTGCAAGTCTTGAAGGTGCTGTTGTTCCGAGGCCTCACCATCAGTCTTTGCAGACCCAACTACACTTGTTATTAGTCTTCAAATCTTGCCAGAACATGTGCCAACTTACCAGTAGGATAGAGTTTCCTGATATCGTCCCATCCCTCCCAAAGAGCGAGGGGCGGATCAAGTTCAAGAGCCCACAGCTTGATACCACCTGCAAGCACAGGGACATCATATTTGGCAAGCATCTCGGGCGAGAAGGGCTGCTCGGGAGGAACGGCGTTAAGAGCCTCTCTAAGGTGATGCAACGCCGGAAGCGGAACTTCATAAATCCAGGTTTTCCGTTTTTCTGGACGGACATCTCACGCTCTGTTTGACTCTGCACGACGGGTTTTACTTACCTGAGTCATTTGGCAAACGGTCATATGCCTCGTTCAATGCGTTGAGCAACGCCGTCAGCACTGGCGGGATCAAGTCCTTCTTCTCCTCGCCAGAAGTAAGCGCGTTCCAGCCGCCTTCAGCCCACTTGCGCAAGTCGATGCCAAATACCACGTCTGACTCATCGTGTGCAACAGACTCATACAGCTGGGGAACGGGTCTGAAGGGACCAGTTCGGTAGCGCTCCATAAGCGCGGTTAAATCCGCGTCGGGCTGGTACGAGGCAACTAAAGTGGCGGAGCGTTCGATGGATGGCTCGAATGCCTTGGGTATGGTGGCCAGGGTGCCTTGGTATTGAAGTAGCACTGCAACGACTTGAATTCATGTCCTCGACCTGTAGTTCACGAGGGCTTACCTGTCTTGACGGCTCTCAGCCTCTCCATCTCCCCTCTCTGGAGTGTTTTCAACGTTTCCTCAATACGTTCCTCAAGACCAAGCCTCTGTCTGTCGAGTTTTCTGACAGCGACGCGGTAGATTTTGTCGGCTTCCTCGGCTTCTTCACGAAGCCTGACATGAGCAGGCTCTGACTGCGAGTTGGCGTTCAGGGCCTTTGAAACGACATTCACGAAATTGTTCGAGCGCTTGAAGAGGTTGTCGGCCAAAGGCGCAAGGTTACGCTTCGGCGCAGGCGGTGCAGTTTCGGCCTCGGATCCAAGTTCGAAAGCCTGGTAGCGCGAGTGAGCTCCCATGATACCATCACCTCAATCTGGCACCCACCTTGGGTCGGAACTGGTAAAATGCTTCATCAGAGTGCTCAAATTCATTACCAAACTCTCCAATACGACGAAGGAGACCGTCTCTTTCTGTCAGCTCCCTCGCGGCATCTTCCGCCCGATCGAGACTGCCATCAAAGCCTGGTACATTGACGTTCAGCCATGCGACAAACTCTTCACCCGTGAAGCAATCTGGATATTCTCCAAGCAAGGGGAACCGGATGGACCGTGGTTTCAGCTCAGTAGCAGCTCGTGAAAGCAATGCAGAAACGCTAGCCGGGGGTATTGCTAGACCTGCCAATAGTATGGGCGTCGGAGGTAGGGGTGCATCCATGGACAATGGGGACGCAGTTTCCATCTTTGTGGGAGGCAAGGGAGGCGACAGCGGAGGCGGAGATTCCATAAGAGAAGGTGACGGCGACTCTACTGCTCTCCTTTTGCCTTTGTCCACTTTCGCAGGAGGCTTCTCTTCTGATGTCTCGCTTGCTACATCTGACTCCACAGATGAAATCGAGGCACCAGCAGCCTTGCGCTGAATTTCCTTGAAGCGCTGGGCAATGCGTTCAGACACTGTAGCAGAGCGCTGTGGTTGCGTGCTCTTGTCGCGTGGCGCAAGGCGCGGAGAGGTCGTGTAATGATCCCCCAGATCATTATTAGGTGCAAACTTCACGCTAGTAGTGGGCTTTGTATCAGGTTTGGCGGGTGAAAACAAGAAGGGGAACTCACTCATCCTCCGCCTCATCCGCTCGGCGAGTCTTTTGCAGATAAGAGTTTTTCAGTTTAATAACCTGAACAATTTCAATTAGAATCTCGTGCGTGTAGTTTGCGTTTTCTCTTCCTAAGACACACCTCTTTCTGCGAATCCTCATATGCACGCAGCCAGTTGCTCATAACCATAGCTTTGCTGGAAGCAAGCCGCTCCTGCAGATGAATGAGATCACCAGCGAAAAACACGGTGTCTGTACGTCTACCTCGTATCCCCGAGCCCATTCGTTGAATGGGTCAGCTACAAGAGCCCGTAGGTCCTTTGAAATATCTTTGTGAACTTGGCCCTGTGTTTCCGACTCTGCCTGAAGGCCACGGAAGGCCATCAATAGAGAGGCTCCGTCATCCTTGTTGAAACCGGCGCCTGCAGCAGGTTAGTCTGTGGTGTTAGGAGACGGTGTCACATTCGCCCACCATGTGAGCCAAGAGGTACAGGTTGTTGCAATGATGTTGCAATTTGAGCCTCAGCGGCTGCACGAGCCTGCAATATCTCTCGTTTCAGGGCATCTGGAGCATGACGAAGAAACTCACTTTTATGAATGCGACAATCTCATGATTCTCCACCAGACCCTGAAATTGTGAAGATATGAGACCAATGACCCGAGTAAGAGACGCGTCATTACCTGTTCGAGCTTATTATACAAGACCTCCAAGCCTTTCCTATAGTCCTGAGTCCAGAACGAGTTAGTGAATGCTAACGGCAGGGATAGCACTGCCATGAATGAATATACAACGCTCTGGATAGTACTCTGGGTATGAGCAACAAATAGTAACGATGTTGAGCGTCTTAGGTGTGCTGGGGTACGGGTACTAGACAACAAGGTGTGCTTCAGGGCCTTGGCCCTTCAGGCATCAACAATATTTCCACGTGTCGTACGTATCGGGTAGGAGCGAACCGCTCTGTTTAAATCAACCTTCCTGCAGTTCTAGTAACACAAAAATTTACCATTGCATTCAAGACAGAACACCGTCAGCTACTCTATATTTTCCTCTGCACATCTAGCTAGACTGAACAGTACTTTGAATAAAATTTAACAAAATGTGTGGAGAGGGACCGCTTACAGCGCGTTGCGGGGTTTGCCGAAATGACATTGGACTAATTTTTGGTTTGAGCGGGAACAAGTTTAACGGGGTATTCTGCAGAAGACGACTGCTCGAGTGTCGAAAACCACTCATTCCGCGTCATTTTCTGCCAATGGGTCATGTCTCAAAGCGTCTTTATTCCTCTGCTTCAAAGCTAGCTGTTTCGACTGTACAACTGAAGCAGTTTCCGCCAAAAGAGGCCATCCTCAGACCAGACTCTGGCAAACCAAATTTCTTTGACCCGGAGTCATGGGCAGCTCTTCAACCCCCACCTACATCTGCCATCACCGCGTTCGCTCACAGAATAGGTCTTGCAAACGTCTTGTCGTCGACAGATGTTGTTCGACGCGCTTGCACACACAAGTCGTTCGTCAATCTTCATACTAAATATTACCCTTCGAGCCCTGCACCCCCAACAAACGCAAACCTTGCGACGCTAGGAAACGCACTTATGGGCCTGTTTGCATCCGAACATCTTCACGCTGCATACCCACATCTGCCGACTCGCGTTCTAAAGGCCGCAGTGAGCGCTCACGTTGGTCCTTTGACGTGCGCGAGTGTCGCTCAGGAAATGGGTGCAGTATCCTTACTACGGTGGCATAGACAGGTAGAGTATTTGATGTTCAGTACAGGCTCTTTGTCGCTGATCAAACATTTTAGCCTATGACACCAATGTCTCCAGCACTGCTGCACTCGGATGCACTGGCATCAATACCGCGGGCAATAACCGCCCTTGTTTACCAAGAAAGATCACTGCAATCTGCACGGAAATTTGTCCAGTCCTTTTTCTTGAGTAGGCAGGTTGATCTGCGGAGTATGATCAAATTTCGTGATCCAAAACGAGCCCTCATAGAAACTGTGGAAAAATTCGGTCATGAACGTCCAAAATCTAGGTATGCTACCTAGATATAATCTTCGTGCCTCGCTGAAGCTCTTCGCCATGCAGATTACTCAAAGAGACTGGTCGTTATTCGAATTCACCCGTATTTGTAGTGGGTATTTTTTCCGGACCGGACAAGCTTGGGGAGGGTTTCGGTAGTTCGTTGAAGATGGCAGAATACCGGGTAAGCACATTCCAGGTATACCTATTTATAATCAACTTACTTTGAATACTACAGGCAGCTGAAGACTCGCTACATCGGTTATACCTCACTCAAACGCCAGACCACCTTCTCCAAGTTCCCTCATCGACATTCCCTTCCAAGCAAGGCAATGTCTACCAGACCGGATCGGAGGCACCATACACGCCCGGTGCGCTTGGCGAGGCAGAAATCCTGTACGCGAGCTCAGGGCGCAGCAATATCGTCGCTCCGAAGCGACCAACACTAGAGGAGGTAGAGGCGAGACGAGACGGTCTGGATGTATAGTACACAACCTTGCTTAATCTGCACAGTTCATTCCTGAAGTTTTAAGAACGATGTGAACATCGCATAAGAAGGAACGACTGTCTTCCTTCTATAGGACTGACTAGCACATCAGCCGTCACTCGTCCTACATAACATTAACCTAGACAATCTATAATCGTGCTAAAATCGCAAGGAAACCCCATTCAACATTAATATGGCTACAAGAGGCTACAAGACAGTCAGCTGTAACGCCTGGTACCGCTCTACGAAATCGCACTGGTTTAGACCACACGTACATACCTTATGATTGCCATTTTCGTTTCCTAGACACACCTTGCAGTATTTAAGGAGCTTAGTTTTATGCTTACCCTCTCTAGAAGCTAATGGTGTGGGATCACATCTTCATTCCTATTAGACATCTCGACCGTGACACTTAGGCTACTCTTATGTGTTCTCCGCTGTCCATACACACTCTAGTAGTAGTCTGTAGTAGTTCACCTGTGTCATCAACGGTTGCGTTGCCATAGCAGTAAGTATATGAAACTGTCCTAAGTGTCCCTCGCCTTCCAGTTCTGCATGGGATTCGAGTTGCACTGCTGCAATCCGGGGGTGATCCACAACCCCACATTTTCCGAGTCCGTAGCCTCAGCTTGGAATCCGGCTACAATGCAAAGACAACAGACCAGATGAAGTGGACGACATTGACGATGCTGGTAAAACCATTTGATGACTGGCGTGTAGCATGGCCATATCACTGTAAATTAACAAAGGATGAGCGCCGAGGGGTTCCGAACATCTCCTGACAGAATCCATTGGCCTTGGGAGCGACTGTCAGTATGAACTCAAGTCTGAACATTGATCAGGTACTACACACATCAAGGCCTGCCACATAGGCGCTAGGTGGCGAAAATCGCTGCTGAAACATGGCGCTGGAACCTGGTAAGAATTGGAAATTTGAACCGAATGAGCAGGGTGCACTATCGCACATCTGATAGTAATGACAGTTGAACGAACGCGAAACGCGAACGCACTCAGTGACTTCATTTCGCCAAGGCTGACGAGAGTTGCGAACTCGTGTTGGTCGTCACGGCTGACATCTTAGGTGGTCTTGTGCCAATCAGCAACAGCGCCCGAGCGCCTGCTTCATTCAAGCAGTCTCTATAGTTAGGAACTGCTTTGATTGGTGGTGAGGCCTTGATTCAACGCCACAAGTCTAGCGCTAGAACTCGAATGAGCAACGGTACATTGATGATCGACAACACACTACTTAGAAATTAGAAAGCAAGAAAGTAGCCATAGAACGAGACGGAGCACCGACGTCGGACAATCCACGCGATACAGTAAACTGATGACTCACCAGTATAACCACGATCTTCTCAGATCAACGCCTACAAATGTCAAATCAGAGAACATTGGAGCAAGATACCAGCAGCAAGTTGCTGGTAGGGTCTGGATTACGATACTGAATCAGATACCCAATTTCCAACACAGGTTTTTTGCCATTCAGGTGCGAGCTCGAGATCATTTTCATTTTCAGCTGCAAGAATAACGGCTTGGCAGTTGCAGTGTGTACCCTTGAAAAGAAGGAACGACTGTCTTCATTCTTTCAAGGTCTGACTACGGGAGACTACTGAGTCTGACCGTAGCCAACATTGCAAATTGCAATCACTTACATACGCGGTCACATGACAGCTGGACCGTGTTCATGTTGGCTAGGGGCCCAGTAGACTACCACCTTCTCATCCTCGCCATGATGTCCAAATTTCTCCTGTGGCGTCTTGTTCAAGGCCGCAATCCTCCTTTTACTGTTGTTGTGTCTCCAGAAACGTCGATTCAATTTATGGCTGCCAAAATTTCGGTCCAAGCAACACAGGGCAACACCCAGCCACAGAGAAGAAGCCAATCCTTCGAGGGTCCCTCGTGAGGAAAATGGCGTCCAAGAGCAGAATGACCGTTAAAATCACCACAAGAGACATCCAATAGCTCGACCCAAGAAAAACTACACACGCAGCTGGATACGTCAAAATGTCAGCGCGGAACTCTGATCCAAACTGAAGAGATACACCTACAGCCTGCCGGAAACGCCGTAAATAAAGCAACGAGAAGATACGCCGTGCGACAGAGAACGAGGTACTTCAAGATCTCACGATGCGTCATCTTGAACGGTTTCTGGTTCTGGGGTCAATGACTCTGGAAATTTCCCTACCCCTCTGGACTGGTCGTTCGCCAGTCTTAAGCCGGTTCTGAAAAGCAACCATTCACAACCCAGCGCCAGGAGACCCCACAGGTATGCCACGTAAATCAGCAGTTGGTAATCCACTTGGAATGTGTGGTCGAGGGTTTGTAATCTAGGCGCTACTAGCATTTTGAATGTCAATGCCTGCAAAGTCACGAAGCGGGCTACCTCTTGCTATGTAAGAAAGTGGACACGTCAGCCTTGCAAGACAGAATAGGGATTAACGGTACTAACGCCCGTGATGTCCTCGACCACCACACCGCCCAAGCGGACTTTACGTTTATGCTAGCTGTTCTCTTGGCTCACCTTCTGCCACAATTCCTCGAGATCAGGCTCGCTGAGAGCGAACAAGCAAATTCCAGTGAAGCAAAACCGAGCGAAGGGCCAGGATGGTGGTTTCCAGTCTTCAGGAAGGTCTGAGGCGTTCGTATTCATCGGGTCCTTTGAAATGTCGCTGCCTAACGGAAAGGAGAGGAAATGGTGAAAAAGGAGTCAGCATCTGTATTGAACATGGTAAGCTGGCTAGCGGTGGTTCTTGTTTAACTTTAGAAATAGCCTATGTAGACCGAGGATGATTGTGAGAGGATGTCGGTGGGAACAGCGGTATACCTACCTCGGCGTTGTAGATCAAAGTGTTGAGATTCGAACTGGGCGGAACGAGGTTATGCTTGCCTAAGTGCAAAAAAAGAAATTCCTACTGACGAGTGACGAGTGACGTAGTTAGAATCTGACGCGACGTTCAACGTTCAACCAGGACGTACATACGACGTGCACATAATGATGTGCACAGCGACACTATCACACGATCTGGACATGTATAGAGGAAGTACTATGTGAGGAGTCTAAGGACCTTGAGTACTAGACAGAGAACAGACCTCGTTATGCCGCATACATGATCCCATAATTGCCCCATAATTGCAAGTTGGGCCTAAGAGTGAAACCGGCGCATGGTACCCTAGAGCAATTGAACAATACGACAAGAATAGTGATCGGTTAGTTGCGCATATGCTGCCTTCGTGCTTAGGCGCTGTCTATACATTCGCTGCACTGGTTAGCATGCATCTCACGCTCTTCTCCTCACAAAGGAGGGGCCCCGGATCGTCAAATGTTTCAACTTTCTCCCAGCTACAAATACATTTATTCATCAGGCTACCCAAGCAACCTGGAGAGATTATGACCCCAGTAGGGTACTTACAGGTGACCTAGTCACCTGACGGTCAAGAATAAGTTAGGTTCGCTCTTGACCCATATTCGCGTCGCGCGACAACGTAAACTGGCAGTCTCATGGCCAAGTGGGGTCCGGGGACGGGCCGCTACTATAAGTATTCCAAGAGTTTATCGGCCGCGGGAATCCGTCCAAGATATACTTTGTCGTTCGCTGAGTATGTCTACCTCGAACGAGAAAACAAACGAGTTCCTCCCCGGCGTCTTGCCACCGCGCAGGACGTCGAGCGGCAGGATACTGGCGCTGAGGACGGGTCTGGTTGTATTGGCTGTATTCGCATCCACTTTCCTATGGAAGGCGTCACATGGCATTGGACCGCACCGCCCCCATCAGCAAAATAACAATGCAGAGATCTGCCCCCAAGTGTCGGAGCTCGTCCCAAAGTCCAACGGCGCCTTATGGAAGACTCTTGGCGACACCTATGAAACGGATGCATTCAAGACGAGAGCGGTGGACTGGCTTGCAGGAGCCGTTAGAATCCCGTAAGCTTCTCATTCGCCTTACAAGCTCCAGAAGCTCAGAGCACTCATTTGTACTAGAACAGAATCCTATGACCAGATGGGCCCTGTCGGAACTGACCCACGCTGGGAGAAATTCGGCGCTTTCCACGACTATTTGCTGCAGTCCTTTCCACTCGTGTAGGTGTAATGCTAGTTCATCATTTCTAGACTGATTATCCCTGTGATGGCACAGCCATTCCACCCTTGAGTTGACCAAAGTCAATACGTACGGCCTGATATACGTATGGAAAGGAACAGACAGCTCCCTCCAGCCTCTCCTGCTTGCAGCCCACCAAGGTTAGCTTGGTACCCTTATTACGTGATGTCCCTAAAATTTCTGTAATACAGACGTTGTTCCCGTGGAGGGGACCACAATTGACCAATGGCAATATCCACCTTTCTCTGGGCACTTCGACGGTCCGTGTGTTCTCTTTAATTTATCCGATAACCACCAATAAGCATAATAGGTGAGCGAGTATGGGGACGTGGCTCGCAAGACGACAAGAGCGGTCTTATAGGTGAGCTCTTCACAACTTATATACTTCACGTTTGCCTTATTAACGGATGCACAGGCATCATGTATGGTCCCTCATGGCATTTTTAGCTCCAATTTACAATTTATCTCAGGTCCGCCATGGAGAGTATGCTGGAGAACAAGTTCCAGCCAACCAGAACCGTGGTTTTGGCATCCGGGTTCGATGAAGAGACCAGTGGCCTTCATGTAAGAACGTTAGAGCACTGTGACCCCTAGGCTGAACCACCGACAGGGCGCTCAAACATTGGCGCCAGTTTTACTGGAGATGTTCGGTGAGAACGGTTATGCCATGCTAGTAGATGAAGGCTGTAAGATGCTCCTCTTTCCACTAGCCAGGCGTTATTAACTGGCCATAGCTGGATATGGCGAACAGTTTGGTAGAGTCATCGCAACTCCGGGTATTGCTGAGAAAGGTTATCTGGATGTCATGATAAATGTTGCATCTCCTGGTGGTCACTCAAGTCTTCCACCGCCTCATACTGTAGGTTCCTGCTTTACAAGTAATGACTCGGTACTTATGTCGGCATAGAGCATTGGCATACTAGCGGACATGCTCGTCAATCTTGAGAGAAATCCGTTCCAAGTTTATCTGGTCAGTTTTGGAACACCAATAGGGCAATACAATAACTAACTCTTTCGCAGGAAAGAGGTTCGCCAACATACAAGAGTGCACAATGTCTTGTTCACGCGCCTAAACTTCCTGAATCACTGCGGAGAGACATCATTCACGCAGAGCATAATGACCGTGCTCTTCGCCGTACTGAACAGGAACTCTTCAAGAACCCTATGTTCAGAAATCTCGTCGGAACCACTCAGGCTATTGACCTCATCAATGGAGGGGTAAAGGTCAATGCTCTGCCAGAGCAAGCTTGGGCTGTGGTGAACCACCGCATTTCGACGCAGAGGTTGGTCATCAATCAGTATCGCACTATCGCACGCTAATATCGAGTCTAGTTCGGTCGCTGCAACGAAAAAGCGGGACACGGAGCTGCTTACATCACTCGCAGGCGCATTCAACCTATCTTATACCGCCTTCGGTGCTAGGATAACTGATGCTGATGCTCCTGCATTTGGCGCTTTGACACTATCTGAAGCTTATACGCATGGACTTGAGCCTGCTCCAGTCTCATCCACTGATACCCTACCTTACCAACTGTTGTCTGGCACTATCAAAGCTGCATACAACTCTCACAGAGGTCTTTCAGATGACGACAGCCTCCTCGTCAGCCCGGGAATTATGTCGGGCAACACAGGTCAGTGATATCTGTTTAGACGTCACCGTATGATCCTTATGCCCTTGCTAGATACGAGATACTATTGGAAACTGACCGAGCACATCTTCCGCTATGGCCATACAGATGGTGCTAGCGGTGGATCACTCAGTTCTGGAGTGCACACTGTCAACGAGGGTGAGACTATGTTCTTCTTTTCTAGAAACGTGATTTGATACATGATTTCATGACAGCCATCGACATCAGTAGCTTCATCGAGATGATTCGATTCTTCACCACACTTATTCTCAACGTTGATGAATCGGAGTTGCCTTGAACAATGCATTTTTATGTGGCAAGAAGGTGTTGGCTTTACAGCATTTGAGCTTTTGGTTGATATGGATAAGATATGTAGCTATTTGTGAGGAGACTTGTGATAACATTGATTCAAGCGTCAAGTTTGGTGTCACCTCTTCGGACCAGTGTTGTACATAATGGATTACCAAACAGCCCGCAGTCGATACCATGAAGTTGGCGGCGTTCTTTCTGTCGCATATGTCGCAAGCTAAGCTAGCTGAGAAGAAAGCTAACGAGCTTCCAGGCGTTCACGCCCGCACATCCACTACGAGGCTTTGCGCTGGGGTCAAGGTTATCGCATCCAAGATCACACTCGTTGCACTCGCAATCTCTGCTTCAACGTACTTAGTCAAGCGAGAGACCCTTTAACGGTGTCCCCAGCGGCACCCTTGAGGATGGTGCAGATTTGTGTCCTCAGGCAGATGAACTTGGTCCCGAGAAGAACGGAGTGATCTGGGGGAGTCTTAGACACACATAGTCGGTTTTGCATGACTTCTACCTTACAGTACCGAGGAGTTCCAAGCGAGAGCCGTAGCCTATTGGCTTGGGGGAGCTGTGCAAATTCCGTGCGTTGTTGCACTTGCGATATGCCGTGTGTTTCTGCACTAAATACGTCCCTCGTGCAGCACAGAAACGTTCGACGACATGAGAGATGTAACAGAGTCGGTATGGGAGAAATTCCTCCCAATACATGATTATCTGAAAGAGTTGTTCCCTTTATAACTGTGAGTACTTTTCCGCACTGTAGATATATGATTGTCCAGTTGTCCAGAAGTTCACATTATATTTCAGTCACTCAAACTTGGAACTTACGAAAGTCAATACCTACGGACTGTTGTACGTATTCAAACAGTGCGCTGAAGCCATTTCTTCTCACTGCTCACCAAGGTGAGTTCATCTGTGGATAGTCTACATATCTCCCTACTGATGACATACCGCTAGATGTAGTTCCTGTCTTAGAAACGACGATTGCTGAATGACAGGAAATACATGTCACGTGCAGAGCATTGTAATGGAGCGCTTCGCGCCGCTGAGCAGGAACTTTCTATGAATCGCGCTTTTATGAGCCTTGTTGGTACTACTCAGGCCATTGATCTCGTTGAAGGTGGAGTGAAGGTAAACGCTCTCCCAGAACAGGCGTGGGCCGTTGTGAACCACCGGATTTCTACAGAAAGGTAGTTTTGATGTTTTGATGCAGATGTGGATGCCATCGCTAATACACTATTTCTTACCTGTAGTTCTATTGCCGCCACAAAAGTGCGCGATATTGAATTGTTGGAATCCCTCACAAGCGACTTCAATCTATCATACACGGCCTTTGGTACATATGTTTCCGATGCGGATGCGCCTTCATATGGCACCTTGATCCCTCTCCGATGCATTTAGTGATAGCTTAGAGCCAACATCAGTCACTCGTGTGGTCAAGATACTGCGCCATTCCAATTTTCATCTGGAACTATCATGACAGCCTACAACTCTCATAGAAATATCTCTGGTTCGGATGCAATTATCGTGAGCCCAGGCATCATGTCCAGTAACACAGGTAGGCTTTTGAGAACGCATTGCATTCAGCTTAGTGCTAATGATTCGACTGCAGATACACGGTTCTATTGGAAGTTGACTGCCATATGATCACCTAGAGCGAGCCAGTGGAGGGTCTTCTGGCGTGCACACAGTCAATGAAGGTACACATTCTGGAGCTTTCTCAGCAATTGAAAGGCTAATCGTTCTTCCAGCAATCTCCGTCATTAACTTAGGTGAACTTATCCGATTCTTCACCACTTTAATTCTCAACGTAAATGAATCATCCCTTCTTTAGGGTAGCCTCAAGCTGTGTATCAAAAGGTTTGCCATGTGATGTCTGCATGTCGCCGTGGCCGTACAGCTCAGCGATGAGTAATTTCCCTTGCTTGCAGACTTCTGATACATCTGAGATTTATGAGCTTCGTTAGTAAAAAGAACGTTCTGCAATGCGATCTTCGGGTTCATGAGTTTGGATCGTCTGGACTCGAACACAACAAAGCAAATTTCAAGGTTTTCATGTCCTCCCTGCTGACGATTACACTGCACTGTCCCAATGGATCGCCGTTATTAAGATTCTGTTCTTATGTGCTTTCTCGTCCAGGCTGTCCGCTCGCGTGACAGTTGTTCCTTGGCACTTCCGCACGATCGAAAGTGGATTGTTTCGCAGGACATAGATCCACGGCGCGTTACTACCTCTAGTGGTCAAAGGGACGATAATACCTGTCAGATCGCTGAGAAGGTGGTAGCCAAATCCGCGGTTCTACTCACACGCCCATTGGTCTGGAGTCCGCACTGGATAAACAATTGAAGAAATCAACGTGCTCGTGCTGGGTGCTCTGTTGCGGTCGGTTGCTGGTGCTTGTATCAACTGAGTGAAACCGCACACGGAAATGAATGAATGTTATCGCCGTATGACAAACCAACACTTAGGTAAGTCTTTCTTTGCTCTAAAGAACAATGTCGAGATGACGGTCGCTGATGCGCGCGTGGGCGCAAGATGTCGTACAAATGTAGAATGGCTTCTAAAACTCTCGTTCCGATTGTTGGATTGGCTTTCGCGTACTCGTCAAGAGCAAGGCTATTTCACGACGCCTTGAGAACAACGTACCCATGTCTTCCATGCTATCGCTGAAGACCTCGTTCGTTTACTCGACGACGGCTAGTCGAAACAGTCGACGAAGCACTATATCCCTTCTCGGTGTTGTTTTTCTCTGGAACTTTTAACCGTGATGGGCTCACACCCGGATCTTATTCCCTGCGAACGTCTCAAATCCGCATTTGCCACGATCATGATGGGAACCTCTCGCTCTATCACTTCCCCTATCATGCCTGCTTTCAGCTATTGGTTCTACTTTTAAAGAATCGCTATGAGCGGCTATATGTGATCATCTGACCCCTAGCTCTGTGTTTTGCGCGTGTACGGATTTTGTATCTGTTGCTTCAGGGCTCCTTCTCAGGGACTTTGCAGCATATAAAGGTGAGGAACACGGTAGCATCATCGTCATTCTCCCTCTTTTCCACTTGAAACAAACATGGGTCACCCAGAAGAAGTCGATGTCATCGTTGCTGGGTGAGTGGATATTCTAGTACTTCGGAATCGTACTGAAAAGCTATCATAGCGGAGGCCCCGCAGGTGCGGTGGATGTACAGGCGTATGTGCAACCGACTTTAACTACTTTCTGCAGGCTGTGTCGTCGCCGGACGGCTTGCATATGCTGACCCCAACCTCAAGGTCATGCTCATCGAAGGTATGTCTCTGCTTAAAGCATTCTGCATCTGTCACTCAACATGAGCCACAGGTGGTGCCAACAACCGCGATGATCCCTGGGTTTACCGGTAAGCTCCTTCCCACAAACGACGAAAACGGTCCTGATGTTCGATAGACCTGGCATTTACGTGAAGAACATGCAACGCGACGGAATGTTGGTCTTCACTATATGCTAGTGTTTCGTCCTGCTGACTGGAATGGACAGCAACGACAAGGCTACATTCTACACCGATGCTCAACCTTCCCCGCATCTGAGAGGAAGGCAAAGCATCGTACCGTATATTGTTTACCGTCGTTATCTGAAGGAGTACTGACCATCATTTCTAGGTGCGCTAACATCCTTGGTATTTATTTCTTCATCCACCGTATGCTATATATCTCACGAGGTCTCTTGAACTTGCACAGGCGGCGGTAGTAGGTGAGCTGCACAATTTAGTCCTCTGCCACTTGGAGTAATTACATCCCCGACAGCATCAACTTCCAAATGTACACAAGGGCGAGTACGAGAATTAAACAGAAGACCATGCACTAAATTTATTTTGACAGGCGTCCGCATCCGACTGGGGTTTGTCGAAATTGTCTCACCAAGATGAAATCGTGGACAACTAAATAAACTAAACAGATGACTTCAATGCCGATGGTTGGACAGCTAAGGGTATGTGTGATCACACCAATCATTATCATCCGTGTTTATGAGCTTCGTAGACCTTCTTCCTCTTATGAAGCGGGTTCGTGCCTTAAACCAAAGAGAAGTAACAAGTACTAACAACTTTCATGTAGCTCGAAAACTACCAGAAACCGGTTAACAATGATACTCACGGATACGATGGTCCAATCGCCATCAGTAACGGTGGCCAGGTCACTCCCCTTGCTCAGGACTTTTTGAGAGCTGCACATGCCATTGACGTTCCCTTCAGTGGTAAGATTTGAGGTTCCATCGCAAGGACATAGGGACTGACTGGTAATTCACACAGACGACATTCAGGGTATGGGTGACTTCTGGTTTGTATCTCTGCCTGCTAATTGTTGGATGCAGATCTTACTACTGCTCACGCTTCTGAAATCTGGGCCAAATACATCAATCGTCAAACTGGTCGCCGCAGCGATGCTGCCACTGGTGAGCAGGTTTCTGGCTACCTGTGTATTTTTAGCTAACGCAATCGATCCAGCATACGTCCACAGCGTCATGGACATCCAGAGTAACCTATACTTGCGCACGAATGCCCGTGTGTCTCGCGTAATATTTGAGGGCACCAAGGCTGTCGGTGTCGCATATGTTCCATCCAGAAATCGTGCCAACAACGCTGCGGTTCAGGAGACCATCGTAAGCTTCTCTTTCTCAATCACGCTGATGTGTGCCTAATAAAGGCCAAAGGTCCGGGCTCGCAAGATGGTTGTATTGAGCAGTGGAACTCTAGGTACTCCACAGGTGGGGTATTGCGTTCAAGCGTTTTCTGTGTGGTAACCTGATATCCCATTTTTGTGTAGATTTTGGAGCGGTCTGGTGTCGGGTCTGCGGGTCTGCTCAAACAACTCGATGTCAAGGTCATCAGTGACCTTCCTGGCGTGGGGTGCGTGCACAATGAACTCTATGTGAAGATAACGCTAACGCTTGACACAGCGAGGAATACCAAGATCACTACACAACTCTGTCCAGTAAGTACACAGAGCACTCAGTCCAGGTTCACTCCTGAAGCTATGACTTTAGTTTACCGTGTCTCTAACGAGTCGATAACCGTGGACGATTTTCTGCGTGGCTGATGAACGGGCTCAGAAGGAGGTGAGCCAATGTACTGCAAATGCTTGTAAAGGTGCTCAATAGGAACTAGATTTTCGCCGAGTGGGAGGTGAGCCCAGAGAAGGCACGCCTGTCATCGAATGCCATCGATGCCGGTTTCAAGGTCAGCTTTCAAATTACTGTTGTGAACTTACCTGGGTCCAAGCATATTTGCTTGCAGATTCGTCCTACTGAAGCGGAGCTGAAAGAAATGGGTACCAGAATTCAATGCTCTTTGGGACAGGTACTTCAAAGACAAGCCTGATAAGCCTGTCATGTATGTATTTGGAGCTTGTTCCAGCTTCTCTTCTGCTCAAATCTTCTTCGCAGGTTTGGATCTATCGTCTCGGGAGGTAAAATTGCTGAGGTGTAATCACAATGATGAAACAACTAATTCGCATGCTAGCTTATGCGGATCATTCGCTCCTTCCTCCCGGCAAGTACATGACAATGTTCCAATACCTCGAATACCCTGCTAGCCGTGGAAAGGTTAGCCAACGTCAATTACTAATCTAGTGTTGAACTCATGTTGCGCGGCCAGATCCACATCACTTCTCCCAATCCTTATGTTGAGCCCTTCTTTGACAGTGGCTTCATGAACAATAAGGCCGACTTCGCCCCCATCCGCTGGAGCTATAAGAAGACTCGCGAGGTTGCGAGACGCATGGATGGTTAGCAAAGCTCACTTCCGAACATTTCATCTCGTTAACTCAACTCACTCTTCTTATAGCCTTCCGTGGCGAGCTTACTTCTCACCACCCACACTTCCACCCTGCTTCACCCGCCGCTGCTCGTGACATTGACATCAAGACAGCCAAGCAGCTGATGCCCAACGGCTTCACTGTTGGCATCCACATGGGTTCGTGACTATCATTCTCCTTGCACAGGAGCTTCGTCGAGTGACTCGTCGTTCTTAGGTACCTGGCACAAGCCTGGTGAACCATACAACGCAAGCATGGTGCATGATGATATCAAGTACACCGAGGAGGATGACGAGGCCATTGATAATTGGATTGCAGGTGAGAACTCTCGGAGACTCTCCATTATCTCACCTCTGAGCTTCCAAAAACGCGCAGATCACGTCGAGACTACCTGGCACAGTCTAGGTGAGTATCGAGAATGACTTTGGACGAAATAATGCTTAAACTCTCAAATAGGAACCTGCGGTATGGCAGTCTCTCTACAAAGCAACCGGGAAAATACTCAATTGACTCTTAGCTATGAAGCCTCGTGCAGAGGGAGGCGTTGTTGATCCTCGCCTCAATGTCCATGGCACCCAGAACTTGAAGTGTGTCGACTTGAGTATCTGTCCTGTAAGCGATCGTCATAAAATGTCCAAGTGGCTCTTTCTTACCATATATAGGACAATTTGGGTACTAACACCTACTCGTCTGCGCTGCTCGTGGGCGAGAAGGGCGCAGATCTTATCTGCGAGGACCTTGGTGAGCGAACATGCCGATCTAAAAATTGCCATCGCTGACAGAACCGTATATTAGGCATCAAGGTCAGGACGCCTCACGCCCCTGTTCCCCATGCGCCCATCCCCGTTGGTCGCCCTACAACTCAGCTTGCCCGTTGAAATAGCTGTTGAGTTATTTAAGAAATCGCAGGTCTCAACACCCCGAAATCCGTGTACATCGTGCAATACGTATGTCGCATGTATGTATGATTATGTAAATTATCCAGTCAGTTCTTGAAAAGAGAACTTTCCACACTACTTTGGACTTAGAGTTCGTACTGATTAGTGCTTAATGACCGGCTGCACAGGGCACAATAGCAAAATAAGATTGACAATCAGTGAGATACTTCATTTCCGTCCTTGAGACCTAGAATACAGCGGTCGACTATATGCGGGAGCCATAAACATCCTTCGGCTCAACGCCACCTTGACCCTTACGAGCATTGGCCTGACCCCACCTTGAAAAGATAAGTGATCAGGTTATAATGAGGAGTTAGTTGAAAACACACTTTTTAATGCGAATGCTTTCAATTTGGATGAACCCTGTGGTATCTGTCGGCTCAAACCCGCCGAGCTCGTCCATGGAGGATTGTTGCTCATCATAAAGACCCTAGAAAGCAGGTGAGCTAGAAAGCATGAAAGTCATGAATCAAATTCGTTACCTCATCGGAGTAGCGGCCGATAACAACGACATTGCCCTTGTAGAGCTTCAAGCGCACTGTTCCATTGACGGTGCGTTGGCTCGCAGGGATGGCACTAGTTACGAACTCGCGCTCAGGGGTGAAGAAGTGACCATTGTAAAGGATGCGGCCCAGTTCGATAGTGACGAACTGATCACGAAGAGCACGAACATTGCGGTCGAGCGTGAGACCTTCAATGTCCATATGTGCGACACGTAAAATAGTCGCTCCAGGCGACTCATAACAACCGCGAGACTTGACACCGATGAATCGATTTTCAACGATATCGATACGGCCGACACCATGCTTCCTCGCCACAGCATTGAGTGCGAGGAAAATGTCGACGGGATCAGTGAGAGGGGCCTGGTTAGCAATCACCACCTTCACAGGAAGGCCAGCCTTGAACTCGATCGACAGCTGTTCAGGCTCCTCCGGTGCATCCTGAAGGGGCGCGGTAAGTTTCCACATGTCTTCGGGAGGTGTTGTGTTTGGGTCCTCGAGGATCCCTGCTTCGTAGGAGATATGGAAGAGGTTCTCATCGGTTGACCATGGTTTTGCGGCAGTTTGTTGCACCGGAATTTGCTTCTCCGCCGCGTAAGCGAGTAGTGCTTGACGGCCAGGGAAGCGGTTATAGAACTCTGGACGTCAGGGATTAGCGAAAAAGCTTTGCAAGTTCGAGAAACTGGGTCACCAGGAAGCCTCCAAGGGGCAATGACTTTGATGTCAGGCTTGAGACCATAGAAGGCAAGTTCAAAGCGAACTTGGTCATTCCCTTTGCCTGTGCAGCCATGTGACACATAGCTGTCAGAAGGTCGCTGAGTTCAGATGCGTGGAGGATGAGGGTAAGACTTACTCGCAACCCTCTTTGTCTGCAACAGACATCATACCGCGAGCAATAACAGGACGAGCAAGTGATGTTCCAAGTAGATATACATTCTGTGATAATGATCAGCACATGATAATTGTCAGGGGAGGGCAATTACTTCGTAGATGCAGTTTGCCTGTACAGCAGGATAGATTAACTCTGTTACGAATTCACGCTTTAGGTCCTGCGAGTTTGCATATAGTGAGTGACAAGGACAGCTGAGCAAACCGCTGGAAGAATTTCAAACCTCCAAGAAGAATTTCTTTGCACCAACAGCGAGAGCCTTCTTTCTAGCTGCTTCAAAATCCTGACAAACAGTCAATTGCCAGCAACGTATAACGGAAGATGTTAGTACCTCCTCCTGACCGACGTCAGCCATGAAGGCATAAACCTCGTAACCCTGCTCGATCAGCCATACCAGGATGCATGAAGTATCTGTAGATCTTAATGCTTAACGACAATCCCTTGTTAAGACACGGATCAACTTACCAAGACCTCCAGAATATGCGAGCAAAACACGACCTTGTGCAGGGGGTGACATGATTGCAACAATTGATAAAGAGCACACGGGGGAGGAGTCAGAGATCTGATTAAAAAGTAAGCCGAATAAAGATGAGGCCTATCATAGTGACCGATCGGTCCTGATCAATTGATCAACCGTCAAAGTTACCCGATTTAGGAATAACTAATCCGAAGTTGGCCCGCTAGTACTCATCAGAGTCATCATGATATCACGGCAGGAAGTGCTCCAGTCTGTGGATGAATTCTAGCAATGAAGACAAATACCATTCCGACAATACAAACCAATATCATCCCATGGCTAGAAAGCCTTGCATAAATTGTAAAGAATGGCCGTCCAGCAAGTACTCGAGCGCCATGTATGCTCTGGGTCAAGGGATATCTGATTCTATCTCGATAACGGTGTCGGTGATTGTACCATAGCTACTCTTGAATGGGGATGCAGCTCTCTTCTACACCGACATCCACATCCAGAGCCGCACACGTTTGACATAGCATCTCGCCAACATCTCAAGTGAGTGACATGGAGGCAAATTCCACAGCTGCGGGAGAGACCTAAACGCCGAGTGAGTTAACATCAACGAGTCATAGATCGCGCTTTAAAGTACCTTTCACAGGCAAACGGCACAAAGAGCACCGAGGTTTAAGAGTGCGTAGACCACAACTTGGACACATTTCCATATGGGGGTCAAGGGTGCGGTTGCATGTCCCACATGCATGCCGCACATCTACGGAACATGGTCAGTTGAAACACAAATCATGCATTTCTCTGCGTACCAAAGATAGCCTCCCGGTTATTGGCGTGGAAGGTGGTGATCTTGGCACTCTTCAGCAATTCAAGTCGCTTGTTCAGGAGCTGCCATCTAAAGAGCATCTCCGCATATGCAAGCACATGGCACTTATACTGAGCAAGGATCTGCTGATCATATGCGGCAGGCCTAAACGCTCATGATAAGTGAAGATCCGCCCATTACGCAAAACAAATACTGCACTTTTCTTCAATATCTTCTTCTTCGACCACCAACCTCTTTTCTTGGATCACTTGCTTTGGGCTGATAACCCGCGAAAAAGTCGGTCGACGCACATGTCCCGCCGGGGAAAGGGGTGCGGCAGGCGCGAGTGTTGCCAAGACAGATGTGTCTGACCATGATTTTGAAATCGGTGACATTGACGACCCTTTGCCTCGTCTCCGAGCATCAAGATTTGAAAGCCTCAGCACCACAGAACCTGCACTTTCGCTGCCAGGCAATGGTGCGGGCATAGGCATTGGGGTCCTCGTCGGGAGTTGAAGGGTATCTATCGAAAGAGGCGTCGAGATGCTTTCCTGCACGCCGGACATGAACTGCCGCATGCTGCCAGTATTGAACAGGCTTGACCACGATCCACGGGAAGAGTTAGACATCGAGAGTGACGAAATCATAAGGGGCGGAGCTGTCGGAGATGTCGATGAGAGCCGCGGCCAACCGGGAGAAAGGGCTGCCGCACGAGGGTCTTTCCGCCGCGTTAGCGAGAAGTAATCTCCTTCAGGGGTCGGTGAACTTGAAGATGGTTGATTAGAGGGTGTGTTTGGCGCTGTGATATTATCAGAAGGAATACTCTGACGAGTGAATAAAATGCTTGCCAGTATCAGGAAGCGAAGCGAAGGCTCTCAGTAAAATTATACCAAGCATCGCAAGCATTTGCACGTCGTGGCTTGCACAGTACTCCTTGTACCTATGGAAATCCAAGTCAACTCTTGGAATACTGCCTAGGAAAAGAACGTACAGTGAATCAATAATTTTCCGCGCAACCTTGCTTGGGCCTTCGCCCTTGGTCGCTGAAGCGGGGAACAAGCCTCTTAATGTCCTCCATACCCTTTCATGGCTCCACTGCCCATGTTCACGTGCTATGTTGGCGTTGACATCGCAAATAGCACCTACGCTCTCGCCGTCGCGCCCAAACACGTACGCTTCTGCGATTTTCCGTTGAGCAAATGCAGCATCCGTTGGACCTTCGATGAACACCGTGCTTCTACGCGTAAGTACCGGCACCTTGGCATAATTCGGGTTGGCGGTTGGAAGGGAGCTGGATGCAGTGACCATCGACTCACGTCGCTTGTGCTGGTGGTGTGAAAAGGTGAGGAGGTTGGTCATTATACGCATGGTCGTGTCGTTATCCCCAGATGACTGTGGAAGGGAGTCCAACATCTTGTCACGATCGATCGCAGCCATACCAAGCCGTCGGACTGCATCGGAGAGCAATGCGGGAGATTGGAACAACCTCTGAGCAGAAGGAGATGAGCGTGATGCTGGAGTTGTGACTGGAGAAGCCGACATCTCGTTCATGGGATTGCGCACTATCCGGGGTGGCGCACGGAAGAAACATACCAACTCTCCTGATCTAATATTTAGTGAAAATTAACGATGACCTGGCAAATCACTAACCATTCGGACCGAAGACACCTTGTGATGTCCTTGGTTCCGCGAGATTCTTGTTGTTCCTAAGTAAGGACACCGTAAAATCTCTTGACTTTCTCCCACCTTCTCCTTTCCGCAGGTCATCATCCTCTTCGTCGGATGACTCCGAGTCGATTCCTCTCGGGATGCCGACCCGCTCATCTTCATCCCCGAAAAGTAAGAACCTCAGGCAGGCCTCAAGGCATGGTCTTCTTCTTTCTCGAATACCTCTCAACCGTCTCAACATAAATGCGCGACTTTGCATCGAAACCAGGGGGTTTCGCTCAAGATCAATTTCAGGTACGCCAGATTGAGGGTATGACTTGGGAAATCGGAAGGAAACGCGTATGAACACGCTGACAGAAGACGACTCGCCCCATGGTCCATGTAGACCAAGGGTACATGTACGTCGCTTGGTAAGATCGTGCTACGGATATAAAGTAAGTTAACGCACACGGTTAGAGAAATCAAAATTTAAACCTTTTCAAGTTTGATGTTGGACGTCTGCAGCTTCCTTAGCTTCGTCAAGGCAGAAGTAATTCTACGCAGTGAGATCAGTAGCAGTAAGGAGAGTCGATAGGTTTACTCACTCATCCTGCAAGCTCTGCGTACCATCTCCATCTATAATACGACTCCCACTTCGCTTCCTCTTCTGGCCTGGTGGAAAGCTCTCACCGCGTTCCTCTCTTCTTTCTTCCGAACTTACTCTAGTTGAACTACTTTCCTCGCGCCGCTCACCAACCTTGATGCTCACAAGCCACTGAAACGCATCCATTCTCGCAGATCTACCACCAAACGCATGGCCACGTGTCATCGTCATCGTTGCGGGCGTTCCAGGGATATGTTGAATGTGCGGCTTCAGCGTAGCGCCGGGGATACTAAACGCGGCTGACCCGGGGGCGTCCAGAAGCAGTGCACCACGGCCTCGTGCTGCAGATCCGTGGTGTGGTTGGAGGACGGGGTTATGATCTTTGTCTCTGCTCGCAAGAATGCTAGCACCAGTAATTGTGGTCGTTGGTACTCGAGGAGGCAGCGTACTTGCTCTCACTTCAGCCAGAATTCCACGAGGCCCAATAGGTGGGGATAGAAGTGACGGGTACACATCGGGCACTGTTGGTGGGTGCCGGAAAGACTTGTCTGTGAAGAAACGCGAACGTTGCAAATGAGGGTGCGAAGGCGCTTGAGTGGTAGCCGTATGACCGACTTTCTGTGATACACAAGATGTTATGCACTGGGGGTAGGTGCGAAGATGCATGGCATATAATTGCGCACCTCCATAGTTTCAGCATCAACTGGCCAGAATCTGAGAGTTCTGTCCTTGGACCATGTAATAAGCTGGTGCTCTCCTCCCTCTGTTGGCATCAAATTACACAACGATTGACGTCTAAAGTGTGCGCGCTCACCTAATCCCCCCTTCCTCCACACAAATTCCTTCACTACATCTGCATGTCCCTCAAACACCTCTACTGGTGCTCCAACCTCACTCCCCTCCAAAGTGTACATCTCAAGGGTCGTTTCTCCGCGCTGCGGCAAGCTCAACACGCCGTGTCCGAAAGGAAGGTTTCGGGCGCGCCAGACGGGATACCGTGTTGAAATTGTTGAGCGTGGTTCAATTTCGGCTGGCGAGGACTGATTAAGGGAAAAGGAAGGAGCATCATACGCGTCCCACACTTTGATCGTTTTGTCGAGAGAACAAGTGACCAGGTCGTGCATTCGGGCATGCGCCCAGTCTATACCGTATATCTTCGCGGTATGCGCCTGTATTCGCGCAGTAGGGAGCGAGCCTTTCTGCCAAGTCGATCAGTGGACAACTCCCAGGTAACGACAGTCACGTCAGATAATATAGCGAAGGCGACATACCCGGCGATCCCATATTAGAACTTCTTTCATATGTGAGGATGCCAAAACATTAGGATTATGTCGGTTCCATTTCACCTGTGTACCTCCCGCTATGCAAAATATCACATTTCAATCCACATGCACAGTTTCAAACACGCTTACAATTGAATGCGCAGAGTCCTGTGATAATTCAAGCTACATTTGATGTGGACGGCCAAAGAAAACGCACCTAGCACGGGTTTCCTCGGCGCCCTTAGATCCCAAGACCACACCCAAGCATCAATACCGACACTAGCTACAGTGTCGGGTTCCGAAGTATGCCAGTTGATGTCGGTGATGGCACGGTAATGAGAGTGAAGTATGTGTTCAATAGACGTCTTTCCAACCAACATAAGGTTCCATATAAGGCTTGAAGTTCTCTGTCAGAGGCTCCAGAGAGGACTAGATAGAGGAAAGCTCACAGTTTCTCGGATGAGGTAGATACAATGTACTCGGCGCGAGCGCGGTGGGGGTTCCATTGCACGTCCGCAACATCCCATGTTCCGCCTTGAGGAAGGAAACGCGGGACCTCGAGAGGCGCTTCGAGATCAATGATAAACAGACCTCGGCGACTTCGCACTATTGAGAAAACATTCGGCACGACATATGCGGACTTACGCTGCAAGGACAATGTCTCTACTCGTAGGGCTGATACTCATCTGTATACTTGGTCAAGAAACTGCCTTTTTATGACAGAAAGTATACGCACATTTCCGACTGCATCCCCGACAAGTTCCTTCATGTCTATCTGGAGACTTCTGCGAAAGTTGCCACCATCTTCGGGAGAAGAAGATGGATGCGCGTTCTGTGTCATTCCGAATAATGGTACATCACGATATGAACCAAGTCCAGCTGAAATTTCTTGAGTATGTTCATACAGCGGAGGAGCCCATGACGGACGGCGTGCAGTTAGTAAAGATAGGGAAGAAGGGACTGGTCCTTCTCTGTCTGGTGTAGCAGTTTCGTTTGCAATGCGAATGCGTGCTGACTGCGGAGGACCTGTATGCGCAGATTGTGATGACCGCGACATCAATTGTCGGGGTTCGTGGTGGTTCTCTCCTCAATTTCAGCGTAGTCACGTGAATCAGGATCCCTCAAAAGTTAAACTTAAAGTTAACGATCTATAGTCAATGTAAGTAATAAGATACTGCTACGACGAGATGAGTGGTGATTAAGCAAGCAATGATCAATGCGTGGTGTGTTAAGAGTCCGGTATCCAATAACACGACTATAGATACGCCCTGGCGGACCTGCGTGCCATCTGCACAGAAGAATATCAGTGTGAGTAGCACGTAAAGGAGACAAGACCCACTTCAAGGACCTTCCACCCTGCTGTAACTTCGTCTGCCATTTCCTCGCGAACGCGCGTTATCACTGCGGCATATACGCACTGTTCCACTCGGTTTTCAGCGCCGACGACGATCTCACCCGAGGCTGCGTTGCGGAAGAGGAGAACCTCTTGTGTTGAGAATGTCACAACAAAGACAGGGATAGAGGAGTCGAGGATCTTTCCATCGGACACCTGCGAGGATATTGTCTCCATTTCATGTCTGTTATAGATGGACGGGAAATGGATACTTACATCTACTGACCGGATGTCAAGCACTTTGCTATCGCTCACGAGACCCTGTTTGAGATATTGTTCCATGGTTGCCCACAGAACATTATACGTCTAGAAGTAGGACATCGTTTAGCCTCCGGAACACAATTCCGGTCGCATACACTCACCGCTTCACTGCACCACCTAACAAGCGACTCCCTATCTGCACTCAAGTAGGCATCTACGACTTCAGGAACGATATACTCTCTCAGCTCCTTCTCGAACGCCTCCCTCGAGAAGTTGGGATCCAACGCACGGATCATCCGTGTCACCTGTGCTGTTTCGTTCTCCTCGAACCACGACCCAATCGTACTCGTCACAGCACGGATGGGTGTAACGAGGGGCGACTCTGACTCTTCGTACGCGACATGTAGTGAGGCTAAGCGCTGCATAACAGGGTTTGTGGACTTGAAGTTCTCCCAGGCCTCCGTACGGGGTGAGGTTTTGACGGAGACCAGTGCTTGGCCTGCTCTGTAAACGCCATCTTTGTTACTACCAGCATACACACTTCACTTCAAAATAACGCACTCCGTGTTCTCCTCCATTAGTCGACGTCCGCTTAGACCCGCCTTCTCTAGACGTTTTTGCCTACGCCGTCTCCGAGCTTCCTTGTCCTCAAATCCAGCATGCTTCGCAGAGCCAGAATCATCGAGAGCATCGACAAGAGTCTCTGCAAGAGTTTTGTAAGCGGCTGTCTGACGGATGGGTTCGGTCGTAGTTGCAATGGTATTAGAGAGGGACGATGTTGCTCGCGAAATCTGCCGGAATTTAGTTCATGACACCGAGCAGAACACAGAAGCGAAAAAACACGCACTGTGCGCATAATTTCACTCTCCTCCATGGTCTTCAAAGCCTCTGATACCGCATCTCCGACCTTGACACCCGTCTTCTTCAGTTCCTCCGCTGCTGCCCTCAGACGAGGGTTCTCTTTTATGCTGGATGTCAACTAGGTGCGGAAGTAGATGTAAAGTTCAATCCAGATATGAGAGAAATGAAAGGACGGACTCTTGCACGCTCATACACCTCCCTCGCCCGTTTCATGGCCTCCGAATCCTGAAGCTTGTCAACGTCGCCCTGAAGTTGTTTGACATTTTCTTGCAGCTCCCTGTTCTTCCGGAGTTCTTCACGAAGGACATCGACAAATGTTTGAAAGGGAGACTTCGGGAGCTCGTCATGTCTTCGTGATGAGGAATGAAAGGAATGAGATCCGGGAGTGCATGTGGGTCGTGACAGAGGATGGCTGACTGAAGGATACCGGGGCAGCGAGAACAGCGCTACAGCTGGTCTGTGCGCAAGCGACGAGCGCGCACGCTGGCCTGCAACGAAGCTACGGAGATGACGGGGAAGCATCACTTTCAGCGACTAAGGAACTTAAGGGCAAAGTCTCAAAAGAAAAATCACGCTGTCACGTGATGACATATCTGTTGAACTACATGCAAACAATGTCACAGCAATGTGCATCATGTACTACTTCTTCTCCTTCATTGAAAGGCGCATACGCGACTATACAACCGACACGTCAACGTCAACTGAACAGAATGAGGCAGGCCACAGTTAAATGAGATCGATGGCTCAATGAACGTTCAATATAAGCGGTTTGCGATATTGCATCATATCGGACACCTCTGGAAACAAGTCGTGGCCAACGACGAGAAACACTGAAGAAACACACGAAACAAAACAGAACCACGTTCTGGATTGCGAGACGACGACGACGGTAAGGTACAAGCTAAGGGAAAGAGGTGTCTACGATGCAATGAACCAAATGTCATGTGTACGTAAGCCACCAGGCTTACAACCTCCTAATGTTGACCTTTCCTTGTCAATTAACGACTAATAGACGGTAAACAAAGCAAGCAGTTGCTCTGATTCAGTATCCTTTCAGGTGGCATGTCATGTCCGAAACATCAGGCTTTTGATTCTTGCAACAAGTAAGTACTTCAGTTCTCTATTCCAAGGTATCACTTGGTCAAGCGGTTGTGAAGTTTATCCAGAAGCAAACATCTTGATCAACTCAGAAGCGAACCACTAATGTATCGCGCCATCAACCATACTGCGCACCGATGCGAAAGCAGAAACATGACTCACTGTAGCTCAATGTCGCGACGCGCCTTCGTCGACACAAATATAACTAGTCCGATCCTACCAGGCCGGTGAGTCATGGAGTTAAATCATGGATGCCAACTACTGATATTCACATTATGGGCATCGTACGTTTGGTCGCATGTAAAGCCAAAGCAGCAAGTATAACGGTGGCTGCTGTCGCAAGTTCCAGGTATATGACATTTCAAGTTGGGGGCACCGAGTGACATAGACGCCGCCATTGCAGCAACGACGGCGTGGACAAAGGAGAAACGCATTACTTGTGATACGGGGTCTCGAAAAAGTGGAGGGCACGGTAGGAAGATGGCTTACTTTTATGTCCCGAAAACATCGTTCTGGAATAACTTCGGGCGAATGCATAGGCATAACCTATCCATTGTCCTCTTCAGGCAGATTATATTTACAATGCCAGCAGATTGCTACCTATTGCCACTGGCCAGCAGACGACTTGCTCTCTAGACTCTCACATTAATATTGCTATTGGCGCCTGCGGACACGCGATGGTACATCAGTGTCGTCCTAGTCATCATGTATCATCTTCTCCTTAACAACTGACGAGCTGAGGAACAGAGCGAGGCAGACCGTGGTTAATTCTGACCGACGTTCAAACAGGCCTGTTTTTACATCATCGATGATCGGACACCTCTGTATTGACCCTTCCTTGTCAATTAAACGAGTAATAGGCGGTAACCAAAGCAAGCAGTGCTCTGATTCAGTAATCCTGCTTTTATGTCCTGAAAGTACTATTCTGGAAGAGCTTCGTAGCGAGAGTATAGGCAGGGCTTATCCATCGCCCCCTTCAAGCAGCTGCTATTTACAATGCCAGCAGATTGCCACTGGCCAGCAGAATTCAGACGACTTATTCTCACCGATTCAAAACACTTTTAAGTAGTATCAGTCAGGCCGGTGAGTCATGGAGTTAAATCATGAATGTCAAATACTGATATCCACATCATCACCGTCGAATATTGACTTGGATTGTATAGCCTTGACAGCAATATCCATTGTTGCAATGTTCAGGACATTCATCACTGTTAACACTGACATATATAGATGCCGTCAAAGCAGCAACGACGGCGAGGACGAAGGAGACACGCATTACTTGTGCAATGTGATATGGGATCTCGAAAGAGGAGGGAGCACGGTCGGAAGACGGCTTGCTTTTATGTCCTGGAAATACTGTTCTAGAAGAACTTTTTCACCTAAAACCCTCTTCAGGCAGATAACATTTACAATGCCAGCAGATTGCCAGCTGATGGCACATCTCTCCTAACGCCGACCGAACGGAATGATTCAGAGGGCTGGGCATGACTATGAAAACGGGGTCGAAACAGGGAGAGGTTCGGCGAGGTATCGTTCATCGGACACCTTGTATTCATCTTTGCCTTATCAATTCAACGAGTAATAGACGGTGGACAAAGCAACCAGTCGGGAGACCAACGTGACGGTCACCGTAAGTACTTCAGTCCTCTATTCCAAGGTCTCCCCTACACAAACGATTTGTCCAGAAGCAAGCATATTGATCAACTCAGCAACGAACTGCTTGCGTATCGTGCCATCAGCCGCACTACTATGCATCAATGTGAAAACAGAGACCTGACTCACTGTAGCTCACTATCCCTACGTTTATTACAAACACCCACATATTGACCCTACCAGGCCGGTCAGTCATGACATTAAATTCTGGATGCCAACTACAGATACTCACCGTGAGGGCGTCGAATGTTGTCTCGCATGTATAGCCAGGGCAGCATTTCTCAGTGTCGCAATATTCAGGACATAGCTGTGCATCATCGTCAGCACTGACGTACGTAGATGCTGTCAAAGCAACGATGGCGAGGAGAAACGCATTACTAGTATCGGACAATAAATCTGAGGGGAGCAGAGTAGGAAGACGGCTTGCTTTTATGTTCCGAAGATTGTATTCTGGGCAGAACTTTGTGGCGGTGAGTGCAGGCAGAACCTATCCACCTGAAACCCCCCTTCAAGCAGATAAACAATGCTAACAGACCTCAAAATCCACTTACTCTCTCACCGGTATTCTTTTTCTATTGGCAGAAAACCTTTGGGAAAGATGGTAACGCACCAGCCTATAGGTAGCTAGTCGCTTTTGATTCAACCACATTGAATCCTTTCAGCGATACATCAGGCCTTTGAGTTCGTCTTTACAACACAATTACGAGACGGTCGTCTCAAATACTTCAGTTCTCTATTCCAAGGTCTCCCTTGCACAAGCGATTTAAGCAAGCATATTGATCAACTCAGCAACGAACTGCCTACGTATCGTGCCATCAACCACACTATGCATTAATGCGAAAGCAGAAATATCACTCACTGTAGTCCACTATCGGAACGTGCCACTCAGGCCTGAGTTATTTTTTTTTCTTACAAGCACCCACATATTGATTCTACCAGGCCGGTCAGTTATGGGATCAAATTCTGGATGACAACTACAGATACTCACAAGGCGGGGGTTGTATGCCACGTTGCATCTATAGCCAGGGCAGCAATTTGCGTCGTTGTCGCAATATTCGGCAGAATTATCACATGGGTCGTAAGCACTGGCGTATATAGATGCTGTTAAAACAACGAGGATGAAGGAGAAACGCATTACTGGTGCGATGTGAGTGGGTCTCGAACAATCAATCTGAGGAGTCAGGGAGGAATACGGCTTGCTTTTTATGTCCCGAAAATTGTGTTCTGGGCAGAACTTTGAAGCGAGAGAGTAGGCAGAACCTATCCACCTGAAATCCCCTGAATCCGACCCTGTCATTTACAATGTCAGCAGACCTCAAAACGACTTGCTCTCTCACCGCTATTCTGTTTCTATTAACGGGAAAACCATTGGGAAAGGTGGTAACGTCCAACCCGCTGCGATAGTCCGCCTGTGTAATGTGACTCCGGATGCTGAGAGGACTTAGGATCGCATCGTGCATGGCGTACTAGCGGCGCAGCAAGGGGTGCCGCGGGATCGGCGGCTGATCTCTGGGACAGAGGCGGTCTTTCACCTGATGTGCGTTATGTGGAAATCTATTGATGCTGTTCGAAAGGAGATTTCAGGTGGATAGGTTCTTCCTACATCGCCATGAAGAACAATACTCAGCACCTAAAAGCAAGGCGTCTTCCTGCTGTCCCCTTCAGATTTATTTGATCGCATATCACATCCTCACAAACAATGCGTTTCCCCTTTGTCCTCGCCGTTGTTGCTGCTTTGACAGCATCAATATCTGCCAGTGACGCTGACAGTGAGAAATGTCGTCTCTTTTGCTCTCATAATAGACAATGCATAGACTGTCACACTGAGACGGCTTTTTGCGTCCTGGATTTAACCACATGAGTTGTGTTTCTGCTTTCACATCGGTGCAGTATGGTTGATGGCACGACGCGTGAAGCCCCGATCGGATGCTCGATCATTGGGGGTGGGATAAGGACTTTGGCAATGACGGCGGTGGCGAAGTTTAGGGGGACCAGGCAGTGAAACGATATCTACTTTCTTTGGAGAGGAGGCTGGAGGTTGAGAAGTCCTGTAGTGTCAGAGCCCTTGCAAGCTACTTAGCAGATTGTACAAAACCGCTTCTCTATGGGCTTGGTTCGAGAAAAATAATTGGGAAAGGTGCTCACCGTAGATCTGGATGTGCTGTTGACAAGTTGTCGAGCGGCTGTACAATTCCATCAAGTGGCCTTGGTTCGACTTTGAAAGAGCGGGATGCCCTGTGACCTAGTACTTATTTGAAGTTGAAGCACTGGGATGCTGTGCGGACTGGGAGGGCCCAGGCGCGAATACCACACGATATCACACTAGTGGGAATCCATGTACATATTACATGAAGGGGCGGATTCAAGGCGGAATGCTGGGTTACGAAGCAGCCATAAGTGACAATACATTATACACCAATTGGGAAGGGTTTGCATTGACTAGTGTGGGCGGTGAGAGTGAGGGTGTACTTACTTAATACGTGGGTCGTTTCTGGGGTGCCGGGGTCATTGGCTTTGCGAAGCAAGGTTAGGGGTCTCACGGACACATGGAAGTGTAAAATAGTGAATCCCGCGTACGTGTCTACCTATAAGTCTATGACTCACCAGGACAATTAAAATAAATAAAAAGCAATACATAGAGTAAGAGAGATGCTTCATTCTATCTACCATGAGGCCTAGAGGGCTCACCACAGTAAAAACATGCACAGTACTACATACAATCCTATCTGTTCCCGTACACTCGGCACCCCCAGAAGTCGGCAGTCACGCTTTTTCGCAGGGTTTTGTGTGACTGCATGTGACCAATTGAAACAAAAGTGTCACATTTTCCCGCTAAAATGTGTGACCTGCCGACTTCTGGGGGTGCCGAGTGTACGGGAACAGATAGTCCTAGTTATATCATGCATGAATCAAAAAATAAAACGAAAAACGAAAAAAAAAGTTCTACTATTTCTGGTCAGTTCCGGCACGTATGAAAATGGGTACGCAACATTCTCACATGGCGCTGTTCCGCACATCGCCGAAACCTTCGTGCTCGCTGTGTGCAACAGCGAGCTCAACTATGTCATTATTTCAGCGCCCTTTTTCGTATTTCTTTCATTGTATCATTTATAATATCATTCAATGAGACATATCACCTAAGTAAGCTTAGAATGCGTGTATATAAGATGTATGAAGAATACATAGACATGATGACTCCTCCACCTAAACTAAGGCCTTCGAGCGTTGCTCCCTCGTAGAAAATACACCATTAAATCACTAGATAGAAAGAAATACAAAATAAAAGCTACTAGGAGCTGAGAAGGGCGTTCTCGGGTGAAAAAAAATTAAAGAGAGGGAGGAAAGAGAGTATATGGGTCAGAGCGCCATGCTGATGGGGGTGAGGGTAGAGGGTGCCATGATTGCAAAAATGCGACCACACCATGAGGTTAACTGAGGGTCATACAAATTGAAGGTACTTACTCACCATTGAAGAGCAAAGATAAGCGGTGTTCAGACAATGTATTGTGACCCTCGTGGAGTCATATGAACTGGTATAATGGACGATACAATGGCTTTTGGGTGTACAGTAAGAAAAATATCAGAAAACATAAAAAATAGTTACCTGAGAGTCCAGAGCGCAGTACTAGTGTACTTTCCAGTGGGAAATACGTCCCTAAGACACTATCAGCAGTTGTGAGTGTGATAATAACAGGATAGACTGAAAAATGGTGAAAAAGCGAACTATGGGAGAAGGGATATGCCCAGCATGGATCCAAAGGGGATTAAGGCCACAAATTAAAGTAAAACACCCTAGAACATTGGTATGTCCAAAGGGAAGCACTAGGGGTGGAGATATAATGAGTTAGAAAGAAGGTCAGTTGAACAGGAGAGATGGAAAGCTTCGAGCATCGCAAATAGTAAAGCAAGATTTTATTTGAGCTATATCTGTTAGTAGTCTATAAATGAGTAACGATACACAGTATGTCCAAGAGTTGATAACAGTCGAGTCCAGCTACGACTGCATTCTCGTCATGGACTTGATCAACCGGTCGATCTCAGCCAACTTTTGGTCCATATTCATCTAGATAATGGAAACATGTCAATGCCCGACATCTCACAAAGCCAATAGTAGTGCTCACGTTAAAAAATCCGAGCTTTCTATCAATACGTGGAACCCGGGATATTGTACCAGGTAACGGCTGGCTTAATACTCGAGGAGGGGTGGGTGTGATAATACGCCGAGGGCGATGAGAGGACTTGCAAGTGCGGTCGGGTGTTACCAGAGGAGCATATGACACTCTGGACGCCTTCGTCGACACCTGAGGCATCGATAGCGCACTGCTCGGATCATGTTTCATAACAGACGGCTATGAGAGACGATTAGACATATGAAGACCTGAATCTGCAGCATTACTCACAGGGCAACGTGATGGAGTGCGAGGTATCTGGGAAGAGGATGGGCACAAGTAAAAGGTGTGCTTACTCCCCGTCCAGAGACGTTGGGAGTAATACTTGGATGTTGTGATGAATGGAGACGTATATGGCGTGATTGGAATGGGTTGAATAACATGAGCTTCGTTCAAGGTGTTGGGAGGTGTTGGTGGGATATCCAGAATGGAGTTCGTCGACGTGACATGGGGGACGATGAGGCGGGACTCGCAGACGGACCTCTTGACTGGTCGACGAGGCTTCGAACCTTGCTCACGATGCAGCTGCCTTCCCCGCTCGGGAGATGGGTCGCCGATAGCTCCGTAATCTTCACGGTCCTCAGTGGGAACGTAAATTTCATCGTCCTTCCAGTTTCTTGAACCCGGACTGATGGGAATGTCTTGATCGTCTTGACTGCTGCCTATCCAGTCGTTGTTCGGTACCCTCAACATAACATGCCCTGGCCGCCATTCTAGCCCGTTGTCTCCGCGAATCCAGCCACCGGATTGCCACTTTCGTTCATCATTACCTTCCCAACCCCTTCTGACTTCCAGGAATTTCGCCCAGGATGGCACATAGTCATCTGAAAAGCCTTGCCACAGCTTACAATGGTGCGCATCTATCGCATTCAAGAAGAAGTCGAGGCAAATGTCCTGATTTTCAGCTACCGTGTAGCGCCAGTAGTTGCAAAGATAGTCTGCTTGCGTACCCTCGCGGTCCAGGAAGGAAAGGTCAAGCCAGGGGTAGTCCTTTGTGTCCGAAGCAGCGATGTTGGCAAGAGCGTCAGCCGTTAGGGAGGTATCAGGAGTTTTATCTTGACCGTTCTTAGACTGCCTTGAAGAATGTCGCTTTGTAGATGAGATTTTCTTGCGCGTGGATGACGAGCGCTTCGAGCGAGAAGAGTGATGAGAATCTATTAGAGAGATAGTAGAAGGATGAGAGAATTCATCGGTAGGATTGGTTGAAAAATCGTCGGTGATGCGCGAGACGTTGCGTCCAGATGGCTGGGTAGTAGATTTGGAGATGCGAGATGAGTGAGGGGTTGGAATGCGATGGCGGATTTTCTCTGCGTTGGAAGGGTTTTTCTTTGCGAACATATTGAAGGAGAGCTGAATGTGTGTTTAAGGTTATGGATGATAGAGATGCTTTAGGTGAAGAAAGGGGCTGGGACCTGGCAGAGGTCGAGCTTTTAAGCCCCAAAAATCGAAACATCGGATGTCTCGATGTGTGGCAAAGAACGTAAGGCGGATGGTGGATTGAATAGAATGAGTTGTATGAAATTCGAGAGTCGGATGTCTCACCTTTACTTAGTGGCAATTCTAATTGCTATACATGACATCATGAAGCAAAAACTCATCGGATCCGAGCTATCCTCGAGCGGAACTTGTTCAGTGCACGATATCGAATATCGATGCTAGACCATTGTTAGTTTGAGTCCGTCAGTTGTAGTGGATAGAGTACTAGTTAACAGTCTGATAGACGTCACCGAATTCAACGAAATACCTCCGCGGGCATTTCAGCTTGTATATGTTTTGATCGAGACCAATAAAGAAACATATGCACCCACTAGGTCATCCAGCGTCTATAACACGAGAAATATCCAGTAGCGTAGTCAAAGCGTAATTAATATTGAGAGTGGGGTGAGTCGTGACTAGTGTTGAAGTAGAGCGCGCATGCTCCATGACCTCCTACGACCTTGCCTGTTGCGTACCTCCGCGCTCACTCTTTCCCCACCCTCTCTCGCGAAGCTCCTCCCATACGTCGTCCATACCCACTGCCACACGCTGTTGGACGCTTTCAAATGAGTCAAGAGCAGGGCGTACATCCAACGCGAAACCGGGGTCCCCGTGAGCAGTAGGCGGTGCAGAGTAGTAGTCAATGACATAGCGAACCTCTGTTCCATCACGCGGACGCCGTACTATCCAATCATGGCGATCGAATGGAGGCTCAGTACTGTAACACTCAATTTCAGCATCCAGTAAGAACACCGCAGACGTAAACCTACTTGAATCTAGAGGGAAGTAACCAGCCAGCAAGCATCCAGAACCTTGCCTTTGGCGACATCTCGCCTGGACGTCCCTTAAAGCGAGCAAGATGCGGTTCCTCGTCACCATCCCTGAGAGGTAATATATATATATATATATATCAATAATCGTCGCCACCAACATATCAAGCATAAACGCACCGTGCAGCCCTCTTCTCCCACTTCAACACCTCTCCCCAAGCTCTCTCATTCAAGAAATTGTGTATTTCCACCACCGTCTCGACATGCTCAGCGGGCGTATCCATACCTTTCCTCACTAATGCGTTATAGAACTGCTGAGGGGATGGGTACTCCCACGTTTGGCGCGTGCCAGTTGCCGTTTCACCGTCCACCACACGCGGTATAGATGACATGGTGCGCTCAGTTGGTAATGGTACATCTTGCGGGTATATGGGAGTCTGAGGGAGGTTGGGCATCTGATTGGTGGGATTCAGCGTGTCAAGTGAAGAGTGATCGATTGGGCATCCCCCCGAGGATTTTGCAGTAGGTGTGTTGTTGTGCTGGATTGGACAGCCAGTGCTGGGCGCGTTATGCATTGGGCACGATGACGGTGGAGAGGTTGTTGTCGTAGAAGGTTGTGAGGATATTGATTGTCCCATAATAACAGCTGGCACTTTTGAATGTCGTCGTAGGTACGTTGAAATCCAAGACGCAAGTTCGATGTCGTTTTTTGGACCCACGTGATGTAGTCGGAAACACCTCTTTCTCCGAATTCTCGGCTCTTTGAATTGCTGCCCGGTCACCCCGGTGTACTTACGTTGAGTACATTCCTGGACCCGAAGTTTGAAGTCACTGTTCCGCGGTCTTAAGCAACTTGTCTGGTCTTTTCTGCATTTTGGCTTTCCGCTCACAACAGGCTGATCATCATCATATATGGTTGGACAACAATCTCTACGGGCCAGAGGACATCAGAGAACTGGTGGATAAATTAGAATGATATAGACAGCGATATATAGTACACAATCACAAGCATCAGCAAAATTCTGCTATCGATCGTCACATAATCATGTTTGACCTTACATAGGAAAGGATAGTTGCTGATTTTCTTAAACAGTCTTGTGATCGGGAGGGGGGCGCTCCCGTTGCTTCACCTCAGACTTAGTGACAAGGGAAGGAACGACTGTCTTCCTTCTATATGGTCTGGCTAGGGGAGACTAGTGACAAGGTGGAGCAACAGCTAATAATCAATCTAGAGGCATCAACAGCTGCCATGTCGAAGTAAGGTTCATGATTGTGAAGCCAAGAGGAAAAGACACGATCTTCTAGTGAACGACGACTGTCCACCAAGTGAGCGAGACTAAATTGATGTCTGGTAAAGCTAATGGTCGAGCCAGATGAATCATAACCGCAATCTCAAGAGGTCACGTTCACAACTTCGAAGCTAAGAGTCAAATGCAGTATCCTCCAAAAATCGAGTAACACTGATTACGGACATTACAAGTATTATCAATGTATATATTCCATGGTCCAATTTTTCACAGTACAGTGATGCTACTACGTGTTGCTCATGACTCAACGAGACTCTACTCTGGGCTCAGGGCGTGAAGGCTGAAGGCTTTGACCAGGCTAGTGCGAACTCGCTCTGTCCACCAGTTGGAGTGGTGTATCTGCGACTGTGTGCCTGCGTGCTGCGAGCAAGGCAAAGTGATGATGAGCACTATGCTACGACAAAGCCCGAAAGACACTGAGTGGCTGACTAAGAGCCTGGACAGCTGCCGTTTATTTCGAGTTTATTTCTCAGTTTGTTTCTGTATGTGGCGTGGCAATGTGTGACTTGCGGTGACAATGAGTGACGCATTCGTGACATGTCCATGAGATTGGCTTGCGGCGGCGCTGGGCAGCGCTGTCATCACGATCAACTGCGACCAACAACAAGGTCCAATTCACAGCCTTCGTGCTTCGCTACTCCAAACTGTTCATTATTGGCCATCAGATACTATCTATTTTGTTCACTGTAATAAATACATGCTGAATGATTTTAGTCCATGAGAATGTACAAATTTTTTATTGAAATGGTAGAATACTTGAGCTCGCTGTTGCCTACAGCGAGCACGAAGGTTTTGACACCGTGTGGCGTGAGGTCGCGCAATGTATCCAATTTGGTTCGTAACGCTGGACGGTGGCTTGTCACATTTATTTGTGCATGTTGTGGTAAATGAAATAAACTGCGAAATAAACTGCGAAATAAACGGCAGCTGTCCAGGCTCTAAGCTACGGTGCTACCCGGCTGCTACTCCGCCCCTCGCCTAGGTGTCCACTCCAACGGGACACTGGACATTTTCCCTAGTCGGTGAGCCAGTCATAGAAAGCACTCCATGGCAAGGCTGGAGCGCATCCCAGAGGCGAACATCCCAAATAAAATTACATTTCACTAAGCAAGACCATAAAGAACGGGCTGTACAATCTGCTACCTTGCAAGGGCTCTGACTTCTCAACCTCTAGCCTCCTCTCCAAAGAATGTAGATATCATCCCAATGCCTGATTCTCTCAAATTTCGCCTCCGCAGCCACCAAAGTTCGTATCCAACACCCAATGATCGAACATCCGATCGAGGCTTCATGCCTCGTGCCATCAATCATACTGCACCGATGTGAAAGCAGAAGCACGACTCACTGCCACACTAACATATAAAGAGGACCTACCACGCTGGTGAGTCATGCGGTTAAATCCAGGACGCAATATCCACCTGAAATCTCTTTCGAGTAAATCATGCCAGCCATACCAGCAGATAAACTGTCATTTAATGTGAAGCAAGGTCTATTGGCAATTTGGTGTGGAATAAAATATCACCTTGCGAAGTGAGGTCAATGCCAATAGTTGATTGCCACCTAAGATCTACCTTGTGAAGCGTGCCAGATCCATGATATCATGACTGAACTTGTGGTCGTGGCAGATGGTCAAGAACAACCCTTGGCCGACGCTAAATTTATAGCCCAACGGAGTGGCACCGATAACGGCGAAGTTGGTCCTGTTGGATGGGAACCGTTTGCGTTCGACAAAGCCCTCCTCCACTAACGTGGCACTGGGAGTCGGGGGATCTGGTCATGTGCTGCGCTCACATTTCAGCGGAGTGAGCCCCCTAGAATTCAAACGTTCATTACATGCGAGTGAGCGCGAGGATGAAGATGAGAAACAAGACGCGTATAACACACGCGTCGCATCTAGTGCTGCCGCCGTTCAGTCCCGAACCTGGGTTCGAACCTGAACTTTTGCGGACGGGACCACCGTTCGGTTAGTGGTTCGACACACGATGCAGGACCAGACCCTACCTAGGTTCATCGTTCGGGCAGTCTCGGATGGCTCTCGGACCCGTTCTGACGAGTCTGAACCGGTCCGAACCCATCATTGTAATCAAGTTTGTTTCTTCTGTTCTGCGACTCATGAGAATCAGCTTGATATGATCCTCAGGTTCGAAAGATGCTCACCATCAACACACCAATGAGCTCTCCGGCGCAATCATCACTGGCACAATCATCACCGGCACAATGCTCACCGACACAATCAATCATAACACATTTTATCTACAAGAAGGTCGTTGTTCGGACAAGCAGCATTGCCTCCTCGTGTTGATTAGCATTGAACAGTACAATGGCCTGAAATCCTCAATGAGATAGGGAGTATGTGATAAAATTTAACGTGCCTTAACCAAGAGAAGGAAATGGATGGTTTTTGTATCTTCATTCGTAAACATGAATGCGAGGTCAAATGCTATCCTCGCGTCCCGGACTTGACCTTTTCCACATAGAGCGATGGCCTGGGAGATATAACCTATCAAGGAGGGCTGTATGGTGACAGACTATATCGCAATGAAATATAGCCTTTTGTAAGGGAGCCATGATGGGTCCGTCTGTCTCACCTTAATTGCATCATCAAGCGCGTGATCCCAGTCGTGTTTTTGTGCCATGATGAGTGAGCGATTGGCATAGAAGCCGTAGTTATTGGCATCGGCGTCAATCTCTTGTGTGAGCATATCTTCAGCAAATATCAAGTCGCCAGTTATACATGCATTGCGGGCTGTCGTACTCATAGCAATGATCTGCAGGAAGCCGCATGATCACAAATATTGCGTTATGAGAGACAAAGATAGAAGCATATTAGTTTGAACATAAGTAAAGGAGTTCGGAAGGCGACAGGGCACATACATCCGTGGTGTTGTGTGGGGTAGTATCCTACACACGACCTAAGAAAACACAGGGACAGAAATTCAACATGAACGTACCTTTGAGTTCGACGCCTGTTCCTCGAGAGTATCCGGTACTAGCCACTCTGAGATCTTCGTATGTTGACATCCAGTGAGGATGTGCTTGCCGTCCACGGAGAAGGTGACACAAACCACTTGGTAGGAGTGCTGGAAAATAGCGATGGTTCGTCTATCAGAGAGGCGCCAGAGGCGAGTATGCTTATCTAGAGATGCGGATGCGACGAGAGTCCCAGCAGGATTGACGGCAATGGCGAGGATGCCATCAGTATGGCCCTTCCAGGGCTTCCCGACCTGATCCCAGGTCAATGGATCCCACTCCCGTATGGTGAAATCCCACTCCACTTTGGGGTCGGATTTCCGGCGCATGGGCAGTTCACTAAAGCCTGCTGAGAGAAGGCGTGTGCCATCTGGCGTCCATGCGAGTGCCGAATTCACGATTTCTCCTGCAGAAGCATGCGCGTGATCCTCGAACTTTGTGACGCACTCCCTTGTGCCTGGTTCAATATTTGAATATTTTTCTCCGTCGCGATGGCAAGATGTTTACCAGACGGTGAATACCGAACACAAGTAACACCATCACCACAATCGATTGGGTTTCCTAGCAGCTCCCAGGTTTCTGTGCTCCACAGTTTCGTCGTTTTGTCCTCTGAACCAGTCACTAGAACCGCTCCATCTGGAGAAAAGTTTAGCGAGGGGATCGATTTGGAGTGGGCTTCGATAGTTTGGGTGAGAGATTCGCCATTGTCTCCGTCCCAGGCAATGATTTTTCCTTTGCTATCAATTGGCCGTTTCGTGACACCGCCACTGCCAGTGGCCACACTACTTCGTGATGTCCCTCCATATTCTTCAACTCTACACCGTCCTTCAAGTCCCACAGATGCAGCGTTCTGTCTAGCGAGCTCGTCACCATATGTCGTCCATCGGGCAAGACTGCGACCGCGGGTACGCCTTTTCCATGGGTCAGAAATGCCCGAACGGGTGTGATGAACGGAATGATGGGCTGCATTTCCTAAGTCTTCGGTGGTGGTTGACGGTCTTTAGCGAAGTTGAGTCGGACTCGAGAGGGACTGCGGGTGTCTTGCTGCTGCAGAGGTGCGTGAACGCCGTACTGGGCGATTTTATATTGCTTCAAGCAGGCATGAGCCTGCCTCGTGTCCCATTACATCAAAGATATCATGGAGACTGTTCGCTGCCAACCTCCATCCTGTGTCAAGCTGCAGCTAGAGTGTTCCCCGTTGTCATACGAGTCCTCGATGGTGTAACCCCTGTACATAGGTCTAAAAACGCGCTGGCGCGTCAAATTGGGATGCCGTGGGTTATCGAAGCGAAAGGCACTAACTATCTCTGCAGGCAAGGAGAATTTCTATTGATCGTTCATGTGGTTATTGACGAATGTAGTTGGGCCTCTCGCCTCGCTCAGATCTAGTGCCCACACCTTGTTGAATATCGCGATCTCGATCTACTCATCTCGCAGGGCATGTACTGGAGTAGGTTGGAGTGGCGCCAGACCGTCTCGCTTTGTCATCAAATGTCGGGAATTGCCGCCGAAAGCATTCTTCAGACAGAAGATTTGACGGACCAACTCAATGCATAAACACAAACGTGGTGTCATGATGGACTCATCCCGTGGATACCTAGGCGACTGGTGCCATAACAAAATTAAACAGTCCCCACTAAATTGAAATCCAATGTTATATGTACGACCTGTGTGCAATGTGATACCGCAGATCAGTCCGCTTTGCTACTGAATATCGATGTTTGAACATCCCGGTAGCCCGTCACTATCCAAGTGGTCATAAACATAAAGGCCCCCACCGCAATGGCCACTGTAATCCGATCAGTACCTGCCCAAACAGCAGAACCATGATAATACTCACAGAACGAGCGGTTTCTCTCCCGCCCACATGTCACCCATGGAAAAGCATGCGACATCAAAGTCCGTGTGCGCCAGCACTTTACCTTGGGACTTGTCCGACGAGGCAATCAACGGATCCCATAGTCGCACGCACCCGTCGTTGCCTCCGCTCACAATACCAACTCGCCGCCGATCGCGCCCCTCGACCCAGCATGCCTGAACAACCCCATACCCGGCGGATACTGTATCCAACTCCCCGTGTTTAAACATGGCAAGCGGACCTTTGCTCAAAGAGCGAATGTCATACATGTGTACGACATTATCGGACCGTGCCACAGCAAGGAGGCGACCTTCGGAAGAAAATGTCGCTGTGGCTTCAAATGAAGGAACCTTGGAGACAGATGGCTCGAGCGTCATTTGAGCGACTGGATCCCCCGACTTGCGAGCAACATCGTACAATCTTATCGGATGCTGGTTGTTCTCCCCACATGTGATTAAGACATAAGTACTCCCTGCACATGATTATGATTATACCAATCGGGAGACAGATGAATATGCTCACTTACCATCTGGACTGACGGCGCCTGCGTCACCTGCCTCGTTAGCACTGAAGCGAAATAACTCTCGACCTCGTGTTATGTCATGTGCACGGTGGAAACCTTTGTCCTTGCCCTCACCGTCGGAGTCGTGAGGTTCTGACGATGTGTATATAAGGCGTTCTGTCGGACCAGAGCCCCACAGTACAATACCCGCTGCATGATTTTCACCAGCGGGGGCAACGCAGAGCTTCATCCCTAGAGGTGAAGGTGTAGTTCTATGCCATGTTGGTGAAGCAAATAAGTTTGTCGTCTTAAAAACAGAAACGGTGCTGAGCAAATATGTCAATTCCAACCAAGTTGATGATTTCGATGAGATACAAACCCGTCTCGACAAGACACGGCGAGATTTGCACCGTCGGGCGAGTGCACCAAGTCCTGGGCGACATCTCCGAGCGTAACTAATGAAAGAGGACATCAGTTAGCACAAGGGTAGCAATGGTAAACACACTGGTATTCGTCATCCAGGGGGCGCCGGATTCACTCATTTCTATGTCGTCAACCTTGGGAAGCTGCCAAAGTTGCACTTGGAAATCATGCCCAGTAGAGAGAAATTGTTCGGGGCTACAGCGACCATCAGCTCATCAAGCAAATTACACTCAGGGCCAAACCATACTTCAATGGATTGAATAAAACGTCGTTTATCGTGTAGTATTTCTTCGAAGAAGCTGCAACACAGTTCAGTCATAAGTGCCACTTCTAGGGGAGATAATCACCTCCATGATCGATGCAATGAGCATCGACGACGTGACCTGTAAGTGTTATTAAAACAATGCCCTTGCACTTGCTACAGACTTACACCGGCCCTGGTGAAGGACTACCAATGTCCCGGGATTGTTGTCTGATGGGAGGGGCGCTGCAGAAACTAAGCGCCTCCAATATTGAGAAAAACGCGACACGCGCACCTTCTCGATCTTCTTGCGAATAGTCGGCATGCCCACCCGATGCTGCCGCACACGCTACAATAGCTCCTGGAACTTGAACAATCTTATTTAAGGCTGAGAAACTCGTCAGGAACGAAGCCAAAATATTGGCTGGAGGACATTACTCACACCCTGACGCCGCCTGACGGTGCGATTGCACAGCACCCAAATTATCGTATGCGAGATCTTGAAACAGTTTGAGAGAGCGCGTGCGTCCCGGTAAGCGACTAGCGATGCGAAGTCGAGCGGGTGGTTTGAGTGCGCGCGGTCGGAAACCTCGCACTGAATTCAGCTGAGGAAAATTTCGTTACTCTCCAACGTAAAAATAAACAACAACGCACTCGTCCCCAAAAGTATTGCTCCTTCAAAGATGGATCCAAGGGAGTAACTGGATAGTGTACGGCACGGTACTTTGGGCGCTGCGGACGCAGATCTCCAGGTGGTGGGCGTGCCGGCTCAACTTCGAGTTCCATATTCGGTGAAAGATCTTCGGCCTTGTTACTTGTAGGGACTGGTTTCCACTGGAAACGAAGATTGAGTACATGAGTATCGACTGGAGAGACACTAACATTAGATTCGTTCGAGATGTTGAGAGAAGCTATATAATTCGCGTACTCCTCTTCGGAGTCATATTGGTCTTCGGATGATGGGGGCTGGGACAGGGACGATGGTGCATTTGTGCGAGGGAGAATATCATTCGGTTTGTGGTTGTCGGCTATGTCGTCACTGCAGTCCATTTGGAAAGCGTTCTCGTTATTCGCGTAGACACCGGTCGCGCGGTCGACATATAGGTTGTTATCTTCGGATCTGAGTCTTTTCTAAAAGGACGAGTGCATAAAGGCAAGTCCAGGAGCATTATGGAGCAAAATCTTACCTTTGCATGGATATCGTCGTCACTACTACATAGATCTATGATATCCTTGCACCCAGACGGCTGCTTACGTTTTTCCTGTTGTCGACTGGGCATGTTTGTCATTGCGATGGTGGAACTTGTTGCCCGCTTCTTCGAAGGTGGTTCTCCCTGACGCTCCATTACGACTATCCTTCTCCTCCTTTCCTGGGTGAAGGTGGTCTTGCATGAGTCCTCGACCTCCCGGGTGCTTTTGATAAGCAAGATCTTACTTGTTCAACAGTTTCTGAGAGCCCCGGACGAGTGTATGTGTACGTATGGTTGCTGTACGATGAGTCGCGGGAAGAGATAATTAACAAATGCCTAATTAACGCCGATGGCGAACTGGGAATCGTGAGGCAAACTTGAACTTACTTTATCGATTCGAAATTGGGAGGCAAGCGGGACGAGGAAGCAACTGGTTCATTCTTGGTCCTTCGGCCCGTGGCGTTCGCGTGTTGCACGTTCGACTTGGACCCTAAATACAGAATCGCGTCACCTATTTCGTCCTCATCTGAGAGAGCATCGACATCGATAACTTCAGCTGGTACGTTGGGGGACATGGTAGTAACTTGAGAAACATAAAAGACTTCAGTACTAAGGTGCCTTTGAGTAGCGCCGAGTGGACGAATGTGTTGATGCGTAAGCTGGAAATTGTCGACGTCGATAGTCAGTACTTGTCTTGCAGGAAGAATTTGCGTGTAGTAAGGGTGGCTGACTTGCTGCCTCCTGTTGCCCCTTTGAAGTGTGTCCAGTCCAACTAACACTGCCGAGACACTGCCATTAATTGAAAGGTTGTTGGTCACCTGACCGTCGCGTCGGGACATGGCATGACGCGTCCAACTGCATATGTACGCGGAATATGTATTACTGCTGAAGCTTCCTACTTGCTGGCCCTAAGAACCATATCCTCCAGCGTAATTGCCCGGTACTCATCCCCATCAGGCGCCCACACTGCATCGTCTTGCACATAAACAAACAAGCCACCCTTCCCTCCAACGCTAGACGAGACGCGGAACAACGGCATTCTCGACTTTTCGTGTGCACGTCCGGTAGGAATAAACAAGAGATTGTGTGACGCAGCAAACTCCTCTACAATCGAGCGGAAGGTAATTTCTTGAATGCGCGCAGGAGCTTTTGGTGCAGTTTGCTTCTTTGTGGACGCATTTGTAATCGCCTGTTCTGCACGTAGATCTGGGCGCTTCAGCATTGTAGGAGCATCAGGTCCGAGCTCGATAGCTGTGTTCATCAGTTGCAACCCGCGTGTGAATCCATGCGCAACACCTGACATAGACTGCACGCTCTCTGGGAAACTGCTCTTCCAGAAGGAATACCACTGCGCAACTTCCTCGAAACTGACTTTTGGCTGTATAAGCCAAATGTGCAGTACATCCAGCCACTTCGGGAAGAACTCGGTTTCCAGCAGCTGGACAAATACACTTCCGCGAAGGAGCGTGGACCACGCAAGAACATGCTTCAACGGTTCCATATCCTGGTTGCGGGGGTTGATGCGGAACTCGTCGCGCAATAGCGAGCCCAATTTCGGCACGACATACTTGAGGAGCATCGCGTCCCACTCGCCTTTGTCGAAAACCTCCATCCATCCACCGAGGTCCCTGGGTGCACCGTCTGCTGGTACCCAACTCCTGAGAAGGCTCTTGACCTTCCTTTGGGCATCACCCAGAACACCGTCGATACGCAGACCGAGGTATGGGAGCCAAGGGAACACAAGTGCATGCAAGGACACCGCACTGCGCTTCGGGCTCCAGTCTGCGACGGCTTTGCTCACTTTGGGTAGTATGAGTTGGTCAAGGATATTATCGCGTACAAATGGCGGGAGGAACGTTGACCATGCCTCATACAACTTCACAGCTGGCGTAGGGTCCTCGGGTGACCACTCGTTGTTAAGACAGGTACGGACTTTGGGTAGCCAAACATTCCATAGAAGGGACTCGAAGGGAGTCATGGGGTTTTCAACAGCAGGAGGGGGAGCCACGGTACGTGCGCCATAGACATCAATCTGAGTTTTTGGTATTTTGTCGACAGAATTAACTTTCAGCGCTTGCTTCCATGTGCGGAAGGTCGTGACCAAGCCTGGAGGGTCCTGGAGTGGATTCCACTGTGCAACGATACGTCTGACCATCGGCGCGATTGCTGCGACAACAATCTCGTCTAACCGATATTTGTCGAATTCTACTGGGTACTGCACCAGCAGCATGGAGAATAAAGGCGAAAAATCATCCAAGGTGGCCTCATACACAGAGGCTAGCTCCTTCGCCTTTACGCCAATATCATCTACGACAAGGTTCACCTGCTGTAGCCGTGAAATGACTGCAGAGACACATGAGTGATGATGATGAAATGGCAGGATAGAAGTAGACATACGTTCAGCCTCATCGGCGACTTTCTTTTGCAGACGAGCATTCTCTTGAGCGATAAATCTTTTACGTTCCTCAAGAGCTTTCGCTTCACGTGCAAGCCCGTCAAGATCATTTTTGCATGCATCTGTGATAAGTCGCAAGTTATGTCGTACCTCTGGTATTCGTGTAGGGTCGGTTGATGGCGTCCAGGATGATAAAGATATGTCGGCAAGTGATGCAACTTCACGAGGCTGGAGAGAAACATGAGTGAGGCGAAACAGGAAATAGATACGAGTAGTATTTACCGTTCTGCCAGTCGCATCAATGATTTGACCAATACCGGACGAGACAGGCTCCTGTCCAGCCTCTGCAACAATCTGTTCATATGTCTTATGTTCCACCTTCGTCTTCACCTTCTTCGGCTTCTTCCAAGCATCGCTCCTCTTCTCCTTCGCATCGCCCTTCTTCTTCAGTCCCGGGCGCACTTCTTCCTCATCGTCACTGACTACCTCTCCCCTCCTTCTAGCCTCAAGCTTGCTTTGCTCCGTCTTCTCCTTGTATCCCTTGAACGCGATACCCATTTTCTTTGGACGCAGCTTACTCTCGATTGGGATGACAATACCCTCCCCAGTCGCACCGAGACCAGTACCAGCCTGCCACCCCATCTTCGCAAGCATTTGAGCACCGAGGGTACTACCAATCTTGCTGAAATGTGCTTGCTCATGTGCAGGTAGCGGAGTGGATGGTTTGCTCGTGGAGGAAGACCCGCTGCGGAGGAAAGAGCGTTGGACGCGAGGGACACTGCTAGCGCCAAAGGCAGTTGGAAACTCGGATGTAGAGGCTAATTTGGTGGGGGCGGGGGAAGCGATAGCAGGCTCTACAGGGAGCTCGGATGGTGCACTAAACGTAGAACCAATACCACCTTTGGTGAATCCCATACCTGCAGTTGCAAACCCAACTCTTGTAGAATTGCCGAAACCACTCTTGGCAGAAGAACCTATCCCACCTTTCGAGCCGATCCCGCCTTTCGAAGATCCTATGCCACCTCTCGTAAAGCTCTGCAGTGAAGGTGCCGATTCAGCTCCAGTTGAACCAAGGCCGCCAAACGCTGGCCGCTCTGGCGGTTCATCCTCCTCGTGACCGTATATCCGGGGCGAAGCGGGCGCTGAGGGCTCATCTTGATCTTTATCGTCCTCGGCGTACTCAACCTGCTCTACGTCGTCATCGGAACTGTCGACCTTCATCGACTTCATCAAGCGCTTCCTGTTCCCCTTCCCCTGCTTCATCCTCCTGCACCTCCAGACCTTTCTCCAGGTCTACCTGCCCCCTCGCTACAAACGCGGGAGCCTTCGTCCAGTCGTTTCTCTTGCGTTTTGAGCCCAGGCCACCGTAGCCCTCATCTTCACTGTCGCTGCCAAATACGCCGTAAATTGCGGCTTCTTTGTCATTCTTCCGACGTCGTTTATGCGAGTTTTCAAAGAGGGCGCGCTCAGCACGCGCGTCTGGATCATTTTCGTCTAGGTTAAAGTCAGCTTCTGAGCCGTCTGAAGAGCCGGAATCTTCGTCGAGGAATTGATGCTTGCGGCGCGGCATGAACGTTACAGTTTCTGGGAAACAGTACTGATTGTCCGACCAAGTAAACGGATTGTGACCAGTTGTGATTTCGAATTTGGGAAACTAGATGTTGAAGATGTTTGATGGATGTCTTCAATTCAATGTTTGACGTTGTGGTCACAACGAGCTGTAGGCCATTTACTTTGTCAGCAGCTTCACAATTCAACAGAGGCAAACAATTCTTAATTGCAAGTGATGTCATGAAAACTCGTCAGCACATCCGATGATTTGCAAAACCTATATAATGGTAACTCCTTCTGTTTTGGTCAGATCCGATCAAAATGCAATCAAATTCAACCTTCTCGAGCCCCTCGGTACCCCATCCCAGTCCATTAGCACTCTACCATGCCCTCTGGCAGCAGCAGGACCATTCTGTCGTGAAACAAGGATTGAAGTGCAAAGTTTTTGACATGGAGGGCCGTCTCCGGTTAGCCTTATTTCTCTCCATGGGGCTTGGAATGATACTAAGAGGTCTGAAATAGCCACCTTACCTACGACGCCATTGATCTATCTAGACATCTTGGTATCAAGTTGCCAAGCGGTGCAACCTGCATGTTCATCCGCCCAATGTACAAGTCCCTCTTTCATAAGATTACCAGGACCGAGAAAATTTTCGTCGTTCATGGGCAAGCTGGTATAGTTAAGTCAACATCCTTCCGGACACGCCCTCAATACAGCCAATTGCCTTTAGGGAAAACGCATTTCCTAGCTTACATCCTAGTCAGGTGGTTTCTCGCTCGCCAGCCAGTGATTTACCAGATCGATGAACTAGAGTCATGCGTCCTGTGCTTCATTGCCGACGGCTTCTTCACTCTTCCATTGGAGAACAGCGAGAATCACCCCCTGTTCCAACGCGAAGATGTGTTGCACCTCGTCGAGAGCGCGCATGGAGACTCCATCACGCACCCGAACACCGACCACGCTCGGGCGCTGATACGGGGCGCGTGCGACAAGGCCATCTTCACCAAGTTCTAGCCAGACAGTCTGACCTTCAATGTCGAACTATTACCTGAAGATGATGTTGCTCTTCAGCAATGAATGCATCCATGTACTTTTGAGGAGATCTTTTTGATGAGGTGAAGTGAATTTATAATATATTGGTTCTGTATATGATCGTTGACTGTCGTCTTTAGTTCTCTCAACGGAGTTCCCTCGGTGCTTAAGGCCGAGTCCCTACGATGGATATACCCCATTTCGGGCCAAACGCTCGTATCTGCCTGAAAGGTATCCCACAATACCAGTGGCGCTCCTCTGAGGGGTCAGAATTATATCGAGGATATCCAGGGGGTCGAGCATGATCATTTGTAATGCCTGAATCCCACACCGCGCGAAGTACAAGCCCGTGCCGTCGTGCATCTTGCAGACGACACAGCCTCCAAATCGTCCTCTGCTGCGAAGGTGATCGTCGAAACCCTTCTTATTTCGGCGGGTAATATCAAGGTGGTCGGCGAGATCTTTTATCGCCAGGCTGTGGTGACGCTCATGTCCAGGTTCGGAGGGACCTTCGAACTCATGTCTCCCAATTCGCAAGGGAATTGCCAGCCAATGCACGAAGTCCTTGTGCTGCGTAATAAAATTAAAATGGGGCGCAACCTGAAGGAACAGCGGGCCATGCCCTCAAGATATCCATATTGTACTCAGCGTGAACTTGTGATGCTATCGCAGAAATGTCCTAACATCCTCCATTCCCCCAAGGATGCGCTCGTGCATCCAGGTATTGATGCAGTCATGTTCGACACCAGCACCTCTACAGTGTGGCTTATGCAGGTGACCCATGAATCCTCACGCTCAGTCTCTCCGGAGGGCCTGCTGTTCCTACTGAATGCTCTACGAGGCGCCGCTTACGAGCCATATCCTGTGCACCCCTGGCAGTTTGTCTTCGCCACGCGTGGGCAGACCACCAGGAATCCCTTCCAGCTAGGTGGGGAGAGAGAAACACAGTATTTCTCCACCTTGTTCTGGGAGTCACGCATCAAGCCGTATGTCCTACAGCTTCACGATAAGGTCCCCAACTTGTTCTCAAGCGACCCGTATGAGCCGTGGGGCTTCCACTGTAAGAAAAAGTCACGATCGCTCAGCCTGCGGCACTTTGCCAACTCACTGGTGCGCCTCGTGCAAAGACCTCGGCGTACAACCGAATCTAAAGGTGAGGAACGGGATCAGTTGATCGCGGGAAGCTTGGGTGCGAGTATACGGACGTCCGTGGTGCCAGGAGCTCAGTTGCTTGCAGATATGACGATTAAGCAGTCGGTTGTGCCAGCTGGGGCTTAGATTTCTATGAATCGCGGATGCTAATAACTGTCGGAAGAGACTGTACGAATCGCTGCGCTTTTAAAAATTATATATCTGCCTCACTTTCTTTGTTGAATGGGTATAATAATACAGACGGACGCCAAGTCCTTGCATGGAATCATGGTAACCATTGGACCCCCGTCCAGAATTCCCCTTCGAGCCAGTAGTAATCCAACAAGCTTGGTATATATTGGTTTGTCTAGACCAATTTCTTTTTGAAATCTAAGCCGGAATATTGAAGGAACCACGACTTTTAATTGAACAAAAATAGACACTCCCACTCCCTGTAGATTAATAATATCGAGCGTTTCGCATGCTACACACTGCTGCTAGTTGACACATGCACACGCTCCTGGAAAGCAATTGATACGACGGGAGTTCCTGCACCGGAGTATGAACCAGCCACAAGCTTCGCGTAATATTCTCGAACGCTAAGGATGAGGCGTGGTCCCAGCACGAACATCTGCACGAACATGAAAATTTGGAAGACACCGCTATAAACCTGAGTTTCCAGGGAAGATGTGTCCTTTCAAAATGATGAACAGTGGTCGCATGCAGAGGTCAGTAAGAGATCGGCGTACCTCTGAGATCGGTGAAAATATATAAACGAGGTTGGAGCACGAAACAATAACAAAGCTACCGCGTGCGGAACTTCAGCGAAACAAGAAAACCGCATTGAGATCACGAGCTCACCTTCCAAAGTAAACCATGTGAGTTTTTATTAACATCATAAAACAGTCTCCAGCAATCTCTCCTACTGAGTGTCGTCGCAATTCACGGAAGTGTTTTACAACGATCCAGACTGCGAGACACAGTGCGAGGACCTCCCATACAATGGCGAGTATCCAAGCCAGGGAATCCAGAAATAGGGCATCTACCTCGTAGTTGACAGTGCATTGGTAGGTGCCGGAGAGAATTAACACCTCTGGCATTCGTCAATGAGCCTGATGCACATCTTTCATCCATAATTAAGCTTACCTCCTGAAGTTTTCCTCACGAATAATGCGGCGACCACTCCGTCGAAGGTGTTGGCAGCCAAGAAGAGGACAACGAGAAGTATCAACATCTTGCTGGATTTCTGGGACATGGCATGCAACCGAATGATCATGATGACTTGCATGATGTGTCAGTCAAGTCGAAATCACCGAGGTATCGCAGCTGCGTAACTCACCGCCCAGGATTATATTTACGACGACGCTGATCCAGTCTAGGACGACATAACTAATATAGCCTGACAGAACCAGTTAGTGATGAGCCTCGGAGGATCACGCATTCGACTCAAACTTACAGCTGTGACAGTCATTTTATTGAACCAACAAGCTGATCAAGAATCTCACTTACCCCTACATGGGAATGCTGTTGGTTGGGCGGGAATGAGAGGTATCATTACAGAATACTCACTGCATCTGTCACCGGGATTGTTGGAACACCGGCTGTATGCCGCTGGTCAGAAGAAACAAACACGGTGAGTGTCAGGAGATATACTCAGGATCAGGATGCTAATTATGAGAGGCGGTTGATTAGCACAAACGTCAACTGCCTAGCCTTCCAAACGTACACAACATTTATTATTCCAAGATAGCGCACCTAGGATACTTATTATGAGTCAGCCAGTCAAGCTTATAATGCAAGTTGCATACACCGAGATAGAAAGCAGTCATCCGGGACCAGCGTTGCCCCTAGCGCAAATCAATTGTATTATCAAGTTGTTCTTCAAGTAGGCTTACCCAGATCAGTTCGACCTATAAACTATTCTTAGCGAGATGGCTGCACTGGTAATGACATCAACCTACCTCTTGTCCGAATGTCAGTGCTGGAAATGCATAAGGATATCAGCGGTTCTTGGATTCTATCTTGCTTACCCCAGTCGTATATTACCCCAGCAGAGGCAGCAACTGTGAAATCGCAGGCAAGGTTAGATTAACACGTCGCTGTCATCATCCGACTCGCTCTCCACGAACCTGCAAAATAGCTGGAAATATCATACGAGTTGATTATCGGCCACCAACTGGGATCATCTGAGACTAGGGTCATGTCATTCAACGATGGGTGAGAGGGAACTACAAACTTGGTGGACGTATGACAATGGCGTGCGATCCGGATACTTATACTACCATCCAGCTGCCAGCACTTTTATGACCGAAATGAGCATTAGAAGGATGATATATGTCCCTTTTGTGAGCAATGAAACGCACTAATGTTCATGCGATTGAAATTTCACGCATCGGTGTTGCATCGATTTCCACTGATTGATTATCATGCGGCACGCGCCTGTAAGTATTTCGGTCCGGGCTGCATGATAGTAAATGCAATGAAGCAGTGGTATCCCCGACTGATGTGACAATCCATCACACTCTCCAAATTTTCGGGTTCCAATTGCAATTATTGCATGTGCATTGTGCCATGGATAATCTCCCCTAAGCAGACTGAATAAAAGGAACACAATCGTTACAGTTGAGTAGCGGCGAGAGACACGATATCACGCTCAAACTCACCAGTAGTACTAGTCGACAACAAAACTTCAGATGGGATCTTCAAATTGTTCAGCAAAACAAAACAAAAAAGGGCCTGGCCGGGAATTGAACCCGGGACCTCCTCGAATTTGGGTCAACCCTAACAAGGAATCATACTACTAGACCACCAGGCCGATGAAGTGTTCGACACACTAAAGCATCATAACCGTAGAAGTACCAAATTGGTCTTTACTGACGCGTCCCTTCGCGTTCATCTTAAGGACCGACATCATCATCACATAGGACGGCCGACATCATCTGCCACAATGGACCAACGAAGACAGGACGCTCTAAAGAGCTACCGGGATGTAAGTGAGCTACTTGCCCAGCGCTTCCGCTGATTTCAACTGGGCTACAGAAAATGCAGAATCACGAGAACTCAAGCCAGAGTCTTAAGAACTGTCAGTATTTGTCAAATCCACGCATTCGAAACATTCTAAAGTTGCTACCATCCAGTGCGGTTTTCGTTGAAAGATCTCGAAGTTGAGTACGCAAAGACCGAGGATGACATCAAGGCCGTGCAGTCCGTCGGGCAGATCATTGGAGAGGTCATGAAACAACTGGATGACGAACGATGTCAGTCGCATTAGCTTTCTTCTTTTATTGTTGCGCTCAATCAGTGCATAGTCATTGTAAAGGCATCGTCAGGACCTCGATATGTCGTCTCTTACCGCCCCGCCCTGCCAGCAGAGAAGCTCAAGACAGGCACAAGAGTGTCTCTCGACATGACCACCCTCACAATTATGCGTATCCTCCCAAGAGAAGTCGACCCTATGGTTTACAAGATGAGCTTGGAAGATCCTGGAGGTGCATCGTTTGCAGGCATCGGTGGTTTGGGTGAGCAGGTACGAGAACTACGTGAGGTATGTCTGTTATAATTTCTTCCTGCTACTTCATACTTACTGTACTCCAGGTGATCGAGCTACCGCTACTCAGCCCGGAGCTTTTTCTCCGGGTCGGCATCAAACCTCCAAAGGGCGTCCTCTTATACGGTCCCCCAGGGACGGGCAAAACCCTCCTCGCCCGTGCTGTTGCAGCCACCCTCCAAACTAATTTCCTGAAAGTCGTGTCTTCTGCTATCGTCGACAAGTACATTGGTGAGAGTGCACGAGTTGTACGTGAGATGTTCGGGTACGCAAGGGACCATGAGCCCTGTGTCATATTCATGGATGAAATCGATGCCATCGGTGGAAGGCGGTTCTCGGAGGGAACCAGTGCGGACCGTGAGATTCAGAGAACATTGATGGAGGTTGGTTTGAGGATCACTTTCTCTGTGGGTCTGGCTAACATTTCCACAGCTATTGAATCAAATGGATGGTTTCGACTCCCTAGGACGGACAAAGCTCATCATGGCAACAAATCGGCCAGACACGCTTGACCCCGCCCTACTCCGTCCCGGTCGACTAGACCGGAAGATTGAAATTCCCTCTACCGAATGAGCAGGCTCGGCTGGAGATTTTGAAGATCCATGCGCAGCCCGTGAACAAGAGCGGGTACATTGATTATGAAGCAATTGTCAAGGTGAGTTCAATCGATCGCATCTTATATTCATCTTACCCTGTTTGCAGCTCACGGATGCGTTCAATGGTGCTGACCTGCGGAATGTGGTAACAGAAGCAGGCATGTTTGCCATCAGGGACGACCGGTGAGTTCTAGCTTGTCATGGCAAGCGCTTATGTCGCTCATTCTCGCGAAGAGAATATATTGTCCAAGAAGATCTCACTAAAGCTGCACGGAAGGTCAGCGATGCTAAAAAGCATGAGAGTGAGTCGTAGTCCTTTTTGTTTTGGTGCATTTTCTTAAGCAATTTATAGCCAAGTTGGAGTATTCTGCATAGACCCTCATGTAATATACCGCCTGCATTGTATTTCATTTTTATCTCGCATTCGATCTTTGAACATGACTATTCGCGACTAAGAAATGAAACAATCCAAAAGGTCCATTAACTTCACCCTATTATAGTCTACAGACTTCCCTACAGCTGAATATCGTCCATTGGGTGATTTAGAAACCGAGTAAGTAAGAGAGGTATGATGGGATCAGAATCGGAAGAGCCCCTTCTTTTTCTTCTTCTCTTCCTTTTCTACCCCTAGCGTTGTCGAGCCGCCCAGCGACCCCGATGACGTTGAGAATGATGACGGCGTCTTCACAAGTTTGCTGGCGGTGTGTTTCGAATCCTTCGGCACAGCGGGTGCGGTGCGTTGAGGTGGAGGTGGATCTAGTGTGAAGTACTTTTCATCATAATACTCTTGGTATGAGTGATGTGCTCCTGCCACCGAGACACCATTTGGCGCAGCACGTGAGCCGACCCCCGAAAGTTCAACCACTTTCAGATCATCAATGAAGTTACGGGGCGTGGTAGCGTGCGTCGAGCCTACAGATGATAAACCTTCATCAACCTTGGGTATACTCCTGATTGGAACAAACAACGCACCGATATAGATATCCTTGTTTAGCGACGCCGACAACGAGTAGCATTCTCGAATCTCCGAATATGTCACACCACCAGCCACAAACATGATAACACGCTGCTTGTTCTCTGCAGGAGCATTCGCCCGCGCAGCCTTGTGCCAGCTAGGCTTCGCACTGCGGAGGGAGGTAGTTTGGGGTGTTGTTTGTTTAAGGCTTGCAGCCGGCGACATAGCTGTAGGGGAATCTTTGACGAAGGGGAAGAGCGTGGGGTCTAATTTGTTGGCAGAGTGTTCCTGGGGGACAGTATTGAGCACAGACCAGCACGATGCAAGAATAACCGTACTTCTATAACTGTCCGAAGTAGAGGTCGGTACCGTGAGAGCTCGTATTCGTCGTCAGTGGATGCCTTCTGCCTGAGCTTCTTCTTGGTATCCTTGTCTGAGGGTCCCTAGGCGCAACAATGAGTAACATTATGATTTACAGTTGCCACACGCGTACTCTGCTTATGCGAACACCGAAATGAACCAACGAATTGACGGCGTCCTGATCAGCCAAGCTCAGCCGTGCATGTTGATACAATCGTCGGCGGTCCTCATCTGGAACACCATCACGGTGTTGGATGTAAAGCGCGACCATACGCACTTTGTTGGCGTTTCTGTTCGAGACTGTCAGGTCAGCAGCTCAGAAGGGATACGTGAATACTAACATGACCTCCTGGCTATCCAACAAGGGCACCATTTCCTCAACAAGTGTTTTCGGTGTCTTCCCCTCTGCGGTGAGCCCAGTAGCACAGCACTGAATATACATTAGCATCGTTCATTGAAAGACCGAGGTACAGCTACCTGCTCAACGTTAGCCACCAGCGGCAGTTTTTGCTTCTCAAACAGGTTCATGCAATCTTGCGCCATGTTCAAATGCAAGGAGAACTATGTTATCAAGATTAGCATAGTTGACATGGGCAGGCACACGCATACACCCACCTTTTCTCTCTGCTCTTGATACTGAGGCAAGTTTGCAAGCATATCCTTCATGTCGTTAAGACTTGCGGCACCCTCCCCCTTAAACCCTGCATTCTCTTCCATGAACTTGTTAAAGTCCGCCATGAGTTTATCGATCGCTTCACGCATGTGCATGTGGCGGACAGTGGTCCATACAGAGTCAACCTCTGAAAGGGTGGCGATCTTGTCCTCGTAAGATCCAATCGACGATTGGAACTTGTACCTATGGGTAACGGTCAGGGGGCTTCGGGGCTAGCACAGCGCAGACAGACATGTATTTCGTGCCATCCTCTATCTGCAGCAGATCATTGCACATAGCCTGATATGTGAACTCGTGAATGAAAGGCGCGACGGTATCCATAGATCGATCCGTGATTATGAGCGTACCGCGGGGTCGGGGAGGATCCGAAGCTTTCTAGTATCACCAATAGTTTAACAAGTCGTTCAAAGTCAACAGGTCAGTTGAGTTTAACACTCACAGGGAACTCCGGATTAATCCGTCTATACTCATCTAAATTCTGCTGGATCATAAACGCGAGCAACTTCGTAACGAAATCCGTATCAGCAACCTCGTACGCGCGTGCGGCGTCTCCGCGAGCAAGATTGGTTCGCCATAGACCACTACCTTCAGGAGGTGGGGGCGCACGCGTTTGGTCGTTGGGTTTGAGGGGACCAAGGGGAGTGTGGTGTGTTGGCATGTAGTACCGAATGTATGGGTACTCGTTGAGGGTAATGCAGACGTTCGCTATCTGCAGACAGTTGAGTTCACAAACATTATAACAAACGCCAGCATTTGAATGCGTACAGTCTTGCTAACAAACCGCAGCTCTTCCTCGAGCTTTGATCGCGCGGACTTGAAAGCAGCATCGTTCCGCGGTGGACTGTAAATGTTGAAGAATAGTCCTGGTGACTGAAGAGAGAAAGTTTGTGCCTCCGTCGCTGCATAGGGAGGTGTCCTACTCATCAAGCTTCGTCGCGGGGGCCTACATGCGGAACTCACCCCAGAAGTTGACAAACAGCTCCTGCAATCCTTTGAGATGCGGTTCAGCAGAGGACGTCGTCAAGCGCTCGAACAATGTTTCCGACAACCCTAAAACACACGCCCATCCTCAACCGATGCGGTTGCTGCGGAAGTCAGACGAGAAAGCGTACCATCGACGAAGAATAAATGGGCCGCTAGATACTGCTGGCGGCCGTCACTAAAATCCTTGATGATGCGATTGACATTCTGCGTCGTCGACATGAGTAGATACACTGCCTCGAACTGCTGGGGTTCGCGGTGACTGGATATCGACTCGATCACTGACCCATACGCCTGTCAGTGCCAATAGGCTTATTCAATTGAAACAAGGGCTCACAGGTAACATTCTCCTCAAGGATATCGAACTGCTTGAGAACGGTGCCTAGCAGCTTCTGGGAGTGTTCGTCCACTACGAGGATTTTCCATCGCCCAGGGGGATTGACGGATCTGATTGCCTGAAGTAATTCTACAATTGTGATATGTACATTAGCGCTCGCTGTCTGATAAGAAAGCAGGGCGCATACTTGAGCGAACAGCAGTGATGAGTGAGGCCATGATATATGGCTGATAATCTTACAGCGCGTACTGTAATTAATATTGTCCTCACTTCAAGCATCGGCTATCACCGCAAGTACTATGTTTGTCCGCCAGCACTTCGCCCAAGACTTCTCCGTGGCATTTCTCTGGATACTTGGACGAATCCCAAAGTAAGCAGTTCATTGCTCTGTCTCAAACTTCACACAACTACAGAGTAATAAACAGAAGAGAAAATGAAGTACTTTAAGATAGAGCAGCATCCACAAAAGCATAGTTGTCCACCAACGGCGAAATAGATATCTACAGCTGCAGTACGTCCATCGTCTAGATTAGTAGCAAGTTTGCGTAAATGAGATATCCGTCAGGTCACATGAGGAGGGAGCCGCCAGCAGCAAATATTGAAGCTACGACCAAAGATATAGGCAGAATGGTATTCGATAGTGCACCGGCCGTTTTCGTGGTCGAGCCCTGCCCACCTGAACCGCTAGGGACGGACGAGTCACCACTAGTGCTGTTTGAGTAGGGGAAGCTCGTGTTTAAATTGCTCTCGCGGTATAGGTTAGTGCTTGGGATGCCGTTGCAGTGACCAATGGAGTCAAGCTAACGGGAGGTTAGAACGATAGTCCACGCACGAAGGAATTTACAAACCTTAAGCGTGGGAGTGAAGTTCATAGCAGCAGGCAATGTGTAGCCAATCGCAAGATCAACGGTTTGTGCGTACAAGTCATGCTCCAGAACAACGAACCTAGAGAGAAAAAAATGAGCAAAGCAAGGGTAATCGGAACTGCACTTACCCAGTATTCAGCATAGTCGCGTTGCCTAGAATAGCCTCGAAAGTAGCGAAGGACTGAGTACCTGTGACAATACCGCCAGGAACCTTCCAGTCTACCGTCGATTAAAATTAAAATCAATACGAAATCCAAGCGATAAGTCGAGATAGCTGACCGTTAGTATCAAATGTCGCGCCAGCACCAGTGCTAGTCCAGATAACGGGCACCATACCCATTGCCAGGGAAATGGCACGGACACGATCGTCAATGTCGCCGAAAGGGGGACGCATCAGTGTGGGAGTAACACCAATTACGTCCTTGATAGCTTTGCGTGCCCAGCCAAGTTCAGCGACGACTTGTTCGGTAGAAAGCATGGTAAGAGGCTATTGCACAATCAGCTACAAACGCAAACCCGATTTTACCACACGTACGCGATGCGACCAGGTGTGAACAGCAATTTCATGTCCGGCCATGTACTCTTCCACAAGAACTTGAGGACGCTCGACGATACGAGAACCGATAACGAAGAACGTCGAGGTCAAGTTCTTCAAAGACAAGTAGTTAAGCAGCTCCCTGTCAATCAATGAGAAAATCACAGTCAAAAATTTCAAGCATAACACACTGAGCTGTTCAAAAACATGAGCCTCGCGCAATTTACCACGCTATAAAAATATACATACTGTAGAAACCTGGGCCATCGTCAAAGCTGACACCCCATGTCAACTTGCTCGGACAAGCAGTGATATCTGTAGCGCGGGTATAACCACCACAAGTCCACCAGCCACGACTAGCGGCTTGCGAGGCGGCAACCGGGTCGCCGACGCAAGTGCCGTCTGCAGTAGGAGTGAGGTCGGGGATGTTGAAACCGTTAAGTTCTTCCATCCATTGGGAGACCTCCACAGAATCTGCGTGATGACATCATAACGCTTCGAAACACATGAAAATTCTACAACACGTACTGGTAGGTGCTATTTGGTCCTGAGTAGGCCAGTCTGCAGCTTGGAAGACAACTATATACACCGTTGTCAGCAAAGTAAAACAGCGTGCATAAGAAAAACGAACATGGAGTAGGCAAAACTGGAGCACCCGAAATCAGAGGTGTAGATCCTGCAGAATATGTGGCAGTCACAGGAACGGTAGAAGGCGTCGCCATGCCCGATGTGATGTTGCCCAGCGGGGGGATAGTGGTGCCAACGGGTGTTGTTGGAACGGGCGAATTCGAGCTCGATGAAGCAGATGAAGTAAAGCTCGTTGCTGCGGGACTGGATGCGTCCGCTGAGGAGGAAGTGACGACTGCCCCAGCATTCTGCCTCTTTGCAAGACGAGCGTGTAGATCGTGAGTGGCATTAGCTGCCCCGAGAACGGATAAAAGAGCGAGGAGGGCTTGCAGCTGCATGACGGAAGGGCCTGGCCGACAAAGTCAAAAGAGTGACGGGATAACAATGGTCTTGGAACACTTGGGAGATGGAGAGAAAAGGAAAAATAATAATAGAACTAAAACCAACGGTAACGCAAGCTGTAAAATATACATCAAAAATCAGACCAGAAATAATACTACACTTGCCATATTCGGAAAATTAAGTACACAGTAATTGGTCACACGGCATCTAAATTTGGTAATCTCGGAGCATGTCATTCCCGACAAACGTCATTTTTCGGGGGCCAATTCGGCGCCATTCGGCGAGTCAAGACGCGAGTACAAAATGCAATAGAAATATATGCTATGATGAGGGGAATACTAGTATCACGAATGAACGAACAAATCAAAACAGATGATACTCATATAACACAATTGAATATCAGCCGGCAGTAACTATCACGCACAACATACACCTCTCCAGCAAGAACAAAAACACTTACAGTCACCGCGACGACGCCAACGACACCGTATCACACGCAACATGTGATGTGCCCACAGCCATCCGTAATGTTAAAACCCGGTCATCAGAAACCATCAAGATCTCGTCACGTCCTGATGGTACATAGCGTGCATGCTGTGACTGTGGGGAATGGGACGGTGAGCCATAGCCTTGTCCATATTGCCCATAAGTCGGTGGAGACGGCTGCTGATATGGACTATATCCCTGCTGCGCGAAGAATGCGTTTTGCTGCACATTGCCCGAATGTGTCGCCGATCCTGGCATCTCGGCGAATAAAAGACGAAGATTGTTCCCTTGAATGACTTGCGACATGAGACCCGTTTCCACGTGACGTATTTCCACGAATGTAGGTTCAAACGCCAGGACGTATGGGAAACGAAGAGCTGATTGGTTGCATGAGCGTTAGACCAGTGTACCTGGGGCCTGAATTTGAACGTACCAAAGCCAGTAGGCGACCCCTCCCAGTGCACCATGAAATCTTGCCGTGACCGCCAACCGTTTTTGTTCACATAGAACGCAAATTCTGGAGAATGATAAGCCTCGCTAGAAGCACAGACGTTCCGGTCACTTACCGTCATAACATAGAAGAAACTCATTTTCTATCCGGTATATAGCCATCGGCCGAAGATTTTCTCTTTTCCGTACAAAGTCAAGAGACGCGTCGGCTGGATCGAGAAGTCCCTGCGTGTCGAGACTCTCAAGGTCGACAATCTCGAACCCTTTCGTGCACCCTACGCAGAGCTTCGTTTTCAAGAAGTGTATCGAACTTGACTCCACGGGGATGTAGAATTCCTACGACAGAATGAGCCACTTAAACACCATGCATATGGGAAGACTTACTCGGAACAGCTTCAGCGTGTCATTCCCGCCCTGTAAAAGCTTACGGAACGTTGGTTTACTCCGTCCACGAATGTTCTGATCAATCGGCTCCAGTGTCTTAATCGTACTTGACAGCGGACTCGATTTCACGACACAGACGAGGACCTTTCCCAGGCAGGTGCCGGCCTTGAAGAACGTCGTGTGCGACGATATTCGCTTTGCTCGCTTCAAGCCAGACATTGGGTCCATCGGGTCGAGAGCGTCCAGCGGGAAGGTAATGACTTGTCGTTCTAGAATAAAACCTGTGAATAAAATGCTACTACGGTGAGATAACAAATACTAACCTGAAAGGACGATGAGTAGCTGATAATCTTCCAGGACGTCAACTTGTGAAACATCCAGCAAAGCCAGCACTTTGACTGGTTCCCTGTTTGGGTGATTCAAGTCGGACAGATAGATTCCGTCATCCGTGCCATATATAATTCTCCTTCCGCATGCTGCATATCATTAACATTCTTCTCCACTGAGCAAGCACCAAAATCACTCACCAAACGGCGCGGCGCAATTCACCCTATTCTGACCAAGGAAAAAGCCCTCACACAGAGTGACCATCTCAAACACTGTGCTCCGCTCACGGAGTACCTCCTGCTGCTTCGTGATCGTCTCGACCCACTTGCGATGGCTTACAAACGTGCTCGCCCAAAGCGTCATCTGGTAGTATTTGCGCCCAAGATGTATGAATGTGATAGCGAACCCGCCTTTGCCGTCGATCTTAATTGGAATCGCAGGTGCGTACGGTGTGCCGCGGTTGAAGCTGTTTTTCTTCGTGAGCGTTTTGTGCCCCTGACGAGCGTTTGCAGGACGATTGGGATTGTTAGTTTCGTCTGTAACATGCACGAAAAGGAGCTCAAGGGGTATCGGCTACGGGGTGACCAGGATGAGAAGCGGGCATTGGCGATAGGGATCTAGGTACTTACTCGTCGGTAGACTTTGAATTGTTCGTGTTTGCTCTTCTGCTTCACCATTAGGAGGGCGTGGTCAAAGAGGTATACAAGCAGGTCTCCGCTGTCCCCTTGCCCGCCTCCTCTCTTATTGAGCGCACTCTTGTACACAAGTTCACGACCAGGGTCCTGCAGTTTCAAGTCCTATCAGGCATAGTCAGTACGAAAACTTAAAGCGTCACGACAACAAAGCAAACACACCACTTGCTCCCCTGGCCTGTACACAAGCTGCTGGTCGAGTTGCAGGAGGTTGAAGCGATTCTCTGTCTTGCCCGTCTCCACGTTCACCTTCCCCAGGAACTCGCGGACCATGGTGACCACCTGCATAAGAGTTTGTTTATCTGGGTTGTCTTCAGGCGTGTGCTTCAAGACCGCCTCCAGAAGCAGCGGATATCGAGCTAATCGCGTGGTCGGCTTCGTCAAGTACCCATTGAGCTCAAGCTTGCGTGACTCTGGTAATCTTTCCGTAGTCTACAAGAACTCGATCAAATTCCATAAGGACCACGATGGCAAAGTCGACTCACTTCCACAAACTGTGCAAACGCAGTATTGGAGCTCTTCTCCTTTTCGAATTCATACTTGCCGTACAGCTGGTGTGCGCCGTAGCTTACGAAGGGCCCGAAATGCGGCACGGCATCGAGAAGGATGTCCCCGATGCGCTCCACGACAGCATATGACTTTTGTCGCTTATTGAGTGCGTCTCGAAGGCGGGTATTCACTGCGATGATTTCGTGGATGTTCCAGAAGACCTGTGTGATGAAGTCCGCGCGACGTTCAGCGGGGATGATGTCGCTGTCTTTCAGGCCATTTATCCAAACCTGTGCGCGGAGATTAATCAACAAGAGTTAGTATGAAATGACGACGCACATCACGAAGGTATTCCATGTCACGGACAAAGTCACGTTCCGTGTATATGACTTCATTAATTGCTTCCTGGCGCCTTTTCTCGACGTCGGAGACGCTGTTGACGACCTCTTGCGGAACGGAGTGGATCCATAACGTACCAGGTTCCTACCCACATAGAATGTAATCAGCGCCCACCAAAAGGATGAGTATATCATGCGCACCACAAAGTCACCCAAACTCTCCCTCGATATCTGCTTCTTGAGCCCAGGCTGTGGCTTCATGTTCAGCCGTGATTGCTGCTCAAGCCTCCTGGGACATGCAATACTATAGCACAGCTGATCACGCGTACACGTCGGCGAGTAGCAGTCCGTAAGAAGCGTGAAAACGCCCGAGGGAAGAGGCATTTCATCGACACTCTCTGATCCCTGGCGCCCATGCGGTTCAGGGATCTCGACAATAGGTGAAGCGTCCTTGTCCTGTGTATCGCCATGCGAGTCATTCGAACCCTGACCGAACGGCCCCGATCCACCAGAATCCTCATGGTGAGGTGATGGCCGCTCTGGTTTCAGATCTCCGTCGTCTTCCCTCTCCCCAAAGGTTGTCGGCAGCTCACCACTCACGAACGGACTCAATTTCGTGCGGAACTGGTACAGCTCGGCAGCGCTATCCCTGAGTCGATGGTCGTAGGTGACATCGTGGAAGAACTTTTGTGCGTCGAGGGCACGACCAAGAAGTAGCGCGAGATTGCGGTCGGTAGTCTTGATGATATATGCAATCTTGTCAACCGCCTCACGACCATCAAAGGCATCCTTATACGTGAGACCATCCTTGAGACGATCCTGGAGGCTGATGCGTTCACGGAATGCTTCCGCGACACGAGAGAGGAGAGCGGGGTATACGATGGGTGCTCGGCGGGGTGTTCGGGCGGAGGTGGTCGGGCTATTGCGACCCTCACCTATAAAAGGGATCGGGGCGCGCGAGCCGCGATCGATCATAGTGCGGATACTGCCCGAAGCGGCAGACATGGACATGGATCGGTCCTGTGGAGCACGGTCACGACGAAAGGCAGGACCAGGCATCGTACGAACAGAATCCGAGGATCGACGGTTGGTGGAGGCAGCAGCATGGTCGACAAGGGTGGACGAAGCTGGGGAAGTGTTGATGAGGGAAGTGCGAGTAGACATGATTGTGGTGTCGAGCTGAAGGGGATGCGGTCGTGAGCTGGCAAGTGATGAATTACTCTGGTCAGATGCGATGGAAAGTGGGCTTGGTTGTCGATATTGCTGTGCCCTAGGGGAGGGAACCATGGCTAATGGAAGGGAACGTTATGAGCTCATTGTGCAACGGGACCAGATATGGGAGAGTGGAACCCACGTGTATGTTCTCTTGCGTTTGCACTTGTGTTCGGAATAGCCCATGGCAATTCGCTCGTGGACTCTTCTGGGCCCTGATTACCGTCGATACTAAAATCGATGTTGAAGCTAGTGTCCGCGAGGTCGAGATTGACGCCCAGACGGGGCACGTCGTCAGAGAGAAGATGATGGTTGCCGTTCAAAGAGGGTTCTCTTATGGAATTGGCGTGCTCGTTGAGCTGCTGTTGATTGGCAGGGCTATTACGGTACACTTGAGCCTGATAAGCCTGTGCAGGGGTGAGGCCTGTTCTCGTGAGAGCCTCGAGGGACTCATCGGGTGGATCGTCTGGTAGTGGTGAGATTATACCAGCAGCATGGGGTGAACTGACTACAGATCTAGCCCGTCCATGGATTACTGGAGGTGCCAAGGTGTGTGGACGGGTGTACTGTGCATGGTGATGTCCAGGTAGATATTGCTGGGATGCAGCTGTATGTGGATATGACTGCCTGTATGGCGACTGCAGGTGCTGCTGAGGATGATGTGGCAAGTGATTTGGATAGTAATTTTGGGGCTGGGCGAAGGAATTAGATGTCCTCCTGTCATGCTGGAGGTATGGTTGGTGGTGGTTGTGGTGGTATTGGCCGCCATGCACAGGTATGTTATGTACTGACTGTGCATAATGCGGCTGTTGCACAACCGGTCCAGGCTGACCAGGATGTTGTCCTGCCTGGTGGTGAGAAGCTGATGGTCGACCGAAGATAGACTCGTATGCTTCATTACGCTTGTCTGGCTGGCGTGGCCCAGCTGGCCTGTCCATCGTACCCGTATCTGTTAATCAGTGTTCTAGGACAATTGTGGACTGAGACGGTAAATAAGAGAGTTGTCGTTACGTACGGTTACGGCGGTCGCTGGTGCTGGCGTTGGCTGCGTGGTAGAGATCACAGACTCAGTTTTCCTGTAGTTGCGCTAAGTTTGGTTATCGCCCGTTGAATCGCTCACACGTTCTTCCCCAACGACAACAACGGCGAAGACAATCTACTGATCGACGATGGCGACGACGACCGCAGCAGCTTCGATGTGCTTAATGAAGAAATTCAAGATACGGGCGTGGGTTACGTAGAGGGTGTCTACAACGTCATTGACAATTCTCCACATGATTCCCACTCGCCATTGGTCAACACGGATCAGTCTTCCCGACAGACGCTCGCACGAAGCACACGAACCTCAATCACGTTCCATAAAACATGCAGAACCCACGCATGTGCCTCAAGTATGAAAAGAAAGATACCTACCTACCTGTTGTTTTACTCGCTACATGACCTCCTGGCACGCGCTCCGTGTCCATCGTACGGCAACGTTGGCTGTGACATTTGTAGTTCCGAACATGACAGTCTGACACCCTAATTACATCCTGTGGTCGGCCAAATGAATGACTTGAGCATGAAATCGAGCATGATTCTATGTAGTCGACTAGAATTCGGCCCCGCTTATTACCAGAGTGATTCGGATCTGGCTTCACGAAGGAATTACGAACTTCGAAGCCACTTGCTTCGACTCGGGCAAGGGTTTTCAACGGATTGACCTGATTAGGAATCGAAGGGCAATTGGAACCATGATTTCATCTTGGGCGACGGACCATGTGGCATGGCATGAGCACGAGCGCTCGCGGCGAACATCGGTCTTTGCAGGCATTCCTCGGGCCGTCTGACTCTCGTAACAATTAGCAGGTCATTGGTCAATGGGTTATCCATTGGTGATTGGTGGCTACCTGTGGCTACTGATTTGCTGTCAGTGCGAGTCTGAAAGAGAACCATTCCTTGCTAGACGCACCGGTAAAACTGCGCTTCGGCATGTACGACTTCCTTTAGCTATCCAATGACCCAAGGGGGAGCAGAAGTCTTTCGTTCGCTCAGGTTTACCTGCCGGATCCAGATGCTGCTAGTTTGGACTTGCAGTTGCTGCTGTTATATGCATTGCTTGTAATAACAATGAAGGAAGACAATACGATTGCCTGTATTGAAAGAACAAGCCACCTGCAAACGCTAAGTGATATTCGAAAAACTTCGCCAGGTAAGAGCGCTGCAATGCACATGCTACTGAACGGCATTCAAGAAGGAGCTGGACCGAACTCCACGGGAGTTACGGGAGCTCGACACTAGCTAGTACCTGGCGACCAGCAGTGGATAAGGTTCAAGAGGAGACACCCTGCTTACGCAGCCCTCCACAGCCAAGCAGGATCAAATGTCGTTATTTTATACTTACGTGCTGAGTGAGAACAGAGCTCGACACTGCTGGAGTTCCAGGAGAAGCGAGTGTGACATATTCTCGAGGCCACAGTGTTCAACTTGTACTGGTCATCCCTCGTGTCGGCCTGGTAAGTGTCTGCCCCCCAAACGCGTTCAAAGTCAGTGGAGACAAATTCCTGCGCGAGAACTTGAAACCGACGAGTTTCGAATATGCCTTACGGCAAAAAATTAAGCAGGGATAGTCAAGGATCATGATGAAAGAGGAGGCACCTCGCAAGGTTGGAGGTGTGGATGGAGAACCTTGTGTGATATCAAGCAAAAGGGAGACATCCACAATTTGATCAAGTGGCATTGCGGAGTCCATGATCTAATCGTGTGGACATCGCTAACCTTTTTGAGGGAACTTGATGGGATAACTCGGGATTCGTCAACTTCCTTCTTCAGTTCATGCGGGTCCTGCAGTAATCCTCCACCTTGCAAGGCGTTCCGTAGCCCTGGCATGTGAGCCGCCTCGGAAATCTCTGGGTGAATACAGAGAAGTCTTCCCACAAAAATCACGAAGCGCAACCGATGTAGGAGAAACTGTATGTAGAACAGCACGGTCCACCAGTCTGTTGTTTGTGAGGGTCAGACATGACGCGTTCGGTCAATAGCACACACCACATACATATTGCGAGCGAGGTGTATTGTTAAGCAGCCTCGAACCATGCCTCAACGCGTTTGCTGATGAAGACTCCGAAGAGGCTCTGCATCGCTGAACCGAGGTTCAATTTGCGTGCTGGCTACTCACGGCCAATTACGACGGTCTCTAGCCCACTGGTATTGGATGATATTCGCGAAACTTGAAGCATCTTGTATCGATTCAGACTGCCTTGATTCTTAGGTTTATTTGTACATGATTGCATCGGCTTATTACTGTGCCTGAATAGGAAATGGGTCACTTACCCTTGATTTAAATCTGATTTCCAGCACTCCTTCAGACTATTTTATTTAAGGGACTGCGTGTAACGATAGGGAAATGATCCTGGCTAACATAGTATTGAGGTTTTGTAATTTTAGAGAAGTGTTGTGTATGTTCATGAATATTTTGCCAGAGGGTCTCGATTTCGGTCAAAACCAATTAATACAGTAGTAGGTCAATCAGTACTACATAGCAAACCCACCCCACAAGCTCGTGCAATTATTTTTGGTGCAAAGCTTGTAAGACAGGGTTCAACTTGATTCAGGTATACAGTTTTTGTGAAGGAGGAGACGAGGGCATAGTAGAGGTCAAAAGTCTCAGTACTTAGGGTATGTGGGAATCATATTTTTTGGCGTGACTTTGAGCACTTATTTCATGCCAACGTTGACAATTTCTCAACAGTTCAGCTCAAATTTTTGGGACAGTGACCTTTCAACTATGCTCTATATGATGGCGAAAACAGCAAGTCAATAGCTGCTGTGGTTGGCGAGAAAAACGCCGGGTGACCCACTACTGGGTTTGACCCGTAACTTACTCAGCCACAGTAGGGCAGACTACCCCTCTCTCATCATCATGGCCAAGCTTCGCATTTTATGTTTCATTCAAGGCGGCAACTGTTGTTTTACCATTGAACCACCCGACGACGCGACAATATTACAATTGAGGTCGACTATTTGGCGTGAAAATCGATATGGCACCTTGCGTGATGTTGATTCACCACCTCTTGCACTGTGGAGGGCGAGTTATACAGTCAAAACCTGCCCAGGTGCTGCAGAATCGGTGTCCGTTTTCTTATGCATGGACCTCATCGAGTGCTGTTCAGCATCGCGGTACAATCTCGGCACTCTTCTACAAGCTCAGAAAGTGTTGGATAATCATAATTCAACTGATAAGCATTAAGAGCATTGAGGAAGAAAGCAGCTAATAGACGGTAATCTAATTTGATTATCGGTAAAGTCATGGCCGATTGTGGGTTGCTGTATCTCCTGAGGTCAGGCTGCTGCTGCAAGTGAGAAAGGTTGAATGGGAGTAATTGATGGTAATATCCATTGTGAGGTGGAGCAGGGGCCAGCAGCCTAAGCAAAACTGACGCAGGCATTAGGAGTCTAGAGGACTGCGTTGACGATGAACGCTGAGAGCGTTTGTACAGGCACGACCAGAATTTATCTGGTAGACTGTCAGGATGAGGATGTGTCTGGTAGCTCGCATGTCTGCACAGTAATTAAGGCGGTCACGATGGAATGTACTCACACCATTCTAGCTGTAGGTCTTCTTGATCCAAATGTGCCCGCGCAAGCGAAATCGATGGCGCATTGCATAATGATTTATCTTCCTGATGATGGAGAAGGCTGAAGGCTTCGAACAGTGTCGCCGTCGTGATATAGAGAAATCACACTGAGAACTTGGAAGGACTTGGGTATCATTTCAATCAGATTCCAGAAGGACGGGAGGGAGACACGAACAGGTTAACAGGTACCTCCGGCTATAAAACGACAAACACGTGAGGCGTAACCAATGCTCGTGATTACTTATAAGAGCCGAGTCCCAGTACTACACACAAGTATCGTTGCAGTACTTATTCCTCGATCCTAAGTACTGAGTTATGCTCGCCAGGCCCCATCTCTCCATAGTTCGTCACAGACCATTCAGGAAGATCCATATGTCATCTCTCACTGGACCACGTCCAGTTAACTGGAAAGCGGCTGCCCCCCAAATACCCAACTTCGCAGCCCAACAGGCCTCTCTTCCTCGGTTGCCAGTTCCAAATCTCACCGCTACGCTCCAGCGCTTGAAGACATCATTGTTGCCGCTGGCACACTCGGAAGCTGAATTTGCTGATGCTGCTAGGAAAATCGAAGCGTTTGAATCACACGCTGGGTCAGGCAGCCTATTGCAGTCTCGTCTCCTGCAGCGTTCAAATGAACGCGAACATTGGCTCGAGGAGTGGTGGGATAATCTCGGCTACTTGGGTTATCGAGATTCAGTATGCCTAGCTCCACTGTGCATGGTGCTATATTGACGCGTTCGCAGGTTGTGGTGAATGTTTCATACTATTGTGAGTTATGCGGTAGTTCTTCTTATCTTCACCCCTGATGGTTTATACACAGATGGTTTTGATGGGCAACCTGCCCACCTTCCGCAAAGCCCTGCTGCTCGTGCTGCTGGCCTTGCACGCGGAGCCCTCGTATTTCGGCAGAAGCTGCTGAGCGGTCAGGTGAGCCCTGAAGGAACGAAGGAGGGTCAATTCTGTATGGACACATATCGGTACGTGGTGGTATTTCGAAGTTGTTTTTTCCTTGAACCGTTTTATGAAGATGGATGTTCGATTGCTGTCGTATACCTGGCCTCGAGGGACTTGACTGGAGCGTATCCCACGCGGGTGCCAACGCAGATGAATTAGGGCACATCATTGTTGTCAGGAAGAACAGGTTCTGGAAACTTAAGGGTATCGTAAATGGGCGAATACTCAGCATGACTGAGTTAGAAAAGTGTGTCCCTCCCACTTTGCTACATGTGCCACAAACTCACTTTTGTTACAGACAGATACAACACATTTACGACTCTACCACGGAAGAATACCCAGGAGTTGGCGTTTTGACTGCATCAAACCGTGACGTATGGGCAAAGGTACGTCTATCCTTGCACATTCTTCTTCACACCCCCTGAAAAATGTTAGGACCACGCCCACCTGGCTGCGAACCCACATAACGCATCTATTTTGCATACCATACACTCATCTGCCTTCCTTATCTCCCTTGACATTGACACGCCTACCTCTCCCATTGATCACAGTCGCTCTCTCTGGCACGGTTCGCTCTCATCCTCTACATCGGATGCTCCCGGTCTTAAAAATCGCTGGGTCGATAAACCCCTCGAGTTCATCGTTTTTGAGAATGCACGCGCCGGGTTCATGGGCGAGCATTCCGTTATGGACGGGACGCCTACTGCCCGCATGTGTGATGAGGTGCTTGACTGGCTTGCTGATCCTGCTTTTGACCTCGGGACCCCCTCTGCTACTCCACCACCAACACCCGAACCATTAGATTTCGCGGTAGATGAAACGACACGCAGCGCAATTGACAGGGCATCGAAAGCTGCGTACGAGCTTGCTAATTCGCAGACACTGTCGTACCACCTCACATCATATGGGAAGGCCGCTATCAAGGCATTTGGCGTGTCTCCCGATTCTTGGGCCCAGATGATCATCCAACTGGCGTATGCCCGTCTCCTCCGTGCACGAGGGCTGACAAGGGAAGGAGGCACTTATGAGGCAGCGACTACACGCAAATACCGGAAAGGTCGGACAGAGACGATCAGAGTCGTCACCTCACAATCAGACGCGTTTGTTTCGGCGATGGACGATCCTAATGTCAGCCGTGAGGACCGGAAAAGGCTTTTTGATGCGGCTGGGAAGGCGCACATTACACTCGCGAAGGCAGCAGGTACTGGAGAAGGAGTGGATCGCCACATGCTGGGTGAGTGTTTTCACCCCTGTCTTTTCGGAGCTCCGTGATGCTGACGAGCAAACCCTCAGGATTGAAACTCTGCTTGAAAGAAGACGAGCCAGTTCCAGAGCTGTACAGCGACGCATTGTACAAACGTTCCGGAAACTGGGTCCTGAGCACAAGCGCCGTTTTCTCAGACCATTTCCCGGTGTATGGATGGGGTGAAGTCGTACCGGAGGGCTTTGGGGTGGCATATATGACTGGCTACGACGGTACGTTGGAAGCTTAGGTTCGTAGACCGAACTTCACACGTATACACACAGATCGTCTGCAATATACCGTCACCTCGCGGAAGGAAATGCCCAACCAGGAGTTCATGGATGAGATTGCGAGGGCTGCGGTGGATTTGTATGATTTGCACGCTGGTCAGCGAAAGGCCAAGTTGTAACGCTTTTGCATGCTGTGCGCGGAGCAACCGCTTTTGCTTCTGCTTTATAGAATATACAAGTTATCCGCCAAACTCACTCGTCAGCTGGAAGAGGCAATGATCGTGGTCAGGTATATCATATGCACTGGCTATTAACCAGCCTGGAGAAGGATTCTATTGATCCTAACAACATGTAGCATACGCGCACGCTGCACGCGCTGTATATGACAGAAATACATCGATATCAAATATTTCGAGTGCCTCGAGCCTTCCTTGCTTTAATTCTGTTATCCCATGGGAGACTTCAGCTCCTGGAGTAGGCTGGAGTGGTGTGCGAGGTTATATACTGGTTGATTTTACAAGCACGTGACTGACGCGTCGCGATCGGGTCTGTTTATTGAAACTTTATTGCGCCGTACGCCATTTCAAATAACCTAGGGGTATAAGTACGGCGTGTGTCGCTGCATATTCCTCCCAATTTAGCGCCGTTTACTCTCTTTTACGCGTACCAGCATACTTTTACGATCTCCATCCTCCGTCTCAACATTTTTCAATATGATTTCCACCCTCATGAATGTTACCGCCCGCGTCGCTCTCTCCAGCCTCCTTACCACAACTTTCTTCAAACGGATGGTCATCGACCATACCGTTGAGGTCCTGTCAAAGGCGGAGAAGGTTTCCGCTGGCCTCGTCGCATACACCGTCTGCTCGTCGTCAATCATGCTCGTTCTAGCATCCGACACAGTAGCTAAGAAGTTCCTCTGCGACGACGCCAGGTATCTACCCACTCCGAAGGACGACGCCGCCGACCCCAATAATCCGCTCTCTGACAACATCTCCACCCCCGCTACGCCTCAGCGCGCCGAAATTTATTGCCTGCCATCTCCTTCATTGCGTTTAATCGAATCAACGGACACAATAGCCGTCTCAATCACGTGTTCTACCACTTGCATCAGTCTCACTTCGCCGAACCTCTCTTGCAAATCCCTGTCTATCACTGATACAAACGCTACTACCGTCTTCTCGGACGATGCTCCAGACGCCAGCGACTGTGAGTCGTTTGGTGACGATAGCACTTTCTACGAGGTAGGAACTTCAGTATAGCTTCAACTTCCGCATTACTTAACATTTGGGTCTCTAGGACGATTTTTCTGACCCAGAACAGACTACTCTCGACACCCTAGTTGCCAAAATGCAAGCTCTGACACTCGACGATTCCCCTCGTCTACCCACGCTTCATCCGCTCATTCTAGTCGCCAACCGCCAGTCAGCATCTACGTCTCCTTCGAGTCTGCCTGAACCCGCCAACTCCACGGATGCACTAATTCAAAGTATGAATCTCTCCGATAGTCCGCCTGACGTCCCTCTTCCTGACTCGGACGACGCCATGGACGCCTTGAGTCGAAGTATTGAGACACTTTCTCTCTCCGATCCTCTGCCTTCCACCCCTAAATTGGAGCCCCCGATTCTGGTTACGAAGCGCGCTGCAGCTCAACTCAAATGGCTCCCTCCTACTAGTATTCCGCCTCCGCAGCCTACGATCAAATCAACACGCGAAATCACGGCCTCTTTACCTGTCCCCTACGACCTAGAGCTTTACCGCCCAAAAGGTTTGAGGTCGCCGCCACTTACTACGCACTCGCACACACACCTACGCATCACACACTGCCGCCGATGGTCCCCTACGACTCATCCGGACGACGCACCATACCACATGAGCTCCTTCAACACGGTCCACCACGACCCAAACCTTCACCGCCTTCGAAGTCGAAGCTCAATTCCAGTCTACGCACCCACCACGCCGCGGGTCTTCAACGCCAGCCTAGGTCCCCTACGACCCAATTCCGGTGGTGCACTAAACGGCCTCCTTCATGGTCCCTTGCGACCTGAAGTTAGATTCAACGACCGACGCCCACCGTCACGCACTCGTCTATCAAACCGAATCGCTTTTCGGTTCGTTCTCCCCATAGAGGTATTCTTGATTTGTTTTTTCCTTGACTGTATGAGACGAACATTGAACTTATCTCTGGCATGTTTCTTTTTTCTTCTTTTTTCCTTCCGCACCAAGACACATCTTTGATTTGTTTTCTCCCTTATACGAGACAGACATTGGACTCATCTCTGGCATCATGTACGCTTATTCTTCTCAATTCCTTATCCATATATAGGTCTTCTTTGATTTGTTTTTCTCTTTATATTGGTACGAGACGATATTGGACTCATTGGACTCATTCGGTTTCATCATAGACTCATCTCCAGCATGTATCGTTATTCCTCCCATTTCCTTCTCTACATAGAGGTCTTCTTGATTTATTTACTGGTACGGACTCATAGTTTCATTATGAACTCCTCGCGACGTATCTTTATTTCATTGATCTTGTTGTTTTACTTTCGTGCATGTACGACGACCATTAGCGTTTGAATATAATTTTCTTCTGTATGTTCTGAGGGCATGATGCGCTTGAGATATCTAAGATGCGTTGGTTAGAGCCCAAGTTGCAAAAAGTTACGGTACGCGAGGGAATCATCATACACAACTCAAAAAAGGGAACATCGACGCCAGCAGGATTCGAACCTGCGCCCTCAAAGAGGAACAGATTTCTAATCTGTCGCCGTAACCACTTGGCTATAGCGCCTCGTAAATGTTTGCCTGGGAGTGATATATTGCATGGGTGGTGCTCGGGTGACCGGGACCGGACGTGTTCGGTGACGTTGCAGACCAGGTTTACTCGGAACTATATACCAGCTGGACAGTCAAATTCCCTACTGCGTGCTTGCAAGGCGACGTGCATGCATGATTCACATCAAAGACCCTGTGAAAGCCACGTCGATATTTATTACATCATTTACTGCGCACAGTGGACACGAGTTACCCGAGTCACCCCACAATACATAGATCTTGCACGCCTTCTTCTCAGTCCATCATCACAAGTCCTGCCAGATCTACGATGAACGCCCTGGCGTCATCTTCACAGGCGTCTCCGAACGACAAACCTCTATCACGCCCGCAGAGCCCCAGACTTACTGGAACTGCGTCACGCTTCTTCATTTCTATGGGCAAGTCCATCAGCCATAGCCTCCTGACATCCCCAAGAAAAAGACATGCGGATAACTCAGTGAGTAAGCATTAATGCTTTACTCTAGATGATTCTCATTCTTTTGCCGTGCAGCGCGGTGGCATTGGCATGTATTCTACGCCCGAAGAACGAAACCCTTATGTCCAGTCACGAATGCACGCGAGATATAGAGAATCATCCGCTTCACGTCCCACCATTGAACAAATTGCAATGGGTCTTCATCTTTCATGCACTCCCCATTTGCGAAATCCGTGTCACCAGTCTCATTCCGCACCCTCTTCACCCTCTCATATACGGTACCCCCACGACTCATCCGCACTGCACCGTCCCACGCACAGCCTTCCACCACCCCCTTCTCGTTCTTCCCTCAAGAAAACAAGTACCAGCAACGGTCCCCGTCCGAACTCAATTGCATTACTCGGCGAATCTCCCTCCACGTCTACAATAACCTCGACTGGTCCCGCAACACCTGACGGCGCGCGGTCAGTGCTGTCCCTAAAGCACCGTATGTCGAAGTTGATACTTGGTTATCGTTCTGCGCCCTCATCGGCGCGGATTATATCTGCGGCGTCGTCGGGCACTGGAAGTGAGGGTACTCGCCCGACGACGCCACGAAAATCGGTGCGATTTTCTACGAGCGTGCTTGCGTTGGAAAATTAAGATGTCAAGCACTCATAACTATCTACCCGACTCGATGTCGCACACAACACTACTTAGCTGGAAGTCCAGCTACCTATTTCATATCATTAATCCGCACTCTGTTTACCAAGCGCCGCATTATTACGAGGGATAGACAGTCCACTTTCATCATTTTTATTCCACCCCATTGTAGCACTGGATTTTTATTCGTTATACATCATGTCTGTCCAAACGCGATGCAATTTTACCCTTGAATTATATTGATGTTCCGGTCAAGTTCGGTCATCAATCGTTTACAGGTTTTGTGGCTGTGCTACTGTGCTTCAAAGTGCTTCGGAGTCAGTGACATCAAGTTGTTCAGAACGTTCATCCCTTGCTCTTCGGAATATTTTTCTCGCTTCCATCTGATAGACACACGACCCACACTATAGAGGCGACACGCCCACAAATAATTCTAATCGCTAAGATGGCGCCGGTCGAAACAGAGTACTATGACTTGGTGCGCAGTACTCCACATGCGTTACGGGGTGCATTGACCACCGGCGGCATAGTTGGATGTCCCCGTGGACGTTAACGACACAGACTTAAAGAAGGCATACAGGAAGCAAGCAATGAAAGTGCGTACGCGTTTCTCTGGTCTGGCTTCGGAAAGATGTTACTCATATGCTGTAGTACCACCCAGATAAAAATCCATCTTTGGATGCGGAAGAGATGTTCAAGGAAATAAGGTACATCTGCGCTTTGCCGTCTATGAAGCGGCGGGCTGATGAGACGTAGTAAAGCATATCAGGTACTATCTGATGCTGTGAGCCTCTTTCGTTCGCTCTGATGATTTGGATCGAATCTGAGATACGATTAGAATCTGAGAGCAGTCTATGACAAGAACGGGAAGTCTATGGTGCGCCAACTTTTCAAAAAAAAAAAAAAAGGATTGAAATTCAAGTATGGGTTTGCGTGGCGTAGGTCGACAAGGAGAGCACAGAGCTAGACGATGCAGCGGGTTTCTTCGCAAACGTATTTGGTGGAGAGCGGTTCAATGATTATGTGCGTCCCTTCCTGCTTTACACCCTGATGCTTACACCTAATATCGCAACTCCATCTGGCACGATTAACCGCATCATAACTAACTCTGGTGATACACACAGATTGGTGAAATATCTTTAATGAAGGAGATGACGTCTGTGGCGCAGACAGTAATGACCGATGAGGAACGTGCCGAGCTCGAGAAAGAGGGTATCGTCTCGCAACCAGCAGTAGTCTCGCACGAGCCGCACGTTTCCTCACCTGGACCATCGTCACCCGTTGATAATGCGTCGAAGCGCCAGTCCATTTTGGGGTCCCCAACCCCTTCAAATGGCGGCAAGGAAGGCAAAGAGAAGGAGAAAAAGCGCAATAAGCTCTCACCAGAACAGAGGAAGAAGCTACAGGAGATTGAGGAGGAACGCAAACGCTCGATGGAGGAACGGGTAAAGATGCTCACTGCGAAGCTACTTGAGCGACTACGGCCCTTTGTGGATGCGAAAGTACCTGGCGACAAAGACGACCCCGAGACAAAGGCATTCGAATCCCGAATCAGACTTGAAGCAGACGATTTAAAGCTAGAGAGTTTTGGGGTTGAGGTATGTGTAGCTGCTGCCATCAGTATCTTGAACCAGCTAAGTGGGGGATTGACAGTTGTTGCATGCAATCGGGACAGTATATATGATGAAGGCAACGTCATTCCTGAAGTCGAAGAAGTTCTTAGGGATGTGAGTAGCTCTCTTGTTGGTTCCCTTATCTACCGCTTATCTGGCGCAGTGCAGGTTTCTGGTCGCGGATGAAGGAAAAGGGTTCAGTGGCAAAAGACGCGTGGGGCGTTATCGGAAGCGCGTTCGTGTTGCATCTATGCTGCCCTTGTCATGCGTTCATAACAAATGTTAAACAGATTTAGCGTCCAGTCTCTCATGTCCGAGATGGAGCGCCTGCAGAAGAAGGGGGAGCTTGATGAGGAGGTGCTACGGGCACTAGAACAGGATGTTACAGGCAAGGTTCGTGTGCCTCGGCTTCCAATACAGTTGATACCTTGGTGAGAGAAGTTGACACGCACTAGATCATGCTAGCATCTTGGCGAGGCACGCGCTTCGAAGTCGTGCAGGTTCTCCGGGAGGTGCGTAAACCAAGGGTTGCCTACGGGCATGCGGCAGTTGAACCATTCCTATTCAGGTTGTGGATAACGTGCTCAAAGATAAAGAGGCGTCTGATCAAGTGCTGTTTCATCGCGCGAAGGTGTGTGAACATTAGTCATTCGGAGATCGCCTTTGCGTGACGTCAATTTTACCTTGTTCTTTGTCAGGGCTTGATGATCATGGGCCACATATTCAAAAACACGGTTCCGGATGAGAGTGACGAAGACCGACGCGAACTCGAACGGTGCGTCGGCTCGCTCTTGAGTAGATCCGCGGTGACCAATACTCACGTCAACTTTCTATTTTACATTACAGAATGGTCGCAGAAGCAGCAGAGGGCAAATCAAGGCATCACCACCTACGCGGAAAGGCCCGAAGAGAAGGCAACACACCACCTGGGACGCCGCCGAATGAAGCCCGGCATTCAGAGAAGGGGCAGGTTGAAGGAGAGACCTGTGCACCTTAGTGCTGAGCTCAGACAACTGGAATTTGGAACGAGAGAGCATTCGCGCACGTGTTACATATGTGATCATATCTCAGGACTGCTTTTGGTTTTTATGACTTTTCTCTTCGAACGACTATGGAACGGGTCTGCAACAATTTTTTTCTATGATACTTTAGTGCAGTAGTTACCTATCTCTGAGTTTGAATCTACATATTAATCGTACACCCCCGTTCTCCATCATGGATCACACGGGCTGGCCTCGAAGTCCTTTCGTACCTGTGATATACATATTGAACACAACGCCACAATGATACGACCAACCAACGTACCCGCTTGAAAAAACCACCGTCTTCCAGAACACGGAAGCCTGTACACGCCAAGGCCTTGGTAGTAATCATACATGCTTTGTGGGCTTCCGTGGTTCGCGCAGAATCGGCGAATGCTGGCGAATGGTTTCCCCCATTGGGCTGCGTAGGGATGGCTGCAATATACGCACCGAGGACAGTCAGATAATAGACACGGCCGCAGTGTATCACATACCAAAAGCTGGATGCAGGGAGGGTAAGACTAAAATTCCGTGAGTACAAACTGCCACAGGACCTCCAATGGATGTACTTGCCGTATGAGACATTGCCCTAGAAGGAAACGAGTTTGTCAATGCGCCTATAAATGGGTTCGAGAGGTCGAATAACTAAACATACGAAATCTGTGGACGCCCCTGACGGATATTGCCCGACAGTCATGCCAGATTCGTCACTCATTGCGTGAGAGAAGGCACCAGCTACATACGAGTGTTAATTGATCAAAAACATCTGAGAAGACGACTTACCAAGGATGTTATTTTGCCGTAAATTGTAATAGGGGGTACTGTTCGTGATCTTGAGACGGCAGGAAGTTGCCAATGCGGCACCCCTGCGGACCTTGTGAGATGCCGTAGAACGCAGATGTCATTCTGAGACTGACTCAAAACAAGCGCAAACTCTTTCTGTCAGTTGCGCTAACTGGTCCCGCGTCGGCGCTCGGACATACCACCTCATCTTGGCATAGTCAGGGATCACTGAAAAGGGCTTGCTGAGTTATTCGTGTTTCAATGTGTTAGAAGTTGTTATAGACTGTACCGTTCGCAGCTCCTTCGCTGCCATTTATGACGCCATGTACTCTGTGGTCAGGTTTAATCTGCTGTCGTAATACCGAGACACTGGAGTATGCTAAGAACGCAGCATCAAGTGCGTTGGCACCTTCCCATGGAGCATCTCCAGCATGAGCGCTTTTTCGGATCAGTTCATGAGGCCATATAGGAACCATAGGACTCACGATTTCCCGAAGAATTCGGCATCTATAGATTGCATCGCCAGAGAAGATACCACATACGAAGATAATTCGGGTCCAGAGCAAGGATGGCACCTGCATTAGCCATGCATATGTCAATTATGCTCCGAACCGGATGTATTTAGCCGGGCGTACGGACATTAAGCAAGCATCCATCCCTTTGTAGGCCCCTCGCTCAAGCAGGATAATCTTTCCACCACCACCTTCTTCAGCTGAGGGAGAAATGAGTAACTCGTGTCGGGCCGAAATTGAAACTCGTTACCTGGTGTCCCTAGTAGAATCACCGTGCCGGGAACGTTGTAGGTTTCCAAAGCGGATTTGACTGCTAATGCCACACCTACGCCACTGATTGCAATGAGGTTGTGGCCACAAGCATGCCCGATCACAGGTAATGCGTCCATCTCGGAGTTAATTCCAAGGGTTCTGCCTCCATTTCCGTGGGTGAATTCAGCCTTCCATGCAGTCTTGAGACCAAGATAATGCCTCGTCACAGAAAAACCGTGGCTTTCCATGTAATCGGACAGAATATCGTGAGCAAATCTACAAAATTCCATCAGTGATATGTGTATAGGATACTTGATGTGGCAGACATTTCTTCAAACATTAATTCTGGGTGACCTGTCATATCCCACGGTCAGAGGATTATAGCGAGGCCAGAGCTCCATAGCTTACTGTGAATCTGGAGACTTAGAGATCGTAGGGAGGAATCAAGTGTGTCGACTACGGTTTCGATGGTGTGCCTGATTTCTCTACGTATAGAATCACTGGGAGAAGGCAGGTCTGAATAAACAGGAGGGGCCTCCCACTGGCATACTGCAGCATTGATTTTGCTGCATCCAAAGTCACAAGACGTGTCATAAAACACCCGGGAGGTCGGATCGGTCTATTGGGGGCAAATGAGCAAGTCGCGCACGGAATAGTACAAAGGCACATACGATATCAACGGCCCATTCTGAATCGGATGCGTTGAGCGTCTGACCATATATATGGGATGATTTAGGTTGTTTTGAGGAACTCTTAGATGTAAGCTGAGGTTTCAACTTGAACAAGCGTCTTAGAGAAAGGCACCCGCTATGGTGATTGTCATCAGAGGCGTCTAGGGACATCAGGGAGAAAATGATAAAGTGGCGGCAGAGAGTGGGGGTTCACTAAATGGGGTCCTTGGTAACATGTCTGAGTTTATCAACTATTCGGCGCTTGACACCTGGTGCATCACCAACGCGGAATAGAGTGTGATCTGTACTTCCGCTACCATCGGGGTTAGGTAAGTTTACGCGTATGATTGCTCACGTTCAAATCTGGAATAGAAGACTGAATCAAGCGCTACTTCGTGTGTATCTACACATTCTCAAGAACCTGGTCGTGATGTCAACTGAAGTCGTGCGAGATCCTGCAAAGAACTTCCCGTACTTTCACCGCCGCGGAAAAAGGAACCTATTTTTCTCCAAATGCTATCTTCCCGCTGTGGCATGCTATCTCGCCCGCTTACACCGAGCACAATCTTTCCGTGGTGTGAAGAGAGTCGACAGTGATCCGTGGATCCGGAGGTTGGGGCACTGTCGCCGATAAGTAACAAAGTTTTTCTCCTCTTTCCGTTCATGCTGCGGATGCTGCTGGACAGTCCTGGAAGGATGTCATAACCAGCCAATTTTCCACTGCGTATCTGCACCTCCCCGCGAAAAGTTTGGGGAAGCAGTACTACAACTTTACCTGGTAAATGTAGAAGCGTGTCAGAACGAGTTGTACATAAGTATAGCGCAGAACAAGCATCGCTGTGTGTGACATAGAAGAGACAGATTTAGAGACGAGATTTGCCATGGTTGCCCAAGTGGAATCCGAAGCAGACGGGCCTGCCATCGGACCTTCCGGCGCACGAAACTAGTATTGCCAACATCATCGGGTTCAACTCACCTCTATGGGAAGTTACATTCAGCGTGATGCGTTTCCCAGGATGTACAGAGCTCTGTTTCAAGAAACATAAGCTCCAACCATATGGAGATGAAGTTGTAGGAATTCTTACTCACCAAGTTAACGTTAATATCCCCATAGCGGGTTGAAACGTCAACTATTGCCCGATGACATCGTTCTGACGATCCTTTGATCACTAGAGTTAGAAAGATAGATCCGAACCGATTGCAAAAAACGGCATGGGGTGCCGCAGAGTCTTTCCCTTTCCCTCGGTCACTGAGCTTGGCTGCAAAGCCTTGTAGAATGGATGGATCATCTCCTGACACATCAGGGTCGATGATGTACGTTCCTGCATGGACCAGACTAAATTGAGACACACGCAGGGACAGTAGACAAAGTGATGCTCACCGGATATCGATCCATGGTGCTTTTGTACCCGGATGGTCTTCAGTGTGGGTACATCGGCGAGCCCTACACCCGATACCAAAGTAGAACCTGACGCGGGATTACTGTACGGCGGAGGGGCACTATCTGGAATATCAAATGGCTGTTGTCCGTACTCCGTGCTCGAACCGAGTGAGGGTTCCTTATTATCTTGAGGGTACCTCGTGGTCGGGAGCTGCGGTTCTTCCTTGCTCTGCAGTATCATGTTGACAGTGGTGGATTAAGTACTTGTTAGAACTACTCATATGAATCTGATAGTCCTTTAACCAAGGTTGGCGAGGGGCAGATAGGCAGAGGCGGACCCCGAAACTGTGCACGAGCTGCGCCCTGCTGCGCTGCCGCCGCTTCTGCTGCGGATAGTAGATACCAACTGCTGTGTCAAGCACCACATCGCGTGATACGTATAGAAGGGATAAAAAAAACGAGCCTACCCCATATAGATGTTACACTAGGTAATGACTCAGTTGACAACACTTTCGAGTCACTCACTTGGATGAATCTTGAAAGCGCAAAAATCATTGGGCCTGGCCGGGAATTGAACCCGGGACCTCCTCGAAATTGACTGCTGCCCTAACAAGGAATCATACTACTAGACCACCAGGCCGCGATAACAGATGCGCTTTGGTGCACTGTTGCCACTCATCGGAGTCTTCAAGCTATTTTCACGTCCTCTTTGCGTTTGAGTTCTGTCACAAAGGAAATTAATCGTTCCTTGAATATACACCACGTCAAGAATACGATGGTAGCGTTTATTGAGCGTTGAACGTTGAGCTACTCACTTATATACACTTGAAACAGTACTAAGTAGTGATCCTTGGAATTCAATAAATGTAAACAGGTTATAGGACGGATCAAGGCCTTGCCGTAAATAGCCTTCTCTCTTCCACATCTATTAGTATTACAGAACTGCCCGCGTGCAGTGGAATATCCAGGACGCTGGCGACGACAAGTATGGCGTCCGTACCTCAGTATGCACACACGGACCACCTCGGGCAGATCTTTCAAGGTCTGCGGAGTCCTGCCCACGAGGCTCGATTACAAGCTGCAACAGAGTTGCGTCGTTACGTGCGTTCATCGTTCATGCGTGCGAGCCACCTCTCATATTCTAGCAGGTCGCAATGACTGTGGCAGAAATGCCGTCTGATGCGGTAGCAAAGCTTTGGGATGATGACATCAACAAACGTCTGTTTGACCTAATGCATAGTCAGAATAATGTAGATAGATTAGGCGGACTTCTGGCCATAGGTGCGTCCAGACATCATTGTATCATGTTTGTATAACTCATGTTGCATAGATCACCTCCTGGAAAGTGAAGGAGAGGACACTATTGGTTCAAAGAAGTACCTCTTTCGGTTTTACAACTACGTCAAACAGCTACTGCCAAATCACGATGTCAACATCATGCTGGCCGCATCAAAGACGCTTGGCCAAATTGCTGCAATCGGTGGGGCCGATTTCGGGGAACGCTTTATGGATTTAGAAGTGCCAGCCGCAGTGGAGCTGCTACAGGGTGACAAGCAGGAGTCTCCCCGCTATGCTGGAGTGCTTATCCTGAAGGAGCTCGCTCGTAACAGTGCAATATACTTCCACTCCCACATCAGCCTCGTATTTGACAAGATACTCATACCTCTTCGGGATTCACGAAACATTGTCAGGGAGGGAGCTGCAGAGCTTCTTGCTGCATGTCTTGAGATTGTTACGACCCGTGAACGGCAGACACGCACAACTTACCTCATGAAGATTCTTCAGGACGCGCAACTAGGACTCAAAATGTCCCAACCTGAGGTCATTCATGGATCTCTTCTCACATACCGAGAACTATTGTTGCATGGCGACATGGCAAGTGATTTTAACACTGTCGTCGGATTTGAATTATATTTTCCTTCAGTTTATGAGAGAATCGTTTTTGGATACCGCAGAACAAATTCTTCGTTTCAAATCCCATCGAGACGGACTCGTTCGTAAGATGGTCATCACCCTAATCCCGACTCTCGCAGCCTACGAAACGCAGGTTTTCTCGGAACATCACCTGCACAAATCCATGGGACATCTACTGACACAGCTGGAAAAACCAAACGAGAGGTCCTTTGGTTTGCATTCCCCTATCAGTCAAAAGGTCCACATATTGATTTGTTTTTGTCAGCATTCATCGCCATTGGTCACACTGCTACTGCTGTAGGAAGTGATATGAAACCTTTCCTCGACTCCATCATGGCTCAAATTAAGTTTGGTCTACAAGCCAGAGGGTACGTCATGTACAGACTGTTGTATGCAGTCATCAGAATTCTTTCTATAGAAAGAAGAATGCTCCTTCAGAAGAACCTATTTTTCAATGCGTCGGCATGCTTGCTTCGGCGGTCGGTCCAAACCTCACGAAGCTTCTTCATGATCAACTTGATTTATTCTTTGCATGTGGGCTGAGTGAGCCTCTTCGACAGGCACTGATGGCCATTGCACGTAATATCCCTCCTTTGCTAAAGACCATTCAAGGTGCGTTAGTTGACGTTACACGTGCTGTACAAACCTAAACACACCATCAGACCGTCTGCTGGATTTGCTCTCAATGATCTTATGTGGGCAGCCTTATAAAGCTATCGGAGCCCCACCTTCCCTTGCCCGGAGTGACGTCTCGGCGTATACAAGAGACTTGAGTTCATCTCAGGTGAGCTTTTCAACACTTTTGTCGATCATATTGAACATGACTCGCGAAGACCACTAGGAGCGGGAAGAGTCCTGAGCTCATCACACTTGCATTATCCACGCTTGGCACATTCGACTTCAGCGGTAAGCTACTTGTTGCCATCTAATGCGGTTTACTCAGCACGAGCAGGTCATATCTTGAACGAGTTTGTCCGTAACGCTGCACTTCCTTACCTGGAAGATGACAATGCAGACGTCCGACGGGCTGGTGCTCTCACTTGCTGTAGGCTGTTTGTCAGGGACCCAATTTGCTACCAAGCGAGCAGTCACGCGATTGAAATAATCAGTGACGTTCTTGACAAACTCCTCACAGTAGGCATTGCAGACCCAGGTAAGTTCACTTGTTCTCCTACAGACCACCTGATACAAGCAATGTTAAAGACCCTACCATTCGACAAACTGTTTTGTCCTCCCTTCATGAGCGCTTCGATAAGCATCTGGCGCAAGCAGAGAATGTTAGGTCAATTTTTATTGCCCTCAATGATGAGGTCTTCGAGAATCGTGTCACCGCTGTCACTTTGATTGGACGTCTAGCCAAGCATAACCCTGCCTACGTCATGCCCTCCTTGCGCAAGGCCCTGATACAACTCTTAACAGAGTTAGAATATTCAACAGTGATGTACGTGCATTGATCCACGTGTCCTAGAACAAATCATGAATAATTTTTCAGGCGAAATCGCGAAGATTGCACCCGCCTCCTCACTCTCCTAGTGGGCGCGACTCAGCGTCTCATAAAGCCATACGCACTCCCTATGCTCCGCGTCCTCTTGCAGAAGGCAAACGATAGCAACCCAGCTGTAGCTGCCAATGTTCTCATGTGCCTCGGGGAACTGGCAGCAGTCGGCGGGGAAGATGTGGCTCCTCATATCCCGGAGCTCATGCAGGTCATCATCTCCAGACTCTCCGATCCTGCGCATGTCAAGCGTGACGCTGCGCTCCATACTCTGGGCCAGTTGTGCTCTAGTACTGGGTATGTCATAACACCGCTAGTAGACTATCCCCAGTTGCTTCCGATCTTGGGACGCATTCTGAGGAGCGAAAGCGCTCCGCATGCACGCCGTGAGGTTGTGAGAGAAGTGGTCAAGGTTCTTGGTATTCTTGGAGCTCTGGATCCATACAGGCGGAAGGTTCGTTTGGTATGTTCCTCTTCGCTTCAAGCTACTGACATATCCATAGACAAGGCCGGATGAGGAAGCCACAAATGAAACCCCACTTCCTGCTGTCAATGCTGTCGCCATTTCATTGACAGGTAGCGACGACTACTACCAGACCGTTGTAATCACGTCTCTTCTGGCTGTCTTGAAGGATCAGTCACTTAGCAATCATCACCACACCGTAATCGAAGCAATTATGAACATTTTCAGGACTCAGGGGTTGAAGTGTGTGGCGTTCCTACCGCAGGTGCGTCAATTCTTTTGCTGCCGCATGACCAAACGTCGTACCGACCCCAATGCTACGACAGATCATTCCTGCTTTCACCGCTGTTGCTCGCACCTCGACAGCTCGTCTGCAAGAATTTCACCTACAGCAATTGGCCATTCTGGTTGGGATCATCAAGCAACATATCCGCAATTATATGCCAGAGGTCTTTGGTCTCGTGACGGAACTTTGGGAGAATGTCTCCCTTCAGCTTCCCATAGTATCTTTGATTGAGGCACTGGGCAAGGCTTTGGACGCCGAATTCAAGCCTTTTCTACCAACGATTCTACCCCATCTTCTTAAAGTCTTTGAAGGAGACCTCGAGAAAAAAATGGCTACTCAAATCAAGATCTTCGATTCTTTCCTCACGTTCGGGTCTAACATTGAAGAGTACCTTCATCTCGTCATTCCCGTTATTGTCAAGTCCGCTGAACGACCCGATGCTACCACTCTGCTTCGCAAGAAAGCAATACAGACTATAGCTCATCTATCCCTCCGCGTCAACTTCTCTGATCACGCTTCTCGCATTGTACACCCCTTGATCCGTGTGCTAGAAGGAAACAACAACGAGCTTCGGCAGGCGGTGATGGACACCCTGTGTGCGCTAGTTGTCCAACTTGGATCCGACTTTGCTATCTTCGTGCCCACTATCAACAAGGTGCATATGAATCAGTTTATCACTCCTTTTTGGATCATTGACGGCAAGATAGTGCCTACTCCGGAATCGTATACCTCATCCCCGGTATGAGAATTTGATATCGAAGCTCCTGAATGGGGAACGTCTACCGCAAGAGCCGGGCACTCATGACTTGCTGTGCGTCTTATTTTGGCTACTTACGGCGTCAGCTCCTAATATTCCTTCAGTGAATCTAAGGCTGCAGAAATTTCTGTACCTGCGGAAGCTGCTAAATTGACTGTGAACCAACAACATTTGAAGCAAGCCTGGGACGTGTCCGCTGCGAGCACAAGGGAAGATTGGACAGAATGGATGCATCGCCTTTCCGTAGAGTTGATGAAGGAGTCTCCGTCGCACGCACTTCGAGCTTGCATGAGCCTTGTCGATATTCACCCTCCTCTGGCGAAAGAACTGTTCAATGCGGCATTTATATCCTGCTGGACAGAACTCTATGATCAATATCAAGTAAATCCGCATTACTCATAACCGATTCATGCTAACCGCTTAATCAGGAAGGACTGGTGCGATCCATCGAATGCGCCATCACCTCCACCACTGCTCCGTCTGATCTCGTACACCGACTACTTAGTTTAGCTGAGTTCATGGAACATGAGGAGAAGCCACTCCCCATCGAGCACCGCACTCTGGGAGAGTATGCCATGAGGTTCCATGCCTATGCGAAAGCTCTTCACTACAAGGAGCTCGAATTCTTTACCGAAACCTCCCCGAACATCATCGAAGCGTTGATCGGAATCAACACCAAGCTCCAGCAACACGATGCCGCCTGGGGCACTCTCATTATCGCGCGAGAACAATACGACGTCAGCAAGCATGAAGAATGGTACGAGCGCCTGGGCAGATGGCAAGAGGCACTCAACGCATATGAGAAGAAAGCCCACGAAGATCCAGATGCACCCGATGTTCAGATCGGGCGCATGAAATGTCTGCATGCCCTGGGTGAATGGGATCAACTTGCTGCTCAAGTGGACGAGAACTGGTCCAATGCAAATCACGAGGATCGCCGTGAAATAGCTCCGATGGCCGCTGCGGCGGCATGGTCACTTCGTGAATGGGATTCAATGGATGATTATATCGCTGCCATGAGAGTCGACTCGCCGGATAGAGCGTTCTACAAGGCTATTCTTTCTGTACATCAAAACCAGTTCCCAAAAGCTCTCAAGGAGATCGGCAAAGCAAGAGACTTACTCGAGCCGGAGTTGACATCCTTTGTTGGAGAAGGGTACGGCCGGTCTTACAAGTGAGTTATGCATTGTACCCTGAGTTTGACGTGTGCTAACGTAGTCCAGCACTCTTGTCCGTGCGCAGATGCTCTCGGAGCTTGAAGAAATCATTGTGTATAAACAGTATGCGGATCAAACCGACCGCCAGGCAGCGATGCGGAAGACTTGGATGAAAAGGTGTGTATTCGAAACACGTGCACTACTTGCGCTCACCATTCTTCACAAGACTGCAAGGCTGTCAACCGGATGTCGAAACGTGGCAGCGAATTCTGCAAGTTAGAGCCCTTGTGCTCAACCCAGAAGATGATCCTTTTATGTGGATCAAATTCGCCAACCTCTGCCGCAAGTCAGACCGCATGGCATTGGCAGAGAAGACGATCAATTCATTGCTTTCACCAGAAAGGGTACGTGAATGATAACAGTGATCGACAGCAGCAATGACTCCGTTTTCAGCTACAACATCTTCGAGACGACCAGCACATGAAAGCCCCTCCTAATGTTGTCTATGCACAACTCAAGTATATGTGGTCCACCGGCGCTCGTGAGGAAAGTCTCAACTTCTTACGGCAATTCTCTGCGAGTCTTGCAAGAGATTTGCAGGTGGAATCTAAGGATCACTCACCAAGATCGGGTGTTGGTAAACCTAAGCTAGATGAACTTTCACGTCTTCTCGCTCGTTGTTACTTCAAACAAGGACAATGGCAAGTAGAACTGAAAGAAGACTGGGGTGCTGTAAGTGTCTTGATAGTAGTTACATCTCATACTCACCAGCTGGTCAGCGTAATGTCAAGGACATACTGCATTCGTACCTTCTGGCAACCCACTATGATCCCAATTGGTATAAGGCCTGGCATACGTGGGCGCTAGCTAATTTCGAGGTGATTGGCCATCTGGAGAGTCAAAAAGAAAGTACGGCGATAGACATCCCCGGGAGTGGCCTTGCCGCACATATCGTGCAGGCCGTTCAAGGTCAGTTTGTTCTTCCTAAAGTTCACGTCCCCACTCACTCCGAAATAGGATTCTTCCGCTCCATTGGCCTCCGAAATGAGAATGCGCTACAAGATACTCTTAGGTTGCTCACGCTATGGTTTAAATTTGGTGCACACGATGATGTCAGCCAGGCCATGGCCAGTGGCTTCTCTGTGGTCGAGGTTGATACGTGGCTGGAAGTCATTCCTCAGGTGAGTGCAAATTAGTTTTAGACCCGTCTCCCTTGTTGAAGTATTTCTTCAGATCATTGCCCGCATCCAAACTCCGAGTGTTAATGTCCGGCGAAACATCAATAACCTTCTTACCGAAGTTGGAAAGCATCACCCCCAGGCTCTCATATATCCCTTGACTGTAGCTTCGAAGTCCTCAAGCGTATCTCGAAAGAATGCAGCCCTGGCCATCATGGACAGAATGAGAGAGCACAGCCCTATTATTGTGGAACAGGCGCTTGTCGTCAGTCATGAACTCATCCGTGTTGCCATCCTTTGGCACGAAATGTGGCATGAAGGTTTAGAAGAAGCCTCTCGTCTTTTTTTCAATGACAAAAATCCCGAGGGAATGATCGCGACTTTGGAGCCCCTCCATGAGATGCTCGAAGCGGTAAGTGCATTCACTCGGAGTTTATCAAAAAAGAAATTGTTGAGGCGTTGCGGACCAGGGACCTACAACTGCTAGGGAAACTTCTTTCGCGCAAACATTTGGTCGCGACTTGCACGAAGCTCGGGAGGCTTGTCGGCGATACCGCGCATTCGGCGAGATGTCAGAGCTGAACAAAGCTTGGGATATCTACTATGGAGTAAGTCATACAAGTAGATGATCACTCGTTTGCTTATCTTCCGTGTGCTACCAGGTCTTTAGGAAGGTGGAGAAGCAGCTACCTCAATTGACTACACTGGACCTGCAATATGTGTCACCCCAACTTCTAAAAGCCCGCGATCTTGATCTGGCGATGCCCGGTATGCACCTTGGATGTTACCCTGTTACCGTGCTGTACTCATTGGCCCACTTTAGGAACCTATCATAGTGGCCGACCCGTTGTTCGCATTGCATCATTCGCTACCAAGCTCACTGTTATTGCTTCCAAGCAGCGGCCACGGCGACTATCCCTCAAGGGTAGTGATGGTCAGGACTATCAATACGTTTTGAAAGGTAACAGGATCGTCTCCCCATCACTGCAATATTGCTGATTCCGTTGTATACAGGGCACGAAGACTTGCGTCAAGACGAGCGTGTTATGCAGTTGTTCAGCCTTGTCAATACCCTTCTGTCTGTTGACACCAATAGCTTCAAGCGGCGCTTACACATCCAGCGTTACTCTGTCATTCCATTGGCACCCAACGCTGGTCTTATTGGCTGGGTAAAGGACAGTGATACTTTGCATGTCCTTGTTCGCGACTACCGAGACTCTCGCAAAGTCCTTTTGAATATAGAGTATCGGCTAATGCTTCAGGTATGCATCATTTCTTACAGGGCACGTCTCGCCTGCTGATATATCTCAGATGGCACCGGATTACGAAAATCTGACTCTACTGCAAAAGGTTGAAGTATTCGAATATGCGTTGGAAAACACCACTGGTCAGGATCTTTACCGCGTCCTATGGCTGAAGAGCGCAAATTCAGAGCATTGGCTCGAACGCCGTGCGACCTACACTCGCTCTCTGGCAGTGAACAGCATGGTTGGCTATATCTTAGGTCTTGGAGATCGCCATCCATCCAACCTTTTACTGGAGCGCACGACCGGCAAAGTTGTTCATATTGACTTTGGTGACTGCTTTGAAGTCGCCATGCATCGCGAGAAGTTCCCGGAAAAGATTCCGTTCAGGCTTACTCGTATGCTCACACATGCCATGGAGGTAATTTGTGTAACAGACCGCAGGTATTCTGAAGCTCACTGTGACGTCGCAGATAAGCGGCATTGAAGGAAGCTTCCGGCACACCTGCGAAATTACTATGTCTGTTCTGCGCGCGAATAAGGAGTCCCTGATGGCCGTCTTGGAGGCCTTTGTCTATGACCCCCTGATCAATTGGCGGCTCATGCAAGCTGACGTTGATTCACGTCGACCAGAAGGTATGCCGTACTTTGATATCATCATTCGACTCGGCTTATGTGAATGGCAGATGGCGAATCTGACCCAGTCCGTGCCGCTGAACTCGCTAAGGTTTCGGGATATCCTCAAGGTCCAACTCGCAAGCTGCGCGCAGATGAGAACGATATTTTCAACGGTATACATTTAGCGTGTGTCCCTAAGTGAGGAACTAATACCTTTACAGAGGTTGTCGGGGGACCCGGAGCAAGGCAAGAGGTCCGAAACGAGCGGGCCTTACTTGTCTACAACCGTGTCCAGCATAAGCTCACAGGTTCATCCTCTTCCGTACAATTGCGCCTTTGCGTTGCTGATGGTTTATCTATCAACAGGGCGCGATTTCAATCCCGACATTGTCCTTCCCGTTAACGCTCAAGTGGACAAACTTATCTTGCAGGCCACGTCATTGGAGAATCTATGCCAATGCTTTTCTGGATGGTAAGATGAGTTTGTTGTCCTAACCGTATTGAGCTCAATTATATGTCATAGGTGTGCATTTTGGTAGCCGATATAATATTAAGACTGTTGGCTCGTCAATCTATACTTTCATATACATATCGTTTACAATTCTGTACCGCGTAGACAATAGGTCATTTGCATGTTTTCTCTCTAACTTGCGACCTGGCATGGATTCCTAGCTCGGGCCTCACGGCCCTGATCTCTGTAAGTCTGCCCGAGGCCCTGACGGAGCCATCCACCCACCGGCAGAAGCCGATCTATACGTGAAGGATGTACTTCAAGCTTGAACCAGTTTATGACATCTACAACTTGTCTCATACTTGCATTTCGCTTCCTTTCCGCCTGCACAAACTAAACACAGCACCATATGCCAAGGGGAATACCCAACGCGAAAAAGGATGACTCGGGAATGCGTTACACATCCATGCATGTGCCCCTGGCGTACGTTGGTTCCATGACTGCATTTCGATTGTTGACGCTCGGATGTCAGGCCAAACCCCAAGCATATGGGCACTTCTTACTTGAAATCGGATACACAGACCATTTGGGCGCGTAATGCAGCCCGAAAGAAAGAACTGGCGGCAGAGGAAATTGCTCCCTCACCGGAACAGAGGTGGGCATTTGCATGATTAGGCTGGTCTTTCGTATCGTAACACTGAGCTGCTCAGAATAGGCGTGGCTCTCACGTTATCGTCATTCACCCTGGATCGCGATTTCTGCGGATCGGCAGGGCGTCAGATGTCAACCCCGCGTCCATTCCAAATGTCATTGCGCGTAGACACAAGCCACCGACACCGGTTCCGACCTACGTCGAGGGTATTTCGCGTCCGAGGAAAGGGCAATCGCCACAGCTATCCGTGTCTACGAGTCCCAACGGAGACGAATACGCAGGTCAATATCACTTCAGATGATCCTGTATATTCCTTTCCTCCTTCGTCGTGCATAGTGTCCTGAAGTGCTCAAACAGTTTGATGCCAAAATCGGGTCGATTATAGTTTCTCTTCGCGAGCGTATGAGGTTTTACAAACTTCGCGTCACACCCAATGCGGCAAGCATTGCGTCGACCTTTAACGAGCAATTCAAACCTGAAATTATCCCCGAGGTCAATGACCCGTTCCTTGTCGACTGGATTCAGGACCCCCTGGAAGATTCAGAAGTTCTAGTCGGCGAACGAGTGTGTATTATACTCTAACTCTAAGTGATGTTCTCTGAATCCTTCATATTAGGCACTCCGGTTGTCTGATCCTCAGCTCTTGAATTATTCAGTGAAGTGGCCGATCCATGGGAAAAATTTCAACACCAGGGATTATCCGTCACATCAAATGATACTGGATGATATTGAAACTATTATCAGCACTGTACTAAAAGAAAGGTTCAACCTAAGGCGGCCTGATTATAAGGTTTGCCATCTTTTACTCCTCCTACACATGGTGTCAAGTAATGCCACTAGGACTATTCTGTTGTTCTTGTTATCCCAGACTTCTATGATCGGGCATATGTCCGCGAATTTGTCAACATTCTTGTAGTTTCATTAGGCTTCAAACAAATCTGCGTGCAGCAGGTGAGTCATACGTATATCGATATCAATGAACTCTAACAAGAGGACAGGAGTCACTAGCGGCAACCTACGGCGCAGGAATCAGTAACGCGTGTGTTGTTGACATTGGTGCTGTCAACTCCAGTATAGCATGCGTGGATGAAGGTCTTATTATCTCTGAATCCAGGTAAGGTATACATCTGATGCAGAGTTTACTACTGATTATTCGATCAGAATCACACTCAATATGGGCGGAGACGATATTACTGAATTCTTATACGTTCTTTTGGAACGAATAAGTTTTCCCTACCGCGATATCAATCTCGCGCGGCGGTACGATTGGGCCGTCATGGAGGATTTGAAGGCACGACTATGCACACTAGCAGAGGTCAGTCATCACGAGTGATGCATTTGTCAATGCTTAGTGTCGTAGGGTGACGTTGCTCTCAATCTGTATGACTTTGTGGTGCGCAAACCCGGTAAACCCACGGAGAAATACGGCTTACGGGCGTATGACGAGATAATACTTGCGCCCATGGTGCGTTTCGCTGACAACAGTGCTTCATCAATCTAACTGCCAGCTGGCGCCTTTGATACTTACATAGTGCATATTCGAGCCCCGTGTGATAGAGTTCGACAGGAAGCACATTGGTCTGCGTTCCATACCCCATGCGGATGTCACCGAAGAAATTATAGAGCATCCGGCTGATCACGTCGTATGTATTCTCGTCTGTATCCATCACGGACAGGGTCCACTTACATCATGCTGTCAGACTCAGGCGATGATTATCTCGACGCAACATTTGCTTCCACCGCCTCCTACAGTTCCGACGGATGTTCGTCACTCTCCGATTCCTATTAGTCAGTCGCAGGATGGTACGTACAGCCGTCTTGTCGTAGCCGTATTCACAAACTGAAGCAGAGACTACTGCGGTTGTAGAGAATGGCGGAAAACAAGAACAACAAGAAATATCACTACCATCAACTGCGCATGCAACACCACCTCCGACTGTAGAATCTTCTGCACAATCCACTGCAGGAGCACCGGGGGGAGTGTCTGCCGATGCACCGATGGAAGTAATTGATGTAGAAGGCGATGGAAAACCGTCTCCGGTGCCTGTTCCTCTTCAGCCTCAACCTGCTCAGTCCTCCGTACCAGTAGCCTCAAATTACGGCGGCCTTGGTATTGACGTCTGTTTTGAAGCAAGTAAACTTCCTCTCGATGTTGCTATCTTCAACAGTGCTCGGGCGTCCGGGGGCGATGATAAAATTCGCAAGCACCTCCAGGCCGTTCTGGTCATTGGGGGAAGCGCTTTGATACCTGGAATGGCTCATGCATTGGAGAGCAGGTGAGTCATGGAAGCTGTTTATACATCCGGCAATTTGAAACATTGCAACAAGGCTACAGGCAATCGCCACTCCACTGGTCCCCAGCATGGACAAGGTGCAGATTATCCCCCCTCCAAAAGAAGTTGACCCTCGTGTGTTGGCCTGGAAAGGTGCTGCGGTCCTTGGGAAGATGGACTCTGCCGCTGATCTCTGGTTAACGCCTGTGGATTGGGTATGTGCTAACTCACCGCAGCTCTTTTTTTTTATTCACACTATTGTTCAGGATGTTCTAGGTATGCGCGGGTTGAGAGAGCGTTGTTTCTATCTGTAGTCTTATGAATGTAGAGTTGCCACGGCGTAGGCCCCACTTCTTGGGGGGGGGATCGAATGCAGATACAACAGTTATTGTACATTGCCAATTATCCGTTTACAAATGCAAACAGTCTTGTCTCGGTGAACCAGGAGTGGTACAACCAAGTACAACTTGGTAAAATCGGTGACAAGTGTCAATACGTTCATTCCGCTACTACTTGAGCACTTGAAACACGCTCCATTTCTGTGGGTTCCCAAAGCCGTATCGGTGTCTGTCTCATTAATATTGTAAATCTTATCCAGTCAAACGCCAGTCGTCTTCTGTGAGTGTTATACTTCAAGTCTGCTTTTGATTTTAACGAATTCGTCTCCGTGCATGTTTGTCCACGACGTGGCGAGAGCTGTCATCTCGTGGCGTCCAGCTCTAATTATGACGGTGCATTTCAGGGAAAACTCTTGAATTCCTGAGGAGTAAAAATACCTTTCTTTTCTATACCATTCTTGTCTCGCGTGACCATCTTCTCCCCAGTCAGTTGATGCATATAAATTTCCAGAGTCAGCCTCCTTCGCGAGAGTGCTGATCATGCCGCGAATAGCGTTATCAGCCGCTCTGTTTGGTGTGAAAGGAAACGAGAAATCCGAACGTGGAACGTTATCTGGAGTGGAACACAGTGTACTCCTGCACATTGGGCAGTCCACGGGTTCATGCCAGGTGCCGCACACACGATGCAATCGGGAGAAGAACCATTTGAGAATGCAAGTGGCGCAGAAGGCATGTCCGCACTGTCGTGGGTTCAAACTATATGGGCACGACCTATGCAATGAATATGAATCTAGTATCGTCCATTTAGCACTGTTTCAACGACTCACATAATCTCAAAACACCTGTACAAAGAACGCATATATTTAAGTTCGGCTCACAAAGTTTCAGATTTGATGACACTTACAAAGGGCACGTAAAATAATCTTCAAGCTGCCTTAGGGTGGTTCTTGCCAACCGTTCTTGGCATTCCTCAAGCAATGCAGCGGCTTCTCTCTCCCTCTGAGACGCAGTCGCAACCTGTTGTTCCAACCTTCGGGATTTCAACCGGAACTCTTTCTCCTTTAGGGTTAATTCGCTCTCCCGGGCGGAAATATTATCAGATGTACGCGAAGTGCTGTGGGGTTCGGAAGGTGATGGATGACCAAGAGAATTATTCCCCACATCCTGCGAACCAGTGCAATCTGCGCGCGGTCTCTCGCGCTTGGACTGCCGTACTACCTGCTCCGCATCCTCGCTTACTCTTCCGACCCGTCTGTTCCTCTTGCGTGTGATGAACTGCGGCGCAGTCGCATGCTTGGGAACTATGATCAGTTGTCATCAAGTAGTACGTTAATGACAAGTTAGCGGGTGCTTTATGCATGATATCAAAGCTTGTTGGGAGTTTACCTTGCACCCCGCTAAGCCTTGTGGAGCGCCTGACGGTGAGTGCCGTCATACTCCTTGTGATGGGCCTATCCGCCGGTCCTTGAGATGCTCTGCTCATCGTCACGGCGCGAGTGCTAGACTCCGCAAGACTGTGCAAGAAGCGTTGCCCGCTGACAGTGTTGGCGTGGATGAGTAATCTGATTTAGGAAGGTACTGTGGTTTGATGATCCTAATTTGCCACATTTTCTATCGTAATACTTATGTAAAGTAATAACCACCCATGTACTTCTGTACATCTCATGATGATGGCCTTGTTCGCATTCATAAGTCGGTATATTCCAGTGTTTGATAGCGCCCGTCTTCCAAGAAGCAATATCGTATTGAACTGCTACTTTAGTTTAACCATTGACTTCGTTTTCTTTGTGGCGCCATTTGATCATACGGTCGGCTACTCAAACCATCCTCCACAATAAGAATGGCCACACGCTCAGCATGAGGCATGCCGCCATTCACGTACATTTCGTGATCGACTCTGAGCTTCGGACTCGGGAAGTGTCCATCCATTCAATCCGGTAGATATTGAACCCTACCTGTGACAGTTCAAACACTCCATGCTTTGTGGCTGCGCCATCCGTTACTTTCGCTGTTACCAATTGTGTCAAGAATCAACACTGGGTTCCGATTGAGGAACTTTTGCCATTCAGACAGCTCGAGGCGCTCGAGGGTTCCGCAAAGTGATTACATATATACTTCAAGTTCCCATGCCGCAGCATGTAAGTTGGACTTGTTATATGTAACGATTTATTCCTCTGTCTCGTCATTTGGCTATGGAGTCGCGGACTCGTCAGCTGCTGCAGGCAAGATAGTCAGCTGGCCATGTACTCCCGTCGATGACGCAGCCCATTTGATTTACAGGGTCATGACTCAAGAAGCAAACCCGACAAGGGCGGCCGACCGGTTCATTACCCATGCCGAGGCTTCTCCCGACACGGAACCGTTTGTACCACTTAAGTAAGTATGCCGAAAACCAACCTTGATTCTCAATACTCTAGCCTCTAGACCTGGGTGCGCAAACTAAGGCGCCTTTTCCCTTTGTCTTTGGTCAGTCGCTTCTCACACTCTTTTTGAATGTTCCGTAGGCACAGTGGGGCTCGGCACGATCCCTAAAGCTAATACTTGCCTCAGTTATCACCCTGCTCTGGCTCCGATTGCGAATGATCCCCCTGACTTTCAGTCTGGAACGTCGTTGACATATCCACACTCCGCCACGGGTTACTTTCTCGGTACTTTTCAGATCATTCTCTGCATGTGACCAGTCAGATATGTCCTAGATTCCTAGTCACCGGTCGGGCTCAGGTTGGGCTGAAAACTCTCATGAAACACGCAAAGATAAATGACCGACTAGACTAACCAGCTAGGACCGAGGGCGATAATTGTGCTCAGGTACACTCAGACGCGCTTATCAGTTGTTTATCACCTTCTTAACGGCCTTAAGCAGAACACATCCTGCACAGGCTTGGGGTTTAATCAGCTTATCAATATCGATGGATCCGAGACTTGCGCGCGAGCGGAGGCTGCTGACTAGCCGATGGCTTGTGGCTTTGGTCGTGCCTTGCCAACAAATGAACCAGCGGCGGTAAGTCTGCCTTGAATTTGAAACTTGCACACACAAAGTGTCGTCACATTTTCGGCGACGTGAATATTGAGCTGGCAATGATTTACTGCATTTAGAAGCAAAGTCTGATGCTGCCTGGGCTCGCCTGGAGACCTGGGATTAGAGTGCAGTTATAAAATGGGGGTTGGCACTGGTGTTCAACATGCAGAGACGCTCGATGTCTATATGTATCCGATGCAGATTGCCGGATGTAATCATGCTCTACTCTTTGGATATCTAATCACCGAGCGATGTGGCGCGTTAACTGTCAGTTGTCAGTCTCTCGATCGTTTCAAGAGATTCCGTGGGATGCAATGTTTTCATGATGCGTGGATATATGTATGGTGAGACTTGTTGCTGTATTATACGCTCAGCTTGTTATCATGGTGACTCTGAATATGTAGATTTATTGCAAGGTCTAAGACGGTTGAAATTTCAAGCTGTTCGACAGGTTGACATGCGCTCCGCAGAAACAACACCAGTTGATAGTGGATTTTGGTCGCATGTTGGGCACAGCGCCGTGTTTCTAGTTGTGCCCGGAGGACTTAAGCTGTAAGGAACGCTCTATCCAAAAACTGATATTGGTTGGCGGTGGCTGCCTGCCAACCGGGGTATTGACATTGTTAACAACGTGCGATGGGTGCCACATGAATACTGTCGGGGCTGCGTCTCATCATTCGTAAGTTTGGAGGGATGAGTCTGATAGTATGTACGCATCATTTGTTACTGGCGGTGATTTCCTGTGGGCATTCCGGCAGTCACGCTTTTTGGGGAATTTGTGTGAGTACTCGTGACGACACCTTGCCGGGCCGCCCATCACGTACAATGATTTGGCCATCACCGGAAGGAGAAAGAGACCGATAACGGTAATATTGCGTTTCGGGTGGGGGAGTGAAAGAAGATCAAAGTTTGGATGGCTGATCGCGGGGCCGAAGGGATCGTAGTGGGCGGGACGGTCCATTCCTGAAGGCTGTGAATGGGATGAGGATTGTGAGAACTTCCGTTATGGACGCTGGTGAAAGTGCTGAATGGTGTTTTGCGGCGAGCGGTTTTCAAGTGGATGACCGTTGTCATGTGTAGCGGCGTAATCGGGGCGCGGGAGGAGGCTTCGGAGAGGTAAGACAAATGAATGTATTATATTTTTTTTTGAAAAGTGAGTTTGTGGATTCTTACTAAATTTATAGATAACGTTCCAAGAAAATGGATTCTTTAAAATTTGAAATTAGAAGCATAACGCTGAGAAGTTTATGTGAATTTGTTCGGGTGTTAAAATAAGTCACGGGATAGATCTATAGATTTACTAATTATTAGATCGGACAACGATCAGGCGCGGTTGAGAGTCAAGAACACAGCTACTCCCCCCCCTTTGCATAGAGACGGTTGTGGATAGTACGCCCATTATTATTTCATACCGGTGCTTACTTTGATTGTAGATTGCTCAGCTATTTCATGTCTGTCAAACGGCGCGCTCCAAGCGCTTTGTCACGTTGTATGTTTTTGCTTTCATTGCTTGGCCTCCCGTAACGTATATTAACTCTTCCACCTAATCGGTCAAATCTCGTTGTGTCAATAATCCTCGAATCCCTTACAACTTGTCCATTCCGCAAGACAGCTTCTTTTTCTAAGTCGGTTCACATATCCTCCGCTAGATTCCGTCTTCTTCAGGTTCGCATCCCATGCAGGCACCACTTCTCCTCCAACCACCACCACTTCTTGCACTTAAACTTGCTACTCAGCAAGTTAACTTAACGCGTCCTCGCGTTTCTCAACACTTCCTATTTGACGACCTTTCAAGTCTTATAAACCCTCAACCTATGACCGTCGATAATGATCATAATTACTCCCAATCGGGAACAAACTACACCTATACTCCTCGACCGCAGTTCGATGATCCTGGGGCTCATTCAGACCTTCATAACTTGTATGACGCACCTTCATCTTCTTCTCAAGCGCCGCCTCACTCGTATACTTCAATTTCAAATATTTCCCCCACATCCAATTTCACCCTCGTCTCCAATACTCGCAGTCCCGAAGGTGCTTCACCAGACAACGCCAATCGCTATGTCTCTAGTTCTCCTTCTTCTGTAGACGATCATCCCACTACTTCTTTCCCTCAACCTTATAGTGCTCCCCATCACCAGAATCATTTTCCTTCATCGGCATCTTCCTATACTCCAGATATGGGGCGTTACCCAATTACGTCGAACCTTAGTTCCCGTGGAACCGATAAATACGCCCATGCCCTACTGGACCAACGCCGCATGTCCGAGCCAGCCATGTATGGCAGCGCAATAAGCGGTTATTCCACGAGTTCTTCAGCCGATCTAGCCTCAGGGCGATATCAACAGCTGCAGCACCAGTACACCTCGTCACAATCATCTCCCCGATTGTACGGGAGTTACACCTCTCTACAGCGCACACTGAGTACAGGCTCAGGATCTCCGTGGAAGGACGAAGATCACCTTCATAGTTACGACGGCGGTGACCTAGAAGAGCCCATCTCACCTCTTAATCCTAATTTTTCTGGCGGTGAGGGCTCCCCCTTTCTTGGCATGCCATACGGGTCCCTTTCCGAGGACTATGGCCCATCACCGCCCGGTACGGGCACTTCTACATCGTCCAACGCCCCAGGCTCCAGGCGGTTCGTTGACGCTTCAGGCTCGAGTTCCTGACAGTAAACAATACTCATTCGTGGCCCTGCCTGGAAACGCCGTCAAGAAGCGTCCAAGGCGGCGTTACGACGAGATTGAACGGCTGTATCAATGTTCATGGCCTTCGTGCACCAAGGCATATGGCACTCTGAATCACTTGAATGCCCACGTCACGATGCAGAAACACGGTGTCAAGCGTAGTCCAAACGGTGAGTCTTCAGTGCTTCAGTTCTACTTCAGCTGGGTCCATTCGGCACCTGGGAAGGTCAATGTCGACCTTTCACATTATTTTTAACCGTTGAAAGTATCAATACTGACTGTGTGTCTACAGAGTTCAAGGAGCTTCGTAAACAATGGCGGAAATCCAAAAAGGAGGAAGCTGATGCTCGTTCTGCTACGTCATCGATGATGGCGAGGTCGGGTCATCACCCTTATCTCCAGCGCGGCGTGCATGACTCGTACCCCGACGTAGACTACCGGGTGCGCTCGCATCCGCAGCAAAGTTCCCATGTTGACCGGTTCACTCCTCCAACCGGCTCCCCGGAGGACATGCACGAGATTGACATGCAAGAGGTTTACGAACGCCGGCAGCAGCGTTTTAGTGGTCTCATCCATTCCGCTACTCGCACTAGCAGCCCCGCATACGCCACGACCCACCAACCAAACATGACCTCATCGCACCCGGTCATGAACCGCCTTCCAACCAATAACACGCTCTTGACTCCTCTCACAGGTTATGAGCATACGGGAGGTGCTACGAATCTTGATGTCTATGCCTCATACTGGTGTATACAGCGAGAACCGTCCTGGTTCTGGGCATGTAAGCACTGGGAGCTACGACGAAAAGCGACGGAGTGGCTTGTACGATGACAAGTAGTCCTGAATATTCGCTTTCTCCTCGCGTCTGCGAGCTATTCACTCATTCCTTTCCAACCTCCCTTTCGTTGGAGTTTTATCACGATGCCATCGGCTGTCCCATGGTGCTCATGCCTTTCATGTCACGCATCACGGCCTTTATCCTCTGCTGAAGTTATATTGTTCATGGTATTGACTATTACCCTACGCAGTACATATACATTAGTTTCGCCTCTCATTTTCGTATGCTTTCGTATTTTATTCATTCATGTTTACCAATATCTCCTCACATTACAGGAGACCTTCGCCCAATAATTGTGGAGCTGTACTTTACGGAGCATACCTCGTTATTTCAGTAATAGTCACTTCAGTACATGAGTAGGAACGAAATAAATAGATTGTCAAAGTCTGGGCAACTTTCCGCGTGTCTTCCTGGAAGAGAAGTCATACTACGACCTTCTGATCATAGGGTACTTGTCTTGGAAGATATAAATTATGGGACATTGCCGCCGGACTTCGTGACACATTTTTCATACATTCCGACCTCAAAAGAGTTGCAACTTGTGAGGTCATGCTGCTTCGAATGTGCCCACCGGGTCTGGTCTATGGATGGCACGTTGTCTTAGTCATTTCAATTGGACAGTGATGACTCGTGGGAACATGATGTAACAACCGCACCCATCGCGATCAATATCAAAGATTGAGTTTCTGCACGCTGCAAAGATTCATCCGAGTTCACTTGTTTTTATGCAATGCAGGTTTGATGCAAATGATATAATATCGCTTGTCTTACTGTGCGGTGCATGGTGCCATGAGGTCGATATGTACATGTGCGCCACGCAGCTACACTGTCTCCGAATGGCCTGGCGATGGGCCACACTCATACCGCGCATGTCAGTTGCTTGCGACGACGATGACGACGACGACGCCGCCGCACTGTCTGAGTGGCCGTGCTAAGTTGCGCCCAAAGTTACACTGGACTTTCTCATGCGGTCTTCCTGCTCCACAGACAGGCGCTTCAGTTGGAGGCTGATACTGCGAGAAATCGTAAACACATCTTTATCTTCTGCCTATCGATTTGTCTATGGTGAACCTCCAGTCTCCTCGGAATCCAAGGTGAGCCATTTAAAATTCAAGTACAGGTCAAACATGGTTTGCCCGTATTGCTGTGCTTTTCTAGGAAGACCGGACCTTCCGGTAATTATCAGAACTGTTCTTCAGAACGAACTGGACTCTCATAGGAGTACGTCACACCAACCAAACTTGCGCAACTATCGATATACATTGGGCTGACATGCAACTTGATCAGGTTATTAATGTACTGCTTACACTTATTCACGGCCAATCCCATAGTACTACTACTGCACGCATTTCACCATCGTGATCAAAGAATTCTGCCGTCGATGATCGGATAGAACCCCTCGAGCTGTCTTCCAGCTGTCATTGAAGTGAAACTCGATCTTCGATTAAAAGACGTCATGACATGATAAAGCTCTGTTGTATACAACGCAAGCAGCCGACTCATCAATTCGAGGCGTTCGGTTTCTGTCATGTTGTAATGGATGATTGGCACATGTCCAGCTGCATAGGGATTGCACCCACATGGTCCTCGCAAGAGCGATGATAGCGCATCACGTCGATGTGATGGCGGCTGCATAACCCCTGCATTGCCGGTTGCTTGAACACCGAGATGCCGTTTGTCCCTGTACATCGTCACCGACATTGCGTCAGCGCAATCAATTGAGTCTGCGGGCCTATTTACGTATATTTTTTATTTGTGCCGCGGGTACTGGCGGGTACCGCATTAGTATGTTTTACGAAGAAGTGTTCATATTATTACTTGCTTATATACTGACCAGCTTAATAGGTTGTTGACTTTTTGTGTCTCGGTGTCAATGGAATATCTGATAGCTGTCGAGTCTTCAGCTAATGATCTAATACTCACGTATACCGTTGTCGATATCGCGGTTTACTTATATGCAGCAAACTTTAGAAATGAGATTCGGATTCAATTAACAGTGTGTACATAACGGTTTACAATTGTTCTCAATGACAGATAAAGGAATATCAATGGGCAAACGTCATGACTTCGAGAAGCTTCGTCATGACAGAGAAGATTTGATCGGATGTATGAATGATGGGCCTGCCGACCCTCTTTTGCAGTCCAGATCTCGTATGTAGAAGGCCTTCTTGCGTGTGGGGGTAACTTTGTAGTAGTTGGTGGCCGTCACGTGTTTTTGGAAGCTGTTTATCTCCTTTTGGGCTCTACTCGATGAGAAGCAGAATGATGTGTGTTTCACTCCGTAATTCTGAGCAAGTGACCGATTGTGTAAATCGGCATACTTATTTTTATGTCTGATCATGGAGGACTGCTTGACTCTACCACTTCGGTCGGTCTGAAGTCCGTTTAAACCGTGAGTTACTTAGGACGGGATCGTATCGTGAAATTGAGTTCACAGGATAGTAGCTGCTCGGTACAGAGTCCAGATAGGTATGCCGAGTGCACACGGTCGTTGGTGAATGATGAGACACGTTTGTCGCACCGATTGGGACAAAAATGGATGAGTCAGTCGGAAAGCCCTTTGTTATAGATGAAAACCTGAACATGTCGAGCAATAATACTTAAATTGTGCGCCACAAAATCAGGCTGTAATCAGCATGATGTCGAATGAACAAGATAGCTCACTAGGGATCCTTCCAAATGGCCAGGCTTTCTTTTTAGAGCTGAAAGAAGCTTCTGAGAGTCGAAGTGAACATCATGAACCTAACAGTAACTCGGGGCAGGGCATTACGGAGCCTGTGACTCACCAGGGCGGAGCCGCAGCGAATGAAGTTAGATGTGCAACTACCAAAGTAAAACTGAGCACGCCACTATCAATACTTGTAGGCGTTTGCCGGCACGAGACAAGTGCTGCGGAGATCGCAATAGACGACCTTCGTTGGGACCTCGTTGCAATGTGTTACAACATGCCCTGGATAGTCAGGAGTCGGACTCGGGACATCCTTGAAATAGCGTTTTCTGATCGTTCCTGGCTATACTCGGGAAGTTTGTCAATAGGTCTAACAATCTGCAAAAAGATGGATGATATCTCTAATTAAGAGAATGAATCACGTTATAAGTTAATGGCTTTAAATGACGAAGTGCGAGTATATCCCCCCACTGCCACCAAGGAAGAAGGCTAGCAGCGGGGAGGAGCCGACGCGAGACATAATGATTGAAAGTTAATGACCGATACTTACTACGTACAGGAACTCGGACTCACGCAAATTGGGAGTATGAATGATGTATGAGTTGATGATGGGAACGGAAAGCCACGTACTGCGGTGGGGTGCATCCAAGTCCTGTGCACTAATTAGTAGTATAGGTCGATTTTGCGGCGTGTCGAGTTTGACCAAGGCATCATTTGAAGAAGACCAAAAGCAGCAACTGAGAAAGTCACTCCCCTAATCCGTAAAGCAACCCCTCGTAGCGGTCGACCCCCAGGAAGTGACTGTGGCACAATATGTGACATCATGAATCATTCCAAGTGGGCAACCGCAGTTCGCTCAGCTGCGCTCTGAGCTCTCTGATTTACCCGTTGAAGTTCCGTACCGCAACGATTCATTCAGTAATGCCTGTGCTTTCTGACTTACCCGTTGAAGTGCTTCTGGATAATTTATTGCCATGGCTTGCTATTCCAGATCTCCTCCATCTAGGGGAGACGGATCGCTTCTTTGCGCGATTGTGCAACGACGAGACATTCTGGAAGAGGAAGTTACAAGAGGATTTCAATTTTACAGACGAGAGGACCGCCCGGATCAGTGGATGGAAGCGTCTCTACAGAGGTTTGCGGAACCCAAAGACTTATGTGTGGGGGTAAGCACCATCTTTCATCACTCTTCCGCACAGTCAAATCATTTCATGTAGCGAGGCTTCGAAGGGAAGATTGGGATTGAAGAAGATACCAAAGTCAATTATTAATGATGTCCCATTCCCAGTCGAGTTGAAGATCGAATCAGGCGCGCGTATAGTTAATCTCTCAGCTGCTGGAACGTATGTCATCATGATCTTTTTCGTGGTTCTTACAGAACTGCTCATGTGATTTCAAAAGGGCATTCTTTGCACTGGACTCTGATGGTAGCGTATACGTGTGGGGTGAATCCACAAATTATCGTGCGACACCAAGATCAGGAACTAACGTCGCGTCTAGGAACTTTGAGTGGCACCTCGTTTGCTCTAAACAACGATGGGTACTCTGAGCCGGCAAAGCCAGCTCATACACCATTAAAGCTAGACATGCCCTCTCCTACGCGGAGCATTAGGTTGGAGCGTTCTTGTAGATCGAGTAAAAGACTTGCTCACCTTTGTTAGTTGTGGACGGTTTCATGCTACTACGCTGGACGATCAGCATCACGTTTGGACTTTTTTAAGCTGGGGCCGTCCGTTCAGGCTCGCAACGCCGGCGCTCGACGCGACTTCGTCTGATTCTACTCCTGCGCAGGTTGAATCCGGCTGGCACTTTTCGTCAGTCCTCACCAAATCTGGTGATGTATATATTTGGTGGCCGTTTGCTGCACCCCTAAAGGACGTCATCACTGCACGAGATGCGGCTATGGATGCTGCTAACCAGAAAGCTCACGCCACAGAGGATGGTGTCATCCCTTGTTCGACATGGGAGCTTCACGAAGAACCCACCATGTTACCACCATTGCCTCAACTGCCGCAGCTGTTAGTATCATCAACGGAACCCGTGAAACTTGTTAAACTCGCAGCTTTGGAGAGTCGGCTCATTGGTTTGACGAATCATGGTCACGTTCTCTCAATTTCTGTTGAAAGTGATCTCGCTGTTCGGTCCGGTAGATGGGAATACGTAAGTTAACTTTATTCGTGCAACAGTCTTTTTCTTACGCATTATTAGCTTCCTAACTTCTCTGAAGTTGAGAAGGTTCAACAGCACCCCGCTTATGTTTCTTCTCAGTTGAAGCCGCCACGGAGCTTGCGGATATCTCATGTAATGATTTTGTCAGAAGTCGGATGTTTCTTCATAGCTGAAACGTCTCCCAGATCTCAGCACAGTTTCAAACATTTGTTGCTTATTCTCCTGGATCCAGCTCTGTAGTTCTTTTGGGTTCTCACGAAACACATGCCGATTCGAGGCCTTCAATTCTCCCCGCACTTCAAAACAACGACGTTATCTCCGTCGTTCTTGGAGATTACCATTATGGTGCTCTTACGTCGACAGGAAAACTTTTGACGTGGGGTGCTTATTCTCGAGGTGCACTCGGCCTCGGCGATCCTGCGACGCTTCTGCCTGGACAACCGGGGGGCTACAGAACTGAGGAACACAAAAGAGCTGCTGTCGCCAATGGCGGTCCGTTTCCACCGGCTGTCTCCGAGCCCGCGGAAGTGAGATTTGGTCACGGCGAAGGACAGGGGGAGAAGTTGTTTTGTTTTGCTGTGACAGCTGCTGGGTGGCACATGGGTGCTCTCGTCATTGATCTACAGGTGAGATTTTAGCTGATTCGAGTTCTGCAATTTCTTCTGCTGACCAAAGTCTGGATAAAAATAGCCACACAGAAATGTCCAGAAAGATAACGACGAAGACGAAGGCCCTCCCATGCCCGGACGGTTTTCTCAGCGTCGCGAAACTCGTGTGTCCCCACGTGACTATCCTCAAGAGCCAGGTCAATGGGGTCCACCTATAATGTCTGGATTTCGAATCGGGTTTGCAGGAAGAGGCGCCTTCAGAGGTGGACATCTGGGTCGCGGTCGTGGCGTTTGAGAGTAACGGTTTATAAGAATAGACGTGGGTGTACGACCGTATCATGTCACGTTCCAATCTGCTTCTTGATCGCGACATCGCGACCGTGGTTTACATGTCGAGTAAAACAAGGTAAGATGCTTGTTTTTCCCTTTGTCTGTCACCCATTTTTATTTCTTCGGGGGCCTGAATGAAATATCCTCGTGGTGAGGTGATAACATTGTGAGAAGTTTCTATGTACCCACCATATTTTTGTTATTTCCATTCCCGTAGCGGAGTCCCGAACAGGTATTAATGATCCTTCAGATAGCAGACCCAGACATAGTACTCGATCAGCATGTCATCTCCGATTATCTTCTACGACATCCCCTCTACCCTGTCAGGGAATGCGTGGTCCCCAAACACTTGGAAGACCCGGTACGTGCTCTGTGTAGTGATATATGCAGTTGCTTACCTTGCACTTGCATAGATATGCCTTAAACATCAAGGGTGTTCCGTACAAGACCGAATGGGTCGAGTACCCTGACATTGAAGCTCTTGCCAAGAAAATCGGGGCGCCACCGACAGGCACCAAGGGTGATGGCAGCCCATCATTCACGCTCCCCATCATCAATGACCCCAACACCGGGAAGGTTGTTTCCGACTCCTTCCTTATCGCCGAATACCTTGACGCAACTTACCCGGGTGGAAACACGTTGTTCCCCCCTGGCACGAAGCCTTTGATCGCGGCATTCGAGGCCGGTCTTATAGGAGGCATCGGAAGCATTTTGCCCCTTCAGCTCGCCATCAGCTGCTACATCTTGAATCCTTCCAGTGAGAAGTACTTCAGAGTAACGAGAGAGGCGTCGTTTGGCAAGAAGATTGAGGAGTTCTCTCCTGCCGGTGCTCAGCGTGACGCTGACTGGGCTAAGGGCAAGGAGGGTCTTGCTGCTGTAGACGGTTGGCTTTCAAACAATGGGGGAGGGAAGTTCGTCATGGGAAACACCATCTCTTACGCAGACGGTATCCTCGGGGGCTGGCTCACATGGATCAAGCTTACCAATGGTGAATGGAAGGATTTCGCCAGCTGGCACGGAGGAAGGTGGGGCACCTACGTAACCAACTTGCAGCCCTTCGCGGCAGTCCTATAGTTACTCTCCACCCAACGCGTAACTTAAAGTCAATATCATGTACGCGGAAGTACCAGGTGTTGGCACGAATCTTGAATATTGTTCTGCTGATCGACTTGGGGATCTTGAAGAAGATTTTGAATTCCAGAGCTGCCTCGAGGTCATCGTTTCAAAGCTTAGCCAATCGTATGATAAGTAAACCAGTAAGCATTACCGCTGAGTCGGTAAGACGCCACTGATGATCTCGACTAATAATTAGAGTCACCTCAGTGACTCAGGAACCAGCTTAAACTATGTTAGCAAAAAGGCAAAACTTTGGGCCTGGCCGGGAATTGAACCCGGGACCTCCTCGAAACCAAATACAGTTTGGTGGTTCACCCTAACAAGGAATCATACTACTAGACCACCAGGCCTTGAAGATCGCGACTCCGCCTAACACTAAGGAGAGGGTGTTTGGTTCGACATACTGTGAAGAGGAACATAGGAACGTAAGAGTAACGACAGGAATATGTAATTCATTTAAACTTGAAAATGTTCCGGAGAGGCGTAGTAAGACGGCTCTTGGGTGCGGCACCCTCCACTCCAATCCTGAGATCGTTCTCGTTCATCGTCGACCATCGCTTGCGAGCACGAGCGAGCGCAGTTCGCCCGTTTTCCTTGTCTGCACTGGCAACACGGTTGTGACGGCCAGGAGTAGAGGTTGCCGGCGCAGTGAGCTCGGGTGTAGGCGGTACCTCTTGGCAAACGTTCAAATTGGTATTGAGGAATTTCAAAGTGGGCGCCGCCTCAGACACACGATGAGAGCTGAGTATAGTACCCTTGGGAACGAGCTTGGATTTCATCATATGCGCCTTCTTCTTAATCACAGGCCCCTGATCGGCCTTAGGCTGCGGCGCGGGCGATCCTGTCTCGGGTACAGCATCTGCAGGCTTATTTGCGTCTGTCACCGACGGAGCGCCATCGACAGGGGCGATGAAGCTGTTCCTTAGAGGAGAAGGGCGCTTTGCTGCTGTTGAAGACTCCGGTGCTGGCGTGACGAGTAGGCTTATATCTTGACTGCATCTAATATCCTCAAAGCGAACGCTCTTGACCTTCTTTAAAATTCCTCTCACCCGCGGAGGGGTGGAAGGATTCGTCAAAACAGGACGAGGAGGGAGAGGGACAGATGGTGGACCGGTCAGGGGCGCTGGAGAGATCTTGACGGCAGGGACTGCTGGCTGCGGGCGAGGAGGAGAAGGAGAGCGAGTTGGGCGGGTGCGGATGGAACAACGTTCTGGGGTGAAGTTCAGAGCATCCCTCGGCCTGTCTGGTGCGTTCTTGGGCGCAAATGAAGGTGTCGGAGTACAAGACACATCATCGACGGGACTTTGAAGATCGAGATCGAGGTCATTTTCAAAGGCCCACTCGTCGTCACGGGAGGATGATGGCATCGACGATACCGAATCCGAGACCGAGTCAACAAATGCATCTTGACATTCCTTGTTCTCGCATGTCACAGGCGAGGAAGTCCCATTCGCAAGTGCAGCATATTGCAATCTGAGGCTTGATAGCATACTACCGTGATCGGTGAAAAGTTTTCCGTTGGGAGTGGAAACGCCGGGATCAAAGTTCGGCGACCAGACGGTTGGGGAACCACGGAATGCCGTAGGTATATCAGGATACTCCAAATCGTCCACTTCCTTGAGCTGCAAACCAGATACCTTTTTTCCTCTTCGAATAGCCAGGGAATCGATAGAACCGATTTGTGGCAATGCGCGAGATGACTTGCGGCATGTGGACACCAGTTGCTTTATTGTCTTATCAGAATAGGATTCAAGAACGGGACTGTCCGAGGAACCCTGAGCCCGTGTCTCCATTTGTCCGCGGATGGGCGTACTGGGTTGTGGTCCAGATGAAGCTGTATCTCGTTTGATACCAGTCATCGGAACGTGAACGGACCACTGATTGAACCCTGCCTGACGCCCAGGACTTTCCTTCGAGATGACAGCAGTCTCTCTATGGTTTCGGATGCCTGGAGAGGGGGGCGTAGAATGAAGGACTGTTCTGTTGGAAGGCCTATTCGAGACACGTTCATCTATCCGTGCTTGCCGTATCTTCCCGTTTTGTGACTTGATTGTTTCAGCCGGGAAGATGGAGCCTTCAGAAATCCAATCGTGCCGTGCAACAGGATTATCGCTGGTCCAAGGGATGTGCCTGGGAGGACGCTGGGGAGTTAGCCTCTCCTGCATTCGCTTTCGTCAGCTAAAGCGATGGGGCAAATAACTTTCGGCTCACAACCCAGGTATTCATGAAGAGCTGTTCCTTCATAACCAAGTTCATGCGCGGGATCGTTGGCGCAGAGAGAACGATATGAGAGGTATGTTCATCGGCATGTATGTCCCCAAGAGCGATGACGCCTGAACGGACAGCAAATGGCACTTGAGCGCGGTGACCCTGGATGATAAAGATAGGCGGCTGATGATCCTTGGGGAACGGCGGCACGTCCTCCAAGTCACTTTCGTCATCTGATGAAGTACCCGAAAACGAGAGCGGTGAAACGAGCGACTTGAGATCGTCGAATGGACCTGCCTGAGCGAGGATGGTGGCGATCTCGAGTGACGGCGGGGACGGCAAGGGAGATGAACGAGCCGAGCGACGAGGAATGCGGGAGGGCGACCCGAAAGACATCAAAAAAGCAAAGCGGAAAAAATAAACGAAAAGAATACTGGAGACGTACCAACCTCGGAGGCTCTCAGAGGAGAGTCGAGACCATGTTCGGAACGAATGGCTGACTGCGGCGTTTGGCCCTCCGGTTGGAGGCTGACCAGAGTCATGCACTAGCGCAGACTGATCAAGACTGACTTGTTGTCTTCATCCAAGACAGTACTGCAGCTCTTGAAAAAGAAGGAGCGACTCTGATCTTCCTTGTTTTCTTAAGGTCTGTCTCTCAGATCTCAGAGTCTGACTACAGGAGACTACATAGCCTTGCAGGACAAAAACATGGTCGCGTCGGATGCAATCGTGTACGCTATGCTATGTTCACGAATTTGAAATTGCCAATATAATACATACGAAACTGTGACGAGATTCACGAGAATCAACAGGAACCAACGCGCAGAACAAGGGAAATGAAAAATCGAAGAAAAATCAATGCTATGCAATGGCGCTACCACAACTCGCTAAATCTTCAGCCATCCAAATTTCTTGTCCCTCCCGAACGTGTTTGACCGGGGTGCTGTATTGGAGCGCGACCTCTTGAAGAAAGCTTTGAACGACGTCATGCCTGTAGGCGGAGAGACCAGGGGCGGCGGCGACACGTTTGGAACAGAACGCCGGCCGAATGCTCGGATGACAGGGGTACTTGCAGTGAGACTGGTGACAGGAGACGGACCAGGTGTGATGAACTGGCGAGGGGAGCTCCTGTACCCCTCTGCGGGATATGCCACCGGTGAGGTGGAACTGCCAACGAGGAATGATGGAGTGCCCTACATTTGTCAATCAGGAAAATGTGAAATGAAAGGAAGATAGGTACTCGAGGATCGTATATATAACGAGCTGATCGCCGCCGCGCAACGGGTGTGCTGGCTGGTGGGATAGCCGAACGGCTGGTTGGAAATTGGCACTTCCACTGAGATCAATCTGGATCAATCCTGGAAACACAGCCAACCAGGGCGTATTGATTTACCTCAGACATATCATCCGTAGATTCGGTCAACTTCCGCCGTTTACCTTTGTCCGACGACACGGATTGTGAAAGAAAATGGTCACCTAGTTCATTTCCGAGCCTTTGGAGAGCATGCGGACAAGATACAGGCACGGTTGAGCCAACGGTGAGGACATCAAGTGCCCCTGAAGCTTCTTCGGGGTGTGGAAAACCCTGGACCCAGCTGGCGAGTTCATCGAGTTCCTGAAGGAGCGCGAGCATATCGGGAGGAAAGCCGATTTGTGTTGTGGAGGACGAGCCAGGACTATCCAGCGGGCTTTCGATGCGGTAACCAGTCAGGTCGGTTGCGACAGCATGCATGAAGCGGTCATTCTGGGCTGGGACGAGTCTGAACATCCTAGCAGAACGCTTGGAAACAAGGTCAGATATCGGAGAGCTTGGCGCAGTAGGTGGGCTGAGCGACGGTGTGGGGGAGCGCGGAGGGACGGTGAAGACCAGGGCGTTCCGATCGACGATGCGGCGGTTCAGCGGAACACTCTGCGGTTTGAGCGTTTGGGGGTACTGATAGATAGCAGCATGTTTGGATCCTGGACGAAGAGAAAGAGGAGAGGATGTGTTATCGATATCGTAATCTCCATGATCAGGATACGAGATGATCATCGATGAGCTACGCTTGATATTGAAAATATTTTCTTCCTCAGGGGACGTATCGTGTTTAGAAACGCGAAAGGTAAGGATATCGACAGGTGCGGACCCTAGCATGTTGAACGAGGGTGTAGTACGCGGAACTAACTTGGAACAGGGGGTAATAGGGAGGGCAATGGGGCTGAGTAGACACGTGCCATCTCCGTGGTGGTGCCTACGAGGCTCGGGGGAGGAGGGGCTTTCTATGACAAGGAAAGGGGAAGCACCAGAGGAAGCACCTTGTTCAATAGTATAACGACCGCTCTCGATTGCCTGTAGGGTCAGAGTATTCCGCAAGTCTCGAAGGATGGGTCGAGGTTTTCTTGTCAATGATCTCCCACCTGATGAAGTTGAGGTACCCGAGCGTTCGGCGGCAAAAGATTTCGGGAGGGTACGGTATGACATGGTGAACAACTAGTGAAGGTAGACCAGTGATCTGGAAGTTAGCACGGCAGGTTTGTTCGATATGTAGTCAGCCGCTCGGTCTATACTTATGACACTCCGAGGCTGACTCGGGCACCGTCACGAATCGTTCTGCAATTGCAAGTAAGTAAGTACATGGGATATCAATTATGATATCGGTCTCCTTGTCAGCAGGCTGGTCTGCTTCTTCGTTGCAGCCGTACGTACGTTGCAAAGTGTTCGAATGACGTCCTTGTACGAGGCTTCCATATTGTTTTGAGTGATCTTCGACCTCGATGGGTTCCGAGAACCATTGTGCAGATCACTGTTCATTATCATGATGATCGTTGAGTACCTGTAAAGTTGTTTAAAATTTGATTGTTGAAGCGGGATCTCACGGTCGTCTGATTGCGCCTACTCAAACTTTGTCACCTTCCGAGAGCTAGGCGGTGCTGATCTAAGTCTTGTGCTTGCACCGCGCTGTAGATACCCGCCTGCTACCTGCAGGGTCCTGTCTGCACTGTGGAGACTGTGATTCAAGGCTATTCGACATCGCCGTTCAACGTTCATTATTTTTCATCGCGTTCCCTCCATCTTCATCTTCAACGGACAGACTCAGAGCCCTCGATTTCGGTGAGTGACCATCCAGAGTAGCCATCTCTGATGAGCCATTTTCCTTCTTTATATTTGCACGTCAGGCCGAATGTTCTCATTACATCCAGACGATACACTACTTAAATCTGACCTTTGCATTTGTGTCCTGCTTCCACGCTTACATGCTAGCGCTCATCTCCTTCTTTCAAACATTTTCAGTGCTTGCCTAAGGATTCGACCAGGACACATTGTGAGTATATTCAAACTCCTATTTCCTGCTCTCTTATACCGTGATGAACTCCGACAATATTTGCACGTCAGTCAGAGCTGCGCGTCTCGCGACGCGTGGTTGAGATGATGTTTTCCATATCTGACCATTGCCTGCCCACAACTTATTGCAATACGTTCGTTTATAACCGCCTTCCATTTCCTCAGGAACATCCCACTAGATCCTAGCTCGCGTGCTAAACGATCTTTATTCATTTAATATCTCCACCTCACTCTCACCATCTCTACATGTCAACTACCAATGGTTCTATAGCGCCTGGCGCTTCTCGCACGACTCTCGCACCGCCTGGAACTAATAACACGCGTCCAAAGTCAACAGGACTTATCCCAACCAACAATGTTACTACCAAGGAGGGCGCGACCGTCCGCACTCGAATCGACCCTACACTCACAGTCGATGACGTCGTCAGACAGCTCTGCGTTAATCTCAAAGTTACAGAACCCTCCTCTAATTTCGCTCTGAGGGATAAAGATACTGATGAGCTGATTGTGAACGAGAATCTGCGGAAGAAAATCAAGAACAAGGCGAATCTCAAGTGTGTAATACTAGGTTTATAATCAAAATGTATCACTGATGTTGTCTCTAACGTTTTACAGACTGGTCAATGCTCCCAGTATCGAGGCAACAGAAATTGTCCAGAAACTCATCGCCCGAGATGAGAAGAACTTCAAAATGGCTCTCTGGTCATTAAAGAAATTTATTAGAGTACGTCAGGTCGCTTTGCTCGTGGATTCTTGTATCAATAATGGCCATGCTCTCAGGAAGAAAAATTTGCTCAGGAATTTTTGAGTCGTGGGGGTCTTTCTGAACTCGCAGAAGTTATCAACACCGAGCATGGAAACACGCTTGCAGTACGTGTCGTTTTGACCAAGTCAAGGACAAATTCTAACAATCTATTTCAGTATGCCCTCGAAGCAATGCACAACCTGATGGACCTTGACTACGGCTGGTCGACCCTCGACAACACTTTTGTATTCAGAGTTGTTCAGATCCTCTCTTCGCCAAATTCTCTCATCAACGTTTGCCGCCCCGCCACCGCCATCCTAAAGAAGCTTGTCGAAGCCGACCCAATGAATGCGCCAGGGCCGCTGATCGCCAGCTCAAGTAGAAGTCCCCCTGTAGCACCTCCTGGCTCGGTGTATCGATACGGTTTCCAGATTGTTTTCCAGCAGATGCGGAGGGAGAAGGGATCATTGGAGACTGTCGTGAATCGCCTTGGAAGCGCAGATACCGCGATGATCCTGCATAGGTATGTGCAACACAGGCAGTTCTGATAAGACAAGCACTGATATTTTGGCAGTATGATGCTGATCAACTCACTGCTGTCGCATGTCAATGACACTGAGTGGGATGAGTTTATCTCTGAACTAGAGCGGCTCAATGTTCGGAAAGCGGTCATAGTATGTATCATCTGATTTGTGTATTCGCAGACCCACTCATACAGTGTTATAGCGGCTCATGTCGTCGCATAATATAGATGACCTTACGTCGTCGATTCTCGACTTCCAGGCCAACATCGTGCGTGTAACATACCGTAAGAAATCGACCCTTGTCGAGCCCGAAGTCGAGCCCCTTCATGAGTCTGCTCTTGAATATATATGGAATTGCAGTACAGTCCAGGAAGGGCGGGATACTGATGGTCAAGTGTTGAAATGGCGGCAGCTTGGGTTTTCAAGTGAGAATCTTATGTCCGAGTTTCAAGAAGTTGGGGAGCTGGGGCTCGATTGTTTGGTGAGCACTGTCGTCTTCGATGTTTGATCTGCCGACCGATCGTGTTGTAGCGTAATTTTGTTGCAGACGACCCGGAATTGTTCTCAAAAGTGAGCTCTCTTGCTCTCCTTCATCATCACAAACAACAATATCAACATTGTCAACAGGTCATATTGGAACAGTTGAGCCGACCAGTAGACAGGCGTTGTCCCATCGCAAGAGCTTCAAATGAAATTGTTGAACTACTTTCAGAGCATTGGGTGATTTTCGCTCCTGCATGTTAGCCCTCCGTAATCTGTCGCGGAGCACGCAACTCACTTAACTCATCCGTCCTCAGATTCAACATCAACGACATACCAACCTTTTTTCCTCAATTTTTATCGAGTCCATGCTCTCGCCACGCATTTTTTCTTGCGAATGTGGAATGAGAGTGGATCTGCAGCAGGCGACTTTTCTCGTATTGTTGCGCTCGCTCGAAGCCAGTATGTCCTGAGCCTTGCTAATCTTGTGATATTCACCGCTGATTCCGTCAAGGGTCAAGGTGGCTTTGCAAAGGGAAAATTTCAAGCCATGGCACGAGGTCGAGCGCGATTTCCTCGACTGCGAGTATCGCGCTGTAAGGGACAGGCAGATGCAAGAGCTTGAAGCAGAGGACGACCTTCTGAGCAAGGTTCCCGTCCGGTAAGGAGGTTGCATCTGATCTAGAGTTCTCGGCTTACACCGAGCAACCAAGGAACTTGAAAGAGAAGATAACTCGCGAGTCCGCCGAATTTGTCCGTCAACAACGAATACAGTGCCTGTTGCAAGGGGCATGGTTCGTCAATGGCATCCCAACACCAGCCAACGGTCAATCCCGGCGACCAAACGGACAATGGAGATTCATGCGACTGGTATGGATCTGATCCGTGATTTTCAAAGTAAGCTCATTGGCTCGATAGGACAATGGCCTGAAATATCTCCACTATGTGGACAGTGCGGTCCAGTTCCCCGTTCGAAGTGGATTGGAAGATCTACCGGAGCGGATTGAGATCGCAGCAATCAGCCAAATTGCGACTGGCACATGTGCACCACCGCCAAATATATTGCGGGATCACCTCGATCTACCTCCGCCTACCAATCTTACGCCGTCGTCTTTATCGTTCTCTCTCCTGACTGCCACTGAAGGTTCACTGGCAGACCAAATCGCCTCGGATCAGTCCCGGTGGGCAGATTGGACTGATGGGCTGAACATGCTTCGGCGAGACAGCGGTCATGTCACGTCTGATGAGACAGCAGGGTACATTAAGGCATTGACAGAAATAGGCCTCAAGATCAAGCTTCTCGGTGGGTAGATCGCCCTGTCGTACCACAGAGAAATTCATGTCTTCTTCTAGATCTTTCAGGGGAGAAAGTTGATATACCCAGTGGACTGGTGGCAGGCCCTCCTCCAAGCAATACCGATTTTTTCTTCTCAGATCTTATCTGATGCTGATGAGAGATTAGAGGGTATTTTTCTTAATGATTTTTGTACGTCTATCAAGACGCGATGAGATTGGGTAATCTTGTAAACAATCCTATTAGTTGCTCGTATACGGCTTTTACAATAAACATCCTTGTCTCGTGGAAACTATATCGAGAGGATGTGGTGTGCAGTTGATGCAGTGGGTGTTGATATACAAGCAGATGCAGTTGATGCGATGGATGAGGACTGTCTGTCAGTGATATGGTTGAATGCCAAGTATAAGTAAGACGAGAAACACTGCTGGATATGCATGTCATACGGGGGTTGAACCCGCAATGTAGAAGGTGGGGTATGCGAGTTAGATCGTGTTCTTGAGATCGAAGCTAGTTTGCGAGAGCCTTGGGAGCGGCAGAGCCGTTGGTATGTTGAGCCATGTACTCGGCACCGGCCTTGAAGAAGGGCTCAAAGATGGCTTGCGGATCTTTGAAGTCGTTGTGGACGACATTGACGAGGTATGATGATCCCATGACCTCCATCATGAGCTGACGTGATGGCGTCCCTGCCTCGTAAACGTTGGCCCACTTAACACCTAGTTCGTATGCTTCGTCCTACGGGACAACGTTAGCAAGGATCGTACCAAGTCAGACATGACTAACCTTCCACGCCATGAAGCTGATAGCCTCAACAACGGTCGGTTGGACGATCTCCTTGCCGGGGAAAACGCCCCATGTGACAGCGTTGGGTCCTTCGGAGTGAGTGTTCGTCCTTAGGTCACCTTGCTTGTTGATGACATAGTACGTCATATTGCTGTCGCGGTCGATATGGGCGAGCAGGAGTTCTAGTAGTCGGGGGCTGACGAAGAACTCAAGATATGCCTAGCAGCCGGCAGATGAGTCAACACAAGGCTCTCGTATCGTTGGTGCCTGCTTACCTTCTGGTAAACGTAACCATTACTCGGGCCCCAACCAAACTGTGGGTCGTCGCTTCTTGCGCCATTGACGGCGGGCTGAGAGTTAATTGTCAAGAAGCCAAGCTCGTTCATCTTTGAAAGTTGCAGTGCGATGGCGGAGGTTTCAGAAGACGCTGCTTGGTTTGACCATGGGAGAGCTTTGAGATCACCCAAGCAGAACCGACTGAATAGCGATGCGACTTCTGCGAATGTCCGGGGCTCTCCCCAAAGTTTCAGAGCTTCCTCTTTCTGTAGTGGGAGTCAGTGGCCGGACTACTGGCTCATCTGATATGATGCTCACCGTTTGTTTGAGCCAGACGCCGTACCCATCGAGCTCACCATACGCTGGACTCCGCGAGTCACCAAACCGTCCGTTGGGGAACTCATCCCAGTTCTCAGTACGCGAAAGATATGAATCGGCCCTATTCGCCCAGAAGATAGGACGAATGTTTTCTTGCCGTCGGTTTGGTGTAAGCGACTGAAACAGAATATGAGAATGATACATTGAGCAGTGAAGGAAGTCTGCATACCTGTCTCCAGGGCAGAGGCTTGATAGTCTCTACACGAGGCATAAGGCTCAGCTCCTCCAGTAACATCTTTGTTCCTTTCTCCAAGTTCATGGTATAAAAGTGAAGACCTTGGATACCGAGGCCAGCTGCAAGAATTTTACGGCACATTTCTGCGACCAGCTTAGTGCCAATCTCTCGAACCTTCTCGTCATCGTTTTTATAGGGCTCTAGAGCGTCCAAGAAAGATTGAGGAATCTTGGTGTTCGCAAGAGACGTTGCCTTCAGGAAGCCATTCCACGTTTGGATGGGAGCAATACCGGGAACAATTGGGATCATAATGCCAGCTGCCCTGACTGCCTTCACCCAGTCAATGAAGACTTCGACATCGTAGAACATCTGCGTGAAAATGAAGTTGACACCTGCATCGACCTTCTCCTTGAGGTACTTCATCTCGAGCTCGCGTTCTTCGGCCGGAAGGAGCTGGTGCTGAGGGAATCCGGCAACTGCGATATCGAAGTAGTCCCCGTACTCATTGTGGATGTGCTTAACGAGGTCAATACCATGCACGAAACCACCCTCGACTGCCTCCCACTCATCCTTGCCTTGAGGTGGGTCACCACGAAGGGCCAGGACGTTACGACAGCCGTGTTGTTTTGCTTCCTGTAATACTTATTTAAGTGGTCATCCAGGCAAGTCAGATGTAGATACGTACCCGGAGAGCAATGTCGACCTTTTCTTTAGGCATGTTCGTGCACGTCAAGTGCATACATGTTTCTATACCCACCGAGCCTTGACACGTTTTGACCATATGCGAAGTCAAATCAGACGTGCGGCCACCAGCGTTCCTGTTCGCAGGGCGTAAAGTGCATTCTTGTCTTATGGTTAGATATTTACCATGTAATGTCAATGAATTCAGGGCCCAGCGCCGTCATACGCTTTATACGATCGAGCAGGTTTTGTAGACCCTATAAACACGTTTCTCCATATCGCTGTACACGTCTGAGAACCGCGATGAACTCGCACCTGAGCTGTCCGAGGCGGAAAATACTCGAATGACCACCATATTTTACCCTCTTTGGAGGACTGCTCGATCTTGGTACTGATTTTCATTGGTGAGAGAAGGAAAGGAAAAGATAGTGGGTGATAGCGTTAAGAGCAAGGTCTGAGACAAATTCCACTGGGATCCCGGGTCTTTTCGTGGACGAGGAATTTCTCCTGAATTCTGGGCATCACGTAATCGAGGAAGTTGTGCTGGCTTTCCACTTGTAGCCACCATTCCGATTCTACGAAGCAGGAAAACTCACACATAGTCTGTCATCAAGTTCAAGAAGGTCTATTGAATACAGTATAGTATACAAGAGCGTGAGAGGTATCAGAAGACACCGAAACTTTCGTGATGTCCAATCGAAATACAACAAGGTGAAACAACTCTTGTACATCACTGGCTAGCGCTGTTATCTGTTCCAGGAGGGAATGATATCGAGGGAATGCAAGTACGAAGATATGGGCCACATAATCCTGTGAAATACAATCCCTTCTCACGAGGATAGCCCCTTGACAGAAAGAGCATGAGAAACAAGAATACAGGATAAAAGGGTTTCCACACCTATGTTAACTACTTGTGACCACATACACGATACAGGTAGCCACGATAATCAAAGTGACAGCTGCCATAATGATAGGGTGAACTCTGAAAGCGACTGCATCAGCACGAGAGGGGTCTTGGGAGCTGCAGACTAACCTGTTTACAACGAAGAAGGCCCTAACTTTCATCAAGTCATCTAGACCTGTACGGTACTCCCATAACGCTGCAGCGATTGTCAGCAGGGCAGCGATAAACTGAAGGATCGCAAGGGGTAAACCGGCAGACCCCAAGCTATCACCCTGTCCCGTGCCAGGAGGTCCTGGAAGACGGATTCCAAGTAATGCCGAGGAGAACATAAGCATCAACAACAAGACAAGTTTGATATGTGTCAAGAAATTTCGCTCTAGCATACAAAAATCGCGAACAGTGCTGCCCACCACCAGTAGCGGCGTCGGCATCGTGAAACAGACGTCACGACAAGCTAAAGGTTTGAGGGATCAGTGAAAATCAATTGCACGTGCTGAAGTGAACGCGCATATGCGTTGTTGTGGTTTATTTGGTCATAGTTGATATTGCTGGCAGTAGATTGTTCTTTGCATTTTCTTCTTCAAGTCCATTTATTACGATCTTACGCTCTTTAAACCACGTCTACGAACCGGATCACATACACGGCGAACGAAGTAATAAAACAAAACTATCATGGGATTTTTAAAGAAATTCTTCTCGATCGGGGGTAAGAAGTCAAAGAGAAGGGGATTGGCACATCATGAACATGAACCCCTGCCTTCACTGCAGCCTCCTTTAGAGGAAGATGCTGAGGCGGCAGTCAGCCGACTTTTGCGCTCATCTTCAGCGCGTTTTGGTATCGAATCAGGTTTGAATTACGCATCACTTCCACCTCTCCGTAAGTATTTTCGAGGATCTACCATCTTCCTCGAATTCTTATCTCGTTTTTAGCGCATCCCATTAACAATCTTCTTCCAATGCCGGCTGCATCTACAGGCGACCATCAGCAGTGTTTCCCAACGCAGCACTTACACAGTCACTGTACACGGCCGCACAGTTCACAGCCGTACCGAGTTCCCAAATGCATACCCTCCTATGGAAAACCTTGCCACTCCCAAACGAAATACAAACGACTCCGCACGACGCCGCGCTAAAAGCGTACCTATCACTCCCCGCGATCAGAATCCGCCTCCTTCGTCTTCGCCAGGACCCATCCGTCGCTAGCTTGCTCAATGTTTATGATGAGAATGGATGCTTAGACTCTTGCGTCTTTTCAAATACCCCGCCTGCCACAGGAACTGACGGACGCCTGCAAAGACGTCGCACTGGCTCGACCTTTCGCCAACTATTAGGTCACCCGTCTACCCCTGAACTGCGCGATAACAGCGACATTGAATGGGCCGAGAGTGTCCTATGGTAAGCGACAGTTTATTTTTCTTGATGTATCATGTCCTGAACTACTGTCAGTGAAACAGATGATGATTCTTCCGCGTCTTTCTCTGACCTTAAAACACCTCGCGACCCTCATTTCCTTTCTACTCACTTCAACCACGCCAACCACAGCATCACACTCTCTACTGAATGCGACACCTCTGCACAAAATCAACAGACCTTCTCCTCTCTTGAGGTAGAGCCCAGCGCCTCTACCGAAATCACCCACCACGTCCATGTCAATTCGCCTTATCAGAATCTAAACACTACTCAACGTGCCTCCCAGATCTTTGGGTTCCTCGTTGACAAGAAGAAGACTGCTGAAGAACGACCCTCGAGGCTGCCGACGCGGAAAGTCACTCCTCCTTCGCACATTATGTTAGATTTGGCACCCAGCGACGTTCAACACCCCGATATTCCTCCTCCCAGCGATACACAACAACCTGAATCCTTTCATGTCGACATCACTTCACAACTCGTATTCCCTTCTTCGCAGCCCATGCCATCTGCACGAGCTCAACACGAAGAACTATTGCAGCCCATCCTACACGTAGAACCCGAACTTGTTACTATCAACCATACTGGCCAGAGCAGTAGCAGTGGACAAAGCGGTCGAGGTCCGCGCGGTCCACGTGCTTTGACCAAGATACCCTCGCGATCCAAGTCGAATCCCAGCCAACCGCAGGATACTCTGCCACCTCTACCAGATATCAAGGCTGAGGACACTTCTTACAGACACGCTTTCGGAGAGAAGTCAAATGCTGACGGCAGATATCCAGGCTTCGTTGCCGTTACCAGTGGAAACGGGGCCCGTTCAATTACTACTTCATCTCGTCCACTTTCGCGTTCCAAAGTTGTTGACGTGAATGCCGATAGTCAGCTCCCCACCCTTGCACGCAACGGCTCGTCACTTCATTCTTTCGCGAGTGCGCCATCTCTTGCGAAGAATAAATCAAAAGTCGAATCATCGTCATCCACAAACACGCCTCCGCACGATAAAGAGAACGAAATCACATCGCAGCCTCCCCAGCTAAAGACACCTATACGGCCCTTCGGTTTCCGTCCTCCGTACTTGCAGGACAAAGCTTCGCCTGCATCGTCTTCTGAGTTATCCCCCTTGGGAAAGCAGATTATGACGAATTTACGACTGCAGCGGATGCAGGCACGTCAGAAGGAGCGGCAGACAGGTCGCTTGGGCAGCGCTCATAGTCGTATTCGGTATTAAGGACTTTTAGTTTCTATCTTGTTATCTCTTTGTTTTCTAGAGCTCTGATATGTTTTCTCCGTTATCTGTAATATCTATCGTTATGAATGACTGAATCACATAAAACCGAAGTGCCTACTGAGTACTCCTTGCGACGGATTACTAAATAGGGAAAGCCGCGGTCAACATGGTCGTGCACGTGGATGAAGAAGGTGTTCTGAGTGCTCCTTACTTATCGTTCTCTCTCACACTGGCTCGGTTCTTCCGCTCCCTATCACTGACCAACACCTGGTTCACGACCAGCCGTGTGTTATCCCAGCTGAATATTCTTGACGGATACTCGATTCCGCCTCCCAGCCCAAGTTCAGAGTCATTAGACCTAGACCTAGATTCACACGAGATGGTGCAGAAATACGGAGCGGTGCTCACAGTGGCGGCTGACGCAACCGCAGGTGATAGCGAGCAAAGTGCGCTTCTTGCAGGGGACGCCACTCCTTCAGTGGTGCAGAGGGATGGTCACGCGAGCATGTTGAGCTCCGTGAGCAACCTCACAAATACGATCATGGGCAGCGGTGTGTGCTTTCGTTCATGTATGGTTTTGTAAAAATTGATTGGCTTGTGTGCAGGTATGCTCACCTTTCCTTTGGTAAGGTCTTGCGGATCTGTAGGGGGTTTTATGCTCATTTGACGTCATCAGGCTATGGCCTCTTCTGGTATCATACCAGGAATCCTCACGTGCATATTCTCTGGTTGTACTGGCGCCTTCGGTCTGTACCTACTCTCGTTAACGGCTAGATACGCCCCGCATAGAGGTAGCTCCTTTTTTGCGGTTGCTCAGCTTACATTCCCGCAAGCTGCTATATTTTTCGATGCTGCGATAGCTATCAAATGCTTCGGAGTATCTATCAGGTAAGCGTTCCTCAGCTCATTTTCCAGTTGGTTCTAACGGCGTTCAGCTACCTCATCATTATCAAGTCGCTCATTCCTAATGTCGTGGAATCATTATACCATGATTTGACTTCACCGGACACTTATCCGCCTGCGTGGGCCCTATCGGGTCGGAATTGGATAACGATCATTATGTTAATTCTCGTCCCTCTTTCATCTCTCCGTCGTTTGGACAGCCTTAGACACACGAGTTACATCGTCCTGTTTTCCGTCGGTGAGCCTAAACCCGTAGTATTGCCGATAAGTGATTGACTCTACGTGCACGCGACCAAGTATACCTTGTGGCTATCGTCATTATATGCTACTTTAATCCGTTAGAAGGTACAGATCCAGCAGGCGATATCCATCTCATTCCACTTCACTCCGAATTTCATCTCGACGTTCCCTGTGCAAGTCTTCGCGTTCACGTGTGCTCAGAACGTATGGATTGTCTCTGCAGCACGATGATCGGCTAAATTGTTCTTTCAGCTGTTCCCCATCTTCAATGAACTGAAAACGAACTCTCAGCAGCGTATGAATCTCGTTATTGGCACTTCCATTGGTAGTGCTATCATGGTATACGAGGTCATCGCATTATTTGGCTATTTGACCTTTGGTTCCAATGTGAATAACAATTTTTATTTATTATGCAGTTATGTGTATACTAACTACCTTGACCAAGGTCGGCGCCAATATCATCGCCATGTATCCCTCAACGTCATTATTTATTGCTATTGGACAATTGGCCATCGTCATGCTTATCATGTTCTCGTACCCACTGCAAGTACAACCCTGCAGGAATTGCTTGGACAAGATTTTCCATGTAGGAGCACCTACCAAGGTTCCTGGCAGTAATGATAACGAGGAGGAGGTTGTCGATGAGGCGCATGCTGTTTCTGACATGTCCCTTTTCAAGCACACGCTGCTGACCGCTGCTATCACTGGTATCGGTTTCGTTATTGCGTACTTCGTTGACGACCTTCAAATGGGTAAGTTCCTTGGTCGATGCTGAGCGCTGAGGTTACGCCCATCTTGATTTGGAAATTTGCCCTAGTACTCTCCTTCGTTGGCACCACTGGATCCACGACTATTTCGTTTATCCTTCCTGGGTTCCTGTTCTGGAAGGTGAGGATCTTCTTCCTATGCTTCTCGAAACTGTGTCTGAAGACCATCTGCCTCAGATCTCCCGAGATGATCCCAGCGCGAGCAGAACGCTCAACAAAGCTGCCCTCGCTTTAGCAGGGTATGGGTGCTGTGTGTTTGTGTTCTGGTACGTAACGTCGTGCTTTTACTGCTCCGTCGAAGGCTGAGATTTCAAACTAACAGCTCGGGTTACAACATCTACCGAATCTTTAATCCCTCGGAAGTTTCTTCTCACTGAAGAACCTGTAAAATATACGTACTATCTTTGTTAGCTTATGACAATATAATTTTTTGCTTGTGGGCACACGATGTGTGGAAGCGCCTTGGAACATGCTGTGAACTTGAGGTCGTGGGAAGAGGTGAATTGGTCTTGGGATTGGGGTCTGTTAGGCTTTCATCCTGAACGCCTTTGCTCCCCTAGACCACCAAATGCCTCCAATCTTCTTGTCCTGACCTTTTCTTTAGACAGGTCATTAATTGCAGTGTACGACGCCCACAAACAATATACTGTTCAAATTCTCAAATGTCGTTTCGTGAGTCTCCATTGCCATCCCTTTCAAGTTAAATAATTTCTTGCGTGGTCTGAATGCTAATGCATTGGTTCCTATACAGCGTCATCTACGCCTTCCTTTTCAGCATCTCCTGCGACCTATATCTCCTGCTCCCCATCCCCATCTCCTTCATTGTCCCACACATCCTCCAGTTCTCAGCTAGAGTCAAGTCTCGCACCAAGCATGACTTCTGCATCTCCTCCTCTTATTGAGCTAGCAAATGTCCAGTTACTATCACGCTCTGATTCCGACACTTTCGTAGAGTCGGAGAGCGCTAGCCTCAGCGTTCTTGCAGACGTCGATCCCCAGATTATCGAAGCCCTCAAAAGTAAAGATAGGATATACGTCCTGAAGCTCGGAGAGCAGATGGAGAGTTTAATCAATGACCGAAGGTACGTATTTTCGTCTGTTCGTTGCGCATGGTGTTGTTCCGTCGCGATGTGGGACAAATTGCTGCGCGAGCTCATGCGGCGCAGCTGTTTCTTCGGCTCTTTTTGATGTGGAATGATTTCATGTGTTGACTGGTTTTTAGCTTTAGGACTCGGCTCGATCTGATGCCTGCTACTTCATATCAGCGCCTTTTGGTGCACAGATGCTCTGCCTACTATAAATTGGCGCCAGAGACTGACCCCGTATCGAAGACGATTAGCGTCATTCCTACACTGGATAGTAGAATGTTCGTATATTTCCTGTCCGTGCTTGACGGACGTTGCAACTCATGTTGGTCATATATAGCCCCACCCGTCGCATAGCAGCGCTCGTTCCTGCCCAGCTTTCTTCCACTCACCCAACTATCAAGATCATGCGTCGATCAACGACCGATCGTGGTCGGTCAAAACCACACTCACAGGCTGGCTCCATTGCTGGAGAAGATCTTGACCTTTCTGATGTAGAGCCTTCCGAATCCGGAAGCCAGGGTGGTCGAAGTAATGCTACTGGCAGTAGCAAGAAGCATAAGACCATCGCAGAACGCGAGGCCGCGTATAATGAAGCACGTTCACGCATTTTTATGGATTTCGAGGAGAGAGAAAAAGGCAAGGAGAAGGACTTGAGCGCTAGCTGCTCGACGATAAGCCTTACTTCTGGCTCTGTAACGAGTGCTGGGGAGACCAGCAGTACTGGCGACCTTGACATTGAATCTGTTAGCTCCCCTACTACGGAAAGCGAGTGGTCTGGACCTGCCGTACGCGATAAAAGGGACAGCAAACGGTCAAATGGGTCTACACGAAGCCTGCGATCGAGTGCACCTGTATTTAACGTCTGTGGTTCAAGTAGCTCCCGAGGCTCAAGAGCACCCTCACCGTCGTCTTTCAAATACCCTACTCTGTATGAACCATCCCCGGCGGCTCCCCCGTACGATGGGGCTCAGCCCCCTGTTCAACCTGGTTATGTCAATCCTTATGTGTACGCATACCCTCAGCCACCACCTCCCTCAAACTATATTCCTGGTTATCCTTACTACGCCCCTTATCCGTACCCTCACCCGCAAGCTCCGATGCACGCGCCAGACAACTCGGCTGTGCATGGGACAATGGAGGCGTATCCTTCTCCCCAACATGTCGCGCATCCAAGCGTTTACGTACCGTACACGTGGTCACCCGCTCAGCAACAACAGCAACTCCCTCATCCTCCCTTGCAGCATACGGCGCAGCAACCTCCTAATCAATCGGTCGCGCCACCAGCGTCGCAGTACTCCACTTTCACGCCTCCTGTACCGCCTTATGGACCATACCCCATGCCTGGCTACTTTCCTCAGCCCCCTCACATACCACACGTACAATCGTCACCTCCTACAGTTCAAAATCATGGACACTATCCGGGAAATGGATACATGAACGGTACTGGGGGCAACGACACCATGCCCCTGAATCGGTCTTATCCTGGTGATCTGACCCAATCGCCTTCAATGGGTCCCAAACCTCGTGGAGCTCCTCCGGCTCGTAGTGCCTGGAGTTATGGTCCAGGGGTTGGTATGGGTGGCTTCGGTGTGAATAACATGTCAGGCAGCCGTCCTAGTGGCGGTGAGGTGGTAGGCCCACGTCTGAGTTCATCGGTTAGAAGACCTTCTGGTAATTCGAACGCAAGCGCTGGTGGCAGGACACTAGCGGGTGACGAAGCATCGTCAACAGCCGTGAGTTATTTTACACGGCTCTGCTCCTTTGTTATCGACTCATTTCCCCTATTGCAGTCATCTTCTACGACTTCATCATCCTCACGGAGGACATTCACGTCAACCTCATCTCAACATCCTTTACCCGCAAGACCCGATTGGGCCGTTGGCCTGAAACCCCAACCTACACTTCACGCAACCCATCCCCGGCATCACGATCACTCGATAAATTCCCGAACAATGTCTCCCGCCAGGAACAATTCCCAACGCGGTCATCAAAACCCACCTGCCTCACTTCATCCCACGGATTTCCCTCCTCTGTCGACCATGTCCCCCGCGGCTGAGAAACGCATACCAGCTGTCGCAGGCGTCTGGACCAACTCATCATCGACTCGATCCATTCTCATGCCGGGCAATAACATTTCACATGGAAACCCACCCGCCAATCATTCCAACACGCAATCTGGTGTGATAGGTACTCTGTGTAATACCCGACTCGAGGACACAGATGGTGGATTCGAAAGGCCGCCGCCCAAGGGAAATGTAGAGTTATTCAACCCGAAGGGAGTATGGAAACCTGGGGGGCCCCAGAGCCGCAGTCCACCAGGGGGCTCACAGGACAAGGACAAGATGGAGAAACTACGCGGCGAGGCTGTTGCTAACGCTATCTTGGTGGACAAAATGGCGATGGTATCAGTGGAAGATAATGATGCTAGCTCAAACGCACCGAAAATTTCTCCTCCTGTTGCTCTGGCGACTTAGGATTTAGGTGAGTTCATTCTTTACCCAGCTCTCGTCGATCTGACATATTTTTTAGTGATGCCACCCCATGTTGTGCATATTGTTTTGCGCTAGCTAAGTCTGCATGTCGTTGCTATCGTTGCATGTATCCGCACAAGGGAATTGGAGGTTGTTTTCACTAGATATATTACAAAAATGTGTAAACATATAATACAAGTCCTTTTTGCCCATGAAGGTTGTTTGCGCTTGCTTACGGTCATTATTTTTGGAGGTCTTTGCCAAACAGACCACCTACATGCTCCCTGTGGCTGAACATGACCACCCGACTGCGGCACAGGCCTCAACTAGAGGATGAAGATGCTTCTGCGCTTAAGCTCGGAGCAGGTATGCATTTTCCTATTTGCTGCGAAGTTGGTTCTTAACTTAATTGACAGAGTTCAACAACGCTGGTTGTTTACTGATTTCCGAGGTCAAGTATCTGCTGGAAAATCGGGACAAGGATGCGCCAGACACTGCGTATGGCTTCTTATACTTCTATTTGTTCGTGCTCTTACCTCTCCTAGTGTTTATAACAAGACCCTCGAATACGTGAAGACGTTCGCGAAATTCAACACCACCGATTCTGCTAGCGCGGTGCGAGAGTTAGTTTCGATTATCATTGCTCTGTCTACTCTTCTTACCTGGTTTCATTACAGAACCCTTCGACGCGAACCGGCGTTAACGCAATTCGAAACTGCTCAAATCGCTAATTTGTGTCCCGTCGATGCTGAGGAGGCAAAAAGCGTCATTCCAAGGTAACGCATGAATGTTCCTTCATTTCAATTTTTTTATATTGAGATGACGAACGTTCTTGTTCAGTTTGGTAAAGATCGAGGATGATAAATTGCAATCATTACTCGACGAGATACAGTTGATGAGGAAGTACCAGTCTTGAATGATATCGGTCGTTATTACGTCCGACGTCCATCATTGGTCCGCCCTTTCCTGGCCTGCCATTTTTCGACTTGCTCCGGTACGTTGACACCCTCAGAGTACAAGTCGCGCCTCTATCTGCGGTGTTCACTTCATAGCGACTCAGTAAAGCCTATCACTACTACTATTCTTAGTGCGTCATCCAAGTAGTTCTACGGGAATCATTTATACAGTGTTCCAGTGTTTGCATCATGCGAATGCTTGTTTCATGACAACCAAAATAATCCTGGAACAATGTCGACAACGCGTATACACGTATGTCTCTGCTCACTGCGAACTCGAAGTGATAAGTACAGCTCGACGCTTTGACGCCGCGAAAGGCGCCGATGCAAGTCTTGTTTTAACCAAGTGAAAGTACTCCTGCCCTAGAAAATGGTTTGGTCCGAATACTTATGATGGAAATTTTGGGTTTGTGTCGATCCATGTAAGAACGGGCCGCTGATCAATTCATGGTTCGACGATGAAAACGTTACCGTCCAAGGAATTCCAAAGCGGCACTTGATAGACCTGTTGGTCTATCATTGCTTTGTCAGCAGCTTCAGAGTTCAATAGAAGCAAATAACTCCTAATCGTAAGTGACGTCATGAAGACACTTGCACATCCGATGATTTGTAACACGCAACACCTTGGTCAGACAATATGCCGTCAAATTCAAATTCCTCAAGCCCTTGCTCCACGCCCGTGTTGGATTTCGGATCGAAGTCCGAGCTGGAGACGTCACACTGAAACTTTGCGAGCGCAACCGAACGACGTTTGACATCGGCCGTTATTTAGTATGTTCAAATGATCATTTCCTATGCTACGAAAAATTTCCCTTATCTCTACGCTAACTACGTATAGAACTACGAAGTCTCCCGCTCCAACATCTCAGTTTTTATCGAAGACTGAGATGTAAGTCTTATGTTCACCGTCTCTTACTATAGCAAGCTAACATACCCCGTAAAATATATTTGTCTTAACAGCTCTCTCCGCGTCACCGCTCGCCTCTGATCACCAGAGCCCGTCCCTTAGTACGCCATCATGCCCTTTGGCGGCTGGCAGCAGGGTTATTCTGTCGTGAAACAAGGATTGAAGCGCTATGTTTTAGACCTGAAGGATCGTCGCCGGTTAGCCTTTTTCTTTTTGATGGGGTCTGAAATGATACCAAGAGGTCTGAAACAGGGTACACCAGTTCACCTTCAACGTCAGCAGTTCGTTGCTGAGTTGATCAATATGAGCCTGGACATGAAGGCTCAATCGGGGTGAAGCGGCTGTTGAGGGTCTTGTCGTACCGACGTGCTGCACCGTCCTGACGGGGGATGTCAACCTGATCAGGATACACCACTCTCACAAGGCTGTAGTCGTGTGCATATGCGAGCCTCGGGATAACATCCGCGTCTGCGGCTTCGGCAGTAGTAAAGGACACTGGTGAGTGCCGTTACAGTGGCGTACTAAGCTTAGGCATTGATTGGAACTGGGAGTCTCTTGATGACCATCGCATTATTGTCACCTCGTACTCGCACCGAAGAAGGTAAATTGTAGGAATTTATTTGCACATGAAAATGATGTACTGATAACCGTAGTACTATTGTTCACTGCCGCAAATGATGCGGAGTCTATCAAAAGTTCACCGTGGCACCTGTACTCTGACTGGGTGGACATATGGCTAATCGTATCGTGGCATATGTCAGTGCTGGAGGAGGACTGGAAGTCTTCATCTTCTTTGGCAGAGACTTCCTTGTACAGGCACTGGTTTGAAGTGGTGGGTAGTACAGCACGCAATCGAGTGAGCAACGGAATAGAATAGACAGAAGAATCGACAATTGCAACACCAGTACCGTTTGTTGAAAGAGGGTTTCAAAAGTGGACACAGCAAGACGTTGTGAAGGGCTCACATCTACATGCACTTTGGTGTAATGGTGTTCAACGCCGTCTTTGTTATCCACAGGGGAAGCGAAACGGCCCGTAAAGCTGGTGTCGACTCTATGATTTGAGGATGAAGCCGGGGCTTTGAGTAGTGAGCGGCGGAAAGCGCATCGACAAAGTTCCCATTTCAAACGAGCGACAATTGAAATTTGTCTAGCGGTGCTCCTCATAAGCTAGTAGGAACGGAACAGAAATACAAGAAGAAGTCGTAAGTATTTTATTCTAGGTCTACAGTATTGTAAAGCGTGCTGAGATTGGGATGTGCTGACACGGTACGTATCGCGGAGGCGTGAATGCACTGGCAAGTGGTGCACTGCGTCATTGATCATAACGGCTCGCAGTGGACTTTCCCCACTGAAAACGCGTACTAACCGACTTCTACACTGATCCGACCTCTGGTCTTCGCTGGTCTCCTCGAAAAACGCGTCCCGTGCATCCGAGACGTCGTAGACGTGCCATGACGTATGCACAGTCTTGCAGTTGAGATTTCGAGTATGTCGTCGTTGTGTCGTCGCGCTTGCATTGTTGAGAGTCCGCGACACGCATTTATGTAATGGTTTATCCAGCAGGTTCCAATACATTACCTTAGTATTTTATCAGCTGCTGGTTCCACACACCAATATACGCTCATTTGCAAAAAAATAAAATGTAATTGAGTGGGGCTACAGTGAGTCAGGTTAGACTGTAATATATAACGATGTGATTGATGACACATTCGTTGCTGAGTTGATCAATATCGTTCGTGTAGGGGAGACCTGGGAATAGAGAAATGAAATACTTACGATGACCGTCACATCGGTCTCCTAACTGGTTGGTTTGTTCACCATCTATTACTCGTTAAATTGACAAGGCAAGATCAATACAAGAACGTGTCCGATGAACGCTGTTTCGACCCCGTTTCCATAGCCCCTCTGAATCATTCTGTTCGGTCGGTGTTAGAAGAGATATGTCGTCAGCTGGCAATCTGCTGGCACTGTAAGAAGTTTCTGCTTACATTCTCACTGCGGAATATTTCCAGGACATAAAAGAAGTCGTCTTCCTACCGTACTCCCCTCCTTTCGAGTTCCCATATCACATCACACAAGTAATGCGTTTCTCCTTCGTCCTCGCTGTTGTTGCTGCTTTGACGACATCTATGTCTGTCAGTGCTGACAGTGATTTCTGTCCTATATATTGCGACGATGGATATTGCTGCAAAGGCTATACATGCAAGGACATGTACAGCGGCGATGGTGTGAGTATCAGTATTTGGCATTCATGATTTAACCCCGTGACTCATCGGCCTGGCAGGGATACCTTGAACATATTTGTATGAATAATTCTGATATCTGAGTAGCATGACGTCACGGCAGTGAGCTACAGTGAGTCACGTTTCTGCTTTCGCATTGGTGCAGTGTGGTTGATGGCATGATACATAAGTAGTTCACTGCTGAGTTCATCAAGATGCTTGCTAAATTCCACGACCGCTTGAGCAAAGGAGACCTTGGAATAGAGAACTAAAGTACTTACGACGTATTATTTTGGCCTTATTGTAAGCTTGAACATCGAAAGCCTGATGTGTTGGACATGTGAATTAACAAGGAAAAGTCAATACTGGGAGGTGTACGATGCGATGATATAAAACCGCCTGTATTGAACATTCATCGAGTTATCAATCTCGTTTGGTCGTGGCCTGCCTCATTCCGTTCAGTCGTTGTCGATTATTCGCACAGCCGCGTATTCAATGACGAAGAAGAAGTAGTTGTGAGCCCGGTGGCTTACCTGAGTTCCCATAATCAGCATAAATACTGTCCGAGATAATGAAGCATGAGCTTTCATTATCACTGCCTTTTGGCGTAACGGTTAAGGGACGACAGTCTTGACTACTTACAGTAGTACATGCAAAGTACATGTCAGTGACTCAGTGCTACATGGTGACTACTACTTATAGGATACTGAGAAACATACCATCACGTGACCACGGGGGCAATCCGCCGGTATTGTAAATTGACATCTGCTGGCATTATAAATGTTATTTGCTGGCAACTCTAAATGCCCCAACTCTTCTTTCACTGGAATTTTTAGCCAATTTGCCGCCACCGCGTGCACCTCGCATAATATTCCCCGCGGCTGGCCCTCGCTTTTTGCGTCCTTGAGATACCAATTGTGCAAACTTATAAATGATATAAGAATCAAAGATAGGAAACACAATGGCGAACTACTAGTCAGCCTTCCATGTCCTCCAGGTGAGATTTGTTCAGTTTGCTCTCAGTCTCCTCGTCGTCTTCTACAGTCGGGGTTCCTTGTTTATCAGGGAAACTCGTCAGATCAAACCTTCTTTTCTCCTTGAATGGATTGTCTCTCTTTTCTCCCTTCTTTATGACGGCAGCGGCGGGAATGATACCTTTCGGATTCAAATACAGCAAATCATCACCTCCATACGTGTCGATAGATCGCACCCAGGCATCAAAGCTGTTTCTGCTCATCAGTTTAGGTGGCAGCAAATACAGTCAGAGGTACCCACACCCCGTCACGGTCCTCAATGCCCCGCATATTGTCGTAAATATAGATCTGTTTGAATGCATCGATAGACTGTCGATGTTGTTCGAAATCAATTTCGGGTCGGTACTCTGGATGAGAAGGCTCGAGTTTCTCGTTGATCGAAGTGATCTTCTTGTTATATGAATCAAATATTGGGTACTCCAGCAAGAGACCAAGAGCAGGCATCTTTGGGACCATGACTATGCGCGGCCCGTATAGCTGCGGGAAGAGGTAAATTGTGGCCCATCAGATATCACAGAAGCTAACCTCGTCGATGACTTGACTCGGTGTACCTGTCCTACAAGACAAGACAAGAGCGGTCATCATTTTGCGCTGTGATCAATTTGTTATCGTATGACTGCTACCAAAGTACAACTTGAATCGCTCACGATCTAAGGGAAATGAATAAGAGCGAAGTTATCAATAAAACCAACTCACCTGATGCAACATAAAGCTCTGCCCATGGAAGAGGATACTTATCCACTCGGTGTCTCCATAGACCGCAGGATCAGATATCTGTTGAGATGCTATCAGAGGTTAACCAACCACCATCTCAAAAGCCTACCTCAAGCTTCCACATATGCCGCTGGTTACTACGATCTCCGAACTCGCGTCCAACAGTAAAATTATGGAAGTTATGCGTCCCTTCGAACTTTTTTGCGGTTTGACGGATGACCTCTACCTGCTCTGCACTGATCCTCCATGAGCGCTTGCGTACGAGATCATCCATAGAGCTGGAACAACGAGATTCAGGTGCACTCCAGAAGGGGTGAGCGGAAGCATCAAGAGGGATGACACCCTGCATGGACTGTGCATGCTGTTCATATGCACGCTGAAATCCGGATCCCGGCTTTGGAGGGATAAGGAGGTATGAGGGGAAGAAGTAGGTATACTTGCGGCTGTCGCAAGACCTGAGAAAGACCTCGTGAGATGACATTAGTGAGATGACACGCAAGAACCTACATGCGAGCATTGAACGAGTTTTGCACGCGAACCTGGGGCACTTCAGAGACATTTCCTGGCTTGAAAAAGAGAGAGGATGCATACTGAGCCCCAAACACGAATCTCTGGTGGGAGTTCTTCATTTATACGTGCCACGAAGTCTTCCACCCCAGGAATCGCGGTGATCAGTTTCATAGACACCAGGTTGCCAGCCGCGTGAACTCCTGCATCGGTGCGAGCTGCGCGCCCTAGATTTACCTGGAAGGATGAAAGGATCTAAGTAATGCGTCATGACAATGCGCCATGCAAATGTCCTACCTTCACGGGGTCGTCCGCGTTGTCTGATGAAACTGCGCCAGCACGCACGAGTGCGTCGAACAGGACACCTTCGATCGTCCGCACGTCGGGTTGTCTATTTAAATTACACACAAATGTTCAGCAGCGCGGGGGTAGCAGAGGGGCAGAAGAGAAAATAACAAAATGGTTTGGGCAGAGATAGAAGACAAGGAGAGAAAGACTCTCAGGAGTCAGAAAGGGAGTCAGAAGAAAGAACCGAGGATTCAGCGTACATTTGCATTCCATTGCACCCCGTCCCGCAGAACCCGATAAGCAACGCGCTTTGTCTCTTAGGCAAGCGGGGGGCCCGAGGGCTTTGCTCCTCACCCTCTCTCTCACCCTCCTTCTCCTGATCACGCGTCCCTCGCCTACGCCCCTTGTTCTTCGTGTCTTTCGCCTTCCCTCGCCTGGATTTCGCCCAGCCTGCTGCATCCCGCTTGCCCCGCTTCGTATCGGCGGCGGGAGTGTCGGAGGGGCTCTCTGCGTGTTCGGATGGATGTAGTATCTTCTCGGGCTCCTCGTGTTCGATCTTCGCGCGTTTGAAGTGCTCTGAGCTCCCTGCTGGCACTTTGGTGATAGGTCGTTTGGCAGGGGGAGAATGTGACTGGTTCGAGTCGTGCAGCTCATACATTACGTATATGTTCCTTGTGCGCAAGTTCTATGGTTGTCAACCTAAGCGTAAGGATCATGATGCCAGAAAGCAGATTAATGAACATACCAGTAGTGGTGCACGATGGAGGGTGTACTGAAGGAGTCTTAACATCTGATCGAATTCGATTTTCGCGGGATGTAGAAGATACCGCTTATGGTGATCTTCGTTCGATTCGATGTCACTGTCAAAAAGTCTTCATTATATGTACTGGTATTAACATTGTGAAGATAGTGTGCTCTATGGTCTGTACATGTGTAGATGCAATGCCCCCCGCTCCAAATACAAAACACTACCATCAGGCTTGCCCACATAGGTGTATCACCCGCTCCTCGCACCGCCTATAGTTATCCACAAGGGCTTCATACACCTTGGTCACCTCGCCTTTCGGGGTCGCAACCAGCCTCATCCTCTCCACCTCACCCGTTCCCATTGTCATCTCCTCGAAGCTCCCACTCGCGCCCCCAACTTGCGCCTTCCACCACGCAAACTTCGCAAGCACTGCGCCTCCCATCCCTGCAGCCTCCTTACTCTCCGCAACGTAGACACGCATCCCAAACACGTCAGCTGCGAGTTGCCGGATCGTCTGGTTTGCTGATGATCCCCCAGTGACAATCAACCGTTGCAAAGGAGGTGAGTGCGCCGGAAGAATGGCAGCAATGCGCGATTTGATGCTGAGGAATTGGCTCTCGAGAATTCCGCGCGCGTGCTGTGTCGCATCTGGCTGCAGCCCAAGCACTAGCTGTGGTTCCTCATTACCTTTGCACTGGAATATGAATTCGCCCCGAACTCCTGGAGGAATGATCTCCGGGAGGGGGAAATAGAATCCCAAGAACCCAGAGTTACCCTGCGGCGAGTGCTCCACGAACTCGTTGTACCGCGCCCAGTCTGCACCAGCGCAGCGGTCGCGTATCTGCTCCCGCGCAAGGGCACCATTCTTGTAACAAAGCATAGCTATCTGCGCGTCGAGAGTTGTAGGGTGTGAGAGGAGGTGCGAAGTAGTGAAACGGGCGGGAGGCGAGTCAGCAGGGGGAATGCTGAGCAGAAGTGTTGTACTCGTGCCAAGGGACAGGAGCGCATCACCTGGTGCTGAAAGAGCAATGACGGTTGCAGAGTTATCACCTGTGAACGGTGCAATTATGCAGCCTATAGATGCCACATGAGAGACGTTACTACCCAATGAAGAATGAAATGCAAACCTGGGTTAAATCCCCAGCGCTCAACCCACCACCGGGTGATGCGTCCGAGAACGGTGCCGCCGAGGACGGGCTCAGGACCGATTTTAGTGCGAAGTTCGGGTCCGCCGCATGCCTCGAGGAGTGCGTCGTCCCACTTGCATGTGAGTACGTTCATGAGGTTCATCCCACTCGCGTCGGAGACCTCGATCGGGGCGATGTGCCCAAGAAAGAGTGAGGGGATAAACGATGAGACGAGAGAGATGCGCGCAGAATCACGGTAGGCGGCAGGTTTGAGGCGACGGATCTTTGTGGAGTTAGGATTAGTCTTGATCACGAAAATCAATACAGTATGTACCACGCACCCTGGCAATTTGAGGTCCTGTAAACCGCTCATAGGCTCTGCTCCCTGTAAGATCTGCAAGCACCTGTGGACCACCAACGGCGGCCTCAAGGTCACGGCAGTCCTTGGTCGTCGAAGAGTCCTGCCATATGGGTGCATTGGGTAATGCAAACGCACGGGGTGCGAGATGGCCCGGATCAGCCAATGAACGCTTGGGATCCATCGCACCAAGCGCTTTCTCGGCTTCCTCAGACCAGTATACTGAACCATGTTGCTTGATTCACGTGAGTCAGGCTCGCTTCACATCAAAATTGCAGACGTACTTGGCCAGCACCGGATATGGCGGCAATAGCATTGAGATCGACACCAGCGTTCTTAACGCGCTGCATGACGAGGTCGATAGCTTCAAGCCACATGAGCACTGGGCTCGTCACCTCACCTTCGTCTGGGCCTTTGATTGCACCATTCGTTGTACCATAGGCAGGAAGGTCTCGGTCAAAATGCACGGCGCTCTCGTGCACGATGGAAGCATCTTCTGCAATCACAATCGCCTTGAGCTGTTGGGTTGATAGGTCAAAGCCCAGGAAGAGTGGAGAAGACATCTTGGCACTGAAAATGATAGTCTGGAATGAAATGGAAAAGTCAGTGACAGCGTTTTGTGGACGTTTTATTGACGGCGGGGAATTCAGGCGGTCCGTGTGCAAAATTATGAGGCCATGAGAGTCAATAAGTTAAAGTCATACTTATGACCGGTACGTACGTTAACTCGACGCGAAGAACTTGCCGACTCCACAATGACATTTCGGGGTGCGAGTTTCTCGGATTAGCGAGCGTACGTGCTGGGAAAGAATCCTATCAAATCATTCCAGTGGCCTGCCTTGCTAATTCTGTCATTTCATGGGGAACTTCAACTGCTGGAGTCGTGTACGCGACTCGGGTTATATATGTACTGGTTGATTTTACAAGCACGTGACTGACGCGTCGCGATCGGGTCTGTTTATTGAAACTTTGTTGCGCCGTACGCCATTTCAAATAACCTAGGGGGTATAAGTACAGCGTGTGTCGTTGTATATCCCTCTCAGTTTAGCGCCGTTTACCCTCTTTTACGCGTACCAGCATATTTTTACGATCTTCATCCTCCGTCTCAATATTTTCAATATGATTTCCACCCTCATGAATGTTACCGCCCGCGTCGCCCTCTCCAACCTCCTTACGGTCGCTTTCTTCAAGCGGACTGTCGTTGACCATACCGTTGAGGTCCTGTCAAAAGCGGAGAAAGTTTCCGCTGGCCTCGTCGTGTATACTGTTTGCTCGTCGTCAATTATGCTTGTTCTAGCATCCGACAGAGTTGCTCAGAAGTTCCTCCATGACGACACCAAGAATCTACCTACTCCGAAGGACGACGACGCCGACCGAATTCCTCCCTTCTCTGACGACAACACCTCCGCTGCGCCTCAGCCCGCCGAAATATTTTCTTTCCCATCTGCATCTTCAGAATCATTGCGTCTAATCGACACAATAGCCGTTTCAATCACGTGTTCCACCACTTGCATCAGTCTCACTTCGCCGCACTGCAAATACCTGTCTATCGACTCAAACACTACTAGTAATACTACCGTCTCCTCGGACGATGCTTCGGACGCCAGCAACTGTGAGTTGTTTGGTGACGACAGCATTTTCCATGAGGTAAGAACTTCAGTATAGCCTCAACTTCCGCATTGCTTAACATTTGGGTCTCTAGAATGATTTTTCTGCCCCAGAACAGACTACCCTCGACGCCCTAGTTGCCAAAATGCAAGTTCTGACACTCGACGATCACCCTCATACATCTACGCTTCATCCTTTTATTCTAGTGGTCAACCGCGAGACAACATCTACGTCGCCTCCTTCGAGTCTTCCTGAACTTGCCAACTCCATGGACGCGCTGATTCGAAGTCTGGCTGCGCTGTCTCTCTCCGATGGTCCGCCTGACGACTCTGACATCTCTCTTCCTGACTCGGACGAGGCCGTGGACGCCTCGAGTCGAAGCATGAAGAAGCTTTCCCTCTCTGATCCTCCGCCTTCCGCCTCCAAGCTCAAGCCTCCAATTCTGGTTACGAAGCGCGCCGCAGCTCAACTCAAGTTTCTCCCCCCTACCAGTACTCCACATCAACAGCCTATCACCAGATTTACACGCGACGTAACGACCCCCTCCTCCGTCCCCTACGACCTGGAGCTTTACCGCCCAAGAGGTTGGAGGCCGCCGCCGCTTCCGCACTCGCACACGCATCTACGCATCACATACCGTCGCCGATGGTGGTCCCCTACGACCAATCCGGACGACACACCATATCACGTAACGGCCTCCTACGACCCAGAGCTTCGCCGCCTAAGTAGTCGAAGGCCACTACCAGTCTACGCATCCGCCAGCCTAGGTCCCCTACGACCCAAATCCAATGACGCACTCAACGGCCTCCTTCGCTGTCCCTCGCAACCTGAAGTTAGATTCGAAGGCCGCCACCCATCGTCACGCACACATCTATCAAAGCGAATCATTTTCCGCTTCATTCTTCCTATAAAGGTATTTTTGATTTGTATTCTCCTCAACCGTATGAGACGGACAGTGGGCTTATCTCTCGCATGTTTCTTTCTTCTTCTATTTTCCTTCCCAACGCAGACTCGGAGGCATCTTTGATTTTTTTTTCTCCTTTGTACGAGACAGACATTGGACTCATCTCCGGCATGTACACTTATTTCCCTCTCCACATATAGGTCTTCTTCGATTTGTTTTTCTCCTTATACTGGTTCGAGATAGACATTGAACTCATTCGGTTTCATCATGGACTTATCTCTCTGGCGTGTATCTTTACTCTTTTTCGTTTCCTTCTCTACATAGAGGTCTTCTTCGATTTGTTTTACGAGACGGACAACGGACTCATTTAATTTCATTATGGACTTCTCTCGCAATGTATCTTTATCTCTCGTTACATACCCTCTCTTGATTTTCGTGCATGTACGACTACGATTATAATATTGGCTTGAATACAATCCTCTTCCTTGTATATGTTCTGAAGCCAATCAAGTACAAATCAAGTAAGCCTATAGTACATAATACGACTTGGATTTGACTACATCTCGTTTTCACACCCACCACTCAGTCGAATCGCAATACTTCAGCTTAATTAGCGACCACTTACAAGGGACTCCATTGTGTACTCCTTGGTGCTGCAAACGGTATCTGTGGTCTAAGCACTGCATATTCAGTACAGCACTCGAGAGTAAACAAGAAAATTTCGAGGGCGTAGGCTGTTGTACAGTTAAGATAGTCGTCGAGGGGTAGAAACAAACAACTACCATCAGGCTTGCCCACATAGGTGTATCACCCGCTCCTCACACCACCTATAGTTATCCACAAGGGCTTCATACACCTTGGTCACCTCGCCTTTCGGGGTCGCAACCAGCCTCATCCTCTCCACCTCACCCGTTCCCATTGTCATCTCCTCGAAGCTCCCACTCGCGCCCCCAACTTGCGCCTTCCACCACGCAAACTTCGCAAGCACTGCACCTCCCGTCCCTGCAGCCTCCTTGCTCTCTGCAATGTAGACACGCATCCCAAACACATCGGCCGCGAGTTGCCGGATCGTCTGGTTTGCCGACGATCCCCCAGTGACAATCAACCGTTGCAACGGAGGTGAGTGCGCCGGAAGAATGGCAGCGATGCGCGATTTGATGCTGAGGAATTGGCTCTCGAGAATTCCGCGCGCGTGCTGTGCCGCATCTGGCTGCAGCCCAAGCACTAGCTGTGGTTCCTCATTACCTTTGCACTGGAATATGAATTCGCCCCGAACTCCTGGAGGAACGATCTCAGGGAGGGGGAAGTAGAATCCAATGAACCCAGAGTTACCATGCGTCGAGTGCTCCACGAGCTCGTTGTACCGCGCCCAGTCTGCGCCAGCACAGCGGTCGCGTATCTGCTCCCGCGCAAGGGCACCGTTCTTGCAACCAAGCATCGCAATGTGCGCGTCAAGAGTTGTAGGATGCGAGAGAAGGTGTGAAGTAGTGACACGGGCAGGAGGTGTGTCGGCAGGGGGAATGCTCAACAGAAGTGTTGTGCTCGTGCCAAGGGACAAGATCGCATCACCTGGTGCTGACAGGGCAACGACGGTCGCAGGGTTATCACCCGTGAACGGTGCAACTATGCAATCTATCGACACCACAGATGTGAGAACTTACTAACAAATGAAGAGTGAAACACAGACCTGGATTAAATCCCCAGCGCTCAACCCACCACCAGGTGATGCGTCCGAGAATGGTACCGCCGGGGACGGGCTCAGGACCAATTTTAGCGCGTAGTTCAGGTCCGCCACATGCCTCCAGGAGTGCATCATCCCACTTACAAGTGAGGATGTTCATCAGATTCATCCCGCTCGCGTCAGAGACCTCAATCGGGGCGATATATCCGAGGAAAAGTGAGGGGATAAATGATGAGACGAGAGGGATGCGCGCAGAGTCACGGTAGGCGGCAGGTTTGAGGCGACGGATCTTGGTAGCGTTAAAATGAATACTAATCAATTATCGGACATCAATACAGTATGGACTACGCACCCTGGTAATTTGAGGTCCTGTAAACCGCTCATAGGCTCTGCTCCCTGTAAGATCTGCAAGCACCTGTGGACCACCGACAGTGGCCTCAAGGTCACGGCAGTCCTTGACCGTCGAAGAGTCCTGCCATATGGGTGCATTGGGCAATGCAAATGCATGGGGTGCGATATGGCCTGGATCAGCCAATGGGCGCTTGGAGTCCATCACAGCAAGGGCTTTCTCGGCCTCCTCAGACCAGTACATCGATCCATGTTGCTTGATTTACGTGAAAATCAGGCTCGCTTCACATTAAAACTGCACAGACGTACTTGACCAGCGCCGGATATGGCGGCAATAGCATTGAGATCGACACCAGCGTTCTTAACGCGCTGCATGACGAGGTCGATAGCTTCAAGCCACATGAGCACTGGGCTCGTCACCTCACCTTCGTCTGGGCCTTTGATTGCACCATTCGTTGTGCCATAGGCAGGAAGGTCTCGGTCAAAATGCACGGCGCTCTCGTGCACGATGGAAGCATCTTCCGCAATCACGATTACCTTGAGCTATTGGGTTGATAGGTCAAAGCCCAGGAAAAACGGAGAAGACATCCTGGCACTGAAAATGCAAGGTTGGAATGAAATGGGAAAGTTAGTTATACTAGCATTTTGTGGACGTCTTATTGATTGCGGGGAAGGCAGTCTGTGTGCAACATTATCAGGTCATGGTGCCACTATACTTGGAACGGTGGTACGTACGTCAACTCGATGCGAAGAACTTGCCGACTCTGGGTGCGAGTTTGTCGTATTATGTATTATATACGCGAGTATACATGCTGTGAGATTTAATACATCGATATGAAATCTTTCGAGTAGCCTACCTTGCCTTGATTGTTCCTTATCTATGACCCGCGATACGACCTTAGAGTGTGCAATACAACTGTCGGATTGTCGAGTCCGCGACACAACCTAAAAGTGCGTGACACATTCTGCGAGTGAGTGTGAGTGCTCCAAACCTGTATGTGACATCAAGGATGTGAGATACAACAGGCCAAGCTAAGTGTAAGATTATGGCAGAAGTGATGTTGCGGGCTACCTGCTTTGCAGTGTGGCGATCGGCAGCAGCAACGCAGTAGTTGATCGCACGAAGCTTCGATGCTAATAGTATCAAAGTGAAGGTCCAGAAGTAAGCACCAATATCCTTCTCAAACTTGACAGGAGCGTGACGGTAGCCAGCAAGCGACGAAGGAGCCAGCTGCTTCGTGACCACTGGCAGTGACAACGATGAATGTAAGATATGCGAGCTGAGAAAATAATCAGTACATCTGGAAACATCATGTGGGCAACACGCTGGCTGACGTACCTCTGCGGAGTTGTATACAACTTGAAATGTGTTTGGTGAGACACGCACGGCAAGGTTGCACAAACCCCTCGCTCCGAGTTGTAAGGTATCTCACATAATATTGTCGAGGTGCTTATCACAGATATGGTCAGGTTCGTTTCATGGTTCTACTAGCCATATAATGATTAGGTTCGGACCGCTTCATATCACTTAGTAGTGGGAACTGGTACAGTTGGAATTTGGAAATGTTCAAGAGCAGGAAGCCGCTGAGCGTTTGTTTGGATCCAAAGCCATTGCCAAACAACCGCCTTAATAATCCCTTTATCAATATTTGACATACCCTCTCTCCCTGGTACTACTACCATCCTCCAATTCCCTTGCTTTCTTTCAAACGCGGTGGTAATATGAATATTCAACAGATCAGAAAATCTTCGAGATTGAGTCTTCACGACTCTTCAGTTCCGGCGTGCTACTCTCCAAGACTCCAACCTAGCTGAAGTCGCTACAATCCGGCCTGGGACCTGGGTACCTTCTTGGATGAATACTAGTAAAGCCTTGCCGGTAAAAAAACACCACGACATGGATTTGGCCGCGTGTCCCACACCCACATTCGTTCACCACCACTGAGTCGAACCACAATTAATAGCGGTAACGGACTCCATCGTGTAAGTCTTACGACAAATTGCGCAGGTGCGGGTCTGTGGAATTGTCATCTGGTGAAGCCTCGCATCCACACCTGCATGATTTTGAGGTCTGCTTCGTCATGGATATCAGATATCGTGCAGGTCTTTCATAGCGACGATAACGCATAGATTTTTTTTCATCCTCTTTCTGACTTGTATGCAAGGTCATTCAAATTTCACCTGTGATGGACTACGAGCAGAGAAGAACGCGAGCTTATGAGACATTTGTTACTATTGGAGGTGAAGAACTACTCGTGCTGCCCACAAGCCTTGCTGATTTGCCATGATCTAGACGCTGCACGTCACCCTCCAGTTACTAGGACAATGTGGATAAGGTCAGGTTTGGTCGGTTATTGGTTGGAAAGACAACAAGCTCGTCGCCATCAGACTTACAAGAAAGTTGTTGGTGGAAACGGCGGACGACTTTCTGGTAAATGTTTTTGATCTGAGCTGACTGCATCCTTCGTGACCTTCAGATGGTGTCACCCTCTCGCCGATGTTGTTCGTCGACAAGGAGTTACACCATCTGGAGTCATCTACGTACGCTTTGAACATCTAGGCTGGATTCTCGCTTGATTTTGGTGTTTACCAGCACGAAGCGGATGGAAATACAGTGTACGCATTCCTTGTTCTGCTTTGTATCCAAAAGGTGTGTCTAATCAAGAGATAACCATCAATGTTTAAATGGAGACACCGATCTCTGAAACATTTACATGTGTTCAATATCGCACCCTCCAGATCCAGGCTTGCTTTCATTATCTTTGTCGTTGTGGTCTTGTAGGTTGCGTTGTCCGGAATATCTGCTAAGATTTGGATTGACCTCAACAAGGCGCAAGTATGTTGAAGTTGTGGGAAGTGTCAATGGGTGAGTTGCAAAATATCAGTATGGTATTGATGAGAAACAGACAAATCGACTTTCGCGCGGCTCTCTTCCACGCGCTCCGCATTGTCAGTCTTCTTAGTCAGTCATATGGCATAGATGGGCAGCCGCGGCCCACGCAAAAATCAACCATCCCTGTCGTGAATCCCTCTTTATTGCAATACTAACGACACCATTCAGATGCAGCCATTATTCTATCGCGTTCAGCACTGGTTATCTGGTGCGTCAATGATGAAAGGAACAAGCACGAAACGTACTTACTACTAGTTCTTGTTCAACGCGACCTGTCACAAAGCGCGCCTCACACAGCCTTTGGCGGCGA